TGTACCAATCTTTGATGATCAAAATGAGGTGACAGGTTACAGAATTCACTGCAAAGGTGCCTCTGAAATAGTGTTGTCCAAGTGCACATCCATTATTGGATCCGATGGCACAACAAATCCCTTGAGTAGTAAAGAAATAGACAATATAGTGAAAAATGTGGTTGAACCAATGGCTGATAATGGTTTGAGAACAATATGCTTAGCGTATAAAGATTTTCCAAAGGATACTGGTCAAGATTGGGATGATGAATCATCTGTTGTCAGTGAATTGATTTGCCTCGGAATTACTGGCATTGAAGATCCTGTGAGACCGGAGGTTAGGTCAATTTGTTTATGAGTATTGTTTTTGTTTGTGTGACTATTGATATTTTCTCTAAAGTATTTTTCTTTTTATTGTTTTTATATACCTTTCCTTATGTTGAAAGACTATCAATTGTTTTAAGGATATTATGCCATAATTTTAGGTTCCAGATGCCATAAAAGTTTGCCAGCGTGCGGGCGTTACTGTACGAATGGTGACCGGTGACAACGTAGCAACTGCTAGATCTATTGCTACAAAATGCGGTATTTTGACAAGTACAGACGAATTTCTCGTGATGGAAGGAAAACAGTTCAACAAAAGGATTCGTGATGAAAATACGGGAAAGGTTTGTAAACAAAGTTAATGCATTCGTGTGTACATCTTTTTGTTCTTGCTTTTCCCCCCATTAATAGGACAAAGATACCCTCGTCACTATTGCCTGTACATGTGAATCGCGTCTAGATTATCTGCTCATTCCTTTTTTTCCCCCCCTTACCAAAAGGTTATTCAATCTAAGATTGACGAAATTTGGCCCAAACTACGTGTATTGGCTCGTTCATCACCTGAAGATAAATACAATCTAGTGAAAGGAATTATTGACAGTGAACTCAGTAAAACTCGCGAAATTGTAGCAGTCACTGGAGATGGTACAAATGATGCTCCAGCCTTGAAAATGGCAGACGTAGGATTTGCAATGGTGGGTTTTTATCTCTAGATGAAGAATTCTGTGGGTGATTTTTTAACGTTGACAACGAGGTTTTTCATGTCATCACTAATCAATGTGTTTTACAGGGCATAGCTGGAACTGATGTTGCAAAAGAGGCTTCGGACATCATCTTGACTGATGATAATTTCACTAGTATCGTTAAAGCCGTGAAATGGGGACGCAACGTCTATGATAGCATTTCAAAATTTCTGCAGTTTCAACTTACAGTTAACTTTGTTGCTATATTTATTGCTGTGATTGGTGCATTGGCACATACTGTAAGTTATTTACTCGCTTCTGTACCAATAAACAAAACTTATGCGGCTCTCGCAATTTTAAGAAATTCTCGTATAAAATATTACTGCCAGTTTAGATATATATTCCATTAGCCACAAAAATCAAAACAATTTCTTCAAAATGTTCCAGCAAATTTCGTCAGCGGTAAAAAATAGTTGCAAGAATTTTTTGCTGGCATTATTGACGGCGATTGTCATTTGCATCCAAAAATTGTGAGGGATGACAATGATTTTATTTTTTCTTTGCAGTGGCTGAACAATCATACGACGACATGCAAATTTTTTTTGCAATGTTCAGTGAATATAGTCGTAATCTTTAAGTACGAAGTATAAAGTAAGAAATACATCCGTATATTCTTTAGGAAAGTCCACTTAGTGCAACACAACTGTTATGGGTAAATCTTATAATGGATTCGTTTGCATCGTTAGCCTTGGCGACTGAACCTCCAACTGACGATCTACTTACCCGTAAACCATACGGTCGTACAAAACCCCTTATTTCGCGAACAATGGCAAAGAATATCTTGCTGCATGGTATTTATCAGATCATCGTTCTTCTTGTCTTGATGGAAGCTGGTCCCAAGTTGTTTGACATTGATCCTGGTTTTAGAAATCACGGCCAACCCACTGTTCATTTCACCATAATGTTTAATACATTTGTTTTTATGCAACTTTTCAACGAAATCAACTCAAGAAAAGTTCACGGTCAGCGTAATGTCTTCGAGGGAATTTTTAATAATTGGATCTTCCTTGTCATTTGGTTTGGAACTGTTTTTGTCCAGGTCTGTTGTGATCTTTGATATATATGTTTTTATGCCAAAAACTTTAAATATTTTTTTTGTGCATAAAAAAAATATTCTCAATATAGGTTATTTTAGTGGAGTTTTCTGGACATGCATTTCGCTGTAAAAGTTTGAACGCGCAACAATGGATGTGGTGTCTATTATTGGGCTTTACAGAACTACTTATTGGTCAAGTTGTTGCTACCGTTCCGAAGACAATATTTTCTAAAGCTCTTTTCCAATTGGGTCGTGGTAGCAGACCACCGCCATCTAATGCCCGCCATTTATGGATACGTAGTGTGACTAGGCTAAGACATCAGGTAAATATTTAGTGTTTTCATGTATTTTGTTTATTCATTAGCAATGGAGGTCGATTATTTTTTGTTGCTAAAGATCTCAGTTTTGAAATAATCCGCTGTGCACTCCAAAATAGTAGCTTAGCTTTGACATGACTGAGCACATTGATGATTGCGCTGTCACCTAAGAATTCTTGAGCCCATCGTCATTTCCTCTCAAAAATTTTGTTCTATAGAAAGAGCTAAGAAAAGCTATAGAAAAAAGACCTCTACCTCTACTAAGAACAACTTTGTTCTCACCATTTTCATCTGTACCTTTTGTTTTATAATCGTAGAGATAACACACAGTAAAAGTATTTTCATCGTGTTATAGATACGTGTCGTTAACGCATTCCGTAGCACCGTTGAAGATCGAAGTCTTACAGCCTGATCAAGTTTTAGGCATGTCATCCGGGAGCTTTGATTGGAGTATTGTCTGAATAAAGTAACAAACATATGACTATAGACGATTTTTATAACAAAAAAATTATGATTACGGTCCACCAGAAAGTTGAATTTTATTTATTGTTTGTCAATCAAATACGTATTTCGTTACTTAGAACTATCTAACGTAACGAAATAAACCTTTCGCTGAGAAATATGGGAACTGTTCACTATTCCATACTGTACACCAATGCTTCGGTAAATTAGCCAGCACTTCTCTTCTTGTAAATGTACTTTGAAAATTCTTTACTCTTCTGGCTTTGTCTTTGTTATTCAACCTGAAAACCATCAACCTTGCCAGAAAAAAGCCTTGAAAGGGTGTGCATGCTCCTTTATGTACATGGTTTAAATGAAACATGATTGAGAAATGTGTATGTGGAAATGAAGAAAGTCTGATTCTGATATTAAAGCACACCCTCCCTTCTCTGTCTTCTCTTATATCTAATATCCAATTTTCCTGTATAATAGTAGATTTCTAGATTACTTTGTTCGTGAATAACTTGTTGTTCTTTCATAAGGGTTCATACGTATACTGTTATACTGATGTTTCTGCTTGATTTTATATGCGTACGCCAAAGGCCGTTTTATTAGCTGACATTTGACTTTAAATCCAGACCCGCTGAGAGTTCGCATGCTTTTCTAGAATCGAGTAAATGAGCTGTTGTATGTAACCTTTAAGTATCTTTAGTTCACATCTGTGGCCGGTAGCACGAGGCCTGGATAGCGTTATCTACTGAATAGCAAATTTTTCTGAGCGTTCATAAAATCTCTTAAAAGAGAAAAATATACGATTTGAAGTGTGCAATCACTGAAATAAAGTATTGTTTTGAAGACTACAAATTTCTTTGTAAGAAAAATACACACCTTTTTTACAAGTGAAAATATTCGCTATCCCGACTTTGTGCAACCAGCCCATGCTTTCTATTTTCTAGTGTACAAATTCTTTGTAATTTTTATGTGGTTTGTGGTTTTGCTTAACAAAACTTATCATCCTTTCCTTCATCCACATTCATTGTTTGTCTGATAAAAAATACCAATGCTTATGAGCAAAACTTTTGATCTACAGTCAATTAACCCCACAGCATCGAAGTGTGATTACAAATTTTGAATAAAATCTCGACCGTGTCGATTGTCTATCGAAAACTAATAATTTGTTGGCGTTTATCACAGCATGGATAGTTAAACAGGCTTTATATTTCCATGATCAGAAGATTTCAATTATGTTTAGTTTGGTCATTATGACAACCTATGTCGTTTACTGCAAGGTCCACGTTTAAAATTCGTATCGAACCCCATATTTCTGCCTTCAGTTTATCTTCATTAAAAGTACTTACACATGTACTCATACAGTCATACTATGAAAGACTTGTATTGATGCAATAATTTTAATCCCGCGAAATCATTGAGGCGGTAAGTTGCTTTTCCGGTGTGAAAAATCATCTGCAGATTAGGTTAGATTGCAAAAATTTGATAGTAAACAGTCCGACCACTCACAACTGTCAACAAACCCCGTCTAATCCAAGCTAGTGCGCCGAAATCACCCTTTGCTATTTGTAATTTATAGTTTTCTTGTTTAATCAACAAAACAGTTATTAATAATACAGGTTGCATGCCAACTTCCTCTGATTACTTTGTGGACTATGGTATGGGTAAGGGTGAAGAAAAATCACTTCACCGATATCACCAAAAAAGTCGCCGTTCATCTCCCTACATGATTGAAAATGTAATTTTTAGTTGTCACATTGCCTCCTTGTATCTGTGTTCTTGCCAGTGGTTCTTGCTAACTCTTATTCTTAAGACATAATAAATTAAAATATGAATTTTTCATACTTGTCAAAATGCTTTTGTAATGCAAATTAAGGTTAATTAAAGCTTGAAGAGAAAACGTAGTTGGTTTTAAACCCTTGTGCAATCTCATAAAAATGCCTGTCATATTGCCTGCTTTACTGCAATCCCCAAAATAATGTTGTGAAAAACGAAAACATTCGGTACAAAAGAGAAATTGATGAAGCAGTTCATGCTCCCACGCAACTGTAGGAACCAATGACAATCAAAATAAGTGAATGAGTGCTTGCATTAGCCAATCAAAATAATTGAAAATGTCACGGGGTCATTTAATAAAATATTTCGCAGTTAACGAAAATATATTTGGGACAACTTTCACACTGATTTGTGCCCAAAAAGGTTGGAGGAGACTTATCTTATTCTAAACTATTATGCTTGCATTCTTCATTTGCTTGTATTTAACTTTTACTAATCAAGACTTTATTTCATCCTTTGAAATATACTAAAGGATATAATTTAGTGAGTGTACGTTTCTATATTTATTTGTCAACATCAACTGACCAGATATAATTTGAAGTCCGCTTGACATTGCATAAGATCTGGAAAGCGCAAATCCCATGGAATCTTGAGAAAAACAAGTTTGTGAAAATTTCGAGGTAAAAAGTAATATTGTATTGCTTGTCCTTATTTTTTATTCCCACTGTTTTTAACTTATATAACTTACGAAAGGCGTTGTCAGCATCAATCATTTGCATTCAAAATCTAAAAACTTATGTTCTTTAATTTGAGAGTTCATTTTTATCCGAAAAGAAATCCTTTATATCAACATTTTATTTCAATATTTCAACAAATCTTTGTGTGGTTCCGTTATAAGCACAGAAATTTTAACGTGATTGTCTTTAGCGAAAAACTTCAACTTTGTTTTCATCTAGTTTTTCATGATGGCGCCCGGATCTCGAGCTGGTAGTGTTAGCATCGATGAATCTGATGGTGGCGGCGTGGATGGTATTGATGTGTCAAAGGAAGATTTGATAGAAATAATGCATGGAGGAGATGATGGTTTGAAATTATTACGAGAAAATTTTAATAGTATAAACGAAGTTGTACATCGCTTGAAAAGCTCAGTTACCCTAGGTATTAATAGAAACGAGAATGAAATTAATGATCGAAAAGCAAAATTTGATTCAAATTACATTCCTCCTATGCCTCCAAAAACTTTCTTGCAATTCTTGTTTGATGCATTCAAGGATACATTACTTATAATTCTCATGGTAGCTGGTTTGGTATCATTGATTCTTGGTGTCACTGTTGAGGAAGAAAAAAGTACTGCTTGGATAGAAGGTTTTGCCATATTTGTTGCTGTTATCATTGTTGCTCTTGTTACTGCTGTCAATGACTACACTAAAGAACAACAATTCCGTGGTCTCCAAAGCAAGATTGAATGCGAACACACATTCACTGTGATCAGAGGTGGAGAGTCAATGTCAATATTTAATGGTGATATTGTTGTTGGTGACATTTGTCAGTTGAAATATGGAGACATGATTCCTGCGGATGGACTTCTTGTTCAAAACAATGATCTAAAGATTGATGAGAGCTCTTTGACAGGAGAGTCAGACTTAGTGCGGAAAGGTGATGCAAATCCATTTATCTTATCTGGTACTAGAGTGATGGAAGGAAGTGGAAAAATGATTGTTACTGCAGTTGGTATCAACTCCAGGTCTGGCCAAATTTTGAAACTGTTGGTCTCTGGGGCTGACAAAGCACCTAAACCTGTGGAAAGCAAGCCAGCTGATGCTGAAGATGGTACACTTTTGGAAACTGAACAATCTGATGAGACAGATAATAAAAGTGAAAGCAAAGAAGAGAAATCTATTTTGCAAGGCAAATTAACAAAATTGGCTGTTTTGATTGGATGGTTTGGCCTTGGTGCTGGTATTTTAACTGTTGTTGTTATTTGGATAAGATTTTCTATTGAAACTTATCATGTGGATAATGAATCTTTCAAACAGAAACACATCTCTGAGTATCTTAGAGCATTTATTACTGGTGTAACAGTTTTAGTTGTTGCTGTTCCTGAAGGACTTCCCCTTGCTGTGACCATTTCTCTTGCATTCTCTGTCAAGAAAATGTTGAATGACCATAATCTTGTAAGACATTTAGATGCATGTGAGACAATGGGAAATGCAACTGCAATTTGCTCAGACAAAACAGGAACTTTAACAACAAATCGAATGACTGTTGTCCAAAGTTACTTGGGTCAAAAACTATATTTTGTTTTGGAGTCTGGCTTTGATTGTAAAGAAATTTCTGAAAATTTGAAAAAAGTTTTGGCTGAAGGAATTTCCTATAACAGCAGTTACGCTTCAAGAATTGAGGTGAGGACACTAAGGTAGTTACTGATTTCAACAAATGCACTTCTTATTCAAACATGCTTGTGAAATAACAACAAAACAATGCAGGCACTGACTGATTTACAGTTTAGTTTTCATTAGCCTGTGCAAAATTGGCAAGTCAATCATGAATATATGTTAGAGGAAAAGTGAAAAGATAGAAGATAGAAAAATGAGTAGAGCCATTTATATATGCATGTGAATATTGCTTCCCCCCTGACTATTAATCTTTCTACGGCCCATGAGTATGTAACTTACAGATGTGACAGTTTTGTCAGACTTTACAGTGATATCATTCAGAGCTCGGGACCTCTCAGAGGCAAATCATAAAAATTAATAGAGTTTATTGTCTGTTGGTCTTAAATAAATATCAGGTGCCTGATGATAATGTTCATGTCATTAATAACTGCAAACTTGAGTGCATGTTATTACAATTGCAACTATTTACATTTTTTCATGTAATGATAAAAATTAGCAGCGTACTTGGCAGTATTTTTGGCAGTTTATTTGTGTATCATTCATTTCATTTTTTAATTCTTTTTTTCGTAAAATGTATTTTTGCAATTGTTGAAGAAAAATATAAAGAAATATTTGATTTGAACATCCCATATACAGTTATTTGAAGTCCTAAAATTTCAGCACTTTTTTTTGACATATATTTTTTTGGTACATTTGAGGGAAACTATCTACCTTTTACTTGTAGCCTGGCAGTAAAGAAGGAGAATTGGATCGTCAAATGGGCAACAAAACTGATTGTGCATTACTGGGCTTCGTTGATGGACCTCTTAAAGATCATTATAACTATTATCGTGGAAATATGCCTGAAGAAGAGTTCATCAAAGTTTTTACCTTCAATTCTTCAAGAAAATCAATGTCAACTGTCGTACATATCTTTGATGATCAAAATGAGATGACAGGTTACAGAATTCACTGCAAAGGTGCCTCAGAAATAGTGTTGTCCAAGTGCACATCCATTATTGGACCTGATGGCACAACAAATCCCTTGAGTAGTGAAGAACGTCGTGACATAGTAAAAAATGTGGTTGAACCAATGGCTGATAATGGTTTGAGAACAATATGCTTAGCGTATAAAGATTTTCCAAAAGATACTAGTCAAGATTGGGATGATGAATCATCTGTTGTTAGTGAATTGATTTGCCTCGGAATTACTGGCATTGAAGATCCAGTGAGACCAGAGGTTAGGTCAATTTGTTTATGAGTATTGATTTTGTTATTATTGCTCTTGTATTCAATGTGAATGGCTTGAACCCGAGAGTATCATTACATGTTTGTAGATATAGATTGTCCAGGTTAGTAGAGTCCTAAGAATGACTGTTGAAGTTGTTGGTCACTTAGTGGTAGTGATCTTCAGAGTCAAGGGTTTATTAACATTCCTTGATATATTATTAGTTTTTTTGATAATTCTTATACCTTTCCTTATTGTGAAAGAGTATCAATTGTTTTAAGGATATTATGTTATAATTCTAGGTTCCAGATGCCATAAAAAGTTGTCAACGTGCGGGCGTTACTGTACGAATGGTGACTGGTGACAACGTAGCAACTGCTAGATCTATTGCTACAAAATGCGGTATTTTGACAAGTACAGACGAATTTCTCGTGATGGAAGGAAAACAGTTTAACAAAAGGATACGTGATAAAGATACAGGAAAGGTTTGTAGTTAAAATACGTACTCCTCGATGTCTTCTTTTTATTAAAGGACGATCGACATTAAAAGATCAGTTTTACTTGCCCGCACATCTGTAGCCCATTTAAAGATTATTGCTATCCTCATCACTATTGCCTGCACTTGAGCAGCCGTTTATGTCAATGATTCCCACTTTATTATTGCCCCTTAGAGTACACGTATAGATTATTTTCTTATTGTTCTCTCCTGCCTTAAGGTTATTCAATCTAAAATTGACGAAATTTGGCCCAAACTACGTGTATTGGCTCGTTCATCACCTGAAGATAAATACAATCTAGTGAAAGGAATTATTGACAGTAAACTCAGTAAAACTCGCGAAATTGTAGCAGTCACTGGTGATGGTACAAATGATGCTCCAGCCTTGAAAATGGCAGACGTAGGATTTGCAATGGTGGGTTTTTATCTCTAGATGAAGAATTCTGTGGGTGATTTTTTAACGTTGATAACGAGGTTTTTCATGTCATCACTAATCAATGTGTTTTACAGGGCATAGCTGGAACTGATGTTGCAAAAGAGGCTTCGGACATCATCTTGACTGATGATAATTTCACTAGTATCGTTAAGGCTGTGAAATGGGGACGCAACGTCTATGATAGCATTTCAAAATTTCTGCAGTTTCAGCTTACAGTTAACTTAGTTGCTATATTTATTGCTGTGATTGGTGCATTGGTACATACTGTAAGTTGTTATTTACTATTCTACACTATACAACAGAATTTCGTACTTTATTTTTTTTGTATGTTTTTGAATGTGCAAGAGAAATACATCCGTATATTCTTTAGGAAAGTCCACTCAGTGCAACACAACTATTATGGGTAAATCTTATAATGGATTCGTTTGCATCGTTAGCCTTGGCGACTGAACCTCCAACTGACGATCTACTTACCCGTAAACCATACGGTCGTACAAAACCCCTTATTTCGCGAACGATGGCAAAGAATATCTTGCTGCATAGTCTTTATCAGATCATCGTTCTTATTGTCTTGATGGAAGCTGGCCCTACCTTGTTTGACATTAATTCTGGTTTTAAAGATCACGGCAAACCCTCTGTTCATCTCACCATGATGTTTAATACATTTGTTTTCATGCAACTTTTCAACGAAATCAACTCAAGAAAAGTTCACGGTCAGCGTAATGTCTTCGAGGGAATTTTTAATAACTGGATCTTCCTTGTCATTTGGTTTGGAACTGTTTTTGTCCAGGTCTGTTGTGATCTTTGATATGTATGATAAATTTATCCAAATTTGCAATACTCTTATTATAAATTTTAAGACATTTTTGCTCAATATAGGTTATTTTAGTGGAGTTTTCTGGTTATGCATTTCGCTGTAAAAGTTTGAACGCGCAACAATGGATGTGGTGTCTATTATTGGGTTTTACAGAACTACTTATTGGTCAAGTGGTTGCTACCGTTCCGAAGACAATATTATCTAAAGCTCTTTGCCGTCTTGGTCACGACGACAGTAGCCCGTCAACTGCTAATGCTCGCCTCTTGTGGATACGTAGTGTGACTAGGTTGAGACATCAGGTAAATATTTTCACGTACTTTTTCCTCTTATGAGCAATAGAGAACAATTATGAGTAAGAGATTTCTAGAAATCAACTACATGCTGTTATTTTTTATATCTGACTGTATTATAATAACTGTGTTATCGCTTCCAGCTGATACGATCGGTTTTTGAAATGATTATGAGATGGACGATTACCCGGATTACTTGAGCCAACAAAATAATAATTTTATTGCGGAATGTTTCCCTAATTTTGTCGTTGTGAATTGCTCTATACTATATAGTAGAAATCAACATTACCAAAAACGACTTCGCTTTCATTCCTAAATTGGCTTTTTCTAATACATTGTGCTTGCTTAAAACATTATTAGAATCGTGTAACTTTGTTATGATTATATTAGATACGTGTCGTGAACGCATTCCGTAGCAGCGTGGACCATCAAAGTCAAAGAGCCTTAACGTCCGAAGTTGTGTTTAATTCACTTTTGGCTCCAGTTCGTACTGTGATGGTACCAGCCAGTGAATCGGGGGAAGTAAGGTTCGATAATTTGTCTGAGGATGACGAAACGATGGCATAAGATTGTGTCTTATAGTTAGTTTAATTTTATGTTCTTATGACTGTGTTAAAACTAATATTAACATTTAGTAACATGTGTCATAAATTATAAGATGTTTATATCGTTTACCATTAGAACGTTAACACAACTGTAAGTTCGTCAATAGATTGTTTTTAACCACTGTTTAAAGAATATCACTTTGTCTTCCCACAATTTATTTGCAGCATAGCACTATTTAATGCTAATCGTAGAAAGTAATATTTTTTACACAAAGGAATGTTTATGTGCATTGTATATGGAATAAAAACGCTACTATATTTAATTTTAAAAGGAGTGTAACTTATCTATTCTTAATTTTCAAGTAGCAATGTACTAATGCCTGTTTATATACATCTATGTGTACAAAAAAATGCAAGTGTTTGCTATACCGTAGATGATCTAATAAACGCCTTGGGCGTTTAATAAATTCTACGGGGGGAGCGTGCAATAGATTCGCGGTGCTTAAACGGAGAGGCCTTGGTGTGAAAAATATTTTGTTGTGTGAACAGACAAAAACGAAATTGCGACTAAATTTACGGTTTCTGAGTCCAATCGATAATCCACTATTATTATGATAACACAAATTCAAAATCAGAAATGGTAGTGAAGTGGCGGGCGTCTTCTAAATACGATAAAATTATTAAAAAGCTGTGCCTGGTTTACATGAATTATTGACAGTCCAATGTTTTGTGACATTAACTATCATTTCTTATTCTTGTTTATGGTGAATTTGAGGCAGCGTAGCGTACATGTGGGTTAGTTGTCCAATTTTTACACAATATGACATCTACAAATAACTTGCTCAAAATTTAGTATAGTTTTAAAAAATTTAATTAATTTCAAAAATAAATAAATAATATTTTTAGGTATATAATTACTTTACTTTGTATTCTATTTTGCTGTCGTAAATTACAGTTTTAACTGTTGTAAAAGAATTTTCATTAAGTTTAAATTAAAGTGCTGTGACCAACAGTGGTTAGTCCTTAGAGGTTCAATTGAGGTCGGTCAATAGGCGGTCATTGTTTGCTCTTGTGGATGATATTTTTATAATTTTCTATTCTTGAGTGGATCTTCAGGGTGGCTGTTGCGCACAGCGTTTTATTTAGTAATTTGCCAAAATATCTAATTTGAACACTGAACAAGTACAATGCCCGGCCCAATTGCAAAGCGATTCGAAGATTGGGAGAATGCATGGGCGACGAACAGAACAGGATGGCATAAATCTCACGTTAACACGTAAGTTAGCTTTAAAAAATCTTCAAGTCTCTAGAAAATCATAATATGATGTCTGATGAAATCTACAAATGTTGAGAGCATTGGGTCAGTGTCCTTACATTGTTCAGGGATGATTTTCTAAAATTAAACCTCACGGCCTATGATTCAACCTCAAGTTTTGCAATTTGAGCTAAATCCAAAATGTCCTTTCTTCCATAAATTTATGAAGTGCTCTAATTATTTATCGTATTTAGATTCGTAGAGAAATGATATCGTTCAAAATGTTTGCTTTTACTGAAAACTTTGATTTATCAGGCTGCGTATGTTCTTGACAGAACTGGTTGTACGCATAGAATTTTCATCAGTTTGTACATTTGTTTTCTAGTTGGTTTCTATAACATATTTCCATTATCTGAAATGCTACTGAACACATGCAACTATTCTACAACTTCTATCAATGCATGTCTCATCCCCTCCCCCAAAGACTATTTCCTGATACTCTATAATCTCTACCATCTCTCTGTGGCAACCACCTTTTTTATTGACAACCATCTCCTGTGGGATAAAAATGCCACTGTGGTATCTTATACTTGAAAATTAACAATTTACTGAATTTAGTATGTAGTTGTGTCTTGTCAGATGCTAGTTTGTGCCAGTGGTGAAGCCAGCCTGACTTTTCTCCTGCTTTGCAAATATTTTTGTGTTCACAGACTTGAAAATTAATCAATAAATTTAATTTTCTAAAGAAATAAATCATAACTTTACTGAGAAATTCCTGCATAGCAAGAGTAGCAATTTGGGACAGCTTTGCTATGTGTCCTGCATAAGCTATATAGCTGCATGTTGAATTGCTAGCTTTCAACCCAAAGACCTTACCTGTACTTAAGAAATGATGTGCATGTGTATCAAAGGTTAAAATTCAATTTTAAAGTCCAGTTTTACTTTCCATATTGTAGGAATTTAAAAGACAACATTGAATTTTTAACGGATGGTAAGAAAGCTTGCAAAATCTTGGTACCATTCTGTGGCAAGACACTTGATCTTTTATGGTATCAGTAATTTAGTTCATGCACATTTATTTAATTACATTCTTTATGATCAACTTGAACAGAATGAGTTAGAACAGCTGAGACAAGTCTTCAGACAAGTCTTTGGTAGTTTAAAGTTTACCCAACTTTGAAAAGAAAATATAGCTTTTCAAAATTAAGATTGTATTTTTTTAAAGTCAATATACATAAATAGCAAATCATCATTTGCTTTGTGTGAATTTTTTAATTTCAAGCTTTGGAAACCAAGATAATGAAGCAAAAATACAAATTTATGAAATGGTAGTTTTGTTTAATATATTTCAAAGTATCCCAAGATTGTTTACTGTGTGAAATAATAGTTGTCATTTCAAGATATGTAGCTCAATCATGTAACAATATTTTTGTTTTCTTTAGGCTTGTTGAAAATGGTCATAGCGTCATAGGTGTTGAACTAATTCAAAAAGCTGTTGATGATTTTTTTCAAGAAAATAAAATCTCATATAAAGTGAAAACAGTAGAAGATTACCAATGTTTTGAGGTTATTGTTAGTGTAATTTTAATGACATTTATTCAGTAACACAGGTCCAAATAAAGTAAAATTTGCATTAATCATATGTGAAGGGAACAATGAAGATAATGAATTAGAAAATCTTTTGCATGAGAAAGGAAGTCTCTATATGAGTTTTTGGCTCATTTTATTGCATATTTTTTGCAGACATTTGATGGAAAATTAACAATATTTGTTGGTGACTATTTCAAATTCAGCAGGTTAGGGTATGTGCAATTATCTTGTCACCTAATGCTGCTTACAATGTAGCCTATGTATAAATGAAGAAATTTCTGTAGTTTGCTTATAGGTGGAAAAGTGGATGGCATTTGGGATTGTAATGCTTTAGGAGCTTTAGTACCAAGTTATTGGGATAGGTGAGTTTGAATTTAACTATTTACTGTGAATATTATGATCTTATTTGATTAGGACTTGTGAAGTTTTAGTTTATTAATAAACATACAAAGTAAAAAATTCTCAAACAAAGTAAACGTTAATGTTCTTTTTTGATAAGTTGTTTTCCACGTGGGGCGTACAAAAATTTACAGAAACGAATTCAGCAAGAATACTAAATTTACTCTTAGTACAGTGCATAATACATTCAGTACAGTACAAAGTTAGCAAAGTAATTACATTTATTCACAATTAGGGAGCTCTAAATATTCACTATTCGACACGGTTAAATCACCAAAGTTAAAGAGATTTTTTGGTGATTTTAAAAAGTATTAGAAAATTAGAAATTGATAAAATCTTGACATCCGCATCCACTGCTTGCCGTCCGCCAGTATTTTTATCTTTGATACAAGGTCTCACTTTTGCTTTTACTTAAAACTAGGAAATTGTTATAGTTTGTCATTTATTAAGATTATAATTGCAGACATCTTAAGACGTCTTTGGAACTTCTTGATCCTTCTCACGGTCGAATTTTAATGCAAGCTTTTTTATATGACGATAAAGCACATCCAGGTATTATTTTGTACTTGACTTATGGGCGTAAGCCATTTTGTGTGGGGATGAAGTTGCATAAAAAATTTTGTGCTGTTTTTCGAGGACTAAATCTTGAGAAAGCTATTGAATTCAATTGAAAATGTTCTGTATTAAAAAGTAGCCAAAACGTTTTCTATAAAATTGACTCCCAATATTATATGGAAAATGTTTTAATTGTTTCATGTACGTGCTGCTTTTTATTGATGTACTATGCAACGGCGAGTTTTTTTCATGATCTGGCTGGAAGATTCTGAAAATTTGAGGTGAGATAAGACAGTCATTTGTAAAATGACGTGTTTGTTTATTATTTGCAGCTGGTCCTCCATGCTCTGTTTCACAAGAAGAGCTGAAACGTCGGCTGGGTAAGTGTGCTCTCGTTCATCTTTTAATAACATATTTTTTGTTGCCTTTATTTTATGATCACCAATCTTGAAGCATAAGTTAGACGCATTGAAATGAATGACTGTGGATCAATATACATGATCTAGCAGGAATGAATATTTTATGAGATGCGTTATAGTTATGTATCCAAGCTTTTGAAAACATCTGCAAAATTCTATACATAGGATGTATTAAAACTAAACAGATAGGAAATCGTCGCTAAAGTTATCATCGCGCAAGATCTGCAAAAACCTTTGATGGAATAGGTAGTTGGACTTCCAATGGATCATCTGACATTAAAAGCTTCGCAAACAATAACCATTTTTGCTACCGAGAAGCTTGAGAAAGTTTGTGCACGAAAATGGCAAAGCTAAAAAGCAATTGGAACAAATACGGTTTAAATATGGGAAATGTTGTTCAAGTTTACAAATTTCCCAGATATTTGTTCCAAACATGCACGAGAACGCCAGGAATCCAAATTGCAGATTATTTTGCGTTTTTCTCTTTTTAAATGCCATTTTCTTAAAACTTCATCAGTAATTCATATTTGGATTAATTTAAGCTCAAATTTATGCATAATTGATGAGGATTGTAACAAGATGGCATTAACTGAATTCAAAATAATTGGCAATTTGAAAGCGAAGCGCTCGCCTACACATCAGCCAAATTTCGTAAAACTTTGTTAGCTTGAACAACATCCGTCAAATTTTAACCCTATGTCTTCTAATTTCTTTTTAGCTTCATCATTTTTGTGCGCAAGCTATTTCAAAAGTGCTTCTCCTTAACAATTCTCATTCTAAAAATTGTTATTTTTTGCGAAACTTTTACTTTCAGATAAACCAGTTGAAGTCCAACGACCTATTTCTACCAAAGGTTTTGGCAAATCTTGCGCGTCAATGACTTTAGAGACATTTTCCAAACTTCATATTTTTTTTCAGACACCCTGAATATTGTTTATTATAAAATAAGTTTGTCAAAAATTCAAAACTGCTAAAACCTCAGATTATCCGGTTCTTAAGTAGTGATTTAGCTATTGAAGATGGCATGTTAGATTGAACCATATAAGTTGTTCCGTTTCTGTTTTTGCTATTCTGCCCCCATACTGCTTGCGTTTGTTACTGGTGTATGGTTTAGCTTGCTTTATTGATTTTGAATACTTTTTTTAAGTCAATGCTGGGGTTGCCATACGTAATTCAGTGAACTCAATATTTATATATATATATATATATGGAGTTCACTGGCGTAGTGTTGGCTGTAGTGTTTCAAACATTTCTTTTAGATATTTTGAATGTTCTTTATGAAAATTAAATCAATTTTTTTCAATGTGATGTAATTATTCGTGTTAAATGACGATGTTCTTATTCAGGAAATGAATACGAGATACAACTATTGAGCAAAGAATCAGATGAGGTGGCGCGCGAACGTTTTAAAAAACCCTGGCTTTATGTCTGTGTTACTGGAATAAAGAGGAACGTGTCTGCATAAATATTTCTATGTCCATTCACTAAATTGACCTCTTCCTTACAAAAAATATTAAATAAAATGCTTACTTATATCTCAGGAACATTTCTTTCACAATAATTTGATACAGTTTAAAAAGTACAGTGGAAAGTAAAACATCAAAAACAAATCAGCTCAAAAAATCAATATTGCATGTGCTCTTACTATTCGAGATATAAAACTCCAGAGTGGGTCATATTTTGCCTGAATTTCTAATAAGTTGTCAGACATACCTATGAAGTTACAATGAGTTAGAAAAGACTGTGTAAGAGTCTTAAGCCAACACAACCCCTCTCTCTTATCAATCTTTCCCCCATAATTTTACCGAAATGTTTTTTGTTGCGCATAGAGTAATTTTTATCAAATCTCAACTGATTTCAAAGATATTTCTCTCATTTACTGATTCATTTCATTTTGAGGCTTTTAGAGACTTGGCATTTTAGACTTTATCGTTGTACTATGACAGAATAACAGTAGCATAATTTGTACTTTTCGAAAAGCTTTGTTCTACTTCAACGTTTGCCGATTCCCAAAGCTCGAAAATTTGATTTAGGTCACAACTTTATCCATATTCCAGGTGTTACGTACATGGTGTGCTCGGATTAAAATTGCATGCCATCTTTTCAGCATGGTGTTATTGTTACGGCGACAATATCAAGTGTTATCGGCTTTTTGTGCTTTTTTATTCGTTTTTCTAACTTTGCTTGAATCATACTGTATCTGTATGATCTGTATCTGTGTAGTCGTCCGTCGTCGTTCCATATTGGATAAATGGATGAAGGGACATATATCGTATCATGCTTACAAAGAATTCTGGATCATTGAGGTGTGACTTGGCATCAGTTTTGATCACTTATTACACATCAATAGTTTTTGAATTTCGACAAATAATTCCTCACAATTGTCTGAAATTGAAAGTACGTTTAAGAAGTGTATGATTATTGAAGATTTTTGAAGTATAGCTTCTTTGATGGCATAGGTTTGCGAGTTTTATGTTACCTGTTAATATTTTCAGCACGAGTTATATAGAAATGTAAACTCGTGTTATTGTATTGGGCTGACCTACTCCTATAGTCATAGTATAGCTTCTACTGCCTTAGGAGTATTTCAATTAAAGAATTATCATATTCTGAAGTAAAGCACCGTGACGGTCTTATTCAATAGAAGTCGGTCGATTCACTCGATTGGGGGTGATTTTATCGTTCGATCTCTTTGATATTTTTTGTCCTTGTGTGAATCTTCAGGGCGGTCGTTGTACACAGCGTTTTAATTATTAAGTAATTTGCCGAAATAGCCAACCAGAACCTTGAACAAATAAAATGTCGGGCGCAATTGCATTGCAATTTGAAGATTGGGAAAGTGCATGGGCGACAGCCACAAGTGGATGGCATAATTGGCATTTATCTCACGTTAACACGTAAGCTAGCTTTCACGACTTCAAGTCTGTAGAAAATTAATCTATGATGTCTGATGAGACCAAAAATGATAGGCTTTATTACAGCTTGTAATTAGTTTGGTTTTCACTTGCCAAATTTAGAATTGCGCATTTCAAGTATATTGACATTCCAGGTAGGAAAACTTGTATCGATTTCCCTAAATGGTATAGCCAACAGCCGAGGGCGTATGAACACTAGCTGCGAGTGAGTTATAATTCGAAATAAGTTGTGAGCTTTTTCACACAAACCCTGAATTAGACTCAGTTCATGAATTCTTATCATAGTTACAGACTTAATGTTTCATATAGAATATATACCACTACCTTATATCTGGGGTATTAAGTTTAAAAGCAGGTTGGCAAGCAAGCGTCAGCAATGTGGAATTATGGATTGCTTGATAAGTATGAGCAAAGCAAAATTTAGGTGCAAGATGTAGCTTTAAATTGTGTAGCTCAGTAGCAGCTAGTGAGTGCAAGTTTTCCAATCTGGTTGTTATTCATAAGGGAGGGTTTTCTAAATTCCAACCCACTTCCAAAGTTATTTATATCTGTTGAACTTAATACAGTAGAATTTTGCAAGTTGAACTAAATCCAGTACATCCCCTTTCTTCCTTTCTCCATGTGAAAACTTTACTGAGCTGCAGATATGTTAATGGCAGAACCTTTTGTATTCATAAGACTATCATGTACCTTTAAATTTGTGTTAGTAAGTTTTTTTATACATTTCTGGCATCTTCACTGCTATTGAACACATGCAGCATTTCTACCATTGCCATATTGATTACACACTTCCCTCATTTAATACATATTCCCTTATTGACAGGAATATGTAGGCAGGATTTATGACAAGGAAGGTGAAGTCACCTAGAGCATGACATAATATAGCTTTCAATTTAAACTTGTTGTGAAAATGGAGGATCAAGGCATTGCCCCTTTGCTCCTCTTGGCTATTCTCCTGAATCAGTACCATTTCTCTTTGTGGCTACCACTTATTTATTAACAACCATTCTTATATTGGCCAGCATTTGTCTTGTAGACTATCACATCTCTTGTCCTCCACCTTTGTTACTAACTGTTACTATCATTCCTGATTCAAAAGGTCACATTCCTTCTGTTTTGCTGTTTATCGAGTAGTGGAATAAAAACATCACCACTATGGTATCTTACACTTGAAAAATAAATATATTCGACAGAGTCTGTGATGTTTTATTTCAGATGTTATATCTTGCCAGTGGTGATAAGCCAGCCTTTTTCTCCTGTTTTGCAATATTGTAGTGTTCATTGACTGAAAAACAATATAATTAATTTTCTGAAAATTTATTCTTGACTTTGCTGAGAAATTGGCAAATAGCAGCAATAACAATTCAGGAGAGCTAATCAGGGCTGCGGAGAAGAGGGCAAGGGGGGCCCCCACTTTTCATAATCTCTTGCTTTGTATAGTGTAAAAGTGTAAAAATCCGCCCCAGGGAAATACTTACATTTTATAAGTATGGATGTTTAACACTATTTGATGTCTCGCTTATGTTCCACTTTCATTTTTCAGTTCACGTTAAATTGATCAATTATAGCACGTTTAGACAGATTGCCGGAGTACGATATCCTGGTTCGGGCAAAAATCTGCAGGCCGTTCACACTACGTAGTACCCACTAGCTTCGACTATTTATAATTTCATGTTTTTCTTTGTAAACAAGTTTTGAAACCGTGTCGTGAAAACGTGCTTCTCTGTACACGTTACTCACGTGTCGTCGTTCAGATTGGTGCCCGTGCCTGAGCACCGTACTCGTGTACTACCTATTTTCGTGGTGCCCAGACTCGGGCACTATCAAGATGTTGTGTTCACATTGGTGCCCGTGCCTGAGCAATCAAACAAATTTTGTAAATTGAATGATTACTGATAAAACTGTTAAAAAGAACTTTGCTATACTGGGAACAACAATCCGATTCTGGGACCTTCTTTGCCCCACCCCACCCCCTCCCCACTTTTGAAACCTCTCCGCTGTCCCTGAGCTTTACTTAATTCTGTACGGCCATAGGCAGCCCAAAAAATCTCTTAGCTAGCTAAATTGTATTAACGAACGATAACTCTCCCCATTTCATCGTAACAGACGTACCGTGCGCAGCAAACTTTGTATTAATTGATTATATATATTTTAGGAAAATATATTTTAGTGAATTTTTGGGCCGCCTATGGCATAAGCTATAGCTATGTTGAATTTAAGCTTTTAACATAGCTAAAGAAATGATATAGACATAAAAGTTTGAATTCGACTTTTTAAATTGCCCACAACCTTGAACACTGATGCAACTTCCCATCATTGTTATTTTAGAAACTTAAAAGACAACATTGAATTTTTAACGGATGGTAAAAAAGCTTGCAAAATCTTGGTACCATTCTGTGGCAAGACACTTGATCTTTTATGGTATCAGTAATTTAGTTCATGCACATTTATTTAATTACATCTTTATGATCAACTTGAACAGAATGAGAACAGCTGTGACATGTCTTTATATGAGCGAATAAAGTTTTATTCTTGTTAATCTCAGTGTGAGAATATTTTTGTTTTCTTTAGGCTTGTTGAAAATGGTCATCATGCCATAGGTGTTGAACTAATTCAAAAAGCTGTTGATGATTTTTTTCAAGAAAATAAAATATCATTTAAAGTGAAAACGGTGGATGGTTACCAATGTTTTGAGGTTATTGTTAGAGTAATTTCTTCATTGACATTTATTTGGTAAAGACAGCTTCATGAAATCAAATAAAGAATTGTGCGAATATTGTGAAGAGAACCATGGTTAGGGATAGTACATCAACAAAATTTTATGCACGAGAATGGCGTAATTGGTTGGATTTTTGTATTTTGTTGCATATTTTTTATAGGCTTTTGATGGAAAGTTAACAATATTTGTTGGTGACTATTTCAAATTAAGCAGGTTAGGTTATGTCGAATTATCTTGTCAACAAACATGTCAAACAAGGATGTTTGCGAATTTTTGTTTGGCCTTAGTGACTGCTTTGAAAGTGCATTAATTTACGTGTAAAACAAAATTCAATTTCCCATGTATAAATGAGGAAATTTCTCTAGTTTGCTTATAGGTGGAAAAGTGGATGGCATTTGGGATTGCAATGCTTTAGGTGCTTTAGTACCAAATGATTGGGACAGGTGAGTTTGATTTGTAGCTGAAAACGTTTTGTGAACATTATGCTCTTGTGAAGCTTTGGTTTGTATTAATAAAAATTTAATGTTCACTTTTTTAATGCTAACAAAAAAATTGAAAATAGTCCAAATACTTTCAAAAAAGGTGGCAGAACGGCACGTTTTGTTGTTTACCTTTGTTTAGTTTTTAGTTTAGTTTTTAGTTTTGTTGTTTACCTTTGTTTGTTCAGACATTGGCGTAGTTTATTCATTAAAATTATAATTGCAGGCATCTTAAGACGTCTTTGGAACTTCTTGATCCCTCTCATGGTCGAATTTTGATTCAAGCTTTTTTATATGACGATAAAGCACATCCAGGTATTATTTTGTAGATTTCTATGTAAATTTTGCTTTTGTGTCGTTGTAAAGTTGCTTAAAGAGTTTTCTGTTGTTCTTTGGGTACAATAAAACTAAAGAAAGCAGCTAATTTCATTGAAAAATGATGAGTCTATGTATAGCCAGAACTTTTCCTTCGAAATTTTAACTTCAAAAATTAAATAAAAAATCTCGTAACTGCTTCATATGTGTTGTTTCATGCGTTTTATTGATGTGCGTTAAAGTCCGCTTTGTAAAAGTTCTTACGTATAGGCAACGTTAAGTGGACTTGACATTATTCACTTTTTCAGAGGGCCCTCCATGCTCTGTTTCAGAAGAAGAGCTAAAACGTCGGCTTGGTAAGTGTTTTTTCGTTCATTTTTTGTAACATTTCATTTGCGGTTTGGCTATTTATATGAAAACGTTGTAGCCTTAAATAAGATTGTGAAAACATCTATAAAAGTCAGTTCTTTGTTTTTGTAATAAAATTAGTTTCTAAAAACTTGCTGTAGTCGTTTTGACGATGTTCTTATTCAGGAAGTGAATATGAGGTAGAGTTATTGAGCAAAAGATCAGATGAGGTGGCGCGTAAACGATTCCGATTCGAATTATCCTGGCTATATGTCTGTCTTACTGGAATAAAGAGGAAACTGTCTGCGTAAATATTTCAATATCCATTAAAGTGACGTTTGGTCGTTATTTTTATAAATGCTTCATTGTCACTTCGCATTCTCATGAACATTCATATAGATCTCAATAAATCGATACTGTAAAAAAGTACTATGGAAAGTAAAACAAATCGGTTTAAAAAAAATATTGTGTTCTTACTATTCAAGATAAAAAAGTACAGAGAAAATCGATCATATTTTTCCTGAATTTCAAAGAAATTGTCAGACATATATTTATAAGCCACCACAAGTCAACAACTTCTTCTTACCCTCAATCTTTCCCATAGTTTTAGCTACCAACATGTTTTTTGTTGCACATATAATGATTTTTTTATCAAATCTTATTTTCAAAAAGATTTCTCATTGGCTGGTTTATTTCATTTTGAAGGCTTTTAGATACTTGACATTTTAAAATTTCTCGTTATACTTTAACAGACTAAAGCCTCGGTCACACTGTTCGATGATAATGATAACGATAAACTATAAGGAAGTTCCATGGTCACATACTAACGATAAATCGTTATCGTTATCGCTGCAATGTGACCGCACATAAGAGTTTGAATAACGAGCGATTTTTTGCATCGTTATCGGATCGTTATCGGGTGCAGTGTGACCGAGGCTTAATAATATCATATTTTGTAATATCCGAAAAATTCGATCTGGTCTTCGACGTTTTCTGGCTCCCTAATTTTGAAAATTAGTTTTTGGTCATTGCTTTAACAATATTCCAGGTGTTACATGGTGTGTTCTGATTAGAAATGCTTTCCAATTTTAAACATATTGTTATTGTCTCGCGTTTGTTATAGTGTTATTTGTGCGCGTTTATTAATTGTTCTCATTTGCTTAAATCATATTTTATCTGTGTAGTCGTGGTTTCATATTGAATAAAGGAAGAAATACACATCATTCGTTGTGCATAAAATTCTGGGAATTCTGGGTCATTGTGAAAGAATTAATTGAAAAATACCATTTCTAGCTAACTGGGGACTACTAAGAAACAAATGATATTAAAGATGATGTCAATGTCATTTGGAAAGGAGTCAATGGAGAGACTGCTTTGGATGGAGGCTCTGAACGTTTCTAGGTAAGTTTATAGATTAATCATTAATGACATTTTTTTGCAAGTTGCATTGTATCTTGTCTACTGCAGTTGAAATGGATTGTGACTAATGGCTGAGGAATTTTATAAGAAGCAAAAATAAGCAACCTCATCATCATTCAACAGTAACAAGAAACTTGTATTTATAAGTAAAACATGTCTTCAGGGATATTGGTGATTAAATGTTCCGCAAACCGAGTGAGGTTTAGTAAAAGTCTGAGGGCGCAGATTGAGGGAGGTTTAGTAAAGGCCGAGTGCGCAGATAGATGGAGGTTTAGTGAAAGTCTGAGGGCGCAGACTGAGGGAGGTTTAGTAAAAGTCTGAGGGCGCAGATTGAGGGAGGTTTAGTGAAAGTCCGAGGGCGCAGATTGAGGAGGCTTAGTGAAAGTCCGAGTGCGCAGACTAAGGAGGCTTAGTAAAAGTCTGAGGGCGCAGATTGAGGGAGGTTTAGTGAAAGTCCGAGTGCGCAGACTGAGGGAGGTTTAGTAAAAGTCTGAGGGCGCAGATTGAGGGAGGTTTAGTGAAAGTCCGAGTGCGCAGACTGAGGGAGGCAGTAAAAGTCTGAGGGCGCAGATTGAGGGAGGTTTAGTGAAAGTTCGAGGACGCAGACTGAGGGAGGTTTAGTGAAAGTCCGAGTGCGCAGACTGAGGAGGTTTAGTGAAAGTCCGAGTGCGCAGACTGAGGAGGTTTTGTCAAAGTCCGAGTGCGCAGACTGAGGAAGGTTTAGTGAAAGTCTGAAGGCGCAGACTGAGGAGGTTTAGTGAAAGTCCGAGGCGCAGACTGAGGGAGGTTTAGTGAAAGTCCGAGGGCGTAGCCTGAGTGAGGTGTAGTAAAAGTCCGAGGGCGCAGCTTGAGGGTATTGTGCTTTCAAAGGACTTGCCAAAGACATCATGCTATTAACCTTTTTCATTAAGCAGAATTGAAAATGATTCAGCCGTGGGAAAGTTAAGGTGCAAGCTGAAGCAATTTCTACATGACGAAAATAAAATTTTAAAACAATATAGGCGTAATGTTTTATGGATGATGGATATTTAGTCTAATCGTCCCTAATGAAGATATTGATGATGGATATTTAGTCTAATCGTCCCTAATGAAGATATTGATGATGGATATTTAGTCCAATCGTCCCTAATGAATATGTTGATGAGGGAAACACGTCACTAAACGTCCCTGTGATAACAAAAGATCCTGAAGCAACCATGTTATTACTCAATTTAACGCTCTTCGTGACCAAATTTGCCTTGTTGGTTGAATTGTGTTAAAATAAACTGATTACTACTTACGTGAACTTTAAGTGTTTATGATAAAGTGTTTGGGAACACATCAGGTTTTACTCACAAAATGGGATCATTTTAACAAGCGTGTGTAGCAATTCAAAAATTATTTCTATGACAGTTGAATTTGTTTAATAAACAATTCATAGAATTATCATACTCTTCTGATGGCATGCTGTCGAATATTACATTACACATCAAATATCACATTACGCGTCTGTTGTCTAAACAAGGCACTGCGTCGATAAGATATTTTTTCAGATCAATGTCCTATTGCCTCTTAAAGTGCTTGTGAAGCAAACTGGTGAGTACTTTGCATCTTATATTTAGTATGCCATTTTGGCGCCTTTTTAACATTTAGCTGTTGTTATAAAAATTGTCATATACAGCCATTTACTCGTGATGAATTACAAGGTAAGAAAAAAATCTGTTCCACTAAACTGAATGTTATAATAAGTCAAACTTAAACTAGGATCCCAATCTCGTTAATTTGCTTTTTTTTTCAGATGATAGCTACGCATTCCTATTATTTCTTCGTCTACCTTTTGCAATAGCGGGAAATTTTTATCTGTAATTCTGCGATGACTGATTCATCAATAAATGATAGTTTTTGGCTACTTCAAATATGGATCACATTCTGCTGATATATTAGCTCACAACTGCAGTGTTTAAGGGTTGCCAAGTGCTAAATTATGTTGTTTTTTCTTGCTAAATCTCTCTCAGTATGCGATAAAAAATGTAAAATCTCAACAATGCGTATAAAGATAAGAAAACCATAAAATTAACAATGAAAGGAGGTTATAGGTTGACGACGGTTTGATACATAAGAAAAATTTGCGCATTCCCTCACGTTTACTGCGCGCTTTACACTCTATTATACTCTGCTATACGCTGTTATCTTTTTATTGTGTTTGATTTGCCGTAACTTTCTATTTTTCATTCATTTTTACATTTAAGTAAAAACCTTGTTCACGAGAGTAGATTAAAAGCATGTTGACTTTCTACCAATTCCTTACATAAGATTCCACGATTTTTTGTTTGCCAAATATTGTAAAGAAGGAAATGTTGAAGAATGCTTTGCATTGCAATGTCATGAAGTAATTATAACGTTTTTTATAGACGGTCTACTGATCATTTGTCAAAATTTTAAACGTATTTATAGTATGTCAACATGCGTAGCATACTTGAGTGGCGAGATAATTACATTTCGCTTGTCTACAGCTCAGGAACAACCCACTTTATTTTGTATGATTACTTTGTTTACCCAGCAAACTTCCTTTTTTTTTCTTCATGTACCCATACAATCGCTTGCATAATGTATTTGCGTCGCCATAATCACCACAGGGGTTTATACAGTCAATCATTATACTCAGCTGGTACAAAGAACGTCTTTCATCATTTGCTTTATTGGAATGAAAATTTGTAAAAAATGAGGAACAAACAATTCTAAAATATGGTCATTCACCAAAGACTACTTTAGACATATCGTCATTTTTTCAATGTCAAGAGCGTTCTTCACTTTTTTTTATGGGAAGACTTCCTCCATCTTACTCGATGCTTGTAGCTAGCCTTTTCCACGTGTTTTGCAAAATTTTTCGTTTTGATCATATTGATACATGATCAAATACACGAGTTCAAGGAATTACGAATTTTTATTTTATAATTTAAACCACAAAAATGATATGACTTTTGATAATACAAGGTTGACGGCGAACCTTTCGCCTTTCACTATAGAAATAACGACAGTGGAATTTCAGGCTGTTTTACATAAATGAAAAACATGGCATAAATTGGCATTTCATGCGTGATTTTCATCATAGTTCAAACCGGAACTGGTCTTTTTTCATGACATTCAGTTTTGTTTCAAAACATTTCGCAGAGATACAATAAAGTTAGTCTGCATGCATCCATCAACGAGGTGTTAGGATTAAAATAATGTGAAATATGCAACAAAACAGAAAGTATAAAACAGTTTTGCAATGATTTCTTGCTAAAATATGGATAAAATGTTATATTTTATGAATGATTTTCAATTTTAAATCTGCGTGCATGTAAAGATGTTTATACGACTATATACGTGATGTCAAATCTGTTTATTTAATGTCATTAATCTTAATCCTTTTATCACAGGGTTAATAGTTTAAAACACAAAATACATGGTGTAGTAAAGTCGACCAAAAACAAATACGTATGGAAAAGAACAAGACTATCGTTGTTGTCAATGGGAGTAGTGCAAGTTTGTTGTCATCAAATGATAAAAGGACAACAAAAGAGACTTTCGCGTTTGGATGGGGAAAGTTTCGACCAAAACAGCTGAATTTCTTGAACTCATCCGTCTGGTTTATTATTATCTTCGGCGTTTATAACACTTTTCAAGGTTTAGAATTATAAATAATATTTTTTTGTCAATTGATTTATGATAACAAACATACAGCCCTCAGAACAGCACGTTTTTTCTATTATTTTTGCGTAGCTATGTGGAGGTGCATCTTCCAATATTTTTTTTATTTTTTCCCACAAATTTGACCATAATAATTATTGGTAAAATGGTTAAGATGGTAGATCATTTGAACAAGTTGTTGTCAATATATATGGATACATTTTCCCCCAAAGAATACTATATTGGATTAATTTGCTGTGATCTAATCTTACTTTGTTTGTCAATAAGCAATTGATATTTTCTGTAGGTATTGCTGCCTGGGCTATGCCTAGCCTTGTGTTACCAAGCATTGAACGACGATTTTCCTTCTCTAGTAAGGAATTGGGAATAATTTCAGCTGCTAATGATGCGAGTGCTTTGATAGTGATGATATTTATAAGTTTTTATGGCGATTATTGTAACAAGATAAGATGGATGGGTTATGGTGCTGTGGTTTCTGGTACGTCTTGAGCTTTTTTGAAAAGTTATTAATAAACCCAAAGTTTTTATCCTCGTGCTTTGCAACAATTAAAAGCGTTAGTCACGGTTTTCGTGAACGAAAATGTACTTGTGTATGGATTTTATGTGGGGTTTTTTTCCTAAACATAGCATAGAGTATATTTTGTAGATCGATAGTCAAACAATCATGAGAAGTATTTTTGACTAATTTTTAAATTATTTTGCGTAGATTTATCTAGCTAAAAACTTTGACACAAATTATTTTCCCCAATGCGACGAATGACTAAAAAAACCTTAATTTATGAACTCAGCTGGGCTGTCCTATAGCTATATGCAGTGAATGAAGAACATAAATTATTTACAGAATTAGAATTTCATCATCTCATCAAGAAACTTTATCATCTTATGGCTGCTTTTTGTTGATTTCATTCTCTGTTCTATTGAGCATTGCCATTTTCATACACCCTATACTATACCAACATGGCCGCTGATATATCACATGAAATCACTCAATTGAAACTTATTAAATTATTTTATTAGATGTTCGCACTTTATTTTATAAAAATATTTTTCTTATTTACTTACCAGGTTTTGGTATCACGATGTTTGCATTGCCGCATTTCATGATTGGACAATATCGACCTGTCAGTTCATTCTCTGGTGGTTTATGTAATACTGGAAACCAAACAGTCGCACATTGTTTAACTGGAAATTATGGAGGAAACTGGTACTACCTAATTGTGTTTATCATTGCTATGTTGATAATGGGAGCTGGAAATGCTCCATTGTTTTCTTTATTCATTGTTTATCTTGATGAAAACATTAAATCAAAATCTTTCCCATGGTATCTTGGCATTTATAATGCAACACAATTCATTTCACCTGGAATTGGATATCTCATCGGGGGAAAGTTTCTCAGTATATATGTACACATATATCAGGTGAATGTCAACGTTTTATTATGTAATCTTACTTATTTGTACAGATAAACTGTTAACTCATATTTGAACTTTTCGTAATTGTAACTATATTGCTGATTGTGTAACAAACTCGATGATTAGGAGAGGGGGGGCATATTCATATGTGCATCAGTGCATGCTCTGCCGTATTAAGTTCCTTTGAAACCATTGTTTTCTAAAGAGACATGCGTATATGAATTTGTGCCCCCCCCCCATGTTGCTTAATGTGATCTTTGTTCATAGCCCGATGGATTTAAGATGACACCACGTGATCCGAGATGGATTGGAGCGTGGTGGATAGGATTTCTTGTTTTTGGTGTACTCACTATGCTTTTATCCATACTTATGTTTGGTTTTCCACGTGAGTTGCCCGGGGCCAAAAAAAGAAGATTAGAATACAAACGTGAAGGCTTTCTTAATGCAACAAAAAATATGAGCATACCCAGCTTAAAGAGTCTTCCATCTGACTTAAAAGAGCTTTTAAAAAACCGTACGTTTGTTTTTAACACTCTTGGCATGACATGTTTGGCATTTTACGCTGGTTCAATAATGGTTTTCATGTCGAAGTTTCTGCGAGTAAAATTTGGCTTGGATCCTGCAAAATCTGGATATTATCTTTCATTCGTGTCAATATCTTCAGCTCTGGGTTAGTTTTCCTTTAAACAACTTTTTTAATGGTATTTCAGTAATTTTACATTGTGCAAAGGAGTGCTCAAATCAACAATGACTCTATTTTTTTAACTTTTTTTTGTTGTAGTTGGTAACTTTGTTGGTTCTTATATTGTCAGAAAGTTCTCTCTCAAAACGTCGTGTAAAAACGCAGCTGCAACATGCTTGATTTTACACATTTTTGCGATTGGTGGAACACTGATATTCTTAATTCCGTCATGTCAAAATATTCCTTTTGTTGGCGTTTCTGTGGAACATAACAGGTGATGTGTGCTTGTCTTGTTTGACGTGGTGAGAGACGAAATCGAACGGCATCTGTTCTTCTAACAATTTACTTCTTTCATACAGTCAAAGCATAGGAGGTGAATTGTTAAAGTATAAATGTAACGCGGAATGCCGTTGCTCATTAAAGTCATTCTCTCCAATTTGTGGAACAGATAATTTAACGTATGTTGACGCTTGTCATGCCGGTTGTAAAACAGTACTTCCAAACAAGGTAGGAAAAAAAAATACGAGTTTCATTTTTTATAATGACATAAAGAGTCAGGGAAGAACAGCAGTAAAAAATATCAGACTTTTTTATTTCAAGTTATAAAATACTTCGTTCCCTACTCCAGAGGTCGTTCTTTACCTGTTTTTATTCATAAGCGCTATATACGTTTGTCTATCTCCTCATAGGTGTTTGATGAGTTTTTGATTGCATCCATTTGTTAAGGTCGAGTCAATGCTCGACTTCTTTTGTACCATCGAGTAATTAAATTTGTTTGGTGGAAAAAAGCGTTAACGTAGTGTTCTTGCTACTAAATTAAGGTCATGATTGCACAAGTTTATTAAAAACTGTTTTTCAGATGTACGCTAACTGCTCATGTATAGCTGGCAAAGGAGAAGCAAAACCCGGATACTGTAATCGTAAATGTGAAAATATTCTTTTTTTTGTGTTTCTTTCGTTGATGGCAAGCGCTATACGTCTCGCTTCATTGGTCCCGACAAGAACAGTCACACTGAGGTCAGCTTTCAGCAACAGTTATCGGCATTTTAACGCCTTTTAGATTTAAGCTGGACGAATTCCTTACAGCAAAGATTAAGTTGAGATATTTGTCACGTTTTGCAGCTTGCCTAGATGATGCAATTTAGCATACCTTATCAAAAATTAACAAATATAAACATAAAAAGAATATAAGAGCAATTAAAGTTAACTCTCATCCTGATCTAATTCATAGATAACGATCATTTTGTTTTATTTTAAGATGTGTTCCAGACAACAAACGAGCATTTGCCACCGGTGTAAATTATATGGTATTTAAAACATTCGGACTGCTACCTTCCTCGGTCATACTTGGACATATTGTGGACAAGTCGTGTAATTTATGGCAGAATTTTTGCAATAAAAAAGGAAGATGTTTTGATTATGACATCCCGCATCTCAGTCTCAATATTAGTATTTTTGGAGTTGCTTTATCTGGTATGTCAATTGTACATGTCATGTCAGCAGTATATCTAGAAAAGACGTCAGAAGATTTTAATATTTTTTAGATGTATACAAAAACGTTTTCCAACCGACAGTTTGAGGGGGAGGGGGAATGATAAAACATTCTCTAAAAAACATCTTGTAAACTCAAGATTCGCGTTTGATTTGCAATAGACGAGATTTTAAAGCAATACTTTGATTTTATTTCAAAGTTATTGATAGACCATTATCGTTGCCGTTGGCTTGATGTCAGAACCTACATCATGGTCAGAGAAATAGCTTAAATCAAATTTAATAACATTTACAACAAATTTGATATGACGAAAATTTTAGCTTCGTGGACTTTTTGGGCTAGAAGTGACTCTGCACAGGATGTGACGCAAACGGCAACACATGCAACGAAAATATAGCTTTCGTCAAACTCAATAAACATGTTATTGCAAACTTCTTAAAAATCCGCACTAGAAGTTTAAGATGCCGCATAGGTGTATACATTACAAATGTTTTAAAGTCGATTTAGTTATACAAAGAAGTTATTGCACTGACCCTGATATGGTCACTTTAAATTTTGCCTCTTGCAAATATAATCTTGACTTTACAAGATGATGTTTTTTGGAGTATGTTTATCATTCGTTAGATGTTGACTACATCATTCATTTGGTGTTTTTTTGTTAAGCAACTTGTTTTTAAAATATTTTTAGTATTGACAGCATTCTTCTATTGGTTATCCTGGTATTTTTGTAAATCGTCGAAAACTGAAAACGTCTATTGTGAGGGTAATCAATGTACGCCAAGTGAAGAGGAAAAGAAAACAAAAGATCCTAGTTTCAAACACGAAAAAGCAGATATAAAAGAAGCAATGTCCAAAACAACGAAATTTTAAACTTGCATTTTTAGTTTGCATAATTTACGAAGCTTTTCAACTTATATATTTTCTTGCTGCACATTTTAAACTTAGTTTGAATGTTCGCACTCATTGTTGTTCGTATAGCGACATTAGTAACGCACTTTATTTTCTGTTTTCGATCATATTTTTCCTGAATTTCAAAGAAATTGTCAGACATATATTTATAAGCCACCACAAGTCAACAACTTCTTACCCTCAATCTTTCCCCATAGTTTTAGCTACCAACATGTTTTTTGTTGCACATATAATGATTTTTTTATCAAATCTTATTTTCAAAAAGATTTCTCATTGGCTGGTTTATTTCATTTCGAAGGCTTTTAGAGACTTGACATTTTAAAATTTCTCGTTATACTTTAACAGACTAAAGCCTCGGTCACACTGTTCGACGATAACGATAAACGATAAACTATAACGACAAACTGTAAGGAAATTCAATGGTCACATACTAACGATAAATCGTTATCGTTATCCCTGCAATGTGATCGCACATAAGAGTTTGAATAACGAGCGATTTTTTTGCATCGTTATCGGATCGTTATCGGGTGCAGTGTGACCGAGGCTTAATAATATCATATTTTGTAATATCTGAAAAACCCGATCTGATCTTCGACGTTTTCTGGCTCCCAAATTTTGAAAATTAGTTTTTGGTCATTGCTTTAACAATTTTCCAGGTGTTACATGGTGTGCTCTGATTAGAAATTCTTTCCAATTTTAAACATATTGTTATTGTCTCGCGTTTGTTATAGTGTTATTTGTGCGCGTTTATTAATTGTTCTCATTTGCTTAAATCATATTTTATCTGTGTAGTCGTGGTTTCATATTGAATAAAGGAAGAAATACACATCATTCGTTGTGCATAAAATTCTGGGAATTCTGGGTCATTGTGAAAGAATTAATTGAAAAATACCATTTCTAGCTAACTGGGGACTACTAAGAAACAAATGATATTAAAGATGATGTCAATGTCATTTGGAAAGGAGTCAATGGAGAGACTGCTTTGGATGGAGGCTCTGAACGTTTCTAGGTAAGTTTATAGATTAATCATTAATGACATTTTTTGCAAGTTGCATTGTATCTTGTCTACTGCAGTTGAAATGGATTGTGACTAATGGCTGAGGAATTTTATAAGAAGCAAAATAAGCAACCTCATCATCATTCAACAGTAACAAGAAACTTGTATTTATAAGTAAAACATGTCTTCAGGGATATTGGTGATTAAATGTTCCGCAAACCGAGTGAGGTTTAGTAAAAGTCTGAGGGCGCAGATTGAGGGAGGTTTAGTAAAAGGCCGAGTGCGCAGATAGAGGGAGGTTTAGTGAAAGTCTGAGGGCGCAGATTGAGGGAGGTTTAGTAAAAGTCTGAGGCGCAAACTGAGGGAGGTTTAGTAAAAGTCTAAGGGCGCAGATTGAGGTTTAGTAAAGTCTGAGGGCGCAGATTGAGGGAGGTTTAGTGAAAGTCCGAGTGCGCAGATTGAGGGAGGTTTAGTGAAAGTCCGAGTGCGCAGACTGAGGAGGTTTAGTAAAAGTCTGAGGGCGCAGATTGAGGGAGGTTTAGTGAAAGTCCGAGGGCGCAGATTGAGGGAGGCTTAGTGAAAGTCCGAGTCCGCAGACTGAGGGAGGTTTAGTAAAAGTCTGAGGGCGCAGATTGAGGGAGGTTTAGTGAAAGTCCGAGTGCGCAGACTGAGGGAGGTTTAGTAAAAGTCTGAGGGCGCAGATTGAGGGAGGTTTAGTGAAAGTTCGAGGACGCAGACTGAGGGAGGTTTAGTGAAAGTCCGAGTGCGCAGACTGAGGGAGGTTTAGTGAAAGTCCGAGTGCGCAGACTGAGGGAGGTTTTGTCAAAGTCCGAGTGCGCAGACTGAGGAAGGTTTAGTGAAAGTCTGAAGGCGCAGACTGGGAGGTTTAGTGAAAGTCCGAGGCGCAGACTGAGGGAGGTTTAGTGAAAGTCCGAGGGCGTAGCCTGAGTGAGGTGTAGTAAAAGTCCGAGGGCGCAGCTTGAGGGTATTGTGCTTTCAAAGGACTTGCCAAAGACATCATGCTATTAACCTTTTTCATTAAGCAGAATTGAAAATGATTCAGCCGTGGGAAAGTTAAGGTGCAAGCTGAAGCAATTTCTACATGACGAAAATAAAATTTTAAAACAATATAGGCGTAATGTTTTATTGATGATGGATATTTAGTCTAATCGTCCCTAATGAAGATATTGATGATGGATATTTAGTCTAATCGTCCCTAATGAAGATATTGATGATGGATATTTAGTCCAATCGTCCCTAATGAATATGTTGATGAGGGAAACACGTCACTAAACGTCCCTGTGATAACAAAAGATCCTGAAGCAACCATGTTATTACTCAATTTAACGCTCTTCGTGACCAAATTTGCCTTGTTGGTTGAATTGTGTTAAAATAAACTGATTACTACTTACGTGAACTTTAAGTGTTTATGATAAAGTGTTTGGGAACACATCAGGTTTTTACTCACAAAAATGGGATCATTTTTAACAAGCGTGTGTAGCAATTCAAAAATTATTTCTATGACAATTGAATTTGTTTAATAAACAATTCATAGAATTATCATACTCTTCTGATGGCATGCTGTCGAATATTACATTACACATCAAATATCACATTACGCGTCTGTTGTCTAAACAAGGCACTGCGTCGATAAGATATTTTTTCAGATCAATGTCCTATTGCCTCTTAAAGTGCTTGTGAAGCAAACTGGTGAGTACTTTGCATCTTATATTTAGTATGCCATTTTGGCGCCTTTTTAACATTTAGCTGTTGTTATAAAAATTGTCATATACAGCCATTTACTCGTGATGAATTACAAGGTAAGAAAAAAATCTGTTCCACTAAACTGAATGTTTTAATAAATCAAACTTAAACTAGGATCCCAATCTCGTTAATTTGCTTTTATTGTCAGATGATAGCTACGCATTCCAATTGTTTCTTCGTCTACCTTTTGCAATAGCGGGAAATTTTTATCTGTAATTCTGCGATGACTGATTCATCAGTAAATGATAGTTTTTGGCTAATTCAAATATGGATCACATTCTGCTGATATATTAGCTCACAACTGCAGTGTTTAAGGGTTGCCAAGTGCTAAATTATGTTGTTTTTTCTTGCTAAATCTATCTCAGTATGCGATAAAAAATGTAAAATCTCAACAATGCGTATAAAGATAAGAAAACCATAAAATTAACAATGAAAGGAGGTTATAGGTTGACGACGGTTTGATACATAAGAAAAATTTGCGCATTCCCTCACGTTTACTGCGCGCTTTACACTCTATTATACTCTGCTATACGCTGTTATCTTTTTATTGTGTTTGATTTGCCGTAACTTTCTATTTTTCATTCATTTTTACATTTAAGTAAAAACCTTGTTCACGAGAGTAGATTAAAAGCATGTTGACTTTCTACCAATTCCTTACATAAGATTCCACGATTTTTTGTTTGCCAAATATTGTAAAGAAGGAAATGTTGAAGAATGCTTTGCATTGCAATGTCATGAAGTAATTATAACGTTTTTTATAGACGGTCTACTGATCATTTGTCAAAATTTTAAACATATTTATAGTATGTCAACATGCGTAGCATACTTGAGTGGCGAGAGAATTACATTTCGCTTGTCTACAGCTCAGGAACAACCCACTTTATTTTGTATGATCACTTTGTTTACCCAGCAAACTTCCTTTTTTTTCTTCATGTACCCATACAATCGCTTGCATAATGTATTTGCTTCGCCATAATCACCACAGGGGTTTATACAGTTAATCATTATACTCAGCTGGTACAAAGAACATCTTTCATCATTTGCTTTATTGGAATGAAAATTTGTTAAAAATGAGGAACAAACAATTCTAAAATATGGTCATTCACCAAAGACTACTTTAGACATATCGTCATTTTTTCAATGTGAAGAGCGTTCTTCAATTTTTTTATGGGCAGACTTCCTGCATCTTATTCGATGCTTGTAGCTAAGCCTTTTCCACATGTTTTGCAAAATTTTTCGTTTTGATCATATTGTACATGATCAAATACACAAGTTCAAGGAATTACGAATTTTTATTTTATAATTTAAACCACAAAATGATATGACTTTTGATAATACAAGGTTGACGGCGAACCTTTCGCCTTTCACTATAGAAATAACGCCAGTGGAATTTCAGGCTGTTTTACATAAATGAAAAACGTGGCATAAATTGGCATTTCATGCGTGTTTTCATCATAGTTCAAACCGGAACTGATCTTTTTTCATGACATTCAGTTTTGTTTCAAAACATTTCGCAGAGATGCAATAAAGTAAGTCTGCATGCATCCATCAACGAGGTGTTTGGATTGAAATAATGTGAAATATGCAACAAAACAGAAAGTATAAAACAGTTTTGCAATGATTTCTTGCTAAAATATGGATAAAATGTTATATTTTATGAATGATTTTCAATTTTAAATCTGCGTGCATGTAAAGATGTTTTTACGACTATATACGTGATGTCAAATCTGTTTATTTAATGTCATTAATCTTAATCCTTTTATCACAGGGTTAATAGTTTAAAACACAAAATACATGGTGTAGTAAAGTGGACCAAAAACAAATACATATGGAAAAGAACAAGACTGTCGTTATTGTCAATGGGAGTAGTGCAAGTTCGTTGTCATCAAATGGATTTTCTACATCAGATGATAAAAGGACAACAAAAGAGACTTTCGCGTTTGGTTGGGGAAAGTTTCGACCAAAACGGCTGAATTTCTTGAACTCATCCGTCTGGTTTATTATTATCTTCGGCGTATATAGCACTTTTCAAGGTTTAGAATTATAAATAATATTTTTTTGTCAATTGATTTATGCTAACAAACATACAGCCCTCAGAACAGCACGTTTTCTATTATTTTGCGTAGCTATGTGGAGGTGCATCTTCCAATATTTTTTATTTTTCCCACAAATTTGACCATGATAATTATTGGTAAAATGGTTAAGATGGTAGATCATTTGAACAAGTTGTTGTCAATATATATGGATACATTTTCCACCAAAAAATACTATATTGGATTAATTTGCTGTGATCTAATCTTACTTTGTTTGTCAATAAGCAATTGATATTTTCTGTAGGTATTGCTGCCTGGGCTATGCCCAGCCTTGTGTTACCAAGCATTGAGCGACGATTTTCCTTCTCTAGTAAGGAATTGGGAATAATTTCAGCTGCTAATGATGCGAGTGCTTTGATAGTGATGATATTTATAAGTTTTTATGGCGATTATTGTAACAAGATAAGATGGATGGGTTATGGTGCGGTGGTTTCTGGTACGTCTTGAGCTTTTTTGAAAAGTTATTAGTAAACTCAAAGTTTTTATCTTCGTGCTTTGCAACAATTAAAAGCGTTAGTCACGGTTTTCGTGAACGAAAATGTACTCGTGTATGGATTTTATGTGGTTTTTTTCCCCTAAACGTTGTATAGAGTATATTTTGTAGATCGATAGTCAAACAATCATGAGAAGTATTTTTGAATAGTTTTTAAATTATTTTGCGTAGATTGATTTAGCTAAAAACTTTGACACAAATTATATTTCCCCGGCAACGAATGACTAAAAACGTTAATTTATGAACTCAGCTGGCCTGTCCTATAGCTATATGCACTGAATGAAGAACATAAATTATTTACAGAATTAGAATTTCATCATCTCATCAAGAAACTTTATCATCTTATGGCTGCTTTTGTTGATTTCATTCTCTGTTCTATTGAGCATTGCCATTTTCATACACCCTATACTATACTAACATGGCCGCTGATATATCACATGAAATCACTCAATTAAAACTTATTAAATTATTTTATTAGATGTTCGCACTTTATTTTATAAAAATATTTGTCTTATTTACATACCAGGTTTTGGTATCACGATGTTTGCATTGCCGCATTTCATGATCGGACAATATCGACCTGTCAGTTCATTCTCTGGTGGTTTATGTAACACTGGAAACCAAACAGTCGCACATTGTTTAACTGGAAATTATGGAGGAAACTGGTACTACCTAATTGTGTTTATCATTGCTATGTTGATCATGGGAGCTGGAAATGCTCCATTTTTTTCTTTATTCATTGTTTATCTTGATGAAAACATTAAATCAAAATCTTTCCCATGGTATCTTGGCATTTATAACGCAATACAATTCATTTCACCTGGAATTGGATATCTCATCGGGGGAAAGTTTCTCAGTATATATGTACACATATATCAGGTGAATGTCGTACTCTTACTTATTTGTACAGGTAACTGTTAACTCATATTTGAAATTTTCGTAATTGTAACTATATTGCTGATTGTGTAACAAACTCGATTATTGGGAGAGGGGGGGGACATATTCATATGTGCATCAGTGCATGCTCTGCCGTATTAAGTTCCTTTGAAACCATTGTTTTCTAAAGAGACATGCGTATATGAATTTGTGCCCCCCCCCATGTTGCTTAATGTGATCTTTGTTCATAGCCCGATGGATTTAAGATGACACCACGTGATCCGAGATGGATTGGAGCGTGGTGGTTAGGATTTCTTGTTTTTGGTGTACTCACTATGCTTTTATCCATACTTATGTTTGGTTTTCCACGTGAGTTGCCCGGAGCCAAAAAAAGAAAATTGGAAAACAAACGTGAAGGCTTTCTTAATGCAACAAAAAATATGAACATACCCAGCTTAAAGAGTCTTCCATCTGACTTAAAGGAGCTTTTAAAAAACCGTACGTTTGTTTTTAACACTCTTGGCATAACATGTTTTGCATTTTACACTGGTTCAATAATGGTTTTCATGTCGAAGTTTCTGCGAGTAAAATTTGGTTTGGATCCTGCAAAATCTGGATATTATCTTTCATTCGTGTCAATATCTTCAGCTCTGGGTTAGTTTTTCTTTAAACAACTTTTTTAATGGTATTTCAGTAATTTTACATTGTGCAAAGGAGTGCTCAAATCAACAATGACTCTATTTTTTTAACTTTTTTTTTGTTATAGTTGGTAACTTTGTTGGTTCTTATATTGTCAGAAAGTTTTCTCTCAAAACGTCGTGTAAAAACGCAGCTGCAACATGCTTGATTTTACACATTTTTGCGATTGGTGGAACACTGATATTCTTAATTCCGTCATGTCAAAATATTCCGTTTGTTGGCGTTTCTGTGGAACATAACAGGTGATGTGTGCTTGTCTTGTTTGACGTGGTGAGAGACGAAATCGAACGGCATCTGTTCTTCTAACAATTTACTTCTTTCATACAGTCAAAGCATAGGAGGTGAATTGTTAAAGTATAAATGTAACGCGGAATGCCGTTGCTCATTAAAGTCATTCTCTCCAATTTGTGGAACAGATAATTTAACGTATGTTGACGCTTGTCATGCCGGTTGTAAAACAGTACTTCCAAACAAGGTAGGAAAAAAAAATACGAGTTTCATTTTTTATAATGACATAAAGAGTCAGGGAAGAACAGCAGTAAAAAATATCAGACTTTTTTATTTCAAGTTATAAAATACTTCGTTCCCTACTCAGAGGTCGTTCTTTACCTGTTTTATTCATACTTAAGTTTGTCTATCTCCTTATAGGTGTTTGATGAGTTTTTGATTGCATCCATTTGTTAAGGTCGAGTCAATGCTCGACTTCTTTTGTACCATCGAGTAATTAAATTTGTTTGGTGGAAAAAAGCGTTAACGTAGTGTTCTTGCTACTAAATTAAGGTCATGATTGCACAAGTTTATTAAAAACTGTTTTTCAGATGTACGCTAACTGCTCATGTATAGCTGGCAAAGGAGAAGCAAAACCCGGATACTGTAATCGTAAATGTGAAAATATTCTTTTTTTTGTGTTTCTTTCGTTGATGGCAAGCGCTATACGTCTCGCTTCATTGGTCCCGACAAGAACAGTCACACTGAGGTCAGCTTTCAGCAACAGTTATCGGCATTTTAACGCCTTTTAGATTTAAGCTGGACGAATTCCTTACAGCAAAGATTAAGTTGAGATATTTGTCACGTTTTGCAGCTTGCCTAGATGATGCAATTTAGCATACCTTATCAAAAATTAACAAATATAAACATAAAAAGAATATAAGAGCAATTAAAGTTAACTCTCATCCTGATCTAATTCATAGATAACGATCATTTTGTTTTATTTTAAGATGTGTTCCAGACAACAAACGAGCATTTGCCACCGGTGTAAATTATATGGTATTTAAAACATTCGGACTGCTACCTTCCTCGGTCATACTTGGACATATTGTGGACAAGTCGTGTAATTTATGGCAGAATTTTGCAATAAAAGGAAGATGTTTTGATTATGACATCCCGCATCTCAGTCTCAATATTAGTATTTTTGGAGTTGCTTTATCTGGTATGTCAATTGTACATGTCATGTCAGCAGTATATCTAGAAAAGACGTCAGAAGATTTTAATATTTTTTAGATGTATACAAAAACGTTTTCCAACCGACAGTTTGAGGGGGAGGGGGAATGATAAAACATTCTCTAAAAAACATCTTGTAAACTCAAGATTCGCGTTTGATTTGCAATAGACGAGATTTTAAAGCAATACTTTGATTTTATTTCAAAGTTATTGATAGACCATTATCGTTGCCGTTGGCTTGATGTCAGAACCTACATCATGGTCAGAGAAATAGCTTAAATCAAATTTAATAACATTTACAACAAATTTGATATGACGAAAATTTTAGCTTCGTGGACTTTTTGGGCTAGAAGTGACTCTGCACAGGATGTGACGCAAACGGCAACACATGCAACGAAAATATAGCTTTCGTCAAACTCAATAAACATGTTATTGCAAACTTCTTAAAAATCCGCACTAGAAGTTTAAGATGCCGCATAGGTGTATACATTACAAATGTTTTAAAGTCGATTTAGTTATACAAAGAAGTTATTGCACTGACCCTGATATGGTCACTTTAAATTTTGCCTCTTGCAAATATAATCTTGACTTTACAAGATGATGTTTTTTGGAGTATGTTTATCATTCGTTAGATGTTGACTACATCATTCATTTGGTGTTTTTTTGTTAAGCAACTTGTTTTTAAAATATTTTTAGTATTGACAGCATTCTTCTATTGGTTATCCTGGTATTTTTGTAAATCGTCGAAAACTGAAAACGTCTATTGTGAGGGTAATCAATGTACGCCAAGTGAAGAGGAAAAGAAAACAAAAGATCCTAGTTTCAAACACGAAAAAGCAGATATAAAAGAAGCAATGTCCAAAACAACGAAATTTTAAACTTGCATTTTTAGTTTGCATAATTTACGAAGCTTTTCAACTTATATATTTTCTTGCTGCACATTTTAAACTTAGTTTGAATGTTCGCACTCATTGTTGTTCGTATAGCGACATTAGTAACGCACTTTATTTTCTGTTTTCGATCATATTTTTCCTGAATTTCAAAGAAATTGTCAGACATATATTTATAAGCCACCACAAGTCAACAACTTCTTACCCTCAATCTTTCCCCATAGTTTTAGCTACCAACATGTTTTTTGTTGCACATATAATGATTTTTTTATCAAATCTTATTTTCAAAAAGGTTTCTCATTGGCTTGTTTATTTCATTTCGAAGGCTTTTAGAGACTTGACATTTTAAAATTTCTCGTTATACTTTAACAGACTAAAGCCTCGGTCACACTGTTCGACGATAATGATAACGATAAACTATAACGATTAACTATAAGGAAATTCAATGGTCACATACTAACGATAAATCGTTATCATTATCGCTGCAATGTGATCGCACACAAGAGTTTGAATAACGAGCGATTTTTTTGCATCGTTATCGGATCGTTATCGGATCGTTATCGGGTGCAGTGTGACCGAGGCTTAATAATATCATATTTTGTAATATCTGAAAAACCCGATCTGATCTTCGACGTTTTCTGGCTCCCTAATTTTGAAAATTAGTTTTTGGTCATTGCTTTAACAATATTCCAGGTGTTGCATGGTGTGTTCTGATTAGAAATGCTTTCCAATTTTAAACATATTGTTATTGTCTCGCGTTTGTTATAGTGTTATTTGTGCGCGTTTATTAATTGTTCTCATTTGCTTAAATCATATTTTATCTGTGTAGTCGTGGTTTCATATTGAATAAAGGAAGAAATACACATCATTCGTTGTGCATAAAATTCTGGGAATTCTGGGTCATTGTGAAAGAATTAATTGAAAAATACCATTTCTAGCTAACTGGGGACTACTAAGAAACAAATGATATTAAAGATGATGTCAATGTCATTTGGAAAGGAGTCAATGGAGAGACTGCTTTGGATGGAGGCTCTGAACGTTTCTAGGTAAGTTTATAGATTAATCATTAATGACATTTTTTGCAAGTTGCATTGTATCTTGTCTACTGCAGTTGAAATGGATTGTGACTAATGGCTGAGGAATTTTATAAGAAGCAAAAATAAGCAACCTCATCATCATTCAACAGTAACAAGAAACTTGTATTTATAAGTAAAACATGTCTTCAGGGATATTGGTGATTAAATGTTCCGCAAACCGAGTGAGGTTTAGTAAAAGTCTGAGGGCGCAGATTGAGGGAGGTTTAGTAAAAGGCCGAGTGCGCAGATAGATGGAGGTTTAGTGAAAGTCTGAGGGCGCAGACTGAGGGAGGTTTAGTAAAAGTCTGAGGGCGCAGATTGAGGGAGGTTTAGTGAAAGTCCGAGGGCGCAGATTGAGGGAGGCTTAGTGAAAGTCCGAGTGCGCAGACTAAGGGAGGTTTAGTAAAAGTCTGAGGGCGCAGATTGAGGGAGGTTTAGTGAAAGTCCGAGTGCGCAGACTGAGGGAGGTTTAGTAAAGTCTGAGGGCGCAGATTGAGGGAGGTTTAGTGAAAGTCCGAGTGCAGACTGAGGGAGGCTTAGTAAAAGTCTGAGGGCGCAGATTGAGGGAGGTTTAGTGAAAGTTCGAGGACGCAGACTGAGGGAGGTTTAGTGAAAGTCCGAGTGCGCAGACTGAGGGAGGTTTAGTGAAAGTCCGAGTGCGCAGACTGAGGGAGGTTTTGTCAAAGTCCGAGTGCGCAGACTGAGGAAGGTTTAGTGAAAGTCTGAAGGCGCAGACTGGGGAGGTTTAGTGAAAGTCCGAGGCGCAGACTGAGGGAGGTTTAGTGAAAGTCCGAGGGCGTAGCCTGAGTGAGGTGTAGTAAAAGTCCGAGGGCGCAGCTTGAGGGTATTGTGCTTTCAAAGGACTTGCAAAGACATCATGCTATTAACCTTTTTCATTAAGCAGAATTGAAAATGATTCAGCCGTGGGAAAGTTAAGGTGCAAGCTGAAGCAATTTCTACATGACGAAAATAAAATTTTAAAACAATATAGGCGTAATGTTTTATGGATGATGGATATTTAGTCTAATCGTCCCTAATGAAGATATTGATGATGGATATTTAGTCTAATCGTCCCTAATGAAGATATTGATGATGGATATTTAGTCAATCGTCCCTAATGAATATGTTGATGAGGGAAACACGTCACTAAACGTCCCTGTGATAACAAAAGATCCTGAAGCAACCATGTTATTACTCAATTTAACGCTCTTCGTGACCAAATTTGCCTTGTTGGTTGAATTGTGTTAAAATAAACTGATTACTACTTACGTGAACTTTAAGTGTTTATGATAAAGTGTTTGGGAACACATCAGGTTTTACTCACAAAATGGGATCATTTTAACAAGCGTGTGTAGCAATTCAAAAATTATTTCTATGACAATTGAATTTGTTTAATAAACAATTCATAGAATTATCATACTCTTCTGATGGCATGCTGTCGAATATTACATTACACATCAAATATCACATTACGCGTCTGTTGTCTAAACAAGGCACTGCGTCGATAAGATATTTTTTCAGATCAATGTCCTATTGCCTCTTAAAGTGCTTGTGAAGCTAACTGGTGAGTACTTTGCATCTTATATTTAGTATGCCATTTTGGCGCCTTTTTAACATTTAGCTGTTGTTATAAAAATTGTCATATACAGCCATTTACTCGTGATGAATTACAAGGTAAGAAAAAAATCTGTTCCACTAAACTGAATGTTATAATAAGTCAAACTTAAACTAGGATCCCAATCTCGTTAATTTGCTTTTTTTTTCAGATGATAGCTACGCATTCCTATTATTTCTTCGTCTACCTTTTGCAATAGCGGGAAATTTTTATCTGTAATTCTGCGATGACTGATTCATCAATAAATGATAGTTTTTGGCTACTTCAAATATGGATCACATTCTGCTGATATATTAGCTCACAACTGCAGTGTTTAAGGGTTGCCAAGTGCTAAATTATGTTGTTTTTTCTTGCTAAATCTCTCAGTATGCGATAAAAATGTAAAATCTCAACAATGCGTATAAAGATAAGAAAACCATAAAATTAACAATGAAAGGAGGTTATAGGTTGACGACGGTTTGATACATAAGAAAAATTTGCGCATTCCCTCACGTTTACTGCGCGCTTTACACTCTATTATACTCTGCTATACGCTGTTATCTTTTTATTGTGTTTGATTTGCCGTAACTTTCTATTTTCATTCATTTTACATTTAAGTAAAAACCTTGTTCACGAGAGTAGATTAAAAGCATGTTGACTTTCTACCAATTCCTTACATAAGATTCCACGATTTTTTGTTTGCCAAATATTGTAAAGAAGGAAATGTTGAAGAATGCTTTGCATTGCAATGTCATGAAGTAATTATAACGTTTTTTATAGACGGTCTACTGATCATTTGTCAAAATTTTAAACATATTTATAGTATGTCAACATGCGTAGCATACTTGAGTGGCGAGAGAATTACATTTCGCTTGTCTACAGCTCAGGAACAACCCACTTTATTTTGTATGATCACTTTGTTTACCCAGCAAACTTCCTTTTTTTTTTCTTCATGTACCCATACAATCGCTTGCATAATGTATTTGCTTCGCCATAATCACCACAGGGGTTTATACAGTTAATCATTATACTCAGCTGGTACAAAGAACATCTTTCATCATTTGCTTTATTGGAATGAAAATTTGTTAAAAATGAGGAACAAACAATTCTAAAATATGGTCATTCACCAAAGACTACTTTAGACATATCGTCATTTTTTCAATGTGAAGAGCGTTCTTCAATTTTTTTATGGGCAGACTTCCTGCATCTTATTCGATGCTTGTAGCTAAGCCTTTTCCACATGTTTTGCAAAATTTTTCGTTTTGATCATATTGTACATGATCAAATACACAAGTTCAAGGAATTACGAATTTTTATTTTATAATTTAAACCACAAAAATGATATGACTTTTGATAATACAAGGTTGACGGCGAACCTTTCGCCTTTCACTATAGAAATAACGCCAGTGGAATTTCAGGCTGTTTTACATAAATGAAAAACGTGGCATAAATTGGCATTTCATGCGTGTTTTCATCATAGTTCAAACCGGAACTGATCTTTTTTCATGACATTCAGTTTTGTTTCAAAACATTTCGCAGAGATGCAATAAAGTAAGTCTGCATGCATCCATCAACGAGGTGTTTGGATTGAAATAATGTGAAATATGCAACAAAACAGAAAGTATAAAACAGTTTTGCAATGATTTCTTGCTAAAATATGGATAAAATGTTATATTTTATGAATGATTTTCAATTTTAAATCTGCGTGCATGTAAAGATGTTTTACGACTATATACGTGATGTCAAATCTGTTTATTTAATGTCATTAATCTTAATCCTTTTATCACAGGGTTAATAGTTTAAAACACAAAATACATGGTGTAGTAAAGTGGACCAAAAACAAATACATATGGAAAAGAACAAGACTGTCGTTATTGTCAATGGGAGTAGTGCAAGTTCGTTGTCATCAAATGGATTTTCTACATCAGATGATAAAAGGACAACAAAAGAGACTTTCGCGTTTGGTTGGGGAAAGTTTCGACCAAAACGGCTGAATTTCTTGAACTCATCCGTCTGGTTTATTATTATCTTCGGCGTATATAGCACTTTTCAAGGTTTAGAATTATAAATAATATTTTTTTGTCAATTGATTTATGCTAACAAACATACAGCCCTCAGAACAGCACGTTTTCTCTATTATTTTTGCGTAGCTATGTGGAGGTGCATCTTCCAATATTTTTTTATTTTTTCCCACAAATTTGACCATGATAATTATTGGTAAAATGGTTAAGATGGTAGATCATTTGAACAAGTTGTTGTCAATATATATGGATACATTTTCCACCAAAAAATACTATATTGGATTAATTTGCTGTGATCTAATCTTACTTTGTTTGTCAATAAGCAATTGATATTTTCTGTAGGTATTGCTGCCTGGGCTATGCCTAGCCTTGTGTTACCAAGCATTGAACGACGATTTTCCTTCTCTAGTAAGGAATTGGGAATAATTTCAGCTGCTAATGATGCGAGTGCTTTGATAGTGATGATATTTATAAGTTTTTATGGCGATTATTGTAACAAGATAAGATGGATGGGTTATGGTGCTGTGGTTTCTGGTACGTCTTGAGCTTTTTTGAAAAGTTATTAGTAAACTCAAAGTTTTTATCTTCGTGCTTTGCAACAATTAAAAGCGTTAGTCACGGTTTTCGTGAACGAAAATGTACTCGTGTATGGATTTTATGTGGTTTTTTTCCCCTAAACGTTGTATAGAGTATATTTTGTAGATCGATAGTCAAACAATCATGAGAAGTATTTTTGAATAGTTTTTAAATTATTTTGCGTAGATTGATTTAGCTAAAAACTTTGACACAAATTATATTTCCCCGGTGCAACGAATGACTAAAAAAACGTTAATTTATGAACTCAGCTGGCCTGTCCTATAGCTATATGCACTGAATGAAGAACATAAATTATTTACAGAATTAGAATTTCATCATCTCATAAAGAAACTTTATCATCTTATGGCTGCTTTTTGTTGATTTCATTCTCTGTTCTATTGAGCATTGCCATTTTCATACACCCTATACTATACTAACATGGCCGCTGATATATCACATGAAATCACTCAATTAAAACTTATTAAATTATTTTATTAGATGTTCGCACTTTATTTTATAAAAATATTTGTCTTATTTACATACCAGGTTTTGGTATCACGATGTTTGCATTGCCGCATTTCATGATCGGACAATATCGACCTGTCAGTTCATTCTCTGGTGGTTTATGTAACACTGGAAACCAAACAGTCGCACATTGTTTAACTGGAAATTATGGAGGAAACTGGTACTACCTAATTGTGTTTATCATTGCTATGTTGATCATGGGAGCTGGAAATGCTCCATTTTTTTCTTTATTCATTGTTTATCTTGATGAAAACATTAAATCAAAATCTTTCCCATGGTATCTTGGCATTTATAACGCAATACAATTCATTTCACCTGGAATTGGATATCTCATCGGGGGAAAGTTTCTCAGTATATATGTACACATATATCAGGTGAATGTCGTACTCTTACTTATTTGTACAGGTAACTGTTAACTCATATTTGAAATTTTCGTAATTGTAACTATATTGCTGATTGTGTAACAAACTCGATGATTGGAGAGGGGGACATATTCATATGTGCATCAGTGCATGCTCTGCCGTATTAAGTTCCTTTGAAACCATTGTTTTCTAAAGAGACATGCGTATATGAATTTGTGCCCCCATGTTGCTTAATGTGATCTTTGTTCATAGCCCGATGGATTTAAGATGACACCACGTGATCCGAGATGGATTGGAGCGTGGTGGTTAGGATTTCTTGTTTTTGGTGTACTCACTATGCTTTTATCCATACTTATGTTTGGTTTTCCACGTGAGTTGCCCGGAGCCAAAAAAAGAAGATTGGAAAACAAACGTGAAGGCTTTCTTAATGCAACAAAAAATATGAACATACCCAGCTTAAAGAGTCTTCCATCTGACTTAAAGGAGCTTTTAAAAAACCGTACGTTTGTTTTTAACACTCTTGGCATAACATGTTTTGCATTTTACACTGGTTCAATAATGGTTTTCATGTCGAAGTTTCTGCGAGTAAAATTTGGTTTGGATCCTGCAAAATCTGGATATTATCTTTCATTCGTGTCAATATCTTCAGCTCTGGGTTAGTTTTTCTTTAAACAACTTTTTTAATGGTATTTCAGTAATTTTACATTGTACAAAGGAGTGTTCAAATCAACAATGACTCTATTTTTTTAACTTTTTTTTGTTGTAGTTGGTAACTTTGTTGGTTCTTATATTGTCAGAAAGTTTTCTCTCAAAACGTCGTGTAAAAACGCAGCTGCAACATGCTTGATTTTACACATTTTTGCGATTGGTGGAACACTGATATTCTTAATTCCGTCATGTCAAAATATTCCGTTTGTTGGCGTTTCTGTGGAACATAACAGGTGATGTGTGCTTGTCTTGTTTGACGTGGTGAGAGACGAAATCGAACGACATCTGTTCTTCTAACAATTTACTTCTTTCATACAGTCAAAGCATAGGAGGTGAATTGTTAAAGTATAAATGTAACGCGGAATGCCGTTGCTCATTAAAGTCATTCTCTCCAATTTGTGGAACAGATAATTTAACGTATGTTGACGCTTGTCATGCCGGTTGTAAAACAGTACTTCCAAACAAGGTAGGAAAAAAAATACGAGTTTCATTTTTTATAATGACATAAAGAGTCAGGGAAGAACAGCAGTAAAAAATATCAGACTTTTTTATTTCAAGTTATAAAATACTTCGTTCCCTACTCCAGAGGTCGTTCTTTACCTATTTTTATTCATACTTAAGTTTGTCTATCTCCTCATAGGTGTTTGATGAGTTTTTGATTGCATCCATTTGTTAAGGTCGAGTCAATGCTCGACTTCTTTTGTACCATCGAGTAATTAAATTTGTTTGGTGGAAAAAAGCGTTAACGTAGTGTTCTTGCTACTAAATTAAGGTCATGATTGCACAAGTTTATTAAAAACTGTTTTTCAGATGTACGCTAACTGCTCATGTATAGCTGGCAAAGGAGAAGCAAAACCCGGATACTGTAATCGTAAATGTGAAAATATTCTTTTTTTTGTGTTTCTTTCGTTGATGGCAAGCGCTATACGTCTCGCTTCATTGGTCCCGACAAGAACAGTCACACTGAGGTCAGCTTTCAGCAACAGTTATCGGCATTTTAATGCCTTTTAGATTTAAGCTGGACGAATTCCTTACAGCAAAGATTAAGTTGAGATGTTTGTCACTTTTGCAGCTTGCCTAGATGATGCAATTTAGCATACCTTATCAAAAATTAACAAATATAAACATAAAAAGAATATAAGAGCAATAAAAGTTAACTCTCATCCTGATCTAATTCATAGATAACGATCATTTTGTTTTATTTTAAGATGTGTTCCAGACAACAAACGAGCATTTGCCACCGGTGTAAATTATATGGTATTTAAAACATTCGGACTGCTACCTTCCTCGGTCATACTTGGACATATTGTGGACAAGTCGTGTAATTTATGGCAGAATTTTTGCAATAAAAAAGGAAGATGTTTTGATTACGACATCCCGCATCTCAGTGTCAATATTAGTATTTTTGGAGTTGCTTTATCTGGTATGTCAATTGTACATGTGATGTCAGCAGTATATCTAGAAAAGACGTCAGAAGATTTTAATATTTTTTAGATGTATACAAAAACGTTTTCCAACCGACAGTTTGAGGGGGAGGGGGAATGATAAAACATTCTCTAAAAAACATCTTGTAAACTCAAGATTCGCGTTTGATTTGCAATAGACGAGATTTTAAAGCAATACTTTGATTTTATTTCAAAGTCATTGATAGACCATTATCATTGCCGTTGGCTTGATGTCAGAACCTATATCATGGTCAGAGAAATAGCTTAAATCAAATTTAATAACATTTACAACAAATTTGATATGACGAAAATTTTAGCTTCGTGGACTTTTTGGGCTAGAAGTGACTCTGCACAGGATGTGACGCAAACGGCAACACATGCATCGAAAATATAGCTTTCGTCAAACTCAATAAACATGTTATTGCAAACTTCTTAAAAATCCGCACTAGAAGTTTAAGATGCCGCATAGGTGTATACATTACAAATGTTTTAAAGTCGATTTAGTTATACAAAGAAGTTATTGCACTGACCCTGATATGGTCACTTTAAATTTTGCCTCTTGCAAATATAATCTTGACTTTACAAGTTGATGTTTTTTGGAGTATGTTTATTATTCGTTAGATGTTGACTACATCATTCATTTGGTGTTTTTTTGTTAAGCAACTTGTTTTTAAAATATTTTTAGTATTGACAGCATTCTTCTATTGGTTATCCTGGTATTTTTGTAAATCGTCGAAAACTGAAAACGTCTATTGTGAGGATAATCAATGTACGCCAAGTGAAGAGGAAAAGAAAACAAAAGATCCTAGTTTCAAACACGAAAAAGCAGATATAAAAGAAGCAATGTCCAAAACAACGAAATTTTAAACTTGCATTTTTAGTTTGCATAATTTACGAAGCTTTTCAACTTATATATTTTCTTGCTGCACATTTTAAACTTAGTTTGAATGTTCGCACTCATTGTTGTTCGTATAGCGACATTAGTAACGCACTTTATTTTCTGTTTCTCACATAAATTACATTGATATAGATAAAATTAAGCATTACTTGCATAAATTATATATTACATTTGATTAACAGGCTCGATGTCAAGCAGCTTCATTGCATTTTGCATAACCTAAAAAATGAAACTGCAAATCAATGATGAAGAAATATATCGAGCTTTTAATGTTAATATTGTACCTGTAATAGAACCTTAACAAGATAAATTCTCGCAAACATGATTGAAAACAAATGTTTCTTTGGCTCCTATATAATCCCAGAGCAAAATATAAATTAGTCCTGTTGGAAATGTTCTGTATACTTCGTCATATAAAGTTTCTAAACAAAAACACGACACAAATTCTCGATTATTCAATCAAACTACGTTTATTGGATGAAGTTTTTAAAATGCCAAATACCACTAAAATATGAATTCGATTGTAGAATAAACTGATATCTTGACTAAATGCAACAAGAAACTGGGTAATCTATAAAATAAAGTCGAGTCTGATCATATTGACAATAACATTTAATATTGATTTATAAGGTGGAAACACTACGTTGCAAAAAGAGCACTGCAAGAAAAAAGCATCAAAACCTGCCTTATTTGATTTGAAAAACATCAGTGTTGATGAATTATGAATGCATTTGTTAAAACTTCTCAGAATAATCGGATATTCCGCCACGTATTTAAAGATTAGGTGCCACTCAATCTGAAAACAGCCCATGAAATGTTTTAATATTGTAACACGAAGAATAATGATAAAAAAAATGATAAGATTAGGTTCTTGTTTTCACAGAAAATTGATAACAAGACCATTCAGCCTTGAAAATGCTTCATATGATGCCAAAAGCAAATTCAGTATTTTAATTGTGTTGCTTTATGTAATAGCAAGCTCTCTTAAAATAGTCCTATCAAACGTTATAATCTAACACATACTTCGTCTTTCAGCAAAGAAAAATCCACATCATTAATTTCAGGTAAAACAGGATATATACCTAAAACGTTGACATTTTTTCAAGAAAGTGAAGTCATTGTTCTGATATTACTTAGCGAAACATGTAATCATGCACCTTCTTCAACTTTCTTTTCATATTTCTCTAAATCTTTGAAAGTCTTGCACAGTTATACAAGACAAACAATACTTCCCTACAATTAAGAGGCAGCTCTTCATTGTCCGTAACATCAAGTTTCACCTTAAAATATTAAAAATTTAAATTGCTACAAAAAACATTTTTCTATGCTATGGCATAAAATAGCATAGCTTAATTCCTGTATGTATATAATTGTTATAAGTATTTCCTAACCTGTGAGCTCAGCGAAACCCGAAGAACCTCTAGTTTTATTATAGAAATGGCCATTTTTGTAATTATTTTCTCCCAAGATTTGTCTACAGAAATATTCATATTCTAACGTTTGTAACAACAGTAATTTTGAATAAAAAAATTGCTACTGCCATTTTTATTTTTGCAATTATGAAATGTCGAAGCTTTTAGTACACAAGTGATGGAGCAATAGCCTCATTTTCTCAAGTATAACTTATAAAGCATGCAAAAGAACTGTTTTTGAAACAGTTCGGGATTTTAAGACCAATTTAAACATCCGAAATTGTCAACAACCAATTTACTACAGAACCATAAATAATAAACCAATTCTTCACATTTAAGGTGGGGGCGTTTACGATGATTTAGCGGCTGATTACATGAGCCCGGGTAGCCGGGATTTAGCCAAGCGATAGATGTGTTTCACAAAGTTTTCCATAAACTTATTCAGTAGTTACCATGAACACAAGATCCGTACTTCAAAAAATAAGAATGTTTCACTTGCTTCGTTCTAATTCTGGTAAAGTACAAGGTATGTCACAAATATGATTAAATATCAAATTATATTTGGTCCACTACTTGTTCTAATAATATTCTCAACAGTTTCGAAATTTTACAATTACAACATTTCAAAGTGTAAGATGATTTTCATTTACCTTAACAGTTCATTTACAGGAATATTTGACTGACATCGTACGCTTCCGTGACGTAAAATTCTCTATATTTGGATAATAAATTGAACTCAGAAGTAAATCTGTACAAGAAGAGTTTGAGAAGCATTTGAACGATAGAGATTACTGGGAAAGTCTGACTGTACTAAATGGTATATTTGGTAGTAATTTTTTTAAGAATGTCGAGAAATTGAATCTCTTCAAAAACTTTTGTTTGAACATCACTTAATTTGCTTGTGAAACGATACTAAGCAACGGTTGGCAGTTGATTTTCTTTTCCAAGTCTTTAAGATTGATACAACGAAATTATATTCTATACCTGATGAACTTGGCAAACGTTTTCTGATGACGTGAATAAACCCCAGGCTAGCGCAACCTTTTGGCAATGGATTAATTTCTCCTGGCCACAAACATGAATTATCTACAGATTTAATAGCAAATTAAACTTGTGGATAGAAAGTAGAGCAACGTTAAAAAATACGGACTTTATTCACGTATTCATCTTTGCTAATTTTTTGTGTTGAAGATTCCAGGAAATTCACATCATCCAAGATAGAAGACACTAGATAACAGCAACAAACAAAGCCTATATATATATGTATGTTTCTATTTGTTATTCATGCCATTAATTTGGCCTCGTATGAATTCGTTCTTCCATACCGTGAATATCTTTTATATTCTTCTGAACAGACCAAAACATTTCTAATAAATTACCTATATAATTGTTTGATCAATTTATAAATTTCCTACTAAAACGAGTTGAAGCTGAACAATTTCACATTACACATTCTACCTTTAAATATTTCTACTTTGTTTCGCATTAACTTGGTATTAAGACATAAATTTTTCAAGGATGAAGCTGTATTTAACTTTACACAGCAAGGATCACAAGGAACAATATCCTCTTCAACAGATTGATTGTTCGATACACTTGATGTCACAAAAGGAGACTTTAAAATATTTTGCCAAAGACCATTCTCTAGGGCTGTTGATGTTAAAGAATTAACTTTCCTACAGCCTAAGTTTGTTAATATTGAAAAATCTAAACATATTTCTTTGTCATGATCTGAATCGTCATCCATATTATGATTCTCATGTCCCAAGAAATAGATATTCACCCTGCAAATTGAATAATAAAAGTGATGGCATATAGTAGCTTGGACTACATTAATATTAAATTGTTCTCACCCATTTTGCTTAAATATTTTTTGCATGTGTTTACACAAGAGCATACTGCGTAAGTGTGTCATGGATGATGTGTCATCAGTAAAAGATGAGTATATCCGATAATTTTCTGTTGACATCTTCGTTTTGCCATAGTTTTCCCTTTCTTTCATCACCAGTTTAATTATATCTTTCATGAATGTCACTCGATTTAAAGCTATTAAAATATTCTGAAACTGGTCTATGTGACTACTCGATAAATATCTTCTTAACGACAAGCTTTCACACATCTTTGCATGAAGCATTTTGACTTCCTATGAGAAAATTTTCATTATTTTCCAGCCATCGCGTTAGATGATGGCCATGATTTTCTTCTCTATCCATTCAAATTATCAATAACGTTATATTTTATATAAGGCAAACGTACCTCCAGCTCATTGCTATAGACATTGACCGACATCAAATCCCATTTCTCATTTGATCTTGAACTACAATGTTTGAAAAACAATGGAGTCTTTCTGTATAAATTTCCATCAGTTGAGGAAACCATGACACGGATGTTATAATCAAAATATTCAAAATAAGAATGAAAATCACTCATATCAATACTTTGACTAGAAGCTGTTGCTGTTGACAAGTCCGCCATCTTGAATTTGATTGCCATAATCAGGCCACAATTGTAATCGTATTGGATTGGATTTCAGCTTGCTTGTCTTCTGTTTCCATTGTTTCCAAATAAAAATTTATAATATCTATCAAGCATTAAATAAAGAAATTTTACAGAGACACATTTTAATACTCTAAATTTTTTCTCAATGAGTTTAATTGGCTTCCTTGATAATTGTTTTACTTCTGTCGCACCACATGAAACCAGTGTCACAACCCATTAATCTGCAACTCAATCGCTGATTCGCAGCTATTCCTCCTAATTGTCTGCTTTCAAGTATGCCATGTGAACGGTCGAATTAAAATGATTTTTATTTTTATTTTTAATTTTCCAATTGACAATGATCCGCTGTTCCTGACCATAACCAATGATAAGCAGTCATTATTATTGTTAACTGGCAAAAGTGGGAAAAGAGAATGATGTAGTCGAAACAATTAAATGAAAGACTACTTTTTGTTTGAATTCTCAATTGCTCCTTGAGGGGAAAAGGTGGACGAATTCCTTCGAGGGTCGACGTAGCTAGGTAAACAAACTAGGAGCCTAGGACTCATAATTTACGGCATTTTTTTTATAACTTTCTAACGACATAAAACTTATCGTCTAATCAATTAATATGAGATTGGCAGGAAGAAATCATGTAAAGTGTGAAGATAGTAACGGGAAGTGAAAGTCTTCTGCATAATTAAGACATTAGCATAAATTCAATGCGACAACGTCAACGTATTGTTTCCTTAAAACTTTGCAGATTACTTTCGTATTGTTGTATTCTCAAAATAATGGATGTCCATTATTTTAAATAGTCGTCACATGTCATTAAATTCATTTTAACTTAATGCTGTGTCGCACAAATAGCTTCACACCAAGAGAAATCTACATTTATAGCAACACAGGAAACTGTGACTCGTACAAAAACATTTCATCAGGAGAACTGAAAAGAGGAGTGATAAAATGGGCACATTTTTACATCAAAAGTGTTTCGTCAAGTGCATCACTGGAAGGTATGAGTATTATAGCATCAAAATATACCATTTAACTCTGACTCAATAAGTTATGAAATAAACTCGACATAACTGCATGGCTAGCGTATTTTCTAAAATGCACTGTAAGAATACGAGATTGTTGCTATGAATTATAAGGAAGATTTTAAATTTGTAGGTCGTAGCCGCTACGTTTTCTACTTTCAGTCCTGGACTAGTTAGAATACTTTAGAAGGAAACTGAACGATTATTAACATTAAGGTATTCATCAATATGGCTCGTATGTCTGTTTTGATTACTGAAGACAGTGTCACAGCGTGAAGGTTTGAAAATCAAAATTGATTTGTTCATTAGATAGAAAAAGTGCTAGTTTTCATTTAAAATACGCCACCAACTAAATTATGTTTTGCAGCGTATGCTACGTAAGGCAAAAATTGTTCTGTTAATGCATCGAATAACCATCTTGATCTAGTCATGGTAATCATCCATGAATAGTTCTTGAGATTACTTTACAATCAAAAATATTATTTATTCTTATTTGAGTATCTTACCATGCTCAAAAATCACTCTTCTCGTGATCTAGGCATTTACAAATTAAAACTTACAAAAACGTTTTAAAAGTTAACCTTACAAAAGATCGCAGGGAAGGAGTCAGGAAGCATTTTATCCATGAGCAGCCTAACTAAAAGGGATCCGTCCCCATTTGAGAGAAAACGTGAAATTAATGTACTTGTATTGTTATTTCGACTTTCAAGACCTGTTGATATCATTTGCCATTAAAAGCTATACATCAAACTCTACATCTTGTTGAAGTGTATATCATCCCATGCATGCAGTTGCAAATCTTTATAATCGTAACGCCCAAGGAAAAATTGCTTCGGTCTCAACAGTTTCTCTCTCAACGGCTGCTCTGACATTAAATCACACCATTCTTTATGCGATTAGGTCGGTAATACTAAATTACTAATGGCGTGATTTTAATACTGATGTAACTGTAAGTTGAGGTTTTCCTGTTTTGAATGCTTTGACAATTGACTGAACGTAATCAGTAGTTTGATAGATTAGCGTTTCATCTGACTATCTGAAATGTAGCTATATATCACAATCAGAAGTTATAAAATAATCCTCAGACATTAGCGTTTTCGCGCTGAGTCAATAAGATCAAGTTACATCCATTGGTCAACTTGAAAAATTAAAAGTTTTTTAATTAAAAAACTCGATGAAGTTGCATATATAGTTGGCGATTTGGAAGGACAGACGTTGTTATTTCAAACGCTAATACAATTGCTGAATAAATGTTGCTACGTTGATTTTGAAAACACCAATGACAACAAAACTGGAGCAAAATATTCTAGAAAACATTCATAATTGAGTAACTAGTTGCAATCAGTGAAGTATTCAAAAACAGGCATTCCAAAAATTCGTTAAATATTCAAAATAAGTATTTCGATTTCTATTTGTAGTGTTGTTTTGGCTATGCAAATTGTTTAATTAAGGTAACTTTAACTATCTGAACATTCTGAGTGTACTGGGTTACTTCAATTAAGTTATCACAGCAGGTGATTCACAAAATCTTTGGACGGCTATACGTTTTTATCTTGATGTATGATTTGTTTAGTCAAACACCACGTGCTAATCATTGTGGTGCTAATAAAAACTTGACAGACCGATAAATATTTCGTCGATCTGTGAAATGATACAAAAAATAGAACAAAAATATAATGGACGAATCAGCATAAAGGTCTATTGTACTTTCATCAAAGCATTCTCACCTCAAGGGGGAAAGCACTTAACAACTACCCATACTTAATGTGTTAAAGGTCAAGAATTTATAAGGTTTGAATCAATCAAATATGCTATAAAAATAAAACATATTTATATTCTGCGTCTAAAATATGGAGTTTAATTGATGTTTTAAAATCTCAACTTTCTTGAGATTCGTCATTCGATAGTTTGTGGACGTAAAACAAGTCGTATTTTGAAGAACAAGAAGAGTATTTATTACGTAATTAATACGCTGTTATCATTTGATTAGCATTGACATAGTTAACGTTGCCAGAGTTCAAATCAAGAAGAAAACAAAATTGTCAAATTAAGTCTATTTTCTACTGTCTTTTGCAAACATTGATTTTAAATGTGGAATTTGTTCCACATTTCCACAAATTTTTGTCATCTATTAAAAATAACTCGAAGTTATGGTGGACGTATTTTAAATAAATGAACGTTTATTATTGTGTGTGGACAAAAATGAAAATTTTGCAGGAACAATTAAAGATTAGCAAAGCTGACACAAATAATTTTAAAACTATAAATTTCTCAATGAAATTATTCAATCATTTCAACGATATGTATGTGCTAAATTTTCCATCAATAAATAAATTTGCATCAATTATGGTGATTATTTATTGAGTAATAATCTAATGTAATTTAATTAGTAATTAATATTGTCACAGTTCAAATCGAGAAGAAAATAAAATTTCATTGTGTGTTAAGACAATGTCAATGTCTATTTTCTATTTTCTTTGGCAAACATTGATTTTAAATGATTGCGGACGTAAGATAAATCCAAATTCAGGTGTCGTATTTGAAGAACCAGAAATCTCAAATTTATATTTTTGAACAAGACCACCAATAAGTAAGAACAACTGAAGTTGAGCCAGTAAATGACCAAGACATTTACGTGTGCCACTTGAAAATGGAATTGAAGAGAAACGAGCTTTGTTAACTTGACCATTTTCATCAAGAAAATGACAGGGATCAAATTGATATGGATTGTTGAAAACTCTCTCATCATGATTAATTGCCCACAAGTTGACAAAAACCATTGTGTCTTTTGGAACTCTGTACTTTCCAACTCTTGTTTCATTATTTGTATAATGTGGTACAGCGAGTGGAAGAACTGTGCTCAGTCGCAAAACCTCCAAGACAACTGCTTCCAAGAACGGCAAACGATGTTTATCATTCATTTCCAAAGAATTTACTCCAACAACTTCATTTATCTCTTTATACAAGCGCTCTTGAACGTTGAGATTTGACGCCAGATATAGAACTGCCCAAATCAAAGTGGTGCTAGTCGTATCAACACTCGCACCATACAAATCTGTCAATAATGTAGCAACATCTTCTTCTTTCAGATCAAGTTCTTCACCAAGGACAGCCAATCTTTCATTTGTGCCACTCTCAAAACATCGCACTAATGCATCACCAACACAACCAATATCAGCTTTTTTGTTGAAGTTCGCTTTCTTTTCAAAATAAATGTGCTTGACAAAGTCTAAGAGATGAGCAACAATTTCTTTGATTCTTTTTAACGAGTTTTTGAAGAACGGAGCTAACCATGGCAAAAAATCGGGCAAGCAGCTTGCATTGAATTCACTGAACTCCTTCAATATTTGGCAAAGTTTTTCTTTATTCTTAGGGTCTATGTCCTCTCCAAAAGTGTAGTTGAAATTCATTTCTGCAACTGCATGTTTAATGTCATTTATTGGGTCGAATTCACCATCGTGGTTTGCAAATCTGTTGCAAAGATTTTGCAGACCATAGTTAATCTGAGCGTCCAATCGTTCGTGATCTGACATAAAGCTGTGCATGCAAAGATGGGCTAATCTTCGTTTTTTCACATACATCGAATCATAAGGTCCAAACGTTAGACTTCCTTCACATGCTTGTAAACTGCTTAACGGTGGACGACTTGAAAAGTCATTAGATTTCTTTACCAAGCTTTCCTTGACGCTTTCCAAAGAGTTCAAGACAACGACGCGACGAGATCCTAATTGCAATCTATAAACATCTCCTAAGGTTTTGGCCAGCTTTGTAAGACTTTCGTGAGGTTTGCTACCAAGAAGATGAATATTACCAATGACTGGCCAGGCGAAAGGACCTGGAGGAAGTTCAGCATTATCTCGCAATCGTTGAATGACTGCAAGTGTTATAGTTGTTAGAAGGAAAACGATTGATACTATACCAAGGTATCTGGAGAGAAGAATCATAAAAAAGTTAAAAGTATACATGTCTTATCTTTTACACTTTGATCGTTTTGCAACGATGGCATGTAGCAAATAAATGCTTTTATTTAGTTGGCTAACCTGTGAATATCCTTTCCCTGGGTTAATTTGTTATTCGTGCATTTATTTTATAGTTCATTTCCGTCGAAGATTGCAAGGTCATTTTTGCTATATTATTTTGTCTTGTAATGATATGAATCAGTTGGTGATCCATTAGAAGCCTTTACACTTTAACAAATTAAAGGGCGGTGTTCATCGTAATTTGAGAAATTGATGATGGGCATTGTAAAATTTAGATAGCAATTTTGATCGTCATTATTGAACTTGACAGACAGTTGAAGGTCAAGGAAAACTCTGTTCAAAACACGTTTGTTCAATATGAGTAATGAAAGAAGAACAACACAGAGAAAATAGGAAATTGACAAAGATAGGAAATTATTTCTGCTGCAAAGATAAGTGATTGTTTTCCTTTCTCCCGTATGCAACAAACCTTGCAGTACCTTATTATATCGATAATAATTCTTTTGCTAATAATCTCCCGCCCCAGTTAATTAGGAGCAAACGTGAGAAGCAAAATTCTTCGCACATTTATTTTTCTATTAAAATACGTTAACTTTTATCTTAATATTATACGAGATACACAATAATACCAACGATGGTTTATGTTAAACCTGTGTGCCACACAGATATTGTCGTGCAACATATCTTTGCCCCACGTGAAATTCCACCCACGAAGACGAAACAATTTTGCCGAACAGGAAATGAATTGAGCAAACCAGGCCTTATAACGGCAAAATTCCTCGGAATGAAGTGTTTTTGTTCACAGCTGTTGTTTTTATCTTTATTGACGTTTCACATGACATTGTTTTTGTTGTTGAAATGTGTGCATTTAGTGCTGTTAATGAATTTCAATCACGAAATCTTAAGGCACAATCGAACGAAATCAACGAACTCCACAAATACGAAATCACCATATTCCTTAACTCATTTTCATGACAAATATATAATACATCATGGATAGTTTAGCTCTTAATCAATTAACGTAGCTGTCCAAAGTCGGCTGAGTTTATACAGTAAAGTATTAAACTGAACATTCACACATTTATTGAATATTTTTAAAATTCCAGCTATACTCGATTAAAATATTTAATTTCAATGCTATGTATTTGGCAGCTCTCACCACAAAGCCGGAAGGCCATTGAAATGACCATAAAATACAATTTTGTTTTGATTAAGTCCAAGAGTGTACAACAAGTGTTAGTGTCATAAGAAAGGGCTTGTCTTGTGATAACATGAATTAACACAAAGCATTAGGAATTTTGTTATGAAATTCTCATACTGTTAACTTTCATATAGACTTTTTTTATGTTGCTTTCTTAACTGCAACAGCGGGTAATGAACGGTAATGAAACAATATTCTGCTGCACCAGTGACTTGGCCAATGGAAATGTTAAAAGTTGACTTTGACATCTGGAATCACTTCCATATATTGTTGACTGTGGTTTTATCTTGATCCTACTGGTAAATTTGTTTAGCTTTTAAATACTGGTCATATAACCTCGTTAATACAAGGTTTTGACAACGCAATTGAAATTTTTCTTTTTATCAAAGTAGATGACACATTCAAACATGCGATAAGGTGCTATGGAATTTTATCGAAATCTGACACACATTTCAAAGTTTTCTTTCTTCTTATTTGCGAACACTGTTCTAAACACACTTATCTAAAGGGTATGAAAAATTACTGCATGGAGTTGAAAGATTTTGAGCGTCCAATGTTTTCATAGACATTTTATACTTAAGCATATATTCTACACGTTTTCACCATTTCTTCAGTTAAAAATGACCAGATAATATTTAAATTTTTTCATCGACAAAATGATCAAAATGAAGACCTTTGTCTTACATCAAGATTACATTATGCCGGCTTCAACATTGTTAATTACATCCGTAATGTTGAAATAGAGATAAAGTTTCGGTTTTCATTCTCCTGCTGACCTTGACGATAATGCTTTGTATATGGTAGTTGACGATGTTGGTGCCTGTTGCTCCATAAATATTACTCAAATTTCTGTAAGCCGACCTGACCTTGGATTTTAAGGCCATCAGTAAAACGCTATCTAAAATAATCTTAAAAGGTCATGGAATTCAGGTCGGAAAAAACTTTTTTCAATAAAGATAACAAGTTCATCACAACATATTAATAAATAATTTAAGAATAAAGATGAGACAATTTATATGAAATTTTATAAAAACCAGGTTGAACAATGTTGAAATCTATCCATTTGTAAATTTGTTTTTGTACAACCATGCACAAACTTTGTCTTAAAGCCTGATGTAATTCAATGTTAAATAGTTTAAAAAGGTTTGCGTTTTGGAAAATATATGTATTCATATATATTGTCAGCAGTCGCTAAAACTGCAATTGCACTGCAATAATTATTCAGAAAATTATCATATTTTTGCAGAAAACAATGACGTAATGCCTCATTAGAGCCTTCTATGACTTGGACGGTCAAGTTCACAGGAAAAAGTCACATAACTTGCCATCAATGATCTTCTCATTTATGCACGTGTGTGTATTATTTGCACATGTAAAACTGTTCGTTCAAGTCAATAAACCCTCAAATACACAATGTTTATACTCTTCATTTCACCACAATAAAAAATATCTAGTAAGCAACTACATCCTGGTTTTTAACACCATATATATTTATCCATACTCTATGATCGATATTCATTAATATCATTCCAACCCATACCTTGACCTTAGTCGATAAAAACAAAATGCTCGCAAGGCCACTATTCAAATCAACAAACCGTCTTTATATTAGCCTATTAATTATGCAATTGAAATGAACTTTAAAGACGACCTTGGAAATTTCGACAAAAGGTTAAGGTAAACTACAAAAACTCAGTGTGAAGAAATTATTGATCATTTGTGAGGCACTTGTTGTGTTTGATTCATCTCGTTGGAAAGGTTGAATTGGTTGATGCCAAAACTTTTTTGCTATGAATAACGTTTCTGTAAGTTTTTTGACTATTTTACACTCTTCAACTTTTTGCCACCTACTTCTTCTTCTGGCATTGGCTTTAGCTTTCTTTATCATTAAACGAACGCAAGACGACGCTGGACTTCCTCCAGGTCCTTTCTCCTGGCCAGTCATTGGAAATATTCATCTGCTTGGTAGCAAACCTCACGAAAGTCTCACAAAGCTGGCCAAAACCTTGGGAGATGTTTATAGATTGCAATTAGGATCTCGTCGTGTCGTTGTCTTGAACTCTTTGGAAAGCGTCAAGGAAAGCTTGGTAAAGAAATCTTGTGACTTTTCAAGTCGTCCACCATTGCTCACCTTACAAGTATCTGACATGGATGGTCGTAGCATATCGTTTGCACCTGATAATCCAACACGCACAAAAATACGAAGATTGGCTACTATAGCTCTACATAGTTATATGTTAGATCATGAACAGTTAGCTGCAGTTATGAATAGCTGCGTGAAGCGACTCGGTGAACGTTTAACAAACCGTGGCGAAGATTTCGATCCAGCAATTGACGTTTCTGTAAGCGTAGGGGAGCTCAATCTGGTATTGATATTTGGAGACAATGTAGATGAGAATCAGGCATTGGAATTGTCCTCCTTGATGGAATCTTCAAATGATTTCATTAAAAACAACAGTATCAACAATGTTGTCAATTTATTCCCATGGTTGGCAACATTCTTCAGAAGTTCCATCAAACCAATGAACATTCTTGTCCGGAATCTTTTTAACTTTGTTGAAACACTTTACGTTGATAACAAAAAGCAATACAGAAAAGATGGCAACGTCATTTCCATAGCTCACGCCTTTATTCGAACGTACGATGCAACAAGTAACGAAAGAGTTGTAGCGATTGGCGAAGAGCTCAACATGAATGAAGAAGTTGTTATTGCTGCACTTACTGATTTGTTTGGGGCAAGTGTTGGAACGACCAGTACAACAATAACATGGGCACTTCTTTATCTTGCGTCAAATCTCGACGTTCAAGAGCGCTTGTTTCAAGAGATAAATGAAGTTGTTGGTGTGAGCTACCTGAAAGTGAAAGATAAACATCGTTTGCCGTTCTTGGAAGCAACTGTCTTGGAGGTTTTGCGACTGAGCACAGTTCTTCCACTCGCTATACCACATTATGCAAATAATGAAACAAGAGTTGGAAAGTACAGAGTTCCAAAAGACACAATGGTTTTTGTCAACTTGTGGGCAATTAATCATGATGAGAGAGTTTTCAACAATCCTTATCAATTTGATCCCTGTCATTTTCTTGATGAAAATGGTCAAGTTAACAAAGCTCGTTTCTCATCAATTCCATTTTCGAGTGGCACACGTAAATGTCTTGGTCATTTACTGGCTCAACTTCAGTTGTTCTTACTTATTGGTGGTCTTGTTCAAAAATATAAATTTGAGATTTCTGGTTCTTCAAATACGACACCTGAATTTGGATTTATCTTACGTCCGCAATCATTTAAAATCAATGTTTGCCAAAGAAAATAGAAAACAGACATTGACATTGTCTTAACACACAATGAAATTTTATTTTCTTCTCGATTTGAACTGTGACAATATTAATTACCAATTAAATTACATTAGATTATTACTCAATAAATAATCACGATAATTCATGAAAATTTATTTATTGACGGGAAATTTAGCACATACACATATCGTTGAAATGATTAAATAAATTAATTGGAAAATTTATAATTTTAAAATTATTTGTGTCAGCTTTGCCGATCTTTAATTGTTCCTGCAAAATTTTCATTTTTGTCCACACACAATAATAAACGTGCATTTATTTAAAATACGTCCACCATAACTTCGAGTTATTCTTTAACAGATGCAACAATAAGTATAAATGACAAAATTTTGTGAATTGTGTCCTTGTCGAGAAGTGAGCAAATTTCAATAAATAGACATGAAGGCCTAGTTTAAATTCTTGAGTCAACTTTCTAAGATTATATAGTTCACGAGAATCATCTTTTCGAGCATTCAATTCATAGCAACTCCATGAAACTTTGACAATTGTGTTCAGCATAAAACTCGTAAGTTGGACCAATTTTAAACAGGTGCTTCAAATAACTCGGCAGGCAGGCAGGCAGGTATAAACAAAGACAGCTAGACAGAGCGGACTGTCATCAAACCATTGGTTCGCATCGTTACCATTCAAATCAGCTCAGCAACGAACTTTTTTCAAATGAAAAATAATGGCAATGTTGCATTGGGGGGGGAGAGACTTGGGAAGGGGGAACTTTCTCCATGTGTATTGATGAAAAGCATGTTAATTATATATTATATTTATTTTATACAACGAAATAGTAAAATCAACGAGAAAACAAAAATTTTTATTTAAAGCTATAGTATATCTTGTGCATGTATCAACAAATATGTCTAATTCATATGTGTGTTCTTTATTTTTCATTTGCAAACATTGCTCTACTTAACACACTTATGTAAAGGGTATGAAAAGTTCACTGCATGGAGTTGAATAGGCTTTGTGTGTCCAATGTTTTCATAGATATTTTATACTTAAGCATATATTCTACACGTTTTCACCATTTCGTTAGTTTATAATGACCATATAATATTTACATTTTTTTCATCGACAAAATGATCAAAATGAAGACCTTTTTCTTACATCAAGATTACATTATGCCGGCTTCAGCATTGTTAATTACATCCGTAATGTTGGAATATAGAAGAAGTTTCGGTTTTCATTCCTTACGCTGACCTTAACGATAATGCTTTGTATATAATAGCTGACGATATTGGTGCCTGTTGCGCTATAAATATTACTCAAATTTCTGTAAGCCGACCTGACCTTGGATTTTAAGGCCATCAGTAAAACGCTATCTAAAATAGTCTTAAAAGATCATGGAATTCTGGTCGGAGTAAGCTTTTTTCAATAAAGATAACAAGTTCATCACAACATTGTCAGTATTTCCTCAACTTTATTAATAAATAATTTAAGAATAAAGATGAGACGATTTGTATGAAATTTTATGAAAACCAGGTACAATAATGTTGCATTAAACAAGAGGAATCGGCTTATCTGTATAAACTGTATAGATAAATTGGTAGAACCATGCACAAACTATGATTTAAGCCACGTGTTGAATGTTAAATGGTTAAGTAAAACGGTTTGCATTCATATATATTGTCAGCAGTCGCTAAAACCACAATTGCACTGAAATAATTGTTCAGAAAATTATCATATTTTTGCAGAAAACAATGACGTAATGCCTCATTAGAGCCTTCTGTGACTTGGACGGTCAAGTTCACAGGAAAAAGTCACAAAACTTGCTATCAATGATCTTCTCATTTATGCACGTGTGTGTATTATTTGCACATGTAAAACTGTTCGTTCAAGTCAATAAACCCTTAAATACACAATGTTTATACTCTTCATTTCACCACAATAAAAAATATAGAGTAAGCAACTACATCCTATATATTTATCCATACTCTATGATAGATATTCTTTAATAATTCCAACCCATACCTTGACCTTAGTTGATAAAAACAACATGCTCGCAAGGCCACTATTCAAATCAACAAACCGTCTTTATATTAGCCTATTAATTATGCAATTGAAATGAACTTTAAAGACGACCTTGGAAATTTCGACAAAAGGTTAAGGTGAACTACAAAAACTCAGTGTGAAAAAATTCTTCATCATTTGTGAGGTATTGTTGTGTTTGATTCATCTCGTTGGAAAGGTCGAATTGGTTGATGCCAAAACGTTTTCGCTATGAATAGTGTTTCTGTAAATTTTTTGATCATTTTACACTCTTCTACTTTTTGCCACCTACTTCTTCTTCTGGTATTGGCATTAGCTTTCTTTATCATTAAACGAACGCAAGACGACGCTGGACTTCCTCCAGGTCCTTTCTCCTGGCCAGTCATTGGAAATATTCATCTGCTTGGTAGCAAACCTCACGAAAGTCTCACAAAGCTGGCCAAAACCTTCGGAGATGTTTATAGATTGCAATTAGGATCTCGTCGTGTCGTTGTCTTCAACTCTTTGGAAAGCGTCAAGGAAAGCTTGGTAAAGAAATCTAGTGACTTTTCAAGTCGTCCACCATTAAGCAGTTTACAAGCATGTGAAGGAAGTCTAACGTTTGGACCTTATGATTCGATGTATGTGAAAAAACGTAGGTTAGCCCATCTTTGCATGCACAGCTTTATGTCAGATCACGAACGATTGGACGCTCAGATTAACTATGGCCTGCAAAATCTTTGCAACAGATTTGCAAACCACGATGGTGAATTTGACCCAATAAATGACATTAAACATGCAGTTGCAGAAATGAATTTCAACTACACTTTTGGAGAGGACATAGACCCTAAGAATAAAGAAAAACTTTGCCAAATATTGAAGGAGTTCAGTGAATTCAATGCAAGCTGCTTGCCCGATTTTTTGCCATGGTTAGCCCCGTTCTTCCAAAACTCGTTGAAAAGAATCAAAGAAATTGTTTCTCATCTCTTAGACTTTGTCAAGCACATTTATTTTGAAAAGAAAGCGAACTTCAACAAAAAAGCTGATATTGGTTGTGTTGGTGATGCATTAGTGCGATGTTTTGAGAGTGGTACAAATGAAAGATTGGCTGTCCTTGGTGAAGAACTTGATCTGAAAGAAGATGTTGCTACATTATTGACAGATTTGTATGGTGCGAGTGTTGATACGACTAGCACCACTTTGATTTGGGCAGTTCTATATCTGGCGTCAAATCTCAACGTTCAAGAGCGCTTGTATAAAGAGATAAATGAAGTTGTTGGAGTAAATTCTTTGGAAACGAATGATAAACATCGTCTGCCGTTCTTGGAAGCAGTTGTCTTGGAGGTTTTGCGACTGAGCACAGTTCTTCCACTCGCTGTACCACATTATACAAATAATGAAACAAGAGTTGGAAAGTACAGAGTTCCAAAAGACACAATGGTTTTTGTCAACTTGTGGGCAATTAATCATGATGAGAGAGTTTTCAACAATCCTTATCAATTTGATCCCTGTCATTTTCTTGATGAAAATGGTCAAGTTAACAAAGCTCGTTTCTCATCAATTCCATTTTCGAGTGGCACACGTAAATGTCTTGGTCATTTACTGGCTCAACTTCAGATGTTCTTACTTATTGGTGGTCTTGTTCAAAAGTATAAATTTGAGATTTCTGGTTCTTCAAATACGACACCTGAATTTGGATTTATCTTACGTCCACAATCATTTAAAATCAATGTTTGCCAAAGAAAATAGAAAATAGACATTGACATTGTATTAACACACAATGAAATTTTATTTTCTTCTTGATTTGAACTCTGACAATTTTAATTACTAATTAAATTACATTAGATTAGTACTCAATAAATAATCATAGTAAATGACGAAAATTCAATTATTGATGGGCATTTTAGCACATATACATATCGTTGAAATGATAAATAAATTCATTGAGAAATTTATAATTTTGAATTATTTGTGTCAACTTTGCTAATCTTTAATTGTTCCTGCAAAATTTTCATTTTTGTCCACACAACAAAAATGATCACGCATTTATTCAAAATTGATCATGCATTCATTCTTTAACAGATGCAACAATAAGTATAAATGACAAAATTTTGTGAATTGTGTCCTTGTCGAGAAGTGAGCAAATTTCAATAAATAGGCATGAAGGCCTAGTTTAAATTCTTGAGTCAACTTTCTAAGATTATATAGAATCATCTTTTCGAGCATTCAATTCATAGCAACTCCATGAAACATTGACAATTGTGCTCAGCATAAGACTCGTAAGTTGGACCAATTTTAAACAGGTGCTTCAAATAACTCGGCAGGCAGGCAGGCAGGCAGGTATAAACACAGACAGCTAGACAGAGCGGACTGTCATCAAACCATTGGTTCGCATCGTTACCATTCCACCAGCATCCAAAACACATACTCTTTGAATATTCGATTTAAGCAGCTCAGCAGCGAACTTTTTTGAAATAAAAAATAATTCCAATGTTACATTCTGGGGAATCGTCTGCAATTGACACGCACAAAATCACAAAATAAACTTAAGTAAGATGACAAGTAAACGTGGGAGACATTGTAATACCAACTATGTTTTGAGCTCAGGGGAACACATTAGGTGTTAGGAGGGGGCGACGTACCCCTTCAGCTTCAGTAAAATATATAAATAAAGTCGGTCCAGAAACGGATAAAGAACGAGAAAAGTTACTCCAGCAAAAACTAAGGCTTTTTGTCAATACAGACAATATGAAAGTCGGTCCATGAACACCATACACTTCCCTCCAATTTTCCTTGGATGTGTGCCTTTGTGTGAACCATTAAATTGGTGTGAATATCGTTGATAAAATATAGCACAATACCTTAGGACAGTTGTTTGCTCGTCCTCCAACAACAATTATAATCTTTCCCTTAGACACTTGCAGCGTGTTAGAATTCTCGCCAGGAATTAATGTTCCATTTTCCGAAAACGTTTGATTGGAAGGCATATTGATGCTTCCAGGTAGATGACCTTTTTGATAACTGAATCCATGTTAAGATTTCTTGTTTAAATTGAAAATAAATTTGAGGTTCAACGTAATTGTTGTGCAAGGAAGGCAATTAAAAACAAGTTTTACAAACTATACATAAATAAAACGAACAATTCACTAATATGTACAAACGATTCCAAAGCTTATTTATACATGCACTGTACAAAACTTCCATTGCTTATCCATACATACAAATAACTGTTTATCCATAAATACACACGACTGCCAATGTTTATCCATAAATACACACGACTGCCGATGTTTATCCATACATATACACACGACTGCCACTGTTTATCCATACATATACAGATAATTTGGAAAAAGGATACTCTTCAGGAGGTCTTATGTCAACTACTATTCCCCAAGATTTTAATGATACTTTGTTTGAGCGTTTTGCTGAGGAATCTTTAAGTTAAATAATTATTACATGTTATCAAAAAAACTCTGAAGATGACTACCGCTAAGGTTGTCAAAACGTCAGTCAACAACAACAAAAACAGTCCTTCTCAGGACTATACCAACCTGGACGATCAACATCTACAAACATGTAACGATACTCCCGGGTTCAAACCATTTACTTATATAAAATATTATGATAGCTAAACCAACGATGAACAGTAATAAGAAATAGACAAAATTATTTTTTGTTAAACATTACCTGTTTTATTTTGAAGTCGAATGTCCAGTATATGAAGCATATCTTGCAGAGATATCCGGGGACATTTCTCAGATTTTATTTGCTGCACAGGTAGAAATTCTTTCTCCTGAACGAGAAATATAACTCATTTCACAATGAGGAATGAAAAAATACGCATAACTCATTTTATAGGTTTGCCAGTCAATGGAACACATTTCATTTGTCAATGGCATCAAAAGCTGTTGAAAAGTACAAAATCACAATAAACATCTCGAACCGTTCGGTTATTGTGCTTTGACAAAGGAATATTTTCATGTTGACGAGCTGCCACACTCTTGGGAGTTGACTCAAATATCTTGATAGAATCCTGCACACAACGTTCAATGTCAACCTCTGTTGTAAAAAACACGTAAGCGAAAGTGAACAGTTATACATACAGCCAATAACACGATAAGGAATTCTGTCGTTTGAAACTGCATGCTTAACACAATCATCCAAAGGCAATGTTTCATTGTGTGCACGGAATTGAATAAGTTCGGTTTTAAGTGCCTATATATACAATGTTTTCGAAAAGAAAACTTTTCAAAGTCTGTATGTCGTTCTATCATCAATTTTTTTATGATTTAAAACTTTGATATGATCCACAATAGCAATACATAATTAAATACATATGTATCATCAAAATATAGCAGTTGATTTCATCACGTGGCTTGCCGAAAATTACCGCAGTTCAAATGCTTCTATTTCAATAATTTGACGCAGATAAAAACTTATCAAACAGCACCTATCTATTATATTGATCTCGAAGTGTGGGCTGCCAGAAGTGAAGATTTTTATCATATAGTTTTGTTAATCAGAGATTTTTAGTAAATTATGTACAAAGCCGAAGCCAATATCATCTTGTGTCTAAGTTGATGAAAGCGCCTCTTGTCGTTCTGTGACTAATTTTATTTAGAAAGGTTTGATTCTTTCATGTTTTCATCATATTTTATACGCCGACTATCTGATATATAGCAGAACACGATAGAGAGACTTTGTCATAAATAGTACATACATAACTAAGTAATATAGCAATGCTCAGCAGTGAAAATACGATTATCAGTCAAAGATGTAACAAAAATGAACGATTTTTTATATCGGAATTTATCACACATTAATTTAAAATGTAACAAATTTAGTTGATGAATGCACGAACAACTGAACAAGCATATAAATAGCATAGTGTAATAACACATAAGTTCGCATTGTAGAGAGACATGAAGTTCTAATAATACCCTTCTCCCTCACGAGAATGGTTGCACTTTACACATTGATAAATACATCATCCATGTTACAACAAATTCAGAGTACATACTCCAGTAAAAAAAAAACAAAAAATATTTTAAAGCAGTATAGCTTCTAACGAATGGAAAGGCTTCGTCATATAGAGCGTAGAGAGAAATATTTATTGTGTAAAACATATAAATGCAATGTCACTTCCTTCAAAAAATTTCACCTTGTTAGCAAGTCACAGACACTAAATTTCAAGAGCATTGGCAGCGTTTACCATTTTCATGTTAATTTAAAATCTATGTCGTAATTATTCTTATATTGGCATTAAAGTCTAGACTTCTAAGGATTGTTTACGAACCAGATGAACGTCCTTATTTTCTAAATATATCCCCTTTACTCGAGTATTAGCCACAGGAGAAAATAACGTCTAGTAAAATATACAATTTTTTACACTACACCTACAATTAGATAAACAGATTTCTCACATTACACACTAGACTTAAAAAATAACATTCAAATAGTATTAACAAACAATGTATTTTACCAAATTTGCGTGTAAAACGTTAAATATAGTAAAATATTTAATTAGCCTGAGAATATATGAAAATACTCTTGAGACAGATAAGCCTGTCTTGTATTCATTTTCTATATGGCTATATATTTTCCTCAACTTAACGATTAAAATAATAGGTTTCCACAACCTGCTTTATACGACACAGACAGGACAATTAAACTTATCATGAAGTATGAAGATGTAACACTTGCTACTATACTAATGATACAGTGAGGTCTACTCTTTTGGCAAAATGTTCTAATGATAAGGCTTTGTTTGCTATATATTGATTTCTGTAGATAAGATTGCAGTAAATGGTCTATAAACAGAAGTGATCAGTTATGCATGATTATACACGTGACTTCTACATGCTCTGAAGTCAGTGACCAAATAAATGTATATAAATATATATACATATGTATAAGACAATACATAGATAGTGATCTTGACCACCTCAACAAGTTACAAATATGAAGATGACCATTAGCGACGCCACTTTACCGACCCTCAGAACAACTTCACTGCAGTGACAGTATTTTCAAAAAGATTTGAATTTCTTAAGTTTTTCAAGAAGCATGCATGCAATGGGCTTGAATTAAAGTATGAAAGTATAAAACTAACCAGCTAAGTTATAACATTATAAACAATATCAAAAACCACAAATGATTCTCAAGCAGAAATAAGTTGTAGAATGTCTAGCAAGATTGTACTTAAGTCTTGTGAGAATGAGCAGTAACAACAACTACGATACAAATGTGCGATTACTAACCAGGCATGTCTGAGAACAGCAAAATACATTCGTTAAAGCCATAAGTAAGAAGTTGAGCACGTAATTGTTGTAAGATAGCAACACCGATATATAAAGGAAACGAGGAATTGCCAAGAAGTAATGTATCCCATAGAAGATAGATTTTGTGAAGAGGGAATACATCTGAAAAAGAAAATACGATTGAAACTATATTTTTATAATAAAAAAGAGCAAACGTTTTCTCTACAATTATAAATATGGCCTATAAGCACAGACTGCATATAGTTTATATAACAATAGAGTTAGCCAGGCATTCGGTACTTTGCCATATGCGCTTCAACAGCAAAACTTCCCCCATTTGACTGATATAACATGCTTGTCAAGCTTGTGTTCAGGAAAAACGTAAAATTATGGCCTTACTTCCTAACTTAGAACGGAAATATCGTATTGTGGCAAATAAAAGGAGGCGGTTTCGCATCGTGACCTTCGAATCAAGAACAGCAAGCAATAATTTAGTGAAGTGATGATAAACAGTATAAACTAAGGTTATCTAAATAAATATAGGAGCAATAAGAATGAGCATTACGAACAATTTCATTGATTGTAAGAAACTACATACAATATACTGAAAATATACTCAATATTAATATGATTATGTGTAACTGGTGAGTCACCTACGAGGAAAGAGGTGGCTTGCGGCAAGATGAAATGTCCAAACATTGCTGTGTGTTTAAATAGATAGATAAGAAATATGAACGTGGAAGAAAAGTAAAAATTCAAAAATAGAAAATTTCAAATACGAATCTTTAATTGAGTAAACAAGAGTAATATTATCATTTTCACACATTTATTTATTCAGTCAAACACTTACTCATTATCATAAAATCACAAAGTCTCCTAACTTGATCGACAATTTAGATCGTCATAATGAACACTGGGGAATGATAAATTTAGAAGTGGAATTCAAATTATAGACTTTCTTATTTATTTTGGCTTTTATTTGACAAACCCGTCTTCTTAAAAATGTCATCGATAATTATCCACAAGCAATGGATAATCATCGCCTAAACTTTTCGAAATTCTTCATCAAGAATAACAACGCAACAATCAAAAACAAATATCGAGAGAAAATTTTTAGTTTAAATACCATTGCTAGGATACAACTACAAAAGAAGAAAATTCCAGGTTACCATACAAAAGGGTCAAGTTCATTTAACGAGACAAAAGTAGGGCCAAGTTCAATTATTTCCAGCAAATCTAAATTTACCTCCTACTCAACGGGAATGTCTTAGTTGGATACAATGTTTCAAGTCGTTTTGCCTTCAAATTAATGTATATTATAAAACTAATCTGTTCGGGCGCTTATCAAAGTGGCAGTTAAGGTTCTGCAAAACGTCTTCTCAGATGTTTTCAACAAGTTAAAATTTATCGTTCGGCAGCAAAAAACTACTATTGAATGATTATTGCTTGCTTTTGGACAAACATATTCATATGTCAATTACCAATCGCCTACACTTTTGTCATGCAAATAGTGAATGCCTTAACAAACTTTCTTTATCTCTGCCTTGACCTTCCAAGTTTCATTGTTGACAATCGAAAAATCTGAAAGTCAAATTTTAGCTTGTTGTCTACGTAGGTTCCATTGGAAGTGTTAACAAATATCACTCATTCTACTGATAACAAGCTCATTTTTCTTCGAAGACACACACAAACTGAGCCCTCATACAAACATCATTCAACATATCAAAGAAAAAACAACGCAAAGTCGCTTCCCAGGTTACCGGAAGTGAAATATGAAGTGGCAATAAATATTAATGATGGTATTAATAAGATAGCTTCGGTGCATGCATTTGCCATTTAATGAAGCAAACAGATCTAATAAGACCAAACAGACAGAGACAGTATTTGCAGCTCCATTAAAACAGCTCTCCGAAACAAAGATGTACGCCTTTGAAGACAGCTTTATCACAATTCTTCTCTCCAGATACCTTGGTATGGTATCAATCGTTTTCCTTCTAACAACTATAACACTTGCAGTCATTCAAAGATTGCGAGATAATGCTGAACTTCCTCCAGGTCCTTTCGCCTGGCCAGTCATTGGAAATATTCATCTGCTTGGTAGCAAACCTCACGAAAGTCTCACAAAGCTGGCCAAAACCTTGGGAGATGTTTATAGATTGCAATTAGGATCTCGTCGCGTCGTTGTCTTGAACTCTTTGGAAAGCGTCAAGGAAAGCTTGGTAAAGAAATCTAGTGACTTTTCAAGTCGTCCACCGTTAAGCAGTTTACAAGCATGTGAAGGAAGTCTAACGTTTGGACCTTATGATTCGATGTATGTGAAAAAACGAAGATTAGCCCATCTTTGCATGCACAGCTTTATGTCAGATCACGAACGATTGGACGCTCAGATTAACTATGGTCTGCAAAATCTTTGCAACAGATTTGCAAACCACGATGGTGAATTCGACCCAATAAATGACATTAAGCATGCAGTTGCAGAAATGAATTTCAACTACACTTTTGGAGAGGACATAGACCCTAAGAATAAAGAAAAACTTTGCCAAATATTGAAGGAGTTCAGTGAATTCAATGCAAGTTGCTTGCCCGATTTTTTGCCATGGTTAGCCCCGTTCTTCCAAAACTCGTTGAAAAGAATCAAAGAAATTGTTGCTCATCTCTTAGACTTTGTCAAGCACATTTATTTTGAAAAGAAAGCGAAATTCAACAAAAAAGCTGATATTGGTTGTGTTGGTGATGCATTAGTGCGATGTTTTGAGAGTGGTACAAATGAAAGATTGGCTGTTCTTGGTGAAGAACTTGATCTGAAAGAAGAAGATGTTGCTACATTATTGACAGATTTGTATGGTGCGAGTGTTGATACGACTAGCACCACTTTGATTTGGGCAGTTCTATATCTGGCGTCAAATCTCAACGTTCAAGAGCGCTTGTATAAAGAGATAAATAAAGTTGTTGGAGTAAATTCTTTGGAAATGAATGATAAACATCGTCTGCCGTTCTTGGAAGCAGTTGTCTTGGAGGTTTTGCGACTGAGCACAGTTCTTCCACTCGCTGTACCACATTATACAAATAATGAAACAAGAGTTGGAAAGTACAGAGTTCCAAAAGACACAATGGTTTTTGTCAACTTGTGGGCAATTAATCATGATGAGAGAGTTTTCAACAATCCTTATCAATTCGATCCCTGTCATTTTCTTGATGAAAATGGTCAAGTTAACAAAGCTCGTTTCTCTTCAATTCCATTTTCGAGTGGCACACGTAAATGTCTTGGTCATTTACTGGCTCAACTTCAGTTGTTCTTACTTATTGGTGGTCTTGTTCAAAAGTATAAATTTGAGATTTCTGGTTCTTCAAATACGACACCTGAATTTGGATTTATCTTACGTCCACAATCATTTAAAATCAATGTTTGCCAAAGACAATAGCGGACAACAGCTAAAATAACACAAGCTGAGACAACATGTGCAGAGATTCACTGATAAAAATGCGATTGATGCAACGGATCTATACTTCTGAACATATCTCAATAATCAAATGAATAAAGCACAAAGCAGTGATAGCACTGAAACGAGCAACATATTGTGCAAATGCAACAAAGCTGACACTAGCTCTAAATTAACAATTTATCAAACAAACAGCACTAGTTGGTTTATTTTTACACATATCGCGAAGAGACAAAAACCTTGGCATTATGGAAATAATTTACCTTGACCTTAGTTAACACTACCATAAAAGTACTCTTTGATGAATTTATCGAGAAAAACATTCTGTCGCGAAACCATGTAAAGTGCACTTCAGTTCTTATTTAAAGTACATCTAACCAGTATTTATAGCCATTTAAGCTGTAGACAGCTCGTAATATTGGACAATCACGTTGAAAATAATTGAATCGTAGTCATATTTTCAATTCCAATGTTTCCATGTCTTCGTAAGACGTTGTATATATACTTATTTTATTACTTAAATATTAAATGTAAGCCTTTGTATGCAGTAATAAATGACATGTATATCTATGACAGTTTTACTAACAAAGCTATGCATTTTCTTGCACAGAATGAGAGGATTGTTAGCAAGGTTTTAAAAACTATATCCATGCCATAAACTACCTAATGACTAGTAACACTTATTTTCATTTCTGGTTGGGTATGATATCGACGCTAAGATAAAGAGAACCCTTTTGGTAACAATTTTGCTGTCGTCGTCCTCTTTATCATTTCGATTAATTATATCTCAAAGATTAATTTGCACATGTCAATAGTTGACGTGTCGCTAGCCGGGGTGACAAAAACAAAGATATTTTTTAGCTCAAGCTGTTTTGTTTTCTTTTAGAACAAGTTAGTGTGTATTGCTTGCACTGTTGCAAGCATATTATCATATTTTATAAAAAATGTATTCTTTATTGTCTTGCGAAATGAAAGGCTTTACGAAAATCTTCTTTGATGTTTGCAAAAACAACATAACATCTTATCTATTGGACAGACAATTGTATTCCAAAGTATAGAATATCGTACAAGCTACTGTTGTAATTAAAAACAGATACTTAATATAGATTACGAATACTCAATTCCATACTTAGCTTACAACTCTTAATGCATGCATGATAACATATGTTAACCAGTGTAGATTGCAAAACAAGCTATCAGATTAATAATATAAACTTTATTATGTTAGCAACCGAACAATCGCCAAACAGCAAAAAAACAATAGTCCGTAATAACTGGTAAATTCCTTCTTATTTGACCTTGCTGCCTTTGCATCTATATAATTATTCCAAACATGATCGCTTAAATGCTTAAATTACCATTGATAATAGATGTATTTCTGTACAAATATCTGTGCTGAACATCAGATTTATTGAAATTTGAGTTATTTCATTTACAAATCGCGACTAGAATCTACGAGTTTCATGGATAGTTGTACAGTAGCTACGACGCAGCGTTTCTTGATTCATTTTTACATGAGAGCAAACACTTTTGCCACAAATACTTATATGAACGAGACGTCACAAAGCGAATTATCTATTAAAATTGTCCTCCTTAAACAATTATTACAGCATTTTACTCAAATATGGTCGTCAGGTGATGTTAATCAAAATCACCCGATCATATACTAAGGCAATTCAACAAATATACTTGGAAATAATCCCTTTCAATGTAATTTTCAAAAACGTTTGCAAGTTGACAGTTCTTTGGACAATTCTTAAACTTATTCGATTTATCCTTGCCAATTAACAAGACTAGGTTTTAAAGTAGACGGAATAAAATTACAGTCAGCAATTTTCCGCTCAAAAGAAAAAATATCGATGATGTGCTAAACGTAAATTATAATACAATAGATGCTTTTTAATGGCGCCAATAAATGATAAAGGTTGACTGATTACAAGCAGTATCTCAACAGTCATAAGTGATTTTAAATGACACACTACGTCAATGCAAATGGCGCTTTTTATTGCCAACTCACATCACGATAACAGGTACAAAGACTTTACATAAACATCAAAGATTTGATGAACAATTATGAAATCAACGAGAATTGCTCCATACACTTTCACAGCATGGATAAGAGGCTCAATTTATGCATACCAATAATGTATAAAACATTGTAAATTGACTTCTTTCGACTTGTTAACATACTTAGTTTAAGAAAATTGATCATTAAGACAAGTGGCTCTTAGCACCTTTCTATTGATATTACAAAAATACTCTGCATGACCTTGTTTTTTTAAAGAAACACTTTGTTTTTGTTACTTTGGAGATACGATGTTTAGTTGATGAAAAAATATGCAAATTCCGACTTTAATTATTATGAAAAGACCAAACTGTTGAAGCTCGAATTAGTTAAATTGCATCACCAAAAAACCTTGTTTGTTCATAGACTAGAGGCCAATGATTGTGCTGCAATTTAGCAATTCTGTTTCTCTATCAAGCATTATAAAAATATTTTTATCCGAGACATCTAAAGATGATACCATATTACAATTGGCCAAAGAAATGAAGCCAAAACCATTACAGCCATTGAACAGTTTTCATTCAACCAAAACAACCCCTCACACGATTTATGCAAACATAAGAGACAAATAGTTTAAATTCAACACGGGGCAACCGATTTGTCGTTGGTTTTGACCGACTATTGTTTAAACATGCAGCATAAGTGAAGACAAGCTGCGGCGGTTGATTTAGCAACATCAAAATTTATACTTGTGTATCACAATAAACAAATGTTTGAACTAACTTACGTGTAAACATAGTCAAAAACCATGGAATTGCGTAGAGCTAAATAAAATTGAACGAAAATATTGAGAGAAGCAAATATTGATTTTGGAAGAAACGTCAAAAGCACCGAAATTTAAGACTTTCACCCAACAATGCAAAAAAGACTTAGCTGTAATAACAATGAACTTTGCCTCATGACAAGAATGGCAATAAAACTTTGCAAAACATAGCAACATACGTCATGATCATATTCGACAAAACGAAATCAAACTACTACGCCACGCCAATATTGGCCAAGCTGGGCCAAACATATTAACGAAAAATGTGTTCACTAAAGGGCTGTATGATGTATAAATACTTTTGAAAGGTTCTTCAAAAAAGCACAATGAAACTTGGAAAACAGTACCTCTGGTTGAAATCCAATTTCATCCAAATGATTGAACAGTTCAGGATCGTGAAAGGCAATCAAATGACAGAACACAGCTAGGTATTCTATAAATGAACAAATGATTGAACAGTTAAGGAACGTGAAAACATTCAAATGACAAAACACAGCTAGGTATTGTACAAACGAACAAATGATTAAACAGTTTAGGATCGTGAAAACATTCAAATGACAGAACACAGCTAGGTATTATACAAACGAACAATTGATTAAACATTTTCCTAAATGTCCTATGAAGATTTCTGTTATAACTCTGATGCTAACCTTGGATTACTAGAGAATTGTCCTTGAGGAAAAAATTATACAAATACTTAGGAATGAAAGATATCAAGCAGTTGTAAGCCAAAGCTAAAAGAAAAATTGTTATTGTTATTCAAAACCTTCAAAAATACATAGCTATAAAATAATACAACATTCTTTAGGTGAAAAAATTTTTTCGTGTCGTAGTTATGATCCACGTTGAGGATAAACAAACTTTTGTTGTGGGGATCTCACTAAACCCAGGCAGTAATAATTGAAAGGATTTGTAGGGATCTCACTAAACCCAGGCAGTAATAATTGAAAGGATTTGTAGGGATCTCACTAAACCCAGGCAGTAATAATTGAAAGGATTTGTAGGGATCTAACTAAGCCCAAGCAGTAATGCATTTCGGGATAAGTATGAATACGTTTTGAACAAACCTTCGTCACTGAAACTCAAAGACAAAAACGGGGCACAAAGGGAATCCAAGCCTATTAAATCAAAATTTGAAAGAAGAATATAAGAAACAAAATCGGACATTAATTTTATTATAAAAGTATTTTGGGAGTGAAAAATATCTCTTATAGGGTTGATATGGAGAAGAGTTGCAAATTGTAAATTGTACATTATTAATTTTGAATATGCTCCAACACATTCGATTTCATTAATGTGAACAAGCATATCAAAACGTATGCTTTTTCAAACAGATTGTGGGCGAAAGCGAGTGTAACGAGAGTACAAACTGTTGCTGTTACACAACAGTGACAAAAACCATTTGATTGTGATGATAAACGATAACACAAACACCTTGCCAATAAACTAAACCAGGATTTGATACAATCCAAGCTTTAAGCACTCGTTTGAATTTTCGATGAGCTGTAGGCGATGCTAACAGTTCACAGTACTGATGACAACGAGGGATATCTACATCTATCTACAATAAATTGGATAATTTTTTGAATTAAAACCATGGCGTAAGCTAGAAGATTAGATATTCGGCAATATACATGAATGTTGAAGACTGAACACATGAAGGTTCAGATAATAAAGTATTTTAAGAAGATATTCCAAAGGTGTGATATTGTTCAGTCGCAGGCGGCCTTTCTATAAGAATTACGACGTAAATTAAATGCGAAAAGTGTACAAAAACCAGCAAGGTATTTTAGAATATGAAGCTCTCTCACCCAATTGAAATTTGCTTATAACATAGAAATATATATTTCGAGGAAGAACACGCATAAATTTGAGTAAAAGACGCTGCGCCAACCTGTCTATCAGTTGGAGTGACAGATTCTTTATCAATTATGTCATAATTTCGTTGCACATCACCCTAAATTTAACAGAAAATTTTTAATGGAGATGAAATTTCTCTAAAGCTTGCAAATGAAAACGTCACAGGAAATTGATAGCTTACCGTAACATTCAATAAAGCAGCCCACACTTTAGCTCGTAAAAAAGGTGGAATATCGATTCTTGCTTCCTTCAGTATCTTATCTCGAGTATACGGGTAGCCCTAAATGTCGTATAGATATGTGTTATTTTTACATTAAAAATAAAGAAATTCGCTTTGTAATATTAGATTGTTTTCTAGTTTCAACAAAGTTCCCTTCGTCTGGATAGTAAAAATCACTCTCGCTATAACTACCATCTGAATACATTTTGCTTTCTCCTTGAACAATTTATATGGCCCACAAATCAATTTTAAAAATTTAAATTTCACTTTGATAAAAAAATTCGTTGCAAAAATAACACTTTTGAACCACAGTAAAGATATCGTAAAAAGCAGCCCGCTGCTGTAACCAATCATACTGCAGAAAACAAAAACTATCACTTCGCATACATCAATAAAAAAGAAATGCATTTATCATTCATTGGTCGTTTAAAATTACAACTATAAGCATCTTATTCCAAGTACAAGGGCAAGTATAAACATCGTACAGTGTATGTACAAAATCACAACCATTATCCAATCTTATCCAATCTTATCCAATAAGTAGCTACACAAGGACAACTATAAACGCCAAAAATTATACTCATCATTTACTCATCAAACGTGATAGGAAAAGTCTCCGAAACCTGTTTCAGCAACCAAATCAAATTAATATTGATCTAGTTACATTGAGCATATTGAATAACATAAACTGTAACTTTGGGTGACGGAAAATCTTTTCTATCGCTTTAAAGATCTCGCATTGTTTATATATCACTTGAAAGACTAAAGCAATAATTTCAGTTCTGCTAACTAAATGGTGAAATTACAACGTACGTATACGCTTACTTCAAGAAGTCTTTGGAACAAAACAATTCGCCGAAACTAAAAGAAAAAGAAAAACATAAAGTTTTCACATTTAAGTAAAAAATATCCATTGCAGTCCATATTTATCATATTAAACTACCTGATACTCAACATCACGTTCGCGGATGACAACCGGTAAACTTTTCATTTCACAGGAATCAAATTCACAAGGGCTAAACACAAAAGAACGTATATTTTTTCTAGTTCAAATAGAATGATCGATTCAGATCGAATAAGCAAATAAAATAGAAGATCCGCAGCACCAATAATTCATACATTGGTGGATAACTGTTGTTTGATAAACATGTATCGTTGTGCGTAAGCAAACATTGATAAAGAACAGTATGCTCTTAGATAAAATAAAACTTGCAATTCTAACTTACTCTTTTTCGACAAGTAGAGGAAAATATGCCGTTTGCTCAACACGAAATAGTTTCTAAAGAACAAAAAATGCAAAAAACGAAGTTCATCACGCACTTTATTAGCTATTTGCTCATAACCATGCGACTTTGTCTTGAAAACACTTAAAATACGACTAAACTTAAGATAATGATAGTATATTCTGCTTACCTCTTTAACTCTTTCCAAAGATAAAGTAATGACGCTTTCATCAAATAACAAATTTCTGTCTCTATTCACGCCTAGCTTATCGCCTCCTTGTAAAATTACACTGCCGAATGGCGTAGAAAGCATTAAAATAACACAAAAGAAAAGTTTATTACAGTCAGAGCAGCCATTCACTATAGAAACTCTGAAGACGACGACACAATATGTGTAGGAATTATTTTAAAGTTCAAAAACATATTACATAACAAAGAAATCCTATTTTTGTAAATATACACCGTAGCTTTCATTAAAATTAACAAATTGATCGTTTTTTCTGAAGAGTTTAAAGCATGCTATGAAAACATACTTGGGCATACTGCATACTGGTGGTGTGCTTTTTATAAGATTGTGTTTTTTCAGTTCAGCAACAACATCACCGCCAGCCAAAGTCCATAAATGATAAACCTCTTGAAGGGATCTGTTGACCACAATATAACGTGATGTAAAAGGCATTAAAGTTACTGATGAAAAATGTTGCTTGTGCCATAAATGATATAGCACTGAAAAATAACATTGTTCATTCATTTACCTTTCTTGAAGTAGATCGTCTATATTTGCACATATACAAGAGAAAAGAATACTTATTGTTAAAAGTCGTATTTATCACAAACGATTTATACTCCAACTGCAGTCACACCAGAAATCTTTTCCTCATTCAAGTGAACGGGAAGTTCAAGGTCTCTCGAGCGAAATACTCCCAAGAATCCATCATTATCATAGATACCACAAAGCTGCACACAGAAACATGTAAAAAGATAGAACACATTCATGTCAATGGTACGACCAGAGTGTAGAAGTAAAAGTACTACATATCTATAGCGTTATGTTTACAAAGAACATTAATAAAGCAAGATTACGTAAAATAAAGAAAATTTCATCAAATAAAACCTCTTCAACAGTTTTAATATCCTCAAACAATGGATGATCCAGAAGCTTCATTGGATCCGGTCTAGAAAAGAGTATTTGATTCAAAAGTTTATTGTAAACAGTCGTACCTGAAGATATGTTTGTTATATAAAATTGGATAAATGTAGAGAGACGTATTGAAATATTTTAATGGCATTCGCACTGTTTTACAAAACAGGTTTGAAAAATACAACACACGATACCTTTCTGAATGTTTTATGGTGAGACAAGACTCAATAAACGAGCGTAAATCCGCGGGCATCATCTGAAATACAAAAATAATAAATATTTCAATTTTGGCATCGGGGATTCACAATTTCAAGAAATAACCTTAACATACTTCTAATATGTCGATGGAGCCATTGTCATTTAACAACAAATATAGAAAACTTTTATTTGTCTCTATAAATGAAATAGACATTTTAACAGTTGCTTGCTTCTGTCTCTAATGCAAACTGTGTTGCCTAGTCTCGTTTTCATGAAATTGTTGCAATCGTTATAGAGTGAATGCTTTCACACGTTTCAAAAACAATCGCTAATGTAAACATTGGAAACCTGGTTTGGTTTTCTTTGTATTCATTAGTCGTCAATGGGGTAACCAGAATTTGTTCGTGTTATGTAAATTTCAGAGCAATATCGTTATTCATTTTTTTAGAAATATTTTGTTGTCTCCCTTGATGAAGCACAAGGCAAAATCTGCACAGAAAAAATAATTTTGCCGCTGTCTACGCCACTGTCGACGTAGTTGTTTTAAGTTTTTGCTTTGAATGCTTTCGTATGTTCACGAAAAATTTCGACGGTAATTGGCAAATAATTATCCACTATAAGTTTCAAATGCAGCCAAATACTTCATTTACGTAGTTAAAAGTAATGCTTGCAGCCAGCGAACAGTAAATTTTTGAAAATAACCTTTAGATTTTATCATTAACGAAAACGTCTTTTTTATGATCTCTTTAACATCCCACACGTCGCGAAAATCCTTCCAGATCTCTTTTCCCTAATCAGTAACACAAAACTTTGGTATTAATAACGTAATTTATCACATATAAGCAGTAATGAATAAAAAATATATTTAAAATCTAGTATTTACCATAAATAATTCTGTAAAAATAATCCCAAGAGACCACGTATCAACCTAATATGTAGGTACATAAATAAATTGAATAAAAACCACTAAATCTTACTAAAGTAATTCAAATTATCACATGACTACCTTTGAGCTCGATGCTAATGATGAAAATCGTGGAATTTGTAGCAATGTTTCTGGAGGGAGATACCGCGGGGATCTGATAAATAAAGCTGTGTGAAACCAACAAAGTTTTCGTTTTGATGTTCTCACAAATTCAAAATAAGTTTGTACAATCGTTGGCAGTTGCGTAACCAACTCTGAAATTTGGACCTGCTAGGAACGTATTGATTTTACGGTGAGCAAACAGTTAAATATTTCCACGGGAAGAGTAAATAAACGAGCTGGTTAGACCACTGCATGGGAGTCTTTACCCTATAGGAAAATCGACAGCAGTACCACAATCCGTCATGTAATAGCGTCCATATTGAGAGAGCTTTATTTTACCCTGTATGTTTTTAAAAAAAACTTACAATATCATAGGAATATTATTACTGATTGATAATTTGTTGAATGATACTATTATTTTCTTTTCTTTGATTATTGTAAACATTTACTAAATGTAAACTTTGCATTATAGTGTTTAAAAAAACATTGCATAGTGGCTTAAAGATGCCATTCTTTCTTTTCAGGGTGAAAAACAATATTTACTCATTCAGCCTATTCATTTGTTGTAATTTCTAAGCTGTGAGTGAATTTCGAATGCATGGAAAGTACAGTGCACACAATCAAATAAAATCAATTATACCAATGAATTTAGTTTCAATATGCAGTTTTAAAAAGCAGGGTTATTGTAAGAAAACACACGAGAAGCAAACAAATATGTGTTGTAATGTTTCGTTTAAACAAACTGTAGTTCTTTTAACTTTTAAAGCCTTACCGTTGAATCCAACAAGATATTGTCTAGAGACAAAGATCTATGCACAATATCTTGGGATTGCAAATAAGCTAAACCAAGCAAAATTTCATGAGCTATCCTTTTCATAACATCTAAATCCCTAAAACATTTTTAAAACAATTTACTATATGTAAGATGTTATAGTTACTTGTTCTCAAAGATAAGTAAGGTTTTCAGAACACAAAAACAATTCAAAATCAACATTTTGCAAAGCGTATTATGTCAAACTTTTCCATACATTTAAAAAGTTTATAGTGTAGGTCATATACTAACCTGAAATAGCCTTCCAAAAGAGCACTCTGTAAACTGACATTGTAATGCTCTGAGATGATGACAAGCCTCTCTGCATTAAGATTGAATTGCATTGTTCAAACATTGAATTTCTTAGTGTATATAATAAGGTATATAAGTCAAAACTCAATTATGCAGATATCATAAAAATTTCTTGTATTATTCAATAGGAACACAAGAACGAGGAGCAACTAAAGAGATATACAAGAATTACAATAAATGCGGGATGGTTATGCAAGAACTATGAGCAACGAGGGATGGTTATGCAAAAACTATGAGCAGTGAGGGATAGTTATGACCCTCAAATTTGAAGTGATGATATGATGTAATGTAGACAAGGTACAGTATGTTCAATCAACAGATGTCAGCAGAGAAAGTTGTGAAAGTACAAGGACAAGCAATCCTCCTCGTGCATGTTAAACAACCCAATGTTTTCTTTCTATAGATGAGTTAGACTGTTTACGTTTTTTGGCAGGCAGATTTGATCAAGTGCCTTTAGACAACACTAGCAACAATGCTTGACCTCCCTTGGGATATATCTGCTATCCAGAAAATGTAAACAATCTAACTTCAGCTAATTGTTAATTCATCAATGTAATTGAGAATAGCATTAAATAAGTTATAAGCATAAGCATCTCTATCTGCAAAACATAATTTAATAACACTGACTCGTACAAAAAGGGGCGTTTTTAGGTGGGGAAAAGATAATGCACTAATTTGGCGACATCTGTAATAGTATGTATGGCTGCAACTGCAAGGTATGTCGATCGTCCTGGAATGTTGCTGTCAAATTTCCCATTTAACAGTAAAGTTTATATTTTATGGTGTATGTGTCATGTTAAGCGTAAAGACATACCATGCCTCCCACGAACAATATCAAGATATTCACAAAGATTTGGGTGCCTTAACGTTTTCAATCTTTGAAACTTTCCATAAACAACAATGGAGTTAAGTGTCAGAGGAAGTCCATTTGTACCACACGTATCCGCAGGATGAACAGAAGCTAAGAACGTCGAAATGCCAATATTTGATCGTCCTAATTTAGCCATAATATGATTTCAGTTTATAAACACACATTAAATAGTTTCCAATCTGAAGAAATTAATAGTACAAAATCAAAACAGATTTAATTTGAAATATTTGCTTTACGCAACCCCCGTAACCAATTCATTACATCTGTCTATCGGGGGGGGGGAGACAAAAACATGTCATTTATTTAGCGTTTTCTGGGAACAAAGTCAGTGCCATGGTCATTGCAGGTCACAAACAGTAAACTTTGAAGACATTTCATGTATGGTGAGGTTCATTCTAAAAAGTATTGTACTCGAGAGAAGATTGATTACTGTTTTCAATTCAAAAAGATTTGTAGTTTGGTCAGCTAATACCACACGTGGCATAAATAGATTTTCAATGTCTGGTGCAATGGATGAAACGGATATGTACAGGAAGAAAGTTAAATTGGCTGTATGTAAAAACATAATCATGAGTGAAGCTATAACTTGTACAAACATATGGCTACGTTTATGATGATAGAACAGACTAAATAGATTTTTCTCATAACATTTCATAAAGTTTCATGAATACTGTATTCATGGTTATGTATTATAGGAAGATGAAATTCTGACCTTGAAGAACAAAATTGAGGATTTGAAAGACAGCATCACAGAGAAACAAGATCATGAACTGGCAAAATTGAAAACTGAAAACTCTAAACTTAAATATCAAATCAATCATTTGGAAAAGGTAGCCAACATTGCATTGACATCACGTTTTTTAATGCATTGAACTAAATGAATAACTTTTGTCAATTCAGAGTATTTCTTATGAGAAACAACAGTCATACAAGTTTTCAAAAACATTCTTGGAGAGCTAGAAGACTTATTTTCTATTGCAATATCTTGTCTCTATCCTGGTATTGAAGCTCCCATTTCTGTAAATAAATCAACTTCGGAAAAGTTTGGTGATTATCAATGTAATAATGCAATGGCTATATCACAAGTAAATGATATTTGACTGTTTAGAATGATTTGGAAATATTATGTTTGTAATCTTCACTGTTATTTTTTAAATTAGATTTTAAAAGGGAAAGGAGAAACAGCCATCCCTAGGGATATTGCTAAAGCAATTGTCAACCATATTCCTAAGAATAATATTATTGATAAGGTAATACCTAGTTTTTTGTGGAGAATTGAGTTAAACATAATTTTCATGAACCCTATAAAAATATATGGTACACATATTAAAATTGCTTTGGTGATTTTAAATTTGATATTTAGGTTGACATTGCTGGCCCAGGTTTTATCAACATTCACATTAAAACTGACTATATTGAAAGTTTTGTAAATGATGTACTGAAAAATGGTGCTCAGGCACCAGGTGTTGGCAGAAAGAAAAGGGTGGTTGTTGACTTTTCATCTCCAAATATTGCAAAAGAAATGCACGTAGGACATTTACGATCAACAATTATCGGAGAAAGCATATGTCGACTTCTGGAATATGTTGGACATGATGTTTTGAGGTGAACATATAATTGTTCAGTGGCATAACTGCCAATTATCTATTAAATTTCGCTGTAACTTTAAACAGACTTGTGTGTTTGGCATGTTGTAAGTCAAAATGACTGCTTATAGTGCATTTATTTCTGATGTTGTTACAATAGACTTAATCATGTTGGTGATTGGGGCACACAATTTGGAATGCTCATTGCTCATCTGCAAGATATATTTCCAAACTATCTCATCGAATCTCCTCCAATTCAAGATTTGCAGGCATTCTACAAGGTATTGTTGTAAAGTTTTACTACAGTTTCATTATTTTTCAAGTAACATTTTAATGTTTATAAATGAGAAGTTTGAGTTCACCTTTGATCATCTAGTCTTGATAAAAGATGGATTGTTTCATATAAATGATGTTTCATATGTTTGTATCTTGATTCCATCCTGGTTCAAATTCACAAGTATCTAATTGCAAATAAAATGTTTTTGGTATTTTGCTCTGCTGCTGGTAAAAATATTATGAATTTTATTGCCAACTCACAATTCATTTTTGTCGTGTCGTGTCTAGTAACGTATTTCCGCCATTTTCTGATTCAAAAACCTTATAACAATTTGACCAAGGCCATAAAAGTTACGCTAAATTATTGTTTACATCATGTGCAATCTTATTTTTGATTGGTATTGCTCAGTGTTCGTACCGTTTACGTCTTAAGGCATCAAAAACAAGATTTGATGATGACGTAGAGTTTAAGAAGAGAGCCTACGAATGTGTTGTGCTGTTACAAAACGGTGATCCAAATGTTAGAAAAGCGTGGAATATGATTTGTGATGTGTCAAGATGCGGTTAGTCAATTTTGTAATCATTCAATTTTTTAATCATCAAACTGTATGCAGTCAAACCTGTCGTAAGTGGACACTCTTGGGATGACGACATCACGACCTGATGTCTTTTTACGGGAGGTTCCGCTTAAGAGAGGTTATGAGAGATAGTGTTAAAGCAAGGACTGCACAAAGTCTTGTCCGTTAACGGCCCAAAGTAGTATCCGTTTACAGGCCAAAGTTGTGTCCGTTTACAGCCCAAAGTAGTGTCCGTATACAGCCCAAAGTAGAGTCCGTTGATGGCCCAAAGTAGTATCCGTTTATAGCCCAAAGTAGTGTCCGTATACAGCCCAAAGTAGAGTCCGTTTACAGCCCAAAGTTGTGTCCGTTTATAGCCCAAAGTAGTGTCCGTATACAGCCCAAAGTAGAGTCCGTTGATGGCCCAAAGTAGTGCCCGTTTACGGCCCAAAGTAGTGTCCGTTTACGGCCCAAAGTAGAGTCCGTTGACGGCCTAAAGTAGTGTCCGTTTACAGCCCAAAGTAGAGTCCGTTTACGGCCCAAAGTAGTGTCCGTTTACGGCCCAAAGTAGTGTCGTTTACAGCACAAAGTAGAGTCCGTTGACGGCCCAAAGTAGTGTCCGTTTACAGCCCAAAGTAGAGTCCGTTTACGGCCCAAAGTAGTGTCCGTTTACGGCCCAAAGTAAAGTCTGTTGACGGCCCAAAGTAGTGTTCGTTGACGGCCCAAAGTAGTGTCCGTTTACGGCCCAAAGTAGTGTCCGTTTACGGCCCAAAGTAGTGTTCGTTTACGACCCAAAGTAGAGTACGTTGACGGCCCAAAGTAGTGTCCGTTTACGGCCCAAAGTAGAGTCCGTTGACGGCCCAAAGTAGTGTCCGTTTTCGGCCCAAAGTAGTGTCGTTTACAGCACAAAGTAGAGTCCGTTGACGGCCCAAAGTAGTGTCCGTTTACGGCCCAAAGTAGAGTCCGTTGACGGCCCAAAGTAGTGTCCGTTTACGGGAGGTTTTCTATTCCTAGTGGTGTCAGTAAGTAAAAGTTCTACTTTATTTGTATTTAGCTCAAAACAGGTTTATGTTGGCCGTATTTTATGTTGCTAAAATTAAACTTGAGATAACATGTAAGATAAATAAAGAGGGATCTGCTTCAATTTTCACTGATTTCAACTCGCAAGACTTCCATAAAGTGAAGTCCACATGATCCTTGAAACGATCATTGAAATTTTACCATCGATTTTAAAAAGGCAGGTTGTTATATTAGCCACATTAAACCACCATATATTTTTTTAAGAATTTGACAAAATCTACAAAAAACTTGGTGTTACGTTGATTGAAAGAGGAGAATCATTCTATCAAGATCTGATGGAAGATGTGGTTCAAAATTTAGAAAAACAAGGTACAATATAAGAATAAATCCTGCAAAAGGATATCTTTGTAGTGTTGTGAAATTGTCTGGACTTTAGTATTCTATGACAATGTCGATATTTTCGATATTTCTGCTTAAACAAAGGAACAAGAGGATCTCCTCAGATTTACTGATATCAACCGTCTTCTCGTTTGATCAGGATTAGTTCGTGTCGAAGAAGGGCGCAAACTTGTTTTTCCCTTTAATGTAAAAGTTCCTTTAACTATTGTCAAATCAGATGGTGGTTTTACTTACGATACTTCTGATCTCGCCGCTTTAAAACAAAGAATATTTGAAGAAAAAGGAGATTGGTTGATTTATGTTGTTGACGCTGGCCAGGTGAATCTTCGTGTATTCAATGATATTTGGGATTTTTCTTGTTGTCAGTCAATATTTTACGTAGCTTAAAACATTGCGATGTTTAACTGTTCCATGTTTTCTGCCATAAACCTTTTCAAGTTTGCGGTATTTTTAATCAAGTGGTTACAAAACTTCGTATGCAGTATATCTTTCTTTGTATTTTACGCGATTGTGTTTTTACTCATTGTAGTATTTTGATCTTTTTTCTTGCAGGGAGTTCATTTTCAGTCCGTTTTTTCAGTTGCCCGCCAAGCAGGCTGGTATGATCCCAAAAATACTCGGGTTGATCATGTCGGTTTCGGTGTTGTTCTCGGCGAGGATAAGTATGTCATTTTTTGTTGTTTTTTTACTTTGATTTCTACCATTACTTTTTGTGACTCAGTAACGACATAAATGATGATGTTAAAGTTACGTGACCCATTAACGGCATAATGGTTTCATAAAAGATTGAACATTGGACAAGTTTCTTCTTCAATATGAAGTCGCTTATTTGGCATATAGCTAGTTTGCTTCACGTTAAAACAAAACATGAAAGAAATGTTCCATGTTTTTCTTCGAGATGTTCCATGGTTTTTCTGGTGATTTTCGTTTTATTCTTTCTCGATCTACTCGTCCTTGACTTTGTACTTGTACTTGTTCTTGATCATTCCTGATCTTCTTCTTTGTTCTCGTTCTTTTCCTCGTTTTCGTTTTCGTTCTTGTTTTGTTGTGAAATATAAGACTGTTAATATAACAAAATAAAGAAAACTTGGGAAAAATATTTTTTGCAAGGTCACATAGATGCATTTTATTCAACGTTTTCTGTTATTGGAAAAACTCACCACCATTGTTTTTATTATACTTGCTTTTTTGCAGGAAAAAGTTCAAAACTCGTTCCGGAGACACAGTTCGTTTAGGTGATCTTCTTGATGAAGGCTTAAAGAGATCTTTGGATAAACTACTGGAGAAGGAAAGGGAAAAGGTATTTAAATTCATGAAATGAAAGATAGCCATACATAAGATCAGAATATTTCTTTTTTTCATAGTATGAAACTGTTGTAAAAAATATTTTCTCTGTTTAGTAATGAAGCAGCCATGTTGAGCGAGCTTAGTTAGCCATCAGGATCTTTCCAGAGCAATGAAAATGCATAACCAGAAGCACGCTTTAGAATAACAATGTTTTATCTGTATTGGAAACATTTCTCTGTTTTATACGTTTAGGTTCTCACAGAAAAGGAACTTTCTGCTGCCAAGACATCCGTTGCTTACGGTTGTATAAAATATGCTGATCTTTCGCATAATCGTACTAATGACTATATTTTCTCATTTGATAAGGTAAAATTTTTGATGGCATTGCTATGTTTTTCAGCTTTAAAAGCATCAGTGTGTGGTGTATTTGAGTCATTCGAAATTTCTTATAGATGTTAGATGATCGAGGAAATACTGCTGTGTATCTTCTGTATGCATTTACAAGAATAAGGTTTGTAATCTGATGATTATTCTAGAAATACATTGAAAATTCATTTTGTCATTGGTAAAAATATCTTGCCTTTCTTATAAACCAAATAGCTTGCCTTTCTTATAAACCAAACTTACTTGTTATGCATAAAATGAAAAAATAACCGTTCTTACCATTTCCCCAAATTATACATAGGTCGATTCAAAGAACTGCGAATGTTGAACATGATAAGCTTATTGAACATGCTTTGTCGACGTCAGTCCAACTTAATCATCAAAAAGAATTGAAATTGGCAAAATGCTTAGTACGTTTTCCCGAAGTTGTTCTTCGCTTGTTGGATGATTTGTATTTACACTTGCTTTGTGAATACTTGTACGAATTGGCGACTACCTTGACGGAGTTTTATGATGCCTGTTATTGTGTTGAAAAGGATAAAAAGACTGGGGAAATTGTTAAAGTGGATTATAACAGACTTTTGTTGCTAGAAGCCACAGCGCGTGTCATGGAGAAAGCTTTTTTTATCATTGGCATTGACCCTGTTTCTAAAATGTAGTAAACAAAATGTTATTTTGATACGCAATTACATTGATTGTGAATGGAAAGTTAGTACTGTACATGTGTGGAACATTGATTGAAAGCCTAAATTTTCGTTACTTTTACCATCACAATTTTAGACAGATTAATTTAAAATACTATCGAACTCGAAGGCCTTGTTTAGCCACCATTCCCTGTTTGTAAAACTTATAATACCAGAACATCATTTGTCGAAAATGACGACAACATGAAACCCAGATGCAAATGTTGGTCAAATATGCAAGCAAGTCACGGGTAGGATAGAGAATATTGTTAAAAAGTTTTGGCCGTCATTTTACCATTCGAGATACATTATAGTTTTTCGTGCTTCTTGGAATATAACAACAATTACAACATTAATATTAGGTTTTTATCGGCTGTTCACTTCGTAATGGTAAATACGGAGGATAAACTTCGGCAGTCGGAAGATTATCTTCGGAACAGTTTTCGAATGCGCCTCCTTTTGAAGGATGAAAATTAGCGTATTCTCGTTCACACGCTGAAAACTACATGACAACGGTTTTATATTCGCGAAAGATTCCTTATTATAAGTAGTTGTTTTTGTTAAAACGGCGTATCAAGATGATGATCGAAGAAGTAAAGAGTACTACAAAAACGCAAAGGATTGCCGCACATAGCCATGTAAAGGGACTTGGTTTAATCGAAGATGGTACTGCTCATCAAACAGCATCAGGCTTAGTTGGACAGGAAACTGCACGTGAGGCAAGTTTTCAATCTTTAACGGTCAAAAAACGAAACACATTTTACCAAGCATTAACTACCAGCCATGTTTAAACGTCAAATTTCAACACTAGTTGAGTTTGATACGAAGATTGTAAATATTATGTGTACGAACACTGATACACATGAATAGTTGGGCGCAGAGCATTATTCTTGGTCATTTTTGACTATTTACATAATTTCTAAACTTGTATACCTTATTTTCTCCGATAAAAATTTATGAATTATTTGTTTTCCACTAAATCTCACATGATTTCAGTGTAGAATTGCTGGGATTGGTTTAAAAGCACCAGACAATAAACTTTGTTTTATTTGTTTGGTTTGGTACAGTACACTCTCTCTGGAACCACTTGCTGTATAGAAACTTGGCTTTTGTATATGTGATGTATATGGTTTATTTCTTATTTTATAAAGGCTTGTGGTGTTGTTGTTGAGCTAATCAAATCTAAGAAAATGGCTGGTCGTGCTATTCTTTTGGCAGGCCCTCCTGGTACTGGAAAAGTAAGACAAAAATTTATAATTAATTGCTGTAAAATATAAAAATATACCTTTGTAATTTTGTATTTTTTTGCAGTGTAGTGATAATCCTCTCTTTCTCCCCCCCCCCTAACTGACACATTTTCATTACAAAAATTGCAAAATGAAAAAACACATTTAATGATTTATGCCAACCATTTATTGTTGAAATGGCAGCTCTTGCTATATGTATACAACTCTTCTCTTGAATTTTACACCCTAAACCTAAATTATTTTTCATTCAAAATATTGAAGTAATCCTCTCTGAACAACTTTATCTTATATATTCTCATTAAATAGTAATGTCAATATGTTTATCTATTTAACTTAGACTGCTCTTGCTTTGGCTATTGCACAAGAGTTAGGACCCAAAGTTCCATTTTGTCCTATGGTTGGCAGTGAAGTGTATTCAGCAGAAATAAAGAAGACAGAAGTTCTCATGGAAAATTTCCGTAGGGCTATAGGTTTGTAAAGCTGCACCTCTCACGTCACAATCATTCTATATGTTTGCATTTATTTTACTAAAATTTGCTGTTTATAGGTTTGCGTATAAAGGAAACAAAGGAGGTTTATGAGGGAGAGGTTACAGAGCTTACGCCATGTGAAACAGAAAATCCTCTTGGAGGTAATGAATGTTCAAACTGCGCGACAATATCTTTATGTTTGTGAGTTAAAGAGAATATTTATTCATATTTATTTCAGGATATGGTAAAACAGTAAGCCATGTTGTTATTGGATTAAAAACAGCAAAAGGGACGAAACAACTGAAGGTTTGAACAAACATTTTTCTTTAAACATTTTGTTAAATTTTCCAAATGTTTTGTTGATTACATTCCAACTTAAATGGAATGGATTTTCTTAGTTGGACCCATCTATATATGAAACACTTCAAAAGGAAAAAGTTGAAGTTGGTGATGTTATATATATTGAAGCCAATAGTGGAGCAGTTAAGGTACATAAAAGCATAAAAACATATTTAGTGCTTATTAATTACATTGTTGTTACATTGGTATTAATTTTCATTGCCTTCTAGAGACAAGGACGATCAGATACATTTGCTACAGAATTTGACTTAGAGGTAAGGAGAAATGAGCAATACCTTTTATGTTTCGTGTAGTTTTAATGTCAATCTGTTTTAATGAAGTTATGTCAATATTACCTGCAAAACAAAATGTTTTCAGCTACTGAAAGTGTAGATTAAAATTGAATTCACCTTTCCGACGGTGGACACACGTGTCAAAAATACGAGATCAAATTGCAAAATTCGGACATTCAAATGGTTAGGAAATGCTTTTGAGTTTTAGGGCATTTTGAATCTGATTCTAGTTATTCAGAACGATTATTTATAAAGGCAGAAGGCATAACAGTAAATATTAACCATTTTTGGTTAGAAAAACGATAACGATCAAAGGAAAGCTTGAAAACTGGCATGTTGTCGCGCTAATGACTTTTTTGTAAGGATTGTTACGGGCCTTTGCGGCGTGGCTTAAAAATATATAGGACGGATTCAAGCTGTATAAAGCGCAAAAAAACAAGCCTTACAAATGTTTGAACTGTTATTTTTATTACATGGTGGTTTTGCTGTCTTATAATCACCAATCACTATTATTATGATTGATGGATGAAATCTCCCTAAAACTGGCTTTTCAGATTAATTTACAAGTTATATACGTAAAAATACATTGTAAACTATAGATATAAATTTAAATGTATAAAATTAGGGTGACGCTAAATGATAACATACAAAACATTGTTTTATTATGAATATATGTTAATTGTATTCTAAGGCAGTCATGAATCTCATCTGGATTCTCATGATACGTCGAATCATAAATATCATAAAAATAACACTTAAAAAAATCTATGACTTGTAATATTCTTCGCTCGATACGGATCTGAATATTCTTTGGTAGGGTGGTTTCTACACAATACAACGAAATGCATACTACATGCATTTATGTAATAAATTGGACGGCTGTCTCTATGCGATCGAAACAAGTTTTGAATCCGAAAATTGTACTGTTTAATCGCAAAAATACTGAGAAGTGAAGTTACTTCCTAGATTGAATCATGAAAATATTGTAAAAAGAGATTTACTATCCAAAACGAATTAAAATTTTACGACACAAGGGATAAATTTATACGATACAAATGGCTTGGCTTATTAAATGTTATCTTTGTAAAAACTATTATTAAAAAAGTAGATAGCCCTTTTTTCCACGAAGCCCATGGGTGCTTTCGTTCACGATGAGAGAGTTACAACATTGTATAAGGAGGCTCTCGTTCATCACGAGAGAGTTATGAGAAAGTTACATTGTAAAAGGTAACAAGTAAAAAACGTATTAACATGTTTAGAGATGGTTTAGAAGAAAAATGCAGAAGTTTTTGAACCTTTGCAGTATACTTGGATGTTCTAGTTTATTTTATGAGAAGATAAAAAAGTAGATAAAAGATAAAATTCGAAAGCAAAAACGTAAGGCACTAGAACGCCGCATGTTAACGTTTCGGCCCCTCCACGCTATCCTACTTGGGAGATGCAATAGCAAGCTTCCGCCCATCAGACCCTGAGATCACCTGCGATAGGCTTTGCTCGGGGTACGCAGGGAGAGTGCGGTCGCGACCGAAGTCTGGGCCCCTAAGCCACTGCATACTATATCGCACCCAGCTTCCACTGCTAGTTGACATCTACTATATGAAGTTTTAGCTTTATATATATATACGTAAATTCAAAGGCTTACGAAAGTTATGGTATTAATAATGTCACTACTGCGCATGCCCAGATTATTTCTTTGATAATTTGCGACTAAGTGAGCTAATTGCCGCAAATGTAAAGCAAGTACATATAGTTAGTCGTTACCATGACTATGAACAATTATTTGAGTGGTCTGCGCATGCTCGTGCGCATGCGCAGATGATTTCTCTATTAAATTGTTACTAAGCATGCTATTTACTTCAAAATCGGTGCTAGTAAATGCAGTTGATCGTTGCCTTGAGCATGAACTTGCGCAGCTTGTCAAGTCCAATGCGTAGGTTCCAGCATACTGCGCATTTGCAGATGATATATCTGAATATTTGTGACTGAGCGACCTAATTACTCTATAATCGGTACCAGTACATACAATTGGTCGTTGCCATAACTATGAACTTGGAGAGTCAGTGGAGTTGATTACGCATGTTCAGATTAATTTGTGACAGAGCGAGCTTGGAAATTGGTGCTTGTTTATGTGCTTAGCAAATTTTCAATCATATATTTTTGGCATGCTCTTTGTGTTTTGACAAATGCATATCAAACTCATCAACACTTTGTTACGGCACTTGTAATATCCGCAACAATGTTAGAAATGTTTTTATTTTTCTCTACAACTTTGTATCTGCATATATATTGCATGTCATATCCAAGCTTTCCATTGATTTGACAGAAAATGGTTTTTATTCACTCTTACACCTTCAGCCTTTATAATTAATCGTATTGGATTTCTAAAATAAGATTTACAAATGCCTAAGAGCACCTTCTTTCTATTTTATTTCCACCATTCTACAAATACAATACTATGTCCGACCATTTGATTGTCCGAATTTTGTAGTTTGATTTTGTATTTTTGACATGTGTTTACCATCCGAAAGGTAAATTAGATTAAATGATTAATGTAAAATCAATTGCTTTTCATACTCCAGGCAGAGGAATATGTTCCCTTACCTAAAGGGGATGTTCATAAGAAGAAAGAGTTAGTTCAGGATGTAACTTTACATGATCTAGATGTAGCTAATGCTAGACCTCAGGTTTGTAAATTATGTAGCATATGTAGGCATTTATTTCATTTGTATTGATTATTTAGATAATGATTTACACTTTTGTTCTGACTAAATGTGAAAAACAGGGATTACATTTCTGTAATCTACTGTATTTATCATAATAATTCATATCAAAATTATGTTAGTTATTCAATTATTCTTTCAGGGAGGTTCAGATATAATGTCAATGATGGGACAACTCATGAAACCAAAGAAAACAGAAATAACAGGTACGTATGATGATACTATTTTTAAGGATAGATAATCCTGAATTTCATACTTTATTGAGTGTTTGTTAATGTATTTATTAAATATTTTCTTTTTCTTCAAGATAAACTTCGTAAAGAAATAAATAAGGTAAAAAGTCAATTTCATTCAAGAAATTCTAAACATCAAAATAGAGTTTTTACACAGTTCTTCTTTACTAAAGTTATATGATTTTATGTATTTGTTTTTTGGTTGTGAGAAAACCCTGAATCATCTTTTTAAGCACAAACTTTTACATTCTTCAATAATTAATGATCAGAAGTTTAAATTGATGTTCAATGCTTTTATAGTGTTGTTTTACTATTAAATCAGCTTCTGTAGGTTTAAACCTTGAGAAGTATTGTCCTTTAGACCTTCTATTGTTTGCGATACCATCTGTGATTATAATCTTATTATTTTCAATGTTTTTTCGTGTGAAGAAGAATAAACTCAAGAATTAAACGCATTCTATAGTGCTACTCAAAGGCTTAGGAAGATTGATAATTGGGGGGGGGTCATATTCATATATTCATGTCATAATCCTTTGAAAACAATGGATTTCAAAAGAACTTAACTCTGTATATCTTGAATATATGAATATTAGCCCCCCAATTATCGATCTTCTTACGCCATGGTGCTACTAACAGCAGAACGGATTTTACTCTGATTTTACTTGTTGTACAGAATTACTCAATAATTTTTTTAATTTTCATTGCATTTTCATTTTGTTTTCATCCTTTCTAGGTTGTGAATAAATATATTGACCAAGGTGTTGCAGAACTTGTTCCTGGAGTTCTTTTTGTCGACGAGGTTAAAACCCTTATTAAATATAATAATATTAATTAATTATTTTAAGTTGATTTTGTAAGAATATTGTTTCGTTTCAGGACGCAATACCAAATTAATTAATTTAAAGTGTCCCAATCAGCAAAAATTTTTATTTGCAATATTGAAAATCGATGTAATGTCTAACGTATTGGTGAAAAAATTTTTCAATTTGGTCAAATCGTCTTGTTGTTTTGGTGGTTTAATGTTGCCTTTCAACCGTCCTTGTCCGTCGTTGCATGAAGTCTGGGTCTAGCCAAATTCTGACGTCATCCAAAGTATGGAACGATTTGATTGACTTTTTCACTTATATGTTAGAAATTACACCTAGACTAATAAAAAATTTTCCTGAAAGGGGCACTTTGATCTCAGTGAGTAGCTTAGTGCAAATTAATGCAACTCCATTGATCCTATTTAACTAATTTTACCGCGTTTATAGCCTTAATAGCTATATTGACTAAGATTTGTTAATCTTTTCTTAAAAACAAGAGCACATTTGACCCAGCTGTATTATTAACATAATAAATGTTTACTTAATGAACAATAAACGATGACGTTCTGTCTCGTTGCAAGAAGGCTGATAAAGTATAAAATATTTTTGTTTGTGCCAATATTTATACCATATCTAGGTTCATATGTTGGACATCGAGTGTTTTACATATCTTCATCGAGCTCTTGAGTCAACACTTGCACCGATTGTTATATTTGCTACAAATCGTGGATCTTGTACCGTTAGGTATGAATGAAGCTTTTTTATGACGTAATTGTTATATGTATTGCTTAGGGTAGAGTAGAGATGTGCGGTTCCAGAAAGTTCTGTTTAGTTTTAGAGGGAGTTTTTTGAAAGAAAATTCCTGTTGATTTGTTCAAAATGTAGCTAGATGTTTTTGGTGTATGATTTTTGCAGTTGCACAACAATCAAAAGACCTCAATTGTGAACTGTGTAAATTAAAAATTATATTATATTGCCAAACTAAGGGTATTACAAATCAGTATTGTGTCGGCAAACCGAACATTGTTGGTTTAGTATATTCACTCTAAGTAATGTTTTTATCTTTTATAGAGGTACAGAAATAGTTTCACCTCACGGCATTCCACTAGATCTTCTTGATCGCGTCATGATCATACGTACAATGCCTTATGCTCACGAGGAAACTGTTGAAATTCTTCGAATACGAGCGCAAATTGAAGGAATTCAAATTGATGACGAATCCATTCAAATCCTTGGCGAAACTGGGACGAAAACAACTCTCAGGTACAATATAATGTGATGACAGAAACTTCTGTGATACCTCTTCAGGTGAAACAACCTTACGTACTTGCTAAAATTTTTACATATGTTTAATCATTTACTCGAAAGAATCCTGTGAAGTATGTAGACTATATACATCTATATGTGTTTCACCCTACTGAATAGTACGGAGCTCTTGCGAAAAGTAGATTTTTTAGCAACCATGTCATGAGCAAGTGTACTCAGGTGTTTGAAATAGAGTGCGATTATATTACTGGAACTTAAGAAATCTTCCAGTTTTCATAGTGAAGAATTTGGAGAAAAATTTATTCACTTTCTCGTAGAAATCATAGTCTTGTCGTTGAGTGATTTCTTTTAATAAATTTTGTGCGTTTTATAGATATGCCGTTCAACTACTCACACCAGCGCACTTTTTGGCGAAAATTAACGGTATGCCACGAATACTGGAGACCTAACCTTGTCCCAAATGCAATTAATACTTTGTACGGATATTTTTTAGGAAGAGAAAGTATCAACAAGAGCGACATTGATGAAATCAACGAGCTTTTCTTCGATGCCAAATCATCGGCAAAACTGTTGGCTGAACAAGGAGATAAATACATGAAGTGAACAGTTTTTAATGACAATGGCCCTCTACAATGCCTTCTTTCATTCGCTGAGACAGTCAAGTTCTTTCACCATGAAGTATGGAAAACTTTCAAAACATTATAGTTCTGAGATTGTCGTGTATCAAACCAGGTGACTTATGTCATTACTGATATCTCGTGTCAACACGAGCCCATACAGAATAGCGTCAAGAACCAATTACATATGTTTTCGTCTGGTAAAATACATTCAATTTTGAACATATTTTTAAATGCTCAAAAGTTTAAGTTATCAACTTTTTTGATTTGTTGTCATTTCTTTTTCTTATCACGAAGCATTTGGATCTGTCTAATATTTATCAAACTGTCTCGAGTTTGAAATGATCAGCCCTTTAGATGCTGCATTTTATTGATTAACGACAGAGTTTAGAGATGGATGTTACCACTTGGCGGTGGAAACAACGTACATTCAACAGGTAATATATAAGATAAGATAAAGAATGTTAGTCAAATTTCAATCTTTTTGATCAGATCATTTTTTACTGACATTTAATGCGACCGCTGGATACCAAGCACTTTAGAAAAGTCGAATATTTTTTCCTGAGTTTATAAATTTTACTATGTATAAACAAAACAACCATCAACTTTTTCCATTTCAACTATTGTTGGATTTGCATTATACGTAAATTGTGGCTTCCTGCTGTGTCAAACACGCACGCTATGACACAAAAGACACGTATTAAGGGAATCGTTGCATTTATTCAAAATACATCTCTCAATCGCTCGATCGAGTACTATTAACAGCATCGTTTCTACTTGACAGCTTTCTTTATTATGCAAGAACTGTTTAAGCAACTCTAGGAGCTACTATCAAGATGACCAGTCAATTACAGGCGACGAGTTATAAATATAAGCATAAATGGTTAAAATTGATCCAAGTTTATCAGTCAATAATCGATAAATTAGAAGACAAACATGATGACCTTTATCCAGATGAATGTATTGATCTTCTACAGTTTGGTTCAAGAATCGAGATATTTTCTGCTGTCAGGCATAAAATTGCTGCCTGTAGTAGAAAATGGATGAAAGAGTTTATACGACAAGGCGGTTTAGGTTATCTCCTTGATGCATTGGAGGATCTTACTGATAAACGACGTAGTTATAACTTAAGTGAAACATGTGAAATACTACAATGTGCCTCGTGTGTAAAAACTGTCGTGAATTCAAAACATGGCTTGGAAGCACTGGTTGAGAGAAAGGAATCTGTTCAAAAATTGGCTAGAGGTTTGCGTGCTTTATATAAAGCTTTTTATTTGATTTATTGTCATGTAAATTGTTCAGTTTCCTTTCTCATTCACTTACAGCTTCAATATTTTATACTTTGTGATGTGTTCTTACTGTTTAACGCTCTAAAAAATTCTAAACTACCTGCATGAAAATACCATATCGTTGAATTTTAACAATTAATATCTGTCCTCACTTAAACTTCCTGCATGGCAGGTGCGTGAGATGAAGACGTGTTTCACCCCGGTTCGTTTTTAAATATCTTGGGTGTTTATATTAAGCTCGTATTGAGAGCTTGTCCTCTTCTGTCTCAGTCTACACCTTAAATGTATAACCGAGTCTAATTCGGTGCTGCTGAAGAGCAAAATCAAATTGTTATGAAATGAACCTTGGTTTATGCACGAACTCTTGGGTGAATCGCTCCGCTTGAGTGTTGTGTACAGTTTATAACGGTATCACTATTGGGTCAAATTCAGTCGTAATGCCGTTTTTGTTTGTCGTGATTAATTGATCATGACCTAGTGCTGTTACATCGTAATAACAGTTACCTACTGTAGATCATGACCTAGTGCTGTTACATCGTAATAACAGTTACTTACAGTTGATCATGACCTAGTGCTGTTACATCGTAATAACAGTTACCTACAGTTGATCATGACCTAGTGCTGTTACATCGTAATAACAGTTACCTACAGTTGATCATGACCTAGTGCTGTTACATCGTAATAACAGTTACTTACAGTTGATCATGACCTAGTGCTGTTACATCGTAATAACAGTTACCTACAGTTGATCATGACCTAGTGCTGTTACATCGTAATAACAGTTACCTACAGTTGATCATGACCTAGTGCTGTTACATCGTAATAACAGTTACCTACTGTTGATCATGACCTAGTGCTGTTACATCGTAATAACAGTTACCTACTGTTGATCATGACCTAGTGCTGTTACATCGTAATAACAGTTACCTACTGTTGATCATGACCTAGTGCTGTTACATCGTAATAACAGTTACCTACTGTTGATCATGACCTAGTGCTGTTACATCGTAATAACAGTTACCTACAGTTGATCATGACCTAGTGCTGTTACATCGTAATAACAGTTACCTACAGTTGATCATGACCTAGTGCTGTTACATCGTAATAACAGTTACCTACAGTTGATCATGACCTAGTGCTGTTGCTTCGTCATAAAGAAATCTGCAGTTTATCTTGGCTTGGTTTAATTACAGCTTCAGCATAGTGCATAATGGATATCGTCCCGATGAAAATAGCAGTCAGCAGTCGACCGTTGCCTCCACTTTTGTGCTTGTGATTTTGTTTGAGATTACTCAAGCTATTCACAGTGGTCATTAACACTCCCCAAGAGACTAGCTTTGACAACTGCCAATGCATATGTAATAAGTTTGTCTATTTTGCGTTTAACATTATGCGATATACATCGTGCAATGAGCGACAGTCGTAAGATTTTGATGAAACTATATTTTATGATGAAACTTGCGTAAATAACAATAGTTATATAAAGTAAAGAAAAAAGGATTCGAACTGGCTCCATCTACCAAAGGTTCCCGCCGTGGCTCAGGCCAGAATTCCGAAGCTTGGAAGCTGAACTTTCTCAAGCTTCGTGGTTTGGGCGCTCTTTTGTCCACAATAGAAACTCTTGATTATGAGAAAGTTAGATCGATTCTTGACAGCCATGAAAGTGTTGATTGCATTTCCAGTTTTACTTCAATGATTAATTCATTTGGACTGGACAACTTATACAGCGAAGAAGGGATTCTCTCTGGTCTGGTCAAAGGTTAAATTTCTCGCTGATCGTTAGTTAGTAGTTTTCGTCGTTTGCAAAGACGTACATGTTTATTCTTCCTAGGGCTGGATAATTTACAACATAATCTTATAAAATATGCCCTTGTTGATCTCGGAGTTTTTCTTCAAAATGTTGCGTTTTACATGTTCTAAGCGACATATTCACAATGTGCATTCGTGGTATTCTTCTAAATAAACTAAAAGTGATGAATTAAATATGTTGTCACTAAGCGAGGTGAACTTTTATCAATTAAACGAAAATGTTTGTGGACAATTTCAATTCATTTCATTTCATTCGTCTTAAGATAAAATACTAAATCGATTTGCGTCAATTTTGCCAACTTACGTCATCGTGAAAAAGCTCAAAGAATCAGTTCGTCATGCTAAGTTGAAATAGGCCGTCATAAATAATTTGTCGTCATGCTGTCTTCAAATATTTCCTTTGAATGAAGATGTGATAAATCTCACAGTATCTTATTCCTTTGCATTCGAAAGGAGACATCTTTTTAATTATTGTTCATCTTCCAACTACTTTGTTGTGACGTCGAAGCTAAAAGCGAAAACGTATTTTTTGCACCATCAGATCAGATGCTCGTTGTATCAAGCTTTAGATAATTATTACAATGCCTTTTATGTGAAGTGGCATTGTATAGTTTCGATAAAACACAAGATTTCCATTAGTATTAACTACTAGAGCGTTATGCAATTTGCCTTTATGCCATAGGTTTCCCTTGAGTTCTGCTCTGATATTCTGTATTTTTTTTGTTTTAGCTCTTGATACGAACAATGTGATGTTGAAAAAGCAAGTGTTCGAACTTCTTTCTGCTTTATGTGTTTATTCGGAGTTAGGATACAAAATGGCAATCGATGCTTTAACTCACTATAAGGTAAAGTTAAAGAAATGAACACCTGTTTGTACCTCGTATGCCTCTTGTGAATTGATTCTACTTTAATTTCAGTCTACTAAAGGCCAACGGTATCGTTTCAGTATTATCATTAACGAACTGAAGAACGCCGAAAGCAATACTTACAAAACCACGTGTCTTGCATTTATAAATTCTATCATCATTGGTAGTGAAGAATTTGACGAAAGAGTTCGCATAAGAAATGAATTTGTTGGTAAGTGTAGTTAAATGTAATGAAATATAATGAAATATGGTGTATATCAAGCAAAGAGGTCTTACCTTGACAAACACATCAAACCCCTCTTTGTTTAAGTTATAATTGAACCCAGAAATAAAATTCTAAATGGTGTAGATTTGAAAATTTCCTGAAATACTAGGAATGACGGTTCAATTTTCAAATTACAGTGTATATGGCTAACACTGATTTGAAGATTTCTAAAATCTATTGGCCAACGTCTTTTCATACGATTCCGTTTCTTTAGGTTTGCAACTTCTGGATATCTTAAACGAAATACGGTATTTTTCTTTTATTATAAAGCTATTTCTCAGCTATACACAAGTATTGTTGATTGATAGAAAGTAATGATGTATATCGTCCAACATTTTTTCTTTGTTGATTCAGTCATACAGATGACAATGAATTACAAATACAGTTGGATGTTTTTGAAGATGAGCGCTTGAAAGATGAAGATGATTTTTCAACGCCTGAAGGAATTGATGTCAACAATCATTCGGATGTATTTCATAGCTTGCTGAAGCAGGTATATTACCAGTACTAAACAGATGATGCAAAAGAGATAGAGTAAACAAAGCTACAAGTTTGACAAGCAATATCATATTGCCAAGACATACTATTGTAAATTTGAGCGTTATTATAGATTTTGATTTTTTTTTCTCTAGATAAGTAATAAACCATATGCCACGAATTTTTTGCACATTTTGCAAAGTCTTCTGGCCATCACAGAAGAGGACAGTTTGGTGGATGTTGTTTGGGAAACAATTGAAAAGTTTGTGAAGCGTTGCTCAAACATGAAACGTCGAGAGCAAAGTGGTTTTTTGCTCAGTTCTGAGTTAGACCTACTAAAATCCATGATTTCAAGGTTATCACAGGAAGAAAAAAGTGGCAAGGTAACGATTTCAATTTCTCGACTTGCGAATTTCAATTCATACTTGCCTCATTACTATCCCTTTCCCCAGGCAGCTGCTCCTCCAGTCCCTTCACCTCCGCCTCCTCCTCCTTGTCCCGGATCTACAACACCTCCACCTCTTCCATTATCAAGTTCAACCATTCCACCTCCTCCACCATTACCAGGATCAGCAGCTGGTCCACCACCTCCTCCACCATTACCAGGATCAGCTGCTGGTCCACCACCTCCTCCACCATTACCAGGATCAGCTGCTGGTCCACCACCACCTCCACCATTACCTGGATCAGCTTGTCCTCCACCACCTCCACCACTACCAGGCTTTAACCGAGTTGGTACAACTGGAACTCCAGTTCCACCTCCCTTTTTGTCTGGGTCAATAAGCACTCCAAAATGTCAGAGCCCAGGAACACCCATAACACCATATACGTCTATATTTCCGTCCGTCAAAGCAAAGAGCAAAATGAGAAAATTCCAGTGGGTGAAAATTCCTCCAAACATTGTATCGAAAAACCAAAACTGCGTTTGGATGAAGGTTTGGAACTGTCCTCCTTTACAAGCAGATTTTGAACAGGAGGAAGAGCTCTTCAAGCAAAAACAAATTGCAAATAAAAAGAAATCAGAACAGAAAAAGGAAAAAACTGAGGTTTGTTTTCTAGAAACTTCATTATTTCTAAGTTTTGACCTATCAACACAATTCCAAATTCTACATGCTTTCCTTATCTCGTATGTATTTTTCTCACAAAATGTTAAAAATGTTTTCCCCAAAATCAACTTCTATGTGTTTCAATAGATCACATTCTTGGACGCAAAACAAAGCTTGAATATTAATATTTTCTTGAAACATTTTAAAATGTAAGTAAAATTTCATTATTATTTATCATTATAATTTTTGTTTAGTCATTGATTCTGTGCAATCTCGTACTTTCTTTAGGCCTGTTGATACAATAGTGCTTGCTATCAAAGAATCAAATGTTGAAAAGTTTGATATTGAGGATTTAAAAAGCCTGCTAAAATTTGTTCCTGACAAGACCATAGTGAGTGAAGTGATTAACAAACTGAGGGGCCAGTCGTTCAAAAGGCAGTCGTTCAAAAGCTTGTTTTAACCAAGGGTCAATAACACTAACCGGACTTTGAGCAACACAAATCAACGTAGGATTAAAATTTAACCTTGGGTTCGAGTTATTATTATCTCCGGTAGAAGGTGTGTCCCTTGAACCATTTTGCATTTCATCCTTCTAAACGTGTTTTTTAACAGGTGCAAATGTTGAAGGATTTCAACGACGATAAACAAAAGTTAGGAGCAGCTGAACGATTTTTACATGGTTATATATCGGTTCCACACTACGAAACTCGTGTAACATGCATGTTGATAAAATCTGAGTTTCGTGAAGCCATGCAAATAATTAAACCTGGTCTCAGTTCATTGTTGCAGGCAACTGAAGGTACGTAAGTTCTTTGTTGCATTATAATTTATATTTTACTTATGGTGATGTTTTTTGCCGAACACAACTTTTTTTGTGGTTGCATGATAATGATGATAAGTATAATAAATATATAGTATACACTCAAAGGACAAATAACGTAATGTATTTTCTTATTTAGATATTTTGAAGTCCGATGTTCTTCCTGAAGTTTTACAAGTTATATTGACATTAGGAAATTTTCTGAATGGGGTAAGAAGTTCGCTCGAAGCACAAGTTTTGTTTTTGTTAACTGTGTATCATAATCATGTTGATGTGATTTTTACCTATTTTAGCCTATTGACAATATAGCTACATTTATGTTATCAATTTTGTATTTTTCAAATACATTTTTACATAGGACAGCCATGCAGGAAATGCGATTGCTTTCAAAATCAGCTCTTTGCTAAAACTTTCTGATACCAAAGCTAATAAACCTCGTATGAATTTTATGCACTTTTTGGTTGAGGTAAGTCAGTATAAACAATAAAGTTTATGGATATGATATTGTATATATTTGTACTGGAAAGCGTCCGTTCACAACTGCAAATGTGTCTCATTTGCTGACTGTCGCTATTGTCTTTGCTGACTGTCTTTGCTTTTGTCTTCATTGTACAATTCCCGAGAAATTTTTTCTTTAGGTAGCCGAAGCCAAACGTGCTAAAGTATTATCATTTCCTAAAGCAATGACTCATCTTGATATGGCATCAAAGTATCTTTGTGCTTGCTTTCATTTTGCTTTTAAATTTTCAAATAAATTTGCATGTAATATTTGTATTTTTATTTTTTAGAGTTTCCATCGAGTCTTTATCTAGTGACGTTCGAGAATGGAATGAAAAAATTAATCGCGTCCGTAAGAATGTGAACAAAGCGGATGATGACCTCAAAAATCAAATGAAAAGCTTTTTGAAGGTAGCGATATTTTTGACACTTTTTTTCACGAGAATATAAGTGGTTTATTGTAGAAGATATACCAGACAGACGAGACAGTAATAAGTATAATTATATATGATAGACATATCGTGTTAATTGTAGTCAAAACATATAGAAGGCGTGGTGAATCGTGTTGGTTGTAATTTGAACATATGGAAGGCAGTGATACGAAAAACTACGCATGGTGGACATTTGTTCTTTGTTTTAGGATTGTTCTCAAGAAATCGATGAGCTTCAGGAAAAAATAAAAACGGTTCATAAAGTTACAAAAGAACTGACTTTGTATCTTTGTGAAGATGAAAGCAAGATTAAACTCGACGACATTTTACAGATTTTCAAAACGTTTTGCCTTAATTTGAATCAAGCTGCCGAGGTAAAAAAAAAAGCATATTGGAGACTCAAGCACATTTTGAATAGATTTTTGCACCTTCGCTAACTTGCAATTAATGAATATTTGTTAAACTTGTGTTTCGTCAAACTATTTCAGACGATTCTTCATTTAAGTGAATATAGCTGAAGCAACAAACTATGACAATTTAAAAAAACATTAATTTGACAATTTTTATGTGATGTTATTTAGGATAATGAAAAACGACGTATACTCGAAGCGAAAAAAGCCAAAGCGGAGAAAGTGAAAAAGAATGATAAGAAAAGAAAAGATGGCGTTAGGACTACTTTAACATTCAAAGAAGACGAGTGTATTGTTGACAAGCTTCTTTCTGAAATCCGAGAGGGATTTCCTTTGAAGAAACGAATGAAAACGAGTGGCGAAGAACGCAGCACGAAAGGAAAGAAGAATGAAGACGTTAATGAAGGTATTTTATTGCTGAATAAAATAATCCATGCGCTACAAATCTGTTAAAGTCGATGAATGTTTCTCATAGGCGTACGGGAGCTATCATTTCTTGGAGACAGTAAATATTTTCCCCAACTCGCAAAGAAAGTTTGTCCAGAGTTTCAAACTTTCTCGTTTGGCAGGTGCCCCCCCCCGTCCCGTACGCCTATAATGTTTCTGTACATATTGTCACCATCACAAAATTATCTCTTCAACTATATTTTTTTTTCATTATGAATTTATAAATATTGAACAAAAATTTTTTTCTCGAATTCCATTATTGTTTATTTGAACAGATAATGCATCTGGATCAAACGTCATCAAGTGATGAGAAGATCATTAATTAGTTGCAGTAGCTAAGTTTAAAATTTATTTATTTGAACCAAAAATGAGCGAGGAATCTTGCTGAGGTAGTTGCTTTGAAACAGACTTGTTTTGCAAAAAACTAAATCTTGTTCTGCTAAGGACTTTTCTAGTGAAAATTGCTTGCAATGAAAATTTTGTATAAATTGATTTTTTTGTATTGGATTACAAACTGTGAATAGTAATGATAATGTGGAACTGAAACAAAGAATAAATAAATTCTTTATATTAAACTTCATCCTGAATAAGTAGGAGCTTTGGTACTGTTTTTGTCTAGTAAAATTCACTAGCTTTAGTAAGATGTAAAATAATTTTATGACCAATAAAAACAGGTGTGACGGGATTTTCTGTTTAGTCTTCAATAACGTGTGTTAAGATTTTCGTTGAGTCTAATTTATCTGTGATGCAGTAAGTCTAAATGCAGGATTTTAAGACGTGCTATTCTGTTTGGCCAAAAATATTTGTGCTCGTCACGTATATACACCAGAAGCAAAGTATACTTGTTGAAAACAGAGATTATGGAAATTATTGAATTGTTATGTTAATGATATTTACACAAGCATTTAGCTGTACATCGATTTATGGCAAAAACGTTTGTGTCTCGTCGTTAGTAAGACAAGACACAGATATCTGCCCTCACGCGAAGATAATGTCACGTCCCTTCATAATCGACTTTTATTTGGTCATTAGGCGTCCAAACTTCTACAATTTGTAAAACTTTTCAGATCTACATACCAGTAAAATTACAATCAATTTGCAAGTGCCATTGATGGCAAGGCAACAGTCAATGATAAGAACTGCCTACTGACGTCATTTGCATAGAAAATATTTTCTACTACTTGTGGAGGCAAATGTTTATGTAAACTACAAAGGTTTTAATAAAGACATTAGTCACGCTTTTTTACCATATTGGGTCAAATCCTTGAATTGATAAAGGAAATTCATAGTCAGATTAAAAGTAAAGGTTTTTACAGATTTTAAATGCTGGATAAAGAAAGATTTCAAAATGGCTACATTAAAAGCAAATGATATTTATAACACAAGCGCTTTGTATCGTTCTCGGTCTGTTCCCGAGAATATATCTGGTGAACATGCTACAAAACAATCTTTTAATGTTATCAAAGATTTCCTATCGAATATAGGGAATTGGCGAGCAAACAAACACAAGAAAATCAAAAAGCCTGAAAATAAGAGAAGCATTACCATTGATGGCGGCGAGGAATTTAACGTACAAGATGTTAAGAGAGTTAAGGACACTCACAAGCGCCTAGAAGGAGGCGGACATGTTTTTGTCCCTCATTCTGTGCATTACATTACTTGGTGCGATTTATGCGGTGAAACTATCTGGGGTTTTGTCAAACGAGGTGTGCGTTGTCGAAGTAAGTAGATTATATTTTTACATTCATATCCTGTAAGTTAATGATTGATATTTAAATAGTAAACCTATAGTTAATATGTACCTTATAATACTAAAATTGTTATAAGCTCTCAAACAAGTGTATGACATTTTCAATGGTGACATATTGTTGCAACATATTAATTATACAGATATTTTATTGTTGATGTTAATAATTACGACATATTTCAATTGACGTGCACATTGAGTATGATACGTGAATGTAATCTCGTGAAAGTCAAGGAAGAATCACATTTTTATGGTATGATAGAAACATTGGGACAATTTACTGTGATGATATTGGCTTCTAGAACTTTATTGGCATTTCTTTCAATAATATTTAGTGGCATTTTTTGTTAGAAGCTCACTTTGAGCGATTTTGTAATGACAGTTGCTTTGTTAACATAAATAAGCACATTTTTGAAGGAAAATATTAAAGAAAATGTGCTTTTATGAATTTACTATAAAAAATTTTGAAAGCCAAGATTTTGCAGATTTTTGAATGTTAGCCAGTTAATCGCATTTGTAAACTAAAAGTATCTTCTAAAATACTTATAGATTTCTTGCAGTTTAGCTTCCTTTACCACTATTAAGGTCTATTGGAAGCCCAGGGTGGGGGGTAAAGCTGGGCAGGCAGCACTCCCCTTCCACTAGTTTACTAAAATTTTTGAAAAATCGAAAATACCTTACTTTCTCATCAAATCATTTGAAAAATTATCACATATTAAGACCACTCTCCCCCATAAGCTATTATTGCCAATAATTACGAAAGAAAGTATTCTTGCTGAGACAAGACGAATTAATTTCAATTCTCTTTTTTTAGGATGTAATTATACCTGTCATTATCGATGTAAAGATGAAGTTGTTTTGGAATGTGATGGAGGGCTTATTCGAGATGCCAAAGAAATGACACGTGAGGAGATTACTTTAAAAACTCTCGAGATACTGAGTCAGGTACAGAAAAAATTTTGTCTACCTTTTGATCATCTTCTGGCCGGCTGCAAAAAGCCTGGATAGCGTTATCCATTGGATAGCATTGACCATTGGATAGCAATATTTTTTAAGCTTTTATAAAACCTTTTAACAAGCAAAAAATATAAGATTTGAACTAAGCAATCACTGAAATGAAATATTGTTTGTAAGACTACAAAATTTCTTTGTCATAAAAAATATAAACACCTTTTTTATAAGTTTGAAAATTTTTGCTATCCAATGGATAACACTATCCAAGCTAAGTGCAATCGGCCCCTGATGTTAATTAAAATTGTTGAAAATGAAAAACACTTGTATTTATATGATGCATGACATGAATAATTTAGGGAAAAGTAAAGAAAAATGCTCCTGCAGTTTTACCCACTGATCTGTCGGCTGATAAATTACTTTTGATGATTGAGGACTTTAATAAAAGTAGCCAGGGCTTAATAATGACTACGGTAAGAGTATTTGATGAATTTAAAAGTGTTTTTCTCAATTGATATCATCATTTTTTGTCAAAACACACAATACACTATACATATATAAGTGTTAGTTTACTAATAGCTGATTTCAAAATGAATTTTAGGCAAGCAATGTAGCAAACGATGGAATATTTGAAGGTTTTATACGAGTTGCAATGAATCTTTTACGACCAATTAATATTGTTGCTGGTGAGAGGCCATTATCTATTTTTGAGACAGTTTCTTGGCGACGAGAGGGTAGTTCAACTTCTTCAAAGGTGAGAATTAGTGTGATAATTTTCCCATGTGTGTTGTGTTGCATTTCTTTCTTATGTTTAAACTTAATAGGTTATGACAAAAGGCCAATGGCTTGTAGAAAAGTCAGGCAAATTGTTTTTTCTTAATCTTTGTTGCATAAAGCACTGTAGTGTTTGACTATTTTTCTTCATCATTCATTGTGTTTTTTCCTCATACACTCTCTCTCTTGAAATAACTGAGATTTGCAGTAATTATGTCAACTTTAATAATACAAAACTAAATGTTCTTACTTGAATTGTACGTCTTATGAATTTTTTGTGCATTTGAAAATACATCAAGTGTATTGAAGTCAAATTTCTACTTTTTACACTATTAGCGAACAAAAACATCATTTTTCTTGCCACCCAACACGATGAAAGCTCTACATATAACTAGTGAAACCACAGCTGCCCAGGTAAATTTTTGGGATATTTTAGAGTTTGTCTAATTCAGATGAATTTTTATACCTAAGTAAAATCATAAATTGTCTTAGATGTATGATAGTAAAATATTACAATATAGGTCAATGAATTGTACAATATAGGTTAATGAATAGTACAATAATGCAATATAGGTTAATGAATAGTACAATAGTGCAATATAGGTTAATGAATAATACAATAGTGCAATATAGGTTAATGAATAGTACAATAGTGCAATATAGGTTAATGAATGCCCTTACTATATGTATGTATTTTAGGTCATTGTTGATCTCCTGAAGAAGTACAAAATCTCTGATCACCCAAGAAAGTTTGCTTTGTACGAAAGATATCAAGATGATGACAATGGTAAGTTTATGTAGATATTTTTAGTTCTAATTGACCATTGGATTCAATGAAATGCTACCGAAATTGTTTTTGTTTATTCTAATTTGACGATTAATTTTGGATTTAATGTCAGTTCTAATTAGTTGTAAGTTGTTCTAAATTCTATTATGAAATGGTCGTTTATTAATTTAGTGACGTTACGAAGGATAACAGACAACGAACGACCGTTGGTGTTGCGTTTAATTTGGGGTGGAGCAGATAGAAGTCATTCGTTTGTTTTACAAGAAAACGAAACTGGCGACATCATGGTCAGTTGTTATATAATACAGTCGTGAAACACCTTTCAGGAGATATTATTTTTGTGTGTTTTTGTAAATACTTTGAATGCTACAATATGTAATTGTAAGTAGCCTGTTATCGTTGTTTCATAGTGGGAAGCTTTCTCTATACCTGAACTTCAAAATTTTATTCGTATTTTGGAAATGGAAGAAAAGGAATACATTAAGCGGGTAAGAAAAATGTAAAATAGGCATTTCTTAATGATTGATCAAGCGATGACGCTTTATTTCAGTTTCGCTTCTATTTCGACCATTATTTTATGTTTTTTTCCTTTCATGGCAACCTTGAAAATGCTTTACATGCAGCTGTGAAGGGTTTTTTCACTTGCAACATTATATGCTATCTACGTATACAGCATAAATTGAGATCAATGAACAGAAGTTTAATTCAAAGATTTACAATATGTGGTCTTTGTAGGTATTCACAAAATATCGTGTTTATCGTGATCAACTTGAAGAAGTAATGGCTGAGAGGAAAGCAAAATCAACAACAAGTTAGTTGTATAAAATATTTATTGATTTAGGTTACAGTGTTGTAGAAGATTTTAGATTATGTTCAGAACTACCGTATGAACTACGGAACTTTACAATGGGACATTGCGCTCTGCCATGAGGACAGAATAGGATTTTCTTATTTATAAGGATCAAAGTTGTTTTTTTTAATAGATAAATTTATTATTATCCGTTTGAAAGAAGCGACAAAGGCTTTTTTCGGAGATAGGTGACTAGTATAAACAATGTTTATCGGGGTTGTAGGTTAGAAATAACGTATAATTTTATCATTTTTAAACACACACATGCATACGTGGAATAATTTTGTTCGTTCGCATTTGATAACATTACTGTAGATTACTGATGATATGTTTTTGTCTGATGTATGGCTTTTAAAAGAAAAGAAAAATGTTATCTATTGTAAATGTGTGTATATTGTTGTAAATATATTTTGAACTTTTATCGTATTTACGCTTCTAGTTTTATAGTTATTTGTTTTGCTCCATATTTTTATAATATATGATGTAGAACCGATTGAAATCATGAATTTACACGAGTCATCTGTAATTGATCTCCAAGGTGGCGTTATCACCATTGAAAGGAATTTCATGCATGGAATTTCAAAATAACATGCTCAGTGTGTGTCAAAAATAGTGTAACGATTTTTTAATATGCCATGGTTCATTTGATATTGTGTTTCACGCCTAACTTTTACATAACAAAAGAGCTAGAGGAGCTGTTTAATTAGTTTTCCAATGATATTTTTCTATTTCATTACAATCAGAAATAGTATTCCTCAAATAAAAATGGTAAATCGAAATTACATTTTTCCTCTGTTGGGAATCGAATACAATTATTAAAGATTCTCTAGCGTATGATGCAAGCTCATGCATTACATTGAGAACCCCCTGTTTCGCAAACCTCTCTGCACAACAACAGTGGAAAAATGCAATTTCGACTTATAATTTCTATTTGAGAAATACTCGATCATTTCTGATTGTTATGGATTATAAAAATATCATTACAAAGCTTAAAAGGTCATCTCTTTTACTATATATAAAGATTTAAGCATAAAACAAAATATCAAATGCATGATTAAAGTTCAGAAATCAATGTTTAGTAAATTATAGATTTATGTGATACGTATGTGCCATTTGCTTTACGTAGTAAAAACCAGTGCCATTATGAATGGTTCAACTAACCACAGAATAGTAAGTATTTATTCAATAAATAAATTTTATAAATAAATTTTATTGTGCTAAATGACTTAGTGAAACTCACACAGTTATATATTTATCCACAGTACATGCGAATAGTGGCTACTGCACATAGCAAATCCCAAGTGTGAAATTCCTTTCAATAGCGTCCACGCTACCTTGGAGATCAATTACTGCTGACTTGTATAAATTCTAAACATTATTTGATTTCAGCGGGTTGCAATTTTTTATATGCATCTTGTAATAGCGGGAATTGGTCAAAACATTTATAGTGTGATATAGCTATAGCTTATTTTGTTGGTTTCGCAAAAAAAAACGGCTAATAACGGCTTGCTTTTCATCGTCAACACCATACGACTACCAAATTGCAGTTATACGACTGTTTCCCACCGTTTTCAGTTCGGTGTGATAGGAATGCAGACATTTTAAAAAAACGAATATTTTTTGCTTACGTTTTGGTTATAGTGCTCAATATTTGTGTTGGATTTATTTGGGTAAAAGAAGCTTTAACCTTTAGTTTCAAAACATACATTTTAACCATTTAACAATATTATTCTTACCTTTATGTGCAATTATCCGTTATCCGTTCATAATGTCACGATACATTAGGAGCTGTAGGAACACTAAGATTCTCAGTGCTTTACATAAAACGAAATATTATAGACTCGCGAATTTCCTCGCTCCCTGCATGCAAAAATTGCTTTGAAGATTACCTGCGATTGTATTCTATTGACATGTTTAAAATTTTTGTCACACATGAAAAATCTTTGCAGTATTCGCTGTAAAATGGTAGGAATTTAATATTGACCGATATTGATCACTATTATTGAACTATATATTGTATGTTTTAGCTAGCTAATATCAAAAATCATCGTGGTGAAATTTTCAGCAGTAATACCTTGTCAATATGTGTTATACGAGTTGCAACTGTCTTACATTGTAAATTTGTAACAGATTTTACTCTCTTTAACGCAGTCAGAAAGCTAGATGTATGATATAGCCATTCGCTTGTTTTTTTTTCTTGATGTGCGGATGTTGAATCGCGATATAGTGTATGTGAAGACTTTCAAACGTTTATATCAAAATTTTCAAAGTTTTTAATTACTGTATCTCTGTTTTAAAACATTACAATTTTATAAAGCGTGATTTACAAAAGCAATCAAATTCACGTTTTTCATCGTTCATATCATTCCAACAAAATTTACACTTTTAAAATACATACTGTGAGAAACCAAAGATGATATTATACATATTATACATTCAAATTTGACTGCATGAAAAATAAAATATGAAATTAATATCACAGACTAGAACTATGTATATATAGATGAAAACTGTCACTTTTTTTTTGAGTTAGTGCAAAATCATCATTAAGCTAAGCTTCAAACTAAAAGTTTACAATTATAGCAAATTTGAGAAATGTTTATATACTCAACTTACATGGCAACAAGAAATTTTTGGCATTCTTAACTTCATATGAATTTGTTAAAATTGAATTAATTATACAATTTAAATAAAGAATCTTATTATTGTTCGTGGCACAGTATACACAGCGAACAAGGCATAACACATCAGAACAGAGCGAGAACTTGTTTCGACTTCAAAATGAAGGTTTCTTTGCTTACAGCATTTTTTCAAGTTTTACTCATTATTTTGTTCGCAACGCTGGTAAAATATGATCCAAAACAGTCTGGAGCATTTAGAAACAAGAATAATTTAATGAGCAACAATACTTCGAGCTCGAATCAGATATCAAGATATCCCGTCTTTCAAGATGTTCATGTTATGATTTTCGTTGGTTTTGGTTTTCTTATGACATTCTTGAAGAATTATGGCTACAGTGCAATTGGTTACAATTTCTTTCTCTCGTCGTTGGCGATTCAATGGTATATCATTATAGCTGGTTGTATAGAGCATCGCGAAACGACTGATTTTACTATTGATTTAAACTTGGAGAAATTGATAACTGCTGATTTCTCGGCCGCTGCCGTGTTGATAACATTTGGTGTCCTTCTTGGTAAAGTGAGTCGTCTCCAACTCTTCTTAATTTGTATTATCGAGATTGTCGTCTTCACCGTGAACGAGTTCATTCTTTTGGAAGAATTGAAAATAGCCGATGCTGGTGGTTCTTTGGTCATTCATTGCTTTGGTTGCTATTTTGGTTTGGCAGTCAGTTTCATGCTGAGGAACGTGAAGAACGAATTTGAGGATAACGACAAAGAAGGATCAGTTTATCATTCAGACTTGTTTTCAATGATCGGAACTCTATTCCTATGGATGTATTGGCCTAGTTTTAACAGCGCCCTTGTTACAGATCCCTACGATCAGCAAAGAACCGTTATCAATACATACTTGTCTCTTGTTGCTTGTTGTGTTACAACCTTTGCCGTTTCTGCTTTCGTTCATCAAAAAAGAAAATTGAATATGGTACATGTTCAAAATGCAACATTAGCTGGTGGCGTTGCAATTGGAACTGTCGCTAACATGATCGTTGAACCTTGGGGAGCGCTCTTCATTGGCACGTTGGCTGGTGTAGTTAGTGTTCTTGGATACAGTTATGTGACACCCTTCCTCAGCAAATTCTTGAAAATTCACGATACTTGTGGTGTGAACAACCTTCATGGTATGCCAGCTCTAGTTGCAGGTCTTGCAGGAGTCATCTATTCACGAATGTCGTTTGTTGACGATTATCACGAGAGTCTGACAAACGTGTTTGAAGCGAGAGAAAATCGCACTGAACACGAGCAATCTATAAAACAACTTGTAGCTATCTTCGTCACCCTTGCCATATCCATTGGTTCTGGTCTAATTACGGGCTTCATCATTAGCTTTAAAATATTTGATGCACCTAGCCCAAAGGAAGTTTATGATGATGAAAGCTATTGGGTAATGCCTTCTAATGATCCCGCAGATGATAGAACAGCTCCCCTAGACCAAATGAAGAAGGAAGTATTGAATTACTAGCTGTCAATGCCCGAAATGCTGAAGAAAATGTATGAAACAGCGAAGACTAATTGTTTCCTTCATTCTGTGGACTTTTTCACAATAGTTTTTTAATTTCATCCTTAATCAATGGTATATTTTGTATACGTTTGTAAAACATGCATCTTTCAACACATACTCACTGCACAGTAATACAAAGTAGGAACTCTATTTTTGCACTGATAATTTTTGTATGTAGCTATGTTTATTGCATAGTTTTAACTATTTTTGTAATTATCATTTGTTGTACATCTATGAATCTTGGCTTCGGCATTTTTTCACAAGTAAGCACATATTTTATTTATTGTATATGTTACATTTAAATAACTTTGTGTAGCAAACATGTTGTGCTGCATAGAAATTAGGAAGCTCTGTAGTTATGTATATTCTTGCTTGGTTATCGACCTGCATGTTTTTATAGTAAAAGCTAAGAATGTTTTGTGTTATGGAATGAGTATATAAGATCTCGAAATTAGAAGAATTGTATTTGAATTTTACATTGTTAGTTAGTTATCATTTTGGCATTCTGGCACGTTAATTTACAGTACAAAGAGTCATGGATTCACTCGACCATATCAAAGATACTGAAGTGAAGTTTATTTAAAAAAATCAATCTTGATCCGATCCAATCCAATTTCAAATGAAAGCTGCATGTCTATATAATGATCCTTTTCGCGTTATTATTTTCACGTAATTTTTCATCAGCTAAACAAAACACGTTTATATGAGAGCCAGTTAAACGTCTCCAACTTCACATATTTTTTATCTTCCCTTTCGGATGCTCCATCACTATGGCTTAACCATTTGCTTGAATTCTAGATAGAACGATCAAAATGTAAGTCAATATCGTTTAAGGTATGTTTGGTATCAAACCTAGTATTTGCTGCCGATAGGAGGTCTTCTCGCATATTGAACACAGCTATGCATGCAACATCGGGCATTTTATGAATTTCTTGTTTGAATTAAAGAAAAAAAGTGACTTGCTTATTAGAAATCTTAAATCTATACTTGTAACATGCAGTCTGTTTGATCGACATATCATTGAAACACGAACATGAAATTTCATTGCATGTTCGTGTTTATACTTCAAGCTGTCTTATTGTTGTTGAAATATTCGAGTTTTTAGTTTGTGCGGTGAAATAAAGAATATTAGAAATTCCTTTTTAACGTCCTGCCAAAATGCATTTTTAAACAAAGTTTTATGTTTTGAATAGAACTTTCATGGCATCAAACATTTAATTACCAACAGTTATATCATCGACTAGTTACTATCAAATATCTACCATCAATATTTATCATGAAATAGTTACTATCAATTAGTTACCATCAAATAGTTACCATCAAATAGTTACCATCAAATAGTTACCATCAATTAGTTACCATCAAATAGTTACCATCAAATAGCTACCATCAATTAATTACCATGAAGTTGTTACTATCAAATAGTTACTATCAAATAGTTACCATCAAAAAGTTACCATCAAATATCTACCATCAAATATCTACCATCAAATAGTTACCATCAAATATCTACCATCAAATAGCTACCATCAAGTTGTTATACCTTCAAAGTTGATTTTCCTATTATAACCATGTCTTGCATCTTTAACAATATCGTTAATTTCCTCATCTGGAATATTATCCCCAAGATAATGTAGAACAGTGCGCAACTCTGATGAAAATATATATCCTTTATCATCGTTATCGAACGTACGAAATGCTTCAACTAGTTCTGTTTCATCAAGAGTATTATTGTTAATGTTGATCATCATGTTGACGAATTCGTTAAAATCGATCGTACCGTTGCCTGAAAATGTCCAATATATGAAATGTATTTGAACTGTTTGAGAAAAATACTTGTCTCATCTACAATTTATTCAATTAGAAAAAAATGCTGTACATGCATTATTAAATAAGGTCACATTTATAAAATAAAGTTATCTTAGTTTCTTATTACAACGGACAGGCTCGTTTGGAACTCCCCTAATAATTTGCTAAAATTGTTTCGGAAAAATGGCGCGTTTTTTCTTCGAACCCTTGAAACGTAATATTACGGGGCCACTGTATCCCACCCGTCCCCCCCCCCGCACACACATCGTAATATTTTATAAAAAAACAAAAACTATTAAGTATTATTTTTCCATACTCTAAATGAAAAATTTTGAGAGGAATTGGTGCCCACAAGAAGAGTGGGCGTGCTTGCGTGAGTTGAGTCATAAAACAAGGATCGCGGGAGATCGATTATATATCCATGTACTAAAGAATGTATTAAAGTCAATTGTGATTACGGATTGAAAAAATTATTATTTAGCTTAATTTTTCACGTTCATCTTTAACCCAACGTACCATCAAAATCAACTGTATTCATTATCACTTGTAATTCAACTTCCGTTGGGTTTTGACCCAAACTGCGCATGATTGAACCAAGTTCTTTTGTCGTGATGTAACCACTTTCATCTTTGTCAAAAAATCGAAAGGCGTCGCGATATTCTGAAATAAATTTAAAGATTTCAAAACAATTTGCTTACAAGTAAATTAAACTTTGTACAGTATATACTATGACCGTATGAAGCTAAATTTGTCGCTATCTCTTTGTCGATTTACCTTCAAAGTTGAACTATAAATATATAGCTACGCTAGAGTTTTGGTTGGAAACTGAAAAGCCCCACGTTTATCACCTTATGCTTTGGTGTAAACCAAATTAATTTATAGCTATATATTGTTACATTGCTCTATGGCGATTGCCGGGAAGGCACATTGTTATACAAGTTGTAGCTATATATTTATATACACTAACCTTCTATTTGTTCCTCTGTTAATTTGTCCTGAAATGGAGAATTCATCAGAATTTGACTTATAGTGCTCTCAAACTACCTCTGACTTTTCATACCCAAGAATGGAGAAAAAATCAAATGAGATCATTTAATTGGATTTTAACTTTATGTTAAAAGGCATTCGAAGATATATAGCCAATTAAGTTGTTGATGCTTTTTTACTTTTTTGTGTTGTTTGTTGCCTTTTATTTTTATAATATCACCGTTTCCCATATTTCTATATTTAAAATTTTTGTGGGATTTCTTCAGCTATACTAGTTTTGAAAAGATATTACTTCTACACACCTCTATAGCTGCTTTTAATGTATACCGATTTTATGTCACATATATCTATGCGGATATGAAAATTCTTCAGTATCTGAAGTATTCTTCACTAGCGAGTTTGCTAGAATTGAAATAATGCTTTATTCATTGCCCATGCTTGGGCGCATCTTCAAACACAGCTGTTGAAGTGTATTGAACAGTTTTACACTAAAATACAATATTTCAATGAAGATAACATGAAGCTTAAATAGACCAGTGATATAATTGTGGATTGTAGTAATCGCTTGAATTACATGTAATGCAAGAGAGCAAAAATAGAAACTATACTATATTGTCATAGTTATGAAAACAAATCCTTCAAGAAATTAAAGACATACCTCCATATGTTGTATCTATAATGACGTTTACTTTTGAAATGATACTTTTTACAGTTATTCTACAGTTAACGATGAGAATTTTTGTCAATCAGTTCAATAGAAGAGAATTGTGTCGCCCTTTTGTCGAAAAGAATTTTATTTCAACATAACAGGCCCCCGTGTTATTGCTATGAAAATAATTTCTTATTTATAAAGTTTCTGACGACAAAAGGCAGCTGTTTTCGTTTGTGTACATACACAAGCGAAGGAAAAGCAATTATGTTGATTAGCTGAAATTTAAAGAAATATAAACTCACAAAATTAATGGAGCGACTGAAATTACTACAGATTTTCCAGCTGAACTTCAAACTGGCATTTGGTTCAAATAAAGCATACTTTTCAAATGATTTTTTTGGCGTGGTTTTTGTGTCATTGAAAAAACAAAGCATGTTTTATGACGCATTTAGTTGCCTTGAACAATATCTGCATATGCGTCTTGTAGCTATATTTGGCGCAGGCTTTAATTTAATTTTTTTGTGCGACTCGTTCGTATAAAAAGGTTATTACTCTATGTCAAGCATTTCCAAGTTATCCTTTCCTTAGGCAAAATCTTTGTTTGTATTTCACGTTCAGTCCAATCTTAACTCGTATATATATCAAAAAGTAGGCTAGATTTAACTGCACTTTTTTTGAAAGCGTTTCTTTGCATGATGTTGTCATGTGCATGCGAAATGTGAACAGCTGTATTCATTCGAGTTTGTGGGTTTGCGGTACATATCGCTTACAACTTGTCAAATGTGGGGGTTTTTTAATTGTTTGAAAAAATCGCTTTAGGGCACGACTTACCAATCTTGTAGATTGGTAAGTCGTGCCCTAAAGCATGAAAAAATACCAGACGCAAAGGTCTGCTGGCTCACACAAGCAAAATGTGTATGAACGGCAACACATGTTTCTTTTGTTTTGAAATTTACCAAAAAAAACACAGAAATTGGATTTTTCTTTTTTAATTTCTTTTGCTGAAGTCTTTTCCTTTATGTTTATGTCGATGCCTTTGTCACGTGATTTGTTGATTGTCTTTATTTGATCTTTAGTCTTCGCTTGTGTTGATGCTTACTTAACTTGTGTGAACCAAACTTGAAGATTATGGCTAAATTATTTTTTAACAGATTAAAATTTAACGGTCAATAACTTTATTGTTCGTACAGCGTTTTGATGAATTCAATAAGTTTGTAATCGATACAAGCCAATCTTAATCGATCTAGAGTAGTGAAATACTGTGGAATTTTGACGATTTTTATGCAATTCGTGCGTCATATTTGTACAGCCAATCAGATTACCGGTTACCTATTACTCACACATTGTACCGAATTTACATAAACGTTAAATCTCTCATAAGTCATTTTGGCGTGTTTTGCGCACAGCTCACGCATTAAAAAGGAGTACGAAGAAGCGCCTGGGAACGAGGCTACATTTTAGCATTTTGATCTTTTATGTTTGTAAATGTCGATCGTCCAGGTTGTTATAGTCCTGAGAAGGACTGTTTTTGTTGTTGTTGACTGACGTTTCGACAACCTTAGCGGTAGTCATCTTCAGAGTCAAATGAGTCATCTTCAGAGTCTCTCCCGGGTTCAAACCATTTACTTGATCTTTTATGTCGCTTAACTACTTGTGGTACTAAGCCAGATCACATACATCGAAGAGTTGCAGTTCAAAAAATGCGGAGCATATAGATTATGGCAAGAATAGTAATTTCTCGTGTCACGTCTTTCGTTTTTCACAAGTTGCAATGTTGGCAAAAATATGCATTCTGGTTAGACGACGATGTGGTACGTCTCTAGTACAGTCAAATTATTACTTCAGCATATAACTTTAAACGAGTGTTTGAAAATCAAAACATTTAGCTGTCGCTTTAGGCATTATGAACTCAGTTAGAAGAAGGTATTTATAATCACACATGTGTCATTTATACCTTCACATCAACTCCAGTTTAAATAAATGGTTGTCGGTCTACATATGTCGAGCATGACTTTGTTACATCTTATTTGACGTTTCAAAGTTCAAGTTGTTAATGGGGGTTTATGCTTAACCACAGAATAATGATTATACAGAAGGTCACTCAGGTGTACAACGCGTTCTCATGTCGGCCATTATTTCAGCCAGATGATTAGGATTTCCACCATTAAAATCAACATTGAGAAAACATAATTTTATATTAAATTTTTTACAATTTATATCATAAATATAACATTTTTCTTAAAGCAAATTTAATGTTACACCTGTTACCTACTAAAATTATAGAATAATAATTATATGTGAGAGCGTTCTTTCAATAAAACACTTGATTTGCGATTGTACCATCCCTGTATACGATGAACCGCATTCAGTTTCCAGCCAGAACCAAGAAGAGATGGATCAACGAAAGAAAGAATTTTTTCATAATTTACAATCCAACAAATATAAAGGTATTTACATTATTCCGTATTCATCGATTGCCTTATGCTGGCGCGATATATATACGCATTTTGGTCAAAAACATTTAAACATTACTTCAGTGAAAGCAATCGTTGATTGTAGTTTCACGCATTTTCTATAGTAAACGGACTTCTTTTTTTCACAGTTTTCCAGTATTTTTCTTTCATTATTACTTTAGTTCCTAGAAAAACAAAGAGAACAATTTTCTGAAAACTTGCAATCTGTATAAGTTGTGTTATGAAAAAAATAGAAAACTTAACATCCGCCACTATCCCTATCAAAAAAGTTAGTATGGCGACATTCTTGAAACATAACATTGCTACTAACTTTGCTGCTTTTGATAACAATGAACTAAAATTGATTGTAGATCTAGATTCCCCATTGTCTGAAGAACTTGAATCTTGTTCATTTCCCATTTTTTTCGCTAAATCACGAAATTTCTTTACGTAATCCACGCTGCTTTCATCCAACATGTCAGGGTAGGCCACTGCCTGCATTCACAATTCAGATACTTCAAAAATCAGACAAAGAACTATATCTCCAATATAAAAGAAGCTTCAGTACAAACAGTAAAACTTACGTTGGTAGAATGAGAATCCGAGTCGCTAGCAGGACCAGCTTTTTTAGGCGTATCCTGTATCAACATTTAAAAACAACGATGAGTTTGTTCCTATTTATGCGGTTTACAGAGACGATGAACGTGAAGACGTTAGCGCCTTAACGAGACGCAGAGTTGATGTAAAAGAATATGCGAAGAAAAATTCAACCCTTACAATAACATTTTTAGCTTTTTCTTTCGATGGAAGGCCTTCCAGTTGCACTAAAAATAAGAAGTAATAAATAAGGAACGTGTTAAATTTTTCTATGAAAACTTTTCCACTTACTCAACAAATTTCCAATAGAAAAATCTGAGCTCTAAAAATCAAAAATAATGGCAAATTAATTAACATCATGAAAATAACATGACGACGAGAAAAGTCTGAATTGAATCTTTTAAACACAAGCAACCTCTTCATTTAGCCATGAATCAGTAGGGAAATTTTGTAAATGAGACGGGGATAAAAATTTCAATGGGTCCTCATCTTCAGAGGATTTCAAATCATCCATTAAGTCACCAGGTACGACTGCTGCGATATTTTCATTATGAGCAATAATAGGCTTGTTGGTACATTCGTCATTCATAGAGTCATTGTGTACAGATACAACACCACTGTCAATTTCTTCAGTTTGTATATTTGATGCGCGTACATCTATCGTGTTAGGAAGAACAACATTTTCTGTATTTTCTGCAACGTCGTCACTCAACGCAAGATCAATAAAAGAATCCACAGAAAGAGCTGCACCGAGATTTTGTTCTCCATTTGAAATACTTGCATTTTTCGGAAGAATCTTTCTCGGAAAGTTACTGGCTTGTCCTGAAATTTTAAAAAGGTTCATTATCCCCCCAAAAGTTAAACCAATCATTTTTTAGATCAATCCCTTAAATACTCATGAGGGGAGTGTGTATTCATATAGTTGTGCCCAAATGATTTCTTTTGAAAGGAAATTCACTAGCATTCACTTGTATATGTTTCAAACAAATGAGTCAGATACCACTGAATATAAGAATCAGCACTCCCTCCCAAATTAACGTTCAAGGGACGGCCTGTTGTAGTGCAATTGAAGCACATTATTAAATTTTAAGTCTGTACGCCATTAGTTTTATTTGCTTGTTTACTGTACTTATGTTAACATGAACAACACTACCTTTATTTCCTAATTCATTTTGTTTTAATAAGGAAACAGGTAATGGTCTAGGTAACAATGTTCGTTGAACCACCACTCGCGCAGCATTTCTCTTTTTAGACTTTGGCAAAAATGGAGAAGTTTGTGGTATAGAGTTTATTGGGGTAAAGCCAAAAGTAAGATGATTTCCAGACTTTGAGGAGCCTGTGTTGGACACTTGATGAATGACTGAAGGATGCACCATCTCCTGTGGTGGTTTAGGAGCAAGAAGTTTCTGAACTTTTGGTGAAGATTTTACCTTAGATGTTTTGCTTGATCTTTCACTTGTTGACATATTTTCCTTAGTGATAACTTTGGGTGAAGACAAATTAAACATTGTGTTCTTCTGATTTGTTGTCAATTCACCAGAAGCAAGTTTTACTAACTGCTCCAATGCAGGATTTATTTGGTCATTGGATGTTTGATATTGACAAAGAGTATAATTAAATGATATCTTACGAGGATTATTCAATTTTCGAAAGATATCAGCAATTGTAAAGTTTCCACAGTTTGACTTGCTCCAACATTCTTGATTAACCGGCAATTCATTGCATTTACTTTCATCCTCAACAGAATATTGGAAAGTTGACGATTCCAGTGATGATACAGTTTTAACTGATAAAGTTGTACACTTGTCTTTAGTAGTTTTTGTTGATTCATTGGACTCTGTCTCTGACCTGGAATTTATATTTGTAACTTGTTTTACTTTAGGACTTTCACTTTCACAAGATCTACTTCCTATTTGTTTAAAAACACTAATATCTTTCGATAGAGTCATTAACAGATCAGCAGTTTCAGGTAACTTCCATTTGGAAAGTAAAAATGTTACAACACCAGAAATTGTCTTTCTTGTGGAAACCATAGTTCTCAATCGTGGATTATGTGACAAACTCTGTATTACAGCCCAAGTTTTATTATCGCTAGGAGTTAATTCAATCATGATTTTCTGTGGCAACTGTTCCACATCATCAGCAACAGTAGCATTTTGTCTCTTTAATGCTCTGCAAGTAGGGGCTCGAATGTTAACATTTCTACCATTGTATCGAAATGTTGTTTTCCCAGTTGCAATCATTTCTGTCAGTTTTTTACCATCTTTTTCTTTCAGGCTCCTGATTTTTTTTCGTATTTCACCATAACATATTAAACTCCTCAATACCTTTGCATCAGAGGAATCTTGTGGATCTGGTATATACTTTGATATCTTGTGGTGAGTTCTGTAGTAGAAATGTCGAACTTGATCCTTATTTCGTTCAGCAACAGCAAATGAATCACTGCGGCGTTTCTTAAGGTACATCTGGATTTTATCAAAATCTTTGCCAAATTCATTTAAAGCTTCAAAAAAATGATTTTTTTCTTGAGGTGCCCATGATTCCCATGGTCTTTTTTTCCTTTTATTTCCAGTATGCAATTTTTTGTTGCTTGACTTGGACACTATTACAAAACACAAAAAAGGAAAATCACAATTAGAAAAACAAAGTCAGCTCAAACTATCATTTTTTTATGATATAAATATGCACATCACAAAATAAACCAATTCAGCTGCATATAACGGCAACACGAGCGTATTTTGTCAACAATTCACAAGCTCTTTCCTTATACTGTCATTTTTATCATGCAAAATGGCGCAGGTAAATACAACTTGTTTTGAAAGAAATATGTCTACCTGGAGTGGAATTTAGTGCAGCTTCAGGAGTCCCTGTCCTTGCTCGCTTAACCTGTTTACAATTGTTTTGTGTGCTCACTCCAGACGCTGAATCATCTCGTGAACTATTGCTTTTTTCTGGACGCGGTTTTCTGCTTGAGTGTTCAGAATGTTGTTCCACAACGTCGTTTCCATTCAGTTTTCGTTTCAAATCACTGACAAAATTCGGTGTCTGTTTTTTATTTTCATTTCGTGCTTTTACTTGACTTTGACATTGTGTAGTAGAGACTTCTGGGGGTTGAGTCGTGCTTTCCACTGTTCTAGAGGGACAAAACACAACAATATATATCCATGATGCTTCGAACTTAAACGACAACGATTTCATCCAACACACTGCATGTCAAATTTGTGTCCTTTAAGTTGCTTTAGTACATATATAAATCAAGTACTTCAACAAAAATAATAAAACAAGATTATTTTGAAGTGCATTGTAAACCGTGCAAGGCAAATAACTTAAACAAGAGACAATGTTTGACTATGTTACCAGTAGTAAATCATCGTTCGCAAACGATGGAAGCTGTTGACTTTCATGATTGTGTTTTGACTCAAGTAAAACAATAGTATAGTATAATCTACTTACGGACATCGTCGGGCAGCAGTAGAGGAACGAGTGTTCATCAGTTAAATAAAAATTTATAAAGATTCCTAACTCCATTCACACTTCTACTAACCCTACTTCGTCTACAACCGAACGTGAATGAACATTACTCCTTGACGTAGGCTTGCACTTAGCCTATGATGATCAGAACATGAATATATGATGTGTACTCTGGCAGGGCAGGCTATGATTTCTATCTTAATTTCAATTTCAGCAGTTACCTTAATCGTATCTATCTCATTCACAGAAATATTCTTGTTTTAAGACATGAGTAGCTCGTGTTTAATCGATTTGTCTACCAACGACAAATTCCCTCTTCTCAAATGCTTCAATAACTTTGTATGCACGAAATTTGAAGAGTTTGATCAGTTGACCTTGGAACTTATTCCTACAACATTTAGTAAAATACCTCATAAAATGAGGAAATAAAAGTAAAGCAATGTCGCATAATATTTATATTTTTAAAGTGGTGCTTAAATTGCTTTTGCACAAGTGTTCATTAAAAATTACGATTTTAAAACTTTTTTATGAAATTAACATAATAACCAAGATTTTGAAAGTTTAAATTGAGATATTTTTGTTTATCCCTGATTGTTGCAAATAAGTTATTTCATTTGTTTGGCTGACAATTTTTTTGATTACATTTTCCCGCCCGTACGGAACAGGTGATATTTCCCTCCAAAGGAAATGTGTGCATGCTGCTGCTATGTTTCCATTGGCTTTTTATTCTGCTAGTCTTGTATATGATAACAGTTTCATAAAGAAAAACTAACTAATGAGTAATGACACTGAAACAGACATTGTATTATAAGGAGCCTCTCCACTTTGGTGTTGTCAAAAAAGGAACCTCTCCACTTTGGTCGACTAGTTTTTGTTTTGTTGCTTAGCAACGGCAAAGACAGCAGGCCCCAGTCCCCAGTCCAGTAGCGCGCCATCAATCATTCAAGTCAAGATGGCTGCACAAGCAGACGTTGAATCGCTTTTACAACAACAAATTTTGAATGCTGCCAGCATTGTAGAAGAACAAATAGACTCGGAATTAAATCGCCTTGAAAACTTGAATGAAGATGATATTGAAAAAGTTAGAGAAAAGCGCTTGCAACAGCTCAAGAAACAGCATGAACTGAAGCAAGAACTAAGAAGAAAAGGACACGGTGAATACACCGCCATTGCTGACGAAAAAGATTTTTTTTCTGTTTGCAAAGAAAGTGCAAAAGTTATTTGCCACTTCTATCGTGAAAGTACATGGAGATGTAAGATCTTGGATAAACATCTATCAACCCTAGCTCCAAAGCATATCGAAGCAAGGTTTATCAAAATAGATGCGGAGAAAAGTCCGTTTCTTGTGAAACGCTTACGCGTTGTGGTTTTGCCGACGATTGTACTCATTAAGGATTCAAAAACTTTTGATTTCATTGTTGGTTTTGATGATCTTGGTGGGAACGACGACTTTTCTACAGAAATGTTAGAATGGAGGATCGCATGTGCAGGGATCATCGACTACAATGGAGATCTAGGCCAGCCTCCTCACACAAAAACTAAAATGTCCTCACAAAAATTATTCCAACAACAGAAGAAAGTTATCCGAGGTAGAGATGACTCTGATGAAGACTCGGACTAGGTGAATGTATGATTTGTCACTAACTGATGTAGATTTATTAGCTCAAACATGAACTGATGAAATATTTGTTTATTTATAATAAATTATAAAATTTATATTAAGTGCTTCGTAAAATCACTTATTTAGTACTGTATTAGTTGTCTCATGTTAAATGCCAGGTGTATATTCATCAATGAAAAGCATTGTAATTGTTGCTTTCATATCTTATTCAAACTTATGGTAATGTATGGTAATTAGTCTAAAATGTTATTATACAGTGATTTTTATCTGATTAAAAGTAAGTGTGTAATACTTGTATGAAATATCTGAAACTATGGGATCATCAAATGAAAAGTCACACATTTGTTTTTTGAGATGGGGGAGCAGTGGAGAAGATAAATATTCTCTTTTTCTCTTACACTTAACTCTGACACATTTAAGCTGCTACCAGAATCATTTGTCTCATGATTTTTTTATTGTAAGAATGGAGGGGGCTGTGTATTTAATAAAAATGAAATAAATTTCATGATTCATTCATTTATTTAACATTTCTCAACAATTTGTTTGCAAAGCAAAGAAAATTAAAAATTTAGTAATTTCAACAAGTATATTTCATGCACACAACATGGATAAATCTCTCCAAAACAAACACAAGCTTTGAAAGTTTAACTAATTTGGTTTAATGAAAGGCAACTTTCGGTGCAATTTTTTCCACTCTATTATCCATTTTTTCATGTATTTCTTTTCCAAATTTCTAGCATCAATCACAGATTGGGGATCATCTTTATTTTTATGACGTAAGTCAAGATGATGAGCTCCATTTTTAATTACGACAGCAACTAATGTATCAGAAATGCTCTTTGTTATTCCTCCACCTGACCATGGGTCCAGATCACCGTTGCTGTTGGGGAAATTGAATGGAAATACGGTAAATAGCCAGATTTAAAAAACAAACACATTTCTTCATGAAATTTTCACAAAATATCCTAAACATGTTACCATTAGCTGAAAAGCAAGGGCGTAAGCAAAGTTTATGAGGGACAAGACACTTAGGACGAGTTGAGAAAAGTAACCTTTATAGCTGTCCATTTGAAATTGTCATAAAAAGGGGGTGCAATTGCATCGTTCCCCCCTGGATATGCCCATGAAAAGAAACAAATGACATTATGTCAGATTGGCATTGAACAACTAACATCATTTGTCCTGTCAAATGTTTAATTAAGAAATAAAAGATGTTTACTGTGTTTGCACGGGCTTATGCAAACCAAGGAGACCTTCGGGAGAACTCGAAAGCAGATCAATGAAAGCCCGAGACAGAAGGTCGAGGGTTGCACATGCTCGAGAGTTCTTACAAACGTCGCCGAGGTTTGCATAAGCCCGTGCAAACACGAAAAACATCTTTTATTTCTTTTATAAAATAACAATAATGAGAAAAAGACAAACATTTCAATTTTTCCTCTAAAATGTATTCATGATCGATTTGTAAATTCTCTTTGACTGATTGATTGTTTTGATTGATTTGATTGGTTGAGCTCAGATGTGTTTTGCATCGGCTAATGCAAACACGGCTCTAGACCAATCACCGCACATGTTTTATTGTTTCTATTTTATAAAATATAATGCTTTACTTAAGTGATATAAACACGACAAGCAGATAACGTTAAATATTATAAAATGAAAAATTTCCTAAAACGAACACATATTTTTGTTGATATTCACGATAAAAAAAAGTTCATCAGATCTCATTGAGACCTTTACAATATAAAGACGAATTATTGTTGACTCTGTCTCTAAACTTTTGTTTTTTATCTTGAAGATCAAGAAAAAGGATGTCCATTATTGAGGATGTTGTTTATAAGGTTGATTCAAATATGCAAAAAAAAACAATTCTTACCTGAACACTATATTACTATGCGATGAGATCTTTTTTCCACCATATTGAATTTCAGCCCAAAATAGGCTCGGTTTTACACCGTATGATTTCTCGCAACCCTTGGCATAAGCAGGGAAATCCCACTAATTGATTATTAGCGAGAATTAGTAGATTAATGAATAATAGTTCATACGAAGAAAAAACGGTTTTTTATTATAGTAACTCACGTCAAATTGATAAAACATGTCATCGTTACCGTTGGCACACAATGGCATTACCATTTCTGTACAAGCCTAGACAATGGTAAAAAGACAGTCCAAACTTCCCATTTGTTTTCATTAGGTTGTATCTTACAGTGTTTTGTAAATGCACATGGTTAAATTCCTCATTGTGTATGATCCATTTGATCCCAAACTAAAATCTCTCAAAAAATTAACGAACAAAACTTTTAATGGGTCCGTTGCTCGCGAAGAAAAAAATTGACTCCCCAACAGAACACGTTCTGTCCACATGATATTTTGTTCGTATCGTATGAAACGAGTTCATATGGAAAAATTACAAACCTGAAAATTCCAGCCTTTATCACCCAAATCTTTTGTGGCTTGCTGATTGATGTCAAAACATTTAGCCACGCCAGTATAATTATAATAGACAGATATAGCATTGAACACAGCTTTTAATAATGCGTCTCCTTCGAGTTCTTCATCTTTTAAATTCTTACAGACAGCCTAAAAGTTATACAACACTCTTAAAGTTTGAAGTGCAAATACTAACATTGTAAAAAATTATATTATATATATTGCGCACCTTGATGGGCCAGCCTGGGAGAGGTTCCAAAAAAGAAGCAGGATATGGATAATTTACTGTAAATTAAAATGGTAATTACGTTAACGCAACGTTACCACATACATTACAACCCTAAACAATAATTCTTGCACTTTACCCATAGCCAAGTTAACGTATGTCCCGCTTAACCAATCCCTGAAGTTATATACATCAGTCATCTTTTTCAAAGGTTTGCATAGGTGGAAGATGTCTGACAGCTCGTTTCTTCCAGACTCTTATACAAAAATATTGAGCATAAATATAATATTTTGGCTGTATTTAGACCATACAGGGTGTATCAAAAAAAACTAAACCATTTTGGAAAACGTCTCTAAAGTCATCAGCGCAAGATTTGCGAAAACCTACGGTGAAAATAGATAGTTAGACTTCCAATGGTTCATCAAACTTTCGCAAATAATAACAATTTTTGTAGTGAACATCAATTATGGGTAAATTTGAGCTTAAATTAATACAAATATGAATAATGTATGAAGGTTTTAAGAAAATTAAAATGGGAAAAGGCGTAATTATCCGCAATTTGGATGCGTTCGCGCACGGTTTGGCCAAATTTCCTGGAAGTTTGTAAGCTTGTACAATGTATACAAGCTTTTACAATACATACAATTTGTTCCTATTGCTTATTTAGCTTTGTCTTTTTCGTGCGCAAGCTATTTCAAAAGAGATTCTCGTTCTAAAAATGATTATTATTTACTAATGGAAGTCCAACTACCTATTCCGTCAAAGGTTTTTGCAGATCTTGCGTGCCAATAACTTTAATGACGTTTTTCTTTATGTTCAGTTTTTCAGTTGATACACCCTGTATAACTCTAAAGATGGCAAAAAAATGATCTACAAAAATATCTATATGCATTTAAACACCTACTGGACATTCCTTTGTCGAGAATTACACTCCATGATTTCTTGATCAAATTAAAACATGACTGTCCTTCTCTTGCAAAATCACGCGAAACAATGTTGTAAAAGGTCTAAGATAAAAACTAGTGACGATTTATACATTACCAATAATTGTAAATAGCGCCACAACATTGTTTATGGTTACCTCACAAGGAGTAAGATCTTGAAACTGAACTATCGGTGCTGATGCAGCAATTGCACTACAACGTAAAGTGAGGGATTATAGAAAAGGCTATTGTGTTGTTTGTTAGGGGGTGGTGGGGGTGGGGTTGATTCAACTCCAATTTAGAGTTGAATTATCTTCTATTTAAGGGATTGTTATAACCATGTTATTAACTGATACGTTGAAGAGTTATTTCAACTTCTTTAAATAACGATAAAATGCCAATATCTGCTTTTTTAACGTTTGAATGAGGCACTGGTGAGAGACATAACTTGAATGTCTTATTCGTGACAGTGCAAAAAGGAAACAAAACTTTGCCGACCGGAATACAAACACCGTATTGAGTTCGACTAAGAATATAGGCGTTTCCTCTTGTTACTTATAGTTTAAAATGTGTGCATTGAAAGAAAAAATACTCCCACCCGTCTATACAAGATTTAATGCACATTGCAACAGAAATCAAAGGAACGAAAAGCTTCGATTTGAATCATTTGATTATTTTTTATGTGATCATCATTTCATCGAATCATGACCGTTCCTGGTTATAATATTTGTGAACTAACCCAACGACAACATTCGGATACTTCATTCTAAACCAAGCAGCCAACATCCCTAAGAATATAAGTTCAAACCGTTTTCAACTATACTAACGATTTAATGTAATTATTTGTACATTTCAGCGTAAAATATTCATAAGTTTTCAACGAAAAAATACCTCCATATGACCCGCCCATCGCTATTACAGGACTTTTCCTAGCACCACTATAAGTTTCCTTTATTAAAGGTGAGGGTAGACGACATTGATAAATGAATCAATGGACATGGACAGTATAATCCATTTAAACATTGGGAAAATTTCCTAGATAATTTGTGTAGAATATTACCTTAACATGTTGTAGCATAAATGCAAAGTCAGCAAGTGCTTGCTCTGATGTCAAGAATCCTAAATGCTTTGGGCTCTGCAAATGTTTGGATTATTTATACTTCATAAACTATCTATTTTTGTAAATGATACTCCTTCCTAGTTTAAAGAGTCATGATCCTCCACCTCATAAGACTTTTTGCCGAATGGCATTGATTTTCCGTAGAATCTGTGTTCACCAAAAACAAGCATAGCTTTAAATTCTTTTGCAATATCCCACATAAAGCCCTGTAAAAAATGTTTTGTTCAAATGCAGGAAATTGGTAAAAAACTAATCTTTACTAAGGCTATATTGCTAACTAGGCGTTTTAAAAATGAATTGAGTATATTGAGCCATCCAATTAGTATGTACTTAAAAGTTTGCGAATTATTAACACCCCCCTTTACACACCATCGAGCAACATTTGGCTGCCAAACCCCTTGTCCCTTTGTGCGAAAATGTACTTCGCTACTTCAAATTTGCATAATTTGCAGAGCGAAAGTGGGCTTTTACACTTAAGACCAATGCTCAGATATAGCTAAGCTTAAAGATCCTATTACCAGTTTGGGTTAAACAGTTGACGTGCACGATCTTTAAATGTGTACAAATATAATCGGGCTTACTCAGGAAACCAATATTAGACTCCAAAATGTCATTTATACGAAATGATAGCTTAGCAGCCACCCCTCCCTACTGTACTACTATACACAAATTTACGAATTGATCATACATACCCACCCGGCCACCCCCTCCCCCACTTTATTGTATACGCACTAAATAAACGACCCTTATGTTGGCTTCTTGGCTTACGTTGATTCACTAAGAGGCCAAAAAGAATAAAACTAAAGCAAAATCAACCAAGTATTAATTGGCATCGGTTGGTATTTGTTTTGAACAAATGTTTTTATATGCGAATCATGCGCATGGCCTTGGGTTGAGGGCTCAATTCCCACCAGAGCAGTTTGTATTCGTTCCAAGAAAAGCGTTCGAGTTTGAGGACGAGGAAGCGAGGAGAACAAAGAAGACTAGGATGAAGCTTGTGACGAAGGGGAAAAAGGTGTTTTAGTTTAGAGAAAAAGAATTACATAAATCGGAGTAGACAGAGAGATGGAATGAAACAGATTGCTGGGTAAATCTGGCCATTCCTGTTTACGAGGATAAACCCTGATCGAAAAATTGAAATTATAAACATAACGCAAAATGTAGAATGAGTATCAATTTTGTGATGTTCAATTGATAAATGATGCATTCATGCATTGTAAAACAAGACTTACATTCTTCTATCACAACATACCGTATTATTACAAAACCATGTGATATCCCCTTCATTGCCACAATAGAATAAAATTGGTCCACCTTTTTCCCAGTGTATGTCACTGACTAAGTAACGTTGCTTAAATGTTTCATTTCGGTCATAATTGAAATGATCTAGCTGCAAATGAAAAAACTCACCGTAACGTTACTGAGTTTCAGAACATGGTAAAAGTCAGTAAGTAATCAAATTATTCAGAAAGATGTCGAAGCAACGAAAAAGTGCATTTTTATTTCCATAAGTTTTATATTACAGCGAAACCAAAGTACTATCAACATGCAAGAATAATATAAAATTCTAAAATTTCGTAAGTCAAAATGCAGCCAACCCAACGAAACATTCACGAAAAAATCACTGACCTTTTGATTAAGATACTTCGTTTCGTACACACAAAATTTGCATTCTGATTTTTTTGCCAATCTTTCGGCGGATGACAAAGGTTGTCGGGGAAAATGTGCTTTCAAGCGAAAAGTTTCAATTCTTTCGCTCAATATTACAAGAACAACGACACAACAAAAATAAAGGCTAACAATAAATCTTGTTCCCATGTTAGACGACTGACCGTAAACACAGAACAGGTACCTGCACAGCGCTGAATATTGTTTGTTTTTTTCCTTCCGCAGAGTTATGGACGTAAATATCTTAAGCGGACATAAAAATAAGTACAATCTGTAATTTGAGTCTGATACAAGTAATATACGGAAAGAGACATATCCAAAGACGATCAGGTTTCTGTTTGTAGTTTGACATCCTGCTTTATTCTTGTTTTTTTTTTACTTTAACATCATCTACCAATAACTTGACGTTAATTAGTCAGATATTCATGGTGCTATTATTTCTATGGAACTAAACCTTCCTCTTCTCGCCATCACTATTTCTTCCTAATTCCTTCATTGGTAGACCGTGACCGACCGTGGCCATGTCCTCTTTCCTCCATATCTTTCTATGTAATGCATTATGTACTCTCAAATCCAGTTCCTTTAGCTCCTCACTAAACTTTTTTTACCTATTTGGCTCTGCTTCTCATTTCCTCATCGGGTCTTCCAATCCCTGCATGCTTTACAAGTTACCACCTTCATTTTTTCTCAAAATATGACCATGCCAACGTAGTTTATTTTGTTCCATAACTGTCACTACACACTACTACTTTTGATCTTACTGCTGGCTGTTCTTCTTGTTCCTTTGTTTTTTATCTTTTCACGCAAGGACATACCTAGCATCTTCCGTATCATTTTCCCTAGCATTGTGATGAGTGTTGCATCTTTGTCCTGACTACAGTTGTATAGGTCTTTGCTTTTGGTCTTATTGTTCTTCTTTTTTCTTTTTTTTATCCTGATTTATAGCTATATCGTGCGCTCAAACAATTTCTGCGCTGCAACTGTAAACAGTGCTGAAGTAGACTTGTCTATGTTGCGCAACGTAAAGATATAAAAAATTGACTTGTTACTAAAATTTCGTTGTCAGTAAATCATTATCGATCAACATTTACACGGTATCAGACTGGTATGATATAGAACAGAAAAAGCTGAAATAGCCATTCACTACAACTGTCACTATTCAACTACAGTTGTGTCAATGGTTTCTTCATTAGTATTAAAGCATAGTGTGTCATGGACTGTAATTGGATTATGCTCATTTGTCATGTGATCGTTTTCGACGGCATCGGATAGCATTTCAAGGCCCTTCTTCACGATTTGATTGTGATTTTCTTACATTTCTTCGTTATTTTGGTTAGAAAGTATACTTTCCGTAACTAGTTTTTCGAGATTTGATTGGCTGATCCAAAAAATCGAGAATGAATGAATATTACAGTGGGAATTTACCAGTAAATATTCCTTATTTTAATCCTGTTCCCATGAATGCTGGTCTAATCAACCCAACACAGCATCAACATCACTCTGAAGCTGAAGTATACAACTTTGATATCGGGAATCTGTTCACTAGTTTTTTAACCCAGCCAGGAAGTATCGAGTCAACAAACAAGCCTTATGCGTGTGATATTTGTAAAAAGTCATTCGTCCAGGCAAGTGCGTTAGAAAGACATAAAAAAGTTCACAGCAACGAACAGCATATTTGCGACATCTGTGGACAACGATGCTCCCAATCAGGTGACTTAATACGTCATCGCAGAATTCACACTGGAGAAAAACCATATACGTGCGATGTATGCAACAAATCATTTTCTCAGTCCAAATCATTGGCAAGACATAAACGCACGCATTCTGGAGTTAAACCATTTACATGCGACATTTGTCACAAGTCGTTTGCAGACTCAGGGTACCTAGTTATACATAAGAGAAAACATACTGGAGAACGACCATATAAATGTGGTTCGTGTGACAAATCGTACTCCAATCTAGTTTCCTTACAAAATCACATCAGAACACACACTGGCGTGACTCCATATGAATGTGACAAGTGTAACAAAAAATTTTTCACTTTACCAGGCTTACGTTATCATGAATCAACTCATACTGGACACAAACCTCACAAGTGTGACGAATGTGATAAGGCTTTTGCTACATCATCAAAGCTTATTTGCCATAAAAGAACACATTCTGGTGCTAAACCTTACAAGTGTGACTTGTGTGATAAGGCTTACGCTCAATCATTTGATCTTAAACGACACCAGAAAACACACAGTGGTGTGAAGACATTCCAATGTGACTTATGTGATAAAGCATTTTTCTGGTCTGGTAGTTTAAGAGAGCATAAGAAACAACACCTTGAGGAAAAGCCATTTAAATGTAATATTTGTGGTAAGAGTTTTACCTGGTCCAGTGCTCTTGGAGATCATAAAAAAACTCACTCTGAAATTAATGTGAATAAGCCTCATAGATGTGACATTTGTGGGAAGACATTTAATGCTCTTGGCTACCTTAACAGACATAAAAAAAAGCATACTGAAGATGAAAGCAACGGAGTTGTATCATCAAATGGTAATCCCAATAGCACTGGCCGACTGTATACATGTGATGTTTGCCAAAAAACTTTCACCACATCTTCAAGACTTAAATGTCACACAAGATCTCACACAGGAGAAAAGCCATACAAATGTGACCAATGTCCTAAAGCATACGCCCAATCGTTTGACCTTAAGAGACACAAACAAACACATTCTGGAATTAAAAGCTTTAAGTGTGACTTATGTGATAAAGCATTCTTTTGGGCAGGTAGCCTCAGACAACATAAGCGTCAGCATGCTGATGGGAAACCTTATAAATGTAATGTTTGTGATAAAGCCTTTGCTTGGTCAAGTGCTTTAGGAGAGCATAAAGCCACACATGGAATTGAGAAACCATTTAAATGTGACTGTGGCAAATCATTTGCTGCATTAGGATATCTTAACACTCACAAGAATGCTTGCAATGAAAGTAATGATCCCACTGAAAAAGAGTCTGATAAAAACATAAGACCGAGAACAAATCATTGTGAATTCTGCAACAAAAGTTTTGCTACTTTATATAAGTTGAAATGTCACTTACGAAGTCACACTGGAGAGAAACCTTTTCAGTGTGATCAATGTCCCAAAGCATATGCCCAATCATTTGACCTGAAGAGGCATCAAGAAAGTCATAGTGGAGAGAAAGCATTTTCATGTGATGAATGTGGCAAAGCATTTCTGTTTGAATGTAGTCTGCGCAAGCACAAAAGACAACATTTACCAGGTGCTAAACATGAATGTAATATTTGTGGAATGACATTTACCAGTGCTTCTAAACTCAAAACACACCAGAGAAAGCATAGTGGAGAAAAACCGTACCAGTGTGATCAATGTGATAAAGCATATGCACAGTCATTTGATTTAAAACGGCACAAGCAAACACACAGTGGAATCAAAAGTTTTCAATGTGACTTGTGTGACAAGGCTTTCTTTTGGTCAGGTAGTTTAAGGCAGCATAAAAAGCAACATGCTGCTGAAACACTTGCTATCTTGAGCAGCAAGCATAGGGAGATCCCCGAGGAAGTAGAAAAATGTGGAAATGCAGAAAACAATGAAACAGATCTGGATTTTGTAATGGGAAAAGGTGAACAACCAGTTGTTGAGATGAACTGTGTAAGTCCAGGCAATATTATTGTCAACCCTACTGTTGTTCAATCAAAAACTGGGCAAAAAGTTAAGAATTTTAACTGTGACATTTGTGGGAAGGATTTTGTTTGGAAAAAAAGTTTGCAAAGCCACAAAAAAAAGCAACATGCTCAGATGCAACCCTCGATTGCTGAGGAGACAGACAAGAACACTGAATAGCATTGAAATGTTGAAAGATGTAGTTATTTCTCATGTCCTTTGAGATTTTATGGAATTAAATAATTCACAACTCAATTAGAGCTGACTTGTTCACTTTTGTTTTATCTGATATTTGTGCATGATCAACAATTTGCCCATCAAGATTAACACTGAATCTAATAAAATCAGGAGGGGGTGGGGATGAGTAAATGTACACTTCAGTACACATGCTGAGAATAGAAAACTAATTTGGAAGTATTTCCTTGGCAATTTTTTGTGAGCAGGAATGTTATTAACTATACAGCAATATAACTATAACTATAGCTTGCGTTTGGAGATGGGTCTGACGGCACTAGCCTCATAAGCATAGGCGTACGGGGCATGAGGGAAGGGGGGGAGTTGCCCCTCAAGAAAGTTTAAAGATAGAAAAGTTGGGCAACTTTTTAGCATTAGTCGGGCGAAAATACAAAACGAAATACGAACCTTCTTTGTGAGTTGGGAAAAATATTTACTGTCTCCTCAGAAATGATAGCTCCCGTACGCCTATGGCCACAAACGCTAACAGGAAACCTTTGGATTCAAAAAAGCACGCTAACTGACTAAAATGCGCCAAACTTAAATCGTTCCAAGCCAGGTACCGTCTACTATACTACTCCTCTCCTCTTTCCTCCACAAAGGGCTTTCGTTATGTATTCTGTACTACTAGAAATGTGATAATTAATAAAACGCATTAAGCCTGATTAAGCCAAGATATTTATATATTAATAGTTGTCATTGTGGTTTTTCATTTTTAGTACGGTTTAGCGCATTCTATTAAATTTGCGCATTTTAAAATTTTTTAATAAACGAAGCCCCGCTGGTTTTACTTGTTTTTTCCCCCAGTTCAACTTGTTTTGCGGGTACGTCACAGATACAGTCCCACAATGCAACAGGAAAAAGCGAGGTCCAGAAAATTTTAAGTTCAGTTTGCCACGCCACTGATCTCTGTAGTCCAAAGAAATGGCGGTTTGTTGAAATATAAAGTTGTAAACTGAATATTGAATTATTCTTTATTTTATGTCTAAATAAAGAAACATGGATAACAACGTCTAAGGTTTCATATTTAACTGCAGACCTTCATTATAATTTTCAGTGGTATCGATTTTTATACGCAGTAACTATATACTGTTTTATTAATCATGAGTTCAGATCCGACATATACGCTAGAAGAAGACGATGAAAATATGGGTAACAGCGAAATTACTGTCGAACAGGCAGGCAGAAATATGAATATTATGGTTGTCGGAGCTGATGAAACGGTTTATATTTCTGGAGATAGTGCTGCAACTGGCGCAATGCACGAAATACATTACCAACATATCACAAATAACACGTTGCCAAACAAACAGATGGCTATAGATTCGGATATTCTCGAGGCTGGTGATGTTTCAGTAGATGAGCAAAATAAGCATATTGAGAATGACGATGTTCAACCCACCATCTTACATCTTGGACTATCAGACTTCGTAAATGCAGTACAAAAGGCTTTAGCTCAAGAGCACAGGTTACAAGTCATTAACAATGGACCACAAGACCATGTTGAAGACTCTACGACTCAGTCTCAGGTTGATGTTGATTCTACTCACGACACTCTACAAATCATAGCTCAAGAAGGTGTAGAATTGGATCAGAGCTCTGAACATCAGACTAACCAAACAATACCACTAAGCTCTGGTTTGGTTGTAAGTCAAGCTGATGTGAACAATGCAAACATTTTAACCAGTTTGGCCACTGATGGGCAACATGCACAATTTTCCGATCTCAATTCTGAAAATCCTTCGCAATCCCTAAATGTTGTGGTTAATACCATCATACCTTCCTCTCAGAAAAAGTCAAAAAAACTTTACAGTTGTAAATATTGTGATAAAACATTTTCACAGCCACATCAGATTGTCCGTCATGAACGCATGCATACTGGAGAGAAACCTTTTGTTTGTGATATATGTGGAAAGGGTTGTTCTCAGAAAGGAGACCTGGCACGCCATAAACGAAAACATACGGGGGAACGACCATATAAATGTGATATTTGTCCAAAAGCATATTTTAAGTCCGCTGATTTAAAGTATCACAAAAGGAAGCATATGGGAGAGAAACCGTATAAATGTTTGGAGTGTGATAAATCTTTTACTGGCTTGACAACGTTGAAATACCATATGCGCACTCATACTGGTGAGAAACCTTACAAATGTGACATTTGCGATAAACAGTTTGCACAGTCCAGCTCGTTAAAATTGCACAAAGTTACTCATTCATCTGTAAAACCATATGAATGTGATGAATGTGATAAGAAGTATGCATCTGCGCCCACTTTAAAATGGCACAAAACAACTCATATTTGTGGTAAATCGAACAAACCTGTCAAATGTGATATTTGTAATAAAACACTCGCTCATTATTCCAGTTTGATTTGTCATCGAAGAACTCATACTGGAGAAAAACCATTCAAATGTGAACTGTGTCCTAAAGCATATTCACAATCTTATGACTTAAAGCGACATATGAATACCCATTCCGGTAATAAACAATACAAGTGTGATATTTGTGGTAAGGCATTCTATTGGGCAGTTAATTTACGAGAGCATCGAAGGCAGCATGATGAAGAGAAGCCATTCAAGTGTGAATATTGTCCAAAAGTGTTTGCATGGTCTAGTGCGCTTGGACATCACAGGCGAATGCATCACATGGGAGAGAAACCTCATAAATGTGAAACATGTGGGAGAACATTTGCTCAACCTGGCTATCTCAATAGACATATTAAGAGTAAGCATCCAGAAAAAGCTGAACAGTATGTTAGTAATACATCAAGTGGTATGACTACCAATAAATCTGACCAAGAAAAAGATGTTGCTGCAAATAATATTCCCAAAATTCCCGAGAAAAGCATTACAGAAATGCCATCTAAAAATGTCCCTGAAATGCCAGCTGAAAATGTCCCTGAAATGCCAGCTGAAAATGTTCCTGAAATGCCAGCTGAAAATGTTCCTGAAATGCCTCCTGAAAATATTTCTGAAATGCCAAGGGAGAATGTTCCTGAGATGCTTGCAAAAAATGTTTCTGAAATGCCTGCTGAAAATGTTCCTGAAATGCATAAAGAAAATGTTCCTCAAATGTCTGCTGAAAATGTCCCTGAAGTACAACATGAAAATTCTTCGGAAAAACAAGAAGAAAATATCCTGGAAATGCCCGCAGAAAATACTTCTGAAATGTTTCAAGGACATGTTCGTGGAGTGCCTTCTGAGCTTGTCCATTCTTCTGAACTGGTTATTGCAAACATTTCTGAAAAAAAAGCTGACGTTCTTCCTGTTATGCCTCTTGAAGATATTTCTCTTCCCAATGTCACTGCTGAAAATGTTTCCAATTTGAATACAAAAAAATTGATCATGATGAAAGCTGACAGCATTTCCAAAGATAATAATGATGAAAGTCCCAGTGAATTGACTTCTGAAAATGTTTCGGACACAAGTGCTAAAAATTTCCCACAAATCTTTCCTGAAAAAAGAAAAACTGGAAATGTTTCTGAAATTCAATGTGAAATTACATATGTGGACGAAACTCCTAAAGATAATTCAGTTGATAATTGTATTGATCAAGATAAGGTATCAAGCAGAACAACTTTACAGCTGGACCTTGGTGATGCAAGTGGTGAAGCTCATATAAGTATTTAGTATCTTTGATTTTTTATTCTATGTTTTTCTCCGCAACCATGATTTGTTGCAATTTGTAGTGAGTGATTTTGAAGATATGTCAATTGCAATCGGATATACTCTATTATATGTGGTGAGGTTGTAATTGCAGTTTGTTCTTATAAAAGTTGGTGTAACTTTAGCTTTACCCAGCTTTAGAGTTAAAACCATTTACATTTGGCTATTCATATCTTGTGTATGTAGCTTTAAACCTTCTGAGTTTCTATCATAATATTATTGTTAGAACAGATTGTTGTGCTCAATAAAAATATGAGGCTTGTGTTGTGTGTTGAAGTAAGTAAAAAAATAATAGGACACAACAGTTATCCTTTCAACATTCACGTAGTAATGCCATGAATTTATTCATTGAATCTATCATGCTCATTTGTCATCATTTAATGCCACTTGATGTGTTTTCTGCAAAACTGCGAAAATCTTGCGTAAAAAAGGATGATTTACTAGGTATCATATAATTTTTTCCCTATTCTTTTCAATTCACTGTCAAGTTATTGCAGCGTTGTAAAATTGCTAATGTATGTTTACATAGGTAATATTGGTGAAACATAAATTTAATATCCCCTAGCTCTGTCAGCTTAGAACATACTGGCTTATAACGTAGGTTGTGTCGATGATTGAGTTGCATTAATTAACTGCTGTGGTAGCTGTGGGATAATTCATTATTCATTAACGAACTGTTGAATTATTAAACGGTACTACAGTGTTATTAAATGTTATTTCTTCATTAGCTGTTGTAGTGAAACACTTCACTTTCTTTACTTTACAGTCGCATACAAATAATAAATATTTTCTATCACAATGATTATGGAACTATAGAAGTTTTTGTGTGGTGTAAATTTGATAAATTTTGTTCATTCGTTTACTAAATTACATGTCTTAAAATCATGTTTTTTTCGTTGTTACGCTACAATTCTGCTTGTGTTTTATAAGAAATTTTCGATTTTTATGAAAACTGATTATATACCTGCTGAAAGGAAATTTTTTTTGTATTGATGTGAATAAATGTAAGTAACGAGTACATATGTAAGTTAGAAAACGGCCGACTATAAATACTCATTACACAAAAACTTCTAGCTTGTGAAGTAGACATTCAAACATTGAATTTGAAAAAGTACATTACAGTTTTAGGAAATGTTTCATTCAGACAAAAAATTTGACGTCATATACACTTAAATGGTTGCACTGATTATTGATTACAGGATTGATACAGAGAATTGTATTAAAGTGACACATTACGATCACTTTCTACAACAGAAAATGAAAAGTGCATATGCGTTTGTCTCAAATTTATTTTATTGACGTAGAAGACTTGAGAGCAATGGAAAATCTCTTCATTTATTCTTGTTTTTTTAAAGTAGTTGTCGGCCCATTTTTCATTTTTTTTCTCGTTGATTACGTCATCTTACGACAAATTCTTTCAAACAATTGAATGGTGAATTGCTATTTGATGAAAAAATCTTTTGCTTAGTTATAATGTATTGCTTTTTCCGCTTATTAGGAATAACTTTAAAGGAAATTCTATAATCTGCAAATGCGTACCCAAAATCCAAGCACAAAAAATGAACTGTTGAAGTTTAATAAACTTATCTTGATTTTTATATCGTCTGCCGCTGGTGTACAATTTTAGGGGCTCCGAATTATCAATGACCTATTTATATATGAAAATTATCGTTTTATCAAAATATAGTTGTAAATGGACACTTTCCTAACTTTATTATGCTATTTGACTGTCCTGGTTGTTTTTTTCACATTTATGGTATGCAGTTTTAAATAAGAGATTTTTTATTTTAATTTTTGCTTCTAATGAACTAACGTTTTTTATAGGGACTGTTAATTGTATATGCAACAACAAGTGATAGGTTTGCAGTTATTGAGCGTTTTCCTGATGAGAGATATTTTATCAATCCTGTTCAGAATAATGAGAAGCTATCTTTTCCGTATCTCGAAAAAGAATCAACCATTGATTTATCTATCATTGTACCTTCCTACAACGAAGAGGAAAGATGTAGGTTTGGTCGTAAATGCTTGCCATACATACTACATGTTGTGTTTGCTACAAGTGATTAGTTATCGATCAATGTTCACGTTTTATGTTTATAATTAAAACTCTGTTCAAGTATGAATTGACCCTCAAGTGACATGAAATCTGCAATGTTAGGGGGGGGGCTGGGGTGGAGGTTTAACTGCACACCAAAGATTCAAAATGTGCATTAAGGCCTACTTTTCACAAAATTGTGCAAGATCTTGGTTGCACACTACCAACCTTTCCATATGGGTGGATAGGAAAAATGTCATTCTGTTCGTATGTTGCTAGCTTTGTCTTTTGTTGTTGTAGCAATAGGATGAAGAAGAGATATGTCCAATAGAAAAATCAACAACAATGATATATTTATTGATGAATTGCCATAATCATGATCTTTAATTATACATTGCAGTACCACTTATGTTGGATGAGGCATTTGAATATTTAGATGAAAGAAAAGTAAACAAATTTCATTTCTTTACATGAATTGTCTTTGGGGATGACCTAAACTAATGATAATGTCCTTGTGTGTACTTCAATTTTTAGAAATATGAACCGTCATTTACATATGAAATAATTGTTGTTGATGATGGCAGCAAGGACCAAACATCAAGGGTTAGCTTTCGAAATATTTTTGTATATATGCAATTAAATGGCTGCCATTTAAATGAAGATGCTTCTTGTAAAATAATGCTATATTTTCCTTACAATTTGAGGGCTGCTCAATATACTGGTTGTATAAATTTGACTTTTCGCAAAGTTGATCTGATGTATTAAAAATATTTTTTATGTGTTATTCATCAACATGTCCCAAAGTCTAAGCATGAAAGAAAGTCTTTTCACTCTCATATAATATCTACAAAGTTTTGTCACAGGTTGCCATGAAATATGTGGAAAAATATGGAGTAGAGCTGGTTCGTGTGCTGACTTTGACAAAAAATAGGGGAAAAGGAGGCGCTGTTAGATTGGTAACACATATAAATCAATTGTTAAGTCAAATATTTGTTGGTATAACTCATAGGCATTAAATAAGATTGGATTAAACATGAAAAAATCAAAGGACTTCTCCATAAATTGTTTTCTTAATATAAGGGGATGTTCAGTTCACGTGGAAAGCAATTGCTGATGGTTGATGCTGATGGAGCAACAAAGTTTTCTGACTTTACCAAAGTTCAAAGCAGTCTTCACAAAATCATCAATGGAAAAGTTTGTGCTATATGGCTTTTTATGGCATGCATTTCAATTTCATGATTCTTTTGTCATTACTCAAGTTCATCATTTTGAATTGGCGAAAAAGAGAAATGAACACACTTTTTCTTTACTGGGCGAAATGAAAAATGAAAAAATAAATAATTCATTTAGTTAAGTGTGTTAAATGTGAGCCACAAGGAAGGAAGAAGATTTTAATTGTTTTTCAGGATCATAAACCTGCCATAGCTGTTGGGTCAAGAGCACATTTGCAAGATGAAGCTATAGCTGAGGTTTAGTGGTATTCTCTTCTCACTAATTTAATGTTTGAATTTTTGATTAATTCTTGTATGATGTGGAAGAATTTTGTCTTCATAGCTTGACTGATATATGTTCTTTTATGTAAATGAATGTTTTCAGAGAACTTTGCTAAGAAATTTGTTGATGTATGGCTTTCATTTTCTTGTCTGGTTTCTATGTGTGAGGGGTATTAAAGATACACAGGTAATTTTGTATTAACCCCCCTCCCCCTTTTTCTTTTGATGTCAAGTAATTTTAAAAGCCTGGGTCTCACTTGCAACATAAGCACAAATTTATCAAAACTCTTCATTATTCTTATGCATATTTATACTTGTACTTATTACTGTGTTTGCCAATGAGGACACTTATGCTTATGTTTATGTTGCCAGTGAGAACCAGGTTTAAAGGCATACTATTAAGTGGATTTTAGGTTAAAATTTCTTGCCCTGAATTAGGTACTAACTGTGGCAAGTTTTGAACAGTGACTTAATGAACAACTGACTTTTAGCTTTTATAAGCTTCCACATACTAGTGATGTATGCAAACAGTTCATCACTCCAGTACATTGTAAGATGACTTATTAAAAAATCTTTATACAAAATCTTTAAAAAATTGTTTGGTGACAAGATTTGAAGAATCAGTTTGATGTTCATATTTTTTAGCAGTATAGTCTTAGAGGCTTTCCAAAATTGATAATTATCTCCACAATGGCTTTGCTTCTAATTATTTTAGTGTGGTTTCAAACTTTTCACAAGATCTGCCGCTTTACTTGTATTCACGTCTTTACATGTGGAACGATGGTTTGTGCTTACTTGTTTTTGGTCTCCCAAAGTTTTCCTTTTCTTTTTGTCATAATTTCATTTTCTAGGGCATTCGATGTTGAGTTATTATATATAGCTCAAAGATTAGACATTCCTATTACTGAAGTGGCAGTCAATTGGCAGGAAATAGACGGTGAGTCGGTGAGAATTTGTTAACACAATAGTATTAAGCAGGGCATAGCTTCGTCAAAATAAGAATTCATTTCAGCTTCAGCATCGCGCAAATTTGGGAAAATTGTTGTTGGGAAAATATATTTTAGGAAATCCCATAAAAAATGAAGCCATTTTTGCACGTAGTTTACAAAAATATTTAATATTTGCATTGTATTCAAAATACGAGTTTATTTGGTTAAATGGTTTTAATTGTCACGAAAGTTTAACTAGTTATATAGTAGCCCTTAATTGTTCAAAGATCCAAACTTGTAAAAAACTCATGCATTGATGGGAAAACGAGCGTACATTTATACAAACAATAATGATATAAAGATAGCCTAGCTTTATCGCAACATTCAAATGATGATATCAATCAAATAATTTCATCGAAATATGTTTGTTTGCGGTGTTTACGGAGATCTGTTTGACTTAGAATTTAAACGTTTCCTGATTTTGCAAATCGTTTGTCGTATGTACAACTCGTTTGTTGCAGATTGGCAGCATTGTGAGAGTGTTCGGTTTAGTGTAAATATTTGACTGTGTATTCTATAGGCTAAAAACAGCAAAAAAGCCTAAAATACTCCTGTATTATTCAAGTATCCACAGCTTAGGTTGAATTTCAAGGGATACCGCCCGTGTCCGGAATTCAAATTGTTTAAAGTCTGTGTCATCGGAAATCGTTTTAACGTCTCTCAGTGAAAACTATTCTGATTATCTTTTGTTATCGTCACTCTTTCATGAAAATATTATCTGCTTATACGATATTATATTGATTCACTTCGGTTGATCTTCGTGCTTTGATGAGTCGATAAATAATTTGTGTTTTCTAAAAATTCCTGTCTTTATGCTGGTGCTAAAGTTACCATTGTATAATCCATTGAAATAAAGGTCTTTTTTACTAATGATTGTGCTGTCTTATCAGTGTTAAAATAAATGAGGATTGTTTTGTTAGATTAAAGTTTTGGGCTGTCTTCAATATTTTTAGCCTTTTTTTTCTGTGTAATATTTTTAGGTTCCAAGATGATACCTTTCTGGAGTTGGGTTCAAATGGGAAAGGATCTTTTATTAATACGTCTACGATATATTTTAGGAGTTTGGAAAATTTCTGAAAAAAATTAATGTAACTGTGTTTCGTTCATTGTATGGATGATCTCATGTCTTAAAGACAATATACCAGTTGAACTTTGTAGAAACATTTACTTACCGCATGCTGATCGAACTGTTTTATTTTTTCTCTAAGCACAGTAAGTCAAAGTAATCTTTTATGCTCCGTAAACATTATCAGTATAAACACCATTCTCCTTGGATTAAGACCGAGATTAAAACTAGCTGAATTTTGAAAAACTTGCTCATTGTCATATTAAAAATAAGTCTGTTTATCGTTTATGCGCCCATGCTTGCGTTTACTTGGTCTCTGTGGAAAAGGGCGTGTATTTTTCCCTTGTTAATTTATTGGTCTTCAATATTTTATTCTCTAATTATTTTCTAATTTCGTTTACTGCTAAGTAGTATGTTTCAATGTAATGCCGCTAATAGCCAACTTCGGTTTTGCCGCAATTTTTGTTATTAGACAGGTGGGTATGAGGTAATAGAAGAAACTGCTATTTACTAAGCTCCTGAATAGGATTTATTGAGCTGTAAGTTCATTATTATGATGTAATGATAATTTAATGTATTTTTTACACAACCCAACTCCGTTGACAGGATATTTTATTCAAGGTGCTTTTTGTCGTTACAGGATATTGAGCTAACCCCATGGGGCGACATACAGCCAACATTTTCTTCTCTACTAGACATTCAGGCGCCATATTTGTGACGTAAAACATGCCCAAGCGAAGAAACATTCGCACACAGGAAAGCGAGATAATACCAGTAACAATTCGTACACGGTCTGTTTCTGAAATAGTTTTATTTACTTGTTGACCATTACAATTGTTTCATTTGGAGATTAAAAAGGTGAGAGAAGCTTTTTAAATATTTTCTTATAAAGTTGAATGAAAAGTTAGCGTAAGTTAGCTATCTAGTACATGCGATGAATGTTGTGTGAACCATTCTATCGTACGTTCTTGAACGTAATTGTGGATGTGATGTGAAATGCGTTCTCCTTATCTGAATAAACTAGTTACGTTGACTGTTTCACTGATGTTACCATTTTTCTTATCAGTCTGGTTAAGCTGTTTGCAATATATAACTTGCATCAATAAACTTGGCGACATTTTAAAATGGCTTCATTGTTTGCGTTCGCCTCGCCAGCTGTAAAACGTCTTTTGGGTTGGAAACAAGGCGATGAAGAAGAGAAATGGGCAGAGAAAGCTATCGAGTCTCTTGTAAAAAAGCTCAAAAAAAATAAAGGGGCCCTGGAAGAGCTTGAGAAAGCCTTATCGAACCCAAATGTGCCTGCAAAATGTGTGACAATCGCACGCAGTTTAGATGGAAGGCTTCAAGTTTCTCATAGAAAAGGTCTACCTCATGTGATCTATTGCCGAGTCTGGCGTTGGCCAGATCTTCAGAGCCATCATGAATTAAAGCCTTTAGATATTTGTGAATATGCTTTTGGCAAGAAACAGAAAGAAGTTTGTGTGAATCCTTATCATTATAGACGAGTTGAAAGCCCAGGTACTTAAAAACCTTAATAAGGATATACGGCTGATTGAATACTTTCAATTTTCTTTGTCTTTAATGAACAACAATTGCCAGTTAGCAAATATAAATAATTGTGGGGCTGCTTTGTTTTGTTCAATAAAATATACCAAATTACTATTTATGATGCACTGTTAAATAATGCTCTCAATATGTGTTGCTTAAATGAAGCAAATGAATGGTCATGTTTAAGCCTTGACAGAAGAAAGTAAGGAACGCATTTAATGTAAATATTTTCTTTACAGTATTACCTCCAGTACTTGTTCCACGTCATAGTGAATGGCCTCCACTACAACCTAGACTTCCACCACCTTACCATACAATGTCACGGGAGAATCCAAACATGCCTACCAATGCTAGTTTCCCACCTGGTTTTTCACAGTCTCCTGCAGATGATAGACCTAGCCCCTTCAGAAGTGGAGAAACTTTTACTCCTTATGAAATACCAGGTATTTACAATACTACACACATGTGAACTTCCACGCATGAGTAAATATAAAAAATGTGTATGCTTAGTATATGATGTTGCTAAAGATTTTATTCTTTCCTATTCATATTAAGTTCAAAAAAAATTATGAACCAAGATTTGGTACCATGCGATTCATTTTAGATCCTTGCATGTCAGATGATGGTGGTTCACCTCGTCCTCCAGAAAATCAGATGGATATAGAAATGGGAACTAGTTCTATTATTCCTGGACCAATGACTCCAGTATCTCCTGTACCTTCTGCTACTGGTAAAACAATTTATTTTTACCAATGCTTTCGTGAAATACAATAATTAACACTCATGCATTCTTTTTTGAATCTAAAACATTTTAGAATGTATTCCTTTTTTATATTTTATTCTTCTTAATAGGTGATATGGCAGCTATAAATTATCAAGAGCCACGTAATTGGGCAACTATTGCTTATTATGAGCTTAATACAAGAGTTGGTGAACCATTTCATTGTCATACTACAAGTATAGTTGTTGATGGGTTCACAGACCCAAACACCAATCATTCACAAAGATTTTGTCTTGGTTTATTGTCTAATGTCAATCGTAATTCCACTATTGAAAATACAAGAAAACATATTGGAAAAGGTGTTCACCTTTACTATGTTGGTGGGGAAGTTTTTGCTGAATGCCTTAGTGAGAGTGCAATATTTGTCCAAAGTCGCAACTGTAACCATCATCATGGCTTTCATCCAACTACTGTTTGTAAAATCCCTTCAAATTGCTCATTGAAGATATTTAACAATCAAGAATTTGCTCAACTTCTCTCACAATCTGTTCACCATGGTTTTGAGGCTGTATATGAACTAACTAAAATGTGCACCATTCGAATGAGTTTTGTTAAAGGATGGGGAGCAGAGTATCATCGTCAAGATGTTACTAGTACACCATGTTGGATTGAGATTCATCTACATGGTCCACTACAGTGGTTAGATAAAGTGCTTAGTGAAATGGGCTCACCTGGCAATGCTATTTCCTCAGTATCATGAGCCTAATTCTACACATCAAAATTCAGTAAACATGAAAGAAGCTGTTAATTGATGCAGGAGTAACAAAAGATATACAGTTTTCATATTTTTGTTAGTTGTTGCTATATTATTTAAATTGTCTTAGTTGTTGGTCATGTATATAGTTTGTGGTACATTTTAACTGTCATGCATGATATGCATTTTTTACCAATTTTATCATTTTGGTAAGTTAACTTGAAACTTACAACTACAAGTGTTGCTTCTGGAGCATGAGTATACATTTTCTCGCTTGCAATAATATATAACTGTTGAAAAGATAAACATTTCAATATTTGATGTTATGTGTCATAGCTCTTAGATACCTCAGTATCCAAGTTTCCTTCAGGATGCTTCAGAATATGTCTAAAAGTTTGGGCATTAGTACAAATTTAAAATTACAGTTATATTAGCTAATGATGTACATTTTGTGGGATTTGATTTTATTGTTGTTGAAGAAAAATCATTAAATTTATCTTCCCAGAATTAGTAAATAACATTTTAAACAGACAATAATTAAAGATCATTAACTCTTAGAACAATCTCTCTGAATCAATGCAAATTTTAGATGAAATATATTGAATAATTATAATTTCATTTGTTTTACTATTTTATGTACAACCTTTGATCCAATTCTTCCTGACAAAAAAGTCATAAAGTTTTCTAGTCTTGTTAACATCTATTTTTATAAGAGTTCGTGCTTGTGCAAGTTTAAGTGATCCTAAAGACACACTTTCTTTCATTAATGTATGCTTATAATGGAGATATGGTTCAGGTAAAAGTCTCAACTTTGAACACAACTCTCTCTCCTCTTCTGTCAACCTTTCTACTCCAGGTGTACCACTTATGTCTAATCTAGAGGCAGGTTTACGTCCTAATGATGGAGTCAAAAATGGAGCAACACCAATGGAACTCTGAAGAATAGCTTGCTTTTGCAACCAGCTTTGACAAGCAACTTTGTCTTCTAGCATGTATGTAATATCCTGAAGCATAGTGTCTCGCTTCATGTGCTGAAGTCTTTCATCTCGTGACATTTGATATATCTTGGCACCCTCTTTCAGTACAAGACCTTCTGCTCTACAGTGTTGCAATTTGAGGATTTCTTGTTTTAATGAATATTCCAGTAAAAGTCCTTGAACAAGCCTTTCATGTTCTTCTGCTGTATGAAGCTTACAAAATGGTTTAAGCCTTTCCCTCATATCCTTTTCTGTCTTGGGAAGATTCTGCTCAATCATGTCTGTTTTGTGGATATTAATTAGGCCATAATCTTTAATCAATCTCTTACGAAAACAACGTTCCTTTATCCTGCTTAGGTAAATTTCAACTGCTGTTAGTTTGAGATGATCATCGCTCTGGTCCACAAAATCAAATTTTATGTCTTTAATATCACATTCAGCAAAGTTATCATATTCTATTCCAAAATCACCACGACATGGCATATATTGCGCCATGTCAACTGCCTGGCTAGGGTCATCTTTAGGTCTTGGAGGGTCATCACATGGTTGATAAGGTATCATGAAAAAGTTATTAGTTGCATCTGGTGGAACAAATTCAGAAATCCATTGTAAAGATTGTTTTGGATTATTAATATAATTGCTTAAATAATGCCTTTCACATTCTTCAGGAGATTTTGTTCTTACACGACAAGCAATGTCACTCCAGTTTCCAAGTCCAAATTCTGCAATTGAATCTAAAAGTACAATCTCTTCCACGGCATTCCAGGTGTCTTCAATGATGGAGAAATCTAACGAGATTACCTCATAATCATGATTATTTTTATGGCTTGAAGCTTCGTATCCCTGAGCAAAACAGTGTAAACATATCCACACTGATGTTGAACACTCAACGCATTTTATGTATGGTTCTGTAAGATACATTTTACATCCAAAACAAACTTTCTTTCCTTTGGAAGACGAAGTCATCACCTCCATTACACTGACAGTTAAATGAGCTGAGTATTTTTAGGTCAGCGGCTTATAACTAAAGCGCAGTGGTGGTGGTCATTGATATGGTGGTGGTAGTGGGTGCACTGGTGGTGATCGTAGTCGTGGTGCCACTGGCGAAGAGTCGCTGAGGTGATGGTCATGATGATGAGCATAGAGCATGGTCAGAGCAGTTTCGTGTAATAATGGCGACGGGCTTCAAGTAAGTTTACATTGGATTAACATTCAATTCCTAAAAATTCTTAAGAAAATAAGAAATTGATATTTATTTGCAGGACTGCACAGCCATTAGAGTATTATAGAAAGTTTTTGGTTGGTACTTTTATTGAATTAAGAAGTTAAAGTTAATATTTCTTTTAAAAATTTAGCAATAAATGAACATTGCATTTGGTAATGTTTAGTGTTTAGGAAATTTTTACCTAATCCAAATAAACAATTTCAAAATGGATGATGATATTTCTCAAATAATAGAGTGAAAATATTCGTCCTGATGGCAGAGACTTGTTGCAATTTAGAAACACTGTCGTCAATATTGGTATTTTTTACATTTTGTTAAGAATTTGCATCAATGTGTATTTAACTGTATCTTTACAATCGAATGTAAATGCACATAAACCATATTTTAGGTTCAATTGCCACTGCTGAGGGATCATGCATTGTTAAGTTAGGAAATACAACAGTTGTGTGTGGAATTAAAGCTGTAAGTAAGAAAACATTATTCAAACATTTAATGCTCAAATTAATTCATTGTTAGCCATTGTTATTTGCATCCCTTCACATATCTGCTTTTAATTTTGAAATTGTACACATACTTTTTCATATTTGCTATAAGTGCACATTGTCAACATTACATCCTAGACCAGACTAACAAACCCTGTCAAGAATTCTCTTGTGTGTTTCTTAGTCTGAAATTAACAATTGTTTTTCCTTGTAAAGGAATTGGCAAATCCAAAATCTGATTATCCTAAATGGGGATTTATTGGTAAGTTGACAACTGGTGCATTTTCTGTGCAATGCAATCTAAAAAGTTTATCTTTAGTACCAAATATTGACCTTTCGGCACTGTGTTCACCACGTTTTCGACCTGGTCCCCCCAGTGAACAAGCTCAAGTGATCAGTCAGTTCATTGCCGATACTATTTCAAAGTAAGCTTGATAGCATTTAATACTTGTTCTGAAACTAGGTTGTTTTTTTCTGTGTTTTTTCATTCTCACTTTTAAATCATTTGGACATTTGTACATGCCTGTGATTGTACATTGAAACACAGAGTTTTGGAGGAATGGCACTTCATAATATGTTAATATCCCTTATACATTGCAAGCTTTAGGTGTGCTTACTCAGCCCAAAAGTTAAGTGCAGTGACAGTTACCATATTTGTTTTTTTTAATAAACTGGTGCATTAACTTTGTGTAATATAGATTTTTTGTTCATTAAATTAGCTCCAAGATGATTGATCTTGAAGCACTTTGTATCATGGAAGGACAGGTAAATTATTGTGTCATTGAAATGACTTTCTATAAACCATAGGCATCTTCATCTATACATCCATCTGTTTATACTTCTTTTATTATTTTTTTCTTTAGCTGGTATGGTGTCTATATGTTGATTTGGTGTGCCTTAACTATGATGGCAATATTGTTGATGCTAGTATTATTGCAATGCTTGGTGCAATCTACAACAGTATGTGACTGTGTTTTTACTGTGGAATCATTTCAGAATTGTGATGAGTGATGAAAATTCAAACAAGTCATACATAGTGTAAACTTTCAGGGGGGGAATTGAGGTCATTTATGTTCGTCATGGTTGACATAATATAGTCAGTGCATCAAAGGTTATTTTGGCAGTTATAGTTTTCCTTTCTGATCACAAAATCTTTGAAAAAATTGTCTTCATTGTAAATTTTGTAACATTTCAATGCTGCCTGGTCACATGATCAGATTTGTCTGATCTGAGTGTTTCATCCAATCTGTTTTGTCTGATCTGAAAGTTACGTTGTGAAAGACAGTAAATTAGTTGTTGTCTTGACTATGAACTGAAATAAATTGGTTGCTGCGCATGTCCAGATGATTTCTCTTATAATTCATGACCAAGCGATTTAATTATTAATTTCTCCGAAATTGATGCAAATAAATCCAGTTCATCATTTCCATGATCATGAACTTGGACAGCTTGTCCAATCAAATGCGCATGCGTACACGATATCTCTAATAATTTGTTACTGAGTAGGCTAGTTACTGTGAAGGCCATGCAAGTACATCTAGTTTTTACCACAACTATCAACTAGTACAGTTGGTCAAGTGGACTTCAAATGTTGAGTTGATTCTTCTCTGTAATATATTGTGACCGATAAAGCTAGTTACTTTAGAGCAGTGCAAGGCGATCCAATTGATTAGTAAGAGCCCCTTTGTTGGTCGAGTGGGCTGCACAAGTTTTCAGTCATATTATTGGCATACTGTGTGTCTTCTTTAGCTTGTTTCATGAAAATCATTTTGAAACTTTTTCCTTGATGACCGTTGACGAAAAGGAAATTGTTAACCTGTATACCGAACATGTATAAATCCCATCTCAAAAGAACTTAGCTCAGTTATAGCTAAGTGATGAACGTAGATAACTGGTTAAATGAAATGTTGTCGCTACTCCATTATAAGGGGTACCAACCAGACAAGAGAAAACTGTGTCTGTTGACTTGGTTTTCCTTCATAGTCGAAACAATTTGTTAGACTTGTTTACCTATGTTTTTATTCAGCACGATTATACGAGATATTCATTGATGAAGAAAAGAATGTTCCTGTGCCTAGTGATGAGAAACAGAGATCATTAATTGTAAAAGAAGTACCTGTAGCTTCTACATTTGCTGTCATAGATAAGTAAGTAATTAAGTATTATGACGATTATATGATTGTATATCACCAATATTTTGCATGAGCATTTTAAAACATAGAATATTGTTGGCTAACATGGTATTTTAGGCATTATCTTGAGCAATCATGAAGTTAACTATTGATCGTTGTATATATTTTTTAGTTCGTTAGCTCCTATTCTAATAGCTGATCCCACCGACGATGAAGAGAGTTTAGCCAGTGGAGTGATTACAATTGTTGCCACAACTGAAAACAAACTTTGTTCTCTTCATAAACCAGGTCTGTTCTTAAGAAGCTTTGTTCAAAAGCCAGGTGCATCGATAAGTCAGGTCCATTCAAAACGCAAGTCCTTTTATAAGTCCATTTATATCCAGGTGTGTTCATAAACCAGGTCTATTCGTAAAAACTCCTTTCAAAAGCCAGGTCCATTGATAAGCCAGTTGCATCGATAAGCCAGGTCCATTCTAAACACAAGTCCATTTATAAGCCAGCTCTGTTCATTAACCAGATCTGTTCGTAAAAAACTCCGTTCAAAAGCCAGGTCCATTGATAAGTCAGTTCGTGTTATAAGCTATAGGTCAGTTCGAGGAGTTGTGACATGTTTTAAGTTTCGAAATTGTCCATTGCTTGTTTTGACATTTATGTTTTACTCTAGGTGGACGTCCTTTACCTGCGGCTACACTTCGACATTGTATAGAGGAAGCGAAGAAGAGAGCGAAAAATGTACACAATCTAATAGAGGCCGCACTCTAACATTAAGGTGAGTCCCAATATTAGTTCAGTCCTGTACCTTGTACACTATTTAATTTTTTTATTGTACACATCGCACAAGTTTGTGTGGCTCACCACACATTATAAATGGTCCGAATACCAAACAGAAAATGGATCACAAGGAATCTTTTATAAGAGGCGTTGTTATTACTGATTCAAAGTAATATTCGATACACGAATAAAATTACTCTGCAAATTTTTTTCTATTGCCATTCGCTCTACATGTAGCTAGTACATCTTTATTGAACCTATCTATAAAATTTCCAATGATGTCATTCAATGAATGACATCTCCACATCATTTATTTGGCGTGTTTGATTGATGCGACGGTCGACGTCTCAAGTTTGGTCTTCCAGGTGTTCGGGTTACAGTATTTTGTGAGGCATTTACTTGAGATTGTAGTGTAATTTGATGTTGCTGTAGTGCTGGAGAACCTTGTGGAAATTGAACCATGCGAACCTAAAAGTGGCCAACGTAGAAAATTAGGTAGCTAGTAATTCCGCAATCTACAAATGCACGAAATTGATCCCTGATACAATCTTTAACCAATATCTTAGCATAGCTTCGTACTTCAAGAAATAATTAGTGTTCGGGTTATAGATCAATTTCGTGTATTTGTAGAACAAAGAATTTTTACCGAAAACTTAATTAGAACGATATTCGTAAGAAATTGGGGACAATCATGTCTATCGAATGCCTGCGTAATGCACACCATTAAAACAGTATTTTAAACAAAATTGCCGCAGACATTAGGTCGACGAAGCCAATACCTGAATTGGTGGCTGAAGAGGAACAACAGGTGCTCGATTTGAAGTGGATCTATTTCCAGTCGATGTCATGATTGGAATTGGTGATGCCGTGTTGCTAAGGGTTACCATTGTTACAGCTGTTGATGTATTTGCTGAAGCTATGAACAGAAAGAGTAACTTAACAATAATAGATTAACTGCTTACAATGTTGTTTTTTATACTGAAAGGAATAGATTGTGATTTGACATTGGAGGACAGCTGTGTCAGTGACTAAACACTTTATTTGCGTATTATAGACTGACTAGTATCAGCAAGATTAAGCATCTCACCGGAAGTCGGTTGTCTAGTTTGAGGCTGTAATTGTGTTAATGACGAGGATAGCGCTTGTTGTGGAGTAACTTTCTGAGCAGATAACTGAGCACTTCCAATACCAAGTTGCGTTAGGATTCCAGCGTTACTTAGCTGCAATAAAGTAATTATTAGTAAACCATGAAAGAAATTTTCTTTTAATTGGCAAAAGAAAATATGGAGATTCGTTGTGATCAACGTTCCACCATTTAAATGCAGAAACTCACGGCAATTGTTGCAGTGTTTGATCTTGCAATCTGAACTGGCTGTCCTTGAATAGTCACGTTATTCTAGGAAAAAGAAAAAATCTGAGAAATGGCAACAAACATGTGGACGATAGTTCATGAATTGTCTAACATGTGATTGCTTCTTGAATAACCGCGATGCTATTGAGCTGGGTAACAGTCTTCGCGCTGAATCACTCCCTGTTGACTGAAAAACACCGAAATTTTAATGTGGATAGATGGATAAAACAATAGAATAGTGTGATTTTCTTCTCACTTGAATCAGTGTTATGGCACCAGGTGTAGCAGGTTGGATGGTTTGAGTGCAATTCTTAACGTTGCTCGTTGTTATGAACTTTGGCTGTAAAATAGATGGTCTTGTTCCTGGATTTGTTTTGTTCGTGTTTGGTGCAATGGGTGTTGTTACCACAGGAATTGCAGTGTTGCCCAGCGCAACGACTTTTGGCTAAAAATGTTTTGAAAACACATACGGTATAATACGAAATAATGCTTGATAGCGAAGATAGTATGGTTTTGTATATATAAGTTAATACCTGAACATAGGCAACATTATGTTGATAGGAGACGGTTGGTTGTAGATCTTGTTGATTCTGCACAGATGATGAAGGAACTGGAATGGCTGTCACGTATTGTTTACCTTATTTGAAAGAAGCGTAAACGTAAATGACATACGTAATTGTGACAATTATTCACATTGTCACTCATATGATTATAATATGTTAGAAAATGTTAGTTCACCTTGTACTGTCATACCACTATGTGAGGTGTTGGACATAACTATACTTCCTGTACTTCCAGTTGTGTTATAGATTGGAATTTTACCAGAAATTGATTGACTTGATCCACTATGAGCAATCACATTCGATGCCATCTTGTTTCCAGTATTTGTAAGGTTACTTGTTTTGACTGTAGTTCCCATTGCTTTGTTTTCCGTTTTCTGAGCCTGACAGGGACTCGGAGTTCGACTTGGTTCCGCTTTTATTTTGTTTTTATTTTGAGCTTGAATCATGGCTTGTTGTTGCGTAGGAATATAACTCGATATTTTAACAGATTTTCTTCCCTCCTCTGTGTATAAATCTTGAAACTGTTGAAGATACCTATGGGGATCAAGCTGTTGTCCATCTGAAAAAGTATATGCTTGAAAACCAAGAGAAAACAAAATCCATTTACCTTTGCGCACTCAGTTTACTGCCGAGGAAGAATCTAAAACAAGAAACTCTTTCTTGAAATTTGATTCATTTTTGTACACAAATGGTACATAACACACTGTCTTTTCCATTCTAATCATGCGACTTTTAACATACTTGCAGCATTTTTCCTTATTCTGCGTAATTTCCTTCGTCGCAGCATCCTCGTGTAAAGACAACTCTCCAAGATACTGAAGGTCGGCTGGACGCCGTTGTATTGTCACTCGACAATGATAGTTATGATTCTCAGATTTTTCAGCTTCAAGAACGATTTCTTGCACCGTTTCTGGAGCACTGTTTGAATCCAACTTGCTCGCCTCGACTTTTTTTGAAAATTTCATCACCTAAAAAAATATTTAATTTAATGGTATGAACTCACTAGTATCGTTACGTCTTTGTAAAATTGTTCAAGTAGATTGTTCAGGTTAAGGAAGTCATTAGAATTTAGACTGTTGGTGTTGCTGTTGACTCAGATTTTGACAACCTTTGTGGTAGTCATCTTCAGAATGAATTCAAATTTTGCAGGTCTCGTATTAATAATAAGGAAGGAAATGGATGTAACGTGTTTTATTTCCAAAAGTAAGCCCTCTATACTGTCCACTCCTCTCTACACAAAAGATGGTTTTAGTTTGAGTAAAGTTACTAGGGAATGATGGTGTTCCATCAAAGAAATCTCTTTGCAAAGCACGTTCTCTCTTTTGTACAAAGCTCTTTTCTCCACACAAAATTCAGTTTGTGTTCAGGGTATGTTCTCGAAAAGACCTTTTTTTAATCATTTTTTTATAAATGTTTTCTAAAAACTTCACCTGAATGGCTTCACTTGGTGGTGGTAAAGATAAGGTACGTTGTTTCCAAGTGTCGACTCCATTATAAGATGATTTGGAAAGTCTTAAGTTTACAGGTGGTTGGGTATGCTTGTGATGAGCCAAGAAATCGACCAATTTTAAGCATGATGGCACGGGTAACGACGAACGATTTTGAGAAATATAAGAACGAAAACGTCGCTTGAAACTTCTGCAATCAAAAAATAAAAGATGACATATACGTGAAGCTGACTTAGAGTGAACCGAAGGCAATAGGCTAAAGAAATTTGTCTCATTGTACAAAGGTCTGTTCCAATAAAAAATATAATTCATTTGGGCTACTTATACCTTTGTAGGAGAGTAGTTCTATACTTGTTTCTATTGAAATGCATTTTGTTTAAAATTTTAAAAACTTCTGTTGACGGATCAAGACATAATGGACTTTGAGTTTTCAGTAAAAGGTCTGCTTCTAATTTGAGTTTATCTTCGTATGTCCAGTCTCCATTTTGAGTCAGTGCATTTACATCTGCTAACAGCGTCTAAGAAGGATGCAATGTTTAGTCATGTATGCTTGAGCTTCCGAATATTTCTATTGCAAAAATGCCCCAATTTACACTAGAGACGGATCATCTGTCTGGATCAAATTGGACAAGCAAAACATATAGTTCGTCTTCAAGTTCGTCTGTGTGTAAATGCGGGAAAACTGACGGTTCGTCGTCTATTTAGACGAATTTGCATGGGTAGTTTATCTTTACGCATCATTCGTGTGAGTATAAAAACGGAATAGAGACGAACTGCGTAATTAAACGATATTTCATTACTCTCTTTGTATCTCCAAATTGCCAAATTCGTCTGTATGCAGTTCGTGTAGATAGTTTGTCTCGTGTTTATGCTTGAACGGATGATCCGTCTTTAGTATAAAAAGGGCCTAGGGCAAACTTTGTGTGTATCAACAATCCTCAGTGAAACAAATTTCCAACTACATGGATAATTTGCAGTACTTGGGTTGAACTTGATCATATATTAAAGGATTAAGTTAAAAACGTCAGGGTAGTCTTAAAATGAAATCTGTTTTAGAAAATTGAATGAACTTGATTCAGCACATCCTTGATTAGTTTCACCCCCCAATTACGCTAAATACTGCAACCCAAGATCAACAGAGGTGTAATGAACACGGTGCAAAATGTTCGCTGTCTTAAATGTCACGGTATCAACACACCTGGCATGTTGGTCGTAATAGAACATAAGAGGTATCATAGCTGCCGGGATTTACACAACATCGATAATCACGAACTTCAACGATAACACAACCATCGTAGAAAATATTAACCTGCAACAACGATGAAACAATTGGTAATCTTATAAACCGAATTCGGACCCTGTTCTATCCTACGATGTACGCCCTTCTTCCAAATGCACGTCTCTCAGCTGTAGTGTTGGTTAAACATTTGTAGCAATACCTTGGATTTCTCCAACAAATCAACAAGCATTGGAGGAAGCTGAAATAAAATGTCACACGAAATTAGTTGTGAACGTTACAATACTTAAAATTTAAGTAGGGTTGGGCGATAATCAAAAAATCAGCTCTCGATCATTTTTAAGGGAAATTATCACGATATTCGATAATATTCATTTTTTCAGATGAAGAAAAGATCAGCGAAGAGCTGTACTTTAAAGAATACCTGCTGAGCATCAAGATAGTCGAGAAATTCTGTTTCCTGAAAAGAAAACATGGGCTTTTGCAGAAATCGTTGGATTAATGGTCATAAAGAAAAAAGTCGCCAGATTGCAGCCTTGAAACAATTTAACAAATAAACTCACTTCATAAGGGAGGCGTACTGTTTCCGCTTCTACAAAAATAAAGTTTAGTGATTTTGCCTTCTTCTTAATATAAGCAGTCACAGTGTTGCTTTCAATTGTTCAACACAAATTTGTCTATGTGGGCAATGGTATATTAGGTATTTGCCACGCGACGGGTAAGAACTGTTTTTATTCTAGTACATGCAAATTGATAAATTTTGATTGGAGCGAAGGCGGGTGACTAGTTTAAACATCTTGACTATGGTCCAAAAGAATTTTTACAGGGAAAATTTTTTTATTTTAAATTAATTTAAAATCTACGTGAATCCAACAGACTTTCTGGATTTTACGACAATTTCACTTTCTTAGCAACCCCAAAACAATAGTGAAAACCGGAAAAAAATACGAAATATGTTATGAGAAAATACTATTTTCTTTAGTCGACCTTTGTTCGAACTAGTTACTAACAAAATTTATCAATTAAATGTACGTAATGTAAGCGTTAGTTGCTAACCTGTACCACTTGCACTTTTCAACATTAGGGAATAACCTTCGTTCAAAGGATGGAAATTAACGATTAACGTTGAAAGGTTATCTTGAAGAACAACTTTGTCCAATAAGTGGACACCATGACGAAATCGCTAGAAAACAGATGAGATTATTAATTTCACAATTTTCTACCCTTTAAGCCCATCGCCCACGGTTCTCGCTGGAACACGGTATAAGGGAACCTGTTTCACCCCAAACTAAGTCCGTGCCAACACGAGTGGAGGTTAAACGAGGATCAACTTTGAATGAATTCGGCTCTTTAAAAAGACTGAATTTTTTTGATATTCGGGCGTAACACTTGCACTATAGCAGGCCGAAATCATAATAACGCTATCATCACACTCACCTTATCACTTGGTGCCCCTTCAACGGAATCCACGAAACAGTCGAGTAGTCTTTCCAAAAGACTTTGCCTAAAAATATATTATTGCATTGCTCGAAATTGACCTTTTATTTCCTTCGAAAATTCATTTGAAGGCACGCTCGAATACTGAAAAGAATCGTCAAATATCTGTAACAAATATTCGGCAAATGTTTCAATAATGACCTTCAAACAAGCTTTTGATTGCCAGTTCAGTAACATTGAACAATTGTTTAACGTCCATTTTAAACAAAAGTAAATTGAAATGAAAAGTTGTGGCCAAAGTCCAAGAACACATTCAAAAATGGATGTAGGGTGGGTGGGGGTGATCTAAATGAGTGGAGTGATGCTATCATCTTTAATATAATGGGGGTGATCCAAATGAGTGGAGTGATGCTATCATCTTTACCACAATTGGGGGTGATCTAAATGAGTGGAGTGATGCTATAATCTTTACCATAATGGGGGGGAGTGATCTAAATGAGTGGAGTGATGCTATCATCTTTACCACAATGGGGGTGGGTGGGGGTGATCTAAATAAGTGGAGTGATGCTATCATCTTTACTACAATGGGGTGGGGGTGATCTAAATGAGTGGAGTGATGCTATCTTCTTTACCACAATGGGGGTGATCTAAATGAGTGGAGTGATGCTATCATCTTTACTATACTGGGGAGAGTTATCTAAATGAGTGGAGTGATGCTATCATCTTCACCATACTGGGGGGAGTTATCTAAATGAGTGGAGTGATGCTATCATCTTTACCACAATGGGGGTGATCTAAATGAGTGGAGTGATGCTATCATCTTTACCACAATGGGGGTGATCTAAATGAGTGGAGTGATGATAACATCTTTACCACAATGGGGTGATCTATACTGGGGAGAGTCGTGTGGTACTAGTTAAAGTTACAATCCGCGTAACATTTTGTAACAAATATCCATACTCTTTCTGATCGCAGTTGCGTTTTCTTTTTCGAGCTTCTTTGCAGGCATCTTCGATAAGATCCTTCAACACAAATCATTAAATGACATCAATGCCATGAAAAAATTGACCTAACTAAACAAGTGCTATATAAATTGACGAGATTGAGGAATACGAGCGAATTAAAAAGCAGTGCTTGGGCCAAACATGACCGAAATTCAGAAAACATAATTCGTCAATAAACTTTTACTACAAAGGTTTTAATACAAGGGTTTGGTACCTACCCAAGCCGTGTTCTCTGTTTCCAACATTATCTCAAGTTAGTACAAGCCGTAGTATTATTTTAATCGTTGTCCCTAGAACTGCACATTTGAAATTACAATAAAATATGACATTTTGGCTGACAGCAAGTATCAATTCACTTAGGTTTAACATCGCAGCTGGCCTTACTTGATTTTTTCAAAGAAAACTCCAAAGGAAAAAAGCATTCGTCATTGTTTTACTAGGAACAATAAGCAAAAACAAGAAAGTTAACTTAATTTACTAACAAGAAAGTTAAAGGGGCTTTTGAACACATCTCACGACATTTTTGTTAATTGAAAAGGAGTTGGGTGAGGGAAGTCTGATCAAACCACTGGCAGACAAAGTTGACGTCGTTTGTCTTCGTAATGCGGAACTAATTTTGTTGAATAAAGGGAAATACGTGCGACTCCAAGACGTCCTGTCTGCCTTTAAGTACGTGCGGTTATTGACGAGGAGAATAGCAAATAAACCCAAATGAATAAACCACAAAAAGCGCTCTTTAACAAGTAAAGTCAGTGACTTTTTCTACTTGGGATAACAGTTAGCTATGGATGAGAGAAGTTCGTTTTTTCTGGTGAAGTAGTTAAAAGTCAATTACAAGACATTTGTTCGTTTTTATAGACAATCAACAATTGAATTGTCGATTCCGAATAACGAAATATCATCCCTTTGTATCCATTGAGAGAAACTAGATTATGCCTATGTGCACAGTTTTGTACGTTCATTGCGACCAAATACCTTTAAGATTTATCTCACAAGATATTCCTTTTAATCGGATTCTAGGATTATGACGTCATTTTAAATAAAACTTGAACAGATACTTCACTACTTTGCTATTCTAAATGTGTTTCGACATTACAGAAATAAATATTATAAGAGCTGCTATTGACAAATTTAATTTTCTAATTGCACTTCGTCAATGTTTTCTTTGTGACGTACAAAAGACAGAATTATTTCGTGACATTATCTATACTTGTGGTGCCAAAGGGACTGACGAGCACGGCAGGACGTGTGCCTGGTTAGACACGACAGAACACAATTGAGCAGGTGGCAAGACCAGAGGTCTGACTCCTGATGCTCATTGTTTTAAATGCGGTTGATGCGAATGCTTGAGATAATATCGGCCGTTCTGTTTAAAACTTTGAGTATAAATAAAATTTTGCTATGAATAACATGTCTTAAAATTGCGAGTGTTTTAAGAGAACAATAAAATTAAGAGAACATTGGCGTAAATAACGCGCAAATAACCGCTCTAAAATACTCAAAATTTACTTCCAAGAGTCTTTTAACACCAGTTAGAAAGCAAACTTTGAACTACTTCGTGAAATTGCCGTGAAACAAATGTTTAGAAGGTCTGACGTCATAATTGATATTTTACATCAGACATGTGAATTTGTCACTGACAAACAAAAGTGATGAAGGGTCGCCGAGAAGTCTAAGAACGACAAGTGCACAGTAACTGAAACGGAATTATACACTCAAGTTTTTGCAAACACCAAACTAAAATAGTGAAGGTTTTCTATGTATGTAAAAAAGCATATAACATTGAATGAATTAGTACTGCTAAGTAAAATCATCATGAAAAACTCAACAAAATTAATGCAATGAAAATTAGAGTTATCTTTTACTACAATGAGCCTCATCAAAGTTGCACATATTTCTAACTAAGGACAAGAGAGAATTATTTATAAGCATGTCAGTAATTTGTTGATAAACACATCTTAAGTTGTAGGACATTCATTGATGGCAGTTTCAATAAACTGTTGTCAACATTCTGCAGTTATAATGCAAATGTTTTTGAGTCAATAACTGTTTTCGAATAGGTAAAACTTGCAAAAAACTCAAACTCAAATAAATGTCAGAAATGGGCAAATAATTTGTACTTTGATCACTGGACAATAAACAAATGCAACCATAATTACACACTGGTGTCACAAAATTTGCAAAAAATATTATGAGACCATATTGTCTGATGAAGAATTATTAAACAGACCACTGTCATACAGTCTTAAAGCTTTCTCTTATGCATGGAACTACGTAAACTAACGTAAACTAACAATTCACGACAGGTGAAGGGCAACAATCTTAATTGTTCACATTTTATGTCATATTAAATGATTATGTGCATAACGATCGATGTTTTTAAAACGTTGAACGTTCAATAATTTCATAATGTTTGATTTTGGATCTACGGCCAAAAACATAGCCTTAAAACAACCCTGAGTAGCGATAGGAGGAACTGGATTAAGTTCTTCGTTCCAGAATGATCCAATTGATTGTATTCATTATTGTATTCAAAATATCACAACAAATACATGTTTTCGCAATTCATATCATAATATGCGCGTTTTTTTACCTGATAGCGTTCTTTCGTGGAATCATGTTCGCTTAAACTATCACATTTCAAAATAATAAAATACGTTGAAGTGAAAGAAAAACAAATAATATTTTCAGTGTTTTTCCTCGTTTTTTTGTTTAACAACAATACAAAAATTTACGAGCCCGCAACTGCTGATCAGCGGTGAGTCATGAGCATTATTTCCTCTTGCTACCGACGTCGTCTCGTTTTGGACAATTAATCTTGCATGCATATGGAGTGGATACAAAGAACGACAATTGGGATTATAGTATTCAATTTGAAATACCTGAGTCATTTATTTTTTAACACGTCTTAATCTTGAAAAAAGCTCCTTTTGTAAATTTTTGTTAGTAGAAATTTTTCTTCGGCTGTTTCTCATGAACCAAAGAGTTCCTCCGGAAACTTATCTTGTTTCTAAAATTTCACTAAAATAAAAGCGATATAAGAGAAGTAAATATAACTGCAGTCTGTATGTCGCATTTAGCATTAATTGTGAGAAATTGGTTGGACAAAAGTACTAGTACAGACAGCATTTGAATGATTAGTTCGCTGCGGCTGGGTATCACAAAAATTAGAGAGATATTTACCAAATAAAATTGCGAATCTTCCTTATTACGTCTAAAATAAAAAATTATGTTACGGGGTAGGGGTATGGCTCATATATTGATATTTCAGTAATACTTATCCCGTTCCACGCGTGTTATCATAATTTATCTACTTAGTGTCCCCTCTCTTAGAGCCAAAGTTTTATCTACTCGTAAGGAGCCGCAGGGCCTAGTGCTTATGAAGATTGTCTAGACTTCTGGCTCTGGTGCTCGAAACACGGAGCCAAGATGTCGTAGATGTCGTTTCACTCTAGCACAACATTATTTCTGTTGTGTGAATAAGCTATGGGAACGAACCATAGTCGAAATTGTGATAAAATAACGATGAGCGACGATAATTTACTGGCAAGACTCGCTACGGCGGCTTACAAAGGCTCTGAAAGGGACTTAAAGCATTTATTAAAAGCAGGCGCTTTTCGATTCATAGATGATTTTACAATCCATGGCAAGTCAGCTTTACATCATGCCGCAAGAAGTGGACAGTCGTCGTGTGTTAAAATCTTACTTGAACATAACGCTTTGGTGAATATAGCTTCGTATGATCGCCGTACACCACTGATGGAAGCGGCAGAACGTGGTTATACGGAGTGTTTGATAATGCTTTTAAACTCTGGTGCTGATCCAAATTATGTATCAACAGATCAAACAACTGCCCTGCATTACGCGGCTAGAAATGGGCATTCCGATTGTGTTGAAAAACTATTAGAAAGTGGTAGTAATGTGAATGCTATCGCGGCAGGAGGATGGACATCTTTACATTTTGCAGCAAGACATGGGCATTCAACTTCTGTCAAGTTATTGCTTACTTATAACGCTCATGTCGACGGACTGACAACTGACGCTTTTAGGGTAAGTGTATGTGTCGTTTGTGTTTACTTTTTTGACTTTATGACATTTGTACATTACGCTGCATGCTAGAATAGCTCCACAGTGAGGGAGAATGTAACTTGTTATTTACTATTGAAATGTCGATTATTATATTTCATCTCAGATTGCTGCATTCCTTGCATCTTTTGTACTTATTAAACGTCGATGTTTGTTTCATTCTTCATTATATTCCTGCCTGTAGTATTTGATCAAATATTATTAGTGTAAATCCTAACCTAGGAAGGCTTAAAGATGATTGGAATAATTGCTCCTTGAAATCTTTTATTCACAATAAACGCGTACATGTATGAATACCAATGGTTAATTTACACCTTTCTAACGCTGAGAAATGTCTATCAGTTTTATAAGTTTTGTAAGCCTGAAAAGGAAAGCCTTTCGAAAATTGATCACACTTTCCCAAAATTTGCTTTGTTTCGGCGTGGAATATTTTTTTAGTTGTTTATCTCAAAGTATCCGCCATGTGATATAAATGCGCTATATGCCAACCCACTAGCTCATTTGACGCCATAATGTCCGAGATATTTCATACTTTGTCATAATTAATATTTACACCGTCTTGTCATTTCTTGCATGTCTAAAACAAGATAAATCCGTGGGCTTGTGGACATTATTGCGATATTCATGGCTTGAAGTGGGCGCAATTTGAAATAGATGGGACGAAAGGTTAAATAGCTGAACGCAAGTTTCGGGTTTTAATTTACTGTGTGCTTTTAGATTTTTCTTTGTACAGTGCGAAACATTTGGACTGTTGGTTTATGTTTTTACTTCATCCAAGATAAACGCATTCAGCGCACGGCGATGTTTTTTCACATTGTAGTATCTATGACCTCTCGCTGTTTGGATTTTATTTTTGACATGGCACTTGAGATTTAACTTGCAAAATGAACAGGTTGTCGGAATGCGTGGCTACATTTCATCGCATACTACATAAATGAAGTCCATCTTTCTTGAAACAATTCCAAAATAAGTTGGAGTTATTAAACTACTATATTTATTATTTTTAAATATCAACGGTTACAGTGCGGACGTTTCGTGCAACACACAGATTTTGCTCCACACTACACACTTGGTGGTAAAGCCTACAACAGCAAGCGCCCCGTGTGCTTGTTTGTAAATATCTTAGTATGAAGACGAAATATATCAGTTGAATCGTCGTAAAGCCACCCGATATTCTCATTTATTATTTATTCTTAGATCCTTTTTCATAAACAAGAAGTTCACCCGATCACGCATATTCGCATTTAACATTCGAAAAAAGTACTGATTTTTTATACTTATGCTGCGTTTTGTACAAAGGCACTCCAATTCAAAGCTTTCGGCACTTAAATTGTTTTGTAATTATTCAAATGTTTTAAGTGAGAAACATTTGTTTTCATCTTGAACTACGAAAACACTCGTTTCACTGGTTGCGAAAGCTCGGCGCCCTCAAGTCCCTAATCCTTCTGAATATCTCTTCAAACACGCAAGATATTAATCTATGCATGTCTTAATATAAACCGCTCGCGATTTGGAGTCAATTGATGCTTTTAAATATGCACATGTCTTGACAGTTTTATTTATCAAACAACAGCGGTTCGTTCTTCTAACCTGCTCGCTTTTTCATGCGATTCTAATGAAATTAGTAATCAAGACTTTTCGTATAATCATTTCCGTTGTGCGTTTGATCAGATAATACGAGAGCTTAGCCATTGAATTGACACTTTATAAATGTGTGCAATGTCGTAAAAATCATACAAGCATTTGTACGTACTCTGATCAAATTATTTTTTACTTGAAAGAGAGTACCTGTCGTGTATAATACTTGTCCCTTGATTGAAAAAATACGAGCGGTTTGCCAGTGCTTTGCTACAAATTTTTAAAAGGGTCAAAGAGTGAGTGCTGTTTAGGACAATTATTGTCTTTTAGACGAGATTTTCGTTTTTTCTTCTCCTTTAGTGTTTACTGTAACGGTGTTCTAAGACGCGACATTAAATGCGTTATTATCTTATTTTCCTTGGGAAAATTATTAGTTCTTTGTAAACAATAAATCAACTTTTGCGATATTTTTGACATTCTGACATAACCATATGGTCGATGTTAGATCGTTCTTGAACTTGAAATGGGCCCGGATATTTTTAAATGCGTGGTATGAGTTTCTGATAATAAACTAACTTTAGCTTACCAAATATGTTTTTAAGTCAATAGACTCATCCTGACAAACTACACAGTTTCAAGATACTGATATCTCTGAAATTAGAACAATGTTTTCAAATGCTCACTTTTGAACACGACGCGTTTTAACCACAGAGTAAACAGTCTTACAGCTATTGGCAATTAGCGCAACAAGCCGCCATGTTTTTAGCACTTGCAATGAGTTAAAGGATTGCCCATTTGCTAGCAATTAAGTGAAACACACCTAGTGGAACCTGGGTAGTATAGTATTATGTCAATAATAGTTCAGCTTTAACATGTATTTTGCCATTGTTTCTTTATAATGCTTAAACTAAGTTAACTTTTTTTTGCACCACTTTAGCATGTGGCATCGCCTTTGCATCATGCTGCAGCATATGGTAATCCACCTTGCATTGAACTTTTGTTGAATGCTGGAAGTGATGTTGACAGTGTTGATGAAAATGGTTGGACAGCATTGCATTTTGCTGTCTCAAGGGAGAAAACACAAAATGTGGAGACCTTAATTAGGTGTGCTATCATATTACATATATATATATGTATTTAGTAGAACAGCCAGCATGTTTATTTAGTCATGCTATGCAAGTATTTCTGTGCTCATTCACTATAAGAACTATGATGATATTTTTGACTTTACATGACGGGACTGAACCATTGGCCTGGCTATGCTATTGTTTGCATTTTATTGAAAGCACAACCACGAGTTTCACTTCACGTTATTCACTTAATTTATAAATTGTATCTCATGACGTCAGTACCTCGTAAAAAAGACGTAATGAAGTCTGATTGCTGCTAACCAATCAAAAACTGCGAGTTTATGACTTTTGATGGTTCACATATGCACTACTGTGAAAGCTTATGTGATCAAAGAGTTAGCCACTTAACCAACGAAGTAAAAATCATGTAAAGGAATACAACATATATCTAAGGAACTTTGCTTTGTTTGTGGGAGAATTATTACATAACTCATGGACGTTGTTGCTTACTCCCAAGTCTTAATGTTTGGAAATTAACATATGTGTCTGCGACCCTTGATCTACCTTCTATTCTACATTTAATTACTTTAAAACTGAAATTAAAAGCTTGTTAATTTTTTTTATCAACCACTTTGTTTGCGTCCTACTCGAGAGATTATAAAAACGACTGTTGTTTATTCCTCAGAATATAATTACGTAGTAGAAATGCAAATGGTTATGATGGTATTGAATGCATATCAACAAACGAATCACTATGTTGACACTGTCTTTCAAGCGATCATCAAATGATTAATTTATTTCACGTATTTATAGCTTGGAATGTATTACTGACATTTTCGAGTAATGAGACATTGCCATTAATGTATTATAACTTTTTGGAAGCATGCAAACAATGTGTTTCGTTTATCAAAATCGTTAATCTGCTTATTTAAACATTGCACGTTTTCTTCGCATGCGTTATGTTTGTTTTATACTGATTTACTATTCTTTATTTCATTTTAGATATGGTGCTGATGTGAATATGACGACATCTTACGTTGAAAAATCCTCTTATAAAGACACTCCTTTACATATCGCTTTGTTTTATCGCTTTCAAGACTGTGCATTGAAGCTTATACAAGCAAATGCCAAGTTAAAATGTCGAAATGAACCTAACGGCGAAACTCCTTTAGACATTGCTAAATCACGTCAGCTAAAAATCTACAAATACATGGAGCAACTTTCACGAACTCCGGCAAGTCTTACAACTCAATGTTGTTGCACCATAAGACGACATCTCAAACCTAATGTTGTTGCGAGGGTTAAACGAATGCCTGTTCCTCCTGAATTAAAAAGTGCAATATTATATCCAAGATTACGGAAATTACCGGAGTGATTCACATAAATCATGTGCAAGTTTAACGAATATATGGCTCAGGGTCTTGGCCAAGTTAGGAATCCCATTTCAAATCTTGGAGAGAATTGCCAGATTGATGTAAACAGCACTTGACCACTTTGCGTATTCAGTATTACTGAATCAGGTGAAAGAATTGTTAACGATACGTACACAGAATTTAATCACAACACCAAAATAGTTTTCACATCTGGTTGAACTAAAAAAGGGTTTGGTAAATTATATTTTGGTCACCGAAAATATCGAGATTGGGAGTTAAAAACGATTTTTCGAGTTCGACAGTCATTTTGTGCCAAACATGTCTTTGTCTTGTTAAGTTTATGTAGATAGAGTTGATCCCTGACCTGCAGAATATTCTTCGCCAGTGAAGAAAGTTCCATCGTTATAATTGACGTGCGATCCAAAATTAAGAATTGGGATTCTTAATGTGTTGTGTTGTTATTCTTCAACTGAAAGAGTATATTGTTTTATGAAGTGGTGGGCTGATTTTTAAATATACGTAACAAAATTATTGGCTAAACATGGAAGTCTAGAATTTCCTGAAATTGGCAAACAGAGAAACCAGTGCTTCCGTTTATTTATTGTATTAAATTTCCTATTGTTGAAATTACTAAAATCAGTATCAATAATGCTGATTTCAGCAGCAATAGGGAGAGAAATTTTTCTGTTCAAAATTACTACATTGTATCTCAATTTTGACTTTGATTACTTTTTCCAAAATATGAGATATTTGTTGGCCTTGTAATGCAATGATAGATATGTTTAAATTTATCCTATTTAATGATCTTGTCTTAATATTCGGTAATCTGTTTGCTAATAAAGTTTTTCCGTTTTTTATGACAGTTAAATTGATTACATGTACTTCCTATTTCAATTTTCCTGTCCAAGTTTATCCACCACTTCATTTTATAATATACATATTCATTTGTGTGAATTCACTAAACACTTAATCATTTATGGTGAAGTCTTGGGTTGCGTGCAAATAGATTGAACTAAGCATTATCAATTAAAGATAATTTTGCTATATCTACGTTAAATACTGAAACTTTCAACTTTATGCAAACTGATTGTTGTAAAAAAATGTTAGCTAGGACTTTGTCAAAGTATCCCTGATGAAAGAAGGTCAAGGAAGTAAAATTAAGTGGTTAAATTCACAATAATAGTGGTATGCAAATGTTTCTAACCCATCCTTAAACTACATATGTACAGAATATTTGTAAATACAACAGAAACTTTATGTACAGTTGACAGATAGTCACCATAATGCGAATAAATATTATAAATTATTTTTTAAAACATGTTATTTTTGCGTCCAGCTTGTCTTGTTTTTTTTTGTATTTTATTTATTTTCCACTTTTGACACAAGTTGTTCTTTCTTTTTTGTAAGGAACATCAACTAGCTACGGGACTTCTGTCTTTTTTATTACAAAATTTATTCATTGCTGGTCTCCTAACTTCGCGAGCGTAAATCACGCAATTCAAAATTATTTTGCACTGTATGCGCTTCACACCAGCATCTTCTGTGCTTTTATGAATTACGTCTGGATCAGCAGTTACGTCTGGAGCAGTTACGTCTGGAGCAAGTCGTTTGCTCTATGATATATAAAATGTGTTTGCTAGACAGAAACGTCATGGACTAATTGTTCTCGGTGATTGTACTCAATGGTTTGGTTGTTCTAGCAATATTGCAACAACAGGGTTCTTTATAAAAAACATCTTTAATTGGTGTCACGCATAACCGCGTTTGCTTTAAGCATTGGCTCTTTATTTGTGGGTTACATGCACTGACCTGATTACATGTGGACTGCTCTCTATGGAATGCGATTATTTTCATCAGTCTTAGGATCATAATATGTTCAGGTGTTATTAACACGTGCGTTTTAGTTTGATTTATACGACGAGGTCTTGATTCGTGCACTTTCTTCATTGACCATTGAAAATACACTTTACCTCTTTCACATGTGGTCAATTGAACAATTAGCTATAGTACAACAATGATCACGATATGTCTTCACGCAGCCACGCGTCACGCGTGGAGTTCAAGTCAAACAGGGCAAGTCATTGAAACCAACAAACCAACAGCCTAGTTACCGTACCAAAGTTTGCAGCTTACGCACTTCTTCTCAAAGTTTTAATAGAGTAACTCTTTTTGTTGATTCTTTGTGGTATATGAAGCTTTACATCGCTTTATATTCTGCGTCGTGCAATACAAAGAAGACAGGAAATGGTGAGCAAACATGTTATTTTTTAATACGCGTGAAGTGCTTTTATTGAGAGATGACAATCTCATCGCCAATGGCATCAATTAACGATATATTTCATAAATATTTCCATCTAAAACTTTGTAGAATTCATAGGCCCCAGTCATTAGATAGAATAGACGAATACTAATATTGTTATTTAAAGTATTGAATGATGTTTTTGTAAAGTCTGTTTTTTCAATATTGGCTTGACTGTTTGAGTGAATTATTTTTTAATTTTCGCTCTACATGAAATATCCGGTCAAGGGAAGCAATTATCCTTGTTAATTATTCTCAAAGTAACCGCATGAAAAACAGCTCACATAAATTACAAGACCCCAGCAGAACTATCTTGCATAAAATGTGTCACTTATAATTTCGACAAAAGCAGCCAAAATTAAGAAAATGAATATAAGTTAAAGTTTTCAAGTCATTTTGTGTTGGTGCGCTAATGCAGTAAAATCATGTTTTGAAAATTTTGGTACTAGGTCAATATTTCGTAAGAAATCACTTTTTTGTGTTTGGTGAACAAATATATTGTGACATGTTAGCTTATTAATCCATGGCTCTTTTAAATTATGACTTTGTGATCCAATTGAAACTATCAGATGTAATAGTTAGAATTTTAGCTTCAGAAAGAAGTGTTTATTAAAAATGCTGATTTCAAATTTTCAATAAGGGTATTCTTGTAAAAATAGATTATTTGCATGCTTAATAAAATCTATATGTATATGGTTTTTAAATGTTAAAAGAGGAAGGATGGGGTTCTTTTCAAAGTATACACAGAGTTAAATGCAATGTTGTGACACATCTTATTAGTTTGTTGTTTATTGTCATTGCTGAGTAAAAAGTTTGTAAATTTATTTTTTGTTGTTAATGACTATCAGATAATTGTGCAGAATTGATGATTATGTTATCGACTTGTTCAGCATTGTTGCTGTTTTGAAAAATAGAATTGTAGTTTCAAACACTTTTCTTCAGTTTTCACTATTTTGTCCAGCAAGTTTGTGAATATTTGAAAACTTCAAATTTTATTAGTACAATAAATTATTCATGCATTTCAAATTGTGCAAAACATAGTGATGTCACCCCAAGGGATCAAGGTTTTGACTTGCCTTGTTGATGATGGTATAACAAATTTGACAGTAGTAGTTTACACAACTGCATGAGTCACTAGCAATGCTAGCTTGCAAGTTTTAGTCCTGTTTTGTAAATTTCAGATCATTGTTATTCATTTCTTCAGAAATCTATTGTTTTCCCAATAAGTGCACATAATAAACTGTAAATAGCAGGACCAAATAATCGGACTAGCTTTGCCACTGCCATGAGTCATTGTTGGATTTGTCATTAATGCATTTTTTTCATTTTTCAATATTGCTTGATGTATCATTGTTTGATAGCATAAGATTTTCAAACCATATATGGCAGGAACTGTTGACTTGTGGATCAGTGGGGCTTTCCCCAGCATTTTAAGCCTTCTAAGGTTGTCTTCAGACTACTACTTAAATTTGCATCCATGTTCAGCCATTGATTACCTCCTTTTGCCCCCCTCCCACAAAAAAATTATAATTTTTATAAAGAACCAAAATGCTGTAATATAGTCAAATAGATCTTTTGCTTTCTTAATAAATCCAATTTTTTTCAGCTGCTACTTTACTAATGAATATTCATCATATAAAAATAGATGGGGTGTGGTCAGCAGTTTGACCATATAAGCATCGGGTGAGGTCAAACACACACCCCTGCTCTGAACTTCACAACTCTATAAGACAGGTGAAAGAGTAAGCTTGTCAGACCAAATCTAGTTACAAAAAATTGCATATATTTGGTATTCGGCCACACTAGTGGTTTGCGAAATGTGAAATAAGAAATAAAGATTGGAAATTTTCTTTTTATCATTCAAAATTATGTTCAGCGATATTTTTTGATGTGCTGCGTGTAGCTAAATTTTCTCAAATGAAAGAATTACAAATTATGTCCATAATGTTTATGTCAATGACAACTTTTGTCGTTTTATTTTTACAGAATGTCGATTTACCTGAGTTCAATGGTTATGCAATGGAACCTATTGAAGAACCTGTGACATGCATGTTGAATAAACATAGAAAACAAGGAATACTGAAGTTTATCGGTGAAACCTCGTTTAGTTCAGGTGTTTGGTGCGGTATAGAGCTAAGTGAACCGTGTGGAAAAAACGACGGCTCCGTTGCTGGTGTTCGCTACTTTTACTGTAAAAAACAGCATGGAATATTTGTAAATCCTAAGAACGTCTTCCCTCTTGAAAAAAAAGATGAAAGTAAAGTGGGCAGAAGGTGGACAGAATCATCTGTAGATAGTGAAAAACCTGACCTTAATTTGGACCAACAAGGGAGACCTCGATCAAAATCAGATGCAGTAACAAATAACTACAATTTATTTTGCGAGAGTCCGTTTAGTATTCAGAGCAAGAAATCTGCTTCTTTAACCAAGTTAAACATGACTTACACATGCTCTTCACCAGTCTTCGCGCAAAACTTAGACAACATTGACTCAGGTGACATAAAACATTCGTCTCCCTTTGATGTCACCCCTTTCGAAGAGGGAAGTAACATGGAAGAGGAAGAAAAAACGAATATAATCTGTAATCTTGAAGAGATAAAAACAAAAGAAAACGAGGAGTCTCTTCACGTCCCTTTTGAGAATTTGTTACCTGCAGTTGAAGTGAAAAAAAACATAAAGTTAGGCAGTATGAATGCAAATAAATTTTTGAAAACATGTAAAAACAAGATTCAAGCCCATTTACAACTAAAGAACAAGATTCAAGTGCATTTACAAATAAAGAACAGGGTTCAAGCATCGTAGCAACAAGCGAAGACTCTTCGATAAATACTACATTTTTTGTGCATGCTGTTAATCTCATCAATAAGAAAAATGGTGCCAAAGACGTTTCAACGGGAGAGGGTGACTTGCTTGCTTCAAAATGCTATCTTCCTAACAATGAAACTGAAACATCACCTTGTTTTGGGAAAGAAAATCTAAATTCTACATTTATTAATCACGAAAATGGCGGTCAAAACACAAGACTTAGATCAGATTCAAAATCATCCATTTCTTCTTTGGAAAGTACTTCATCACTTAAATCCTATAAAAGACGTAGTCGTTTAGACGATTTGAAAACACCAAGAAAACTCCCTTGTCCTACAGAAATTTCTCGATCAAAATTAGTGAAATTATCGGCAGAGAAACAGACAAAATTACTGAAAACAGATGCAGCAGCAAGCAACAGACAAATGCACGATTATACTCCTACAACAAAATCGTTATCAAATGATGCACAGAGTGCGAAGAGAAATAGGACCAAATCGTCGAGTATTGTCGCGCCAAGATTAAGCTTAGTGTCACCCTCTGTGAGTAGTTCTAATGTGAAAGCTAAATCGAAAAGTGCTTCCTCCGATATTGATGATATTAAAACTCGTTTGAATCATTCTAAAATTGTCACACCGCATTCATCTAAGTTGTCAGCACCTCCAACTAGTCGTTTCATCAGTACACCATTGAACAAAAGAGCCAATGCATCGGAAATGAAATCTAAACTAGGTAGCGCTCGATCTGGTAGTCGAACAACTGTGACGTCAAATAGTGACGTAGTAAAAAAGGAAACGCAAAGTAAGCAATCTACTGGTAGCTTATTGGTTAAAAGAAAAAACGCTGAAAATAGGAATGAAACTGTTAACATTAGCAGATCAAGATATTTATCCTCTTCGAATTCATGCAACGATCAGCTTTCTTCGAAAAAGAGAACACAATCTCATTCATCTACTGTGTCTGAGAAAAAAACTGTTACACCACGTTCAAGAAATCTCACAAAATCATGTACTGATATCAAAGGAAAGAATGATATTAGATCTTTAAAACTGCGTAGCAATTCAACATCGAAATCCGAGACCAGCAGTAAGTTTAACATAATGAATATATTTCTTTATTTTGCTCTTTGCTTTGGTTGCATATAATACAGAGAGCAAATGTTTTGGACTCCTATATAAACTATAACTCCAGCAGTTTATCAGAGGATTTTAAAAGGGGAACTACACATCCAGCAAAAGGAGAGTACCAACAATGGAACTCCTCCTTACACAGCTGCATCGATAATCCCATTTAGGACTGCTGGCATTTTTTACGCGACTTCATTGCAGTAACTGATCACTGCCTATTATATTTCACACACTTTGATGGTAGATACAGTGCAAAAAATGTTTGCGTTTCTATTTTTATTATGTTCCGCCAACTGATCTATAAATCTTGCTGCAGACTTTTATCGAAGTTGAGCTTCACAATTACAGTAGGCATGCAGCTGCAGTTGTATTATTAAATAATCATTTGATGATGAAAGGCTTTACCAGTGAATGTTATCGTTTGTGCTATTTCAGAAATTGCAATTGTTTTTGTTGATTTCACTCTACGTCAGTCTCGTTGCTCATAATTCAAATTAATTTTTTTAAGGTTTGAAAAGTTCTTCAAAATCGTCATTGGTTGATGGTGTTAATGAAAATCTACCAGAAAATAACAAGTTAGTAGAGAATAATTATCTAAGGAATAAACCTTGTCAGCCTCTAACACAAAAAGACAGACAAAATTCAAATGGATCTGAGAGGAAATTTACCTCAAAAGCAGAAAAATCTGATACCGCGAAAGAATTGCCAACTAGCTGTTTAAATTCCCTCACTGCTCCAGACTTACTTAAACAAACACCTGAAGTAACAAGGAAGTCAGTTGGTATCCAAGTGGAAAATCATGAACAAGATGGAAAATCTGATGTCACAGACATCGATTTACACGCTCTCTTAGTGAACAGAAATCGAGATTTTGAAGCATGTCTTACTGCTTTGCAAGTTTATGCAAAAAAGGTAAAGAATTAAGCACTGGCAAGAACCCATAAATGTTACCAAATTTATTATGAATATATGTGATATATGTCACTGCTGATTACTGCCGAAACGTATTAGTTGGGCTACAAAACAGTTATCCTTAAATATAGTAATGCATAGAAAAGGTTGTTTTCCAAACCATGTGCTTTGAGACATCGTAGCTTATGTTGTGAATTGTTGAACAGTGACCGCAAAGCAGAGATGGGCAGGGGGCGCTCTCAACTTTTTTCATGGACAAGCAAAATATTGAATAAAAGTCAGCGTCCCACATATAGAGTATGTTCTCATGCTACATTCATTTCGGAGCCCCCACTTTTGAGGAGGCCTTAAGGTCCAAATTAGCATTAACTTTCATTTATTGTGTGTTAATATGTAATTATACGTCTTTTAAAGTAAAAATCTCCTTAGTCACGATCAACTATTTGTAATTTTTTGTCCAGGTGGAGTATGAACGGAATAATGCGTCATTTTTAGAGCGGAATTTGAAGTTTACTAAAGAAAAATGTCATTCCACGGAAACTATGTTAGGTACCTCTTATTTTTTGCGTGGCTTCACAGCTAGGACACGCAAGATGTGGTTTAATACAGAGTGATGATGTTTTTTTATTTTAGCTAAAGAAAACAGTCAACGTGTTCGCCTTGAAGAGGAAATGCTTAGTGCTAAAAGTGACAGTGCCGTTGAAGTTGCGTTGTTAAGAGCACAGTTTGAAAGAAAACAAGAAATTGCTATCGGAAAGCTAAAGGAAATCCATCGGAAAGAGCTTGAAAAAGGTAGAATCGCGTAACTACATGGATATGTCACTGTGTAAAGTCATGCTTATAGTATCGGCTAGTAATCTTTAAGAACTTTAACATTTGCAAAAAAAATCGACAAAGCGGCTTGCAATTTAATACTTAATATCATTTTTTCATTTTTCTTTAGTTCGAAAGCAGCATGTAAAGTCGATGGATGATAGAAGACGAGTTTTTGATTTGAAGGTAAATGAAAAAATCATGCAAATTTTCATAATAGTTGTGCCGAAGAAATCGGAGGTGTTGAGGGGACTGGTTTCAAGTAGTTTCAAGTACCTGTTTTTCGTATGGTGATATATATTCTTTTATGGATTAAAATGTATCGCATACTTTTTTAGTTAAAACGAATAGAGGAAACATATGTGGAAGACATATCTCAAATTAATGCAAAACACAAAGGAGAAGTTGCTGAGCTGGAATTAAAACACACGAAGCAATGTGAAGGTACTTCATGTAACCGGATTGTTTGAAAAGATTATTTTACTTAGTTTTGAATTTATATTTGAAGATTTGGTCGAAGAGCGTCACGCTGAAATTGATATAATCAAAGCTGATTATGAAGAGCAGCTTGAACAATTGCAGGTACGTATTGTTCGGCTAAAATAGTGCGTTGTTTTAGTAAAGAGCAGATATTAATTTGTAATTCGTCTACATGATATTTTCCCAGGAATCATTATCACAATCTGAGAAAGCTTGCAATGAGTTAAGGGAAGAAATAAAAGCGAATCAATTAGAGGCAAAAAAAGATTCTATTTCAAAAATACAGGTTGAAGAAATTTTACTATATTCTGACGAACGATTTTCAAATGTTCTCATTTGTAGCTTTGAGAGTAGTCATATTAGTCTGTTTCTGTACAATATTCATTTCAAAAATCCAAAATCGGTTTGAAAGTTTGTTCGGAAATTTATTTTGTTTCGAAGCTTGTTTTATTTTATTGTTCAATATTAGCTACAATATTAACTGCACGGCTTATGATGAAACATTTGACAAAGTATTACTAACCACTGCACGCCAGTAAATATAAGTAAATTTTTAAAGCAAGTTTCAATGTAGAGATCTTTTCTATTGAATATGCCTAGCGAATTAATTGAAATTACAAATTCTTAAAGCTGCATTGTCGCATTTTTAAGGATGCAGTCGCTAAATATAAGAGTCTACCAGATGAACTAGACAGTATGAAGTTTGCATTGGAACTAAAAAATGCCGAAATAAAAAAATTGCGAAAATCAAACGCTGAACTTCAACATGAGGTGAGGCAAATATGTAATTCTCTCGTGTAACATGTCTGTCTTTGCTTGTAATGCATTTTTGTTGCCTATAGATTGACGAACTTCGTCAAATCAAAGAACGTGCTGCCTTGTTAGAAAGAGAGAAAGAATCTTTGAATTTTGTTGTTGAGAATAAGTCTTATTTTGAAAGGTAAAACACCTGTTTCCTATATTAAGGCCCGTTCACACGATCCGATTTGTCGGATCCGAATGTTTCGGCTTCGTTTGTTGGTTGGGTGCTCAGACGGTCCGATAATTTTGTTGATATTTATATTCGTTTCGATATTTATAATCGTTTGTGTTATCCAGTATTCATTTATTAATTTATTTTGTTCTTGTTTCCAAGTCTTTTTAAAATCTATGTAATTTGACTAGTCGGCTTCTTTGATCTGTCGGATGAAATAGAGCAACTTTTATTTTCATCCGATTTTTTAAATTGACGGATCCGGCTATCGGAAGCTTGCTTTATACGTGTTCACACGATCTGTTTTTTAGGATCCGAAAACTCGAATCGTGTAAACGGGCCTTTAGAAATAAATACGTGTAACAATACTTATTGACATCAATATTGTCAAACATGACGTATGTCAACATGCAGAATTCCAGATTTGAGCACATTTTTTTGGAATCAAATTTCATCGAATATTATTAGACATCATGCAACATTAAGTGGGTAGGTCTTCAGACGTTACCAACGTCTACCTGACATCAAAGTTTGACGATTAAAGCACAAATGTTTTGCTCGGGAAATCACTATGCATATGATGCTACAATCCTTGATTTTATCAACTTGCCTTTGGTGTTTTGGAATCTTTACTTCGGTAGTGAGTTTAGTTTTTTTTTGAAACAGTCGGTTATTAACTACCCTGTTAATGAGCCTTTAAAATTAAGTATTGTGCCTGATGAATGATATTCGCTATATTATACGTTTATATATATTTCGAGAAAACTTAGCTAAAGCAAAACAGCATCACAAGGGAAGCTCTGGAGTTAAAACCATTTTTTCTTTAAACGTTCTGTTTCATAAAAGTAAGAAACAGACAGAAGTGACGGATGTATGTCTTTCATTTTTAGACAATTATCTTTGGAACGAGATAAGCTTCGTTTATCTCTTGATCGTGAAGTTGCCACATCCAAGAGACTCTCGTTGGAGAAAGAAGAACTTGCATGGCGTTTAAATTCATTTAGAGATTCACCAACATCGCCGACTTTGGGAAATGATCGTTTACGGATGTCAGTGGTCAGTACTCCTGATAGCGGTATTCTTTCGCACAAGATTGAAGAGTCTGACTTGGAATATGAAATTAATGAATCAAAGGTAAGATAATACGTTCATTGCTTTGTTGCCTTCTTCATCCCAACATATAGTCCTCTTTTATGTGCCAAAGTTGTAAGGAAGTCAAATAGCAGGGTGGGTCCAGTGGTTTTTTAAAAGCAAGGGGGAATAAATGGAACGCCGGCTTCGTGTTACTTTTTTGATGTGTGCAAACGTTTGTTTCGCGTTGCTGAAAACATGAATTTACTCAACGACCCAAGAGTCACGATGTTTTCAAAAAAGCGCTCACTGACAGGCCTTTCTCACTGACACTCTTTTAAAAAGCTTGAAACTGTTGCTCCAAAAGAAAATTGCAACAAAACGTCCAAACAATAAGGAGACATTTGGCGCCCCATATATAATACACGTCAATCAGTCAATGCTTGGAGAAAAAAATGCATTTAAAATAGTAGCAAGAGACTTGCCGAGCGTAAATCGAATTCGTATAATAAAAATTAATGCTAGAAAAACCCACATAATGAATTAAATTTATGTCGATTTCAGTTGTTGAGCATCAGCACTTTTTGGCGTCACGTGATTCTACCTAAATTCAAAAGATATTTATTCCCCATATAGCAAAGCCAGCAAATAATGAACGGGTGATCTTCTTAAACTGTATTTGGATGAGCATTGTGTTTGTTATTGCATGATACTTGGTAATAGCGATTAATTTACATAAAACGCGAAAGAAGTTTATCAAAGAAAAATTTGGTTTATGTCGAGAATTTCTTATTGGAAATGTAATAAAATAACATGAATGGCATGCATTTAATAAAAAGTGTTATGGTATCTGTATATATTCATGTTGAAGTAATATATATGATAAAATATGAAACTGCCATAGACATTAGATTAAATATGTTTACTTACAACAATTACATCATACAAAATATTATATACTAGTATTAAAGCATGATTTATAGTTATGGATCGTAATAAGTTGGATTTATAGATACTTTTTTCAATACTGGTCATTAAAATTTTGTTTTTGTCTATGACAAATATATATAACTAGTTGTGTCTTTATCTGAAAAATGATATTTTCCCTATAAAATGATAAACTTTGTCTTTGTTAAATCGCTTTTCTCCAGATGAAAAACTCAAATCGATAGTATTGCGTCAGTACTTGTCCATGTAGATAACAAATATTGATCTTTCTGAATTACGTCATTTTTACGTCATTATATACGTATTGTATTTATTTCAACCACATACGGGGTAATAATTTATATTGTGGTTTAAAACTGCAAAAAGGCAACTCCTTGAGAACCGGGGTCGTCTACCATTTCGCCTGCTGCCACCGCCACCGACTTACTTTCACACATATTTGACATGACAGATATTAACTTTTATATTTAGTCCTTGCCTAATGGTGTTGAACTTGCTCACGTGCAGTTATGCATTAACACACTTATATCATCACATGCATAATTAATTTTACGAAGTATGTACCTTTGTACCTTCTACGACATAAGATGTTCATTTCTTGTTTTGTTCACAACGTTTAATTGCGAGGCGTTAGAAATGATGCAAGTTGTCAGGCCATTTGTAAACAGGCAGACCGCATTAAAACTTGCCAAAGATATATTTCACATAACTGTGAACGAATCTAGGTCAAGCAGTGTAAAAGAACTTAACTCGCCTGAAGCCAGGTGTTTTTATGTGCAAGGAATCTTGCCTCACGCTCGAGAGCAAGAGTTCATTCTCAAAGTTTGTAAGTTCCAAGATTTTAGAGAAAGTGAGGCGATTATCGATGAGCTGAATGATGTGATGGTTACTGTCAATAATCATGGCATACTGTGCTCTGTACCACAGCAAACGGCGAATGGCAAACTTTATGAAATGAAGAAACTGAATACTACTCGTGAAGTCATTCATAACAACGATAAAACTCACAACAACGAACTGCAGAAATCGAATCTCGACTGTGTTGTACGTCTATTTTCGTATATACCGGGAGACAACATGCGTGCTCTTAGCTGTAATCTAGATATGTTTTATCATGTCGGGTGTTTTGCTGCAAAAATCGACAAAGTGTTAAAGGTAGTGTATTGTCATCAGACATTCTCCTATGCTAGGCAATTTTAAAATTTTTGTACGTATGTCCACCCCTAATCGGTAAAAACAAGTACTGATAAATTCTTTAGTTAGACGTACTTTAATTTGTGCTGATAAATGTGTACAAATAGCAGGTTTGAAACAACGTATCAATGTTCGCACTCATTGGATTGAAAACACTTGAAGAGATGGTCTCGTAAACAGAACAACGCCAATCACGTGACTTGATGCAATTGAACTGTATAGTTGTTACTGATGTCTTGTAGATGCAAGCTTGCACTTTATTTACTTCTGAATAATTGCAAAAAAAACTGGATGGATCTAGCTTCCTTCTCTATTTGCACTAAGAGTCTATTTTCTATTACTGTCTACTTTCTACTGTAAGAGCCTAATGTTGCTCTTTGAATGTTATTTAATTTTCAGGATTTTCATTGTCCTGCACTTCAAACCAGAAGTAATCGCTGGGACATAAACAACTTATCTATGGCAACAAAAGTTAGCAAAATTATAACCAAACCTGAACACAAGAAAATTCTACATCATATTGAAGACATTTTTACTTGCATGGTGAAGCCACGACTAGATACACTTCCCAAACAGTGTATTCATGCTGATATAAATGAAACAAACTTAATTTTCAATGATAATGTTCACCATAATCACCCTACTGGATTAATTGACTTTGATCTGGCTGCATTTAACTGTCGTGTTTTTGAAATTTCTGCATCTGCAGCATATATGATGACAATGTATGTAGATGACCCTTTGGAAGCTGGTGTTCATGTTACTGCTGGATATCAAATAAACAATCCACTGACAGCCGAAGAAATGGAACTGTTATTTTATCTTATTCAAGCAAGAATGTATCAAAGTGTGTGTTTTGGCACACTTGCCAGTCAAATCTTTCCCCAAAATTCCAAGTATTTGCTATATACTGTGCACAGAGCGTGGAAAGCATTGGAAAAGATAACAAATACAAGTAAGTCAAAGTTTGATGACAGATTGCATCAACTTTGTAGTACACATTTGCAGCGTGGTGCAAAAACCATTAAGACAATAAGAAGATGGTGAACACTGTTGCCTCTTCTTGTCAGATGCGCTCACTATTGAAAACTGAATATATCTTTATTCCAAATCCATTACAAGCTTTGTTAAAGGTTAGTCTTAGTGCAAAGATATACGTGTTCAAACACTTAAATAAAGTTTAGTTTGTATGTAGAAACTTTCTTTATTTCATTGGGATTCCTTACTACCCATTAATGATTGCATTTAGACATATACCTTTACAAAGTTCGTTTATAAATTCTGATTGTTAAATTAGCTTTCATATGATTGGTAAATGATAGCTTAGTTATTATTTACAAATATTTGTACCAATCAATGTTTTTACAAAAATGCATGGTGGTAAACGGGCAAATGGCAGTTGGATGAAGGTGGGAAGGTTTATGGAAAATGAAATTTGAATTGAAATCCTTGTCCAAAAGGAAATCCTCCGGGAAATCCTCCATTTTGCCATCCTCCACCATTTTGTTGTTCAGGATCAAGTGGGTCTTCACCATTATCAAATTTTGCCTTTTTCTCTGCACATGAGACAAATTAATGAATACATATTAACACATCTTGCTTCAAACATATGTTGAATAAAAATTAACAAACCTGGGTCTGTAAGAACTTCTTTCGCAGCAGCAATGTCAATAAACATCCGCTCGGCCTTCTTCTTATCTTCACCTTCATAATGGTCAGGATGCCACTTTACTGCAAGTTTTCTATATGCTTTCATAATTTCCCGCTTACTTGCATTTCTATTTTCATTAAACATACAACATTTAAATACCCTGCATAAATCCTTAATTCATATTCTTCATTCCCTATCACTTATTTCAATAATATAATACTCACCTTTTCACTTTTAGAATCTTATAGTAGTCTCTTTTCTTGGATTGTTTGAGGAGCCTTTGAGCTTTTTCCATCCCTTCGTTCACCTAAGTAAAAGTTTTTAAATTGTGCTTCATGGTACTTTTCCTCATCAAAAATATATCCAAAATCCAAATAGATACATGCTTCCAAACCTTATGCAAATCTCCATTTATATTTTTCGCAGTTTGATAATCATTCACAGCTGTTATCATAAACAAACAATACATGAGACTGCACTACAAAAACTTTCTCGATTTAGTCAATGTGTACTAAGGATACTTGTCAATACCTTCTTCATACATTTCATTTAAAATGTAACCTTCAGCTCTATCACAAAGAGCATCAACATTGTTTTCATCCAACTCTATTGCTTCAGTACAAGAATTTAATGTTTCAGTGATGTCGCCATTCTATGCAAAAAACGAAGGAATTGTTTAGTTTAGATACACTTCAATAACAATGAATGTGTCTGTCCTACCATTCTATGACAGTGGCATATTTTTGATTTTGCTTTCAATATATAAAAGTCTAAAGCAGGTTCTGTTTTTAATGCTGCTTTGAATTTTTGAATGGCATCTGAATACCTATAAAACAGCAGCCATCCAAATGTTTGTAAGTAGAAACAAATAAGAAAAAAATGAGATATTAATCATGTATTGGTACCAAATAACTATTCTGTCTAAATGAGCACCATATTAGAACATACCTACATTATAGGATGCTTACCTTCCTTTGTTTATTAAATCATCACCATCATTGAATTGTTTGTTTAGCTTCTTTAATTTCTTAAAGAAAATGAAATTATTTATGTTTATTTTGTCTATAACATTACCAGCTCCCTCCAGATCAAAACTACAATTAAAGTTATACCTAACTAGAGCATTGTATTAAACTTATAATAAAAAACCATCAAACTTGATACCTTATATAAAGTAAAACAATCTTTGTGATCTGGGTCTAGCTTAAGACATTCACGGATCTCCCTGAAAATGAGTGAAATTGAAGCTATTTTTGACGGATAAATGATATTTAAATTATATTAGATTCACGTAGTTACCTTAAACCATCTTCTAAATCTCCCATTTGGTAATGTAGTTTACTTATTTGTAGAAATGCACCTGTATTATCGCTCACTAATTTCGTCGTAGTTCTAAACATAAACTTTCCCAAGTAAATTATAATATCAATAAAACAGTGTGATTTTAAATTGTGTCGGTCCACAGACTTACTTTATGTCTGTCACAGCTTTATATAATTCTCCCATCACCTCATAGCATTCGGCTCTTTTTGATCGTAATGATGCATCCCATGGAGCAATCTTTAAATGGAAATGACTTTTGACAGTAAGTGAAAGTTTAGCCCAAGTAAATTTCATTCAAAGCTAAATGATGATATAGTGCAGAATGTGTCCTATATACCTCTAATGCTTTAGTCAACTGTTCTATGGCATTTGAAAAGTCACCCATTTCCATTAGGCTCACACTGTTTTCTACATATGTGTTAAATGGGTCTATCAGTGACAGCTAAGAAAAAAGATGAACATTAACCATTGTCAAAATTTACTAGTTTCAAATTTCCTGACTTAGAGCAATACACATATTGCATTGTATATTTTAAACCTGTTTTAAAGCATCTTCATTCTCCTTATCATATCTAAGCTGTTAAAAGGAAGAAAAATTTAACACATAAGATTTAGACAAACTTAGCTATCAATTCTGATGCAACAATTAATTATAACAATGAGTTGAAATATTTACCACAGTTTCAAAATCAATATGTGCCAAGTCTGTTTCACCCCTCTTTAAATGAACATTTCCTCTTTGCAAAAATGCCTATTTTTCAACAGAATTATTTATAAATCCATCTTTTCTTACAAATGCATGCTTTTTCAAAGGGCATGTTGAGCATTAATTTAAAAGATAAATAACAAAAACCTGATAAAACTTTGGGTTTAATTTAATAGCTTCATCAAGATCTGGCAATGCTGAACGTGATCTACCCATTGCCATCAAAACAGTGGCTCTTTTAAAATATGTTAAAAAATTGGAAGAATCTCCCTCTGAAAGAAATTTTGCAAAATTTAAAGATGGCAGGTGGAATGGGTATAGGGAATAGATCAAAAATGATTTTCCATCAAGTGACATTTGTATAGTTCAATGCAGCATGCAACTTCATCACATCCAACTTGTAGCTGTATTGCTATGCATTTTACCTAATAGTGAAAAGTAACAAGTCCAAATTTCTATTTTGTGCACTTGCACACTAATTAATACTATTGTCATGTGTCTATCAGTATCACATGTTGATGCTGGTGTAAGTGTTAGTGTTATTTTGCTTTGTACTAATATGATGAAAAAATGGACAAGCAAAAAAAATATGTGTGCAGCCAGGACTCAATCAAATCAAAATCTCACAGCATAAATATTATCTGTCCCTGACATTACATACCTACTGCAGCATGATAGTGTGATAAAGCATCCGACAATTGTCCAGCAGAAACCAACTTCATGCCCATAGCAAGATGTTGTTCCACCTCTTCACTAGCTCCATTTACTGATGTATAAACATAAAAGGCTTCATTTTAAACGTTTCGAATAAATGGCCAGAGAGCTCTGTACTATTTGACACTTCGTATATAATATTATGTCATATTACTTGTTAGTTCTCGTAGTACTTTAACATTAAAGCTTACCATCAACGAAAAAATATATAAAAACAGAAGTTAATCCAGCAATCCAGGACATAACTCAACCGTTCCTCATCAACACTCTATACTCATATACATAACAAATAGAAAATCTTAAAATTTAAAACTAACTCCAACTTCTAAGATGATGTGGATTTTGTCCAGTGGTAAATATTACTTTTGCGTGGTGAGCTGCCATTGGCTGTAGAATACCGTCGTCATGGAACGAAATGCATTGTCGGCACTACGTCGGGTTCGCTCGTACGCGCCAATTTTAAATTCTCAGTGTTTATAAGTATTTATTTAAGAACTCGCCGGGCTTTAGCCGCATCTTTCACAACATGGTTACGAAATGGTTTTAGAAAGTTGCTGACATGCATTAATGGATCAAAGATTAGCCAAAGTGGAACAGAAACAGGATATAAACAATCGGCTGTTTCTTAGACCCAGTCCTAATGAAGAGGTATTAAAATTTTTAACAACTTGCACAGAGTTGTTGTCTATTTTATAAACTTATTTACAAGTACGTTAGGTAGAATACGACAAATATCTTAGTTTTGTGCTGGCTGTGGCCTTGTGGGTGGCTTAATTCAACTTGGTTTGCTATGTACTAACTTTCCATCTATTTTTTTATGTATTAATTTAAATTGATAGTGTGATTAGAATTTTTTCAAGTCCAAATATAATTTTTTCAGGCAAAACTTCTTCAAGAGCAGAAGCAACATTTGAAAAAAATTCGTCTCCAACAGGTCTCCTAGTTTGCTCACATGGCTATATCATATATATGATTTACACAGTGAATCATGGATTATCTCTAGATTTTATTTTTATTGTTAGGTTAGAAAACAGGAAAGGTTTCTTGCAAGTAAAGCAAGAGAGAAGTTTAAGGAAAAAGAAAAGAAAGAGTTTGAATGTTTGAAAACAAAACTGAAGGTTTTAGTTTCTTACTTAATATTAACTGCAATTAAATTTTTGCATTTTTAAATAAAAATCCAGCCAATTGCTCAGCCATAGTTTGGCACTTTTTGATTTTCAAAAATTAAAGCATTAGGTGAACTGAAAAGATTTTCCTTGTCCAGCTAATTTTTTTGTAAAATGGTTTCATTATGCTGCATATCTAGTTGCATATGATTTTTCATTTGTGCAAAACCTTGAAATATATCATTGTTCACATTTTTTTTGCTCTTTTCAGAAACAGTGGGAACATGACTTGAATGAAAAAAGAAGTATCTTGGAAAAGCAGTTTTATGAAAATGTAGCTCATGTTGGTGATAGTCATGATGCTGCATTGATGGTATAAATATCACAATATATATGTACATAGTAGAAAGTTTTTATCAAGTATTAACGTAAGTCATAGATCTGGAGATTCATGTATCTAAGCTGTTTTGTTTGCTTTATCAAGTTATGTGTCTGAAGCATGACAATTTTAAACAGACAATTAGGAATTAGATAAAGTATTTGAAAAGCAAGCAACATCTTCAACTTTTTGTTGTTATAAATGCGCGCACATATCATCCAACCTAGCATATGTATCACTGAGTTTCAATGTTTTTCATCTAGCTTTATTGATTGTTGTTCTATTGTAAATGTGAACTTCAGAGTTCAGGTGTAATTATCAATATCATGATTGGGGGAAGGGGGGGGGGTGCAGTATTCATACATGAGATGCATGTTGAAAACATGATTTCAACTTAATATACCCCTCCATGTATGCTTAGGAAAAGCATTCAAATTAAATTTTCCCATAGCTCCCATATTAGCAATATTTTTAAACTAGAATTTTTGAGCAGTTGGGTTTGAGACTGTGAATCAAATTATTTCCATTTCAACTGTGCATGGCTGATGACTATCTTTTTGGTTGCTTGAAAAAACCACCAAATATATATATGTACAGGGATGTTACATCCAATATTGAAATGTTTCATTTCATGTTTTAACAGTATGATGATGGAAGATCGAGAGAGAGATCAATTGAAGATGATATAAAGTGCGTACTGGTTATTGTAATGTCAAAGAATTTATCTAAATCTATTTAAAGATGGAAGGTTTTGTTAAATAATTGCCATATTTCACTAAAAATCCATTCATATCAACCTTTCACTGAGCTAAAATGAAGTTGACTGATCATCTTGACCGAACACATTTTAGCCGTTATGTTGAGGCGCCCTGTATTTAGTAGCTGTAAGTAGTGCTGTGCATTGGAGCAGCAGTTTGTTCATCTCCGGAAAAACTCCGGCAGCAGTCGTTTCTGCTGCAAAATTCTGTCAAACTTTGGTAAACGTGTCTGATCAAAACATTTTTGTATCAACGAACGATAAATATCGCCTAAAATTGAAAAACTTGCATGAAAATAAAACATTTTATGCATGAGACATTATGACGCTAGATTGCGTTCACACATGCTAATTTATGATTCAAAGTCGGAGTGTGGAAATTTAACTTTACATATAAAAATTTTACTAATAATATACCTTAAAGTGTTGAACAGTGACTTGCAAAATTAACCAGCCACAACCAGTGATTCGAGTTATAAAATAGGCGGAGCCGGAGTTCAGGTTTGACAAGAAGCCGGCGCCGGAGCTGAAAAACTGGAGTTTGCACAGCCCTAGTTGTAAGCACAAAATGGGTCACATAACATAGGTAACGCAGATAAAATGATTGAGTATTAATGTTTTCATAATATAAATGTTTGAACAGGGCGAGAGAAAGATATCAAGACGCTGTAATAAAAATGAGAGAAGATGAATCTGAAAGATTACAGAAGATCAATGAAAAAATCGAGGCAAAAAATAAAGCGATGAAAATTGAGCGTCATCGTGCAGCGCAAGTAGCAGCACGCAAACCACGAAACACTGATATTGCACAGAAGTTAGAAACAATACAAAAACGTAGACGTAAACAGAAGAACATCAACGATTTCAGCACGACATACTTTCATATTCCACAAAAGAATTTGGAATGGGCAGAACGTTGCCCTCAACAGGTGCATACGTAATTACGTATGTTTTGTGTTCTTCGTCATAGTACTCCGAGATGTATTAATTTTTCTTGAGGTCGAAGATGCTAGAATGGCAGCAAAAAAGGAGGAAGAAAGGTTACACATTGCTAAAGAGGTAAACGAGATTCATGTTTATAACTAATACACGGCTCTGATGTCTTACAGTTTTTCGTGACGATCATCATTCTTGTACGAAGAAAAATAATGTTAATAATTCCTGTTGATTTCTTGTTACCATATTGTAATCTATTTTGGACCACTATAAACAATCACAACTACTCCAGCACCGTCTTCGATAACCATGTTTTTTGAACATAGGAATCTAATCGCAATTTATCCGAGCAAATGGAGAAGGCAAGACTACGTCACAAGCATGCGATATCCAAACTTATTGTGGAAAAGGTGTGTTAACCAACGCAAGTATTGCTTTCTGTTGAGCGTTTATCCCTCCTTTCCCATAAATTTCAAATACTTTCCCATGAATTTCAAATAGAACTGTATTTTATACAGGATTATGATCAATTGCTTGAAGAACTAAAGGATTTTGAACGAATCGACCGACAGAGAAGACAAGAAATAGTTTCAAAGATTCCTGTAAGTTGCTTAATTAAGTTTTATTTAAACTTTTACATGCTATTTTGTACACTCTAGGAATTATAACATGCGCTTAGCATAGAGCTGTGTGGTTCCAGAAAGTTCAGGAACTTGCACATTTCAGCGTTATGTCTACGTGTGCTTGTTTTGTATGTGTTTTCGCAGATTTGTGGTATAACCATGTATTGCATTGATTCCTTGTTAATTGACGCAGACTGTTTACTGCAAAATTGTTTTTTGTCGTTATTTTGTTCTCCCTACGTTTCATCAGTTTTGATACTTACGTTGCCTGCAATTAGGAAATTAGGTGAGCGTTTTTCGGGAGTTGAACAGAAAAAGAAAAATAAAACTAACGGTTCATTTAAAGTTTTGATGCATGACTCCAGTTTAGCAACAAGTGTTAACATAATGGTGAAGAAATTTTAATCACACTTACACCACATTTGTAATACTGTGTTCAGAACGTTACTCGTAACTTACTCCTAACAGCGATGTGTATGTGAATTTTGATGGGTATTTTTATGTCAGGGTTTGAATAAAATGAAAATGTTTGTTGCATTTTACTTTGTGCCATACTTACAAACTACAAGTGCAACTTTTAGCTTTAACACTCGACGTGCATTCTCCTGTTTGGATATGATGTTATTTTCTTCATACACCAACGTTTCTAATAAAGTCAGTTAGTTTTATCACACCATCATAAAATATTAAAGTCGAAACACGAGTGATTCATATCCTTATTCTGAATCCAGAAACACGTGTTTGAACCAGCACATAGAAGGCTTGAAGCAAACGAAGAAAGACAACGTGATATTGAACGCGCCTTTGAAGATATGTATATGGCCCATACAAGTAAGAAATCGCATAAATTATATATGAAGTACTATTTACTACTGCAACATGGTAATTTTGTTTTGATTTTTCTTTTTTTATGTATAAATTGTTTTTGATGATTAATAGAATAATTACAATAAGTTGTTGCAGAAGTAACTATCAGAAAAGGTTTCTACCATTCTTCCAATCATTAGAAGACATTGATGTGAAATATTAGTCAATCAGGAGAGACTTTTAAAAATTATCGAATATTTTTGCAAAAGTGTTCTTGAAAAAGTTGGTGATTTATAAATTGTGTCATAGATTACAAAGGTGATGTTACGACATTTCAAGATATTTCACCAACGTCTCCTGCTGCTTCAGATGAACGTATGTGTATGTGTAAACGTAAGAATTCATTCAAAAATGTTGTCGTAATTCGTAGAAACGTTTATTATTAAAATCAAACATAAATGTTGGAAAATCATGACGTACATTGGAAATTGTGTTCCATGGGCAACACTTTGAATGATTTCTCATCGAACATCAGTTTGCATGTTATTTTTTGTGTACAATGTCTTCGTTATTTTATGGAACATAGTGTGCTAGGGGTACAAATTTACTAAGGCTCCAGGGGGTACAAATTTACTAAGGCTCCAGGGGTACAAATTTACTAAGGCTCCAGGGGTACAAATTTACTAAGGCTCCAGGGGGTACAAATTTACTAAGGCTCCAGGGGTACAAATTTACTAAGGCTCCAGGGGGTACAAATTTACTAAGGCTCCAGGGGGTACAAATTTACTAAGGCTCCAGGGGTACAAATTTACAGGGGTACAAATTTACTCCAGGGGTACAAATTTACTAGGCCTCCAGTGGGTACAAATTTACTGCAGCTCCAGGGGTACAAATTTACTGCAGCTACAAATTTACTGAGACTCCAGGGGGTACAAATTTAATGGGGTTCCAGGGGGTAAACATTTACTGGGGCATTATCTATCTCAGTCAGATGAACGGTAACGCAATGAAATGTTGGAAATGTAAAATTTAGTAATCTTTTAAAGAGGAGAGAAATGTGCAATGAAATATAAAATATTTTACAAAAACTCTATGAGTATAAAAATAGAGAATATTTAATACTCCGGTTATCAATCCAGTTATTTAAATGATAAACTTTATGTAGCTCATTGCACAAACAAATTCTTATGTTAGAAACATTGGGCTGACTTGAGACGCGACACTCATAAAGTAATCACTAAAATCTAATCCAAACTAAACTCTCTGAACGGATGTGATCCCAAATTCAGCGCAACAACAACCCCCCACCTACCTACTCCTCTTTTTCAAGTTCATCCCGAATCGAAAATATTCTATGTAATGTAAAGTTTTGTCAATCAATTTTGTTTTTAGAAAACACAAGTGAGAATGACATTAAGAGTGATTTAACAAAGGTAAAATAGAAAAATGACATACAGAGATATATACTGTGATACCCTTACGAAGTATTGTCTTGAACAATTTGGGCTAGTGTAGTAAAGTTGAAAATTTTTATTAATTGAAGACAGATGATGTTGAAACTAATGATGTTGAAGAATCTTCAGTTACTGTTGGTGAAGGAAAGAAGAAGTTTGTTCAAGAGGCGGAAAAATCTCGTAATGATGTCAAACTAACTTCAAAAGGTATAAAGTTCACTACCAGTTGATGAAGTCTGTACAAAAAGTGTTCATCTAGTTGTACTTCTACCACCAATGTATGTGTAGTTGTACTTCTACCATCAATGTATGTGTAGTTGTACTTCTACCACCAATGTATGTGTAGTTGTACTTCTACCACCAATGTATGTGTAGTTGTACTTCTACCACCAATGTATGTGTAGTTGTACTTCTACCACCAATGTATGTCTAGTTGTACTTCTACCACCAATGTATGTCTAGTTGTACTTTTACCACCAATGTATGTGCAGTTGTACTTCTACCACCAATGTATGTCTAGTTGTACTTCTACCACCAATGTATGTCTAGTTGTACTTCTACCACCAATGTATGTCTAGTTGTACTTCTACCACCAATGTATGTCTAGTTGTACTTCTACCACCAATGTATGTCTAGTTGTACTTCTATCATCAATGTATGTCTAGTTGTACTTCTACCACCAATGTATGTCTAGTTGTACTTCTACCACCAATGTATGTCTAGTTGTACTTCTACCATGTATGTCTAGTTGTACTTCTACCATCAATGTATGTGTAGTTGTACTTCTACCACCAATGTATGTGCAGTTGTACTTCTACCACCAATGTATGTATAGTTGTACTTCTACCACCAATGTGCAGTTGTACTTCTACCACCAATGTATGTCTAGTTGTACTTCTATCATCAATGCATGTGTAGTTGTACTTCTACCACCAATGTATGTGCAGTTGTACTTCTACCACCAATGTATGTCTAGTTGTACTTCTACCACCAATGTATGTCTAGTTGTACTTCTATCATCAATGTATGTGTAGTTGTACTTCTACCACCAATGTATGTGCAGTTGTACTTCTACCACCAATGTATGTCTAGTTGTACTTCTATCATCAATGTATGTGTAGTTGTACTTCTACCACCAATGTATGTGCAGTTGTACTTCTACCACCAATGTATGTGTAGTTGTACTTCTACCACCAATTCATGTAGTTGTACTTCCACCAATGTATGTGTAGTTGTACTTCTACCACCAATGTATGTGCAGTTGTACTTCTACCACCAATGTATGTCTAGTTGTACTTCTATCATCAATGTATGTGTAGTTGTACTTCTACCACCAATGTATGTCTAGTTGTACTTCTACCACCAATGTATGTCTAGTTGTACTTCTACCACCAATGTATGTCTAGTTGTACTTCTACCACCAATGTATGTCTAGTTGTACTTCTACCACCAATGTATGTCTAGTTGTACTTCTACCACCAATGTATGTCTAGTTGTACTTCTACCACCAATGTATGTGCAGTTGTACTTCTACCACCAATGTATGTCTAGTTGTACTTCTACCATCAATGTATGTGTAGTTGTACTTCTACCACCAATGTATGTGTAGTTGTACTTCTACCACCAATGTATGTGCAGTTGTACTTCTACCATCAATCTATTTGTAATTGTATTTTGAACTTCCATTGTATGTACATAATTCATTTGCAACGTAAAATGTCGTGAGATTATAATTTAGTATACATTACAATACTAATTAAATTTTCATCTTATAAATCTGCTTTTTCTTTTCAATGCTTGCATCATAGTTTCGTTGCCGCATCTCCATCCAAAATCACTGAACATGGAAATGAAAACGTTTCTCCTTAGTAGATCCATTAAAGAGACTTTTGAAAAAAATTGATATGCAACGTGACAGATGGAAAGCAAATGAACTGGATGTTGAAGCTGTCAAAGATACAGAAGAAAAACATAAAAGTATGTCTAATAGTAAACATTGATCAATAGATGTCGAAAGACGGTAGTATAATGCACTTATGCACCTAGAGGGGGCAGGGGATGGGAACATTTTGCCTCTGGCCACCAATCAAAGGAGATCCCCGGATGGCATTAAGACCATCATTGTTATTTTAACTTTCAAGACATGTTGATATTATTTGTTATTAAAGTTTCTTTATCAAACTTTACATCATCCCGTGCCAGTGGTAAATGTTTGAAATCATGACGTCACCTAGCCCTGAGAAAAAAATTTCCTGAGCACCCGCTGTTTCTTTCGGCTGCTCTGAGTGTATGGTATTATTAAAATAGTTTATGCGACGGTGATTTCAATGGATGCAATATAGTGTATTTGTATTGTATTATTAAAACATTTTAATGTGTGTATGGTATTATTAAAATAGTTTATATGAGCGTGATTACAATGAATGTAATTTTATTTCTTTAGATCTTTTGATACCAGACAATGATTCTGAAATCAGCGAGGGAAGATTGACGATGTATGTATGATTCAATGACAATATTTGAATGTGTTTTTACTTTGTGTCAGGCTGTCAGCTCAGCATATTGAAATGAAAATGTAGGATCTTTTTTATTTTTGATTCCTTCAAGCCACGATAAGAATTCTCTATTGTATAGAACGACTGAAAATTCGTGTTCTATAAGTGCCGAGTCTGATTTAGTGAAAGATCATGTGACAACTCTCATGCATCCTCAGGAAGAAGCAGAGCAGGCTCGCGCAGGCTACAAAACAAACAAAGTACGTTGCCTGTTCCCATCGCTGCAATTGTATTGAACTATTGTGATAGTTTGCTATTAAATTCACCATTCAGAAGAATCAGCTATTAGAGTATATATTCATATTTTATTTAGATTTCTGACGTGACCAAAAAAATGGAATTTGAAAAGAGAGAGATCGCTTGCAGCAACAAAAACTTAAGTTACAACTTCAGCAACAACATTTAATGCAGGAACATCTACGATTACAATTTAATGCGTTAAATGACGGTGTCACAAATAACATCAAGAGTAAAGAAAATTTAAGAAAAAGCAAATTTATGTCGCAGGAACTTATCTCACAAGACGAGAAAGGAATCGAAGAATCGAGAGTTGAAAATTTGTCGATAGAAAAAGATGATAACTCGGACAATACACATTCCAGCGATTCAAGCATTCACACCAACATATTACTTCGCGATATTGCATGTTCAATACCCGAAAATGTGTCTGACGAGGACTTTGTGCCATTGAAATCTGTCTCTAGTGGGTTCAATGAGGTGTCGCCGTCAAAAGCACTTGTTTTAACATCTCCAAGAATATCTGCTGATAAGGATGAGGGTCGTACCTATTTTGAGAGAACCTCTCCTTTATATAATATTCAACACGGCAATCTACCGGTAAAAATAACTAGAGAACAGAGTGAGGCAACTCCTACAGTATCGCTTATACCTTCCCAGATAGATAATTCTGTAGCTCAAAATAGAATAATAATGAACAAAGAAAATAATGACCTGAACAAGAAACAGCCTTTTATAGTTGAAAGCTCTCATCATGTCCAAGAAATACCCTCGGAAGACATTGCACGAACATCGAATGTCATAGCCGATAGCCAAATTTCCACGACCCCTTTGGCCTTGGGAGAAAGTTTGATGGTCAAATTTCAAGGAAATGGGGATGGAAATACAGCATCGTACCTACATCATTATCAACGACAACTTATGGAACAGCAAGATCGTATTAGAGAGCAGCAAAAGCCATTCAAGAAAGGCAACAACAGCGTCTTGAGAAGTTAAAAGAATTCCAAGAACGTCTACGACAGCAGAGATCTAGATTTGAAACAGAAAAAAGCAAACAATGGCACTCTCTTATTCCTCGTTATTCTGCAGATGTTGAACAATCGTCAACTACTGATCATTCATTGTCATCTTTAGAGCTGAATGAACCTGATGGCATGCCTGGTATGAAACCCACTGAAATTAACTCTCCTCCTTCTTTGACAAAAGAAAGATCTGGGGGGCTATCTTTGTCTTTCAGTGACATTAATAATGAAGTAAAGCCCAAGCAAAATGTTGGATATTTTGAAAGCATTGGTAACGCCTCGCCTAATCAACTCGGAGAACCTGGTACAGAATCAATGATAAGAGTGTCTGAAGGTCAATCTGATATTGCGTCGTCTTTCCCCCCATCTTCTCTCAGTGCATCGTCTTTCCCCCCATCTTTTCTCAGTGGTACCGAACAAAGTGACAAAAAATCAATCTTTCTTAAAACCTCAGACCTTGGTCTATGGAGTGATAGTACGCCCCAATTGACTTCTAGTGATGCCACCAAAAGCTCTTCTACACCAACGGCAAAATACAAGGCCAGCATAGAAATATCTCATGAAAAAATGAGGAATTTGGGTTCAAACTTCTCCAACAAGTACGGTATGTGTCATTTTATTCTAACATCAATAACACTTTTCTGTCCGATATGTGAGTTACTCCAATAAACAATCTCTGTAGACACCCCTTAAAGTAAAAAATAAATATCTTTTATATAGATAGCGTGAGTGAAATGAACAGTCATAGCTCAGCAAGTCAAAGTCAGTACTCTGGAAGCAATTTTGAACATGTAAAGTCAAATGGTAGCAGTGGCTCCGACAGTAACAACAACATATTGTCACGAATAGAAACTTCTTTTCCTCATTTCCAAATGATGATCAATGAAGCAAAATCTCTTCATGAAAACCATCGTCGGGATTGTTCAACAAATGATACTGCTGATGACGACAATACGTTGAAAGAAAGTGAACAGATTTCTTTAAGTGTAAACAATGGGAATAGCAGTAAAACTGGAATGTCTGAAACCTTCCAACATAAATCGTTTGTAGGCATTGAAAATCTTCATTATGATAGTAAAGCAGATGAAGAGAGACGAGAAGTGAGTCAAGGTGAAGCTTCTGTTGCCTTATTGGCAAACCAAGAAATGAAATTAAATGAATCACCATCAGAAGAACCACAGTTTCCATTGAACAAGGATATTCAAAACGAGCATGACGACAATGAAATGTCTGGAAAGTCATTATCTGTGATTCACGAAGAAACATTTGTAAGTGATGTTAACCTTTCCTATCGATGGCTTGAAAAAGAAGATTTCAACGAAGAAAGACTAAATTCTCGTGTAACTACGTATTCTGTGGAGCCAGAGGACGACAGTCATGAGTGCAGTGTGGAGCCTGGAGGTGACAATGATGAGTATATTTTGGAGCCTGGAAACGACAGTCATGAGTATAGTGTTGAACCTGGAGACGACAATCATGAGCAATTGAATAATTCTCAGACGACAGATGACTGCAAAATTACAACAGCATTCGATAGCGGTAGCTTTCAAAATGAAAATGAAAGTTCTGTTACATCTCAAATGCATTTTGATACAATGTCTGAAGACCGTCGACTTATAAGTGACAAAAAATCAGAAATTCGTCATTCACTTGAAAGTGGTTTAATCGAAAATATGGCATTTACCAAAGAAACTTCATTATTGACAGTGGATTTTAAGGATTCACAACAGTCATTGCAGAGAAGTAGTGAAAATTTTGATGATCAGGAGGAGAGTTTGTTTTTGTTTCATGGTTTAGAGGGAAAGAATGAACTAAATAAGAATACAGCAAACAAAGATAGGCTGGTTGTAAACATACCTACTGGTAAAACGATGACTAGTTCTGAGGCTTCGAGAAGAGTGCACGTCGATTTACCTTCAAATGACCATCGAGATCGTAGTGATCACGAATTCTCAAAGTCGGTCATTGACGAAGCAGTTTTATCTGAAATTTCAAGTTTATCTCTGTTTCACTCCGATGACTCCTCAAATAGCTCTTTAACTCTTCAAAACGCTTTTCGTAAGAGCCGACCTAAATTCATAGAAAATTCTTGTAGAAGAGCATTAAAAGCAAAAGAAGCCAGATACAAAAAATACCAGACACCAGAAATTGAAACAAAAGATAAATTATCTCAATTTCCTACTTCGTCCGATTCACTTTCAAAAGAAAATATTCCAGAAAAATACTCTACGAAAAAACAATCAGGTTTGTCCACTGTTTAGTTAGGTGGATATTTTTTTGCACGAGTTTGAATCGAAAATCATTTAATTACCACTCACAGACATGCATAAGAAAATAAAAACGGACGAGATGAAAAGGCGCACGAAAAGGTTTGTTCATAATTTCATTATTCGCTTCGGAGCTATGAATTGCACGAGGATTCTGTGTCGTTCCATAGATATACGTTTAACTCCTTTCCTTTTTAAGATTATATGAAAATTTACCAGATATCCAGCAAAAGGCTGTTGAAAAACGTCGTCAAGAGACCTACGCTTCCAATCGAGCTAAAGCTCAGGAGTTTCAAAAGGTGAGCGTCTTGGTATTTTGAACGTTTAATATGTTTAATATCCATACTTGAGTGACTGTCGAAATGACAGCGCAAAACCACTCCTAACACTGTCTGTTTTTGTTCTCGCGTGGCTCATATGATATATGTTATGTGTTTTAGCAAACAAGAGAAAGGTTACGAAAGTTGAGTGCTAGAAAAACTGGAAAAGAAACATGAACATTCATTTCGTCGTCAAAGTGTATTTACATTTGTACGTATTCGAATCCTTTATGTTCTGTGTCTTTATTTTGTTTTACTACCATTGCCATAAACAACTTCATCCTCTCGTGTATAAATTAACACTTGCGAAGCAAACAAATATTTCCACTTAATTTTACCCGATTTTATCATCTATTTCTTTAGAAATAAGAGTTGAAATACGTGCTAGTGGAATTATGACTCCTTATAGCTTAGGTGTAGTGATGAGTATAGCCTAGAATATCGTCATAGATACAGCCTAGGTTATAGTTTATGTGTATTTAAGGGTATAGAGTGTATTCAATGTCCGCCTTTTTGGTAATGAAGAATTTATGTCGTTTATTAGCTTTAGGGCCTGTTGCCAAAAACTTATCCTTTAGATTAAATTTTATCCATAGGATAAATCTCCTATCCAGTGTATACGTATTCATTGGATAAATATTATGATAAATATCGGCTCTTAGAAGTAACCTGCCAACATGGCTGCTTTTACGTCACCTTGACGTCAAATGAAACACGCCATAGTCATTGGAAAAGCCTATTGTACAGTCATAGGTAAAGCATACGGTAATGAGCAATTGGAAAAATGAACTGAAATCGATTGATTCAGAGTAAATCAGCAATTTTTTCTATACCGTATTACAACGAAATATTTTACTTCAGTGCAAATATTCAATGAATTTCTTACTCTTGCCAAAGGTAAATCCATACCGAGTGTTCACGCGTGACTGACACAAAGTTTATGAACCAATGAAAGTCTTTCTAAGACTGTAATGTGTATGATCAGTTGATATTATAGATCAGGGGTCTCCAAACTTTACAGCCAGAAAGGCCACATGATCTTTCATCCAGCATGTTGAGGGTCGAAGAATATAAAAAATTTCCACGTCATCCTTCAGCTTTTTAAATTTCGCAATGTGCTTGAAACGGAAGTATAAAGTTGGGACAAAAATTGACGTAAGCCACTCTTGCTAGTTGGCTTGCGACATAACGTGAACTTTCTGCACAAAGTTTATTTTGTTTATATTATTTTTTCTTAAGTGCCTCTGCGGGCCGGATTGAGAGGCCCGACGGGCCGCATCTGGCCCGCAGTTTGGAGACCCCTGTTACAGATCATTGGATTAGTAAAATGAAGCATGATTAACATGTCGCATTGCTGTGAATTTCGTTGTGCTATTCGACAACTATTTTAATACGTAAATATAACCGGACACCGGTCTTTGAGTGGCCCTTGTGAGCGCCTGATAGGCGTCTTGTTTTATTTTACTAACCCGAGACGTAAAATGGATGTAACTTTCTGGATTGAGTAATCCTACACCTCCCCCCCCGGTCTGTTCATGGCGTTTCCTTTGTCTTTTGCTTCCGTTGAAACTTAAAATGTTTGTAGCTTATGGCTCCGCCTTGAGAGGTAAGCGTTCTGTCAAGTGCACATTTTGGTGAAATTCATTGACAGTCTGCTGATTTAGTGTAATAAATTTACTATTTTCATATATATTTTTAAGTTATATATAAAAAAACGACTTTACTTTGGTGATGTAAACGTGTTTGTGTCACGAATCGTGTTGTTGTAAATTTGAGGAAGAACTTGATAGCCGTCGTTAAAACTTGAATAATCTCTTTGAAAAATTTGATCACAAGTCGATATCGTCTCTCAGCAAAATTGAACTTGTACCTTACGAATTTTTTGTTGGATTTTTTGACAACTTTAGCCGACTTCAGCAGTTTATGTTTGGTCTGTGTCACTGCCAGCTGCTTTTGAATAAAAACTATCGCATTTCGAAGTGCTCAGTTAAGCGTTTAAACCTGGTAAATCGGATCATTTGGGTAGTGTAGATGGAGACAATTTTTGCGAAACTTGAGGACAAACAACGTGAGCTTCATGGCAAGAAAGGACGAGTAAGTATTTCAATTTGCTTGTGCTGTGTGTACACATACAATACTTGACGACCATGTTTTTGAAAAATTCACATTTTAACAAAGTTAACGTTATGATGATTTCAGATAATTGAGTCGTGGAATAGATTTGCTTGTTCGGTTCGAGAGGCAGTAGAGTTTTATTCAGAAGCCAAAAAGGTAAAAGCTTACCATAAATTATTTAGATATTATAAAGTAAATTGCAAGTGTCGGTCTAAAACGGTTTAACATTGAAACTACTCACATACTATTGTTTATAATAGTTTAAACTAAAAAGCTATAATGACTTTATGTGTACTGTGTCGTAACTTTTTACACTTGAGTTCTAGAAAGAATAGTTTTCATTCGCAACATTTAAGATAAAAGAATTTTGTTCTTACTGTAATATCTCAAGTTTTGTGTACATTGGAAGGAATGGTTCATGGTTTGACAGAATAAATACAACTTTAGACATCTTTATTTTTCTATGCAGTCTCAAACGTTTTTTCATAACTTAACACTTCACGTGACATTTTATGTGGCTTTTGTTTTTTTACAACATAAAACATCTCACCTTGCATAGCCTTGTAATTTTATATCTCACCAACACCTCTCTAATCAGTAGTTTCCTTTTTTATTTATTTGATGGTTGGTTTATCGTCACATTTGCCAAAATATTTAAATTCTCGTGTATCAGATTCGCACATCATGTTTCAAACTTAAGCATGTTTTGACAAGTTCTTTTCTAAGATTTATGAACTGATACAGTGCTTATATGCAAGCCTGCAAACTGTTTCACTTTAAATGAAGAAAAAACTGGTGAAATATGGGGTACATAGCAATAACATCATTAACTTTTGCAATTGTTGTAACATCAAACTTGTCTCCAATTTAGTCATAACATTTTGGCATAACAATTAATAAGATTTTAAAGAGATTATTGTTTTTAAATCTTGGAGGTTATCAATTTTCATTAACTTTATTTAGGCTGAACTCTATAATTGGGCTCAAGGATTTCCATATCAAGTGAAACAAACCATTTCTAAAGTTCCATTTCGAAGCGCATTCTTGGCTTTCTCGCCATATTTGATGTATTTGTTACTGTTCTCGAATTACAAATTGATTCGCCAGTTAATTGGGCTTACTCTGGTGCCTCGGCCAAACATGAGCTTTTGTCCATCATTGGAACTATTGATCTTTCGCTGCTTTCCTCATCAAGTGTTGGCTAAGTTTGCCAATCCAGTTTTTGACATTTTAGCTGCCATTCCTTATTTGATTCATTTTCCATTACCTGCCCTAATGGTGTTGCATAAACTTGTGGATAAACGAAGACGATCAACATTGTTCTTTTATATGTGGATTGCTGGATGGTGTAATTTTGTTGGTGTCTTCATTCAGTTTGTTTTTCCTACTGCTCCACCATGGTACATGGACAGTGTTGTGTTTAATCCACAAGGTGCAGAATTGAAGGCTGGTTATAATGAGGCTGGTTTTCACAGACTTGATGCTGTATTAGGCTTTCCATTGTTTCATAAACTATACTCAGCTTCACCTATCAAATTTGGAGCATTTCCTTCACTACATGTGGCATGGCCAACTATAGTGCTTGTATGTGATCCATGGATCAGTGAACGTTTTGCTAAGATTCATGTGTTATGGATAACTTGGGCGGCACTTTATTCCAATCATCATTATGGTGTTGATGCACTTGGCGCTATTATAATGGTGTTTGCAGTGAGATTTTTTGCTGGGATCTGGAGTCCATTTGAAAACAATTCAAAAAGTAGAAGAGATAGCTACTCAAATTTACTGCAAGTTTAGGTTTATGTTGTTATACATATGCACAAAGATTCACAACACAAACTCTTTGCTTCATACCAGCCAAACTAAAAGTATCTTTCAATCACAAAAACAAGAATGAAAATAATTATAGTCACCTAAATTTCATACCATTCTATTTACAAAATTTCTATCATTGCAATATTTTCTTTTGCTGTTATTTTTCAAGGTTGATGTTTTTCAAAAAGTGTGACGTATGTTGTTTTAGTTCTTGGGGTTAGCTCCCTAAAATCGACGTGGTTGCGTTGTTTTAAACGTCTTGAATTTGATGAAAGAACTTTTTACTTTTTAAACAACGCAATTAATTTTCCTAAAGAAAAGTTTCTAAATTTTGGCCGAAGTGGAAAAAGAAAACGCAGAAGGTTTATACATCAAATTGATTTAAACTCCTGGATTTACAACAGCTACGGATGGCATTACGTTAGATTGTCCAACTGGAGTTATAAAGTTCGTTTTTCCAATTTCTTCTTGAAGTTTTTCAACCACAGACAGGAATTCAGGCTTACGACTACCTTTTTTGTCAACGAAACCTTTGAAAGCACGAGCACCATGTAGAGCTAACAATTCCTTATCCTAAATAATGGATCGGAAAGTTAACTTAATTTCGACACAAACTTACAAATGTTGACCAGGATAAATACACGTAAATATGCTTTCAACAGCATTGCCGTTCAAATTATATAATACCAGTTTTTTGCTCTCAGCCTTAGCTTCCGACACAATGTTTTCCTGCCTTTCAGTTTGAGGAGCTTGCGTCGGTTCTCCTTCTTTATGCTTTTTCCAAGTTTTAGGATTTAAGTACCAAGCTCCATATTTCACCTTAACCCAACTTGGCGTGTATGTTTGGTGTTTCTAAGATACGGTCGAACTCATTATTTTTGAAAGAACTGAAAATCATCAGTAAACATTGTATAATCACCAGCATTTCAGGTTCTTTGAAATCCACGTTTGGTTGAAAAGGCGAGGCTGCAGACGTGCTAGCATTCACTCGTAATTCAGGGGGAACATTCGTTAACTCCACAACATGGATCGGAACAGATAAAGTGGGCTAAATTGAAATGTTAGCATTTGCTATGTAGTGAAGAGAAGAAAACATTCTGAAAAGAATGATATGTCCTAAATAAAACCTTAGTTTCGTATCCACTAGCAAACAAGCTCATCACAGTTGATTCTTCAATATTATTTGTTTCACCTCCCTGAAAATTTATCCAAAAATGAATTTAGACATGTAAATTTTTATAAACATTTAACTTGTTGATATTTATATGCAAAGTTTTTTTATATATATACCAAATTTTCAACCCAAGTGCAAAATTCCTTAGTAACGTTTTGCATTTTATCATTCTAAAAAAAAAAAACATTGTTAACTCTGTCACAATGAACAGTATAAAAATTTATGAAATTAAAAGTGCTAAGTCATCAGAAAATTGATGTATGTTTAGGTGAAATATTTATACCAAACTTGTTGTGTCAATTTTCTTTTTCATTAATTTGCCTTTTTCCTCCTTTAAATTGTCATCTTTCTTGGGGAGCCATTTATAACGATTTTTTCCAACATCTTGTGCACTAGCAATGTAATAGGTATTTAGTAAGGCATCATAAATTTGAGCATGCAACAAGCGTACCATTTCATGATAGATTTAAAAAAAGTTGCATGTATCAAGACAACAGGAAACATAAAATTTTCAAACCTTTTCCTATCTGTATCTGTTGGTGAAAGTGACTAAGAAAAGAATGGTGATATTTGATTTTCTGAAGTTTCTAATTAAGATAAAATTGGGAGAGTAAGATATTGTAGATACCTGTGCTTGATCAAAGGATACCTTTGCATTGTTTTCATCTGGCTCTTGAACAATGTAGTGATAATCCTACAAGAATTATAAAATGGTGAACTTTGTACATCTCTTTAAATTTCATGGCAAAAGTTTCTTCAAAATCAGTTTAAGGATGCTACCAGATCTGTTCCATCTTCACTCTCCAGTTGCAATTCTGGATCCAAAATGTCAACCACGTCTTCAAAAACCTTGATTTAAAATTTTGTACACATGGAGCAACTAAGTAAATGAATTGATTAACTACTTGGCAATGGTCCTAAGAATTAACGAGTTAAAACACAATGAGAAGTTATTACACATATAGGTACATAGAGGAATTAATAATATTGCTAAAAGATACCTCTGGTGGTACTGACTCTTCAAGATGAGGAAATAATGCTAAATGATGTTGAAGAAGACTAAACTCGATATCTTCCACATTTTCATGCTTCCTTTGCTGCATTGGTAGCATTCTAGTTACAAGTACATAATACAGCAGCATAACTTGTCAAAAGGTATTTCCAACAATTATAATTCTGAAGAGGTTGACAACTCACTTTGAGTAAATAACTTCATTTTTGGTAAACCTCTTTTTCTGACAAAAAAGACTATTATCTTCTTGTGTTTCATTTGCCGTAACATTGTTCACATTAGGAGAAATGCCTGTGTATCCCTGTGTAAATCAACAAAATCTAAGTTTAACTTGCTACCACATTAAATTTAAACAGTGCACAAAAACACACAAGATGGATGCAAACAAATCACTTGCAATAATTAAAGGGAATACTCACTCCCAAAACCATTTTATCAGCAGCATTCGGTGGCATTCCACAACGAAAATCATCTAAACCTGACTTAATAAATCTCCACGATGAACCAACCATACAACCTGAACACTGTTTGGCTTTTTTGGGGTTTATATATTTTGTTTTAAGTCTTTCTCGGTACCTAGGTATTTGGAAAAAAGTTGATCTTTTGCCAGATTGCTCCACTTTACTTTATGTAGACAATTTCGAAGAAAAAGTTATGCAGATAGAGTTAGTAATGTTAGGTGTACTTCAAAGATATTGAAGTTACAAGTGGCGAATCAATACCGACATTGCCATACACACTACTCACTGAATATCAAGAAAACAAGATATGAATCCTTAGATTTTACTTTCTTATATATTTTGTATCATCCTACCATGGTATTTTCTTCTTCTCAGAGTTTCCATCTGAGTTTATAAGCAACAGGTCATACTTATGAGACATTTCAAGTATTAGTAAAGAAAGTTTGTTAACATTGTTTCCATAGAAATAACTTTTAATTTTGAAAATTTGATGAAAATTTGTTTTTCTTTACTAGTGCCAGGCTTCAACAAGAAATCAATAACAAAAATTTATATTCGTTTTGAAGTCACTTTCTTCGACAGAAAGATAACAATGTTGAAATTGGTCTATTTTCTCATCTTATCTTTACCTTTTATATTCTTTACAACCTGCAAAATATAGATTAAAAGCCAAAAAGAATAGGCACCCCCGATGGGACTCGAACCCACAACCTTTGAATTAGAAGTCCAACGCGCTGATCCATTGCGCCACGGGGGTATTCCTACGTACGTTGTATTTACATGCAATTTAAAAACTAGAATTTTTTACAAAATGCATATCAACAGTATAATAGAGGATGTAATCATTAAGTTATCTAGTCAAAGAAATCATTTAATCCACCACTAAAATTAAAGCATTTTTGTACCAAAGACTACACTTCAGATATTTTAACACAATTTTTTCACAAAGACTATTAATTACGCATTTTTACTAATTTTAACAATTTTTTGAACAAAGACTATAATTCATGCATCTTCCAAAATTTTCACACTTTTTCACACAAAGACTATAATTCATGTATTTTTGTACGAAAGACTATAGTTCACGCATTTTCATACAAAAGACTATAGTTTACGTATTTCTGTACCAAAGACGATAGTTCACGAACTTTCAAGCAAAAGACTATAGTTCACGAATTTTCGTTTTAAAGACTATAGTTTACGAGTTTTCGTGCAAAAGATTTTAGTTCACGAATTTTCATAAAAAAGACTATAGTTCAGGTATTTTTACAACAAAAACAATAGTTCACGTATTTTTGTACCAAAGACTATATTTCACGAATTTTCATCGAACAGACTAGAGTTAACGAATTTTCATGCAAAACACTATAGTTCACAAATTTTCATGCAAAAGACTATAGCTCACAAATTTTCGTGCAAAAGACTATAGATCACGAATTTTCATACAAAAGACACGAATTTTGATGCAAAAGACTATAGATCACGAATTTTCATACAAAAGACTATAGTACACGAATTTTGATGCAAAAGACTATAGATCACGAATTTTCATGCAAAAGACTATAGATCACGAATTTTCATGCAAAAGACTATTGTTCACGACTTTTCATGCAAAAGACTACAGATCACGAATTTTCACAAATTTTTATGCCAAAGACTATAGTTCATGATTTTCAAACATTTTCATGCCAAAGACTATAGTTCATGATTTTCACACATTTTCATGACGAAGACTATAGTTCATGATTTTCACACATTTACATGCCAAGGACTATAGTTCCTCATTTTCACAAATTTTTATGCCGAAGACTATAGTTCATGATTTTCAAATTTTTTCATGACAAAGACTATAGTTCATGATTTTCACACATTTTCATGCCAAAGACTATAGTTCATGATTTTCAAACATTTTCATGCCAAAGACTATAGTTCCTCATTTTCACAAATTTTTATAAAAGACTATAGTTCATGATTTTCACACATTTTCATGCCAAAGACTATAATTCATGATTTTCAAACATTTTCATGCCAAAGACTATAGTTCCTCATTTTCACAAATTTTTATACCAAAGACTATAGTTCATGATTTTCAAACATTTTCATGCCAAAGACTATAGTTCATGATTTTCACACATTTTCATGCCAAAGACTATAGTTCATGATTTTCACGAATTTTCATGCAAAAGACTATAGATCACGAATTTCCGTGTAAAAGGCAATAGTTCACGAATTTCCGTGTAAAAGGCAATAGTTCAGGAATTTTAAAACAAAAGACTATAGATCACGAATTTTCATGCAAAAGAGTATCATTCACGAATTTTCATGCAAAAGACTATAGTTCATGATTTTCAAACATTTTCAGGCCAAAGACTATAGTTCATGATTTTCACACATTTTCATGCAAAAGAATATAGTTCATGATTTTCACACATTTTCATGCCAAAGACTATAGTTCATGATTTTCATGCAAAAGACTATAGATCACGAATTTTCATGCAAAACACTATAGATCACGAATTTTCATGCAAAGACTATAGTACACGAATTTTCACATAAAAGACTGTAGTACACTAATTTTCATGCAAATGACTATAGATCACGAATTTTCATTCAAAAGACTATAGTACACCAATTTTCATGGAAAAGACTATAGATCACGAATTTCTATGCAAAAGACTATAGATCACGAATTTTCTTAAAATATAGTATAGTCCACGAATTTTCTTGCAAGAGACAATAGTTCACGATTTTCATGCAAAAGACTATAGTTCACGAATTTTCATGCAAATGACTATTGTTCACGAATTTTCATGCAAAAGACTATAGTTCACGAATTTTCATGCAAAAGACAATAGATCACGAATTTTCATAAAAAAAGACTATAGTTCACGAATTTTTGTGCGAAAGACTATAGATCACGAATTTTCATGCAAAAGACTATAGATCACGAATTTTCATGCAAAAGACTATTGTTCACGAATTTTCATGCAAAAGACAATAGATCACGAATTTTTGTGCAAAAGACTATAGATCACGAATTTTCATATAAAAGACTATAGACCACGAATTTTTGTGCAAAAGACTATAGATCACGAATTTTCATACAAAAGACTATAGATCACGAATTTTCATACAAAAGACTATAGATCACGAATTTTCATATAAAAGACTATAGACCACGAATTTTTGTGCAAAGACTATAGTTCACGAATTTTCATAAAAAAGACTATAGTTCAGGTATTTTTACGACAAAAACAATAGTTCACGTATTTTTGTACAAAAGACTATAGTTCACGAATTTTCATGTAAAAGACTATAGATCACGAATTTTCATGCAAAACACTATAGTTCACGAATTTTCATGCAAAAGACTATAGCTCACAAATTTTGTGCAAAAGACTATAGTTCATGAATTTTCATGCTAAAGACTAAAGTTCACGAATTTACATGCAAAAGACTATAATCCACGAGTTTTCTTAAAATAGACTATAGTTTACGAATTTTATTGCAAAAGGCAATAGTTCACGAATTTTGATGCAAAAGAGACTATAGTCCACGAATTTTTGCAAAAGACAATAGTTCACGATTTTTGATGCAAAATACTATAGTTCACAAATTTTCATGCAAAAGAGTATAGATCACGAATTTTCATTCAAAAGACTATAGTACACGAATTTTCATACAAAAGACTATAGATCACGAATTTTCATATAAAAGACTATAGACCACGAATTTTTGTGCAAAAGACTATAGTTCACGAATTTTCATAAAAAAAGACTATAGCTCACAAATTTTCGTGCAAAAGACTATAGTTCACGAATTTTCATGCTAAAGACTAAAGTTCACGAATTTACATGCAAAAGACTATAATCCACGAGTTTTCTTAAAATAGACTATAGTTTACGAATTTTATTGCAAAAGACTATAGTTCACAAATTTTCATGCAAAAGACTATAGATCACGAATTTTCATTCAAAAGACTATAGTACACGAATTTTTATGCAACAGACTATAGTTCACGAATTTTTATGCAAAAGACTATAGTTCATGATTTTCAAACATTTTCATGCCAAAGACTATAGTTCATGATTTTCAAACATTTTCATGCCAAAGACTATAGTTCCTCATTTTCACAAATTTTTATGCCAAAGACTATAGTTCATGGTTTTCACACATTTTCATGCCAAAGACTATAGTTCATGATTTTCACACATTTTCATGACAAAGACTATAGTTCATGATTTTCAAACATTTTCATGCCAAAGACTATATTTCACGCATTTTCATACGAAAGACTATAGTTCACGTATTTTTGTACCATAGACAATACTTCACGCATTTCCAAACCAAGAGGATAGTTCACGAATTTTTGTAACAAAGACTTTGTCTGATAGATCATGGTAAACGACATGAAAGACATTTGAAAAAGTCGTTATTTCATGAAAGACGCGTCACATAGACAATATTTAAAAAAATCGAGTGTCTTTCTTTGTGTGAACATATGTGTGTATCCTTTGTGTCTACCTTATTTTGTCATGTATAGTAAATGTAGTCAATTTGTACAATTAAGAATATATTTTAAATAAAATTTCTTATGTATTAATCAATATTCACGTAGACTAGCAAGTCGTTTTATATACAAATTTAAAACTTTAAATATATATTATTAAAAGACACTAAAAAATGTTCGGAAGTTTAGTGAAGTAGGTTAAGCAGTTTCAGATCTTTCATAGAACAGGACATAAGCTTGAGGTCCACGAACATACGAGGAAGATAAAGCGCTCACCCTAATAAAATTATGAAGAAAAAAAAAAGAAAAATAAGACCAACAAAACAATAACCTTAAACTTGAAAAGGAAAGTTGATTTAAATCATCACACTTTCAAATCAATAATTCCAAATAGCTCTTATATATAAAAATCCGGAGAAACTTTAATTATTCTATACGCACAGTTATATGTATATAAAATAAAATTGTAATTGTATAAGAATCGTAATTTATTTTATTATTGTATATATATATACATCCTGTGTCTCAACCGTACATCCTGTGTCTCAACTGTACATCCTGTGTCTCAACCGTACATCCTGTGTCTCAACCGTACATCCTGTGTCTCAACAGTACATCCTGTGTCTCAACCGTACATCCTGTGTCTCAACCGTACATCCTGTGTCTCAACCGTACATACTGTGTCTCAACCGTAAATCCTGTGTCCCAACCGTACATCCTGTGTCCAAAGTGCAAGAGTCACCATTGCAATATGGTGATAGCCGGGAGGGCACATGTTTATACATTTGTATATATATATTTATTTTGTATGGATTGTGTAGAGAGTCTCATATGGAGACGTTTGGGTTTGAGCATAGCTTTGAGCACTGTGGTGACTCTACAATACAATCCATACAATGTGTAACCGTACGTCCTGTGTCCCAAGTGCAGAAGTCACCATTTTACTATGGTGATAGCCGGGAGGGCACATTGTAATACACTTTGTATATATATATATATATATATATATACATAGAAGAAGAAAATACACAAAAACTACAATTTCATCCCGAGAAGCCTGTTTCGTGATTTCTTACTCTTCAGGGATAATATTAAAATTTAATATTAAAATTTAATATTAAATACATAGTGTTTGTGCATTTTCTTCTTCTATCAATATTCATGCTCTGCTCTAAGCATCGAGCACTGTAATTACGGAGATTCAAATAAACAAAACTCCTATTTATATAAATAGATACAAAAATTTACTGAACCCTTACCTGGTGTCATTAAAATTATGCCACTCTTTTGACTGAGGATGCTTGCAGTATGCAGTATAGTGACCACCAAATGCACTGCCACTGTGATTGGAAACGGCAAATAAGTTGTACTTTATCTTAGGGCACTCTAAAAAGATGTCAAGATGTTCATTAGTATATAACTTAATGCAAATAGCTAAGTGATTCAAATTTCAATTTCTATGTTATTTTCTCCATTTTCCCTTGTCCTATAGTGAATGCCACATGTCTAACTCTAGGTTATTCAGGATAGTAAACAATAAATATTTACCCTTTGACGACACTTCGTCTGAATATTTTGAAGCAAAGTCGGACATATCCAAGTTCATTAACGGGAATTTTACGTCTGTTTGAAGTTTTGATCGAAACCCAAAACCAGAAAACCTTTTCAAATCTGGAATGTTGGAGTAAGTTAAGGTCTTTTGTAGTTGTAAATTTGTTTTCCAACAGAACAGATGACTAAGAACATTGACAAATCGGACATCTTCTTTTTAAGAATAAAATGGGCCAAAATAGAATTCATCAAACGTGGATACTGGCTAAATTCGGTTTCATCATGAGGAAAAATGTTTAGCTCCGAATTTGGTCTTGAAAACCCTTTAAAAGGATACGAATTACTAATATTCTGGGAAAACGATGAATCTTTATTTGCTTTTGACATTTCTGTCTTGTTTTACACTTTTCGCATTTCTAAAGAAGACGTAAAAGTGAATGTTGGGAATTATGAAGAAGACAATTTACCTGAAATATGCTGCTAGCAAAAATCTCACAATATTCATGTTTACTAACTGGTTTTTCATGTTTACTAACTGGTTTTTCATCGCCGTCAAGATCCTCTTTCTTTGTGAAAAGAATCAAACAATCATTCAACGAAACGGAAGAATCGACATATTTACTTGAAAAAGTCTAGTTATAACAAAGAAAATTTTCAAAAATCAGTAAACAATTAACGAACAAAATAAATATCAGTGAACACAATACAAAACAAACCCTCGGTATAGACAAAGAAAGGTCCCAAAATGGATCATAAGTTATAGATCTGTTATTACATCTGGAACAAGTAAGTGTGCTCTTAATTTGACCGCAAAACAAATCTAAACAATTAAAATAAAGATTAAATTTAACACAGCTTATATCAATAACTTTCTGATTGATTAAATTACCTGTAACTAAGCTGTTATCCCTTGATTTATAATGCTCCCACATGAGGTCAGACAAATCTTTTTCACTGAAAGGAAAAAATTTTTGTACATTTTAAAATGTGCTTTTAACGTTATACTTTACTGTCAACGTTATACTTTACTGTCAACGTTATACTTTACTGTCAACATTATACTTTACTGTCAACTTTATACTTTACTGTCAACGTTATACTTTACTGTCAACGTTATACTTTACTGTCAACTTTATACTTTACTGTTAACGTTATACTTTACTGTCAATGTTATACTTTACTGTCAACGTTATACTTTACTGTCAACGTTATACTTTACTGTCAATGTTATACTTTGTCAACTTTATACTTTACTGTCAACGTTATACTTTACTGTCAATGTTATACTTTACTGTCAATGTTATACTTTACTGTCAACTTTATACTTTACTGTCAATGTTATACTTTACTGTCAATGTTATACTTTACTGTCAATGTTATACTTTACTGTCAACTTTATACTTTACTGTCAATGTTATACTTTACTGTCAATGTTATACTTTACTGTCAACTTTATACTTTACTGTCAACGTTATACTTTACTGTCAATGTTATACTTTACTGTCAACGTTATACTTTACTGTCAACGTTATACTTTACTGTCAATGTTATACTTTACTGTCAACGTTATACTTTACTGTCAATGTTATACTTTACTGTCAACTTTATACTTTACTGTTAACGTTATACTTTACTGTCAACGTTATACTTTACTGTCAACGTTATACTTTACTGTCAACGTTATACTTTACTGTCAACGCTATACTTCACTGTCAACTTTATACTTTACTGTCAACGTTACACTTTACTGTCAATGTTATACTTTACTGTCAACATTATACTTTACTGTCAACTTTATACTTTACTGTCAACGTTATACTTTACTGTCAACGTTATACTTTACTGTCAACTTTATACTTTACTGTTAACGTTATACTTTACTGTCAATGTTATATTTACTGTCAACGTTATACTTTACTGTCAACGTTATACTTTACTGTCAATGTTATATTTAAACTTTATACTTTACTGTCAACGTTATACTTTACTGTCAATGTTATACTTTACTGTCAACGTTATACTTTACTGTCAACGTTATACTTTACTGTCAACGTTATACTTTACTGTCAACTTTATACTTTACTGTTAACGTTATACTTTACTGTCAATGTTATACTTTACTGTCAACGTTATACTTTACTGTCAACGTTATACTTTACTGTCAATGTTATACTTTACTGTCAACTTTATACTTTACTGTCAACGTTATACTTTACTGTCAATGTTATACTTTACTGTCAACGTTATACTTTACTGTCAATGTTATACTTTACTGTCAACTTTATACTTTACTGTTAACGTTATACTTTCTGTCAACGTTATACTTTACTGTCAACGTTATACTTTACTGTCAATGTTATACTTTACTGTCAACTTTATACTTTACTGTCAACGTTATACTTTACTGTCAATGTTATACTTTACTGTCAACGTTATACTTTACTGTCAACGTTATACTTTACTGTCAATGTTATACTTTACTGTCAACGTTATACTTTACTGTCAATGTTATACTTTACTGTCAACTTTATACTTTACTGTCAATGTTATACTTTACTGTCAACTTTATACTTTACTGTTAACGTTATACTTTACTGTCAACGTTATACTTTACTGTCAACGTTATAGCGTAGCCTGGGGCAAAGTGCGACACCGGGGCAAAGTGCGACATTTGCCAATGATTATTAAATATCTGAGCCGTTAAACTAAGCTGCAGCTTAAGAGTCAGTCAGCAGCTTCTCTGTCATCTGTGTCATGTAAGAAAAGTGAAACATCGCAGAAATTTACAAACGGAGAAAGCATGGCGGCCATCTCGTGAAGTCAATTCACGAGTGAATTCAAATTGTGCTCGATAAAGTTTTGTTGAGTTAACAGGTATGTTGAAAAATTTTATTCAATACATGGCAAATGCTGGTAATTTCTCCATAGTCTTGCGGTTTGGATGTCGTTCCTTGAACTGAATCATCGTTTTTCAAAAAAGTTTCTACGACAACATTCATATTTGAGTTTATCAAAACCGCACTACTTTGGGGCAAAGTGAGACAGTCGCCATATTTAAAAGTGATCAAAAGATATTATGTATCTGGCTTCTTTTTTGCGTTTCTGTGTATGCATTGTTTGTTTTAAGTGACTATAAGCTCAGTTGACTTCACTATAATAGAATATGTATTTGAAATCTAAAGTCTAGTTTAATTTTTAGCAGAGCCATGGTTAGAATTATGTTCGAAAGACAGACCACGGGTCCTGGAGTGAGAGTAATATGAAAGAGGCAATAAAAGTGTCATCAAGAATGAAATGCCCCTTAGACAAGCAGCCAGGACTTTGGTGTTCCAAAGGACACATTGAATAGAAGATTGAAGAAGTTGGATAAACAGAGTACTGATGATAACATTGATACCATGTGCCACAATAAGCTTGGAAGATTCCACTGTTTTGTCCAAAGACCAGGAGAAGCAGCTGGCCAAATACATTACAGATATGGATAATGCATTTTTCGACTAACTATTATGGACCTTAGGGTAATAGTTTATGAATTCTGTGACAAAATAAGATTCCAAATCCTTTCTCAAAGAAAAGAAACTTTGGGAAGATTTTGTCCGAGGGTTTTAAAAAGAAATCCAGACCTGTCTTTACGAAACCACAAGGTGTTGCTTTAAATCGAGTATATGGGCTGAACAGGACTGCTGTGAGGACATATTTCAGTAATCTTGAGAAACTTCTAACTGAGCACAATTTTCAACCCCACAGAATTTATAATTGTGATGAGAGTGGAATTACCAGTGTTCACAAACCGGTGAAGGTGGTCGCAAAAAAAGGAAAACATTGTGTTTCCTCAGTAACTAGTGGTGAAAAGGGAATTACCACAACTGTTCTTTGTGCGGCAAGTGGTACTGGCCACTACATTCCACCCATGATGATCTTTAAAAGGAAAAATAAGAAAGATTCTCTCACTGATCATGCACCAGTTGGAACTTTGCAAGGAGTCTCTGATAATGGTTGGATCAACACCGAGCTATTTCTGCAATATACAAGGCATTTCATTAAGTATACCAATTGCACAAAAGAAACCCTGCTCTGATGATTTTGATGGGCACAAGACCCATACAAAAGTCTTCAATTAATTGATCTTGCCAGAGATAATGGATTGTTTCTTTGTCATTGGCCCCCATACAACTCACAAGCTGCAACCTCTGGATAGATCTTTTTCAAGCCACTAAAACACATTATAATAATGCTTGTCAGAAGTGGATGAGAAATCACCCTGGTCAAGAATCCAAACCGAATTTGGGAGAGCTTTTCAATGAAGCTTATGTCAAATCTGCTACCATGGAAAATGCTGTCTCTGGTTTTCGCACAAGTGGAATTGTTCCATTCAATCCAGATGTAGTACCAGAGCACGAATATATGGAGGATCCATGTTTGTTGGTTACCACTTCCTCTGCTACAAGTGGAGAGGTTGCAAACAGTGTGGATGAAATTGAGGTGAACATGCCAGAAGCTAGAGATAATGAAAGCCATGATGAATGTCTTTACTTGAATGAAAGTGTTACCACAAGAGCAGCAACACCTCCAACACAAAGTTTGGCACCTGCTACATATCCTGTTTCTTCTCCACTTGGTGCTGATTTTGGCGCCAGTCCAAGATCATCCACCCCAAAATCACCAACCCCAAGAACACAATCCCCACAATCCTCAACATCATTTGAGGATATTTTGGCAACTCCTAAACTTTGTTTCAAAAGAAGTCGCCGTGGCGAGGTATCTGAAATTATAACAAGCTCCCCATATAAAAGAAAACTAAAAAGTGAGAAAGAACAACAGGCACAGAAGAGTTTAAAAACAAATCAGAGAAAAGGCAAGGCAAAGAACACAAAGGTAAAGAATAAAAGAAAACCAAAGGAAAAGAATATTGCAAGACCTGTTCTGACTGAATGTGAGAATGATAGTTCAGACTGGATCTGCCCTGTCTGCAGTGGAATTGGAAAGAAAGTGAAACTGATTGGATTGTTTGTACTAATTGCACTGCTTGGGTTCACGAGGAGTGCACATCAGACGAAATTTGTTTCTTGTGTGATTAGATTAGTTGTTTTGACTTTTAAACATTTACATTTTGAACACTTACATTTTAGCTTAAGCTTTCTATAGATTAATTAATCTTTTATCTTAGATTTGTTTGTACAAATAAAGTTTATATATTTTTCAGATGTTTTCTCAAATTTTTCTCCTCCGGTGCCCTATTACCTATTAAAAGGTCCTAGCTAAGTGTCGCACTTTGCCCCAGGTAATGGGGAAAGTGAGACACTTCGACTTGTCGGATATTATGGAATACTGAAACGATACTTATTATATTTGAACGTTTTTTCATCCATTATTTATATCAGAAGGGCCTTGAGATTTATTGTGCCAATCTTTGAGTTAAATAAGTTTTTCCCAACCGAGATATATCCAAAAATGTGAAAAAGTGTCGCACTTTGCCCCAGGCTACGCTACTTTACTGTCAACGTTATACTTTACTGTCAACGCTATACTTCACTGTCAACGTTATACTTTACTGTCAACGTTACACTTTACTGTCAACGTTATACTTTACTGTCAACGTTATACTTTACTGTCAACGTTATACTTTACTGTCAACGTTATACTTTACTGTCAACGTTATACTTTACTGTCAACTTTATACTTTACTGTCAACTTTATACTTTACTGTCAACGTTATACTTTACTGTCAACGTTATACTTTACTGTCAACTTTATACTTTACTGTCAACGTTATACTTTACTGTCAATGTTATACTTTACTGTCAACGTTATACTTTACTGTCAACGTTATACTTTACTGTTAACGTTATACTTTACTGTCAACTTTATAATTTACTGTCAACTTTATACTTTACTGTCAATGTTATACTTTACTGTCAACGTTACATTTACAATCAAAGTTATTCTTTCCTTTTAACTTACCTTAACTTTTCCAAATCAGAAGATTGGGCATTTGAACTAAATCGTCTGCAAGAGCTTGTAGCTTGGTTGAGATCTTCATTTAGACCTTCGAGAAGAAAACGTAGAAATTCTTGGGAATCTTGTTGTCTATAGAATAGATTTAATCACTTTTTTACACTATACTTTTTTCATAAATGCATACTGTTGCGACCGATTTAATATGACCTAATTATAAAAAGTAATAAAAATTGACAAAAACACTCTCAACATTAGCAATACCCAAATGTCAATTATTTAACATATAAAAAGAAAATACATAATTAAACAAACGTACTCATAGCCAACAAATCGTGGGGAGAATCGTTGAATCTGCATTTTAAAACCATGAGGTGACACAGTAGTTGATAGTCTATTTCTTGACCACATGGCTTTGATTAAATCAGCAAAGGCTGAAAAAGGACAAAATTTTAAATTAATTCTCATAGATGTTTTGAAACATTTTTCATTATAAATAATGAATACCTGAGTATAGGTTTCCTTTCATTTTACTGCGATAGTTATGTTGCAATGTGCCGGCTAACATTTTATCTCTTAGAGGCTCACAATGACTTAAACATTGCAATATTGAATTCATGAAGCACTAAAAACATAATATAACATTGTTATTTCCTTGTGAGTAAATATAAATATAAATTAACAATAGGAAAATTGACATTTACTTTATTGCCTGCACAGTCGAAAACCAAGCAATGACTTTACTGAAAATTCAATTTTACATGAACATTCATATTCAAACCAAAACATAATTAAAACATACAAACGAAAGATAAGTTAGAATCACAATTGCCAAAGAGTATTTTTTAATCACGCACCCAACAATCCATACTCTTTTGAACCATTTATCCACATTTTAGTATCAACAGTAAATATTCATGAATGTTGTTGTCAAACTTACAGTATTTCCTAAGTTTTGCAATCCAACCAGACCATCACTTCCATTCATTGGCTTAAATATAAAATATGGCATTGCATTAGTCATGTATATACATAAGGTAAAAAGTCACACACTTGATATTTTTGCAATTTTTAACAATATAAAGCAAGCTGTCAACAACTTTTATGAAACTGTTAAATTCATTGAGCCACATGATGTGTGAAAATAATTATTTTACATATAATGTCACCATTAACAACTTAAGCTAAAGTTATTAGACAATTGTAAAATAAAAATCATTTCTTTCGAATGATTTTTTGAGCTCTTTTGTACTTTCCTAAATTTAATTGTACTATATGACTATTGTCTGGAGATTATATGAAGATTATTTTGAATTTCTCATTTACATTAAAACATAATATGTTTTGATATAAGATATATCAGTAGCAAGGATAGCTTAAACATTGCAAATATTCTATCTCCAGCATTGCCAATATTTTTGGGTAATATTTTTGAAGACAATGAATGGAATTAATTTTCCAAAGTAACCAGTGTGCAAATTAGTTCAGAAAAAACGATGTGCAATTTTTTTGACAAAAGTGTTTATTTACAGGCATAATCAAATCGATATTACGTTAATTATTACATAGCGCTAATTGCTAAAACGTAAACAAATTCATATGATTTAAGACAGTGTTTTTCATTAAAACTGCTGATTTTTGCACATCGTTTGAAAAAGTGATGTGCAATTGTTCTCATTTTAGCTGAAACGATGTGCAAATTGCACATTGCACACCGTTAATTCGAACACTGAAAGTAACCAATGATGATTTCCTGAAAATTTTGCATTGTACGTTGGAGAAAAAGTGTGCACTGGCTTTGCCACTGACATATAAGTATTTAATGTATTAAAATGTGTACTATATATGTAGGCAAACATTCTTCTCTTATGTCAAGTTGACATTTACTTTTATTATACTAGTAAGAATTTTGATACATAGAAACTACATTGACAAATGACCATGCAAGAGATGAACTTTCAAAAATGGCCTTCAATCATTTTTTCTAGGAATTTTGAGAAATAAATAATTTTCAAGAAGTAGTTTTTTGGAAAGGTAAAAATAGAGTGATATTATATGAGTCTTGAGCTGTAATCCATACTCAGTAAAGTCAAAAATATGTAGATGAAAAGGTGTTGCTTAAACATTCAATATTAATGAAGCCAACAAAATAGCAAATAGTTACATACTGAATTTCTACTCTGTTTTGATCGATCATACACATAAGAAGGTTTTGAAATATCCAAGCTCAAACTGGTCTTTCTGTTCGACCTTACAGCGACAAACTGTTCTTCTCTATAACCCAATTGGCCATTATTCTTGCTTTTATAAGTTGAATTTGAACACAGTTTGTTATCGTTCAATTTTATACGCTGAAAATCGTTTGAAAGTTCACGAATTCCATTTCGAGATTCACAAGCTTTTCCTGAACTGTTATAACCGCTATCGGATGAATTACGCCGGAATGTAATATCGTTATTTTTTAAACTAGAATCGTCAGCAGAATCGACAGGAAACTTCGAGGAAGCTGACGATGCAACTCCAAATTCAAATTTCTCAATCCTTCCATGACGGCACGCGCTGTTTGATAATGTTGATTTCTTGTTAAACGAAGAAGATCTTCCCTTCTAAGTTCATTACCCATTGTATTTGTTTTCTCAAAATTACAGCTGGGCAATACACATTTGTCTCTTTCTATGGACGTTTTTCTATAATTTGAAGGTCCTTTTCCAGAACTAGAGCTTGTATATCCTCTCCGAAAATTTATGTCTGAAACCGGAGCGTACTCATTGTAATAGTTGTACATAATCCACTTTGAAAAAGTTCAAAACATGCTACAATTCATTAGCAAAGCAAAAAGAATGATGAATTATCCAAGCATTAAAAAAACAGAAAGCAAGTCGGTTTGATAATTTGTTTTGGTTCGTCACGTGACACGGTTGAATATGATAAACTGTTGTCATCGTTATCAAACAAACCACAAAAACCTAACTTGGTAAAAACTTGTTGGATTTTTGTTGATGGCTACTATGTAAATGTTCTTGTTTCTTCTAACACAAATTAAACCAAGAATGAACTGAACAAAGATATTTTTATGAAAGCAATACCGGAGATTTACACCCAGAGCTAAGAATTCTGAAGTACCCACGAATTAACGTTCTAAAGAAAAAATTTCTGCCAGCAATTTGTTATCATTTCACAATGCAATAGCAACGATGGAAAGTCGTTTGAGAATGTAGGCGAAGTAAGTCTTCATTATACCCAATGATTATTCCATCACATTCATATTTTATTTTTAATCTGACGTTAAACGCACGAGCAGAGTCTGAAAAATCAGAAACGTAAGTTTGCTAGCTTTAAAATTTGTTGGAAGTATACAAAAATAGGATGACAAAAGTGCACGATTAAATGAGTAGGAAAATTTTAACATATTAAAGAAACGCGTGCAAAAAAAGACAAGTAAAAAAATTAAGTTATTTCTTTCACTCGGAACTGACTTTAAAAAGTTTACGATTTAATAAAGCACAGAGTTTTCACAACATTTTTTGAAAAAAGCCATCTGGAAGACACTACATCAGAATAACTTAATTGGCCCAAATTCGAGTTTTCTGTTACTCTACACAGAGGCCTGAGTCGAGTCAGATGTAGATCACAAACAATGGACAGGACTATAACTACAAATTTAATACATAACCTACCGTGTGCCTGACCAAGCAAATGAGCACCAATCCTTCGTGAAGACTGGGACTAGAGATATAGCTGCTTCATGTATGTAGCCCTCCAGTTTCACGTTCATTGAGCAATTCCTTGTCAAGGCTTACCAGAGACACAAAGCAAGTTTACCAGCTATGAACTAGAGTATCTATTTTTGCAACGAAACTTAAAGTGGACGAGCATTAACGAGTCGTAATACCCCCAATGGAATAGATATTTCATTTAAATCAGGGAACTGTTCCTCATTCTAGTTGACTTTCTAGAACATTGCAGTATAAATTATTACATTATGTACAATTAACTAAAACTGAAATGCGATGATCGATATTTTATTTTGTATAATTGGTTATGATTTCATTATCCCAATTACTGCACCACGCAAGTCTCTCTGAATTATCAGTCGTTAGCTACAAACGCTAAGAGATAACGTCACGAATAAATGTTCATATCGTCATTTTCTTTATCATGGATTAATGAATGGGATCATATTCTTTATGGAAAAACGTACATGTTCTTGCTAATCAAAGTAACGATGCAAAAATGAACACCATTTCATCTTCTCTTCCGTTTATGTTTACTGATTATTTCGTCCCCATTTTCAGATGTAATCGAATCATTTTGTAACTGACTAAGCGTTTCTCGTACGAAAACTGAAATCTAGTAAATATGTAAAATCATATAATTTTATATTACAAAGAGCATGAAATAAGAAGTGTCTATGAAAATGACATGCATACTATACTTTTTAATGCTTAAAAAGGTAGTTAATTGTTAGCAAAAATTTTCTTACACTAATTTTCTTACACCAATCACCTATCTGCTGTGTGCAAAGATACAATGCGCAACATTCCATGCAGTCGAAAATGTTTAAAATCATGACGTCACAGAGCACTGGGACAAAATTTGCCCCAGGCCCTCCTTTTTTCCTTGGCGGTTCTCCTCGAATATGGAAGCTTTTCTACGATTTTTCGATTCACATTAGAGATCAATTCTCACCTTGGAAAAATTCACACCAATAATAATGGCAGCAAGAAAAATAGGGAAGAACATGAAGGATGTATGTGAAGTTTCCTGATCCAGGAAATGTTTCTAAATTAAAATAAAAAATGTTTTGAAAAATAAATATCTTGCTATGATACCTATCAGTTAATGCGACAAAAATGTAGAATGAAAAGTAGTATAAAAAGTAGTATGATTTTTAACTTGGGTAAGATGAATTCCTATCATATACCTGAGGTCTGAACTCTAATTTAACATGAACTCGGTGGCCAGCGGCAACGAAACTTGTTTCTTCAAACTTCATGTTGTATTGATGAGACGATAAACTCGACTCCAACTTCACTAGATAGTTCTGAAATTAAAAAATAAACCATCATTATTTAAAAAAAGATTGTATGTTCATGCTATCAAGCAGGTTATGCGAGTACATAATAAATAAAACAACAAACCTGATGATCACTTGCTATAGGTGGAAATTGAAAAACCTGTTAAACCAGGAGTCGTCGAGTGGATGGGCGAATCCAAATTCTTTTCTTGATAAAGAAGAAGCTAAAAAGTTGTGAATAAAAATGTGCAACAACAAAAAAGGTTATATTTAACACTTCAATCAAGAATTTTTACAATAACTTAGTTAAATACAAATCAAATATCAAATCCTACACAACGCAAAAAAAGCAAATCAACTTACTTTCACTGAAGGAAGAAATTGAGAGTCGGTGATCACAGTTCCAGTAACATCCACCAATCCTTTTTTGCGAAATACTATTAAACGAACGTTTTCTAAATCGTTCTTCACCACCTATTATAAAAGGACAACAAGATGTGAATGGCATGTATTAAATAAAAGTTAAACTAAAAGAATGGCTTTTAAGAAAATAAAACTTTAATAAGAAAGACACGTAGAAAAAAGTTAAGCAAAAATATAGACATGTCAATGATGAATTTTTTTTACCTTGCTTACTTATAAGAAATACAGTAAAATCAAAATTTTGCTCGACGGTTTTTTTAAACTTTACCTTAACTCTCTCCATAATACTAATAAATACAGCTTACATGTAAACAAGAGAAACGCAAGCGTGTGTCATAAAGAGGGCGATTTCGTCACAATAAATCATACTAACTTGAACGTCAATGTACTGTGGAGTAGATCTTTCAATATGAGAATTCATTTCGCCATTCTTTACCCTTACACGATAGACGCAACTAGGCTAAAAATCATACTCAAAAGCTCAAAGCTCATACTTACGACAGCACAAATTGTTCTTCACATGGAAATACAAGTAATGCACGTAAGTTCAAAAATCATTGTGTCTATACATGATTAAGATAATATTGCCCATGTATTGAACCAATATACAAACACCTTAAATCATGTTTAATCACGAGACGAAACTCCACACGCAGTAAAATATACAAAGCGAGATAAAAGATGCACATATACCAAAGGATAGAAGCAAACACAGCATAATGAGCAATGTACCTGTAAACCTCGTAGTCTGTATTGCCCATCAGAATCGGTGACTGTTTCTTCTTGATTACCTTCACAACTATTCAGACCAACGGCCTTAAATGGCAACACAAAGACATTAAACTAAATTATAAAGTGTGCATCTTTAATAATCTGTATACGTAATTATATCAAACACAACTAATGTAGAAAAACATTCAAATAAAAGATGGAACATGAACGAGTGAATGATATGGAAGTAAATTTATTATATAGTGTACATTGTTTAAATGAAACTGAATCCACGAGAGACACGGACATCAATTAAATATTGTAAAATGATAAATGAAGTTTCTCAAGTTTAATGTCTTATTTTCTCTGACATTCTGCGCATGCGTGTAGTACGGGAAGTTCTGAGCACGTTGCTACTTCGGGATAAATTACCTGAGTAATTATCTGAGTAATCCCCACTACCAGGGGCCGCGGAAGTATCTCAAAAGTGAGGGGGGCACTTGCCCCCAATGCCCCCCCGTTTCCGCGGCCTCTGCCCACTACACTATGCACATTCGGCTACAGTAAGTTACAGGCAAGATATCATGCAAGTTTGCGTTTTCAATTTACAAAATCTAAAAAATTCAACTGCAGTATTATAAATGAACTATAAAAACGGAGACACTTTAGATTGATTGAATGTCATTGCATGCGCTGACATCACGTATATAGTTCAATATAGTTCAAAAATAAATATAAAGTTCAAAATAAATATAAAGTGTTAAAAAATATCATATATAGTTCAAAATAAATATAAAGTGTTAAAAAATATCATCATATTTACCTATATAAGGCAAGATAAAACATACGAATATTCTGATACATATACCTCTAAGGCAACCTCTTTTTCAGCTCGTCCATTTAGACTGGTAACTGAGCCATAACAACTACAAAAGTTTTCAATCAATTTATGTCTTTATGTTATATTATGTTATCAATTAACAACCTGTTGAAACTCCTCCACCCCAAGAAAAAATAACAAACGAAGGCATTTCCCCAACTTTAGTTGTCTAGGAAGTTTGCGAAACACAATTATTTTTCCCAATATGTTATTCACGTTTGTATAACAGAGCTGTTGTTCTTGTTAAATGCCTCTATTTCCTAACCTCAATAGGTTCATTTGAAATCAATCTCTTTTTATGGATTATAAAATACACAAATGAATACAACTCTGCCTTTTTATACTTGTCTATAATAACAATTGATTTTCACAATCTCAAATGACGTACAACTGAATGTCAGCTGTCTTCTAACAAGTCAACATATGAAATATACCTGAATGCAATTCTTTTGCCTTCTGACGTTGCTTTAACTGTTTTTCCTTCTTCCAATTGTACAATCTATGTTGAAAATTTTTATTCAAATTTCGTACATGAATAACAGTGATTCAGTGACATTGAAACACATTTGCACAACAACAAATACAGACATACACTCAGTAGCAAAACCAGGATGTTTTTTACTCCTGCAACGCAAACATTTTTGTGTCCGCTCAATGGAATAACAATGAATCGAGTCAATTTTCAAAAAAAATGAATAATAATTTTGTTGAAAAATTTGCATTGTAGAAGTAAAACATCGGGCTAGCTTTGCTACTACGTACATACAACACATGTTAACCTGAGAAGAAGGAGAAAAAACGTATTCTTTCAGCATTGGCTTGAAAAAATATTCACCTGGAATCTAAAATGCATTATTATTATTATTATTATTCATAATTAACTTGTGTGCCTCAAGTTAAACTACGTACAAAAACAAAAGTAAATATCAAGTTACACTGGTTGGTTTGCAAGACTTGAATGTTGTTTGAAATGTTTCTTGAAATGTAGGCATATATATTGATTTTTTAAGGAAGATGCAATGGTCCCAATTTGTTATACAGGGAGGTTGAATGCATGAGATTAAAAAAAACGTTTAAAAAGTTACCACGAATAATAACCATGCAGATAAGACTCCCGGGTAAAGACCCTAGGAAAAGTCCGGGGAAGGGAAGAGAATTCAAAAAGAAGCCCTATCCTGCATGCAAGCAAGCCTACCAGAAAAATGTTATTGAACTTGACGTAACAGCATTCAAACGAAGACAGTAATTTACTGGTGGGTAAGTTGAAATCCAACTCTTTAATTTCAGAGTAATCACTGCTTACCAAGTTAGAGAAAATCAATGAATCATTCTCGACAGTAAAACGGTTTTGACGAAAGTTTCCGCCACTTAACGACACAAGAACACCAGGTAAAAAATTGCTTGTTTCGTCCGACACCTGTCACGGAAAAATTTATTTAAAATATTTATGTACCTAGCAGGATATAAACCCAGTAAAATATACAATGATCACACAATAGAAAAACAAGTGTTCTACCTTTATTTCTATTCTCCCAAGTTTCACAGCAATAAAATGTCCTTTCGCTTTTTCAACGGGATTTATAATGTATCCTTCTTTTGACGCAAACTGTAACAACACGACAAAGAACACGACTAAGGATTCACAATGATTCACTGCCATGAAATAGTACTGCATGCTAAACATTAAACAACATGATGATATTCTCCGTTAAAAATACATGAACTTACGAGCTCATATTTCAAGTTTCCATGAAGAGGTCCAATTCTAAATTTAAACGAAGCAAAAGATAAGAATGATAAATTGTAGAATTTGTAAGCGAGCGAAAAGTATTGAGTACATTTCTTAACGTAAACTGACCTGTATTTGCCTTCAGCGTTGCTAAATACAGTGAATATATTGTTTGATTTTTTGGTGGAGTCAGATTGAATTACAACTTTAACGTTTTGGAGTGGAGGCTCTATTTTACCATCAATGAAAACACCCACTTGACCATCAAACTGTAAACTTTCTCCAGGACAAGAGTCTACATAAATGGAACAATGATAATCTGAAAAAAACTTACAGTTCATCATCGAAAGCTATTACTTCACGACCAACACATCATTATTCATCATCCATAATAAATGAAAGTTAATTTACAAAGAAACGTAGCTACCTTTCATGGTGACAGTCATCGAAGATGGATAAAAGAGTAAATCAGATGATAAAGGAATGACTTCAAGTTGTTCGTCTTTCCTTTAAGAAAAAAGAGTTCTTTAGACACTTTAGGCAACTGCGCACTAAATGTTAATGAGTATACTACATGAATGACACAGCAACCATAATAAAGAATGAATTAAAGTGTCCAATCTAAAAAACATTTAGTTATATATACGTACATAATATTATTTTATAACTTACTTTGCCCAATACGACGCTTCATATACATATTGATCAACACTTTCGACAGACTCATTTTCCGCAACTTTGAGGACAGCGGGGATTATTTCTTCAGTATTTGACTTCAGTATTCTGCAAATGAAGTTAATATAGTTCCAATGCATTTTTAAATTATAAAATGACAACCGTAACAGAACCAATCAAATTACAAGATTTGTATTCTGATATACATTCTCCTTCCAATATTTGACGTAAGTGAAAAAAGCTTACTTCTTGAATTTCAAGAAGCTCCACAAACAAGTGAAAAACAGGTACAGATAAACAAACCTGATTTTTAACTTTATATCGTTTACAGACTGTTTTGAATGAACTACAACCGAAAGTACATGATGTTTCGCAGAAAGCGTCAAAAACCTCTGATCGGAGCTGTGGAAAAAAAATTCAATTTAAGTACTTTGGATTGGAAATATCCAAATAAGAATCATAGCAATATATAGGCCTAAAAAAGGCAGATTTCTCACGTGTTGTATTTATAAGAGTCTTGATCAAATCGATGACACGACTTTGGAGTGAGAGTGTAAACTCCTGAATATACGTAGAAAAAAGGACATTCGTGTTGGAATTATTTATTTATAATAATAAACGATGTAGAAATGTTGACAAAACATTATCAAGAAACATCATAACTCAATATACCCTACCTGGTTCGTTTAAACAGAATATATTTACGCCTTTACTTAAATTAAATGATCCAACAACTTGTGAGCTTCCCTCCAGTGCAAAATGCTACAAAAACAAAAGAACAAACATTTGCTGCAGTTACAAAGCTTAACTAAACTCAAAAAGAAATAATATATAGTAACATTAAACTAGTCATTTATACTTTACTTTGTATAGTATGCTGGTATCTCCATAACCCCCCCCCCGTATTTTCACCAATCTTGTTCATTTTACGATATGCTACATGTACATACATGTTCTATAAAATCAATATAAGTCAACAAGACTTATTTTCATGCATAAATCACGTGCACTTTATTGAGGAAATGACGTCATTATCCGTTGTCGACTCGGACCACATAAATTATTCGCGTCATCAAAGAAGTTGTATCGTGTTTTTTAAATGCTTGTATTAATAATATATGTTGAAAAACCACTGATACTTAACAGACGAACATTCCATCGACGGAAAGATAAGCTATTATTTATACCAGGTTTATGTTGTGTGTCAGCGAACATTTTAGTACAAATCCAGTTTGAATGAACTGTAGATCCGTTACATCACTATCTTTAACTACAACATCTTGAGTTTTTAGTTTCCAGCACCACATGTCTTGAAGAACAAATGCTGCAAAAAAACTCAGATATAAACACCAAATGTATTGGTCCTGACGATAGCATATAAGCATGCTGAAACAAAAACTTTGAAAATAAATAGATTTTTTGTGATCTTTCAAAACGACTATCGTGCTGCTAAACAAACAATACAAGATAAAGTGAATAAGTTCATTCTAAATCTTATTAAATTTAAGACACATTCATGACAAATGTTATCCTTTTTAAACGATAATCGATATTAAGCCAGAACAAAGAGAGCTTAGGTTTGGAACAACAATAGAATTACCTTTATAATTGCCAGGAAGAACTTTATTAAACTTGAACGTGCCACCTTTTGATTCACTTCTTATCTTGAATGGAAGAACGAAGAACAGAGTGACTAAAGTTTCATGTATAAATAAAACAATCTATATTGGGCTATTTCACTATAATGACGCATTCATCCATACGTACCACAGATTCTATTCTCTTTAGATGATCACCGGGTCGCTGAGATACAAGTGAAACACTTAAACTGCCACAAGGACCATCTACCGTGATTAATAAACCATGAAATAAGTTTGTTAATAAGTTCGCATAAGTCAATTTTCAGTCGAGGGAAACAAGACTTAGTTGGATACAGGCAGTGGTACATACTGTAGCAGCGTAGTTTCAAACTGTGTGAAACATTTAACTTTTTCATAAATTGACACAATACAGAGAAATTGCGAAGAAGATTGTTTCGATGGTGCAAAAGGTACTTTAGAATTCATAAAGGACGAATGTATAATCATTACACAAACTATTTCAATTTTTAGTTGAATGAAATGTATTTTGGAGCGAAATATTAATAAACTTTTACAATTTATTACCCAGACACTCCACAGATCCACCAACATTTGCCATGAATTGAGAAAATGCTACATCCAAATACGGTTCGTTAATGATTTTGACAATTGTTTCTTCTGGTTTCAACAGTAATCCAGCCGTCTGCTCTTGTGTGACGACAACTGGCTGCATGAGAAACAATTTATATGTAATAAAGACAGTAAACACAGCCTTCCTCCCAAATAAAAAGATACTTTATTACAAAACGGCCATTCACCTGAACACGATAAGTTCCAGGTTGGACTTGAAAACAAAATTTCCCATTATCAGCAACAGTTGTCGACACTGCGTCAGTTTTCTTTCCCTCGCTTGAGGATAAAATAACTTTCCTCTTTGACATCTTGTAAAAGAAATTATACGTACATTACAAGAACAAACCCGATCAATTTTGGCAGCTTTTAAGTTAACCTATCATTAACTATAGTTAAGTAATAAATTAATAATCATAAAACCTGAAAGACTACTTTGACTATTTTGTGTTGAACATATGATTTACAAATGTGCAAAAGAAAAGGGTTTTGCCAAACCTGTAAACATCCCGAAGGAAGTTCGGAAATTTTCAGCTGACCACAAAGATGGTAACTTAAAAAATAATATTTTCAAAGGTATCATCGAAATTACTGCTTTAATGCTCAAACTTTTCAAATCATCACATCAACATGTCGTGTAAACAAGGATACCTGTGTGGTTTAATATCCGATAAACGAGGTGTGTTTGGATTAATGTTAACTTTAACTGGCAGGAAGAAAACGTTTGGCTTTTCCGCCTAGAAACAGAGGAATTCCAAAAGATGATAATCCTTAATATAAATGTTCCTTCACTGTAAACAATGGTCGTAAAATAGAAAAGATGTAGTATCTAAATTTATTGTGTAATAACAAGATGAATACAAACAATTGTGGTCAAATAGTCAAGGTGTAGTATCTACATGTATGGTGTAATGATCAGAAGAACGTAAACGATAGTGGTCAAATCGTCAAAATGTGGTAAGTCTACATGATACCCACCAATATGGTGAAATGACCAAATGAATGTAAACGATAGTGGTCAAATAGTCAAAATGTGATAGGTCTATATGATACCCACCAATATGGTGAAATGACCACATGAATGTAAACGATAGTGGTCAAATAGTCAAGATGTGGTAAGTCTACATGATACCCACCAATATGGTGAAATGACCACATGAATGTAAACGATAGTGGTCAAATCGTCAATATGTGGTAAGTCTACATGATACCCACCAATATGGTGAAATGACCACATGAATGTAAACGATAGTGGTCAAATAGTCAAGATGTGATAGGTCTATATGATACCCACCAATATGGTGTAATGACCAGATGTAACATTATCCAAAATGTAAACGCCATCATCACTGCTTTGTGTCTTAAAAACTCCATCCAGTGAAACTTTGGCATTGGCTATCCCTTTTCCCTAAATAATAAAACCTACAGTAATTGAAATTTAATAATGCAGCTTTGAGAGAAAAGCCCATTAATTGTACATCTATGTATTGCTTTTCTAAACTATTGGTATTCGAGAGTATTCGGCCGATCTTCGTTTAATCAGATTGGAAAATCAGCTGATTTATTGATCATCCTCTTTCGCGTGAAGAACTACTCACAGTTTCCAGATTCACAATTTTGCCACTGACAGAGAACCCGTGAACTTCAAATGGAGTCTACAGTACATAAGAACACCCATGAAAATGTTCACTGACGTTTCTACGTTCCTCTGTCTTCTTCATAAACATAAAAAGATTGCTTACCTTTAAAATAACACTTTTGTAATTAACATTAAACTTCAGCTTGGTCGGTATGACATCAAATGTTATCAATTCACCTTCATAAAAAGGCACCTGAAAGAAAAATTGATAATTCAATAACAATGATCATACGATAACCAATACCAAAAAATACGGTGGTCAAACTGTTTCTGTACAATTTAGGATTTTTATGAAAGTCGTTTCAAAAATCCCGCCAACATTGTTGGCCCAACAGAAGAACAGTACGAATGAGATCGTCAACCCCCCTCCACCCTCTAGTTTATAGTTTGTACTGCGCATGTGTTGATGATTTTTTCAGACCGTCGTCATACGTAATTATCGTCCAGTGGAGATATGAGAAAACTTTTTATGGTTCGATGTCTGATACTTCTCCTTAAAGATTAACCAAACGGGATCTTTATAAAGTTTAATATAGGAGATTATTCATTTTCATTCTAGTGGCCGCCTTTACTCAACGTATTTTTCATTGTCTTTTTGTAATGGACTGGCCAAAAAACGCTACTTCGAACGCTTTATTTTACCGAAATGACAAGACATAACGCCATATCTTTTAGTGAGACATAAGTAGTTAGTGCACATACCAAAGTATAGTAGCCACTTGGAACACTAGGGAACTCAAAAGTTCCATCTATCTTGGATTTTGTCTTGCACAAAGCCGTCCCTTCTGTTTTCGTGGAAATTTTATCCAAAATTCTCTTCTCAATTGGTTCACATCCGCTAACATCCTGCGTTGTACAATGCATAAAAATAATAAAAACGGCTCAAAGTTACAACTGTACTACTAATAATAGGACGAGCTTCACTATCTTATCTCCATGTCGATGATCAATAGGCTGTATAATGGGAAATGAAAACTTACATACCTTAGGCCCTAGTTCTGGAGAAAACAGAATAAAGTCCACTCCTTTTATGGGCTGACTATCACTCAACACATGTCCCTACAATATTTATTCAATAAATGTCAAGCAAATACAAACGAATGCAGACCTGTTATAGTGTTAGCGTTTTTACTTTGTGATACTAATTGCATAGCAAATGCACAACACGAGAGAATATACATCTGGTGTGAGGTAAGTATAGTTAAGTAGGTAAGTATAGTTCATGGACCGGTCAACCCCCCTGGCGGGGATTAATACTGGCCGGTATACAAATGTTGTTTGTTTGTTTGTTTGTTTTGTGAGGTAAGTATAGGTTGGTAAAATCAGCACAAAGTGTGATAGAGGTTACAATACAAAGGAAGCTTTTTAGATACCATTAACAGCGAACTTTGACACACACCTTGACGTCATAACCAACTACAATTATCTTATCTATAACCTCCACATTATTGTTTAGTACATCAACCACAATCGTAGACTAAAATGGAATTGAAATCAAATTACAATCTTTGAAAAAATACATTAGCTACTTTGTAAGCAAATAAATATAACTTTACATGAATTTGTCTCATTTAAAGTAAATGCTTAGCATTTTATTATCCAAGACGTTAAATGGTTCTGAACGAACAGCTTGACTTACAGCTTTGAACGTCCATGTTGGATGAGATGCAGCAAGCAAATATTTTCCAGGAAGGACTTGAGAGAAAGTAAAACTATAAAGTCAAAAATTACTTCCATTCTTAAAATAAGAAGAGCTATTTAAAATATGAAAGTCATCTCAATCACAAAAGGTCTTCAACTTACAACCCTTCATCTCTCGTCTCTGATTTACGTTCAGTGTCTGAAGTAAAATCAGATGATGTAAGCTGCAAGCTGAGCACGTTACTACATTCAAAACATGTGACCAAAAAAGAAAACCGGGCTAAATTCAATGCAATGATCGTCATATTGCATTTTACACCTCGTGATAACAATGATGATTTTATGATATCAATGGTGATCTTGTGATACCAATGGTGATCTCGTGATATCAATGGTGATCTTGTGATACCAATGGTGATCTTGCGATGTCAATGGTGATCTTGTGATGTCAATGGTGATTTAATGATATCAATGGTGATCTTGTGATACCAATGGTGATCTCGTGATACCAATGGTGATCTTGTGATGTCAATGGTGATCTTGTGATGTCAATGGTGATTTAATGATATCAATGGTGATCTTGTGATACCAATGGTGATCTCGTGATATCAATGGTGATCTTGTGATGTCAATGGTGACCTTGTGATGTCAATGGTGATTAAATGATATCAATGGTGATCTCAAGATCTCCATAGTAATCTCAATAGTATGCCATAACAAAATGAAATACCCGTTGCAAATACCCAATACACACCTTCATGCTTTAGAGTAATTTGAACACCTGACGGGCCAATTGGACGTCCTTTACTCAAAACCTATAAACACAGGGTACAATGCTGGGCTCACAAAATTCTAAAACATTTGATTGTCCTTGGGGCAGGCAACACCAAAACTTGGTTTCCCAGGCAATTTATCACAAGATTCTAAAAAATTTGACTTAATTTTTTTAAAAATCAGGATAGTAAGATCAAAATATAAAAGTGAAGGTACATTCCGGGACATTAGTCAAGGATTTTAGTTACCTGACACAATGTTTGGCTGCCCCTGGATGTCGGGCAGGCAATTTTGCAAGCCCTGGTATAGCCTATAGAGCATTGTCTAGCTATAAATATGATGTAGTGAAATTAACCTTTCCAAACATGGTAAATCCAGTAAACATGAAGTTGATATCCACTCCTTTAGTGCATTGATCTGTTTTACCATCAATATGGAGATCAACAGTCACAGGATCTACAAATACAACAGCTTCTTGTTAGTTGAAAGTTTGATTTTTCATTTTTTCTTGATGTTCTGTTTGCTCTACCAACTTAGAAAATCAATGAAAGTAAAATATCAACAAATTAGGAAACATTTTCACGCCATACTTCCAAAAATAATTTAAGTAGGATTTTCATTGTTTATTGATTCATAACAATAAAATTCTTTCTTAGGTAAAAAAATATTTTAACAGGGATGTAATAATTTAAAACATAAAAACCATATGAAACTTCCCTGCTAGCATTGGCACTGTTTTATTTCAAGAGCTTGGTCTTTTTCCAACGTAATTAACACAGTTTTGTATGAACAGAAGTACTCGTATAATTTTTCTAAGGTTCCTAACTTATCCAGTTTTGTACAAACATACTATAACATTCTCAATTACCAAAGCTCCATCCTTGAGGTGGCTCAACTTTTAAAACAAAATCACCCTAAAAACAAAAAATATAATTAATGAGTAGGATGTTTTGCTATGTCCCATACTGGAAAGTTTGTAAATTGTACATTATACAAATTAAAGTGTATAAAAGCCTAGTCTACTCTAAATTGAGCATGTGACATCTTGGGTGCACAGTACAAACTTTCCAGTTTGTGGTGTGCGCCGCTGCCTCAAAATATGTATGAAGACACACATAAAAAGCACCAGCTTCCTGTATTAATAAAAACACTGATATTATTTTATTATCAAACTTCTTTTATAACATTCCATACTTGTAACATACACAATACAGCAGTCATTATTGAGAGGATTAACAGCATATGATCAAGGGTTAGCATGCATACAGAACTTGATATTGCTACTGATTGTTTGATACATTTACAAGTTACAACATGCACATGCATTGAATTATGGATTTGTAGATGCAATTAAATAGCTTATAACACCACAAAATATCAACATTATCAGAAAGTCATGTTGATAAAGCTTGGTTTGTCTACACAATGCACGACAATTTATGAAAATATATCCATTTTACCTTGTCATATAATGGAATGAGAAAATACCCATTGTTTGGAGCACAATCAGTCTTGTACTTTAAGATACCTTGTTTTGTATATAGTTTCATCTTAAGTAAAAAATATGATCAGTGTTAAGAGAATTATCAATTTACTTTAAACATATACTAATAAAAGTTACGCATAATGCTTAAAACTACACGAACAATTTTAAATAACTCCTTAGTACCTCTACATAAGAATAATTGATATCGACATCAGATTTGACGAAACCACCACAACCAACAACATCATTGGATAAAACAAGATCCACAATAAATAAAGAAGAAGTTAAATACCAAAACAATAGACCCATCATTAAAAAGACAGAAAAACTAAAGAAACTTCTAATCTGATTTTTAAATATGCAAGCGTACATTGCAGTTCGAAATCCACTAGTGTATCGGGGCGTCACGCTTGCACGCTACAAAAAACCCTCCCCCCCGACTTTACATTTGTGTGAGCGTGAGCCACACCCAGTGAACTCTATAATAACTGGACAGCTAACTAAGTACTTTGATTCAGTCAATAAACAACAACAACAACAATTTTCATGCCACAGGATTTGACAAACAAATGAAATTGTGCTTTAATCAAATACAAAACAATTAAAACAACCTTTGTAGAAAATGAAGTTACCTCAACAATAAACAAAAAACTATACATAACATTGTACCAAAAAAACCCAATATTATTGGACATATAGCCACAAACTATTCTCTTGCAATGTATAACTTAGCGATAATTTTGATAATATTGATCATATCGATACTGTCCTTGGTAAGGAGAGTTATGTCTGGAGTCAGATGAACCAAAGTGCACACCAGGTAATGAAGTACCATGTCTTGTATATTGCGGAGATGAAATCATGTACTGTGGATCATAGTTTAGAGATCTAAGTGGTGAAGTATGATTCCAGTAAGTGGCACTTCTTGATAACTCATCAAACATAGCACTGCTTGATGGTGAAGAAATGCTCCTGTTGAGTAGTTGTGGAGTGAATGAATTATTCCATTGATGATGATTGAAATTATAGCTAGGATTTCTTCTTGTTTGACCGTGTGGTCTATACTTGACTTCCTCATAATTACAATAAAAATTGTGGTAAAATTCTGAAGCAGAAATCATATTATTTGGCATTGACCTGTCATCAAGTCCTTTTTCTTTTTCAGAATTATGCGGACGAACATTCAACACTTGATTATATAACTTAATACCATCGAGAAGATCACAAGCATAATGTGCAGTCGCGGATGACGAAAACTCCACAAAACCATATGACTTTGGTTTTCCATCTTTATAACCAGGAATATAAATACTTTTCACAGGTCCTGCCTAAATAGGAAAATGCTTATCTTTTATTTTCTTTTTTTTTTGTATATTTTCTTACAACAAACAACATTTCAATGTTGGAGAAAATGTTGTTGACTTTGGTATTTTCAAAAGATTAATTTGCTAAAAGCTTAGAGCTACATCAAAGCTGTTTACCACTTTTTATAAAATATAGTCTTGCTATACCACCCCTAAACACTCTCTAAAAGACATTCTATTTTTTTGATGAAAGTGCAGTAATTTTATGTAAATGTCTGACAAACTAAAACGCAAGGTTTGCAAAGGATGCAACAGTTTATTTAATTGGTTGCACACTATAACAAACTTGCCAAATATGAAGCGCTCCAAAATTAACGTTGTATTTATACATTTGAATATGAACACCCCTATACATTATTCTTTATTGTATGTCATTTTTTCTATGCCAAGATCTTTCATGTGCAAATTGCACAACTTTTGTGGGAAAATCTAATTTTATTGGGCACATTTATAGAATACATCACGACAAAGACTGCCAACAACAATGAAGCTAGTTTACTTTACAATTAGGAAAAGCCAAAAAGATTTAATACAGGGGTAGATTAATTCTTATTTGACAGGAGGAGTGCAGATTTTCAAAGGGGTGCATTATTGTCCTAGCTTAAGATGCCAGGGCCTCAGGCTATTGCAGATTTGTAGGCTTAAAGAAGCCTATGAACCTTGAATAATGAATAGCGTTATTAGCTTTTTAAGAATTTTTTTAAAAGTTAAGTAAATTATGAATCGTAGTAATATGGCTGTACCGTACTTCCTTAAAATAATCAACAAAGCTTTATAAATTGTTGCCAACAACATGTGAAACATGAATACAATGGTTGCTTTCACATATGAAAAACCAGGGACAAAGAAATAAAGGGCAAAAGAAGTTGACAAGACAAAGAAACAGGTTACATTGCGTTTAGTAATCTGTTTCAATAAAAATGCACATGGTAGTTATACAATTACAAAAGGTGATAGAAGAAAATACATAACTGCCTTTGAAATGATAAGTTCCACTTTTTCCTCAGTCTTACTGTACAATTCATAGCCTCTAATACTATTATAACAATAGCCAACAGTATGCAATACCATTAAAGAATTTTCCTGTGGGTGGTGCTAGAGATTTTACAGATGCACACCACAAGTTAAGCATGTGTGTGGCAGGGTATTCAAATAATTAAACACTCCCATGTACGTTGTACATGTTTAAAAAGCATGCAGTGAAAATAAAAAGCTTGTAATCTTAATCCGTCTAACACTGTATATTTATAACATTTACTGATTTACAGATTCAAGTCATTCAAGTAAGATAGATCATCACATCATCATTTTTTATAAGTAAATTTATATACCTGAAGAAATAGTTCCCACAAAGTTTCTTCCTCGACACGATTGTCCAAGTTTGCAACAAAAACTGAACACTCTCCGTCTCTTGATCTACTGTTTTCCATATTTCAACGCTCAACTGCTCAAGCATTGAGTTCTATAAGACCTGGAGGGGAAACGTCAACCAAATTACTATAAATTATTAGCGCGCGGCCGCGTGGTCAAAAACATGGCGGATTTTGGTTGTCAAAGTCAGCGGAAAGACGCGGGCTCATAAAATAAAATTTTTTTCGCCCACCCGGATTTGACAACCACAATTGCGATTATATAAAATATCAATGCCAAGCACAAAAACTTTTAGAAATTTTATCTTTAAAACATGCTGCAAACTTGTTTGGTATACGGATGCTGAAGTAATGTCAGAAAAGGAAACATTTCATGACTACGGTAAGCAACGTAAGATTCTTTACTATTTAAAGTGTTCAGTGTTTTGTTTTAAGTCAATACTTGAAGTGTGATGGTATATATTTTGTGAATGTTTTACTCCTAAGTTATAATTTAAGTTATGTTTATCCAGTCTTATTTTTCTTTACTTAATCGCTTGCTAGACGAGGCAAAGCAACCAATTCTTATCGAGATATGCATATCTTAAAACTCCTTGTTTCAACTGAGTTTACCTTCAAGAAATGGAGGGTGTTTTCATGATATTTTCTGAAAATATGAAGCAAATATTAAGATCAGAGCTGTATTGAAATCAAATGCAGTGCAGGATTAATTAATGAGCTCTTTGGTACATGTCGTACGATAAAAAATACCTGTATTAAACAGCTAGCCTGGATAATTTGACAGATTATGGACAATTTTGATGATGGTGTGTAAAGGTTTGTTTTATGCTAAAAGTTTTATAAATTCCATCTGGTGTTTCTGTAAATGAATTGTTTGTTATAGTAAACAGGTTAGTACATCAAAATCAAGATAAAAACTACTTTGTGCAATAATGGGCCAAATTTTGCTCCTACCTTAAAATATTTGCTCAAGAAAAGGTTATGATGACATGCATGAAACATTAAATATAGTACTGCATCATCTGACAAAATCCATACATTTTTCAATTCCAGGTGATTAAAAATTCACATAAGATGCATCGGTTGCAATGAAGTTGAATGTGGAACGAGCAAAAATTGATGCCAAAGAACTTTTTATGTCTTGAAGAATTACGATATCATTTAAAAGAATAAGAGTAGCAATCTAGTAAAAGAAGCGACATCTGTCTTCAACATGAGACTTTTCAAATTATGTATAATTTCTTTGTACAAAATACTATTTTAGATAAACTTGATTTTTAAGTCATTCACTGATATTTTTATCAAAAGACGAAAACAAAAATTCGAAGGCATAATGTAAAATTCAAAAGTTTGTCAAGTTGTTTGAACCTAGAAAAAATTAGTACAGGTAACTGCAATTTGTAAGGACACAAGAGAAAAGTAGTGCAAGAAGGTTAGCATTTTTGAGAATTAATAAGTTCTTCTTGACATACATTACACAAGGCCATAATATTATAAATAATGACTGTACAATAACAATTATACAACATGCTAAATATCTTCACCTACATTATAATTATTTAAACAGATTTGCCTTCATGCAGCAATAAGAAAAGTGTTATGTCAGAGAAACCAATGCACTTTAATTTATGAAATTGTATTTTCAATGGGAAATTAATGTAGTTCTGTTCAGTAGTAGATCCATGGTTGTCAATGACAATCCAGTTTCTAATATCTTGGCTCAAAACAGAACCAGCAACATGATTATAGAATTTCTGAATTTCAATCTTTTGCTCTCCTAGTTCAAGATATTTTCTTCATAAGTTCTCAGTAGATTTATAAGAATATCATAATACCTTATAAGACACCCAGAATCAATCCTACCAAAAAAAAAACTCAAAAAATTACATACCTACTTATAATATATTTCCAGTCGACTTAAGTCGTAGGGGTAAGCTAACTTTTTCTAACTCCTTTTTGGACGTTTTAACTAAGATTTACCCATCTATTCAGGAAAGACAGTTGCACCAAGCTGTAAACAAACAGTCAAAAACACAAGTAATGCTAATGGATTATGCATTAAAGCTTAACAACACATTGACAGTGTAAAAAAATGCCGTTTGATATTTATTTCTAATATAGCTAAAGCATTACTTGACAAAATATACGTTATTTTACCTCATTTAAATGTGTGTGTCTATTTCACAAAAAACCTGAAGCATTATTTTCAATATTTTATGCTTACGGTATCGTGGTTGTTTTCGCTGGTTGTCATTAATATAAGCAGGAATAGAGATCCGGATTCGGGAGGGAGCGAATGTTAAAAATTTTTCTCAAAGTGGAAGTTTTGACAACCAAAATCCGCCATTACCGCCATGTTTTTGACCACGGGGTCCAGGCCCCTTTTCCCCTCCAGGTCTTATAGAGCTCAATGTGCTCAAGCCGTTAGCCGAGTAGAAATTCTATTTAGTAATTTCAGTACCAAAACTCTGTCAAGACGTTTATCGATCTATTAATCCTGTTTCTTCCATTTCACACGCTTTTAAGTTATGAAAATTCTATCAAATGAAGAAATTTTCACCATTTCTATAGGGTTATGTTATCGACAATTTAAATTTCTGCATTTTCTTCCATTTTCTTTCAACTAGTAATTACTTCATGTATGATTCATATAAGATTGAAAGCTCATATTATATAAAATGGTAGTTAACAGAATTTTAAGATATTAATTCAGAAAAAAACCCATCGAAGTACAGGGCATAGCTTTAAATACATGAAGATGATATTTAACATAATTCCAACTATATGGTAACGAATTCTACTGAGATGTTTAAACATACACGCTTGTGAATCATGAACAAAAAAAAGACAGGAGCTCATTGAACGACAGAAAATTACATACACTACAAAAATGATAAGCACACTTTAATTATAAAAACGTTACATTCAATCATTTTCGACAATAAAAAATTCTAGTTTCACAATTGCTTCAGCTAAACAATTAGATTTATGACCAGCACAAAACATTGTCCAAACATTGGTTATACATTCCAAAGAAGCAACCAATTCATAAAAGCAAGTCTATTTAACATTACCAGCCATAAAAAATCATAATCAAACGTACATGCAAATAGCATCATCTTAAAAATATATTTAAAAAAAAATCGCAATCAAATGGTTGCGAAACAATAGCTAAAACCAAGTTTTGTAAAGACCCGTGGGTTTTCAACGACATTTTTATTTTATTTCGTATTTTGAGCAATTCGATCTGGATGAATATGTGTGGTTAAATAACCCCAGTTGCTTCCAGACATTCTTCTCGTGTTAATAAATATCCATATCAAAAGCTACTCATTGTTTTCCTGTAAAACACTAGTGAAAAATATCAAGACTTTTTCACTCTTTCAACTTTTTCCTTTTTGACTTCCCTCGACATCTCCCTAAATCGTTTTGTTTTGACAAAATCTATTTCTGTGTAATCAGGATTTCCCTTTTTTGAATTGAATGACTGGTTCTTTTGTATTGGCGTCGAGGGTCCAGAACCAGATACTTTAATATAGTTCACGGAAGAGTTGCTTTGCTTGGCATCAACGTTAATATAATGCATATCTGATCGAGGACCAGCGACATTTTCATAAGAACGTGCATCGGGAAGTCGTGCAGCAACATTTTGATACGAATTTGCTGTTGACGACACGATGTGAGTATTTTCTCCTGATCCGGGCACATTCTGATAACCCGATGGTCCCCCAATCACCCTGTCCAAATTATGATAAACACTTTCTTCGCTATCATAGCGATCCCATACACCAGGCTGAAGTCGTGTTATATCTCTAACGTGAGGTTTTTCGGGAACGTTGACATACTGATTTAAAGATGGCTGACTTAAACTGGGAGTGATTTGTATGGTTAACATAGGACGTCTTACACGATTGCCACTCGTGTTTCTGCGTGCTTGAATGCCGGTGCCCTCAAGAGCTTTCCCTTCAGAGGATTCTGTCAATTCATTATTATGATTTCTCTCTTCATTTGCAGGTACGTCACAAGATCGTTGATCGGATTGTTTTGATTTCATGAATCCTTCGCGAATCATGTCGTCCGTGTTGAGGAATAACGCACTTCTACGTTGCCAAATGCTCATATCGTTGCCATTCTGGGTATTAGTATCAAGAAGAGATAGTTTCGTCGATTCATTCTTTTCACCTGCATCTTGTCCCTGACGCTCATCATCATGTTTGTTTCCGTTCAATGTCCTTATATCTCCTGGAGAAATTCTTCCATGGTTTTCCATATCACATGACAAAATTCCGTCAGATGGCGAAGGCGATATTCCAGAGGAGGATGATGCTACACTTTCATTTGATTTTCTTTTGTCCGCTGATTCAGGATTGGGATCATTCTTTGATCGCTTAACCGCATCATTATTTTTGAGGCTTCCTTCACCAAAATGAGCGACATCTTCCGCAGAGGCAACAGCGTTGTTGATCTTGATGTCTGTAGGACCTGTGTTCTCCTTCCATTTGGACGATTTTGGCCTTCTGCTCTTCCGACGTATGCTAAGCCTTTGCATAAAGCGCTTAAAACCAGATGGCTCACTCATTGATCGCGGTCGGGGTGCTCTTAGTGAATTTAGTTTTGTCGATTTTTGAATACCATCTATAATGAACAAGATAAAATGGTGGATTTTCTATGGATGCATGCGTGCGCGTGCATAGGAATACGTGTACAAGACAATAGAAATATTTACTCATAACTAATTATTGAGGTTTATGATAAAAAAATGATGAATGCATTGTGTACATATATAACATATGTGAAATGCAAAAAGAATCTATCACATTTTGCATGGAAACAACAACACGAAGCGATAGAATTCATATATCATTGCAGGGAATGTGTTTTAATAATGTACTTAAGAAGTCTGTGTTTTATACGTTATATTAACGCGTATTTATTGATATAACCTTAGATTTTTGGGTCACGAAAAGTTACGTAAAAACGTCAAGTTATCTTAAATTGATCGATTATAGAAGATGTCGAATAGCAGCGGTTAGGTAATCGTCATGGTTTACCGTTCACGATTTGTGCAAAAACAGAATACTTGCCATGATAATGGTAAAGTGAATGATCTTTTAGATCAATCAATGGACAATAATTTATCCACGAGTATCATTGATTTGAATGAGAATAAAAAACTTATGCAACACAAATTATAAATGTAAACATTGAAAATAGTAGAATAATATGGAAATATAATAAAGTTCTCAAATGTCTAAAGAACGGAGTAGTAAAAAGTCTTATAAATAATACTTTTTTTTATAAATGTATAAGTGATAAAAAACATAACAAGCAAGTTTGACTTTCTTGCAAATATACGAGGAAACGATGAACGAAAAGTTTTCTTTAGCTGCTGTTAAAACTGCATATAGTGATTATAAACGTGGATGTAAATCGTTAGATTGTATAAAGTCACATTATTTCAAGTTTTCCAAAGTTATCATTTTCACTTTGCATAACTATTTAGAAATTAATTGGCAAAATCTTCAGCATACAGTAAGATGTTTTTCGCTATACACGCAGTAAGATGTACGAAATCGAGCTTCTACTTATAAAGGCTCTTACTATTCGCATATAGCTCATATACGACAGTCACGTATCAAAATAATTAACAATAATGCAAAACTTACGCCAACAGGGAATGTTGATGAATCAAACAGTTCAAAGACCATGATAAAATTTCCACAAATTATGTAGCTGTAGTAGACATTGCGACGAGTAAATTCAAGTTTTGAAGTCGAAGAAAATTGCATTAAATCACTGTTAAAATGTTGTATTTATATCCCAATATTCATATTTCAACATTTATGACGTTTGCATACGCATATTCCATGTGAAGCTGTCTTTCCACCCACAGAATATTGTATATTTTTAGCTAAGCCAACATATTAAATAGGGCTCTTCTTAGACTCCTTACGTCATCAATGAGTGATGTAATGGCAAAGTTGCAGTATAAAAATACACTGTTATTAAGAAAATTTACCGGAATTCTGTGTTGCAGTGGCTTTGCATAAATGATTATTTCAAAATTATACATGTGACGTTTGATCGCGGACACGGCAAAATGATATACTTACAGGATTTACAGCCAATTAAAATATCATAAAATATGTTTAGAATAACCCACGCTTTGCTAGCTTGCACTTAGCAATAGCATGTGAGTTTTAAAGAATTTATTACTTTTTCATTTAGGGAGGAGGTTGAGGCTGAGGGCGCAAGGCGATCGGGAGGCAAATTACGCAAATTATTGTCCCCCCCCTCGCAGGAAAACAGTTGTTACGGGCCTGTAAAAAAAATTCAAACACGCAGTCTATTTCCTGCGACATAAGTAATATATATATTAATTACATCACGTTAGTTAAACGGTTGGAGTCGGGGGTAATGGAGGTGTAATGGGGGTGTAATGTGTAATATTGGGATCAAAAGTTGTTTTCAACAACGACATTTTCACAGTTATAAATTGAGGATAAATATGAAAATCGATCTTACGAAAAATGGGGAGAAAAAAAAAAATTTTAATATTATTCTTCGCTACTTTAAAATAAATATCATGAATTTTATATTATGAATATTTGCGATTACGTAATCGCACTGTTAAAAATCCTCGATAATCAGTTTTGTACATTGAAGTCTTTTAATACATTTCATTTGTCAAACTTATTTGACTGTAAACTATCCCGTCATCAACGATAGCAAAACAACAGTCGCACTTTGTACTACTGGAAGTATGTTTTTTTGTCGACTTTATGTTACAATTAAAAAAACTTAAGCTACAAATTTTCAGAGTCAAATGACGACTTGGACGGTCAATTTTATTGTTTTCTATTTTTTGACGCTTTAAGAAACTATACCAAACTCTATAATTAATTACCCGCTTCTGATCATGCGTAATTTATGACTGTTCAATTGTCCCATTTGACTATATCGTTTATTGCAAGCTTTCCACGCGAAATTCAAATGCGGGCTCATGTTGCATAGCGGTCACCTAACATTCGTATGCGAAACCCAAAAACAGCGACGATACTAACAATAACTCAAAATGCTTATAGTTGTCAATAAAAATAGTTACGTACTAAGTTAACGTGGGTAGCTGTTAAACATTATTCCTACGCATTTAAGCCAAACTAAACAGCTATAAATGAAGACTAGAACATATTTTAAAATTACATTTAAAGAATTAATTAACACGTGTGTTTTTTTTCTTCGTGCAATGGGAAGAACATTTTCTCTTTTGAGAAAAATTACAAAGCCATAAACTTTTAAAATCAATCATCCATTCAAGACATTCACTCTGGGGTATATCATTCACACAATATACACCCCAAGGCACGAGATGTCAACCCGTCATTACGTCATTATATGAATTTTTTTCCGAGGTACGAGATGTTAATCCAACATACGTATATTACACGACATTTATTCCGAGGTGCGAGATGTAAACCCAACATTACGTCATTACACGACATTTATTCCGAGGTGCGAGATGTTAACCCAACATTACGTCATTACACGACACTTATTCCGAGGTGCGAGATGCTAACCCCTCATTACATGACATAGAGAAATGTCTCTGCAAGGTTTTTATGATAAGAACTAAAAGTTGTGCTTCAAAAATGATAAAAATCACTTTCTATTATGAATTATAAAAATGAAAGTTAAAAAAATTGGAATTAACAGAAAACAAGAACGTTTACATTCATCATATATTGCTTCAGGTTTTCATCAAATGTTCCAATATTGATTTCAAAATAAGTAAACTGAAATTGTGCTAAAGTCGAATTAATTTGATGTTCCAATAATGATTTCAAAATAAGTAAACTGAAATTTTGGTCAAGTCGAATTAATTTGATAAAATAGCATGAATTGATGGCATAAATACTTTAGTTCTATTTCAATTTTCAAACCAAAATCTCACCAGAACATCCTGATGATGATTTAGAAAATTGAAATAAAACCACCATATCACTGTGTCAGTTGTGCCCTGATTATAACTTGAATTTGAGTTAACACAATGTATTTCTTCAGATTGTGTTCTAGCATATAAGGCAAATCTTTTGCAAACTTTTGTTAATAAACTAACACATAAACATTAATAAATAAGCAACACTCACCAGCACTTCCATACATGTTATGGGCTGTTTTGTAAACTGTATCAAAGGTGCTATTGATTTGCTTCTCTGATGATGTAACAAGCAAAAAGGACTCTGGCTCAGAATGGTCTTCTGAAACATTTTCAACACGAAAAACAAATCCACCATCAACTGGCCCATAGTTAAACAACTGTTCAAATTGCCAACGACCAATACATCGAGAGTTTTTTTTCCGAATTAATGTAAAAAAGTTTGGGTAGATGTGAAGAGAAACTTCCCCTGATTTCATTGACTGTCTACTCGGAAGAATTCCATTGTATGTCACAACTGAAATAAAAAAAATTGGGAAAAAAAATTTATAGCAGTTTACGCTAAACCAGGATCCATCACATTTTAAAAGAAATAGAGTATTTCTGATTAAAAATTTATTTTCTGCAAGCTTTGTACTGTTGGTATAAGCCCACAACTTGAAGACTGCATAAGTTAACTCAAAATCTAGTAAAAAATAAATATTTTAGCCAAAGATTGTCCAAAGCTAAAGGAGATTATGCATACCATACCTTGTCCAAAGCCACCTTCCTTAATAAGAGTGTCTTCCCAATAATCTCTATCTTCTTTTTTCTCAAATCTCAAGGATAATGCTCGAGCTTCAGTAATAATAACTATTTTAGGCAACCTGTTGTCTTTATCAACACATTCTGTGTAGCAAAAATCACGAAGGGAAAGCAGGAACTTCTCTTGTTGCTTTCCAATTGCACTCAAACGGTCCTTATATATGTAAAGATTAATGCGATCTGAAATTTAAATGACTTTTCATGTCAGCATACATACAATTTTTTGGGTTGCACCTAATAATTCATGGTTGAGAGGATATGTTAAGCTAATTTAGAAATAATATCAGTTACTGATGAGTATGAACACTCAACTGTGTATGGAATTGTGTTCCTAGCTAATTTATAAAAATACAAACACAACAAGAACAAATTTCGCTTCATCTTGGTACTACCAGATCATTGTATGAAAATATTAGGAATTAAATCCAATCAGGCAATACAAAATATTCCGCCATTAGCAATATAAAATTAAGTATCGATACTTATAAAAATATGTTTACGTAATATAAACGATATTAAATGATGTAAATAGGAAAGCACGATGTTAAATTATGACGAAAAAATGGTTCGACAGGTTTTGCCTGACACTTGACGTCTTGCGTTGATGAAGGCAACGAAAGATTTTATAATAACCGATAACGATATAATGGAATAGAAAAACTTTGTAAACAGGACTAAAAATTAAGAAAACTTTCCTTTCTGGTGTTCTCTAATGAAAGGCTTAATGAAATGTTGTCGTAATTTTATTGATTATTGACCTAACAGTAAATAAATACAAAAGTAGCAGTACCACAGCAGCGAAAACCCTTTCTTCACAGATTTCACCAAAACTAAGGATGGGATAGAGTTTAATTGTCGCAAAGTGCGGAAGCACTAGATTTGCAAGTGCATTATTACACTGCAACTTCATCAAAGAAGAAACTGCATTATTAGCCGTGATTTTCGGATAAAGTCCCAACAACAAGAAGCAAAATTTCGTAGTATTTTCAATCCCTCATAACATCGAGAAAACGCACATTTATCTTATAATACACGTACCTGAACCAGGATTAACTCGCCGTAAAACTACCCAGCGGCTTTTCCACTGCAATAATCATCAAGGTTACAAAAAGATTAATGAATACATACTTCTTGATAAAATGTAAGCAAAGATACAATCTCACGTACCTTCCTCTTGACTTTAACAAGGAGATTGCATTGAATAATATCCATAACTATCAAATATAATGATAGAACACATATAAATCCAGTTGTGAAAATTCATACGACGGCGTTTCCTTTACTTTTATCATCGAAATTATTCGACGGTCCCTAGTGTTCATCAAAGATAGAGAATTGGCAACTGCGACTTGCGGAAGTATAAAGCCAAAGTGCACTGTGGGATACATTACAGTTGACAAATCTTTCCTAATTTCACATTCCTCCAGCATTGGATTGGACGCATTGACTGCACCCAATGTTTGGTCTACGTGCTGACAACGGTCACATATCTAAATGACTAAGTACTTAAGTAAAAAATTTGTTAATTTGGAATTATTGGCATGTAGTTTATTACATTTCTTTCATACTCTATTCTTGATGGCGGCAGCTGTCAAGTGTCAACAAATTTTATACAGAATATAATTTGAGAGTGCATCCGGGCTATTCCTACTAAACTGATATTCTTTAAGTTGGCCAATCTGTTTGGGTTCTCATTTAAGGAGATTTTGGTCTTTTCAGTGAGGTTAGCCCGTTGGGAAAACCCTTCTGTGGTTTTCTACTGGTTGGAACTGGCAAAATCGTTGTATTTACCTCAAAGCGCGCATGATTCAATGCTCGATATATAAGTCCTATTGTTCAATGACAAATTGTTGTTGCGGGGTAGTGTTATACATTACAGTGTCATAGTGTACTGCACAAGACCTGGATTTAGTACTGTGTTTTATCTAACATTTATAAGAAATTGGAAGTTAGGGAGATAGATAGCAATTGCGTGCAATTGACGTATGCATGACGTAAGCAATTAATTGGTATGACAGTTTAATTCCGGGCTTCCAGCAATTGGCGACTATCAACATTCAGGTTGCTTGTTTGAGAAAGTGGGAGCTTTGTTGTCTGTACAGTGTCACGTGAAAGACTTGAGAAATTTCTTTTATTTTTCTTGTGCATTGAATCATTTCTTATTTTCTAATAAGGTTGATAGGAGTCTAAGTTGGCAGTTTTGGAAAAATATTTCTTACCAAATGAGAAATTCCCTGTTTTTATCTTCTACATAAAATAATTTCTAACACAACTATTTGTAACATATGTAGAATTAACTGCATATATTCATATTATGCTGAAATAATATACAAGTAAAGGTAGAAAAATCTATGATACCATCAACCATACTATTTGATATAAATTACCAACTATCATGGATAATACTTCATGTTTATATTCATGTAAGACAAAGAGTAAATTTCTAATTATGACACAAATTTTAAATTTTATCAATATCCTTGGTAAGATCATATCCTTGTGTGTGATCAGTTACTTGGATTTTTAATCAGATAGCAATGAGCAACATAAGCACATTGCACATGCTCCAGCCAACAAAGCCAGACAAGTATCATCATCACTTTGTTTTTTTCGTCTGTCCTCATAGACATACACAGTTTGTGGTTGTTGTCCAGGTGGGTACTGAGCAGATGTTCCATATGGACCAGGTCCAGGATTTCCGTATGGACCAGGTGGAGGATTTCCATAGGGAGCTTGACCATGAGGTGGTGGTGGGGCATAACCTTGTTGAGGATATGGTGCTGGGCCTCCACTATATGGTGGGGGTGGTGCTCCTTGCTGATATTGGTCAAAAGCAATATTGCCTTGTGGTGGTGGATAAGGTGCTTGATTTGGATTATATGGAGGTTGGCTCATTTTAAATTGTATACACTGAAAATGGGTATGAAAAACAAAGACAATTACAATAAAAGTATTTTTCATCTATTTGCTTCCAGGCAACATGATACTTCATAATCCCTTGGAATTTATCTAACAGTTAATACTAACAGTTAATATTAGTTGTCACTATCATATGTAGAATGTAGCAGCAACTCAAATGGCAATTCATTCCTTACTATTTCCCTATTTGAAAGTACATTTTGGCAAGTTTTATTAAGAGGATTTAGAAACATGGAGCCTATATAAAACTGTTTACAAAGCGAGTCAGCCTACATACGAAAATACATTATAAAAAGTAAGCATGAAAACACGATTCATCTAAATAAAAGTATACATATAAAATAGTCATGGTATTCAAAGGTATTACATTTGAAGGATCTGTGAATAATCACACCATCTAACATATTTTGCACTTTGTTTCATAAGAAACAGTGATAGTTTGTACATAATTGTTCATTTTCTAGGTATACAATGTTTATTACGTTGATAGACATGCTGGTCAACAGCAAAATTCACCAAAAGTTAATTTCAACTTTTGGCTTGAATGACGTCTTGCATGTTTGGTCGATAATAAGAATGAATTTAATATTGAACATATCATTTTGGAGATAATGACGAAATAAAATCATTCGTGTCTCGAGACGTGAAATAAACCTAAAATATACGTAGCAATTTAATGTTCTTTATTATCATCCATTACGCAGCGAAAATTGAAAACTGAAAGCTGCAAGCCATTGCAAAATTTGCATAGAGGTGACTAAATACATATTTTACACTGCCGATGAATAAAAATGCTTCCCAAATATAGACGCCAATCTTTTTTAAGAATTGATTTTAAGACGATAAGTTGCCCGATTGCACCTTATGATATACAAAACGTACGTATTTTCACAAAAACAATTCAAACTGAATCGAGAACTTTTTTGAAGACTTACCTCGTTCAATGTTCAACTTGAATATCCTTAATTGTCAACTCAGTAAAATAATCAAAATCACAGCATAAAATTAAGAAAGAAACAAACTTTGTAGAACATAAATGCGGTTTTTAATTTGAGATAGATTCGTATTAAATGCCTCCCACTTTCACAAATAGACGCCTAAGTTTTTATTATTCCACTAGACACTTTATGCGCAATATTTACATAAATGCACTGGGTCGAGGCTGTGATTGGTGGAACTACACGTTTTGTGACTTTTGTCGGCGAACGACATGAACACGCCAACACGGAAGAAAATATGAGTATTTTTTTGTGTGCGATCATGCAGTTTTTCGTCAGAAAGTTTGGTTGCAATATATTTTTGATTCGTTTGGGTGGATGTTGCCATACTACCCAGACTACACTCGGGCTCTGCAGTCCTTTTGTTGATCGAAATTGCATGGCAACAGATAAACCTGTCCAAACTGCTAATGGATAATGTTATAATTCTTTCAAGTGTTGATGTGTTGAACGTGGGCGTTCCATAAGTTAACCACTAACTGTCTATTTTAAAAATGATTTTTGAGAAAGATTTGTTCTTGATTCTTTCACCCATTTTTTGATTTGTTTTATTTTCACTCCTCAAAAATTACAATTGGCCTCCGCATTCCTTGTTTTTAACAAGACCGTCAAAACTCGAAAAATCGACAACTAAGGGCTCATATAGTCATACATGTCTTAATTTGCAATTTAATTCGGAATATTATGCATGAATGAATATAAGCCTTTCAAAAAAACAAGATTTCTTCAATTTCCTTTAAATTTTCTTTTACTGTTTTCACAGCAACGTCAAACAAACTCATTAAAAAACAAAACATCAGAAGTTCACTTAAAAAAGCATTATGGATATGATTAGCGAGTAATGAACTAAAGTAAAGCTATAAATGACTTGCCTTGTTTACGTTTGCTGGCTGGTTGATTAAACCCTAGAGAGGTTGACCATTGTTGCTAGTGTAAGTCATGAGCACTCGACTTGCCAGCAAAACGTAAACAAGTCAAGTCATCTATACGCAATCCATATTAATTAGCCATTATGTTGTTAGTAAGTGTTCTGGAGCCTAGTATGAAATGCCAGCCCACACAAATGCTGACATAATGACAAATCTATCCTCATCTGACGGGAGATTTTCCAATTTGAACGAAGTTATAAGTATGTTGCACTCTTACTCATGAAATTATAGTATATGCCATTATAAAATTTATCTGGGGGTGCATGAAAATAATGGTGGTTGTGTATAATACCAAAATTTCAGCAGCATATGTAGAATAGTAATAGAGATGGATTGGATAGATTCATCAACTATGAAAAATTGCAAAATGATTTGAGAGAAGAGCAGCATGGGAGGCAAATTTTAGTTAGTGATATATTTTTAGTCATTGTATTTCAATGAAAATCATATGACATATTTTTTAAATTGTTTAATTGATAAAAAAATTTCGGGGTAAATAAAAACTTTACTTCCTATAAATAGGCATAAACACCAATGACACTCAACATCAACAATGCCTGGTTTTTGTAGGAAGCAATAGATTGTATTTAAGATGTAATTTCTTTTTTGCTCTGTAAATGCACGACAAAGACCTAGGCATAAAGCAATGTGTGTTCATTGAATTTTCATAATTCATCCCATGACCCATCAGTATCAATAGATACACAATTGTAAGCTGCATAACGTAATTTTTCTTCTGCTACTAGATATGAAGAGTAACTAGGCAAGAACAAAGTGCTTGAGCATGTGGCAGCTTCAGGCAAAGAGTCAATGGGCGTTGTTGACTTAGCAGCACACAATGTCATATGAGCAGGTAATCTGCGTCTTCCAGTGACAAATCTAAGAAAACGACTTCTGTCTTCATTGCTAAAATTCTCCATAGCTTTCCAAAAATATTTCACTCGATCATCTGATTGAAGAACATCTTCAAAGTGAGTTGTCTTGCGAAGATCTCTAACATCCACCTTTGGATTGCCACATACTTTCAATTCTAGTTCTTGCCAAGTCAGTAAGTCCAGCAAGGCAACCGGGACAACTTTTGTCAATCCATGACGAATGGCATTTATTTGCTCATCACACTCACACATTCTTGCAACTTCTAGCAACTCAGCATATTCAATTCGATCTTCAAACCTCACTACTTTTTCCTCCCCATTACAAACTAATGGAACAATTTTACCATCACTTAATACAGCTGTATAAGTGAGTACATCAGCAAACTTTTCGGAAAATTTCTCCTTATCCATTTCTTTGATTGACTGAACCAACTTTACCAGAGCTGCATCAACAGTAACAAAATCTTCTAACCAAGAAACTTTTTCACTAAGTATTTTTTTCCATACATATTTTGGAAAAGATAAAAGAAAATTTTCTCTACCACGCAGGTGACCACCCATTAACATTCCAAGCCATTTATAATGTTCAAATAATTGACAAGAAGGGTTGGGAATGTAACCATCACGATACACATTTGACGAATCATAAAGCTGGTTTGGACTACGAATAAAAAATGGCAATGGTAGTAAAGAATCTGGAGAGCTAGGGCATAATTCTTCAGCAAGATCACACAATGAATCTCGAAAACCACCACCTTGATCAATAATTCCTTCAGATATAAACTTGCATTCCCACCACTGGTCACACCGATTTGACCATCGAAAATCTAACGTAACTCCACACTTTTCAGGACTTAACGCTTCATACAACTGGAAAAACATTGATTGTTTAGCACTTGGGTCAAGAGCAGGATTTTCCCGATGCTCCGCTGCAATATGACGATTTAAAACAACCTGAGGAATACTTGTAAGTGTCAAGCATGACTGTGAATCAATGATAAGCTGTTCAATTAATGAGGTTCGACGACTTGACAATGGCAGCAATTGCCTTATTGCAGCAAGACTAGAATATGATCCAACTGTAAATTGCCAAATTGGAAATATAAAAGAAACAATACTATCAAATAGAGCAAAAAAACGTAATAAACTTTTGGCTCTATTATAGAGGCTTTCTGAATTTACGTGTTCCAATTTAGGATAATTAGTAATCTTGGAAGAATTCTTAAAAATGTCTGCATTAAGACCTGGCTCTTTCTCATTTGTAGACATAATCTTGATTCCATGAATACGCGTATCAATACCATCATCTTTACAATCTTTAATCCATATCTGAAGAATAGGATAATGTTGGCTTGCATCTTCTAACAATAAAACATCACCATTTTTACTACTTTCCACATGGACTTCATTTAGTAAGTTCATATTGTCCGTTTCTCCTCCATGAACTTGAAGTCGACTAGGCATGTAGTTGTCATCATGGCTGTTAACCCAAACAAATAATTGCTTGACAACTGTCCCAGGCTTCATCTTCAAACGAATCCAATGCTGACCTTGAGATCCATCGGATTCCCAATATGTCTCAACATCTCCATCAGTCAGTGCTGACACATAATGACTTTGTGAAGAGACTTCAATTGATTCAACATACTGACTTAGGGTGCCTAATGCTTCCTCTTTTTGAATGTTAACATTTTCACAAATAAAACGCCCTAGTTCTTCGTCCAATTCCAAGCTCCAGTTTGGAGGAGGAATTTTCAACTTCTTCATTGCCTCTAAATCGGCCTGTCTTTGCAAAGTTTTCTTATTAAGTGAAATTTTCAAGGAGTAAGAGTTATCAATTACATCTTCCCACCTACTAGGAAAAAATTTTTTTGCAGTGTGAGCTGGTACAACGTCAACAACGTTTTTGGTCTTGTTGTCACGAGGTCGAATTAAAATCCATCCAGAAGAGTAAGTGCTTTCGCCAATAAATTTTAACAAACTTTCCGGGAGAAGTCTTAACCAATGACCCTCGTCACTCCAATATTCCTCGCCACTAGCAGAGAATTTCGAGCTCAACTTGTAAGGTATTTCTCCAATTTCGGCAGAAGAAGTTGTCGGTAAGTCTCGAATCACAACGGAAGTTGACCTTTCACTTCGAAATTTATACTCCACAGCATTGGGTACAAAACACAAAGCGTCTGGAAACTCTTTACCTTCACGTAAAGATTCAACACATTCAAAAACGCATCTTATTCGTGCTAGTCTCTTCCTTGCATTGTCCTTAGTCATTGTAAATAACAAACAAATTCGGAAAGGCACATCTTTTTACCTTTGCTTTTTACACACAAAAGATGAAGATGAAAGAAACCCGCCTCCCTTTCCGAGAAGACCACGAACACGAAGGACAGCCCTCTCACTTTTTCAAAGTAATACTTCATTTATAAAGCGCGAAGTGTAACAATGTGTTGAAATGGCTGGCCTGAGTGCTTACAGGGACCAACGTTGGAAGGTATAATATTTTTCTTGTTCCACCCATGATGCGAAACAAAACAAAAATAGTTTCACAGGACAGAAATTTAATATTCATTTTCAAAACTTTCGTTTATCAGCACACGTCGAATTTAAATTGCACTTTACAGGGATCAAGGGATGAGCTAGAAGCAAAGCTGGAAAAATCTTGCACGCTCTATGTCGGTAATTTGGCATTTTACACGACAGAAGAACAAATTTACGAACTTTTTTCTAAAGCAGGGGAAGTAAAACAAGTCATCATGGGTCTTGACCGCATTAAAAAAACTCCATGTGGCTTTTGCTTTGTTGAGTATCAACCACCATTATTTTCCCTTGTTGAGTAGGGTAACTTTGTATATGAAGGACATTGCATCCTCTTAAATATTATTTCAAATTTGATTATTGGTTATAACGATGTTTGCTCACCTGCATAAGACTACATCAAAATAAACAAGAAGTGATAGTGAAATATACAACAATGCATGTGTAAGTTAGAAGTCTGCATGTTCCTTAACTTATCAGATATTATGAACGTGAAGATGCTGAAAGTGCAACAAGATACATCAATGGAACCAGACTGGATGATAGAATCGTAAGGACAGATTGGGATGTTGGGTTTGAAGAAGGCAGGCAATATGGAAGAGGAAAATCCGGAGGACAGGTCACTACATTATCTAAAATTTTGCTGTACTTATTCCTCTATTTTTATCTTTATAAATAACAATTTTACCATTCAGTTAAGAATAAATGGAGCCTAACATATTTTAAATTTTTTATTATAAGATTCGTGATGACTACAGAACCAGTTATGATCCTGGTAGAGGTGGTGTTGGCAAACAAAATATACTGGATGGAAATCTTGCAAAAACTCCATCTCAAAGTAGACCACTATGATAAATTTTATTTTTATAGATACAACTCTCCCCAAAACACTGTGAATGAATATAAATGGTAAAAATTGGCTTTAACTTTATCAACATTTAATTTTTAATCCAACCAAAAATATACAAGAGGTTCCATTGTATACATATTATGTTAGATCTACTAAGAAATATTCCCGTCTTGAATTTATCATATATTTATGTGATGACAGATAAGCATTTCATACATCTTAATTTACAACTGCTTTCTAGCACATGTAATGTACAGTATAATAAACAGCCACAATATTTGTCATTTTTCAACTGCTGACTGATCATTCTGCTGTAAAAAATTGTTTTCTCACTATGTAACGGATGCACTGCAATATCATGTTTCTTTCGCGTTTTATATCCTGAGCTAGCAACTGAATGGAAAAGCAAAAAAGTTTTCATCTGAGTATATATGCATATTGATTGTGACTTGAATAAAAGAGTTTCATGAAAGCACATGGAGTTATTTGCAGTATTGTGAAAGATAAAGAATGCTTTTGGACCGTTTATTATGTAATATTTGATCAATCTTTGATCCAAACTCACCATTTCTAACAGTGATGGTCTTGAGTATTTCCTGTTGGTTGGGTTCTAAAAAAACAATTATCATGAGCTACAATTTCTTTAGCAACTGTGTGACAGGGACTGGGATGCTGGATGCAGGGAACCCCAACTTTTTTGATGGGTAAGCAATGAGAGAAAGTCAATGTCCCCACATATGATATATAGAGTATGGTCTCATGTTATTTTGGGCCCCCACTTGTCCCTGTGTGAGTAATTAACACGAGCAAAACATATAAAGATGCTTAATTCACTTCACCTTACTCTTCACCAATAATGAATATGGTTTCATCAAAATTAATCTCAACATAGATCACTTGTACTGATGTCAATGATAATTTATATAAATAGTACTCATTATCCTCCAATGAGTTTGTTCTTATCCTCCACATGAATGTCAAAACAGGGCAAGTTGTCCTTTTTATTCATGTTAACAGGTAAAAAAGGACAATTTCAAAGTAAGAGAAAGACTAATTTGTTTGGTTTCATGTTAACATAGCCACAGTGTGGATTTTTTTAGATAGGTAGGCAAAGTTTCCAAGATGATAAGGTATTTTTGTAGCCTGTTTATGAATTTTTTCCATTTTTATGTGTTGTAAAATTTAAACGAGAAATGGGTTTACATACGGATATTGCAATTAGGTTGTTTACAAAATGTACACCACTGCCATTACAGATGGTAGATTTTTTGCACTTTACCTGCTTATGTTCTGATTTTCCTTGATTTTTCTCTTTCTTTCTCTGACCATTTGCTTGCAATTTTCCCATCTTGTTACCCTGTTGCACACAAGACGGGGATCCAGAACATCCTGAGACAGTCACACTTCTTGTTGCTGTTTCTGTAGATTTCTCATGTTCTTAAAGATATTCAAAACAACAAAAATAAAATATGTTTTCAGAAAAACTTGCATTTGGAAAAATTTTTGGGGTTAGCAAGTTACTAATTCCTCAAATTCGTAAAACAAATCTGTGATGTTACACCACAGTCACATGACCCGATTTGTTGGATCTCGCATCCTTATGAATGTGAACACATATAAAGTGAGCCCCAGACAGTCAGATCCATCAATCTCGCGAGAAATTAGACTTGAAAAAGGCTTGAAAACATGAACAAAAATATGCAAACTATACCATAAATTTACTGGATAACACAAATGGCTGCTCTCGAGACTAAAATTTTTAAACAAATATATACGAGGGAAAATTCATTTTACGAGGGAAAATTTCATTTTACCTTTTCTTAATTCTGTTATAGTATCATTTTCACCGTCACTCGAGCTTGCATAGTCCGTAGCAAGGTTCAATAATGTGTTCTTAGTTTCTGCATTTACAGCTTTGCCTGTAAATATTTAAAGCACAATGCTTCATTATGTATGTGTGTGAACAAAAATTGTCAGGAGACGTTAAGTCGTGCGGCAATTTAATGAAAAAGTCAGATCCATACCTTCGGCGGGAAATTTTTCATTGCTTGAAATGCGATCGAGACATGTATCTGACGGCTGAAGTGTTTCATTTTGTACTACCAAATTTTTGTTTCTACCAAAACAACCTCTTTGAAACTTCCATTTTTGCTTACCTTTGTATCTTGTAAAAAAAGAACAGCGGGAAACATAATTAGAAGCGAGCGACAAAATTACGAGATCATTATTTTACTCTGATATTGCTCAAAATTTCATATCAGCTAAGAATATCGAACATAAAAATTTCTTGTTCTAAAGTTATTGCTTAAAAAATTATTATATGTGTTTTCACGCAATTAAATCAACCTGAATTCTTTGATTGGAACTGTTTGACCTCTTTCCAATTTTTGTCGTTTCTCAGCCTCTTTTTTAATCAAATTTGAAGACGTCGGGTAATTTCTAAGTAGAAAAAAGCACCTGCTTATAAGTTATAACAAAAAATTTGAACTCGTTCTTAGAGATATTTACAACATAAAAATCACTCACGGCGTCAATGGAAAGCTGTTCTCTCAATACTCTTTCCGCAAGATAATTTTTTTGCTTTTAACAAAAATGGGCGAAGTGAGACTACCAAATTCAGTAAGTTCAAAGCTTACCCCCCCCCTCTCCCCAAGTTCAATTGCATGACGCAGTGCCAGCAAAAGGCATTTGCTGGTAGTTCTCCTTCAACTAAAAACGTTTCGTAAAGACTTTAAAATACAGTGAGAAACCTTTTTCTTTCTTCCCGCCATTTTGCAATTTCCTCTGGCGAGTCTAAAGTTATTTTCATTCTTCCTTCTCTGTGACACTAAAAAATCCCAAAATGTTGGTTATGGAACAATTAATTATAAAAATATGTTTGATGATTGGTGAATTTACTGGTACTTTATTTGACAACTAAAACTGCTGAGATTGCCTATACAGCCTTCTATAACAATTAGCCCAAAGTTAACAGAGCATTGCTAAGATAAATGATATTACTTGTTACAAGTGGTGCATTATGCAGCGTGGACGTCAAGAGCAGATGCATGATTTTATTTTGGGAGGGCTTAATTGTTTGGAAATGTCATAATAGCAATGACAATTTCATCAAATCACTACAGAGTTTTCTAAGCCAAGGAAGGGGTGCGCACCTATTGCACCTCCTCTAGCTCAACCCCAGGATGATGTGGGGTAAAATGGCATATATGCATATGTATGGATAAGTTGTGCCATTTTATGAAGTCTTATGATCAGTAATGAAGACTGGAGGGCCAAACTGTTTGAAAGAAAAATTATTTTAAGCAAAACAATGCTCATTTTCATTATTAAAACAGAGCAATCAAATTATGCAACATTAATTATAAGAAGAAAAACACAAAATTTGCAAAAGTATGTCTTTATACATGAAAAAAAGGAATTTAAGCTTTGAACAGTAGCAAATGTGAAAAACATTCCCACATACCTTTATCTCATGTAATTTCATCATTTTCTTTGAAGCAGTGAAAGAGCAATTGGGATAACTACACTAAAAGTCATGATAAGTACTAAGATACATTTAAAATAGTAAAAACTCTCGATAAATTCACAAACTATAACACGATGTCCGGCATGAGCACTAAGTGACCAAGGCTATTTGGATCATGAAAAGACTTTTTACAAGGATCACAGGGGAGTTTTTGTAAAAAACTGATGTAAAAGCACTGCCCTTTCTACATTGAAAACAATTACGACTTTCTGTTTTAAGACTTCAAATTCAGCATACATGTGAAACATACAAATGTAACTACTCCAAGAAAACAATAAAGACATTGTGGATTGGGCATAATAAAGGGTATGGGTATGGTCCTTATGGATACCATGGCTTTCATAAAAATTTTAACAATAAGTCATACCAGATTTTTTGATAAAACACTCTGCTTATGCTGCTTATCATCACAGTTTTCATCCAAATATTGCTGAACAGCAACCTGTGACGAATGCCCTTTCAAAAATTGCAGTCTTGGTACAGCTGGTGTTACATAACATGAATAATTGATTTGAGGTAGAGGAAATAAATGTCTTATGCCCATCTGATTACAACCATTCGGATCATATGGTGAAAAACCCGAACTTGGTCCGTAAGAAGGTATAGACAAGAACGGTGATGCGGAATGACGATTCATGGCAGTAAATGAGATCGATACTTTCTTTCAAACGAGACTATGCAGTCTATGCTCAAGTAACAAAAATTAATCATAAACAACCACGATCGTGGTGTTGCCGTGTTGTTGTTACCAGTACCCACAAGATATATTCCTAATCTTCATAATCCCTATGCCTACAAAAACTACCACCATTCCAGACATTGACCACGTGTGTGACACTAAGTGAGCCCGCGATTTTGAGGAACACCAAAATATTGAGTCTGACTTTGACATTTTGTATTGTCAATATTATGTCGCATATATTGTCGTAGTAAGTAGTACTCCTGTACATTACATTGAAAGGTTAAAAAAACTCTCAACTGCAAATAACAGTCAAACAGCTAATCTGCTACTTAATGGTGAAAAAATTACGTTAACTGTGTATACTCTTAGCAAGACCTACGTGATGAAATCTTCCAAGTCTTCCACATGGGTGAATAAAACTTAATTAGAATGTAGGCTAGCGCTTTAATTTATCAGAGAAAATGACTATAACACGATTTCTATCACATATTGGAATTCGTCATCCGTCAAAAAAGATTATTTCTTATCTGGTTGCTGTCACATTCATGTTTTACATTGGACTTTATCCATTGATGTCTACCATTACAGAAAAACGTCGTTCATTATCAATAGTGAATGCCGCTGAAGAGAATCACAAAATATTTTTCAAAAGAAAGAAAGTCACAGCATTTTTATTTGTTTTAGTTTTGACTGGACCAAAAAATTTTGATCGTAGGAATGCCATGCGGTCAACTTGGTTAAACCTGACAGAACTACCATCTATTGGTAGGAAATTTGTCATTGGTACAGCAGACTTAAGCAGTGATGCAGAAATAAAACTAAATGAAGAACAAAGTCAACATAATGACCTGGTGTATCTACCAAATTTGAAAGACGACTACAGTAAACTTACTTTAAAGTTACTATATGCTCTGACTTGGATGAATGAGAATATTGAATACTCCTTCCTATTAAAAGTTGATGATGATACTTTTGCAAGATTAGACATTATCTTGCAAGAACTCAATACAAAATATTTTGGGCTTCATAATCTCTATTGGGGTTTTCATCGTGGGGATGCAAGAGTGAAATATGCCGGGCGATGGGCAGAACTTAAATGGAAATTATGTGATCGATATTTGCCATATGCACTAGGTGGTGGTTACATTTTGTCCATGAAGCTTGTGCAGTTTATTGCTAATACCTCATCAATGCTAGAACTATATAACAGTGAAGATGTTTCATTAGGTGTGTTCATATGTTTCATTGCTTTACTTCTTGTAAAAATTGTTGCAAATGGCCTAAATATATAACAGTTTATAGCAGAAACTTTTTTACTAACATCAAAAGGGGTTGTCAGGCCTGCACCTTTGCCTTTGAGCATAGCTCATATATATATATATAATTTGATGAAAATAGAAATGCGCATTTCTTTTTTAGGAGCTTGGCTCAGTCCACTAAAACTGACAAGGGTTCATGATGTGAGATTTGACACAGAATGGAAGACACGTGGTTGTAGAAATGTTCACATTATCAGTCACAAACAGTCTATACAAGATATGCATCAAAAGTTTGCACAGCTAAAAAATAATGGCAAACTTTGCATAACAGAAACTTCAATAAGACCATCTTACATCTATTCATGGAATGGTCCTCCATCACAATGTTGTGTTAGAAGATATGGCATTCCCTGATAATCATCAAATGTTAACTTTGTGTCTTTTTTAATGAAAGAAACATCAATAAGACTGTGTTACATCTATTCATGTAATGTTCCTTCATCACAATGTTGTGTTAGAAAATATGGCATTCCTTGATAACCAACAAATGCTAACTTTTTGTCGCTTTTTAATAAAAGAAACATCAATAAGACTATCTTACATCTATTCATGTAATGTTCCTCCATCACAATGTAGTGTTAGAAGATAAGGCATTCCTTGATAAGAAACATAAAGTAAGTAAATTCAGGCTGCGTGCAGGCTATATATGTTGACTTTGTATCTTTTTTTATGTCAAAATACTGAATTTCCACATTCCTTAACCATATCGTCGTATAGATTTCAGATTGATGTGAGAATTATTTAAATAACAGGTAGCGCTGTTGAAAACATTAGTGTATAAAGTTGTTTAACATAGTAATGTAATGTTAATTGATATCGCGACCGAGAGAGAGAAAAGTTAACGCCTTTTCATTCTTGCCTACTTTTTCGTTGCTTCGGTTTCTATTTCGGTTAATAACTTATTATTGTGCACAACGTATAATGAAGGGCAAAAGCTGCATTTTTCATATTTTTTCCTACAAATTGTTCGCAGACTTGCGACAAAACTTGCAATTCCAGCACAATTATTGAATACATTTTCGCAATTAAAACTTACTTCGTTTGATAATGAGCATTATCCTGGTTAAATATAACAAATGCGTCAATGGCATGACGTCAAAACAGTAATTATCACATTTTAGCTTTTAAATTTGACGTGCTAAATATAGCCTTAATACAAATCCGACTTTGTCTGAAGAAACGAAAATACAGTAATCAAGCCCTGCCACAATTACGTAATTCGGCCGGAAGAACATTACACACCCAACAACATTTTATAGTTGTTCTTATCTTCATAAAATTAGTTTCAATTTCAGTCGCTGCTTTGACGTCCGGTTTAAGGTTCTTAGTTTACCAACAAAAACCTTAATAGCGTCATACATGCGGGAGTCATACAGTTTTTTCTTAATCGAAAAATGGCCCAGTCAGTAAAATGAGTGGGAAAAGGATTGAGACCATCTGTGATATTGTACAACACACATTGTTCATAAGTACTTCTTATCTTGTCTAATATCTACTCAATGTGACAACACGTTAAAGCTTCAATGTTTTATTATCTAAGATAAATATTCTGAAGAATAAATAATAACATCGAACAGCATAAAAAGATAAATACATTTATACACACACGTATATATATATATATATTATATCTTTTCGCTGTACCGAAGTCCTCTCCCATTTTTAAGATTAATGAGAAAGCTGAGTGATTACAAAGAGATCGTTCTGTTCACTCAACATCTAGAGAATGATTCGCCCTGAATTTGAAAAAAAATTTTTTTACAAAATTAGGATTGTTCAACGAGACGTTATTTTTTCTGTTTTCGTAGCAACGCCAACTGTATAATTGAGGATGCAAATTTTACTGTTCAGCTTTTACCCCCTGGTTCGTTTGGGTTAACTTGGACATTTTAATTCATCATTTTGCGAAAATGACAACGTTTTCACACAGAAACAAGACTTGCTTTCCCAAGACCCATTCTTTGATTGGATTCATCATTATCTTCATACTCTTGTATAGTTGGCAACAAGCCACAAGATCCTGCTGTCGTCTTACTCGACTTCACATCGTGACATTTAAACAAATTTAGCCAAGTATCCCTTTCTTCTTTCGTATTCGCTTCAAACGTCAACCACGAAGGTCCTTTTCCAATGCGCTCTTTCTTAGAAGAAAATGTAAAACTCTTGTCACCCAAGCATTGAACATTGCAATCATTAAGTGCAAGATATGCTGCTTTGGCTCCATCTAGGACTTTCAAGCGCCTGTCTGGTGTAAACACAGCAAATGGACAGGAACTATTACGATATACAGTGACAGATAGTCGCTGTTTAAATCCCTCTCCGTCGCTTTTTAACCACAACGTTCCAGTTTTTACCTCGTTCATCATTGCTTTATTGCTGTTTCACTGCTTATTAAACTGAATGTTTGAAGTATCTCACGTCTGTTGGTCTCCAATTTCTGTCTCCTTCTAATTCATAAACAATCACCACTGCCACGTCAAGTCAAGTGACCTTTATAATATAGCCTCTCGAAAGCAGAGAAATGTGAAAGGAAGTCTACATGTACGATAATAATCACAATAGGCGTAAGAAACCATTCAAAGGGCGCAAATTTAACCAATAGAATGCTTTTATTTGAACATTGTCTTTGTGACGTCACGAGCTCATTATTTATAGTGCCATCATATAAAAGTGATGACTGTGATGACTGAGATTATATGTTTGTATTCAAGTACTTTCATAAGTCTCAAATCTCGCAATGTTTTTGTTTGACAAGGCAATTTCCGCGATAATAAAACTTCATTTTCGACTTTTCAACATTGCTAAAGTCGAAGTGTGCGCCAAACATCTTCTAGCTTTCGACTTCGTATCCTGTTTGCAAATCGTGACGAGCAACCAAAATAGCAGTGACAGGCCATTGCAGGCACACGAGCACAGCCCACACAAGTAAAAACAAGTATAGCCATAAAGTCAACAATATTTATGAGTATTACATCAAAAACAAAGACTAGTGAAATTGCCAGTCGTTATTGGTTTTGGTTTGGGGGTGTGAGTCAGAGTTGAACATTATCAGGCTCCTACGCCCAAAAAGAAATTTGATATTTTGAACTGAAATCAAAAATGTCTTTAATAACAGAGCGTGGATGAGAAAGTGGATTAAGTTAGTAAGGAAATGAAAAAATGAATTGCACCAACAACGCATTTCTCAGCAAACTTATTTTTGCTAAATTCTTCATTAAACTGTGATTTAAAAAAAAATTTAAATGGCTATGGGCGTAGGAGGTTCGATAACTGCCTATTCATGTATGCCAACAACATAAGTAAAAATGAAAGTCCTCATATTGATAATTCCCAACGTTCACAGAAAATCACACTACTTTCGTATTTTAATTTTTTAACTGTGTTGTCCTAATGTTGCATATAGTTTCATACACTTAATCCATAATCTTATGGGCTATGTTTATAACTTTAAGGCAGAGGTTGTTGTAATTGGATTACGACACGCAATTTATTATACATAAACGTTGTTTATTGAAGAAATAATCGCGTATCAGCTCAACCATTACTTACACCGGAATATAAAACTTTCGAATCATTTATTCTCAGGAAATTACATGTTTCCACGGCATCCTTATAAGTAGATGCGGTGTGCAGAGTGTAAAACATCAGGCTGTATTTGGAAACTCAAATATTTACAGCGTGTTTGACGTGAATTGATTTAAATCTCTTGTCCCTATGAATTTATTTTTAAATTGTGTGTCACTCATCATGTTTACAATGAAGAAAATTCCAAATTCATTATTTGAACATAAAATGGCCAGTGGAGTAGCAAGCACGTACGTAAGCTTGGTTTGGTCGTGTTATTTAAATAAAGATCATTACCATCAGCTGTTTACACACCGAAATATCTACATGTAACACGACCAAACTTGCAGGCGGCGTAGGCCAGACGTAGGCCCACGCTATGCATGGTTCGCTCACCGCGCTCACGTATGTCGTAATTTGTTGTATAAATATCTACCCAGCTATTTATTTTACGCTTCCTTTTTATATATGTTTTTGCCATCTTGATGGGTTTCGTTGAAAACTGCTATTTCTTTGCAAAATTCTTAATGATATGAAAAAATCAGTAAGTCATGTTTTTATGGACAAATATTATATTTAATTTGACAACAGGTCATACTCGCATCTTGTTCATCAGGCAATTAAGATTATGTCACGCAATTGCCGATTTGTATTTATCGATATTTCGGTCGATGATTGAGAAATGATTGCAGCTGGTGGAAATAATAATTGTTTACTCATAAAACGTCGTTTCTATGGTCACAAGTACAACAAAAAAATAATTATGTATTGTCAAGCACAGTACAACTTGGAATCACAGTAGAGAATGAAAAAAAAGGGTCAGTTAAAGTTACTGTGAGTGGTATAATGTTTAAACGTAAGTTAGAGTGGCAAAGAGGGCTAATTTCTTACAAAGTAAGCAAGACATCTACAACTCTTCTGACTCTTCTCATATCAAATACAATATTCTCATATCAAGAGAAATGCCAGGATAATCGACACTTTCTCCCATTTTACAAAAACAACTTTCCATTAATGCAAAGTGATCTAAAAGTCAGATCCTCGCTCTCAAGCACTCCTTGTTTTAGCTGCAGCAACGGCGTGCAACTACAGTACAAAGAACAAACACTCTTTCTTCAAGATACACGGACGAAAGAACTTGCTCATAGCGAGATAAGATATTTGAAAGAAAAAGAACTCGAAGAACCACATTTGGGTCACGTATTTCATCGTGTGAAATTCAATGTCTAAAGGCACAAAAAGTAGCTTTGACATTTTCAAATGGTACAATAATAATGTTATGAAAATGGAACACACAAAAAAACATGTTATTTTCATCATATAGATCAAGTCAGCTTATGGAGCACAGTTTCTTGGACATGTAAAAATAAGAAATGAATAAACAATCAAGAAAAAAATGCTCATTCTCTTACATCATTCCTCGTACAGGAAGAAAATTTTTCATCATATATGTTAAATTAATGACTGTTAAAATTCGAAGTAGTCGTTTTCTAAATAGCTAAAACAAAGTACAAAAACATGTTTTTGTGTGACATATTAATAATTCAAATTCAAATAAACACGTAAAGTAGCTATGCAAATTTTCAAACGGAGAGGATAAGGCTCTGAGCATAGACAAGTTGACAAAGCATTTCTTCGTAGACAATTTTTCAGTACTTAAAGTTTCAGCAACTTTTTAAAGAATCCGGCAAAAAAATCAAATATGGAATGTAAAAGAATTGAGGTTCATGAAGAAGAAGAAGCTGTTGTTCCAAAGTCCATCAACAATTCACGCATATTCAAAGCGATTACGTCGGGCGAAAGTAAGTTGATTCAACAATACAACGACAAGACTATATTCCGTTATGAAAACCGCGATGAAGAAGGTACTATAGTTGTCTTTGCGGAAAAAATACCATATCTGTCGGGAAGAACAGAAAAAGTTGATTTCAGTTGGCATAAAGTGGTGACCAGTTATACTCTACACGACAAAAAGAATCATAGGAAACAAGTAAAGTGATGACCATTTCATTTAGCAAATTTAAAGAAATTCCTCAGAGCCTCTGAACTACCTAAGCCTCAAAGCAGAAAAATAAAGAGAATCAACAATGGAACAGAGATTAATTGAGAAATGATGTGTGTGAAAATTGAAAAATAAAAAAACTTTATAGACTAGGAACAAGAGGAAAGGAACAAGTCGTTAATCATCACTCTGCCATATTCTTAATTCGTTAAATGACACTTCACAAAAGTTCTTTAAACATGCTAAATACGTCAAAAGGCCTTAATGTGTTTTATATAGCTCATAATCGTATATGAGAATTTTAAGCTAAGCATGCACAACAACAGTTTATTTACATAAAGCTCAGATAATGAGTTTGTTGTGAATAAAGAGAACGCGAAATTTCATTCAAGATGGTCTGCGAATCATAAGAAACTGAAATCACTGAGAGTACTCCAGTTCTTTTTTAAATTAATTCAAACGACAAATATATTAGCACTTGCTTCAGGAAACTTTTCAATAGTTTTCCAACTATTTATCAAAGCTCATACTATGGCAGAACATAGAGATCGATCAAAATGTATAGTCTCTATACTTGGAATAAACAACTTCCTTGTACAATCATTTTATATATAAATAAAGGAAATAAATTTACGAATTCTCTAAAACTCTCTGATTCTATTGACAAAATTCTCGCTTGTTACTGTACAATCTGCTAGCTCAATTAAGGTGATAACCAGAAACGAATTAGCTACAAAAGCAAGTCGCTAGGCATGAGCAACCTTATCTTGTTCTATCTCCTCTTGTCTTTTACGAATTTCTTCATTCATCCTTTGAATACGTAAGATCTTGGCATCCAGCTCAGTTTCTTTATAGTTTTTTACTTCAGTTACTTTGTGCACATCTCTTCTATTGTCATGTTTATATTCGTCATAATCACGATTTCTTTCAACTTTTTTCACTCCTTGTTTTATTGCCATTTGAGCATCTTCACTTTTGTTTATATCTTTATTCGTTCCCAGTCTTGACCGTAAATCAAAATCAGGTTTAGTAACTGAAACGATAGAATAGTGACATTAAGCAAAATAACTTTTGCCAGCAGTAGTTCAAAAATCACTGAAGGACTCTTATAAAGAATAATACACACATAAATTTTAAAATAGTTGATGAAGGATGATAAAAAGAATGGCTTTCAAACTAATTCGAAGAACCCAAACCACGGATTATGTAAATCCAAGGCTCGGACACAGAGATTACACACTAAATCCAAAATCAAAAATAAATGAGGAAAAATTACCATTGATTTTCTTTGATTTCTCTTCTGGTCTTTCAGATTTCCTACGTTCACGCGACAGTTTCATTTTTCCTTTTTCAATTTCATGAACACCGGCACTATGTTTAGATACATCATTTTTTTCTGAAAAAACATTTTTCTTGACCTCAGATGATCTTATAGTCATGCGTGATGCATGCGTAATGCGATCTTTACCACCCAGTCGCGGCTCTTTTGATCTATCTAGATGTTGACTTCGATCCCTAAACGCCACACGACGATCACTCCTCGATGGCCCACCGAAGGGAATGTGAGGTGACCTGCCATACATAAACCTTGAATTTTTTTCGCCTCTAGATCGTATTCCATGTCGACTTGCAGGTCTATTAAGACCATAACGGTCATTTTGGTGCAAGGACCGCCGTCCATCTGGTGAATATCGGCGATTCTTGGAAGACCAATGATTTCTAGAGGATTGTCCAGGAGATGTCGCATCTTTGGGCGACCGCTTGGGTGATCGAATTCGCTTTGACACCACTGATCTTACATTGTTTTTGGTTCTGGAACTACCAGACGAATATGAATAAAAACTAGAATTACTGGAACTTTCAGAGCCACTATCGGAATCAGAATACGAACCAGAACTACTATGGGTCTCACTGGACGATCTTGAAGATGATGAAGAAGCAGAATATGAAGATGATCTCGAAGAGTTGGATAAATTAGACGAGTCCGATTCTGACCCAATGCTAGTTTTATCATAAATAACCTGAGAATTAGATTTCTCGAATGAAATCTTTAAATTCTTTTTTGTCTTTCGTGAATTTTCTCTTTGTGTGTTGGCCTTTTCCGGGGATTCATTACGTTTAGTCTGCTTCATAATAACACGGCTACTTTTCTTGAAATGTTCAGAAGTTTTCTCATCCTCGGGGTTTTTTAACTTTTCTCCCGTTTCATTTAATGCAAGAGTGCTTTTCTCATTGCTAATTACGTTTTCTGTTTCTACATTTACATCATAGTTTTTATGTTGTGTTGCCCTCTCGTTCATCAAGTTTTCTTCTTTATTTTCCTTCTCACTATCAATGTTTTGTAAATTATTTTCAAGACAGTTTTTGTCTTCGTTCTCCGACATATTTTCTTCATTATCACTCACTATTTCATGTTCAATGACATCGTGCCCGCTAGAAACAGTTTTAACACACTGTACATCGGGTTCGCTTTCTAAAATCTCGTCTTCGTTTTCAGTATCGACTGAGCTACTTATTTCAACGTTGTTTTCCCCATCTTCAGCATTATCAATTTTGGCATCTTCATCCATGCTCTGAGTTGTCTTTATATCGGTCTGTATTTCATCTTTAACATCAATAATCCTCTTCTTATATTCATTGTGCTCTATACCATAATCATCCTTTCTGTTCAAAATAATGCGCACATCCAAACTAGTTTCTTCCCCAGTTTGTGAGAAGGCTTTCTTCTCCTGCTTGACTTTGATGCCTGAGAAAATTCTTATGTCGGATGTCTTTTCAGGTAAACTGTGAGGACTGGTCTGTAACCTTGGTTTTTTTACTTCATAGCTATCCATAGCAGCGCGAGGCCATGATGAATCATTATCTTGGCTTGAAGAGAGTATGCTTTCTTGAAAACAGTTTCTATCACTAATTATTCTTTTGTTCAAATTAATTTTTCTTTTAAATGTATCTTGGTCAGCATCAGTATTGATAATGTTCCGTGAATTTTTTAACGTCACCTTTCTTTTAAACATCTGTAGATAATTTGAGTTTTTACATATTTAGTTTATAAATTCATTATGTTGCCATATGCACATTGAAGTTGAAAAATCACAAAAAATATATGCATTAAAATGCTTATTCAAATATGAAAAGATAAATACTCACTTGAAAAATCACAAAATGAAAATGTTCTTACTTCTTAGCATCTTTGGATGAATTAGATCTTGCCCTCTATCCCCAAACTACTCATTACCCCTCCTCTTCCATTTATTTTGTAAAATCTCATTCAAAATAACGAAGATGTTTTTTAATGCTTTGACTTTAACATGGTTTACATACCTTCTCTCTTTTAACACCAAATCTTTACTCTTGTTTTAGATAGTAAAATGATTTCCATGCAAATAGTTTGTACAAAGCGGTAAAACTCTAATGAAAAGTAGAAGAAAAATGTCAAGACATTTGTCAGAAAAAAAAACACAGATGCTACACCCCCAACCCAATTTAAAAAGGTGAAGCTTTGCAACTGATCTTAAAGATACCACCTTTTTTTTTAGATTAAAGGTTTTTAACAATTGCTTTCAGCATCAATACATAATTTATATTTTGGTTAGTTTATCTAGAAAATTTTATCAAAAAATTACCAAGTATTTATGAGATTTGCCATCAATTACCATAGTTGTGTATACATTGAGATGCAAATATTTTTTTAAATATGCTAAGCTATATGTACATAACATCAACAGCAAAGATTATGGATGTTTAGCCATCTGGTCAGAGATCCAAATGTTCAATGTCTGGATGGTAAAATACAGACACTATAATTTTGACAAAATGGAAAGTCTTTGAAGTCAACTTTTCATACATTCATCATTGCAGCTGTGCTTAATAGTATAACAGAGCCAGGAACATTTTTGTCATGGTTTTTACATGAAAATTAACTCAAAAAAATGCTGCACAACACTTCATAGTCAAAAATGTGTGATCTTCATCAAATGCATCTTGATAATGCCATACTATTTCTGCGAAATATTTTTGAAAGCTTTGTGGAATTTCAACATTTCCATAAAATTTAACCTGTAACCTCACAATAATGAATAGTTCTCCCACACAAAACCAGGAAAATTGCATAAAGCATCTAAAAAAATTATGTTTAGAATTGTACGTGCTTAGCCACTTTATAATATGTTAAATTAGGGTGGCATTCTAAACGCGTTGGAAAAAATATATATATAACACATGGCTTGTTGCCGATGACGATGTCAATTTGTCAACGAACTACTGGGAAGTTATTTCAAGTGAAATCAATAACTTACTTTGCTCTTTCATTTTCTTTGATGTTTACATGATATACACACTAGAATTCACGAACATAGGCGAGAAAGAAAATAAAGAAATGGTAGTTTAAATTACTTTAAAAAAGCACACACAGCAATAAACACTATCTGTTTCTTACGGTGTTGATAACAACAGCGCATGCGTACAGCACAAAAAAAGTTAAGGAAAGGGGGGAGCGTGTAGGGCGATGAATCCATGGTGATCCATATGGGTGAATGCAGAGCCCTCTATAGTATAATACTATAGAGGGCTCTGGGTGAATGGGGTGAATTGCTAAAAGCCACCCATTTCTATTGTCAAACAATTGGCTAGGCTAGTTACAGCTTCAATGATACAAGCCTTCATACGTAACACGTTCATTTCTAAACATTTCGTTAGAGTTGCAACCATATGATGTTGTTAAGTGTAATAACTTTCATAAACGTGATGATGCAAGCAAAATGTTTCAAAATGTTTTAGGACAGAGACTCAGAGTGCATGCTGTGTATAATAACATTTAATGAGATGGCACAAATGTGAAGATATGTATAGATAGATCAACGAGCTGCGTTTTGCACACAAAAATTCTGCATTTCCTCAAATTAGCCCCAGCGCCATTTTAGCCTCCCCTCAGCCCCGTTCTTCATTCTTAAAATTGCATACCTATGCAAAAAGTATCCTACGCACAAACTTAACTAAAAATAGCAAGAGCAAGCACTAAAAAAACAACTAACCAGTAACCTAGGCTTAGGAAATGAATTATAGCTGCTAAGTTTAAATTCGTTTAAATTCGTTTTTGTTTCATCAGCATCAGCAACTTTACCGCAATCGAATACTACAACTACAACTTTTAATTTCGGTACTAGCTATCGTACTAACGTATCTCTATGCAAATAAAGCAGGTAGATGAGTAAATATTAATCTGATTCAATAATAAGTTGTTTTTTCCTTGGTCATGAGATCTTATTTGACAAATCTGAAATCTTCAAAATCTCAAATTATCTTTTCCAGGAAATTGCATTAGCAGTATTACGAGCCGTATGATTTTACAAAGAAAGATGGTTTGAAAACAAAAAAACGCGAGTGAAAACTACCGTCAATTTTGGCAACAACTCAAGAGATCAATAAAGAAGAAGCGAAACTGCTGTAAAACTGCAGTATAGGTAAGTTCGTGCTCAGTGTTTACCAATCTTTCGACACTGCTGTAAAACTGCAGTATAGGTAAGTTCGTGCTCAGTGTTTACCAATCTTTCGACACTGCTGTAAAACTGCAGTATAGGTAAGTTCGTGCTCAGTGTTTACCAGTCTTTCGACACTGCTGTAAAACTGCAGTATAGGTAAGTTCGTGCTCAGTGTTTACCAGTCTTTTAACACTGCTGTAAAACTGCAGTATAGGTAAGTTCGTGCTCAGTGTTTACTAATCTTTCGACACTGCTGTAAAACTGCAGTATAGGTAAGTTCGTGCTCAGTGTTTACCAGTCTTTCGACACTGCTGTAAAACTGCAGTATATGTAAGTTCGTGCTCAGTGTTTACCAGTCTTTCGACACTGCTGTAAAACTGCAGTATAGGTAAGTTCGTGCTCAGTGTTTACCAATCTTTCGACACTGCTGTAAAACTCCAGTATAGGTAAGTTCGTGCTCAGTGTTTACCAGTCTTTCGACACTGCTGTAAAACTGCAGTATATGTAAGTTCGTGCTCAGTGTTTACCAGTCTTTCCACACTGCTGTAAAACTGCAGTATAGGTAAGTTCGTGCTCAGTGTTTACCAGTCTTTCGACACTGCTGTAAAACTGCAGTATAGGTAAGTTCGTGCTCAGTGTTTACCAGTCTTTCGACACTGCTGTAAAACTGCAGTATAGGTAAGTTCGTGCTCAGTGTTTACCAGTCTTTCGACACTGCTGTAAAACTGCAGTATAGGTAAGTTCGTGCTCAGTGTTTACCAGTCATTCGACACTGCTTTAAAACTGCAGTATAGGTAAGTTCGTGCTCAGCGTTTACCAGTAAAAGTTTCATTCGACGAAGTTTGTTATTTTCGGTGAAACAGTAAAGTAACAGTGTTTGGTTGAATCTGATTCTACAATCCAACAGTAACGATGGTTATAAGTTTAACTAGCACATATAAATTAATAAATAGTTTGGCTCCTTCACATTTAAAAAATTGTATCATAATCTATTTTCAACCAAATTATGGTATCAACAGTGGTAGCATTGTGATTAGAGGTGTTAAGTTATTTAAAAATTAAAGATAGTATTAACATGTTGATAGTATTAACAGTGCAAGCACTCCTTCCTCTTTAAAACTCAAAGAAGCACTTTACCTCAAAAAACTCAAGCCTAATCTCAACAAATTCAACATGTTAATACTATCTCTAATTTGTACATAACTTAACACCCCTAATCACAATCTGTAAATAACTTCAGTATCCACCTCATCTGTCTATAAATATATCATGTATCATATTTCATTATAAATAAACTGTATGTAAATATTTCATTCATTATACTGCACTGAAGATGGCATAAGTTTGCTGAAACATGTATGGATTAAAAAATTTAAACAAAAATTGTGGTCTACATTAAATGTCTGTTATATTTTGTTATTATGTATTTGGTATGTGATCCACTGACTACACCACGTATGGGTCAAGAACCAACCCGTTACGTAAAGATGAATATTGCCCTATGTGTGTAAAAATGTTTGGTTCAACATACACGGCACTGTATCTTGACTCTTTCAAAAATTCATCCAACAAAGTATCTTTTGCATAGCCAGAATGGCTTACTTTATGTTCCAAAGAATTAATCACTGCCAATGCACCATCATATGAATATAAATTAGCAGGTGTGCAACAGCTTGGAGCAGTTACAAATGAGTGAAAACAAGGTAGTAATGTGCGTATGAATAACAAATTGGGTCTTCCCAATGCCAGAGCAAGTAGTGTTATGTATAAGGAAAAGCTCATAATTTGAAATTTTCCAATTGTACGCAATGAAAATACTTCTTTGTATATACCTATCATTGCCATGATGAAAGTGACAGCTGCAGCAAGCTCAAATAATCTAGACACCTCTGTATCAATAAATCCAAGAAGTCTTGGTGGATGATACAGCTTAAGATATGCAATATTTCTTCTTTGGTGCATGTCAGACTCACTAAACTTTTCTTCAAATATATTATGTATGCTGTACTCCAGAACAGGAAACATTTCATCATTAGGATAAGCATCATCCTCCATAAGCAACACATATTTTGGTTGATACAGAAGGGATTCCTTTAAGCAATAAAGATAATCATGCTTCTCTTTCTCAAATCTATTTTGACTGTTTAGATTATATAGTTGTGTGTTCTCTTTATACTCAGAGACTGTATGAATGTGTGAGGAAAGTTCAACTGCCTCAGCAAACATCTGAGGAAATGGATCTACATTACATACCATTAATGAATACGTAAAATCCATATTAGCCGAATTTTTCTTCAGAAGATGTAGTAATTTACCAACAGTTTGGGAAAGATAATGAGGACTATACTCTCTTGATCCTCTTGAAACTGTAATTAAAGTTATAGCTATATCTGTGAGGTTGTTCGGTCTTAAAAACGATTTAAACTTCGAGGTGAAATCTCTCTTGCCGGATATTTCCTCATTTGCCAAAATTAATCGTCGATAATTATCTTTCATCATGTCAATGTTCTCTTTCGTCTTGTTTCTGCGCCATACCAAACCGTAGTATGCAGAATATTTTAAGCGGTGGCACAAAAGTGGCAATACAACAAAAAAGGTCAGGCAAAACCAGGCAAAAACGTAAGAGATCCGACTGCGCATTATATTATTAACGGATCTCTCATTCACTACCAAATTTCGTTGAATTTCAGGTAACAGCAACGCTAATTCACACGGCGAAAGAACGCCGACGTGCACGACCACGGTGTTCACAACCAAAACAATCAACGACACACGAGAGGAAGTGAGTGAAACTAGTATTCACTTACAATGCACACAAGATAACAATCAAGAATGAACTATGAGATAATTATTCTATTAGATTTCAAGTTATTTACTGACATGTTAGTCACAAAAATATTGTCACAACAATTTATGAAGATGTTTGTGATCAAATGACTAACAAGTGCTCACATTACAACTACATCTTCATTAAACCAATTGTAAGTTACTATAATATTACTAAAAATACTTTTCAGTTTAGGTATTATTGATTAAATTCATTTCTAGACATATCTGTACCGTTATTTTACTATTTATGTTAGTTTTTATCAAGTGAGGCCTGTTAACGAGAGCCTCTGACGCCGAAACCAGTCTATTTCCCGAAGTTTTCAGCCGACCGCCAAATACAGGTGTCACTAGACGTAGAACAAAAATGAGAACTAAAACTTGCAAGGCAACTAATTTTCTTCCTTGACACATAAGAAATAACGATGTCAAATGATCGAAGACAATGTTTCCAAGTTTGCAAAAAATGCTCTTACTACATCATTTAAAAGCTAAATTGGTATATTCAAACTAAAAATAAATACATCTTTCTTAATATATAAGTAATGCGAGCAGCCACTATGCCATTCCAAAACCTCTATGTTACAATTGACGCTAGGTTTTACCATAAGTGTGCGTTGTACCTATCAAGATGTCCTAAATGCTACCTTAAAATCATTTATCAGTGTAGACAACACTGAACATACAAACTTACAAAAGGCACATTTTATATAAATTTGTGCGAACTAAAAGTGATTTTTAAAATGTATATTTTACAAGAATAAAAATTACGTGCCAAACACGTAATAACATCGCGAACTTATGCACAATAATTAATGTTAAAAATTGAGATAACATCGTTACTAGTTTATTGGTTGTTGATCTACAACAGCCAGCATAGAGATGATCTAGATACATTTCTGTCCATTAGTCTAATTCTGTTTTATTAAGCCTAACTTGACAATCTTGGTTGCTGATCTACAACAGCCATTTAAAACATGAGCTAAATACATTTATCTTCATTTATCCAATTCTATTTATTAAGCCTATTAATTGACATTGTTTATAAACTTTTAATGACATCGTCGTTACTTGTCTTTATCCGTAAGAACATCCACGCTAGATAGTCGTTGCACAAATGTTAACAAACGCCTCCTTGATTTCTAGTACTGTCTTCATTACTTTGCTCTTTTAGAACCTTCCCGAACTGACAGCTGTACCACATACACACAAACAAACACTAGACTTTCCAAATAAGCAAATGATTGGTGCTGTCTTCCCGCCCAGCACACTCATTTGTAGTAGATTTAAAATCTTCATATCCGTCGCCACCACTGATAACATACACACCTTCATTGGGAAAAGAATGACTAGATTTCTCCACGTTTAAATGAGAGCGACGAGGTGATCGATTAGCAGTTTGAGAACTTGTTATCTCCTCCTTTTCCTCAAGTTTGCCCATTTCTACAGCGGTTAAAAACCTCACGTGTCCAGTGTGTCCTTGAGGTGAAGCGGTTACCTCTAGGCTGGGCTGTATACAAGTCACATTAGGAGCAATAATCGGTAAAGGTAATGTTAATACGACACCGGCGCTCGTACCAATCCAAAGTAAGTCTTTGCACGTAAGTAAAGCAGTTACGCGCAAACATGCTGCTTTGTGTTGCTTAATTATTGCGTCAGAACCTAAAAAAGAAATGAGATTTTGCTAAAACAGGTGTTTTCACCTCACGCAAGAAGATACGTGTTTGAGCGCAAAAACATAAACATATCTTGCTGTCTTTAAGATTAGACGAAAGTCAACTTTTTTAAAATGCTAAATTGATGTTGAGCAGTTTGATGATTTCTGTAATCTTAGATAATGTAGGTTAAACAATTGATACGCATAATCCTTTAAGTACATACAAAAAGTATGCTTACTCGGGAAACCAATGTTGGATCATTAGATTCCAAAATATCATTTGTACGAAAATACGAAACAACTTAGTAACCACATCATACATCCTACCCACCCTGATCACACATCCCTCCCTGGCATACGCACTGAATAAAGAAACCCTAGAAAGGCTTTCCACTCTGACAATTTTCTTAACACACACACTAAATGCATGCACGTATCATCCATACGAAAATGGGAGTATTATAGATTTACCAACAAGCATCTTTTGTTTAGAGATTTACCTGCAAGAACTATTGTTTATAGAGTTACCTGCAAGCATCTTTTGTTTAGAGATTTACCTGCAAGAATCTATTGTTTATAGAGTTACCTGCAAGTATCTTTTGTTTATAAATTTACCTGCAAGCATCTTTGTTTATAGATTTACCTGCAAGAATCTATTGTTTATAGATTTACCTGCAAGCATCTATTGTTTATAGATAAACCTGGGACTATCTATTGTTTATAGATTTACCTGCGACCATCTATTGCTTATAGATTTACCTGCAACCATCTATTGTTTATAGATTTATCTGCAACCATCTATTGTTTATAGATTTACCTGCAAGCATCTATTGTTTATAGATTTACCTGCAAGCATCTATTGTTTATAGATTTACCTGCAAGCATCTATTGTTTATATATTTACCTGCAAGCATCTTTTGAACTGCATCTTTGGTATCGACGTCAGCCAAATGCTCACAACTGCTCGCATGATACAAACGCACAACAGATAAACTCTGTATTGAGACCCATACACCCATTCCTGAGCTGGCCATGGCATGTACAGGCCGACTGCTGTCCTCATAAGCACTAAATCGCTTCTGAAGAAGACATAAGAATAACGATAGGCCGTTAAAATTAGAATTGCGTGTCACAAAAATTTACTTTTTTGAAATTAGTAGATAGGTTCACTCTGCTAGTTGTTTATTTAAATTCATTCCAAGACAAATGATTTATCTTCCACGTACACATCAGGAAAATAATGATCAAAAACTTAATCCTATAGCATCGATGTATTTATGGAATATATAGTTGCAAATATTGCGACTTTCTCAAAGTTAATACCTCAATTCCGAGTGTTGTCGTGTTCACAATTACAACTTGATTACTACAACCAACCCAAAGTCGACCTGAGACCGCAGTCATACATGTGATGCGGTTGTTGCTTGATATTGTTATGTTTCGAGGAGTGTTGATTTCCCAAACATAATCTGACAACAGAAAAATGTATCATTATTAGCTCAATAAAAAGATTTTTGAAGAAAACGTAGTTGCATTTTAACAAATGTTTGTCATTCGTCGAATTTTTGTAACCAAATATATGTATATAACCAGGTATACTTGCTTTAAAAGCAGATAATTGTATTACAACCAAATACTTGTATTACAAACAAATACTTGTATTACAACCAGATACTTGTATTACAACCAGATACTTGTATTACAACCAGATACTTGTATTACAACCAAATACTTGTATTATAACCAGATACTTGTATTACAAACAAATACTTGTATTATAACCAGATACTTGTATTACAACCAGATACTTGTATTATAACCAGATACTTGTATTATAACCAGATACTTGTATTATAACCAGATACTTGTATTACAACCAGATACTTGTATTACAACCAAATACTTGTATTACAACCAAATACTTGTATTACAAACAAATACTTGTATTACAAACAGATACTTGTATTATAACCAAATACTTGTATTACAACCAGATACTTGTATTATAACCAAATACTTATAACATACATAGATACAACTTACTCGGAGAGCGCTTGTAAACGCAAAGGTCGCCATTTGCTAAGCCTACAAACACTTGATTCTCCAAACACCTAAACGTACGAGAAAAAAAAACAATGTTAAAGACATAGCAAAGAACGAATCTTATTAATTATAAATTGTATACGCAACTATGCTACTATTAACTACCATTATAGACTTTCATTTATTGGCTACGGATTACGTACAGGCTGCTTAAATATGTCTATTTATATTTACTATAGATAATTCTGGTGGGAATTTCACATTTGTCAGATTACTTACAAAATACTCTGGACGGGTGAACCTTTTTGAATTTTTGTTTTATTTCGTCGTTGTTTGATAGCGCTGGTGACCGGGAAAATGTAGATACTGTAAAAATATAATAAAACATCAAAATTAGTCCGACTCTACTATTGCAAACAATAAAAACTCTTGTTGGAAACGTGAAACATAAAGTTCCTTACTATCCATCCTCCGCTCCCATCCATAGCGTTGGTTGTTGATTAGCATTTCCCCCTTCAACATTTTCTTCCTGTATGTTATTTTTATGTTTATTTCTTATTGTTTTACTTTCATCGTCTGATGAAGGAGGTTCATGATAATCCGAATCATCACGACCATCACTGCTAAGATCACCATCTAAACTACCTGCCGTTCCAAGACTACTTCCTTCAGGACTTAAACGACCATCAAACGAGGGAGGGGAGGGTGAGGCCGTGTATGAATCATCTCCCATGTCCTCATCGTCAGTGCTACTATCAAACGCAATTATCTCCTCTCTGCTCGCCTTGCTGTTTGAAGATGACACAACTCGCTGATTGTTTGAAATATTTTCCTCTGAATGATACCCAGATGATTTGCTACGCAACGTTGAGTCGTTGCCTTCAACGGGATCTTTAAATTCGTAATCAACATTAGTCGTGTTTATTCCAGCTAATTTCCATCCAGGTACGGGCGCGATGGATAAAATCCGTGCTTGACATGGTGAATAAGTAGATCCTTGCTGCAAGGAAATATATTTTTCATTATTCTTCTAATCAAAAATAAAAAATCTTTTATACACAGCAGCATGTTTAAGGGGTAAAATATGACAATTTCTTCCTACAAACTGTTTGATTGTACTCTGCCATATTTTAATTAGCAGGTCACCTCAAATTCTCTAGGAGGAGATAGTATGGTTACTTGACCAACGCATCCATCACTGCTAGCAACCCATAAGTCTCCAGAGCCGCACTGTGTTCCACGTTTCGTAAGACGGGCAGCGATAGTTGGTGACGCATAAGTAAACTGCAACATTTCATATAACATAACTTGTCTTCAATGACTCACATTTCAATATTAATCACTAATTAAAATGAAAATAAACACTCAAAGAATACGTTATTAATATGCTTTCACCTGTAAACCACTCCTCGACTTGTTGATCGCTATGGCGTTTTGAAAGTTAGGCGATGAATCTTTGGCGTACGCTGAAAAAATTGACGTACAGCGGTTTTCAATTGAGCTGGGATGCGCGTGATTTGCACGTGTTTGTTTCGCGAATGAAACGCATACGTTACTATGCAGAAGCTATGCTGTTTCTGTCAATGAATCAATTGCTTACCAATTTATGAATTAATAAGTCACTAATCAATCAATTTATATAACTAACTAAAAAACGACTTACCAATTAATAAATTAATGGCGTACCAATTAATTAATGAATTGCTAACAAATCAATGGATTAATTGCTTACCAATCAATTAATTAAATAACATACAATTCAATGAATTGTTTACTCACTTTAGTTAATCAATTAACAACTTACCAAGTTGTTGTTTTGCATCAAGAAAGTAAGCCTCCCAAGATGATTTGATTTCTTTACTGAGAAACACAAACAAATACTTCTCGACGGAGTCCCTAAGAACAAAAGAACTGTTGTGTTTTATCACACACAAATTCATAGTTCTCAACTGACTTTTTATGAACAAATTAAGTATCTCGTACTGGCAGTTGTTTTTATCACGGGTAAGTAGTATGCTAAAGTTCTCTAGGAAAGTCGGAATTTTTATACATTTTTTTTATCAAAAAAGCATTACTAGAAGAAAATGGCAGTGGAATAATTTATAATAACAAAAAGTGAAAATACCTTGAAGCAATGTTGAGTGAAACGGTGTTTTCTTCCAAAATGAATGGATTTGTGGACCGCTGTGAATGAAGATCGACAAGGCGACGGTTTAGTTCTGATGCCAGTTCACGTATTGCATCATCAAGAAGCTAAATTAAAGCAAAAATTACTGATGGTCAGATATAAAACATCACATATGTCTAACTTACGGAAAAAAGGGAGAACGTAGGAAAGATTATACAGAAATACAGAAAAACCGCAATAGTAAGTTGTTTGATTGAGTAAAAATTTTTCTTGCAGAGTATATTACGATGCAAGTTTTAGCGAACGATGTCTGTCTGCAGTTAGTTCAGCTCATTGGAATTATTTCCAAATATTGAATAAATGATTAAAATAATCTTTACTTGAAGTGTTACACCAAAACAAAATACCGTTAGTATGTAGAGGGTCCACAAACCTGATGCTTAATTGAAATGGACTCAGTCAGTTTACTGATAGTGCTAACTGTATTGAGGTCTTCCTCCAGCTTTTCACGAGTTTGATCTGACGTCTTTAATGTATTGTTTAAATCGTCTTCACCTGAAACAATTCAAGTACGTACAATTTAAAATACAGTAATAAACTATTTTCAGTTAATAAAATATTACTAACTTGTAACCAACTCGACATCTTCGAGTGGAAACTGCCAAAGTAACCGGTATTTGTTCATTTCTGCAGCAGATTGACCAGAAAACCTATTAGATAAAAGGCACTTAGCTCAAACCGAGTTTCTGTATAAAATAGGTCAAATCATCAACATGGGCGAATCAATATCATTTGACAGGAGGGGTGCTGATTTTTTCAAGGGGGGAGGGTGTATCATTGTCCCAACTTGAGGTGCAAGGACTCAGGAAATTGTAGACTTGTATGCTTAAAGAAGAGTGAAACTTGCATAGTGAAAGCGTTATTAGCTTTTTCAGAATTTTTTTTAAAAGTTGAGTAAATTATGAATGCTAGTAACATGGCTGTACCGTACTTCCTTAAAATAATCAACAAAGCTTCATACTTATGCATCCAAATATTACAATAATAGTCTACAGCACATAACACCATTTTAGAATTTTTCTTGGGGTTTATGCAAGAGATCTTAAGGGGCATGATATTATCATTAGAGCGGAAGGTAGCAGACATGTGAAACTATGAATGATTTTTTTCTACGGGTGAAATTAAACTTACAACGATCCTCTACGAAGTGAAGTCTGCTTTCGTTTTACTGTCGCACAAACCAATAAATCAGAAAAGAGAAATAGACAGCGATCTTTCTTTGACATCAGTCCTTTCTGTGAAATAAAGCAAACAAATCCAATAAAATTCATCGTTGGAAATTGGGAACACACGACAATTTTATGTAATGAAAAATTGTTTAAAATTTAGATATCCACGTCATCTTTTCCTTACGCTGCATCTTTCAATTAATAAAAAAATTATATGAGCTAACTTCAACGTAAACTTTATTTTGTCAACTACTAAAAAAGTCCCTTGCTTTTGTTCCCCCAATAGTCCCTCTATTCTCACTATATGGTCCTTCAAAAGTCCTTCACTGGTCCCTCAATAGTCCCTCTGTGCTCACTCTATGGTCCTTCAAAAGTCCTTCACTGGTCTCTCAATAGTCCCTCTATGCTCACTCTATGGTCCTTCAAAAGTCCTTCACTGGTCCCTCAATAGTCCCTCAATGCTCACTCTATGGTCCTTCAAAAGTCCTTCACTGGCCCCTCAATAGTCCCTCAATGCTCACTATATGGAATCCATGCATGGACGTCAAGGTCAAAGATACTTTGATAAAGCTGCCAAATTTGATAACTTTAACAAACAAATGATGAAATGTAATGCTATGGCCAAAGTAATAGCTATAAATGTAGTTTTAAATCATTGCCATGTTTTTTTTTTTAGCAAGTGCGATAAATTGAGAAATTTTCCTACATTTATTTAATCAACATATTTTACTAAAAGCCAAACATACCGTTTCTGCGACTAGATCCTGTCTCTTATATTTCCTTCGAGGTGAGACGAGCTGTAAAAGATAAATTTTTACGTCATTACATAATCAATGCTCGTTGAATGCAGTACATCCGTTGACATAATTATTGATTAAACCTTTTCCAGGTCGAATTCTAATGTTGCATAGCTTGAAATCAGAAACCTCATACGGTGAATTTGAGATATTGCAGCGCAATTTTAGCGTGAGTTTAGTTTCACATGTCTATGTCTAACTCAATTTCAGATAGAATCACGTGATAGTATTTTAGAATTTAAAACAACTTCACATATGATTGCAGAAACAAAAATACACATGAATTTCTAGAAACGTCAATAACAAACATAAAACTGATAGCAGCAGCATGACACATGTCACATGTGGAGAAATCACCGCAATGAACGCATTACGTACCCCACTGTCCAATGGGGTTCAGCGTGTGAGATAGGATGCTCAAAGACATGCAATTCAGCCCGCATGCTGAGTGACATGAAACATTATCAAACATAAATAACTAACTTCATTTCAATTTATTCCAGTTTTTTTCATAAACCTGCGCTTCTTGAGTTTTATTCAAACAACTGTCTTTTATTTTTTTTTGTAAATCATCAGATGAAGCCAAAACATAACATCAACATTTGGTCCTTGGATGTTGTCAATTTAATAACTACTCGTTCACATGCTTGACCTTATGATTTTCAAAAAAAGAAATTCATATTCATCTCGTCTCATATAAGCAAATCATCAATTCTGCCAATATTCGACAAATTGTAGCTGCATCCTCTTGTTCATGGTTGCAGACATGACCGGCACATTCTTTTGTGTTAAAATTCTTTCATTCAAATGAGTAGGCCATGTTCAAAGTAGTTACAAAAATTGTCAAATAATCATTGCAATATGAGTCCGGCAGAACTTTCAACCAGAGCAACAACGCTCTTGATTTGGAAATCCGTCAGCCACTTCCATCTCTTTGAGCTTTGGATTTTCGGTATTTCTGGGGGGTCCAAAATACTATTTTGCAGATGACACCCAACATGCAAAAAGATCACTTAATTTACAATTGTTGTCTGCAATTCTCGCGATAATTTCTCAATATACAGGTCCTATCCGCGCAAATGGACCAAGAAGAATTATTTCTCAAAGCCTGAATTAAGCCTTCGTGGGCAGAACATATTTCTATATGCTTTGTAGAAGTCTGAAATATCTCGGCACATTTCTGATAACTATTTTGAAACATCTGCTTATGTATTAAAAATATTATGACGATCATTTGTAAAATGTCCGATGTTCCTTTGGATATTCCTCATAATTTTTGCAAAATCTTAGTAAGCATAGCCATGCAATCTGAATATAATTTCGAGCTATCTGAAAATCATTTGAACATACATCTGAATTCGATTTTAAAAATATGTAGATTTTGTTATACATACACCAACTATTCCTTCAATAGATGCTTCGAGATCTCGCAATCTTTCGGCTTCTTTTTCAGCCTGATCGATCTCTTGTTCGCCTTTGTTCATCCGTTCAGCCAGCGTTTTGATTTCGCCAAGAGCGGAAAGAAGATTACCGTGATCAGGATGATCAGCAGGCGTGTATTTTAATAAATCCTAGAAATATATACAATAGAGTAACAAATTAATTAGTTTTAGAAACTAAAAATCTTTTCATTGGACGAATTTGACATTCCTGGACGAGAATATCGTTAAAATTCAATAAAATGATTTAATGATCCATTCACGAATGTCGTGTTTCACGAATTACGGCTTCAATCGAGTTATGTAGGATAGACGGCGACAAAAATTAAAGCCACAACATGACGCTTAAAAGAGAGAAGGACACGTGTGACACTACTATGGAACGAGAGCTTGAACACGTCACGAGAACATTGAAGAACAAATAACAAAGTTATAACCATTGACCGATCATGATCAAACAAATCAAGTTTTCAAAGAATATCATAGAAACGTGATGGCAAGATAACTTTTGCTTTACGGAGCAACAGATGACATTCGAGCTAAAATTTCATGATAAACAAACAAAAAATAAATAAAACGCAGACGTGAATGAATACCAGCATTTGATATGCAAGAAATGCAAAAATGGTCTGCCGGCTCACAAGCGGCTGCAATGAATTATTTTATTCTCATTCAAACGATGAACATCGATTTGTTTGCTGTAAATTTTACTCGCAACACGCAACGGGGAAAAATATACATTTGACTGTAAAACAAATAACATGCATGCTATAAAAGGAGCTGAATTAACTGATATATATAAAAAGCATGAACGATCGGCGTCAGTTGAGCAAAGAAATTTTCTAAGACTTATGTAGTTACCAAGTTTCTCTAAAAGCGACATGCAAGCATTTGCAACTCCATACCAAAATGAGAAAATTTACATTACAATCCAGACACCTTCCACACCTTATTTAGGATACACATACAAAAAATGAGTTCAGCTCAGTCATATAAAAACAACATAAAATGACAATGTGACTGGCTACATAGGGTTATGAGGTCAATGCATGGGTCTTTCCAATGGACGGTATGACTTGATTACAGGTTCTGTCAAACAAATAGCTTTGACTGACTTCTGACAAAACAGTAAAATGTAGACATTAAAATTATAATACTTCGGACATTTTAGCACACGAGATACATTTAAAATTATTTCATAAGAAAATAAAATTCCAACATAGCATACCATGTGCATGACAACACATATATTTCTCATGGTTTAATAAAACGTCTGCGTTGTATAAACACATGAAAGCGATAGAATCTCTATAGTAACGCATGCAATGCCACACAAGATGGTACCATCACGAAGAAACATCTCGTATAATGTCTATAGTCAAAGTTTAAAACCATTAAGTAGTAGTAAAAGCTGATAGTTGAAGCTAACACCTAAATGGCAAAGCATGAAATGCAACAAACCGTGATAAAAACCCCGAGTCAAGAAGAACATTAATGAAAAACAGCTATATAAATAATAATTAAGACAAAACATCTGCTGTTCACAAATACGATGTACTTACAGTGATGATAAGAACGTATCTGGGTATTCGTTGAACTGGCATGATCATCAAATCTTGTAATGTAAGTTTTTCTTTATGTTCACGAGATCGTTGCTGAAAAACGAATACAGCAATGTTTTGCAATGAATACAAAAACTGTGGGCTATGTTGCTATATCAAATACAATTAATATGTGGCAAGTTTTCAACATAAAACGTGATACCTCACAAAATTTTAAAAAACCAGGTTTTGCCATCGCAGCAGAGCGAATAGCTGTTCGAGCTCGCAGGAAATTATTGATGAATTGACTGTATGCATCGACCAGCGAGCACTTTGTAAACTGAAAATATAATTTACGCAGGATAACAAACACGAAAAATAACACTTCGTTACTGACACAATCGCTTCAAAACAACACATACTTGACCATGCATTTGAGTAGCGAGACTACTACAACCAATGACGACCATGCAAAATGGTCGTCATTTTGGTACCTTAATTCACAAATACAAGTGATTCCTCTCACCGATGATATAAAGATATCACCAAGTTTTGAATTATCGCTCCAATCCTGAACACGTAACGCCAAATGCTTGAGAAAACCTTCGTGGTATTTCAAAATTTCTGGAATCTGATAAAATATCTCGTTTACCAATGTTGTTTCAATAACACCTTCGCTCTTCCGTAAGGGATTCATGTATTCCTAAAGGAAACCAAGTGAAAAAAACCTTGAGAATTCAGAGATTTAGTTACTTACAGTTGCAATTGCATAACATGGAGTATGCAAAGAAATGCAACAACATGTAAACTTTACTTATAAGCATTTAAAACATAATTTAGATCTTCATTTATCTCTCGTTAGTAATGTTCGCATCCATTTTTGCTGAGATGTAAAATCTAATGGCCATTTTTACATATCATTTATACATTTATCATGTTATTAAGCCCAAGCAGTCATCACCAGATTGAACAAATCAATTTCATGTGTGCTGTCCCATTGACGGAAGAAAATTTGCACAAATTGAGTTTTTTTTAGAATGAGAACACCATTGGACAGCACACGTGACCATATTTGATTACATTTATAATTAGACCAAAGTGTATTTTTAGTAAAGTCATTAATCGGTAACTAAATGTCAACCAGGTTGACAGTTGACACATGTTTTTAAAGATTCATGTTCAAGAGGTTTACTTGTACGAAACTTGTGTTCTTATTTCACGTCAATTAGCTTCCACATTCTACGTGATTTATAACTGTCTTATTATTACGCAACAGTAAAAAAAACGATTGCACGATAAGAGCGCCATAAGTTGACATCACATGTTATATTTTGTTAGCGAATAGGAAAACTGGTCCACAGATTAACGCAATTATACAACATCTGTTTTATTTTATAAACACAAAAGTTAAAAAAAAAACCCAAATTGAACCATGATATGACGAGACCATAATTAGTGAGTAAAACTACTCTTTCCAACATCATTCTTACTTATTTAAAACGGTTATATGCAGCATAACTTTGAGGTACAAAAACATGATTTCATTCATGTTAAAATGCCTTTGTTTAAATTCTTTTCATCCGGGTAAATGAAAGTTTTCCCGCTTTTAACAGAGAGCATTCGGGTAGAACATATACCACCCCACCCCACCCCCCTACCCAAATGCTCGTAATAAGTAACAATATCCAACGACATGTCACTGTTTTCGGTGAGGAGAGAAATGAGATGAAACAGAATGTATATTACTGCTTCCTCAAATTACATATACAAACTGGTGTCGAGCGTTTATAAATATCAAAATATCCGTCACTTGTCATCACTAAATTTCGTGATATTTTCTATTAGTTAATTTAATAACCAAAGTATGAGCTTACTGTCAAGCGGGTGCAAATGGAAATGTCTGGAAGCAAAAATATCAAGGAATTTCATATTAAAGTTACTAAGCGATACATTGAAATCAAATAAGAAAATTAAAATGTCATTCTGTTAAAAACTGGAAAAGAAAATTAGAAATGAAAAAATGAAAATCGTCATACAATATTTAAGCAAAGAACATTCTTGCAAGTACTGAAATTTCCGGGCTACTTCAGAAATGAGATCCGTATCTTAAGTTCGAACGTGTCTTTAAAATCTGAGTCAAAAACTTCAGTTTGGGATACTAGCAGCCTTATTAAAATCTGTCAAAATGATAGTTGATACCATAACAAAAAAAAGTTAAGCTGATTGTTTTGAAATATTTCCATTATTTCACTCGTTGATAACATTTTAATTTTAAAGTTTTTTTCAGGAACGTTGTGCACACACCTGACGCAGAACTATTTTTGTAAATCAAAATGTGAAGAGGTTTATAACTGCAAGTGAATGCACCAATCTAACGACGAAAGGAGGCAGTGGTTGTCTTTAACTAGAGGTAGCAGAACGTTGTTAGACCCAGAGTAATGTCTAAGAGAGGCTTGTCCCTAACTAGTACAACGTTTTAGGTTCAATTTGATAACTAAGAGAGGAATTGTTTTAAAACTATGAGCCTCGTGCTTGTTTGAAACAGCAGCAAACATGAAAACAGCTGCAAGCAGTTTGCTTGATGGAAGTATTTTAATTGCTGAATTGAAACAAATTTTTTTTGTTACAATAAACACACAAATCATGGAAATGAAGGATTGAGCATTGAAATTATAGCCAATTTCTGACTCTGATCGAAACACTGGACTTCAAGCTAAGATTCAAGACTTCTAATCATACTAATAAATATACTAGTACGATGACATGCACACAAAAAATTATACGTAAATAACAAAGACTTTGATAATATAAATCCACGTCAATTAATAAGAGATATTATCGCAATGAGGACATTAATGTCATTGTATTCTGTCATAAGGATGAGTGGATCAATGATTTATGTTTACAAGTGGATTTTTTGTTAAAAAAATCCAAAGCGTATTTAAATGAAACTTGATAATACAACGATAAACAGACATTGTACAACAACAAAGCCATGACGTCGGAAAATAATTGTATACAGACAATGTATACGATGGGCATCCTAGGATGTTGTAAACATAGTGAATCGAAAAATTCGCAGGAGCTCTTTGATCTTCAAATATTTGGAAACGAGTTTGGTCCTCGATTTGTTTTTGTAAGAATCCTCGACCATTGCAATTATTCATTTTGTATGACAGACTTTGAATTGAATTGATCAGCCCATTCATGCAAAGCCTCATACACATTGCTTGTGTAGCCAATCAGATTAAAGAATAGTTGCAAACGTTTTGCAATATCATTTTAAAAAAGGAAAATTGTTTCTTTTACATAGTTCACAAGCTTGAAGTAAGTGTTTTTCAACATATCATTTGACAAAATTTCGACTTTAAAACTTATTCTAAACACTTTAAAACTAACAACATTCAATACGGTGTATGACATAACACGATTACCTGAAGTCAAATTAAAGATATGTTGTTGAACTAAAATAACGGCAACATATATAAATTATTAGCAAGAATTCAAAATTTCTTTCTGGTAAAAAGCGACACAGTTCATTTGAAAATTGTTTCAAATGAAGTAGCGGGAAAATGATGCAACGTATTTTGCTAAGTTACTTTTAATTGTAGAAAAATATTTGAACTAAACAGCATGGCTCGCATATCCACTTTAAAAATTCAAATTTCACTTTGTAAAAAAAATACACGGGATTATTAATATTTCAATCATCATCCTACCTTCACCATATACTGTAGACTTTGCACGTAGGATTGTTCAGTTTCGATCAAGTTTTGAATAACATGCCAACGCATTTCCTAATGGGAATAAATGCAAATTAGCTTACTTTCCGAGATTTTCACGTTGCACAAGAAAAATGGAAACGCAGAGGACTTTAAATACAAATAAATATATAAATAAAGATAGTAGGATTCAAACATACTAAAGATAGTACTACTTGGGCAAAGATTAAACTTGCGTGCTACACAATAAAAACAAGGTAAACGAAACCAAATTTGGCTTACACTTTTCGTGGCTTTCTTTTTCTTTCCACTAGGGAGATCACATGGATGGTGATCTGTGATTTTTTGCTCATGACTCTTCCCACCTGAGTCACCGTCTGCGTCACCATCAGCTTTCTTCGTATCACTCGCGTTAGCTTCAATCTGAGCAGCAACTTTAGCAGCCTGTCTACGACGAGCCTTTTCGCTTTCTCGTCGCCTTAATTTTTGCTGAGATGGCACATTACCCGTCAAGTCGGCAGTACTTGATGTGGAATGATCGAGATTGGTTTTATGATCGGCGCCGTTTTCTTCACGTTCTGCAACTTTAGATTTGGCAAGATCCGCTGCCTGCGCCAGGAGCTTACCATTGATAGCGGGCTCACTGTTGCTGTTACGAGCTTTAATATCGTACTCAGCAATTGGTTCTTGAATAGTAGTATAGTCTTGCTTTACACGTGGCGTTGGGTCACTATGATAACGACTTAAGTATATATCCGACAGGGGGGAGACACTGATATTCTTGTCAATGACATCACTACCCGATGTAGATTTTTCACTATTAATGCTGATTTGGCTGAGACTTGGCGACATTACAGCATCACTGGTAGATTCCGCACTTTTACCGTCAACATTTCGTGACAATGCAGGCCTCTCTTGACTGGAAGGCGCTTCGCTTAACTCCAAAGCAAGTTCATTAAGTAGATCTTGCGATTTATCAAAATCACTTTGCTCCATTTTGTCATGTCTGCGTTCCACTTTACCATCAGCTAACTGCATATAAGTCGAATCCGCTTCAGAATCGATAAGTTTTACTGAAGTACTTGGATCTTCGATAGAGCTACTGCGCTTGCGTGGCTCTTGGTTTCCTTCAAAGTTACTGGATCTGTTGGAAAGTTGTGGAGCACTTTCTTGTCGAGCGACTGTTCTCTTCGTTTCCTCGTTTCCTAAAGGAAACATTTAAGCATAAAGATAACGACAAATCATTTCAAGGAAAAACATCCTAGTTCAGATAGTTTTGTTTAAGCAATTTTAAGAAATTGTACAATGATGTTGTAAGCTCAATATAAGCATGTATAACTGGATGAAATGATCGACAAATGGATTAATGAATAAATGGTTGGATTGACGAACACACGGTTGGACAAACGTACGTAAGTATGACGAGATGAATTAACAAATGGATGAATAGATACATGGTTGGATTGAGGAACAAACAGTTGGACAACTGGATATTTGACCGGATGTACATAAGAACAGACATATGAAAAAAATGACGTATTAGTGCACAAATCCATTTCTAAACAATAAATTTGAAGCTAATTTTAATCCTTTTAAACAATCAGAAATTCTCGTTTACACGTAAAAATCGCCAAAATTTACCAACGTAATAGATGGCAGATATTATTGACATTTTATTCAATTAGCTACGTCATACCATAAACGATAAGTTTCGTAAATTACGAAATGACGCCAGGAGTTTGTTGTACACCGGAAAGCAATAAAAAGGAAAGCTTATTTTACCAATACAAAAAACACATGATGTAAAGGAAGCTGTTTTTGAATATGCAGTGAGATGTGTGCTGCTGATTATAATCTTTCCTTACTCTCGATATTTTTTTTTATTTATTGTCCTGACTGCTTAAATTGGAAGCTACGAAAAAACGGGAAAATAAAAGGCACATTAAGTCATCCCCAGTAGCACCCCAAAAAAAACTGGCGGGAATCTACGTTCTGAGACCGACTCTTGTAATTCTTATGTTTCATATTTTATTCCAAAGCCATCATCAGTCAAATCTCTTAAAACCGTGTTAGGATTAATATATAATATATATCCTCTGATGATGGCTTTGGAATAAAGTCGAAACACGGAGCCCTCCAGTAAACTGCTATAGTGGCGAGAATCTCTCGTCCATACGCAGATTTAAGAGATTTGACTCGTCTCCAATCCCTGTGGGCTTGGTAGCTCAACAGGTAGAGCGGCGGACAAGTATCCCGAAGGTTTTTCATGTGCATATTAAAACCGCGTTAGGATTAATATATTTTATGTTTCGTATAGAGCCCCAAAATTTTAACCGGACTATCTTTTTTCGCCACTATCAGTTTATTTTCACCGAATATTTACACATATTTCACAAAAGCTGGGGAGAGGTGTCACATGCTCCACTCTCACACCAATGTGCAACCTCGGTCATATTTTTGCAATTCATTACTGCTTAAACTGTATTGAACCAACTTGGATGAACTTAGTTCATGTCCGTGAAAAACAAAATGAATGAATAAAACAATTAATTCCGAATATTTGGCAATTATTGATATTCCGAATATCAACGTTTTCTAAAAAAACGAGATTTATTCATCAGAAACATTTTTCTCGGCAAAATCAACGAGCCAGCAGCTCAGAAGGAAAACGTCGCCAGGATATCTAGACATAAAAGCATTAATTGCGCAACAGACATGGCTTCAATCGCTCTCTGTTTTCAAAACAAATAGAAATATTTCTTGATGACTTACGTACAAATGTAAACTGAAAAAAACGAATTTGGAGCAGGTGTTTTGCACTTCGTATCATTTAATTATAAATACAAATATGCACGCTAGGTTATAATGGCATTCTAATTTTATTTGAAAACCATTATAAACAATAAACATGAGATGAATACAGCTGTAAGATAATGAGATGCACAATATCAAGTCAAATGCAATTTATCATTTAGAAAGTACGAACAGTAACAATTCTTAGAAAGTACGAACAGTAACAATTCTTAGAAAGTACGAACAGTAACAATTCTTAGAAAGTACAAACAGTAACAATTCTTAGAAAGTACGAACAGTAACAATTCTTACTGTACACATGTACAATAAAGTAATGATGACAATAAAATGATAAAACTGAATGGATAGAAAGTTATCAGAATAACACGGGTGTTCATTTTACTGTGTGTTTATGTCAAAGTAACACACATTTCCATGAAACTTGTGTTAAACAGTATTGATAAAAAGAATGTAAGGTTATATCAACAAGTATACCACATTGATGGGAATTGCACACATTACAGAAGAATGCTGGTATGATTTCAGAAAGCCCTTGGTACAACTACTGAATTCTAAGAAACAAAATTTATAGATCTTCTCAACAGATAATTGAATTACGACATAACATTTCAAAAAAAGTGACATCCCTCAAGACAAAATTCTGTCACTGTCATAGGTCAACTGTCCGCTTTAGCCAATAAAATTCCACAGTTTTTTCACAAATTGAAAGTTATAGTAAATGTGACAAAATATTTCTTCTGCATGTTAAAAATAATTGGTACTGGGTTTAAAATAACTTGGCAAGCAAACAAACTCAGCTTTTGCATTCTTAAACTTGAGAAAGTCAAGAATCATGAAGATCAACAGACAAATTGTGAAATAAAATTAATAAAAAAATTATCATGAGATTATACAATTGTTTCAATTTTTAATGAACAAAGATGCTCACCTTTTGCTTGTTGGTTTTTCACATCATTGAACAACTCATCCAAAGCCTGTTCAAGGTTAAGAATTGTAGGTATACGTGGTCGTTCCATTTTTTTGGATCTTTTATAATTATTGTCTTTATTCCCATCTTCTCTTCTCATATCTCGATCACGGTTTGTACATTTGTTTCCACCATTTGTTTCAACAATACCTAAATCAGTTTGTACACTTTCCACTTTGTTCATATCTATCTCTGGTTTTGGTGATAACTGATTTGAAATTTGCGCTTTTACATAAGATGGTCGTCGCAAAGGAGATTTCACACCATCAGTTTCGGTATCATTGGTATCACCTTGTCCTTCACTTGAAATCATTATTTTAGTAAGTGACTCTTTACCTCCACGAGCATTACTGCCGCTACTATCAGAGTGAAGAGGTTCATCTTCCTCTTGTATGTTAACAAGTGTAACAAAGGGTTTCGGGATTGAATAAGGGACATCTTTACCAAAAGCAAAGGATGACACCTTGTTCTTTTCTCCAGTAGTTAAAAATGACCCATTATTGGAAGGTGAAAAGAAATCTTCACTAACAGTTGGAGATATCACAAGATCTTCAGTAGGGACAACATCATCGGGGCTACTTTGTTGAGGTGCTTGCAAAGGAAACAATTCAGGACTTTCAGTTTCAATTGGATTTCCCACTTCTACATCTTTCTCTAAATTGTCAATTAAATTTTTCAAAACTTTGGCACCTTCATCAACATCAATAGCACCATTTCGCTCAGAATCACCAGCAAAAAAAATCGTAGAACCTTCGGAACTAGGTGCATGGATTGTCTTAAAACTACTTGAGGCTGGAGCCTGAAATTCATTTCCAACAATTTCTGGACTGCATATTCTTGGTACAGGAGTGCTACGCGGTGTCTCACCACCGCTTACGGACGACCTTCTTCCACGTATGTGCGAATTAAATGGACTTTTTTTCAAAGACGGTGATGTACAAGAGTTGTCACTGAGCTCTGCAGTTAATACGACAGGTGATTTGTCCTTAGACGATGCTTGCCCAGATGTTTTTATGAAATTGTTCTCCACAGCATAGGGATGCGAGTGCGCAATATCCTGAGATGCTATATCACCAGTTGAACTAGTTGCTCGTTGTGAAGGGTTAAGATGTACAGTAGAAAATGACTTGATGTTTACTTTAGAAATACGTGCTTTGCCTTTGCCTCGCGGTGAGATACGATTGAACGTGAATCCTGTACGAAATCCAGCTACTTCATCGTCGAGCGAGCTAACAGAAGTAAGACTTCGAGAAATGTTTTTTTTATTGTTCAGACCGTAAATAGACGAGCGTGACCTATGTTGTTCATAATCACAGTCGGTTGACGAACAAATACGGCCGGGATATTCTTCAATACGTCTACGACCAGGATCCGAATGTTCGCTAGGATCACTATCCGCAAAATAATGTTTTGGACGATAATTTACTTTCTTTCTCACTCGTTTCTTACGCTTTTCGTAGCAATAGTTATTGGGCCAATATTCCCGCTCACTTGAGCTCGGTCCAGATTCCGAATCGGAACTATTCACGTTGCGTTCACAGGCTGAAGTATAACGCGAGTTTCTTGGCAAACTTTTAGACAGGCTGTGTTTTTCATTTTTCGCATAAGCACCAGGAATTGGACGAGCAATTTTTTCTCTATAACTATTTTTCCCTCGTATCATGTTGATGTTGTCTGTTTGAATTCCGTAGTAATAATTTGACGGGGGCTCATCATTTCTGTACTGCCGATCTAATTCGCCGGGACGATAAGTATATCTGTCGTTACAACTCCTGAAAAGATGAAGTTTGCCAGAGTTTTTATTATAAATCTTGTCATCATGACCGCTATACGAAACACAGGATATGTTGTTGTTGTCTTCTCGTAAACTATCTTGCTTCTGACCTTTGACGTGTGGACATAGTTGAGCCTGTTGGCTTGACGGCTGTGTGTAGCTGACATACGAACCAATATCCCGATTGTATGTCACTAACGATGAATCCACATTTGCAGAATTCCTATCTGAACTACCATAAGCCTTGATTCTTCCAGGTAAAGATTTAGAGTTTTCAGTCCCCACAACTACAGCTTGTTCATTGTTAGCTGGGGTTTCACGTGGAATTTCAGGCATGCGTCCACGATCTAAAATTGTCCCACTCTCGAAATCTCTAACATTTGACATTACTGGAGTTCGCCTTTCTTCAATTTCATAATTTCCTTTAGATCGAATATCATACTCACGCAAATTTTTTTCCCTTTGTATAAAAGATATATGTTGATCATTTGCTCTTTGACGACTTCGACAATTCGCTGATTGAGATGCTGTACTCCGTCTCTGTGTCCTATGCTTTAAATGCGGATTTATTTCCGTCCTATCAACTCGATTATCAAGTCTATACTGTACGGAACTTGCGCCGGTGATTTCTTGTGCGTTTGCTGGTGTAGAATACTGACAACCATATCGATGTGAGCGACTCTCAGCGCCATTGTGAAGCAATAGTCTGTTATCCTCGTCGCTCAGTGTTAATCTATTGTAAAACCCGTCAGACATTATACGCGCTCAAAATTACTTGAACGCTGTTCTTTGCTTCATTTTTACGAATACTTTTGCCACTTCGAGTCAGCCTGTAACCAAAATGTTCACAAAATACAATTGCGCACGTAAAACGAAAAGCAAACCTTCGAGGAAACAGATTAGAAGTGACATATGACATCCGATGAATGTCTACCACCAACAAGGCCTCATAAGGGGCACAAAATAACCCCAAACTTTATTATTTGTTTCTGCTCATGCATCGATACATGTCTTGCTGGCCTATAGCCTCGAAGTCGATTGTGATGCATATGATGTTGAACAATGCTGAAAAACAATACAAGAATAGTTTGGGCTTACAGTTCCCATTATAACACCGTGTCGGGGGAGGGGGAGAGATCGTACATGATTGCATGAAAAATCTGATTACAATCAATACGCGCATTATATTACCTGTCGCATACCATGAGTCTACTCTAAATATATCTACTCCGTTCAAACATACGACATTAGCTATTGATTGACGTAAAAGTCTTCACAATAGCCATAACACTATTTCCCCTGTTGATAAAAAGATTTTCTTGACTTTAAAAGTTGCCAGTTTTGAATTGAGAATTTTTTAAATAGGACATGTTTATGTCTTGTCAATGAAAAGCCCAACATACCAAGATCAAACGCCTAAAAATGTTAATGAGTGCGCGAGGAATCATGGCGCCGAGGTCAAATTTTTTACGAAAAATGAAATCAAAACGTGTTGAAAAAACTTTTATTTATAAATAGAATGAAGGTGATAATTTTTAAGTTGGAACAGGAACTAGACATAATTCCTTTCTTGCTAGGCGCACAACATGTTTTTATTGCCAAAAACTCATATACATATTGCCATACGTAATAACTTGTTGCACAAATGCTGTGCTGTATATAAAAATTGAGCCAACGACTCTTGTACACTCCTATTTTATCATTAACATAAGTCATTCTTTTTGCTGTGAAATGTTTGACAAACGTTAAGTTTTAAATATATAAACTCATTTATTGTCATTCACTGAACTCATAACACTCGTCGTAACGAAGAAAAATATTCGCAGTTGCATAGTTTACATTTCAGTTTGTTAATCAGTGAAATTTGAAGAAAAAACTTTAAAGAAACCGCGTGCACCTCCAGTACAGGAAAGACTTGAAAATGCAATTTTATGCAACTTTATATTTTTATTAATTTTTATGAAATCAAATTATTTAGTCATGTGTGGGTGAATTGATATGTATATTAATGTACATATTCATGTTTGTATATTTTAGATCTTATTTATTTATATTTTATATTACATGCTCATTTTAAAGAAAAGATAGTTTAGCAGATCAACGCTTGCGTAACGATTGCAACTTTTTGCAAGCAGACCTTTCAGAACATAAAACTTGAGCTTTCATATCTTGGAACGACTTTCGTAACTGATCTGGTTGTTTCGTTCGAAATTCTACATAAGTCAGTGAAGGGTAAGATTTACCATTTCTCGTTGTGAGGATCAGACTGAATATAGCTTTGCTTTTTCAATAAATGCAAAGAGAGCAGAAGAAAAGCTATTTGTTGCTCGTCACTAAATACGTCAATGTACTGATACAATCTATGTGTATAAAAACGTCACAATTGACTAACGAACACATACCTCCTGAATTTGCCCACTGCAATTTTAATACTGTTTGAAAGGAAAACACTATTGCTTATTGTCCATTACAGTTAAAGGTTTCTTCTTGCATTGATCATTGCGTTTGAACGAACGCAATGAAAACGAACACCTTTCGTTTTTTGAATAATTAAATTTTCTTAGATCTAGATCTAGATCATTTGAATGCACCGTGGTTGCCTGATTAGATTTAGTCGGTCGGTGGTGACTACGTGAAGCACATGTCGATGTTAGGATCTAGCTCAACATCGTGTAAACGGAGAATATAATATTTTAACACCAATTAAGACTTTCATTCGATGTTAAGCATTTAAGCTTAGATTCCATGACCTTGATTCAATGTTAAGCAGTTAGGCTTTTGCCAAAAAAGCGCATCGTTGAACTTTGAAAAACTATAACTGATAAACCATGCCCCTTTTCCACGGATATTATACCGATTACGCCACTTTAATCTGATTTACTGAAGTATATAAATGAGTAAAAATGATACCTCTCATTAAACGACTTTCTTCACTCTTCAGCAATAAATACCATTGTAAAATACGCGACGTACCTCAAATAGTCTAGAAAAATACCTGCAAGACCATTGCAAATCTACAAAATCTAGGTATACTATGTGTTGACGCAACTCTCATAATTTGATGTTCATAAATAGTTTAATGACGAAGAACCTCAAAAGTCAGAGATTGAGTCTCTTTTTTCTTTTGTTTTGTCAGACAAACTTTACATACAGCCAACATGGCAGAGAACTACGTCAAATATTTAAGTTATTTGCATAATGCGGCGCCATATTTTATATCATAAAACTTTAAAATTTCAGACAATTAAAGGTTGTCAACAACGGAGTGGCACAAAAAATACATAACAATAGCACAAATTGACACATGTGTTAAAGCGAAACCTTATAAATAAATAATTTAATTAATCTGATTCTGATAGTAGTTATTGATTTGACTCATCTCGTTAACACGTAATGATAGAGACAAAATATTTTTAATTTCTATAAGAAATCATTTCATTCTTTTCGTTTCATTGATACTCTCTAAATTCTAATGTCTTACTTATGTAAACTTCAGGTTGCATTTGCGCTATGTAAGATTTAAAACTGCTTTGAGTTGATGTTCTCACTTATCATCCACTGGCGGAAATTCAGTCTGGAGGTGGCGGGCAGAGCGTCGCAAATTTCCGATATTTTTTTTAATTTTCATTTTTTTTGTTTCAAAAAATAGGCAAAATACAGAAAGACAAAAATGATTTTTACAAACAAAACACATCAAACAATTTCAAAACAGATGGGTTTTTTTCTTTTGATTTACTGATATAAATAACTATTTTATGTACTTGTATTGAAAATGATAACTAGTCTATCCCAAGGTGGAAGCACATAACAAGAAAACAGCTTCAAGAGTTAAGACAATCAAGTTTACATACGAATTGCTCATTGGGATTGCCTCATTATTTATTTTCAGAATTGATTCGATTTTTTTCAAGAATTCTCCGACAAATTACTTGTGGGCAATCCCAACCTACTGATATTTCCGCCACTATTTGTTAACTTAATGCAATTGTCCAGATACTTGCTGTATAGCCCGAACCTTATTTTTAATGACTACAGTGCGTGAAATAAAAGTTTGAAAATTGTTGTCTGGTGTTGTATGTGCAAAGATAACTTTAAATGAACGAAATAAATAGACAGGAAATGTAGAGATATAACAGTAAATACAGCCATTATTACTCATTTTTAATATCTACACGATTTACATCAAACAATTTACATATTTCATTATATGAACATACATTATGACGTTAGGGAACTCCTTCAATGTAATTTCTAAAATCATATGATGGAGTGTATAAAGATAAATACCAACAAAGAAGCGTTCTAAGAAAATGCATTTCAAAGAAGCACTCAAAATCAGCGAAATGAACTAAGAATGATGAATGCAGAATGGTCCTTCTATGCAAGAGCAATTTATAAACATTAAATACTCCACCAGAAATGATGGTGCATTATATAAAATTTTTTTCTAGTTGATACTATGATATTTCGATAAAGAAGGAAATCGAGGAAGCAAGAGATATCACACTTTACTGTCTTCGCTGACTGGTGCTTCAATGCCTTCATTCTAAAATAAAAATATAAAATACATTACTTTTACTACACAAGATGCACAATCAGTATTTATTATTTAGATTGAATAACTTCCAGTCTTAGTTGTATCAAATATATCTGAAGTTGAATAGAAAACGTACCATTTCCATTCGAAGACTTGCATTACTTTCTGTGACTGTCTTACGGCCACGTGATGTCGCACTTTTAGCCCCATGACTGTAGATGGATTTTGCAGTAGGAGCACGTGATTCAATAGGTGATGGCGAAGCAAAAGATTGAGAGTCTGTTTCAACTGACTGCAGGCTGGCATTGCTGCCGTAGTGATCCAGCTCTTCGCGAACGAGTCTTTCCATCTGGTCTCGCTTAAGATCTTCCTGAGATTTTGTATTTGCACCCTTAAACACAGTAAGAATATATGTTAACATACACAGAGTTTATTCTGATAATTATACATAACTATCATACTTCAGTAATGTTATCCAGCAGTCTTGCCATGGTTTCTCGCCGTTTTAGCTTGGCTTTTTCCATAGCCTCCAGTTTTACAAGCACGGCATCAATCTTTGACACAATACTTCCAATTGAATGTTCCATTCGATCAACACGTCGACTCAGTCTACAAGTGTAGTTAAATGTGACAAATTAATTATCCAAAGCATTGTACAATGAAACAAGTTTTCTAAAAAGAATAAGACGCGTGCATGATAAGTTAACAGCCACGTGTAAAATCCTGAATTATGTTTTATTACATTTAAAGAATTATATCCTCAGCACTTCTACTTCATATGTCTTCATGACATGTTCAACTTTATTCATCAATAATAAATTATTTCAATAATACTCACACAGTGAACTCGTCATAGGATACACCGTCGCTTACTCCACCATTTCGATGTTGTAACGAAGGTGAATCAGATCGTCCTCTCAGTGCTCCTTCGTCATCACTGTCGACATCACTGTCACGGAAGCTTACACGAGTGACAGCTGTACCAGGTCTGCCTTCTTGTTTAGCTCGCTCCATCTCTTCAATCTCATCACTGAGTTCGACCTAAAGATAAACCACAAAAATTTTATATATTCCTCGAACAGCTACGAGATTCAAAAATACAAGGGTCCAATACCTGTTGTCCTTCCAAATCTTCCTGCATTTTTTTACATTCCTTTTCATCTAAGATGCGATCACCATCCACATCATATTTCGCAAAAACAGCTTCAATTTCTGCATCAGCATGACCACGACTAAGAGAACAAAAAATCCAAAATTTTTACAAATAGAAAGGGGACTGGAGGATGAAAACACTCAACTCGAAGTTCATAAGTATTTTCCTAACGTAAAGAGGACGCAATTATCATTCTAAAGGTTTTACATGTTACAAACTCTGCATGAATAACTAACGAGAAACGTACGATTTCAATTCACTTCTCCATTCGTCAAAATCAAGCCTGGTGTCATGGTTTACATCAGCATTTGCCAAGGCTTTTTGAATATCAGCTATTTTTTCTTTCTTCACTGAAAGTTTATCCACAACTTTGTGATAACCCTAAAAATATTATATGCTGTTTTTGTTTTACAAGCTCCTTGTGCATAGAGTAACGACGAACATTTTGAGTGTAGCGATGTCGATACCTTTTTGAAGTAATCACCCAGTTCAAATTCACTCTTTTGTAGGGCAATATCCGACTTCACTTCAGCGTAAGTATCATTGATGATGGCAAGGAACATGTTAAGAAGGACAAAGAAAACGAAGAAGACGTAGGTGATGAAAAAAATTGGTCCGAGGATGCGATTAGCGTTCTCAATTTGATGAAAATCGAAGTCGCCGAGAATGATACGGAACAGAGTAAATCTATAAATACCAAAAACATGATACACCATCAAATGCAAGGCATTCTTCAACCTTGTAATTGATTCACTATTTGCTTCATGCTAATCAGCAAATGAGGGTGAAATGAGCCCGAAAACTTACATGCTTTTGCCAAATGTGCTGAAGTCGCGCACTTGCGTTCCGAAAATCAAGTATCCCAATTGAGCATACGCAAAAAATATGATGAAGAACATAACAGCAAAACCAGCGACATCTTTGGCGCACTATTCGATATGACCATAAACTGTTCAACTCCTAGGCATAGTAATACAATGAAACAGCAAAAAGCATACTCACCCTGGCCAAAGTTGATGAAAGCTGTGTCATTGTTTTGTTGAAGCTTATGTATTTAAACACCTAGATAAAAATGAGAGCGAGTTTACGTGTATTAGTCGATGAAAGCAGCATAGAAGCTACATTTTCTTGCCTTGATCCAAGAGAAGAAAACAGCAATAGCAACAATGTTGTTGAACTGTGTTTGCCAGTAGCTAATGCTGTCAAAGTTTGCATACTGATTTGGATTGTCCAACAGTCCTTTAAGGAGATTTCCAACAACAACAGTTCGGTAAATGTGAAATGCCACGGCAGTGTAGCTGAGCAAAAGCACAACAATATCAAGAACATTCCAGAAACTTTTGAAGTATTTAAATTTATGTTTCTTGATTTCGATAATCTCTTCAACAGTATAGTAAATAAGGAATAGAGCAAAGATGCCTTCACACGCCATTACAAAATGATCAAAACCAGTTACGTAACGAAGCAGTTTCAACGTCCTGAATGTGAAGCTCGGAATACATCCTCCTGTTGCAGGGTATTCAAATAACAATCTGAAGAAAGGAATAAGTTTTTCAGTCAACATTTCAATTAAATACATATGATAAAGACACATAATGTATCTTATGCATGTGTTATAAAATTAGGACGATCTATATACATTTATCTCATTTGGTGAGGTGGGATACATTCCTACACCCTGCAATCCTATCGTAATTCCGTTTGCTCGTGAATTATTATAAAAAAAATGACCCACAAATTACATCACGTGATCTATAAACAAACGCATATTCGAACATTTGCGTATTTTTCATTCAATTACCTCACAATACAGAATAGATTGATATTTGCATTGTAAACGGAGAAATCGATGAATACGGCGCGGGTTCCGCGATTTAACCATAGGTTTTCCTAAAGTAAACACTCAATTGGTGACACTTACATAAAGTACAGCCTGTAGTTATCATTATCAATATGATGGGAAAAAAGAGATAGTATTAACAGACAGTCGGTGTGTTAAATAAACACCAGATGACGATGTAAATCATACTGAGAAATATTAATGAAAGAATTCTTCTTTATGTAAGCTTTTATTTAACTATAATTGAAAGATTGGTGAAAAAATAAACCACATACTTTGAGTTCTTCAATGATGATTTGACTTTCCTCTTCTGTCGCATTAAGTAGTTGGACAAATCCACCTCCTTTGTATGTCGCCAACTGACCCCAGAAACTTCGACCTTCGAGAGCATCTTCGGATTTGTATGTCCAACTAAATGATTGAAAATTATGAATTATTGCTCTGGATTATTTCGTTCTAGAACCAGTGACGTCAGCGGTCTGCAAATCAGGTCATGATATGAAAATTTCAAATCCCTGGTGTAATTCATTTCATGACAACATCTAATATTTACATAGCATGACCAAGTCTTAAGGCTGGCAACCTCAATTTTTGAAAACAGGCGTTAATACGTACGCCGAACCATTCATCTTGCCAAATGGTGCTTTATCTTCAACTCCAGGGGAATATGGTGCATAACATTCCTTAATGACATTTTTGAAGTCATCATGTACACTAGATAATAGTGTTTCAGAATTAGATGTGTACTGAGGCGAGAGAGAGCATTCATTTATAGCAAAAGCAAGGTCAAAGTTTTACTCACACACAGGAATCGCTCTTTACTCTAAGCTGTCTGAGTCTGGGTCTTCCTAAAATCTTATTTTCAAAATAAATGTATCCGAGTTCGTTCGACGACATCTTGACACTCTTGTTGTTATAAAATTTTTCCCAAAATAATCCATTCGATAGAGGACCCAGTGCATACTAGAAATCAACAAGCACAAAAATGGCTATTGTTTGTACTTTTGCTAAAAGACATTTTCTAGGTGCAGGTCAATCTGCTTAAGTTACTATTTGTGCAACGATGTTGGTTTGATACAAACTACGAGTTTATTATCTGACCATCATCTGGTGACGACAGAATGACAAAATACGGGTGAATTAAATTCTGTTAGCCTCTCCTAACTGCACGCAGCCCCACCCCACCCTCCAAATAAGAAATTCGGTATTTATTTTTGTCTAATATCATTTTCTCCAAAAAACTATGTACTCAAAAATGACAACGATATCTTTCATCAACAAAATGCCCGAACATTGCATTGCGTTTAAATGTGAAACAAAGTATAACATGATTGCTTACCAAGATAAACTAAGTCATGTTAATGACAGGAGAGTTTGACATAAGCATTAATACAAACACGATTTCTTACCATGAAGAATTCATTCATAGTGGTGATATCCTTGAAGGTATTTCGATTCTCCATTGTTGTTTCAACGAAAAGATCTGAAATTAAAAATTGCAAAGAATTTCGAAGAAATCAATGGAAAGAAAATATGTTGTTAGTTATAAGCTCTGAGAAATCTATGTTTTTTAGAATGTAACTCGTTGGCAATTTTTGCTTTCAGGTCGCTAACATTCAATCATACAAAGATTATACAAGTGATAACAAATATGAAATATACATATTGTAACACATATAGTTGAGGTTAACAACATATGAACGTCATAAACAAGATAAATTCGTAAAATAGCACGACAAACAAGGAGTGTTTTACCTTTCATTACTTTGGTGAAGTAGTACATCGTTGAGCTGGTCATGCCGAACGTCACTGTTAAAATACATCTTACAATTATTTAAAACAGTCAACTCTACTGCGCTAAAATAAAGCGTTGGTAAATATAGGGGAAAATTTTGCACTTGTAAATTTTCTTGCTTAGAGTGGGCAAACCAAATTTTATGGTGGTCGCGAAAAATCAGCGATGTGAAATATACCGAAAGGAAAAGACATTCTTATATTCTTATATATGCTGCTTATAATTCATTTACGCCCAGTCGACTGTAGAAGAGCACTAGCGTAACTCGAAACTCAAAACGAATTTCAGCTGCTTAGTTTTAATAAAAATACCTTCATAACAAAGATATTTTTTTTAAAAAATTAAACTTTGCCAGTTGAATTGCCTTCATGGTGTTTGGAAATGTAATTATATGCAAAAATGAACTGCTTCAATTGATGTTGAGGTTGCCAAGATTTGCTACTGTTTATTCATCTCCTAATTTGATGCATTTAGGATTGAATACCAATAGTCAGCTTTCAGATACTTACATATGCACAAAACTACAATGAAGAAAATGTAAATGATCAGTTCACGAAGAGTGGTTTTTACATGCATCTCGCGATCACTGTTTACATCTTCGGTCTGTCTTGTTCGCCAGAGACCTGGAATAGAATGAAAGATAACCAGTAAAAACTTAAACAAAAAAATTAATTATGATGAATATTTGTAATCATCATAGATATAATAAATTTTCTCCCATTACACAGGTTCCACATATCAGGACGATCTAAAGACCTACAAACATGTGACAATACTCCCGGGTTCAAACCGTTCATTTTATTACTTATAATGATAAAATGGGATAGAAGTTCATGTTAAGTGATTTCCAATCTTTAGTAAAGCACGACATAAAAGCTTTTGTTAAAAACGCTAGACTAAAATCAGACATATGTATATATCCTTACGAATTTAAGTGTAAATTTGTCTTTTTCTTTTAATACGTTAAAAATAAATTTCGTTTGATTCTAATGAAGATTTATGAGTGATAAGGTATAGAGTTCTGACAGTGTACGGGGGTCTTAAGCATACTGATGGTCATAATTAAACAGAAGTAAAAGAGAACGAGTCACCATTGCACTCTGGAGAAAAAAAGGTGGGCACAATTTCAATAGAAATTATGTGTAATATACTGCGTCAACATTGGCAATGTGTAATATACTGCGTAACATACTGCAATAATTCTGAGGAACCTTTCCAAAATGTTTGTGTTTTTTATAAACTATGTCACGATTGTCATAAGTGATAAAATTATGTTATAAATATAAACATTATACAAAACTGACAAATTTTTGTCGTAATAAAACCGTACAGAGGAGACATTAAGTTCACTACATCGAATATTTTCGTCTTACTACAATTCAAACAGACAAAAAAAATAAAGAATTTCAAACTAATTTGCAAGCGAGCCTGAAAATTTACTATGGGTTAGATCATGATTAAATAAAATGCGCAGATAACTGTCGTGAGACCGGCAATCAAATACGATTTCCTCTTTTACTTATGCTCATTATTATGACAGTATTTATCAGCTAAAACAGATGTATGTACATTGAATCCTTGGTAGAGAATTTCTAACTTAAATATAAAAGGAATTACTTACTGTTTACTAAACTACGAATAATCAACATGCATGTCGCGCGCACTATACTGTGGACATTTTTTCTCAATAATTAGCGTTAAATAAGGCAACTTCCAATGGTAACAACATGTTTGACGGTCGCGTAGCATTACGCATTTCTTTTGCTTTGGCTTTCACCCTTCACGAGTAAAGACAAAAAGTTCACACGAGCATATACAAAAAGGCATGCATCGAAAATGCCAAAAATGATGAATGTTTTACTCGGAAGCAAAGGACAAAAAAAATACAATAGTTGCAATTTCTTTCAAAATGTAGTTAATGCATTTAGCCCGGTAAAAACGCAAAACTTGCAAACCTCACTAAATGGATAAATGAGTAAACTACTGAAACGCACGAGACATTAAAACTATGCCAAATGATAAAACTTACTGCGTACGATTCTTTTAAGCCGTGTCCAAAATCCTACAGGCACATGACGACGTTGTAGTCCAGCACGAACATCTGTAGGCACTTGCTTTTGATGTGCGACAGGCTCTGCTTCCATTCCAGTTGGGGAGACATCAACTGTCGTTGCTGCAGTTCGCGGAGAAAAATCCACATCATCTGTAACGTCATTTTCCTCCCAAGCCGTTCGCGAATAAGTTGATGTTGGTCTCGACACCATCTCTATAGGATGGTCAATGCCAAGACTGATTTGAGAGCCACTATGCTTCCTTCGTTTTGTATTCACGAGTTTTTCAGAATTCATCTTTTCTTAACTCCCAGTCCAAAACTTGCTATATTTACGCCTTCCAAACTCGCCCTACCTCTACTCTGTAACACCAAGTGATCGTAAATGGCCATGAATAATGCAGACGATAATCTTTACAGGCAAAAAGAATCTCAAATTTCGTTGCTTAGTTACGCTCTCTACGGTTTTACCTGCTAAATTAATGAGAAATTCGATATCAATCTAAATACGAGCCGATTGATCTATTTTTCATTTCATTGCTTTGTGAAAAAAGCTGAATGCATCATGGACATGGAAGAAGAAACAAGATGTTTGGCTGAAGATAAACTATGAAATTAAAATTTCAATGATGAAAACAGTGTGTTCTTTAAAGTTTTGTCGGTTACTTTAAGTGATCGAGCTCCAGTTTTCTTCCCACTCGTTGCATTTCATTAGAATACTATTGACATTTTCACATCATGAGCATAATCAACATAAGCAGGTGCGACACTTATTTTGTTTGACTATAAACCTGGTTTTACAAAAATTTTCAAATATTTCATAACATAATTCATTCTATTTCATCTAAATATCTTTTAGGGGTTTTAGCAAACGTTTTTCACAAACGTTTCATCGCATCCATGCACCTGTATCTCGTTAATTATTAACAATCATTCGCAATATTCTCATTGGTATCTAAAGCAACAAAAAGAAACTTAATAAAATATTTATACTTAACTCAAATATGAATAAGCCATTACGTGCACATATACTCCCCCAGCATTACGTTTCCCCACGTTTTTCAGCTCATACCTAGTTTTTATGGTTTACATTTTACAAAAATCTCCAATTTTCCTCGAAACAGTCGGAAAAACAGAAATAAAAAACACATCTCTGAATAGAATTAAAAATTACATTATATTTTGAATAACAATTGGATAATTAAAAAAGATTCCATGCGAAAGCCAAAACATTTTTTACACACGTGATATTGATGAAGATATTTCTTGAACTTGGTAGTAAATTTTAGTAGCTAGAAATTTTTTAGATGTCACTTGATTATACTGGATTCCAATAACTAGTGCTTTTTATGAAAATTTCCTATGCATTAGCTCGTTTGACTCAATCAAATTGTCTAATACTAAAATATCACTTTAAAAATAAAGATGTCAAATAAGTTTTACAGAAATACGTCTTTTAAAATCAACTACTATTATAAAATAATTTACAATAGCGCAAGAATTGGAACTCACAGGTGATAAAACACCTATTTGCACTTATGAAGATGACGCACTTTTGACTTGGCGTAGATGTACCTAAAGTTAATATTTGCAAAGCTGTACGTAAATTGAAGTTTAATTGAATTCTAAATTTCTATTCTTCGTCACGATAATTGTGAATAATATAATTACATCCTTAGTAAGATGGTTTTCATGAAAAAAACATCATTTAAGTCGTAGGCAACTTAGACTTTAAGTCAGACTTTTACCTGCTGAAACACAAGCTTAAGTTTGGAATAAATACGAACTAAATGAATATCGTCTATAAATTTAACTAGGACGCTGGAAATATGCACAGTACAACTTCAAGATAGTCTAGGATTCGTTAATCATCGAGTAAGAGTATGAACCATTTATCATCAATTTTACTTTGGTCAACTGGTTTTTCGAGATGGACAACAGTTTTTCAGAAGACTTGACGATTTCCTTCTTAGGAACTTAAAGGTTTATAAGATGAAAAAATTATGATTGCCATCATGCAAAGAGTAAATTAAAGCGCCTTCATCAGTGTGAGGAAAATGACTTCTTTAGATAAAAAATCGATTTTAAAATATATGATAGCACGAAACTTTATCTTGATGGGTCTTTCCCATTACACTCAGCGTCAAGGAAAACACTTGCATTGAAGCTATAGTTTTCATTATTCCAGTTCAGAATAAACAATAAACTTGTTCAGCGACAATACAAATATAATGTACCGCATATGTGTATGATTTGTGAACATCGTTTAAGTGAATAATGAAAGAAACAGGTCGGACGCTATTTCCTTCTTAAATTTTGTAATACTGTACACTGTTTATACTTTAGGAAATTTACGTTTTTCCATTCATGTCACTTCCGGTTCTCCCATTTCTAAGTTCTATATCCAAAAAGCTAATGTGGATAAAATTTAAAACCAATTAAATGCAATGCAAATGTTCTTAAAAACAATTCAATTATCTAAAAAAGTCAAAAATCCCTGGCCCCCATATAGAAACTTTAAACATAATACAATATATAGCGTTCAGCCAATAATTTGAAACTACCAAAATATACGTGTTTGGTTTATTGAAAGACAGCTATGAAAATAGCAACATTTCAAACGAAATTTAGCGTGATCAGCCGATGTGAACAAGGAGGTCTGCTATCTAAACTCAGCAATTCATCAAATAAATATTGGAATAGCAAACGTATTGCGAACTCACCAACAAAAAATCTTCCAATTCAAATTTAACTCAATATAAGAAATCATGTATTATTAATAAAGGATAAATAGAACCATTTTATGTAACAATGCTTTGGGATAAAGTAGACAAAACACAAAACAAACCACATAAAAAGAATTCACTACAGATTAAATTATCTATACGTCACTCGCTATTGATGACAATTGCAGGATCTTTTGGATTATCAAATCGGTCGAGGGACCTGATGCTGAGTAATGCCAACATACCACCATATAAAATAGCGATAAGTACACCAACAGTAATCAAACCCATCCAAATAGGTGGAGTAAAAAATCCAACACAATTAATAGAGTTTGCAAATCTTTGATTGCGTACACCAAACGGTTGAATCTATAAAAAAAAACAAAAATAATCTTGAACTGAGAACAATGGTAAGGAAATCTGTGAATGATTAAGGATAAAAGGAGTTCTATGAATGATGAAAGGATAAAAGGAGCTCTTTGAATGATGCAAGGATAAAAAGAGCTCTATGAATGATGAAAGGATAAAAGGAGCTCTGTGAATAATGAAAGGATAAAAGGAGCTAAATGAATGACTAAGGATAAAATGAGCTCTATGAATGAAGAAAAGATAAAAAGGAAATCTGAATAAGAATCAAAAAGCAGACGCTTGCTCTATAACAAAATCATCAGCATGAGTTGTACAATTTTCGTTCAATTTCCATTACAATTATTATACAATATTTCAAAGTTAATCTACAATACCTGTACATCAACGAACTCTAAACAAGTTTTTTTCTTATTGCTGTCAAACTTGCAAAAGTCTACATTCACTTGGCAGGAGAACGACTTGTCAATTGGAGCATCAATTTTATCTTGACAGTTATAATACTCATGAAAACTTTCACCCCCCATCACACCATTCACACCTATACCCACACAGTACCAACGATATCCAGCATTCTTAAACGTCATACTACAAACAAAAAACAAACCATTTTTCATATCATGTTAAAAAACGCAGTCCATATCGTTTTTTACTTAACATACTTAAGCTTAATCTTGCTTCCGTTAGCGAAAACATTCTCCAGTGGGAATACAGTACTAAAATAAGACATAAATATGAGAAATTCGTTTTAAGAAAGTAAATAATCATCCAAGTATAGGGGTTGATCCATGATGGTTTTAATAACAGGGGGGGGTCTCCAGTTACCATATCACATATTTTTTATTTTTATTATGATTGGGAGATTTTTGAAAGTGTGCTCCAATTAACGCCTATCACAATTGCTTTTGGTGTAGTAGTATTTTGTAGAGAAATTTGCACCCCTCTGCACTCTAATCAAGGCGTACACGCCATGACGCATAAATCTCCTCTTTATAATGCATCTCTCTATAACTTTGCTAAATGTGCTAAAACACGCACACAGCTTTTCAACTTATTGTATTTTTGCCCATTGAACTTCATGAATGAACGTAAATACCATAACAGTGAAAAGAATGAAAGGAAGAGTATTAACATAACTTACATCAAGTACGAATCATGTCGAAAGTCTTGGATCTGATTGCCCGTTATGTTTATATTTACATTAGGCCGAAAGGAATCATTTCGCCCTTGTGTTTTATTAAACAATACAATATCTTTAAAATAGAACATGAATGAGTTGTTGGCAACAAATACTCCATGCCGATTACAAGATTTATCATCACCAAAACCATCATTAAGGGAACGACGTTGTCTTGAAGGCGAGACTGATAAGACGCGTGCATCATCCATTGCACTTTGAATATCCTATAATAAAGAAAAAACGCAAAATCGACAACAATCCAAATATACATGAAAACACAATGGACATGCTTTATTGATATATGTTTTGAATAGAAACACATAAACGGATCTGCTCCATTAAGAACTTAGCAACTTGTACAGTAAAAAACTTTGTTTTGTGGTTCAGTTCCGATTTACGTAACCGCAATTTTCCGACTGAGTAGCAGAGTGTACACCATTACAAACTGCGACAAAGAACAGGACATTCTCATTTTTTGAGCTCATTGCTTTAGGCCCAATAATATTTGCATTTAAAGATAAGAAAAAACTTACATCACGTGGTTTATCTGCCGTAAGTAAAGCAATGTAATCATCGTAATGATGCGAAAGAATGTCGGAAACTTTACCAATCATCTGATCTGAAATCAATAACCATAAAATGAAACATTTATACAGACTGAAACCAAATGCTACCCCACGTTACCTCTCGAAATAAGTTACATTCCTACTATTGCATATTGATATCCAACATTGTCCATTCCCATTGGCTACGCTTCTACTGATGCACAGAAATACCCCACATTGCTCTTCCTCCTCTCTTGGCAACAATCCTACAGACATACAATAATACCCCACATTGCTCCTCCTCCTCTCTTGGCAACAATCCTACTGATATACAATAATACCCTACATTGCTCCTCCTCCTCTCTTGGCAACAATCCTACTGACATACAATAATACCCCACATTGCTCCTCCTCCTCTCTTGGCAACAATCCTACTGACATACAATAACACCCTACATTGCTCCTCCTCCTCTTATGGCAACAATCCTACTGATATACAATAATACCCTACATTGCTCCTCCTCCTCTCTTGGCAACAATCCTATTGATATACAATAATACCCCACATTGCTCCTCCATCCTTGGCTACAATTCAACTGATACACATTAGAGTGTCACAACAAAGTTCTTCGTTGAAAAGACATTTTACATCCGTCAACATTTGACCAAACACGAGAAAATATTCTTACTTACCGCTCAACTCAAGATTTCGCAATGGACCGTTCTTACTATAAGAAATTCAGAAATTCAGATTACCCAGAATGGAAACATAGAACGTTTGATCAAATCAAAGAGTGATGAACATCTCCGTGGGCATTACCTGTTAGGAAGGTGAACGACAAAAAGAGTTGGTTCGTCAGATTTCATTGATTTAATTCTTTCGGGAAAATTGTCAAGTTCTAATAATAAAAGTAAAATGTGTGATTATAACCAATAAAATAAACTCCTTTGAAAACGAATACTTTACAAGTGGTAGACTAAGTGGTAAATTATACGGGTTTGCTCATAGTTGTAGAGATGTTGGTGCGAAGGAACTTAGTTATACCGGCTTCCTTTCTTATCCTCCCCCCCTTCTCAAACTACTCTGAACAAACCTTAAGTAGTTCTGACTACGTGCAATACCCGTAAAAAATAATATTTATAAAATAACAACAATACAACACATAGTCTATCACTGAATTTGCATTACCCTGTACAAGCCGATCTGAGCTCAATCAACTAAATCAAAGACAATTCGCAAACAAATCATTAATACACGTAAGAGGAAAAATTAAAACATTTGTTTAAAATATGTCTGCATTGCATTATCGTTGTTTTATAAGAGAAATAAAAAAGGTTTTTCATGTTTGCACTGGTTTATGCAAACCTTGGAGACGTTTGTGAAAACTCCCGAGCATGCGCAACCTTGGCACTGATTAACTCTTGAGTTCAGCCAAACGTCACCTTGGTTTGCATAAGCCTTGTAGCATTGTAAATTAAGCATCGTAAAAATAATAAGGTACTTTGTAATAATTAAATGAATTGAAAATGTAAAATGAAAGAAACCCACAGAGACCATTTTGAGAAATTAATTCAACGTTTCCAGGAATATTTCTTCGCATATAACGAGCAAGCTTGTTGTCTCCGTAGTCCAAATCGTTCTTCAATGCTACTGAGGGTAGGACTATAGATGTAGGTGATTTATAGAGAATCTTCTTTAGATGTTTGAAACGTTCCGCTGAATTTGTGGCAAAATCATCGACACTCAACTAAATCACAATACATGAGTAAATAGCAAAGAAGTTGTGAGTTCTATATGAAAGTTATGATGCACAGTATTTACGATGATCATTTTTTGGGGGGGAGAGGGAGAGGGGGAGGGGAGGGGGAGGAGTGTTGTGTGAGTGCTTTAGTTTGGCGAATGGTCAGAATTGCTACTTGTGTAGTGCCGTAACATTTCTTACTTTTTTTTGCTAAGATTTGTCAACTTTTTATTATGATTGCAAGATTTTTAAAAGTGTGCTCTATTTGAATGCTTATCACAATTGCTTTTGCTTAATTGTTTGAGATGTTAATATTTTGTAGAGAAATTTTCTTCCTCCACCACTGCACCCTATCAAGCCAAGGCTAGGAGAGGTTTCACAGCCTTCCGCCCCTCAATAAATCCATTGCAGATAGATATACTATAAAAAAATTGACATTTAAGCGCCATTTTCCTCAACAAAAAACCTGCAAAACTACTTACAATCATGCTGGAATATCAGGAAAACGATACTTTCCTGGCAAAATGAGTAGTTGAAAATAACGTTATCATCCAAAAAAAAAAGAAATAATGGTAAATCAAAACTAACTTTATCTTGTACAAAAACACAAATTGTTTTTGATTGACTCTTCAGTTTGTCAAGATATTTCGTTTGAATATCTTCATAGCTAAAGGTTCGACCAGCAACGATATCGTCCTCAACTTCCACACTATAAACAAAAAAAATTCTATTCATGATATGTTTTGGAAAAAACCTAAAGCAATAATACTTATGTGGTGTCGTACATCTGCTAACAAATAAAACACTATTGTAATACTTGCGATAACCAGCAAAGTACAAAGCTCTCGTTTTCAATGATTCAATATTTTTTTCAAATCGGCAAAGATCCATTGGAAATAAAGTCTTTTCAAAATTTCAGGAGAAAAAAGCAACAATAAACCACACGGCCTTGTGTATACAAATTAATATGTTGATTTATCGGTCCAATAAACCGTTCACGACATCTCATACACGTTAGAATATAGTGTTTACAGCAAATAATTATTTTCTGTCAAAAATGATGATGAATTTGTCACTAAATTTCGTGAGAAATCTGACATCATTTAAAGTACGTGCAGCACACATAGTAGAGCTTGACAGCCAATGGGTCATGACTGTTAGCATAATCTTTAAAATCTTAAACATTTTTAAAGTTTGTTGGTAATAACAATAAAATTATTATATAATTTGTGCCATCAAAATTTTGCGGTCAATAAGCCATACCAACATATACGCAAGGCGTGTACCTACTTTTTATAAAATCAAGTTTTCGGTAACATGTAGTTATATAATTTTTACGGCAATCAAAATTAGAATCAAACAACGAACGCATTCGCTTCACGCATTGCAATTCCAAACTTTCGTAACATTCTTCATTAGCAGGTATTACAGGTTTCAAATGTCAAAAATTTTAATCGGTGACGAAGGCTTTATCTTACTTTCCGAAAGTTTCGGATTTTGAAACAAATTCAAAATGCTTTCAAGATCTCTGCTGTTAATATCTATATTATCAATCACATTTGTACACTCAAAGAAGAATGTTAATAACAGACCCATTATTGGGATCTTAGCACAGTCGACGAAAGGGACATCGGTCGAGAGTTTAGGACAGACATACATTGACGCAGCTTATGTTAAATATGTCGAATCATCAGGCGGTAGGGTTGTACCCATTAAAAACAATCTTTCTCACGACGAACTGAGCAATTTATTCAATTCGATAAATGGTGTTCTATTTCCTGGCGGTGATGTGGATGTTGTTGATTCTGGTTATGCAAAAACGGGAGAGATTATCGTAAAGCTAGCGAAGAAAGCTTTTGATAAAGGAGACTACTTTCCACTATGGGGAACATGTCTTGGATTCCAATTCCTGGCCACAGCTGTAAGCGGTACCTCATCGATTTTATCGTCGAGCGATGCAGAAAATCTGGCACTGCCATTAGATTTTTCTCGTGGGTATAAAGAAAGCAGGATGTTTTCCAGCATGTCATCAAAATTGGCTAAATATTTGAGTACGGCATCAACCACGGTTAATCTACATAGAAACTGTGTCACGACAGAATCCTTCGATGGCAACATGAAATTAAAACAATTCTTTCGAGTTTTGTCGACAAACTATGACAGAAATCAAAAGCATTTTGTTTCGACAATGGAGGGAATCAAATATCCATTCTATGCAACTCAATGGCATCCTGAAAAGAATTCATTTGAGTGGACAAAAGCTCTAAAAATCCCACATGAAGCCATGTCGATAGAAGTCACTCAATATTTCTCAAACTTTTTCATAAATGAAACCAGATCAAATAATCATAAATTCAAGTCAATTGAAGAGCAAGAGAAGAATATGATGTATAATTATTGTCCTATTTTCACAGGAAATATATCAAACTGGGTTCAAACCTACATTATATAATAATCTTTTAAGGGAAATGGAGAAATATAAACTTTACAAGACAAACTACATTGTGTTACGCAACATATTTTACGTTAAAGTGTCACTATCCTATAATTTCACATCTTTTGAAAAATATCAATTTTTTACATTAATATGAATGGTCAGAACTTATTCCGTGTTGCTAAATGTTTGTAGATGTATATCGACCAGGTTAGTGTAAACCTGACAAGACTGTTAGCATTCTGGGGGGTGGAACATTGATAATTTTGGGGGGGGCTATATTCATATATTCATATGTTATAATCCGTAAACACAATTGATTTCAATAGAAACTAACAAAGTAAAACATGCATAAATGAATAATAGCCCCCCCCTTCCGCCCCCAATCATCAATGTTCTGCTGCCCTTGTTGGCACTGGTGTTGATAGACATTTCAACATAGTCATTTTAAGAGTGTACTTGAATATGAAGTGTGAAGGATGTTAACAATAACAGTCCTTATCGGGATTGTTTTAATCTAGACAATGCAAATATACAAAAATGTAATGAAACACAAACTCTTTTTATAATACTATGAAATTGCACAAAGAGATTGCTTTTGGGAACTTTTTATCTCATTGGTACAAAGCTTATATGTTTGAAATTTCTTCAAATTCTATAAGAGTAGTGCCATTTCTATATATTTAACACAAAGATTGAATAAACAAATACATTTACCAAAAGCTATTATGCAATTACGCTTTGAGATTATAAGTGTAAAAAACAAATCACACATTCAAATTTTTGGTTTTCAATGGACACTATTTCAGAAAGTATTTTTTTATGAGGGAAAATTATGTGCTATTTATGTCAATAACACGTTGTCTTAAAATAATCATTCGATGCTTTGAAAACCATAAATGATATATTTTTTCGTAAACGTGCTGACAAAAAGCTGAAAAACAGCATTTCATCAGTTTAAAATAAAAAATTGCCAATGTCTAACCCCATCACAGCACCTGTTTACTCATTGAAATCTCTTCAGTACATTCAAAAGTTGAGATGTATGACATTGGTATGGCTGAGGTCTAAACACCAGAAACACTACCCAGCCAGCAGACATGTGTAGATTAGATTTAAAATCAAACTTTGCATGAAAAGTTGTGGAGCATCCAACAAATTAACATAATTAAAATAAAAATATATTGAGCCTCTTGAAATCAAATACGAAGAGATCACTAAGAAATTTGCCGTTTATCGTAATTCTGTCATTGACCTAATGACTAATTCAGAGATTCTAGTAGAATGACTACATTGACCAGCATCTTGTAATTCTATTAGGTCCTTAACATTATTTTAGCTAAGAATAGATTTCAAAATAAGTAAAACCAAAAGTTATTTAAAAAACATCACCTTTTACTCGACCAAATTAGAAGAGGAACAGGAGTCAAACTCGCTTTACAACAGCAAAAGTAAATGAAGAAAAGGATGCCACTGATTACACCGGTGGAAGCCATATTGCTGTGTCGTCTGCCTCGATATGGCCTAGAGCGTCTGCGACTGCGTCGTCGTCACGTGAGAAGCAGAGTTGGTGAGTTTTATGCAAAATGTTGTGACTTGCCTTGGGAGGGTGTATCTTTTTTGAAACAACAACTTTTTATATTTTTGTAATTCATTTCATCGCCAAAAAATATTATGTTAAGTTTTTATTTTATTTTTGTTTTTATAATATTCAACATTTGAAATGTACTATTGTAAAAATTATAAAATCTAAACTAGTAAAATGCGATAGGTATCTTAATGTGACTAATACTATAAGGGTTAGGTCTACACGTTAAAAAATTTTTACTTTTAAGACGTCAAGGTTTACCAAAGCTGACACTAGAGATAAAGGAATATTAAATTTCGTAATTATTTTTGTAAATTTCGTAATTATTTCGTAATTATTTCGTAATTATTTGTTTTATCAGACAGAGACCATGGAAGATCGCAAATCATTTAACTCAACGTAACACACGTGACACGTAACTTTGACGGTGACGGTGCCCGTGATGGTGACGGTGACAGCGATGGTGATGATGAAGGTGACGGTAGTGATGGTGAAGGTGACGGTGGTGATGGTGAAGGTGACGGTGGTGATGGTAACGGTGAGGGTGATGGTGACAGTGACGGAGACAATGGATACGGTGAGGGTGATGGTGTCGGTGACCGTGACCGTGACCGTAACGGCGATGGTGATGGTGATGGTGAGGGTGATGGTGAGGTGATGGTGAGGGTGATGGTGACGGTGATGATGACGGTGATGATGATGGTGACGGTGATGATGACTGTGATGATGATGATGAAGACAGTTTTTTTAATCATTCCTTTTTCGCCATTTTGAAAGTTGTATGGAGCATGCGTAAAGTGCAGTAATATGGCACGGCAGTTATGACGGCGTGCACTGCGGCAGTGACGTCACCGTCACCATCACCATCACCATCACCATCACCATCACCTGGGGCAAATAAAAACGGCACTAGTGCCAAGACGTGCCATTCCAATTTCGAATAGTGTAAACGGGGCTTTTCCCAAAAGCAGTTCTTTTAGGGCTGTTTACATTTAGATCAAGCACAGCTCTATATCCTAGCGACCTTGATCGTTTTAGTGGAGCGACTCGTTTCAGGTTATCCCAGTCGACTCTGAAATGTTCTCATAAAGTGGTACGGGTTGTATCACTTGTATGTAAAATTTTGGCATGACTCAAACAACTCAGACTACGTGAGAACAAGACCTTACAGGTAGCGTTGTATTTTAGTTCAATGAAACAATCTGATGAATGAAGATTACGCACTTCAGTTATATTGATTTAAATGGACTATATATTTTGTGAATGACTATTTAATTCGTGTTGACTCTTGAAAGATCAATTTTAGGTATGGATTTTAAGTAACGTTAAACTGACTACATTGTTTATGCCATCTTTAATACATAATCCTTGCGTCGTTTCTATTCATTTTCATGACACGCCAATCAATGTTGTTGCAGTTTTATGAAGCGATAGATAAGAATTACACGGTATGCCAAGGCAGTTAAATAAATGTTTTTTCACCTTTGCAAAGGATGACCTTTAAAGTATTTTATTAAAGAATGTGGGCTTGCATTATTTCTACAGCTTTTACACTGTTATTTTGTTGACACCAAAATTTTTAAACTTTTATAAAAAACCATATATTTGTTGATATCGTCTACCTTTGCTATTACAATTTTGCAGAAATATCTGGCTGAAACTGCATGCCGTTAACAATTTTGATGCAGACAAGCGGGGACAAACGGACAAGCACATCACAACAGGTTCATGTTGCAGTAAATACGCCAGACTGTGTCAAAAGTTCAAAGTACAAAGAATCAACATCCGTTGCTAACATCGGTTGCTAATGGCTAATCGTTGAACCTTTTAACGAGCGTGACAATTTTTCCATTATTTTACTGTTGATGATAGTGCAGTTTTTCTTCAAATAACAAGTTACAGGAATATCTACCAGGAAAATAAGCTGGGCCAAATTCAAAAATACTTCACTCATTTAATATCTCTTTTAGTTTCCAGCTATACTAAAAACAACTTACTTTTTTGCTGTGTAGAAAATGAGTGAGCCTTTTGATATGGTTTTTAATTTTATCAAAGTTTTCAACAAACTTTTAAAACATATGATGAACACAAACATTTTTGAAGACAGAATAGTTTCTTATTTCTATGTTACAGCATTAATGTTACATGTAATGTTGCTTATAATCTCCCTAAAATGTTAAACACATTTTCAATTTATATCTAGGTTTAAAAAAACATCTTAAAGTACTCTCGCTTTACGTAAATATGGCCACTACGTCTTATGAGAGATGCACTTGGCTGATCCGTACGTTGGTGGTATTTATTGTTGTGGGGTTTTTAACGAATATTTATATTCAAAAAAACACGTTCGTGTCACTATCTGCTTCTATATCTGAAACAACGTCTAATCACAAACCTGTAACAACATCTTCTCATAAATCTGAAATAACATCTAACCCTGCATCAAATACAACATCTGTTCCATTAAAATCTGGCAAAATTGTTCTTTTGTTTTGGAGTAAGTTTTTTGGTAGCCCACCGACAAAATTCGTAGGAGTGTGGCCGAAGGGTGACAAGAAAGGCAAATGTCCTGTTTCCTGTGAGGTTACAGCTGACCATGAGCGAGCTAAAAGGCAAATGCAATGATTGTGCATTCAAGAGATCCATTTCCTCTACCTCCATTTAAACATGTCCCCTGGATCCTAACCGGTCTTGAAAATCCTGTTTATACTCCTGTGCTCTCTAACAGCAGCTATATGTCACAGTTTCATTTGCTTAGAAGCTATCGACTAAATTCTGATTTTCCAACACCCCTTTTTAAAAAGCCCAATTTAAATCCACCTGTTCCGTTTGAGAATAAAACGGATAGAATAATGGCTTGTTTTTCCAACTGCGAACCTGTGAGGACAGCGTATTTAAGACATCTCATGAAACATGTTCATGTAGATTCATATGGTGAATGCTTAGGTAACAGAGATGGTCTGATAGCGCGCTATGGACATGACTATAAAAAAGTAAAACAAAATCTAGAAAGATCATACAAGTTTGTTATTGTCTTCTTCAACCAAGATTGTGATTACTTTGTTGATGACCAAATTCAACATGCACTAAACGCAGGCACAGTACCCGTAGTAATGAGCACGGATAAGATTTATGAATTTTTGCCAGGAAATCTTAAAAACGCCATCATTAATGTGAGAGATTTTAAGTCTCCGAAAGAATTGGCGGAGCGACTTAAGTTTCTAATGAAAAACAAGATCGAGTACAACAAATTCTTGGAATGGAAAGTGAAAGGTTTAGGCCATATTACTGACACTGTGATAGGTAGATATTGGGAAAGTAAATTTAGACAATGGTGTTATGTATGTTTGGCAGTATCGAAGGGAAAATTGCATAAAGAAGGTCTTAAACCTGAATTTTGTAAACGAAGAGAATATAAAGACTGGAGTGTTACACCTTAATATCCATGGTCGACATTACAGACTGGTGGAAAAAACTAAAAGATTTTTAACTGAGAACATGCAAGCACATAATGATTAACAAAAACATCAGAAAACTATAAGTTGCTTTCCAGTGAAATATTTTTTTAAAGAAATCAAATTTGATACACAAAATAATACATGAGACACATAAGATTGGATATCTAAATTTGGCGGAGATAGTTTTCAGGGCCGTTATAACAGTTGAAAAGGTAAGACCCATAAAAGAGCCAGTTATGTCGAAGTTATGTAAAAATTATGAAGATTAATTTTCCCATCTTTTTGTATGTATTCAATATCATGTATTTCAATGTGGACGAACAATTATGAGAACTAAAGCAGACGAAATCCGTTTAGTTTGGTGGACAAACGCCTCGAGACAACCAAACGACCAATTTACACAACACTTCGCAAGCGATATTTTCGCCTGTATTCCAATAATAATTGTCCAATATGGCTTCAAAACATTATTAATAACGCTTTGTTTCCAATAAAACTTGATTGGAGGAGTTTTAAAACACTGAAACGAAGTAAACTGCAAAAAAAACAACAATTGCCTAATTGTAGACCTAAGTCTTTTGCCCGGTTCCCGCACCAACTTGGATTTATCATGAATGAATGTCCAGTGAACTCCATATATATATATATATATGGAATGATAACGACAATACATTTTATAGATAAAAAGTTGAAGCCAAAGTCCTAGTCTCTTGCGCGGTTTGTACGTCAGTTCCAGTCCTTCAAAGTCGAATATTCACGCGGTTTGTACGTCAGTATCATTCCCCTGAGTGCCAAACATACACGGCCAATATAAATTTGAATACAAATTGCGAAAGCATAAACACATAAACAACACCACTACAAACAACACACGAGGCCAACTCTTCGCAAAAGGTTATTTTTTACTGCTGAAACTTTACTACAGTGAGCTCGTTGTAACTTACAACTTGTAACGAGGAAAAGCCAACTGAAAATTACACTGTTTGCTAAAAAGACAATACAATAGAAAATATGACGAGAAAATATTCAAGCATAAGTTTTTCTTTCGTCGGAAGGTAAACTTTCAAACGGTGTCAGACAGTGTTTGTCTTTTTTGTCATTTAAGTGGATTTAAAGATCTGTTTTTCCGAATAAAAAAGAAACTTGAATATCCAGTTCCATAAAAAATATTGAGTCTATAACTCGCATTTTTCCTTTTTACAAAGCGATTGTCATTTTCATCGATTTTGATAGTGTCATCTCGATATCAATAATTGAATATCCTTAAAGACTTTGATTTGTTTTAAAGGAAAACTGCAGCGTAAGAGCAGATCGACTAAGTTCACCTCATCTTGCTTTTCGATTTATCACTTTGATTCACTTTCCGTGAACCTTTTCATTCCAAAAATTTCGTTATTTTTACGCTCTGATCAAGATCCGAACTCTACCATTACCAAGGGACCAATGATTAAAAATAATTAAAATGAACACGCGAGAGAATAGAGCCTGACGTGTGATGACGACAAATATTTTTTGGCTTCAATTTTTGGCTTCGGTTATCATTCCAGTTATTCAAATGTCGAGTTCACTGGTGCCAAACATACACGGCCAATATAAATTTGAATACAAATTGCGAAAGCATAAACATATAAACAACATCACTACAAACAACACACGAGGCTAACTCCTCGCAAAAGGCTATTTTTTACAGCTGAAACTTTACTACAGTGAGCTCATTGTAACTTACAACTTGTAACGTGGAAAAGCCAACTGAAAATTACACTGTATGCAAAAAAGACAATACAATAGAAAACATGACGAGAAAATATTCAAGCATAAATTTTTCTTTCGTCGAAGGTAAATTTTCAAACGGTGTCAGACAGTGTTTGTCTTTTTTTGTCATTTCAGTGGATTTAAAGATCTTTTTTTCCGAAGAAAAAAGAAACTCGAATATCCAGTTTCATAAAAAATATTGAGTCTATAACTCGCATTTTTACTTTTTACAGAGCGATTGTATTTTTAGTCGATTTTGATAGTGCTTGAAATACTAAATGGTTGTCATCTCGATATCAAAAATTGAATATCCTTAAAGACTTTGCATGTCATTTTTTTGACTCTGAAGATGACTACCGCTAAGGTTGTCGAAACGTCAGTCAACAACAACAAAAACAGTCCTTCTCAGGACTATACCAACCTGGACGATCTACATTTACAAACATGTAACGATACTCCCGGGTTCAAACCAAAGACTTTGATATGTTTTAAAGGAAAACCGCAGCGTAAGAGCAGATCGATCAAGTTCACCTCACCTTGCTTCTCGATTTATCACTTTGATTCACTTTCCGTGAACCTTTTCATTCCAAAAATTTCGTTATTTGTACGATCTGATCAAGATCCGAACTCTACCATTACCAAGAGACAAATGATTTAAAAAAATTAAAATGAACACGCGAGAGACTGGAGCCTGACGTGTGATGACGAATGATGACAACAAATATTTTTTTGGCTTCAATTTTTGGTTTCGGTTATCATTCCAGTTATTCAAATGTCGAGTTCACTGTGAATGTCACGCTGCCGTCTTAATAAGTCTTACATTACGTCACACTCGTCAGCAATCAAGTCCTATTATATCTATGATCAATACAGTAATAATTGCATAATTTGGAATAGCTAGTAAGCTCACTTACGAAGTGCGTCTATGAATTGCTTGTATACTTTGTGTTGACTCGTGAAAAGACCATTTTCAGGTAAGGATTTTAAGTTCACTATTATGTCTTGCCAATGCTGTTGCAGTTTCATGGGGTGATAAGGTCATAGGCATTTATGCCGGCGCAATTTGTTTCACTGCTTGATACGATGACTGTTGAAGAATTTTATCGAAGAATTTGGGCTTGCTTTAACTCTATAGCTTTATCTATATAGCTTTTGAACGATTTAAACTCTGAGGAATGAATATTTCATAAAAAACGACATATTTGTAAATAACTTCTACATTTGCTACACAAGACATGCACATTGAGGGGCGAATTTCTTTGAAAAATGAAATACGAGCAGTAGCCAAAATATCCAGGAGGCAAGTAGGCTTAAATCTACAGGCTCCGGACTTCCTGGAGGTTCATGGTATCTAGACGTAATTGGTGTTTAGTTTTTGTGGGTAGCAGCTGCACATGACGTTCAACCGCTATGATTCATTGAAAAGTGTCCAAAACGACGTCTGAGGTTTGAGACTCGTAATCTTTGAAGATACGCGGACATACAAACGATGACGAAGAAGACCGTAGAAAAAAGTAACAATACACAGCACGGCCTGTTGGCTCTAAATAAATACTAGAGGCCCGTAACTAGAAATCTACTTCCTGAATTGGGCTTACGATAAGAGAAATAGTTTCCATCTTTAATAATGTAACATGAAGAATATGGACATCATGATTGTTAATTGCTAGTGAAAATTTACTTCTGCGTCATTAAATGTTTCATGTAAGTTCTTATGATATTAGACCTAGATCACAAACCTCTGCTTTATTGAAACTTACAATGGTTACACAAAATATGAGTCATTTTCCTTTTTATCGTTGATTGTCGTCGATTATCGTTATTGTTAATATGGTAGTTATCCTACCTTAATTAACGTATAGTTATCGTTTGTTACCGTTGTTGTTTCGACCGATTTTCAATATCGTTATATTTGCACAGTATTTCATATACATTTATTTATGTCCAATGATCTTGGGCGCTTATGATACGTTAATAACATATAATGGGTATGAAACATAGAATTTTTTCATATTCCTATTGTTACAGCTTGTTAAATGTTATTTACATTTCCCATTTCACTTTAGCGGAATCTAGATTTTAAAGAACACGTTGAAGAACTCTCGTTTAACATAAATATGGCCACTTTATCTCTGAAGAAATGTACTTCGCTGATCCGTACATTGGTGGTTTTACTTGTTGTTGGTATTTTGACAATTATCTATCTTAAAAAAAGCACATTCGTGTCAAAATCTTCTCCTATATCTGAAACAACGTCTACTCACAAATCTGAAACAAAGTCTCCTTTCAAACCTGAAACAACGTCCACCGCTGCATTAAATGCAACATTTGCTCGCTTAAGATCTGACAAAATTGTTCTTTTGTATTGGGGAAAGTTTTTTGATAGTGCACCGACAGCATTCGTTGGAGTGTGGCCAAAGGGTGATAAGAAAGGCAAATGTCCTGTTTCCTGTGAGGTTACAGCTGACCATCAGCGAGCTAAAGAGGCAAATGCAATGATTGTGCATTCAAGAGATCCATTTCCTCTACCTCCATTTAAACATGTCCCCTGGATCCTAACCGGTCTTGAAAATCCTGTTTATACTCCTGTGCTCTCTAACAGCAGCTATATGTCACAGTTTCATTTGCTTAGAAGCTATCGACTAGATTCTGATTTTCCAACACCCCTTTTTGAAAAGCCTAATTTAAATCCACCTGTTCCGTTTGAGAATAAAACGGATAGAATAATGGCTTGTTTTTCCAACTGCGAACCTGTGAGGACGGCGTATTTAAGACATCTCATGAAACATGTTCATGTAGATTCCTATGGCGGATGTTTACACAACAATGATGGTCTTATAGCGCGCTATGGACATGACTTTAAAAATGTAAAACAAAATCTAGAAAGATCATACAAGTTTGTTATTGTTTTCTTCAACCAAGATTGTGATTACTTTGTTGATGAACAAATTCAACATGCACTTAACGCAGGCGCAGTACCCGTAGTAATGAGCACTGATAAAATTTATGAATTTTTGCCAGGAAATCTTAAAAATGCCATCATTAATGTGAGAGATTTTAAGTCTCCGAAAGAATTGGCGGAGCGACTTAAGTTTCTAATGAAAAACAAGATCAAATATAATAAATATCTGGAATGGAAAGTAAAAGGCTTAGGCCATATTACTGACACTGTGATAGGTAGATATTGGGAAAGTAAATTTAGACAATGGTGTTATGTATGTTTGGCAGTATCGAAGGGAAAATGGCACAAAGAAGGTCTTAAACCTGAATTTTCTAAACGAAGAGAATATAAAGACTGGGGTATTACACCTTAATCTCCATGGTCGACATTACAGACTGGTGGAAAAAACTAAGAGATTTTTTACCGAGAACATGCAAGCACAAAATGATTAACAAAAGCATCAGAAAACTATAAGTTGCTTTCCAGTGAAATATTTTTTTAAAGAAATCAAATTTGATACACAAAATAATACATGAGACACTTGAGATTGGATATCTAAATTTGGCGGAGATAGTTTTCAGGGCCGTTATAACAATTGAAAAGTTAAGACCCATAAAAGAGCCAGTTTGTATGGGGCATTTCTGTGTTTTATTATTTAGCCGTTTAACACTGTAATATCCGGAAAGTGTGCCCGGGGGCCAAATTTCTCCTTTGACTTATGTGATGACGTCTCGCAACAACATGGACATTGGATGATTGTAATTGGACAACGGACTGTTGTATTCAAAGCACTCTATTAATATTTCACCAGAATTGACGCTTGCCGTATATCAAAGCAGCAATAATTGCATAATTTGCAATAGCTAGTAAGCTCACTTACGAAGTGCGTCTATGAATGCTTGTATATTTTGTGTTGACTCGTGAAAAGACCATTTTCAGGTAAGGATTTTAAGTTCACTATCATGTCTTGCCAATGCTGTTGCAGTTTCATGGGGTGATAAGGTCATACGCATTTATGCCGGCGCAATTTGTTTCACTGCTTGATACGATGACTGTTGAAGAATTTTATCGAAGAATTTGGGCTTGCTTTAACTCTATAGCTTTATCTATATAGCTTTTGAACGATTTAAACTCTGAGGAATGAATATTTCATAAAAAACGACATATTTGTAAATAACTTCTACATTTGCTACACAAGACATGCACATCGAAGGGCGAATTTCTTTGAAAAATGCATACGAAGATTTTCCGATTTAAAAATTCTGGCAATATTTTCTTATGAATATTTCAATATTTTCTTGTATATTGGAATTATTTTTAGAATGTTCGGAGATTTGAAGATTTTTAAGGATTTGCTTGCGCAAGTAAGAAAATCCTTTACGTCTTCGTATGGGTAAATGTTCCGAGAGCTTAAATATTCGTTGAACGCTACAGCGTACAATTCGCTATTGCTGTTTGTCTTTATTTAAGATTTTCTGATTAAAAACAGCGCTAATTTTGAAAAATATGGACAAATAACATAGAGGCATCAGTAAAAAACATTCTTTGACGCACATCACAGACTCAGAAACAAGTTATCAATCTATTTCAAAATCAACAATACTGTATGAATACAAGCACTAGCGAATTATCCAGGAGGTAAGTAGGTTTAAGCCTAAAGGCTCGGGCTTCCTGGAGGTGCATGGTATCTAGACGTAATTAGTGTTTAGTTTTTGTGGGTAGCAGCTGCACATGACGTTCAACCACTGTGATTCATTGAAAAGTGTCCAAAACGACGTCTGAGGTTTGAGACTCGTAATCATTGAAGATAGGCGAACATACGAACGATGACGAAGAAGACCGCAGAAAAAAGTAACAATACACAGCACGGCCCGTTGGCTCTAAATAAATACTAGAGGCCCGTAACTAGAAATCTACTTCCTGAATTGGGTTTACGATAAGAGAAATAGTTTCCATCTTTAATAATGTAACATGAAGAATATGGACATCATGATTGTTAATTGCTAGTGAAAATTTACTTCTGCGTCATTAAATGTTTCATGTAAGTTCTTAGGAATTTGGAACTAGATCACAAACCTCTGCTTTATTGAAACTTCCAATGGTTACACAAAATATGAGTCATTTTTCTTTTTATCGTTGATTATCGTCGATTATCGTTATCGTTAATATGGTAGTTATCGTAACTTAATTAACGTATAGTTATCGTTTGTTACCGTTGTTGTTTCGACTGATTTTCAATATCGTTATATTTGCACAGTATTTCATATACATTTATTTATGTCCAATGATCCTGGGCGCTTATTATACGTTAATAACATATAATGGGTATGAAACATAGAATTTTTTCATATTCCTATTGTTACAGCTTGTTACATGTTATTTACATTTCCTATTTCAATTTAGCGGAATCTAGATTTTAAAGAACACGTTGAAGAACTCTCGTTTAACATAAATATGGCCACTTTATCTCTGAAGAAATGTACTTCGCTGATTCGTACATTAGTGGTTTTACTTGTTGTTGGTATTTTGACAATTATCTATCTTAAAAAAAGCACGTTCGTGTCAAAATCTTCTCCTATATCTGAAACAACATCTACTCACAAATCTGTAACAACGTCTACTTTTAAATCTGAAACAACGTCCATCCCTGCATTAAATGCAACATTTGCTCGCTTAAGATCTGACAAAATTGTTCTTTTGTATTGGGGAAAGTTTTTTGGTAGTCCACCGACAGTATTCGTTGGAGTGTGGCCAAAGGGTGATAAGAAAGGCAAATGTCCTGTTTCCTGTGAGGTCACAGCTGACCATGAGCGAGCTAAAGAGGCAAATGCAATGATTATGAATTCAAGAGATCCATATCCTCTACCTCCATTCAAAGATGTCCCCTGGATCCTAACAGGTGTTGAAAATCCTGTTTATACTCCTGCTCTTTCTGACGGCAACTATATGTCACAGTTTCATTTGCATAGAAGCTATCGACTAGATTCTGATTTTCCAACTCCTCTTTTTAAAAAGCCCAATTTAAATCCACCTATTCCGTTTGAGAATAAAACGGATAGAATAATGGCTTGTTTTTCCAACTGCGAACCTGTGAGGACAGCGTATTTAAGACATCTCATGAAACATGTTCATGTAGATTCCTATGGCGGATGTTTACACAACAAAGATGGTCTTATAGCGCGCTATGGGCATGACTATAGAAAAGTAAAACAAAATCTAGAAAGATCATACAAGTTTGTTATTGTCTTCTTCAACCAAGATTGTGATTATTTTGTTGATGAACAAATTCAACATGCATTTGACGCCGGAACAGTACCCGTAGTAATGAGCACAGTTAAAATTTATGAATTTTTGCCAGGAAATCTTAAAAACGCCATCATTAATGTCAGAGATTTTAAGTCTCCGAAAGAATTGGCGGAGCGACTTAAGTTTCTAATGAAAAACAAGATCGAATATAATAAATATCTGGAATGGAAAGTAAAAGGTTTAGGCCATATTACTGACACTGTGATTGGAAAATATTGGGAAAGTAAATTTACTCATTGGTGCGATATGTGTGTAGCAATATCGAAAGGAAAATGGCACAAAGAAGGTCTTAAACCTGAATTTTGTAAACGAAGAGAATATAAAGACTGGGGTATTACACCTTAATCTCCATAGTAGACATTACAGACTGGTGGAAAAAACTGGAAAAAATTTAACAGAGAACATGCTAGAACAAAATATTTAACAAAAACATAAATAAACTATGTTGCTTTCCAGTGAAATATTCTTTCAAAGAAATCAAATTTGATACACAAAATAATACATGAGATGCTGAAGACCAGATTTCTAAATTTGGCGGAGATAGTTTTCAGGGTCGTCATAACAGTTGAAATGTCAAGACCCATAAAGGAGCAGTTTGTATGGGGCACTTTCTGTGTTTTTGTTATTTAGCTGTTTAACACTGTAATTTTCCATGATTTATTAAATAACCAGAAATTGGCATTTGGTTATATTTAATAACAATTTTCTTATTTTGGTTGTGTAATCACTTTACGTAAACGTGAAACGTTTGTTATATAAACAATCAGTTTCTGCACACGTTGAAAATTGCTTATTTATATACAACCAAATAATTTAGAGACACTTGGCAAACCAAATAACGTATGCAAGCAATAGTATAATTTTTTTATCCCACTTTGACGAGTAGATCAATTTTCCGCACTGTCAAATTACTAACATTAGTAAATTTATCTGAAATTCATAAGGAAGTTTTGTCGGAAACTATAGTGTATTCTTTCAGTCGTGTGTGCCAGGAAATTTGCACCCCCCAAATTTAGTACCCCCGCCTGGGGGAAATATTTCCGAGTAAATATAGCCTTCTCATCAAAAATTTGACCCCTCTCACAAACTTTAATTTTATCTCGAAAATGGTGCAACTTTTTCCAAGACCAAGATCAAAGACAATTTAAGATATTACAAATTATGTAGATCTATACATTTAGTCGCAATGAACATCAAACCATTCAGAATAACTATCGCATTTAAGCGATGTCATCATGCGTTTGCGAACATGTTAATACTCTCGTGTTTACTCTTTCTCTCGGATGAAAGTTTACGTTTTTGAAGGGGGCCAAATTTCCGGAAAGTGGGCCCGGAGGCACAAATTTCGTAGAAAATTTATCGCGCGTGGGAGACTTCTTAGGGGGCTCTTGTTACTTATGTGATGACGTCTCGCAACAACCTTCTACATTGGATGATTATAATTGGACAATGGGCTATTGTATTCAAAGCACTTTATTTCACCAGAATTGAGGCTTTCCGTATACCAATACAGCAATAATTGCATAATTTGCAATAGATAGTAAGCTCACTTAGGAAGTGCGTCTATGAATGCTTGTATACTTTGTGTTGACTCGTGAAAACACCATTTTCAGGTAAGGATTTTAAGTTCACTATTATGTCTTGCCAATGCTGTTGCAGTTTTATGGGGTGATAAGGTCATACGCATTTATGCCGGCGCAATTTGTTTCACTGCTGAATGTGATGACTTTTGAAGAATTTTATCGAAAAATGTGGGCTTGCTTCAACTCTATAGCTTTATTTATATAGCTTTTGAACGATTTAAACTCTGTAGAGTGAATATTTCATAAAATACGACATATTGTAAATAACTTCTACTATTGCTACACCAGACATGCACATCGAGGGGCGAATTTCTTAGAAAAATGCATACGAAGATATTCCGATTTAAAAATTCTGGCAATATTTTCTTGGATATTGGTATTATTTGTAGAATGTTCGGAGATTTAAATATTTTTAAGGATTTTCTTGCGCAAATTCTTAAAAATCCTTTACGTCTTTGTATGGGTAAATGTTCCGAGAGCTCAAGTATTCGTTGAACGCTACAGCGTACAATTTGCTATTGCTGTTTGTCTTTATTTAAGATTTTCTGATTAAAAACAGCGCTAATTTTGAAAAATATGGACAAATAACATAGAGGCATCGGTAAAAAACATTCTTTGCTTTTTAATTCACCGGTTAAAACGTTTTTCAATTAAAACGTTTGTTGAGAGTTGTCATTTAATATTTCCATGCAAGAGTTGTTGTATAGCGTTCTGTCTATGATTACCACTCCGTTGCCTTTATCTGGTTTTAGTATGATGAGGTTCTTGTTGTTCTTTAGGATGTTCTTAAAGATGCGATGTTTTTTCAGGTCAGATGGTGAGGGGCGATATGAAGAGGTGTAGCTTTGTGCAATGTAGATTAGTTCGTTCCAGATTTGAGTATAGTCTTCTTGATTGTTCAGGTTGTTTGCGATGTTGAAATGGATGCGAACAAATGTTGAAAAGATGTCTGTTTCATTGAGCTTCGGTGGTTTGATGGAAAAAAAGAGACCATTCTTGAGTATATCGAGTTCTTCTGGCTTGAGTTTGTGTGATGATAATTTTTTAACGGTTTCATAATGTTTGAATGTTGACACCAATGTTTCATATATTAATAAAACAAAAATGACGTGGGCAACAGCCTAATATTTTCGATAATATTCCGATACATAACGTAGAAAATATAATAACAAAGCAGAAGTAAATATGGAAAGCAAATAGTGTCAGAGTGTTATGTTAACAATATATGTTGACAATAACTCGACATAATTTGTGCTTTGTTACCCAACATTTTGCGTTCACCCCCACCCCCCCCATATTTGTAACATTACAGTAAAAATATTGGTTTTTTGTAATAGTCAATCATAAAAAAGCAATCCATACGCCCTTATCGAGTGCCTATTCTTTTTAGAGGCATTATAAGGTATTTTTGAAGGTATTTTATTTTTTGTATAATTTTGCCAGTCAAATGGTATCTTTTTTTGAAAAGCATGATTTCGTGATTGCAATCGTGAGAATTTTAAAAATATTTAGAGACTGTATATGTTTAGGCCATTTTATCAAGCCATAACACATATGACGAAAACGAATGTGTGATAAGTCTGATGAGAAACTTACATGAAGTAGTTCACACTAATTTGAACGTGATTAAAAATTTCGAGTGGATTTTAGTGGATTTGATGTGACTTCTTCCCATATTTTTTGGAATTTATCAGAAAAATAAATCGATTTTTTAAGACATATAACATCACTTAAGACTTTTGGAGATTGTACATTTAAAAAGATTGTGAGTGGGTTTTTATTGAAATTGTTTAAGAAATGAACGAAGATTTTTTAAGTAATTTACCCCTTCACGCACATCACAGGCTCGGAAACAAGTTATCAATCTATTTCAAAATCAACAATACTGTATGAATACGAGCAGTAGCGAATTATCCAGGAGGTAAGTAGGCTTAAGCCTACAGGCTCCGGGCTTCCTGGAGGTTCATGGTATCTAGACGTAATTGGTGTTTAGTTTTTGTGGGTAGCCGCTGCACATGCACGTTTAACCGCTATGATTCATTGAAAAGTGTCCAAAACGACGTCTGAGGTTTGAGACTCGTAATCTTTGAAGATACGCGGACATACAAACGATGACGAAGAAGACCGTAGAAAAAAGTAACAATACACAGCACGGCCTGTTGGCTCTAAATAAATACTAGAGGCCCGTAACTAGAAATCTACTTCCTGAATTGGGCTTACGATAAGAGAAATAGTTTCCATCTTTAATAATGTAACATGAAGAATATGGACATCATGATTGTTAATTGCTAGTGTAAATTTACTTCTGCGTCATTAAATGTTTCATGTAAGTTCTTAGGAATTTGGAACTAGATCACAAACCTCTGCTTCATTGAAATTTCTAATGGCTACACCAAATATGAGTCATTTTTCTTTTTATCGTTGATTATCGTCGATTATCGTTATCGTTAATATAGTAGTTATCCTACCTTAATTAACGTATAGTTATCGTTTGTTACCGTTATTGTTTCGACCGATTTTCAACATCGTTATATTTGCACAGTATTTCATATACATTTATTTATGTCCAATGATCCTGGGCGCTTATCATACGTTAATAACATATAATGGGTATGAAACATAGAATTTTTTCATATTCCTATTGTTACAGCTTGTTAAATGTTATTTACATTTCCTATTTCAATTTAGCGGAAGCTAGATTTTAAAGAACACGTTGAAGAACTCTCGTTTAACATAAATATGGCCACTTTATCTCTGAAGAGATGTACTTCGCGAATCCGTACATTCGTGGTTTTACTTCTTGTGGGTTGTTTGACGATTATCTATCTTAAAAAAAGCACATTCGTGTCAATATCTGCTTCTATATCTGAAATAACGTCTACTCACAAATCTGAAACAAAGTCTCCTTTCAAACCTGAAACAACGTCCACCGCTGCATTAAAGGCAACATTTGCTCGCTTAAGATCTGACAAAATTGTTCTTTTGTATTGGGGAAAGTTTTTTGGTAGTCCACCGACAGTATTCGTTGGAGTGTGGCCAAAGGGTGATAAGAAAGGCAAATGTCCTGTTGCTTGTGAAGTTACAGCTGACCATGAGCGAGCTAAAGAGGCAAATGCAATGATTATGAATTCAAGAGATCCATATCCTCTACCTCCATTCAAAGATGTCCCCTGGATCCTAACGGGTGTTGAAAATCCTGTTTATACTCCTGCTCTTTCTGACGGCAACTTTATGTCACAGTTTCATTTGCATAGAAGTTATCGACTAGATTCTGATTTTCCAACACCCCTTTTTAAAAAGCCCAATTTGAATCCACCTATTCCGTTTGAGAATAAAACAGATAGAATAATGGCTTGTTTTTCCAACTGTGAACCTGTGAGGACAGCGTATTTAAGGCATCTCATGAAACATGTTCATGTAGATTCCTATGGCGTTTGTTTGCGCAACAAAGATGGTCTGATAGAGCGCTATGGACATGACTATAGAAAAGCAAAACGAGAACGTGAAAGATTATACAAGTTTGTTATTGTCTTCTTCAACCAAGATTGTGATTACTTTGTTGATGAAAAAATTCAAGATGCATTTAACGCAGGAGCAGTACCCGTAGTAATGAGCACGGATAAAATATATGAATTTTTGCCAGGAAATCTTAAAAACGCCATCATTAATGTCAGAGATTTTAAGTCTCCAAAAGAATTGGCGGAGCGACTTAAGTTTCTAATGAAAAACAAGATCGAATATAACAAATATCTGGAATGGAAAATAAAAGGTTTAGGCCATATTACTGACACTGTGATTGGAAAATATTGGGAAAGTAAATTTACTCATTGGTGCGATATGTGTGTAGCAATATCGAAGGGAAAATGGCACAAAGAAGGTCTTAAACCTGAATTTTGTAAACGAAGAGAATATAAAGACTGGGGTATTACACCTTAATCCCATAGTAGACATTACAGACTGGTGGAAAAAACTGAAAGATTTTTTACTGAGAACATGCAAGCACAAATTGATTAACAAAAGCATCAGAGAACTATAAGTTGCTTTCCAGTGAAATGTTTTTTTAAAGAAATCTAATTTGATACACAAAATAATGCATGAGACATATAAGACTTGATATCTAAATTTGGCGGAGATAGTTTTGAGGGCCGTTATAACAATTGAAAAGTTAAGACCCATAAAAGAGCCAGTTTGTATGGGGCATTTCTGTGTTTTATTATTTAGCCGTTTAACACTGTAATTTTCCATGATTTATTAAATAACCAGAAATCAGCATTTGGTTGTGTTTAAAGCCTGGTTGTCATTAAGTCGCTTGAGTTGTCCGAGTCGTTCCGAGTCGTTCCGAGTTGTTTCGTTGTTTTTCAAAATGACTGGGATGACTCAAGCTATGCACTTCTCATATATTCGTACTAGCGCTGCCGAGAGACTGCTTAATTAATTTTTACGCGAAACATTTAAGAATGGCAGCTGTTGTTTAGCAAAGACAAAGTCTTTTGGCTTGTTATTTGCTTCTTAAAATCGTTTTTCGCCATAAAAAGGTCGCTTGCATTTCTCAACGGTCGCAACGCGCCTGCGTGGCAGCACACTAATCTTGACATGACTTGACCCAGTTTCCGGCCGATATATATAGAGGTGAAATCTCAACTTGTGTCTTTCCGTCGGTATGTTTTTTCCAGGGAGGGTTTACGGTTTAAGGGAGAGCGCATAATCACAACAAAGTAGAACCTTTCGAAACGTCTGTTTAATTTTTATGTCTGGAATTCAAATATATGTACCGAAAACAACGTAATTTCAATAAAATGAATACTAAAATTGCCTGAGTGATCAACAACATTAATTTTATCTCGTTTAGCGTATAACAGGACACTTGACTCACCGTTGCCGTATTCGTATTCGCATTGCTTATCCGGCTCTATACCATACACGATATATTTTTTTACGAAGCAGGGTCAATGATTGTCATGCATTACATAACGTCACACAACAGCGTGCGTCATCGTTTCTTATCGTGATCTGCACTCATTAAATTACAATCATTAAGTTCTATTAAATTAGGTAATTACTATACAGGTCAGTGATTACAATACGGTGTATCATAGTACATTTCAATAAATCCCAGACACTGACACTACTACATCACAATCACTGATCGCAATGCATTACACTGTATGGCTAGACATCACGGCGGACGTGACGTCATTCGAGTGGTTCGCTCTTGTGAAAGTTCTCTGTATTTTTGCGTTAACACAAAGCATTTTCATCTTTCTTTCTTTTGATACAAAATAACAAATAATATCTGACATTATCTATATGGATTTAAAAAATATCAAAATTACCATAATACATAACAAACCGAGTCTAACTATGAGCAGGAAATACAATGAAAACCGTAATGTTTTCTTTGGTTCTGGTCACTTTCAATGTTTTAATCATTCGCTTGTTAGAAGCTTCAACATTTGTTATAATCGGTACATAATATTTTTAAAAATTCTATGGGGAAAAGACAAAAGAGCTCGGCTCTTGGTCGAAACTTACCAAACAATAACTAGAGTCGCATAAATCATGCAAATAAATATAAGTCATATCTTGACGTAATTGCTTATTTCTCGGTTGAGTGAACGACATACTATTTCACATCACAGACGCGAGAAAATTATTTTCCAAAACAAACTGTAAACGATTTAGTACTTATGCCAAAAATATGGTTTATAACTAGATCACAAACCTATGCTTCATAAAAAATTTTAATGGTTACATAAAATGAGGAGTCATATTATCCCTTTTATCATTATCTTTGATTATCGTTGAACAGAGAGTACGTCTGTGACGTTGCAGTTCGCAGTTCAGCGGCAAGAGGCCCTTCTCAAGGTGATGTACCGTAAGCTTTTTAGTACTTTTATTAAACCTTAGTGACGTTTAATAATGACTCAATATAATTATTTTATGTGAGTATACATCATGAATATGCTTTTTTCATCGACAAACTTTTAACAAAAATCGTTATACTTGCTCAATATTCATATACTAAACAATTATGAAAGTGAAACTGAGGCGGATAACATTGATTGAGGTCTGAATAATTCTTGATATCATGCGAAAATCGAATTCAATAATTGTTTTATTATTCACTTTTTTTAACTGAAATATTAAAACATAACAATATTAATAAAGCGTCTTTCAAACCTACGCTAATTTGTTTTTGTGAGACGGTTTATTCAAGTTCGTCTCGTTAAAATATCTTGTAAATATGCTCAAGGCCAGCTTCTTTTTTAAAGTTTCCCGCAGCCTTTTCGTTTAAAAGCTTTCACATCGTTTTTAGAAACTGTGACAAACATCGCTGCTGTTTGATTTTTTTTTAAAAACCGGCTTTTAAGCCTGGTTTCCACTATTGGTTTAACGCGACAAGCTCGGCAGCGATTAACTTTTATTCGCAATGGCTGCGCGATTAGACCATTGATTTGTACATTAGACATATCAGTGGATTAGACGTCTGGAGGATCTCGTTATACTGGCAATGCTATTGCTATGAAAGAGGCATTGAAACATTACGTAAATAGCAATGAAGGCTCTGTGCCTTAGCAGCAGCAATATGTAAGAAACACTGGAAGAATTTATAATTAAGAAAAAAAACTTTTCATCAAATTTAATAGTTTCTGGATTAAGTGATTGAACACATATTGAATCCGCCATTTTAAATTCCTAAATTTTCATTCAAGATGACGTCATTTTGGCGATTAACGCAAATAAATATCAAGAATTTTTGATAGTTTATCGCGTTTGTCGCGATTGTTGGTCGCCGTTTATTGCGATTATTACCACGTTCTCATATGGGATTATTACGATTAAAGTTAATCGCTGTCGCGTTTGTCGCGTTAAACCAATAGTGGAAACCAGGCTTTAATAGCGTTCATAATTGTAGAAACTAGAAACTATAATTTCTAGATTATGTCGTCTACCTCCAGATATCGAGAATTATTTGCAGGAATAATCAAATTTATTTATGCCCAATGATCCTGGCAGTAGATCCCAGAGCCCTGGTAAATCCTGGGTGCTTATCATACGTTAATAACATATAATGGAGATAAAATATTTTTGAACACAGTATAATTCAGTGGTATTATCTCATATTCCTATTATTACAGCTTGTTACATTAATAACCTTGCTAACATGTTATTTACATTTTCTATTTCAATTTATTGGAATCTAGGTTTTAAAGAACACGTTGAACAACGCTTAACTTAAATATGGCCACTTCATCTCTTAAGAGATGTACTTCGCTGATCCATACATTGGTGGTTTTATTGTTGTTGGTATTTTGACAATTATCTATCTTAAAAAAAGCACGTTCGTGTCAATATCTGCTCCTATATCTGAAACGTCTACTCACAAATCTGTTAAATCTACTCACAAATCTGTTACATCTACTCACAAATCTGTAACATCTACTCACAAATCTGTAACATCTACTCACAAATCTGTAACATCTACTCACAAATCTGTAACATCTACTCACAAATCTGTAACATCTACTCACAAATCTGTAACAATGTCTACTTTCAAACCTGAAACAACATTTACCCCTGCATTAAATGCAACATTTGCTCCCTTAAGATCTGACAAAATTGTTCTTTTGTATTGGGGAAGGTTTTTTGGAAGTCCACCGACAGCATTTGTTGGAGTGTGGCCAAAGGGTGACAAGAAAGGCAAATGTCCCAACTCCTCCTTTTAAAAAGCCCAATTTAAATCCACCTATTCCGTTTGAGAATAAAACGGATAGAATAATGGCTTGTTTTTCCAACTGTGAACCTGTGAGGACGGCGTATTTAAGACATCTCATGAAACATGTTCATGTAGATTCCTATGGCGTTTGTTTACGCAACAAAGATGGTCTGATAGAGCGCTATGGGCATGACTATAGAAAAGTAAAACAAAATCTAGAAAGATCATACAAGTTTGTTATTGTCTTCTTCAACCAAGATTTTGATTACTTTGTTGATGACCAATTTCAACATGCATTTAACGCTGGCGCAGTACCCGTGGTAATGAGCACGGATCAAATTTATGAATTTTTGCCAGGAAATCTTAAAAACGCCATCATTAATGTCAGAGATTTTAAGTCTCCGAAAGAATTGGCCGACCGACTTAAATTTCTAATGAAAAACAAGATCGAATATAATAAATATCTGGAATGGAAAGCAAAAGGTTTAGGCCATATTACTGACACTGTGATTGGAAAATATTGGGAAAGTAAATTTATTCATTGGTGCGATATGTGTGTAGCAATATCGAAAGGAAAATGGCACAAAGAAGGTCTTAAACCTGAATTTTGTAAGCGAAGAGAATATAAAGACTGGGGTATTATACCTTAATCTCCATGGAAGACAATACAGGCTGGTGGGAAAAACTGAAAATTTTTTCACGGAGAACATACAAGCACAAAATATTTAACAGAAACATCAAAATCTTTGTCAATCGTTCTCATGAAATTTTTCAACCGCATTTTATATGCATTATAGCCTCTAAAAGACAATAGCAATTATAGCGCATACTCATAGCCAAAGTAAAGCTTTTCTACAATCTTTACACTGAAGTAAGTCTAGTTCAAACGATTGAATAACCTATGCAGGTTACACAAAGCTCAGCCCCATGTCAAGTTTTTGCTAGCATATATTGTTAACTTAACACTCTGACGCTACTTGCTTTCCATATTTAGGACCTGTTCATAGCTACCCGGGCTAGGTAGCTTTGCCGAGATAGTGCCTCATACATTTTTTTACAATGTTTTTGAAATTGCGTTCATTTGAAGAGCTGACCATCTCGGCTCGAAGGAAGTGTGATCTCGCCATATGAATGCGAATACAAATTGCCCCGGCAAACTAGCTGCCCCGTTTCATATTAACAGTCCCTTACTACTGCTTTGTTATTACATTTTCTATGTTATGCATCGTCATACTATTTAAAAATCTCAAGAGCCCTCTAAAATCCTTTAAAATCCCTGAAAAATTCCTAGAGATCTCAAAAGTTCCATGGAACTCTCAAAAAGCACTGAGACTCCTTGCCCCCTTCATCCTAAAAAAACAAACTGGAAAAATCCTTCAAATTTTTTTTAAAAATCGATAGTAATCTCAAAAACTGTTCAATAAACGCCCTCTCCCGTGAAAAATCTCGAAAAATCCTTAAACATCCCTGGAATATTTAAAAAAGTTCCAAAACCTCCTAAAATCTAACAAAATCTAGTGCGATCGTTGTAACCTATGAATAATTTAATGTCATGTGGTCACATTGCAAATTTAAGGCTTACCACGCTCATGTCTCCAGGTTCTTCGGCAAAGTCTTTTTGTAATCGCTCCCCAAACTAAAATGTTGTTCATCAGACATATGAGGTTAAACACGCATAACAGCAACAATTTTTCCTTAACTAAACAGCAAAAACAAAGGAGGACTTATACTAAACATGTACTCCAACAGCTTTCGTCTAGTATTTCCATACCTAAATAATTATTTTCAATTCTGGTGAATGGAAAAGTTCAATCGCAGACTTTTCCCCATTTAAACACGATTACACCCACATTACTTTGAGGTTAAGTTTACCAAATCAATATTCATCTTGAAAGACAAGTAAATCTTTCGCCCTCTTGTTTAGAAATCACGGGACCTGCTCTTCCATGCCTTAGCTAATTTCATCTTCAAACTGTATAGAGTTGAGTGGTAACAGATACACGTCTTTCTCTTGCTTCGGCTCTTTCATTGTCACTAATTTATGAAAAACGATGATCAACCATCAACAATTCCGACAAAAATTAAACTATTAAGTATTCGAACAGCAAATTCATACACAATTGTGAAACAATTCAGTATCAAAATTTACAAACAAATAGCTTCATTCATTTCTCTATTCCCTCTCTGACTAAAAACAATGTATAGGAGGATTGCATGTTACGTCATGACCGCCATGTTGGTGGTGAAATACAAAAGAATATTTTATTAATGCTATTGTGGGCACCAGCCTTCGTGGGCGAGCCACATTGTTGGACAATTCCCTGGAGTTTGGTCTCAATCCAAGAATACGCTTTGGCCGCAGCGAAGCCAGACCTATTTTTTCACATACAAAGCAAATATTTTTGCGTGCAATCACTGGAAAGACAAAAAGTTGAATTAGTCCATTGCGATTTTTATTTCCTCGGCTACCATGCTTTCAGGGATAATGCAGTTACGCAAATAGTTGGTCGTTGATAATTTGACGGTTAGGATAACGTTCCCGGGTATGGTCACGTGCGCCCTCGGCACTTTATTTCATTAGTCTAAGTATTTTATGGTTTGAACATATCTACTCATGCACAAACAGGTTTATACACATTTATGTCGGTATTTTAAATTGTTAACATATAAATATATTCATAACTCATATTTTATTACGAATTAGTTTGCAATAATTTTGAGAATGTTTTACAAATATGAAAAATAAATAAAAATTACAACCAAACGTTTTTCATCTAGCAAAGGCGTCTTTCGCTTTAACCAATGCCTTCATTACAGTGTTCGATTTGCACTGAATCAAAATGGAATGACATAGCATATTTTAACAACTTCTGAACGAGTCTTGAAAATGAAACACGCTTCAAGTTTTTTTACCTTACTGTACTTCCACTAGGAAAAATCAAATTTCCTTCTCACAAAATATTTACCTTACAATGTCATGCAATGCATAGCGATGATATTTTGAAGAGTTCAAAGACTCTTGATAACAGAACTGATTGAATATAACCCTTCCACTGGCACTATTTTCATACATTAGCACCATCAAAGAGTTATATGTTATATCAGTTTAAACAATTCAAGAGTACCTTAAAGTCTAAAACATGTTCATTTTAGCAATCAGTGCGATCAGAAGTTGTTTATGATGATCAGGAAACCTGAATTTGATGAGCCCAACGAGGAACTTTACCATCGAATGTGAAAGGAATAGGGTCACATTTCCCTTCATTCTCCACTATACTTGATGCAGAACCATTATCTTGCATAATAACTTTTGAATTTACACTATCAGAGTAAGGTGATTCCAGGATTGACAACACATGGTTAACCTATGAAGGGAATATCGTTAACTCGAGACAAGTTGTAATTGTTCATCTGTTAACTCTCTGACGCAATGCAACCCAATTTTTCTGTTGCGGGCGAAATTTATATCTTATATTTATTACTCATGGTATTTTAAATGGTCCGAACTCCAGAATTTGCGCAAAAGATTCAAAAATAGATTGAAATGTGATTACTCTAAGGTAAAAGCAAACAATTAAAACCAGTGCTATAGAAGTATAAAGTATGTAGGAACCCAGAAGGGTCGAGCTCTCCATCTAGAATGTTACGTTCCAGCACCGTAAGAATTTGTATGTCTATTCCAAAAATAAAGATCCTATTCAAATGGTAGTTATGACTTGTAAGACTTGTGATATATTAGTTAATACCAACTCTCTCTGTCATCTTTGATTTATTTCAGTCATATGTGACTGTGATGTCATATAATGACGTCACATTTTTTATGATTTCACGGTTTCAACCTCGTCAAGAGAGGTGTTCCCCACTTTTTTGATTAATTTGAGGACAGAATTCCATGTTCAAGTATTTTCCATAAAAGAACGATAATTTTCAACTCACTAAACTGTAGTCGCCTTCTTCAGCAGCCTTGATAGCGTTCTCAGCTATATAGTTTCTAAGTATGAATCTATACAAGAAAGTGGCGAAAAAAACAGTGTTTTAAAAATCATATATTATTAAAAATTATTCAATATCAATAGTATATTATACAATATCAAAAATATCCAAATCAGTGGTGCATTACATCGAGGAGCGAATTCTATGAAGACAATAATTCACCAATATTTCATAGTCAAAATCTCATTAGGTCTTCAATGAAATCCGAAAAATACACACCGCAAACTTACCTAGGATTATTTTGATTCATAACATCAACTCTAGCAGCATTAAACTGAAACAGGTTGTATATAAAGCACATTTAAACACATTGCCTTAATAATTATAAACTTCCGGAATTAACTAACTTTCTCCTAAAGGATGATTTCCATTCAGTGCAAATTGTTGCGCGATCGACTTTTTGAGATTACTTTCTTTTCAATTGTAACTCTCGACCAGAACAGTTTCACACTGCTGCACACAATTCAAACGAAACTGATCGCAAAAAGTCGATCGCGCGACAATTTGCCCTGAATGGAAATCAGTCTTAACACAAGATGAACACAAAACCCTAAGAGCACTAAAGGACGACAAATCCACATCAGGTTTAATGTCATGTTCTTAAACTGCAACTATAAGACTTACCGCGTTTATGTCTCCAGGTTCTTCTGAAAATTCCTTTTGTAATCGCTCCCTAAAAGGAAATTTAGTTCATCAGACATACAATGAAATCAAACACGCAAAAAACAAACTTCTCCTTATCTTAAGTTTTGACTTGCAATTCGACCATGTTGGTGGTGCGATAAAGAAGAATTTTATCAGTTTAGTTTTTGACATGCACTAGCTTACGTGGGGGCGTGCTGCAATGCTCGGTAAATCTCAGGAGTTAGTGCTGTCACTGCTATGCACCGGAGAAACGGAAGCCGGAGCTCCGGATATTTTTGTCTGCCGGAGCCGGAGTTAGCTCATCTCGGGCAGCAGTTACTTGTGCTGCAAAATTGTGAAAATACTGTCAGACATTGGTACACATGTCCGATCAAAACATCTTTGTATCGACGAACAATAACTATCGGTTAAAATTAAAATAAAACACTTTATGCATGACATATCGTGACGCTAGATTTCGTTCTAATTACATACTAATTTATGATTGAAAGTCGGAGTGCGGAAATTTAACTTCACATACAAAAATTTTACCAATACACCTTCAGAAGTGAAAAGAGGCCGGAACCGAAGCCGAAAAACCGGAGGTTGCACAGCACTATCAAGAGTATGGTTGCAAGTCAAAAATATCAACGGTTTGAAAGTTTTCACTGAACATGTACAACATGCACAACTACAACATGACATAAACCTAACTTCAACAAGAAATCATGTAAATACAAAAACCAATTTGTAAAAAAAATCCGAAATTTACTTGTACTTTCCTATCCACTCAAGCCACAATCCCTCATCTCTCTTGCGTTTCTCTTGAGGAGTTATATCCTGCAAGAACAGCAACAATTTATCAATATTTAGTGTATATTTTATAAATACTTTTAATGTCAATACACAAGCATTCCAAATGGCATGGCCAGCCCCCGAGAAATCTATTGTTTTTGTACGTAGTTAATGAAATAAAAAATAACATAACATGACTAAATATGCGGCTACGGTACTGCATTATCGATAAATTTATTTTAATAACATATTAGCCAAAACGATTCTACAATTACATCAAGAAAATCAATAAAATTACTCGAAATTTTTGGGCTTTTTCCATCTTCTCTTTCTCAGCCTGTATCCATGTATTTCCCTGAAACTGCGACGCCAATGAAGGATTGCTTCTCATCATTAGCAATAACAATTGAAGTTGCCTATTTATAAATTGAACGATTTTCATAAATTTCTAAAATGAACTTTTGAAAGGTTTCCTAATTACTTCGCTTCTTATTTACACGAGAAAACATGCTGTTGCCTATAAACTTTATATAAACATGAAAACACAAGTTTTAACCAAACCGACGCAAAGCAAGAAATGTAATTTTGTGCAAATAAGTGAAATTGTTAAGGCTGTAATAGTAATAAATAAGAAGGGAAAATGAATCAGACCATGGGAACGATTGGCCCCGGTAAAATATTTAGGTTCACAGCACAATAGTATAACCAGATTCAAATGCCAAGGGCCATGATCAGTAATAATGTTGTCAATAAGATAATAACATTTACAGAACATAAAATTAACTTTACTACCCAAGAAGCAACTCGAAACAACTTCCCCCCCACTGCATCCATAATTTGCTCGAACTCCCCCAGCATCTTTTAATATTTTGGCGATATCTGCGCTCAAAAATATAAAATAGCCCCCCACTGGAAAGAAGACATATCACCAGTTTAAAAATCGTAAAACAGAATGAAAAAGGTTGGTTTTGCACAAAGCGCATTTCAAAATAACAGTAAAAATGTCAATACTGGAACAATGAAATCTCAAAAGCTGATTTCAGTTCAATATTCACAAAATATTGTTAATAAAATTTATCTTACTCAGACATTCCAGGATTGCTTGGAAGATCAGACGGTTCAAGACACTGCGTCAGAATATACTTTAACACTTCATCATAATCCCTATTAATGGATGAGTTTTCATTAAAATATTCTTCATTACATTACAACGACACGGTAAAATCGTTTGACAAGATGTTACGTTGTATTTCTGACCGTTATTTGAAGTACAAGTGTGGCCAGTTAACATACCTCTTACATTTCGTGTTAATATCAACCGTGATCTTTGACAAACATCTGAAGACATTCGTAAAATCCGCTCCTGAAAATAACAATGGGGAAAATCTCGCAATCTTATTGGAGCAAGAGCGACATACAATGAAAAATGAATGAGGTACAAGGAATGTGAAGGACATTAAGAATACTGAGGAACTGATGTGACTCAGCAGGTTGAACAATGAAAACTTAAGCGAGAAGCATGGAAGAAGAAGGATAGAGAGGAACTCAAGATGACTCAGGAGGTTGAATAATGAAAACTTAAGCGAGAAGCATGGGAGAAGAAGGATAGAGATGAGAGGAGAAGAAGAAGCATGGAAGAAGAAGGATAGAGAGGAACTCGAAGTGAGTCTGGTGGTTGAACAACGAAGACGTAAGGTAAGAATGTGAAGGATACAGTGACAAACTCAAGGTGAGTCAAGCGGTAAACAAAATTTGATTTGAAAAACTGAATGACAGGTAAGAACAACAAAAAGCGAGAATGACAAATCAAAAGGCTTACGCAATATCAAACGCTTGTTAAGGTCGGGCATTTAGGTTAGCAATCAACCATGACCGGCAAGTATGATGGATGCGTGTGAGTAAAAAATTGAAAGAGTGAGTGAAAATGAATGATTGTGTGTGTAAGAATTCATTTTCATAAAATATAACTCGTAAAACTTAGATGAATGTATAAAACAACACCTGTTTCTTCCATAACTCGTAACAAATCCTTCACCAACACCCTAATGTCAAAAACAGACACAATGATCGAGATAAAGAGTGTAATTTCTTCATATATTATAAATAGGACATAAAAAGCCTATTTCTCACCCATCAGTTTCGATCTCTTTCCTCAATAAACCAAGCTAAAAAAGTAAAAATAATCAAATACTAAGCTCGGAAATTTTTGTAAAATCAATTATACTGATATCGAAACGAATTAAACTTTTAGCGAAACTGACGTCAAATACATGACGAATAAGCAACTGTAAATGGCAAGTTGTATTGCATTGAAATGTTGTAAACGAACAAAAATATTTACGTACACCCAAACCCCTAGCCCAAACCTATGCAAGTAGAAATTGATTAAATAATTTTTCCTTTACAAATAACAAATACCAATGCAGACATCACGTTTTTCGCGAATAAAATGACGGTTTATTTCAAAACGTTCAGTACTTATGCAGCTACGATAAAATATGATCAAAAAACTTTGGTTCGACTGGTTCTAGCAAACTATTAAAAACAAAGTTTTGCCACATGACTTTTACCATCAGGAAATCAACAAGTGAAGTTGTTTGTTAAAAATGATCTACTAACACTTTACGACAGTAACACTTACTTTTTTACGCATCTTTCTATGATAATAGGCATTAAACTCCTCATCATACCTACAAATAAACAAGAAAATTGAGTTTACGTATAAACACACGACTGACAATTTCAATAGTTGAATAGTAATTTGAAAAGGTCGAAAAGTCAAAACTGAGTCCAGAGGACGAATAGAGCTATCCGCTATTTTTGAAACAAATGGAGAGAGATTTATTTGTGACTAATGGAATGCAAAATTAGATCAATGTTTAAAATTATCACAAGTAACGTAGCCAGCCAGCAAATTTTGATTCTGCCATGTAAAATTCAAAACATTATCATTACTCATTTCTATAAAAATCCATTGTATTCAATGTGAGTAAACACAAACAGCAAGACCACTGAGCAGGAACACTGAGCGGACTAGTTGCGCTAGTATAATATAAAACAAATTCCGAAGAAACAAGACATCTTGAGATTGCAAAATATGAATCAAAACAAGACGAGAAGTAAACTGTAAATTTTCGACTTTATTTCAAAGTCATCCTCAGACAGAATGATATATGGTTTTATATATCATTCTGTCTGAGGATGACTTTGAAATAAAGTCGAAAATTTACAGTTTACTTCTCCTTCTTCGGAATTTGTTTTATATTATACTTCTTTAAATTGTCGGCTGGTCATGGTTTTTAGTTACGCTAGTGTTTCCAGTAACTATTGCTTTCTCAATTTCATTCAGTCGTTCCCAGTTTGTAACTTACGTATCGTCAAGAAGAGATCGTGACTTGTTCAGTGGTAAAACATCAGCCAGGGCCTCGGCTAATTTCATTAAGTTCCATTTGCATATTTCAGGTTGAGCCTTGAAACTGTATCTTCCCATTTCATCTAAAAATATGTAAAGCAATGTCACTGAATGATACATCTTTGAGGCTAACATATGACAATAAATGATTCAACATACCACTCATATTGCAAACAAAATCGGCGTTGAAATGATCCATGAATCCAAATGGACCATAATCAATAGTTAAACCAAGAATGCTCATATTGTCTGTATTTAAAACTCTAAGAATGAAAAAAATTGCTGTAACTGACCACAACTATGTAATTTGGGAAGCAAGGAATCTACAATGATCAGATCATGACGAAGATCCTCTTGCTTTGGCTTACCCATGACAAAATCCAACACACTGCCATTCAGCAACAAGTTGAGCAGTTCTTATGATAACTTCTTTGTAAAATGCAAGGTAACGCTCCTCAGCATTATTATCGTAGTCAATTTCAATCTATAATTTAATAAATATCAAAAAATTGCATGAAAATCAATAAGGTCACTTAAGCATTTTTGGAAATTAACAGTAATCAAATTTTGAAAATTTATCATTGAGTTCAGGAGCGTAGCAAAGTCTATGTTTTTGAGGGGGTCGTGCCACAAAATTTGCTGACAAAATGAGTGTGTCTTGGTCATAGTTATAAATAATGCATTGAAATTTTGTGAAAAATTACAGATAGAAGAACAATTTTGAGGCACAACCACCCCTCCCCTGGTTGCAACCCCCAGATTGAGTCCGACATTAAAAAGAATTAAGAAACAAAGCTGAACATACATGAGGATAAAATGTCTTAATAACATAGTCCAACAATTGAATCAAAATCTTTTTATTTCCAGCACTGGGCCCTCGTCGACCAGTTAATGGATCGAGATGTTTCACAATTTCAAAAGATCCAAATCTAGATATTTGATAATTAATAAAATAAATGACAGTCATGATTAAATGCTTCTAGACATGAAATTTCACTATATATAGGAAAACCTATTACAAAATACACTAAAAAAATATTCACACAACTATGACATGGCAGCCCAACCAAGCACTGGTGAACATGTTTTGTAGCAACTTTTTCATAACCATGGATGTATAAATACAAAATACCTGATAAAAGATGGGGAAAGTCTGAGTACCACTGTGCACTTCTCATAAATTGGATTTCCATTGTAATATATATCCCTGATAACCTTTGAGTCTGATGTTATGCAGCATCCAGCTAGGATGAGAAAAGTGAGATATGTCAGTTAGAGGTAACTCAATGCAAAGACCTCAAAAGTTATTTTTTGATGCTTTTACCTCTAGTTGTGGGAATGCCAAGATGGTACATTGCCTGAAATATAATGGAATTACGATAAATATTATACAGTGTTTGCATCACTTGTCATGAAAAGAATCTATGTTGTGAAAAGAATGAAAAGATGTAGTGAAAAGAATATATGTTAATTTCATGCTGTGTTAAGCATTGGCGCTTTGATGAAGCCCTCCAATATGGCCGCTTCAATGTCACATGTAAACAATCTACATCATTCTTTCAAAGCAACCATCATTAAAAATTCCTAGCATACTGTATGTATTATTCTGCATATGTTTGATCTGTTTCAAGTTATTTCACCTCACTGCATAAAAATTCACGAATACTTGATCTGAGGACTTTTCTGCCATCAGCACTTCTTGAGAATGGTGTTTTGCCAGCTCCTTTCAATTGCATTTCCCATCTTTTCTCAGACTTATTTACAACTTCCCCCAAAGATCTAGTCAGAAAAGGTAAACTACATTACACTCAAAGTATAAAGTATGCAATAACTGGGACCTCAAAGTAAGTCCTCTTATGATTTTGCCTGCAGTTTGAATTTGAAATCTATTCCCAGACTCTTATTTTTATATAAATTTGTCATTAGAAATGCTGTAGCTAGCCATGATAATTTGGGAAGTGGGGCAATAATTTATATATGAATGTTACAATCCACAGAAACACTGTGCGAGTTAGTTCAGAAAAAACGACATGCAATTTTTTTTGACAAAAGTGTTTCTTTAGAGGCATAATCAAATCGATATTACGTTAATTATTATATAGCGCTAATTGTTAGATTAATATTTTTAAACGTGAACAAATTCATATGATTCACGACAGTGTTTTTCGTCTATCGTTTGAATAGAAGTTTTTTGCACATCGTTTGAAAAAGTGATGTGCAATTGTTTTCATTTTAGCTAAAACGATGTGCAAATTGCACATTGCACACCGTTAATTCGCACACTGCACAGAAAACAATTGATTTCAGAGGAACTTAAAAGGGCAGAAGATGAATAGATAAATATACTCTTCCCCAATCATCAAGCTGACTACACCTTAGTCATTGGCAGTCATTTCACAGCAAAATTATGCTCAGCATAATAAAAAGTGTTTAGCCATATTCTTATCAATATTCAATGTAAAGTTAGACTATATACAGCTGTATATATTTTAAAGTCAATATAAATATACAAAGAATAGTAAATGCAATACATACATAGCTGCACCATCACCAAGTTGTCCTGCAAAACTACCAAATTGATGACCACAATAACAATGAGCTGCAGTTTGCGATCCAGGAAACTTTTTGTTACCACTAAAGAAATCAATGAATTCTGGTCTTTTCGCCTGATCCTCATCTAAATCAATCAAACTCAATGCACTTTTGAGTAGGCAACCATTTCAGGATCCTTGATGGCTGTTGGTTCCACAAGAGAAAAACATGCATTTGGGACTTGACGAACAAAATTTTCCTTTACAGGATCTAAAGGCAAGGACTGCAGAGCTACATTATCAAATTTCAGAGATTCCAAAGTAGTCATGTCGTTCGAAATTAAACTTCGTCTAGGCCATGGAAATTGTGTCTTTCTCAAACCAAAATATTTTTCGATACTGGAAATTAACTGAAGGCAACTCCAATTCTTTAGATAGTTATTGCAGAGACGGTGCATGAATCATAATCAAGCTTATTTCACTCACTCGTTTTCAGTTATCCCTTTTGTGTTGCCCTACGATTATGAAGAATTTATTACGCAACAACCAAAATATGGCATTACGAGGAGCTCCGACCTGGCTCTGACTCCGACATTTTGTAATGTTAAAAAACGAGGGAAGGGGGAGGGGTAAGGGGGGAAGGGATGGTGGGAGGGCACCGAGGACAGACAGCCGGCTGCACCGAAGTTTGCTACAAGGAATCGAAATGTTTCTTTCAAAGACAATCTACAAAGTTTTTTGTAAACAACGCTTTTCATGATAATTTAATCAAGACGGCATTTTCAATACACAGCTTGCTGATGATGTCGACATTAAAATGATCACGTCAATTTTTTTGTAACAACTAAAATTGATTTTTTAAATAAAATTTTTCTGACTGTTAATAAAAAGTTAAAAGAGTTCCAATACATCGCAATTCATTGAATAATTTGAGTTTGCCAAGTTTGCAAGTTCACATTAACATTTTTTGCAGACCTGCCAACACGACCAACACTGAAAAGTTAATCGTGACACGCGCGATTTTCTGGCTTTCTCACGTTCACACGATTTATATCCCAAATTTCACGTTTTTTTCCTCACGTACTCACGATTTATATCCCAAATTTCACGATTTTTTTTACAAAATCTGCGCTAAAAACATGAATGATTCTATACTGCTGAGAAAAAGAAAATTACAGAGCTTTGAGCCCAGCAACTTTGCATTAAAAACGACAACGAAAACCGATAAACTTTTATAATCCTTAATTAATAAAATAAATGCTCAATTTACACGTAGATAGATAATGAAGTAATCAAAACAATAACTGTCTTTCTATTTGCCTATTTTCACAAGGTATGGGTTGCTACGATTTTCCCATCAAATTACATTGTGTTAAAAAGGGCAGATTAGAATGTACAAATAATACACAATCTCTTAGCAAGAATCTGATAACAGAATATATATTTACGAAATTTAAACAATTTTATGTAAATATCTCTTTTAAACACAGTCTTCTCCCGTAGTAAAATGATAAGATTCTGTCCCTTGTGAAACAGATGTGTCCTCTGTATTCCAAGAACAACAGCCCATACAAAATACAGAACGTTGATTCAGGAGTCAGAATCCGAGTCAGACTCATTGACAGGGGCGGACTTAAATCTCGGTATGGTGCTGGTCGATGTTCCACTGGGTTTCAAATGTTCTTCAGCATGTATTGCAGAGGGAAATCGTTGATGGTATCGTTTTAGTGTGAGGAACTTCACAGTTACCAAACGACCTACAGTGAAGATTACAGGATACATAACCACTGACTGTAACACGAATCTGAAGCTCTTTAATGTTAGATAAATAAAAAGAACGCACCATCAAACCAACAACCATGAATTGCACGAAAAGCAGCCCCAGAAGAGTGGTGGTTTGCGCATTTTACATAAACACATCCCTACGACCAAATTGTATTTACGTAATTCATTAAAAATGGAAGTAAAGAATTTTTCTGCTTAATAAAATAACCAACCTCATTTGACGTTTTATCAACTGATATATGAACAATAGCTGCACCCTTTTCAATGCATTTTTCCAAAATAGCATCTTCAATAAACACATGCCAACTTTCACGAGTTTCCCTGAGCCATATTGATTTAGAATTAATATTTTGAAAGTAATATATAATGGTAACAAATCAAATCAAAGCCAAACTTACATGACTGGTTCAAACATATTCCTTATTTTCAAACATGGCGTCGGACTTATCAACGGAGGGTTAACAGCGGTCGAAAAGTTTTCAAATGCTAAATGACGAAATTGAAAGTTAAGAATCGATTGATCTGATTGCATTAACAAGTATGCAACTAAGCTTTCGTTACTAGCTCGATGTCCCCTCAATGATACGAGTCATGCCGTGAAGATAGCTATACAAGTTGCTGTTGTATGAGGAACATTTGTACAACAAATATAAACAACAATTACCTGTTCCTTGCCACCATTTACCTTGTTTCGCACTTGAGCCCTAAAACAAAACAAAAGTATAGGTAAAATGCAGAAAAAAGTATTGCAATGTCAACTGGAACGATATTTCTAAAGATACGTTCTTACCGAAGAAGAATATGGAGTCACGGGAGTAGTGTGATGTAACAAACGCCATACTTCAAAATCTTCACCAGCAATTCTTTGAGTCTCGACACGAACACGAGATTCCTTCGCACTAAGAAACTTCACAGCATCATCCCAAGCTGATTTCAAAGCCTCCCTGCAAGATACACCAAATATTGTCTACAAGACGCCAGTGGTGCAGCTATCCTGCATATTTACCCTCACAATGTAAATTCTAAAGGATTGCCAATAGAATTTAGAATTCTATTGTTCTCACGTTAAGTGAACACAAACATATTTGCCTAAGGAGAGTAAAAAGTCGGCCTGGCTACGAGACTAACAAATAAGTCATTTCATATTGAACCATTTATGTACTTTTTAATATGCCTATGATTTGCCGTGCACAAAATCTAACGGTCGGTCTTCGAAGTTTAGAAAAATTTTTGAAAACCCAGACGTAAATAAAACATCACAAGACAAAAATTATGAGTTTAATAAAGGTTCTTTATGGTTCATGAATGGATAAAAAGGTGTAACTAGGGATTAGATACACTAGTACACATTATATTCAGATTTTTTATTTATTTTACAGACCTTTCAGAGGGTTTGATCAACATATCTCGGACGTGAAGAATCGCCAAGTAAGGACTTAGTTCTTTATTTTGTTGACATTCATTGTGATGGTTTTTTAACACTTCTAAACATGCATTAGATATCCCATCAAGATAAGACATACAATCCAATACATACAAATCTATCAGTATAAACGGGGTCAACCACCCAGCATACTAAAGGCTCCTTCACACGATCCGATTTGTTTCGGTTCCGACTTCAGGTTGCTTGTTCAGACGGTCCGATAATTTTGTTTAATTTTTCTATTCGTTTAGATATTTAAAGTCGTGTGAGCAGCCATTTGTGCTATCCAGTACATTTATCGATATATTTTTCGTATTTTTGTTCTCGTTTCAAATCTATGTAATTTTGCTAGTCGGCTTCCTTTGATCTCGTCGGAGAAAAATAGAGCAAGTTCTATTTGACTATTTCCATCCGATTTTTCAGACAGACGGATCCGACTGTCACTTAAAAATCGGATTCGACAAATCGGATCGCGTGAACGGGCCTTAAGAGTACCATAATTACACACACCTCTTGCAAGCATTCTTGTGAAAGACATTGCAAATTTTTTACCTAAAATTTTGTCAACAAGCTCAAACATTCGCCGTGTTTGCCTTTCTCTTCGCATCCACCGACATTTGACAGCAAAGTAAATGCAGATTGCGGTAACTATGACTGTGAACAAAACAAAAGACCTTGTAGTGAAAAGGATGGATTAATGGTTAAATTCTAATAAATTAGCTCAAGCTAGATACCAATATCAATAACATAATCTTCAATACAAAGTTTACGTAGTCAATAAAAAGAAATAGATTTAATCCGAAAAATAATCGTCTTTTGAGAATCTCTTTCAGATTTCCTATGATACAGAACATGAATCCTCATCCAACTCCCTATTCTACAGAGTAAGAATTTCTATAGAAAACAAAACGTTTCAATAGTTACCACAGCAAATGAAAATCAGCATAAAAAAAACCCGAGAAAATGCTTCCTTTATTCTGCACATCAAGGGTTTCAGAGCAAGTTCAGAAATTAAATTCTCACAAATTCCATCTGTAGATTTATTTGCAATTCCATTTTCATCACAGCACCTAGATATATCATTATAAGAAATATACACAGTTGAACTGAGTTTGATTTCATATATGTATCATAAATGGCTTTCAAAGAGATATGTTTAAAATATAACTTTCAAAAATATGTCTGCACTGTTAACATACTACACATGGATAAAAACACTAATGAAAATGTTTCTATAATTGGATATTAGCACTAAGAAACATTAATGGCATAGCCAGCTTCTAGATTTACTCCCCAAATGTAAATTCAGAAAGATTACCATTATTCATTTCTCTAGAAATATATTGTTCTTGTTCTCATTGAGCAATTGAATACAAAAATATTTGCATAGCAGGAGGAAAAAGATTGAGTGGGCTATGCTAATTAGCAACATCATTTTAAACAATCACATTATTCTTTACTAAAACATTACAATTGTAAACTTACGTTATTCCATATTGTGGAAACTCCATTATCTTACTTAAAAGTACTGTAGCATTTATATTTTCCTACAAAAAATCAAAGCAGAAAATGAAGATGTTGCCAAAGGATTGTTTATTTCATTGTTTGATGATCTTACCGCTGTTGAATGTTTACTAATCCAATTGGTCAATTTCACTTTCCCATTATGGCCGGACTTGAAGAATAACCACATCTATAAAGGCCTAAGAACAATACAATCTTTATTGGAAACCCATATTCAATGTAAGATTTATGATTTAGGATATATGATTATTTCACTTACATAGCACATTAAATTAATAATATCAAAAATAACACCAACCTAAAGAATATGCCAAATCAACACTTAGTTTTTCAATAAGATGTTTTATAACATCAACCTCACTCAGACAACCAGTAGCCTAACAGAAAATTAGTCAAACAATTTTTTTAACATGTGTTGTTAATGAATTTGTGTAGACAAATCATCAAAGTGATATCATCACAGGACACCTTGTCATTTTCATTTGTCAAGTTTCCACAAAGCATCAGTTCTACAAAATCACACAATAAACAAAATGAACAAATAAATCCACACCAGGAAATCCTGTTATCTACACCAGACTAATGAAGTATTCTGCAGTGTTTTAAACTGTCTTATTATCAGGCAAATGTCTCAAATTTCAAAAGAAACATTTTTGCTGGGCCATTGCACATAATTCTACAAATGAATTCAAACAAATGTTGTAAAGCAAACAGCCAACAATTTGAAAGCACAAAAATAAAGAACAAAAAAACATGTACAACGTAAGTCAAAGAAAGAACACTAGGCAAGTGAGTTAAACTATTTCTGATGAGTTATTTTTTAATGAAAAAAATAGTGAAAGTCGACACCTGCAAGGAAATAGTGAAAGTCAACAACAAGGACAAGTGAAGAAGGAAAGCTTTTAACAAAGGCATATCGTAAATCTTTTTTAACCTAGCTTGCTCAGTCTTTACCAAGAAATATCGCACCTCTGTGTTTTAGTACAAACCATAACTGCACAAAAACACTTTGGTCTGATCTTTCTCAGCAAAGACCACACAATTAGTAAATGAGGGCTTAATAATTTCATTTGACACACACAAAGCAAACAGGTTTGACAAGGTCTTGGCCATTATGGTCACTACGTATGTAATACTTGCATAATACTTATGTAAATGTAACATCACTTGTACTTCTTGTATAAATTAGTGACATAAGCATGAGCATAAGATACTCTCCATTCTTCTTATGCTTATTTATGCTTATGTTAATGCTTATTGCAGTATACTGCAATTGAAGACACTCATGTTTATTCAGTAGGGCACAAGTGAGGACCAGGCTTCACTGATCATTCAATGATGAAAATAATCCAACAGACTGGGGTTACTTAAACAATATAACTTGTTGTGAGATTGAAAATTTTCATATATATTTTTAAATTTTCAAACAAAAAATAATCAGATACAAAAGATTGCTTGGATACTAACTTTCATTTTTCTTCATGATTCCAAAGGCTTGCCAATACCATAAAAATAATATTGCCAAAGTTAGAAGGGTGAAGAAAATTAACATATACCAAAGACAACGATAATCATTTTCATCAGCTTCTTCCTCAACTTCTAGGTCACAAGGCATTTCCATTTGAGCTTGTGGGACGGGAGTATTTGAATATCTTTTGCTATCGTCCATCGTTTTTTTAAGAAACAAATTTTTTAAACGAGCAAAGGAACGTTTATTTTCGCTTTTTTGCTCAACATTTGAATATCCACCAACAACCCCATTTTCGCTATTTTGAAGAGGCTTTGGATTCGGTGTTGAGACGTACTGCGTTCGTCTTTGATAACTATCATAACTAGAGCTATTGTCATGCCGCGGAGGACTTGATTGTGAAAGCGCTTTTTTCGGACTCCGTTTGAACCCGTCAGATTTGCGTTTTTGCCTCGTTGCTAAAGGCACCTTAACGGAATCATCTTCGTCGCTGGAAAAGCCTGTAAGTCTTGCTCCTGGGGATGGCGTTGGGTCAACAGACCGTCTACCAACAGATACACGTCTACGAGTTGGCTTTGGTGAAATGGATTTTCTGGATCGCACAGAACTATCAACTGGTGAGCGTCCATCCTCAGATATCTTTCTGTTTAACTTGCGGATGTATAGATATTTTGTTGATGGCGTTATAGGCCCGATAGATATTCCATGTTGCTTCAATTTCGCTCGTAACTCCTGATCAGAGATATTGTCATTCACAGCCGCCATCTTGTTAACTGTCAGTTTCAATATCTGTCCCCCTCCTGAACACTTGAATTTGAATGTCTCTATTGTTTGTTTGTCTTTAAATCTAAACTATCAACGTTGTTTCAGTTGTTTTTAACAAATTCACAAACTAATATTGACATGTGCACTCCAGACGATACAAAACTCTCTAGAAGCCTCTGTCATTGTTAATCAAGTTAACGAAAGGGAAACAAACAGAAACAATAGTTGATATTGACAATTTTTTATTTCGTATGTATTTTAAAAACTATTTTGGAAGTAATACACTCTACACACCAAGACATAAGTACAATCTTGAATGAAATCATGATACTAAATATACTGAATCCACTTTTATATGTTCATGTCTACTCCTTTGGGTATCGTAATCTGCTTAAATACAGTTAGTTGACCGAAGTCATTGACTTATTACAGATCTGGTCATGGCATTGTAGCCCGAGGTTTCATGGACAAGGTGATTAGTTGACAACAACACATGCGATGTTGAAGGTCTTAAAGTCGAGCAAGTTCATCAACGTAACTGTTCGTAAGTTCTCGCAGTTCAGTGAGACAACAATCCTCGGGAAGTGGCAATTTTTCGATATGAGGTGCAAGTACACTGGACTGTACATAATATGACTCACCTTCATCTGTTTGCATCACCTGGTAAGTAAACATAGCAAAATACTTTAAAGTATATTTGGTATAGAAACATTAAAAAGGACAAATCTCTAACCAATTCCTTAGCGATTATCTTGAGAAAGTTGGCACACATCGTTCCCATTTCACATTGACACAATCTTCGAAGGTAACAAGAAGACAAATATATACACTTAATTCTTAAAATATGAAATTAGTGACGCAGTCAACGATATAGCGTGTAACGTGTGTTAAATCCTTTCTTATTTCTCACCTATCAGTGGCAGTCTTACAGGGTAGCTGATTTATACGATGACAAAGCGAAGATACTTCAATTTGCATTTTCTCGAGTTTATATGTACTCGGTACAAGCAAACCATTCTAAATGCAATAAAACAATCAACTCAAGTGAGAACTTGCATGAAGAATTCTGACTGAAAATCTTCTCTGTAACGTTAGTTTTTTAAAAGATTATTTTGAATGATTTCAGAAACCTTTATATCGTTAAATGCTTCCCATATCTTGATATAATCCAGATAAATCTGACCACCGGTATTCCAGTGGTTCACTTGAGACGAATTTTCGCGGGGTGCAATTTCAACAAGCAATTCCTTTATTGATTGATATTCCTCTAAAAATATCGGCATTAAAACAGTTTAATACATAAAACGACGATAGTTTCAAGAAAGCCCCTCAAAATTTACCATTAATAATAGCTAAAGATGCCAAACGATTCAATATGACACCGTGAGCAAGATCAAAGCAACCAGACTTCACAAGATGATATGCTTCGTCTTGCGGTTGATTTTTCATTCTTGATCGAATAACCTAAACAAAAATTTCCAATGTCACTCCAAAATATCAAAAGGTTTAAAAAAGTACATCGCTATAAAAAAGAAATCGTCTAGGGGAAAATGAAAACAATACACTAGTTATGAAGGTTTGTGAAGGTTCTGTAATCCATTTCCTACCTTTGCAAAATGGATCCAAGGAAGAGGTACAGCCAAATCATTTAGTAAAAATGCTTCTTTATCGCAATAATCAGCATCACCAGCCAGTACACAATAACGAACCAATACGTTGTGGACTGCAGCGTGACGTCTGCATGTTATTGAATAAAAAAAATCTTGTTTTTGATGAACAGATGAAACTATGTGTAAAACGGCCATTAAAATATCTAATTAGAGAGGCAGACATATATAATACATCGTAAAGTACTAAGAAAACATATAAACCCAAAACGTGACCGGTAGTTTCAAAATGAATTCAAAAAGAGGGATAAATTCGGTGGCTGTGACTTTCGTTTCCCCCAGAAGCTAAGTGGCCGGCAGTAAAACACAAAGTCACCGGTAGAACAGTCCTCCGTTACGCCTTATAAAAAAATATCCCGTAGACTAACTTAAAATTATAAAAAACACTTGATTTTACAAGAAATACACTCTATAAAACTTGGATACATATGATTTAAATATTTCACCTTTGGGGATCTTGAATATGCATCAAAACAAATATTGCCCAATGCCAAAGACCCATTGCCTCTAGCTGAGCGGCGTAACTAGTATTGAGATGACCAGAATGAATTTCGGGTAAATGCTTAAAGCCAATAGCTTGAAGTACTTGATGTAAGTGCCAGCTGTAAGGAGAAACAAATATTTTTGAGATTGTAAGGAGAAACAGCTGCAAGGAGAAACAAATATTTTTGAGATTGTAAGGAGAAACAGCTGTAAGGAGAAACAAATATTTTTGAGATTGTAAGGAGAAACAGCTGTAAGGAGAAACAAATATTTTCATTTAGTACACCCTATGCATAAATTCATTTCCAGCACAAATAAATTTCTGTCGAAGAGTTACTGTTTACAGATTAATATTTTGGCATATTACGAAACACAAAACAAGAAATCATCCCGCCATCCTCTCGTCTCTTCTTGTATTAAATTCTAGCAAATGTATTACCTGAGGCTAACGTCAAGTTGATATCTTGTATAAGATGCAGGAGCTAAAGTTTTTTCAAGTCTATGTGATGGCTTACAATATAGTTTGATAAGATGATAACAAGTATCCCGAGGTGGATTTTCAAACTCATTCTCTTCTCCATAAACTTTCTCAGTGTTATCAGTTTTCTCAATGTAAGATGGGCACGGTTCAACAGCGTAAATGCCAGAACTTGTCCTGCCTTTGTATGAGTTCTCGTAAGCGTTCAAGGCATCGGTTATGAGCCCACTACAGGGACGTTGATACCACAAGTGTAAGGCAAACGCTCTCTTCCAGTCCAAATCTTGGCAAACATCGATATCACGCCACGCCAATTCACCAGACAATAAAGCATATATCTTCAATCTATCCGAAGTGATGAACTTATCAACCTGTTGGGTAAAAGTCATGCTATGTAAACGGAGAACGTTAATTGGTGGCACGGGATGGGTGGCACCATTAATTTCTTTTGAAAGCCAGTTCACTTTCTAAAGAACTAAGTCGGGCACAATTGGATCAATTAACATTCCCTCCTCCAGCGTTTTAGCTACGACCCTGATCACAGAACAATCACATAAAGAAAAAATAAACATCAAAAAATAGCTACCAATACTACACCCACTAATTCCATTCTTTTACTGAAATATAAAGATGCGCATTCGAAGCAAAGCTACCTTGTGTTCCAGCCAATCATCGAGCTGCTTTAATAACCACTGTCTTACAATAATATTTCCCGATGCCTGAGCCATTAATAGCGATAGCCTGGAGTCGCCATTGGATTGTGCCACGCGACATGCAGCACTGATCTGTTTTCCAGTCAATAATGAGAAGATGATGCGAAGATGATTGTTGTCCTATGGGGAAAATCACTTCACGATAGTAAAATTACGATAAACTACGAATGATTTATGTATCTACTTGCCTTCAAACGACAACGAAATAGTCAAGGGGCGTAGCAAACTCGATAACGGAGGGGGGGAACATATTCATGTATGCATGTTCAAGCATGTATGAATTTATGCCCCCCCCCGTCAATAAAGTGTTTGCTACGCCACTGGAGTAGTCCAATAAAAAAATTCTTCCAACAATTTGGCAATTCCAAATGTTTGAAAATTAGGAGAATGCAATACTTTCACCAACCTTGCTTTTGATGTTCTCAATTTCCTCATTGATTTTTCTCTTTGATGTTTTGGTCAACCAATGAGAGAGAGCTTCTTTTCGAGCAATTGCTTCGTCATATCCATCCAGAAGTGAAGATTCTTCATCAAACACAAGTCAAAAATATATATAACATCAATCAAATGCATGTTACTGAAACAGCTTATAATGACAATACGCAATGCACTTTGGATTATATACATTATGGTAATCCTGATAGAACTGTACTTAATGATCAAATTACCTGTATCCATTGATTCAATAGACAACGCAGATAAATTACCCCAAAGTGCAATAGCTAAGTCCATCACCAAAGAGAAATTGATGGCAGATTCTTGATGGTTAGTAGAATCTAAAACATACCATAATCATGAGTTGAGTATCGCACTAAGAGGTCTTAGTTTGCATTATCTGCGCAAGTTAAGCAGCTTTAACAGTTTGAAATAAATATGCCGTATGATAGAAAACAGCAAATTTCGCATTTGACTTGCAACGAATTTCGAACAACACACCGACCTAATAACTCTTTACTTTTTTCAGCAACGTCAGCATATTGATGAAGCGCTGATACACCTTCACTGGGACTTAAGTAGGTTGAGTAGTCATCTTCATGACGAACAATGTTGGCAAGACTTACTTTAAGTCGCTCGATTAACTGATTCTAAAAATGGAAAGTTAATATGCTTTACGCTGTACATAAACACACTATATATACTATCATCATAATATAACGTCAACAATACCTGGCATACGTCAGAGTTGTGTTTTATCGTTGGACTAACGTTGACCTTAGCACAACTGATAGCAAACGAACTGGACTGTGTAGCTTTAGCAGACGTTGCTATAAGAGGGCTACCTTTGACGATCTCACGGCTGGCAAATTTGTTTTTGGGGTTTGAACTGACTTCTGCCAGTCTAGATGGATACACCAATGTCCATCCAGGTCCCCATCCTACCCGAAACGATCTTCCCATAGTGAGACCTGCGTCAGCAAACAAATTATGCTTGCCAGCGGTGATGGAATTCGAAAGTGGTACAATCCCCGGTTGAGTTTTTAGACCTGCTGCTTTTAAGGCCATTTCAGACGGACTTCCAATAGCACTGGGTAACAAAATGGGTTGGGGAAGACTATACCATTGTGAGTTGTTGTTGCGTTCATTTTCATATTCTAAAATGGAGGATAGGGTAGAGTGAAAGGGAGGAGAGGGTATAGTAAAGAGAGGAGAGGGTAGAATCAAAGGAAGGAAAGGGTAGAGTGAAAGGAAGGAGAGGATAGAATCAAAGGAAGGAGAGGGTAGAGTGAAAGGAGGAAAGGAAAGAAAAGGAGGAGAGGAGAGGAAAGGAGGAGAGGGAAGAAAGGAGGGGAGGAATCAAAGGAAGGAAAGGGTAGAGGAAGGAAGGAGAGGGAAAAAGGAAGGAGAAAGTGAAAGGGAAAAGAAAACAAAAAAAAACATCAGTTAAAAATTTAAAGATAAAGGAGAGTAAACAAGACGTTCACCAACGGATATTTCATCAAAACCTGACCCATTCATTACGGATTTATTTCCAAGAGTAAGTTCATCTTGTTTTATGTGATTGTTGTCGATGTATTGTCGTGTTTCTTTGCTTTCTCCAAAAAATGACGCTTTCATCACTTGCATACGATGTGATTTCACGCCCATCGCAGTTGCCAAGTGATGTGAAGCCGGTGAAGCGGTATTTACATCATGGTCTAATGGTTCTTGAAATTCTAAGATTGAAGAAACGCCAAAATCATTTCAAAGGGGATAGCACAGGAGAATATGACAACCAAAAACAAATGGTGATGAAATTAACCTGGAAAAATCTCCTGACTAATGTCACTCATTTGACTGTCGCCTTCACCTTCAAGGAATGAAATATTGTTGTTATTTTCTTTCAATGTTTTCCTAATTTTGGCATCTTTTTCCTGTTGCATTTTTACAATCATCTCAGCAGCTTTCTCCTTCTCAAGTTTGCCTTCTCCATGAGCTTTAGTTCATCCTATACGAAAACGATAAAAACTTAACATCTGTACGAAAACTCTGGCCTACTGCAATCTGAAAATAATTCCTCGTTACCTCGTGCAATGAACGCAAAGAAGGACGCGTATTTCCATTTTCTACGTCTATTTGAACTTCCTTTAGACCATACCGCGTGAAGTGATCGACCTGTTAAAATATTCAAAATTTCTATGTCGAATGTTCATTTGTTCACTGTTAATAATGACTCAAACGGTCTTTCCTACGAAGAGAAAACACATATATGGTTTTTCCAAACGCTTGAGGGAAGACAACTGAACTCGATATATCAGGAAAGCTGACTCTAACACAAAAAACTAATAAGTAGATGACGTCAAGTTGAAAAGTACTGTTTTTCAACATAGGTTTGTAATGGTGGCAACCATAGCTAAGATTGCAGACATTCGACATGCAAGTATATAAAGCTGCAGACATACTATACACAGGTATATAAAGCTGCAGACATACTACATACAGGTATATAAAGCTGCAGACATACTACATACAGGTATATAAACTGCAGACATACTACATACAGGTATATAAAGTGCAGACATACTACATGCAGGTATATAAAACTGCAGACATACTACATGCAGGTATATAAACTGCAGACATACTACATACAGGTATATAAAACTGCAGACATACTACATGCAGGTATATAAACTGCAGACATACTACATGCAGGTATATAAAACTGCAGACATACTACATACAGGTATATAAAACTGCAGACATACTACATGCAGGTATATAAAACTGCAGACATACTACATGCAGGTATATAAACTGCAGACATACTACATGCAGGTATAGAACGCTGCAGACATACTACATGCAGGTATATAAAACTGCAGACATACTACATGCAGGTATATAAACTGCAGACATACTACATGCAGGTATATAAAGCTGCCGACATACTACATACAGGTATATAAAACTTCAGACATACTACATACAGGTATATAAAACTTCAGACATACTACATACAGGTATATAAAACTTCAGACATACTACATACAGGTATATAAAACTTCAGACATACTACATGCAGGTATATAAAACTGCAGACATACTACATGCAGGTATATAAGGCATACTACATACAGTAAATATCCATGTCCCCGTCTCGCTTTGATAATCAACAAAAGTTGCACCAAGTCGTTCTGTTGCTGTTTCCAATTTCTCAAGCCATCCAACTTTACGGAGACGGTCTACGTTCTGCAATTTGAGACACAAGAGTTAAAAGCAAGGTATATCAAAGTATGAAGAAAAAAATTCTTTAAAATTAGTTTGAGTAACTTTTTAGGACAAGCTGTGGATATATTTCAGAGCAGACAATTTGCAGAAGTGAGCTTAATAGATATTCGGAGTTAGTAGGCTGGCTGCGAAAGTGAAGACCAAACATGATTATTAACAATAAAACTATATGCTTCAATAACATGATGAAAGTTTCAAAGCAGTGCAAACTTCGATGTTTAATTTAATGATTCAGCTTCAGCAGCTCAAAGCTCACAGCACAAATCTCGGACTCTGCCATATAAGTTAGAGATACATCAAACGCCCGAAACTACATCCACATGAATGGAGTAAGAAATCATAAAGCCCCAAAAATTTTCGTGCGTAACGTTAATTTTATTTACTATAACTTTATAAACAATACAGTATCCATAATGAAAAAAGTAGACTATACCTTTATTGGCGAACGCGTAGTCTTGTCATTTGGCCAAACTTTTAACAATGTCACTTCAGATTTCCTGTTGAGACCTTCTCCAACTGGGGGCTTATCAGGATAGGTGTCAGGATAAACTTCAATTTCACGTCGACGAAAGCTCACTAAAAGAATAAAAGTATTAATGGGAATGCATCATAAAAATGGTTACATTACACACATATTTTCCACCTATATCCCTTATATGTCCAATATTATCCACTTATATCCTTTATTGCTTACATATACCACATACGTAATATTCACCAATTTCACTAACTACTTACCTATTTCATCTAAATTAAAGCCAGCAACATTAAACCTTCCAAAGAATTTTACCATTCCAAATTCCTCACGTCCAACAACGAAATCCTCAACCATCACATCACCATTTTCATCAACCATATCGTCCAACTCAGCGACAGATGGAATGCAGTAGTATTCTGCCCTAAAATCAAATGATTTAACATTCAGCAAATTTTTTATTAAATGACTGCGGTGGTCAGCGGTGGTAAGCGGGTGTAACAGAACAAAAACAATGTTCATGCAGCGAACCAACACAACACATATATATATATTTCCTAGAAGCATTTTACAACCAGGAAAGTTTTATTGGGGGAAAAGTAGCATGGGCGGGGTGGGAGGATGCTCACCCTTCGCTAAAGGGGTAGCAGGAACAGTTCTACTTTCCCTAAGAAATATAAATACACTAAGACCCCGTTAACACGATACCGGTAGAGCATGCTCCCCCTGGACAAAATTTAAGCCAAACTAGAGCATGCCCCCTGGACGAAATCTAAGCCAAACTAGAGCATGCCCCCTGGAAAAAATCTAAGCCAAAATAGAGCACACACTACTGGACAACTCTAAGCCAAAATAGAGCACGCCCCCCGGACAAAATCTAAGCCAAAATAGAGCATGTCCCCTGGACAAAATCTAAGCCAAAATAGAGCATGTCCCTGGAAAAATCTAAGCCAAAATAGAGCACACACTACTGGACAACTCTAAGCCAAAATAGAGCACGCCCCCCGGACAAAATCTAAGCCAAAATAGAGCATGTCCCCTGGACAAAATCTAAGCCAAAATAGAGCATGTCCCCTGGAAAAATCTAAGCCAAAATAGAGCACACACTACTGGACAACTCTAAGCCAAAATAGAGCACGCCCCCGGACAAAATCTAAGCCAAAATAGAGCATGTCCCCTGGACAAAATCTAAGCCAAACTAGAGCACACACCACTGGAAAACTCTAAGGCAAAGTAGAGCATGCCCCTGGACAAAATCTAAGCCAAACTAGAGCACACACTACTGGACAACTCTAAGCAAAACTAGAGCATGTCCCCCCTGGACAAAATCATCCTGAACCCATTCTTATATACAGATACATAGTATATAATTTGTTTAGTAGAACTTTCGTAAAACCTGAACTATTTTTGGTGATGCTAAGCAATTTACCTTTTAAGTTTCACACCACTTCCTTTTGTATTGTGTGTTTCCTTAAAACTGGTACCATTCTCTCTTGGTTCCGGTCCCTGTTCCTCAATCTCTTCCTCCTCTTCATTTCGTGACGAGTTCTCTACACCACTTGTAGCATTCTTCGCGTTTTCTGCAAATTCTTTGTCATTTGGATGTTTTGAAGTTCGAATACCAACGACAGGACTATCTTGCTCGTCCTGAGAAAGAGAGGAGTTCAACTTGGGGGAATAAAACTTTTTCTGAGATGTTCAGTTTGCGTGTTGTTGAGTGTTTCTTGCACGGCATTGCGACCGTTTTCTTTCGACTGCGTGTACTCAGACAATTCACCGGCAATGCTTCTAGTCTGTAAAACAATTCAATGGTACCAAGGAACTTAAAATTGGATAATTGAAAAATAACTAGGTATTTCCAATTTCTCATGACAAGAAATGATCAGACATTGTCCCACGACGCAAAACAAGTACAACATATCAAACGAACAACAGCAAACAACAATACATCACACATATCAAATTCAACCTTAACAAACAATCAACAAATGCACCACATCAACACCATATATTAAAATAAATTAGTAAATAAATTAAACTATTTAGCAATTCGCCAACATATAAATCTCAAATAAATAGAATTAATCCATAAGCATACCAAAACGTGTTCACTTTTAAAAAATTGTCGTCCACTAAATATATTTAATTAACAATACTTTAAATTCAACAAAAAATACGCACCTGTGATTTACTATTCAATACAAGTTTCTTAACACTTCTTCTGGGTACAAATGTTTCGCCTGTATACTCGATTTCATCATCCAGACCATCAAATAAGCGAGCCTTTAAATTATTATTAAAAGCTCAAAATTATTAATCATTATTCATTAACTTTCACTCATTCATTAACTTTCACTCATTCATTAATTCTGGTTCATTGTGATTTTTGATTCATCCTCGATATTTATTGTTTGCAGACCTGTGAAAAATTCAATTTCCCAATTGCTCTCGGCTTTATTCTCGCTGAAGGCCTTGGAGATACCTACAGATAAACAATATATTATTTAATCACTTGATTTCCTCTTTATCACCCAGGAAAAGATTCAGTTAATAATGATATTCAACATGACAGACAGTGAAAGTCCACCTTGTATTGCGATGGCGCACTGGATCCTCGTGGCTTTGCCTGTGATGGCAAAGACAAAGGTTTTTCTGGCTTTGTACGACTCTGAAAGTTGACAACAATATATGAATATAAACATGAAAACAAATCCTACTAAATATAGGAATATCTAGTGAAGTATCTCAACCGTCAAATACACAAAGCATACATACTGAGTCGCCGAATATATGCAAAACTGCGACAAAACTAACTTACGGTAAGATTCCTAAAAAGTGGCGAATCACCAAACGGAGAGCTACTCAATGCCAGTACTTGTTGTTGCAACTGTTGTTGAAGTTGCTGTTGTTGTTGCAACGCAGCTAAATTATTCTGACCACTAATAAAAAAAGTTGCCGTCATATCGAGGTATCGAACTTATCGGAAATTCGGAATTACATAAATTTACAACTTACAAGCCAAGTGTTCCAGTTCCAGCGGCACCTAAAGCTATAAATTAAAAAAGTCTTATTGAATGTGCGCCTCGTTTATAGTATGAAGCGTATGTTTCAAACGCTATGTCCTAAACTAAAACATGATGCAAATGTAATATAACAATGACTGGATGAAAAAATGCGTCATTGCTTTTTACAAGCGCATAAAAAACCTATGTTACGAAAAAAATTTGGAAGCAGTTAATAAAAAAACGTTTTCTACTTTGCGTGAACTCTAAACAAAGAAGACATGAAAAATATATTTTCTGTAGAAAAAAAACGGAACGCATTTTCGGTTTTTCATTATTCTTGTTGATTATTGCGCAAATTACGATTAGATTTCAGGTTCAGGAGAAACTGTTAGATTTGTCACTCTGAATTCATACTTGTTTGTCCGAAGGCACCCCCCAACATTGATGGCTGACCAAGAGATGAGCCGGCATTGCCAAAACCCAGCGAAGAGTTCCCAAATAATCCAGTGCCAGTTGTCCCACCAAATGGATTAGCAGCGGCAGTACCAGTGCCAAACGTCGTTCCAAAGGTCGGTTTATTAGGACCACCAAACAAACCTCCAGTATTTGCCGTACCAAATGCGCCTGTAAATAGCCGATTTTGTTAACAGGAAAATGTGCAAAAAGAAAAATAGGCTGTCTAAAATGCCGGCAATTTTATACCAATAACCGCTTCATTAAAGCATGGGTAGATTTGCAGTAGTTAAGTTTTTCTTTAACAATAGAATTAAAATGATTTAAATTTTAAACAGTTGAAATATACGAGGTCTTTACTTTGCGCCATTACGTGCTATCCTTCATCAGAGGAAAACATAAATACACAAGAAGTTGGACTGCTCAAATCCAACGCAAATTCCTGCAACGTGACATTATGCGTTTACAAGCAAGCGTTTTTTTTACCCACAGTGTAATGTCTATGGCTGTGCATTGGCTACTTTGTATTTACGCATGGTGGGGGGCACGCAAGCAAAGTAACGGTTATTTACTCTTTGAAGAAACGAGTTTGAAAATGCAATTGTTGAAACAAGCTGAAGAAGAGTCAACATGCCAATATTATCATCAGCTAAAACGTTACCATGTGACGCTCTAGTGTTCAACTGTCTAGGGGTATCCGGAGACATGGCCCAAACGGGATTTTTTGTTTTCAAAACTTTGTATTTTGCCTAGAGATGTTCATCAAATGACGGCATCAACGTCATCGACGTCATCATGACGTTTGCCACGTGTTTAAAGTAGACTGTTTACATAAATCAAAATTCGCTCTCAAATCAAACAACAGTCAACAAACAGCAGTGTTAAGTTATGAACGCCTAGCAACTTCGCAAAATAAACTTAACAAAATGCAGTCAACTATTCATATAGTAAAACAACTGAGAATCTAACTCACCTCCTGTAGGTTTAGCACTGAACAGTGACGACTAAAAGTAAAAATACTCAGAATAAAATTACCATTAATAAAAACAGTCTTGATACTCTCTTAATTTTTCCATAGATTATCAACATATAGAATGAAGATACGTGTACCTCTATGGAATATCTGTAATGATTTGTCAAGCTTTGGAAAATGGACTTTTTGTCCTTTAGTATAAATAAAACGACTATCATACCTGTGTGGTTTGCCCAAAATTTGCTGCGCCAAACAATCCAGTTCCTGACGAATTTGTGGCACCAAAAGCTGGTTTACCAAACAAACCACCAGATTGAGAAGATGAACCAAATGCACTAGCCTAAAATATTCCCAAACGCAAGACTATAATTTCATTCATAGTTCTAAAAAGTAAACAATCCATACTAAACGATAAAAAGGTAAACAATCTTTCTCCTATACGAAAGTAGTATAAAATACATACCTGAGTGTTCTGCCCAAACGTCGAGTTTCCAAATAAACCACCACCCGACGAAGCACTACCAAATGCAGGTGTTGCTCCAAATACACCAGTTGATTGAGTTGTAGTTGTTGAACCAAATAGTCCCCCCTAAACAAGAATGGTAAGTTTTTCTACATTTTATGTTCTAAGATACTACAAGTACAAATGAAGAGTTGTTGACAGAAAAGATAAACTAGCGAGAAATTAAGAATGATTGCAGAGCTACAGAGCACTGTATAAGAATTATTTTCTTTATTTTACATGAACTTTGTTTCAGTCTAATATCTCTACTATCTATTTCTGTATGGTATATGACATCAACATTCATGACATTAACAACAGTGTTTTCATATCCAGAGACCCCACAAACTTACAAACTTACTTAGGCAATTCTATTTTAGGCTTAGTTAAAAGTTTGATAAATTGCATATATACATTGTGTTCATACTTACTGTTTTATTACCAAAAAGTGAGCCACCAGATGTGTTACTAAAAGCAGACGAAGCTCCAAAAGTTGATGTAGAATTTCCAAATAAGCTTGCTGTTGTTTTGGCTCCAAAGATGTTACTTGATTGTTGTGTCTGGCCAAATAGACCAGTACCAGTACTAGATCCAAATCCTCCTACATACATCATATGAAAATGATTGCTGGTGGTGTTCTAACATTTAACAGGCACGGCACAATTTGACTGTAAATAATGAATGCAAATTTATACCTGATCCAAATGTTGTTGTACCACTTGATGTACCAAATGTGGAATTTCCAAACATTCCTGTTGCAGGAGCAGTAGTACCTGAAGCTTGCGGACCTTTTCTTCCAAGTTGATAATCCTCCATGCGTAGCTCCTGTTCCAATGAAAATTCGTTAAACTAACATTTGAATAGGTCACAGCAAATGAAATTTGCACAAACCTCAAGACTTTTTTCGTCATATTCTTTCATTAAAGTGATGCATTGATGTCGTGTGCTTATACTGGTCTGAACACCACTTTTCACCATTGTGTCAGTACTTTTCTGGGCCTATAATTATTTACATTTCTTCTAAAAACATATTTTGAATGCATTTTTGTATTTCTGAAATCTTAACTGATATATTTAATTTCATTGTAATTTTGCACAGCTGATTATTACAAAGCTCAAAATAAGGCCAGTAAACAGAAAATAATTGGCCAAAAATGCTTGTTGACCAGCAAATTTTTCAGGGATAGATTGCATATTTCTTGTTGAAAATGCCATCACTTTATATTGTCTGATCATCAATTTATGTAAAGAGAAAAAGTGTTTGCTTTTGAAATACGTAGCCTAACTAATTGTATGCTTGCTGCAGTATCAGATCCGGTGTGCATCAAACTAAATAATAGTTTCTTAATTTTAAATTCAAATTATGATTAGAAAAACACTATTGGTTTATAATTTCTAAAGAATACAATTTCACCAATGGATTTGCCTTTAAGGTGCTTAGAAATGAAAATATGCATATGCTAAATTTATTTTGATTTAGTCTAAAACCTCCATTGGCAAGTTGAACAGAAAGTGTTGTTGTGCAATGATTTCTCCACAAGTACCAAAGAAATACTAACACAAATACCTAATCAATGATAACACATTGAGAACTAAGAACAAATAAAAGAATCTGAAATCTCAAACAGCTTGTGACAAGTACAAAACCAGTTTTGACTGAGTTAATGAGAGAAATAAGTTTGACTGGCCATTTTGACAAGATACATTTTGACCATTTGTTTTCTTTGAGCTTTGCACTAATTGAAAATTGGAGTTGTGGAAAACAAATAAAATGAAGCAAATCTTAAGAAATTTCCAGCCATAATGTTCATCTTGGTAGTTCAAAACATTTCCCCTGTCCTGCTTTAGCCTTTAGCAGCCTGCTATTTAAAACCGTTATTGACTCTCACAATCGACACAATCAACAACAATGAAACATATATGAAAATACTACCAAACTTACATTAAATTTGGTTGGAGTTCCCGCAGCATTTTGACCGCCTGTAAGTATTAAAAAAGCATGTTCAAACAGAAAACCACAATCATAAAATATGCACCAAATGTAGCTAAGTATCATACACACTAGGCTAACTGTTTAGTAATGCTAGACTTGTTTCTATGCTCCTGTTACCTGCTGCTGTGTTTCCAAACAATCCACCTGTATTAGAATTTGATAAGCCAAACAAACTTCCTGTTCCTTGAGGTTTTGCACCAAACAAACTAGTCCCACTGTTGGTAGTAGTAGATGATCCAAACAGTGAGCCTATAGCGCATTGAACCAATACTTAGATCTATGATTGCATGGCAATAATGATCACATATTTTTTTTTACATATTTTTGCATTAAACACATGTTTCATTCAGGTTTGTTTGGGTGCATATTTGTTCTTATATTGATATACAGTAATGTATACCAGTATACCAATCAAAGCAGTGCTCCATATACATTCAAGACTTACTCACAATACAAGTTAAAAGTATCATGTTTGTATCATGTCATATCTACATTCATATTATGTATATCTTTCTCGTATTTATTGAACACTTATCATATTTGAATCACTAACTTTTCATAATTGTAATACACACATATCTTATCACATAAGCATGAATATCTTAATCATATTTATGTCATGAAATACATGCTAAAAGAAATGTGTGTTATCTTGCATATTATTATCATGTTTTACATAAAATAAAATTGTTTTATGACATATTAGAACCTGTATTATTTGTTGATCCTCCAAAGATTGACTTATTGGCACTTCCAAAAGCATTTGTACTGCCTGAGAACAATCCAGTACCTGATGAGCCAGTGTTACCAAATAACCCTCCAGTAGAGGTATTTGTACCAAATCCACCAAATCCACCTAAAAATCATAGAAAGATTTAAAGAAAAGGCAAAGAGATTGCATGTACATGCGAAGAAAAAATAAAAAATCATAACGTATTTCTTTGTTTTTTTTTTAATGTTGAATATAGTCATATTAAAAAATAAAATTGAAAAGAATTATATATTGGAAATGCCTTTAATTGAACACCTTTTTTTATGTTTAAACCACTTACTTTTTGCCTGATTCGTACCAGCACCAAAAAGACCAGTTGACCCAGTGGTATTATTCCCAAAAATACTAGAGCCCGTTTGAGATGGCGCTACTGTTCCAAATCCAGTTGTTGCAGTGGTTTTTGCCCCAAAAAGACTTCCACCACTTCCAAAACCTACAGATGTAATAACATAGAGAAATGGTAATAAAATAATTTAATAGTTTTGGCAGTTTTCATGATGGTAGACACAACAGAATAACAGAATTTTGTATGGTTTTATTGTAAATGCTTGACATGGTGAATGCCTGAACAAACTCATCCTTTAAGAAAGGCATGAAAACAAAGAATTGTTCATAAAATGGTGATCATCAAATCTTAGAAATGATAAGTTGACAAAATACATAACAATGGTGACTATAAATAATGCAAGCATTTTGATTTAATATTATGGATTTTATTGATAATCAGTGGTTCCCGAAAACATAAGTTGATTACATCAACATTGGGTGAACACTTTCCTTCAACATTTGTAATGTACCTGAGCTTCCAAATGTTGATCCAGATGTATTGCCAAATGCACCTGGAAAGACATGAAACTCTTCTTAACAAGACCAATCAATATAACATTTTTTGTTACACACTGTTCTTAAATACTTAGTGATTAAACAAGTTTAGACAATTCAAGAACGACGCATCGAGCAGTTACTTACTAGTATTTGATCCAAACGCCGATGATCCAAATGGTGTAGAGCCAAACATGATGTTTTAAATGTTCAAAATTTTAATAATTGTTTGCAAAGTTCGTTCATAAATTTGAAATTTCAAGTATTAAGTATGTCCCAATTTCGAAACAAATCAAACAATAACATGGCTTAACACAAAATAAAAACAAAACTCCTTTAAGCAGAAAATTTATAGAATGCAGCACCACAGGAGTTATATGTTTTAGCAATTTTGCAACGTATGATTTTAAAACGAAACCAAGTTGATTACCACCGGTTCAAGCAGGAAATTTCAAGCCACGAAACCCACGCAGAAACACGCATCTGTCCCGCATGACACGCCACAGTACTTGGGCCGAGCCAACACAGCTTAGGGCCTCGGCACTAAGAGCATTTTTCTAACATAAAAAAGCCTTATTCAGTTGGTGGAATCGGGTCTTTTCATGGTGTCATACGCGCTCTTTTTCCGACCGTCAGGCAAAAATAATCCTGCCAAGTATGTGGCCAGCCCGACATTCACATTTCGATGCAAACAATCATTATTACCTGACTGTAAAAACCATAAATTTATCAAGAAATGAAAATTATTAGTCAATCCATTGACTATACCAGAAAACACCAAATGAACGAAAGACAGTATTGGTACATCAAATCAAATGAATAAATTTATTAAAATTCCTCACACGAACCGTTGGCTTTACAAGAATTTAAAATGTTTATTCTGTTTGATGCATTAAGAAAAATTTACAGTAGAAACAAGAAACTTATAAAGCCAGAGATCTCGCTTGACATATTTTTCAATGATATTACGTTCGTGCTTATAAAAACACGAACTGCTAGTAGAACGCTGGTAAAAATATTAGCGACCGATTTTATGTTATTCCCACAGTAACAATATGTTAGAAAAGTAAAGTACCAACGCCTCCCATTTCACTTTGTTCCTTAACAAAGATTTCAAAATATTGATAGATGATGGTAACTGCTAATAAAATACCAGTACCTGAACCAATTGCACCTAAAACGACAAAAAAAACGCTAATGTACAGCGACTGAGATGTTTTTGCTACACTATTTTTTCAAGTAATTGCCATGGGCATACCTAAGAAATCTGCCAAAACAGAGAGAGCCCCAATACAGAGACCACCAAAGGCAGCAGCCGTTGGGATGTACCTAAAACATAATTATTGTCAGTTTGACTGTATCATCATAACTCATTAACTCGTCACCAGGACGTCTACACCACTCCAGATTGATCTGACGGCAAAGAAATACACTGCCCCCCCCCGCAGCGGATTTCCTGAAAACGTCATTCTTTCCGAAACGAAATGACCACCCTGTTTAAACTTTGCCGAACGAAAACTGAGTAATGTAAAAGTAGTCTAAGTTAAACAATTTGACATTTCTATAACTTAATAAGCAACAGTAAGCAACAACTATTATCAAAATAAAAGAAATTCGGTCGACAACAAAATAGCTGAACATATACTTAAGCTGGTCAGGTGAATGCTTGACAGGTGTACTATTTAACATGTAGATTCTACACTAGCTTGTCTCTTCATTTTGGACTTTATGAATCTCCTATTTCTTTATGCTCTATACGTTTTACATCAAAAGTATATTCACCTGTTTAACTCATGAATCATAGACTTATCACGATGACCACGCATCACCATTTGTTGTTCTTTTAACTGCTTCGCTACGTCTTTTGCTGAAGAGCCAGATACATCAATCCATGTTTTTGAAAAGAATGCACACGTGCCCAGCATAAAGACAATATACACAACGGCATGAATAGGATCTTGAATCACGTGAGATAACGTTTCAGGGGGGGACATGTAGTAACACATTCCACCGGTAGGATAGGATCGAGCCGGTCCACCATCCGCTTCCTAAAATCAAGGAAAATTTCCAAGAAATTTTTTCAGGTTTCGTGCAAGGTAAAAGTGTAAGATTTCGAAGAATTTAACGATATGAATTTTCAACGTCGACGTACCTCCCACGTTCCAAGTAAATTGACTAAAAAATGTCCGCCAAATTTCGCTGAAAGCATTTGAGAAATGAAATAGATATTGGAGACCAAAGCACTCTATAAAAAGAGAGGTCATTCAACTAAAATTTAAATTCACAGCCACAGATATTGCATACACCAAGTAGCAAGAATAGTGAAAAAAGGTGTTAAATAATAATTGCTAAATTACCTGAAGTATAATAGGGATGTTTGAAGTGTAAAACAACTTGATAGGATAGGAGCTATATTGACCACGATAGCGAGCGGATTTGATTGGTAAATCAACACGGAATCCCTATGTAATTAAAAATATGTAAAAACAACACTTATGTAGCTGTGTAAAGATGTAAAAACAACACCTATGTAGCTGTGTAAAGATGTAAAAACAACACCTATGTAGCTGTGTAAAGATGTAAAAACAACACCTATGTAGCTGTGTAAAGATGTAAAAACAACACCTATATAGCTGTGTAAAGATGTAAAAACAACACCTATATAGCTGTGTAAAGATGTATAAACAACACCTATATAGCTGTGTAAAGATGTAAAAACAACACTTATACAGCTGTGTAAAAAGGAAAAAATAAAAAGCATATTTAGAAGGCAGTACTTGGAAATATATGACAACGGCAAACACGAAGACAGTCGCCATGAGATTCATCAAATTAGGAAGATTTTGACGGTAAAATGCTTCACGCAAGCCACGAACTTTATCAGTTCTCGTTGCCAGCAAATGGAACAAAGCAATGACAGCGCCTTCAAATTCAGTACCTAAAATGGAAGTGTGAAGAGCAGGTAAGCCGTTTGGTAGTCAAAGTGAATCCTAAATGTCAAAAAATAACGTAAAACAATGAGTTACCTCTTCCTGTATTGACAGTCGCCGGACTAAAAGCTTTCCAAACGATTGTCTCGCAAATATTTGTTGCAATAAAGAGAGAAATACTATGGGAGAAAATTTTAAGTAAAAAATGAAATCGCTTTTCAATATTATTGTGTGATGTCAAACAATATAAAGAATAAAAATCAGGTTTGTGAAATAAAACCTACCCAGATCCAAGACCATAACCTTTCTGTAGCAGCTCATCAAGCAACAAAACAATCAACCCAGCACAGAAAAGCTGAGAAATAGAAAAACATTTTTCTTTAGGTGTTTAGTTTCAATGTAAAACAAAACCCGAAGTAAAACAGATGTACTACATTTGCAGCAAATTTCAACCAATCCACAGTTTTTACTCACATCTGTCTCCACTACTGTTATGTTCATGTATTCCAAAGGGACAAAAATATAACAAAAAATACTTTTCAAAAACCTAATATATTTAAAAACAATCCAGTTACCTGAATTATAATGATGAGACAAACACCAGAGCCAAGTTCTGATGGATCACCATACATCCCAGTCATAACATACACAACTGATTGACCAATAGTAATAATCATACCAAATACTATAATACAAAACAGTAATTTTCTGACATATGTTCAAAAAAATAAAAAGCCTTTTCTTAAATTGCATCAGAAAATAAACGACAACACAGGCAAAATAATCTCCTTAAGCAGATCAAACAAATATTGTATCAACCCAATTCGTTCAACTGTTTGAAACAGTACGTATGGATCGAAAATTTTATGAAGTTTCCCACAAGAATAATATTGTTTAATACATAGTTACAAACAATATATTTTATTCTACAATGTATTTTAACTTATGTAATGTATTTTAACTTACTTAACTTATTGTTCATAAATAATGTATAAGAACAGTGGTTAAGCTTGAAAGCTATAAACTTACATTTCTGAGCTCCATTAAACAAAGCACGATCTTTCACTGTGTCCCCAACCTCAATAATCTTTGCTCCTGCCAAGAGCTATGAAAAAAATTACACGTAATTTTGTGTCATTTAATGATGCAAAATCTTAATGGGAAATGTTTGAATTAGCAATTAGTAATTCGGAGATTGCAAACTTATTTCTTGCATATACGTAATTTAAGCCTTAAAAATTTTTTCAAAATTCTATGATCAGCATTTCTCACCTGCATAATAAGACCAGATGTGACAATAGGTGAAATACCAAGTTCCATTAGTGTTCCTGATAAAAATTATTGTTGTCACTTACATCACAGTTATGTCACAGTTAATCACAAGTATTTACAGAAAACTTCTGTTTACATGTTTGCATACCTCTATTTGATGCGAGAATTACACGAATCCAATAAAAAGGATCAGCAGAGTCGGACGACATTATACCAAACAAAGGAATCTTGATAGAAAAATTATAACTACATGAGACATCATGAACATATATTATCAATCAGAGCAGGTGGCAGTTGATTTTTGCGATTTTTAAACAGTAAATCAAGTTCTTATGTGTCCAAATTTGATTTGTTCTATAGTTTTTTATGCTACCCATTTTCCTCTTTTTAAATATGGCAATCTTGGGGATATGGGAGGTGTGCAGACCTAATTTTTTCAGATAATTCAAAATGTGTTACTTTGTTGAAAATTATAGTTTGATGCAGCTCAAGAAAGTAGCCATCTTTCCACACAAAAGGTAATTTAGTCTACTTTATATTATTGATGCCAGACGATTTTGTTATGTTTGCAAATATAGTTGAATTGTAGCTTCACTATAACCAAAACATCCTACTTATGCTAACTAGCTTTAACTTAGAAGGAATGCTAAAAATTTAACACATTTCATATGACTGGCTTAAAAGATGAATTTAAAACACAATCAAATTAGAACTGTTGGTAATTAATCAAAAGGAACAAGAAAAATCATTGAATTGAACAAACAAAGTTGGCATTGTAGATATACACTGAGTGAAATGACAGAAAAAAACATTAAAAAGGACAAATTGTTTGAGTGCCCTTGCCTTGTATAGTTATAAAAAAGGATATTGAGATTGGATATTGAGTTAAATAGCTTCAGAAATTTTTTTTCTTGGCATGAAAATTTAAACAGTTCTAAAATAGGAGATTACTAGACACTAGACAGCATTCAAAAGTACTTTTTTTGATAACAGTTCTTACATTTTACCCTATTTCAAATAAATATACGAAAATGTCAAAATATACTCATTCATTTGTAACATTTGCTTTGTCTTCATCAACAAGATAATTAAAATTTAAAAGCTTTACTTAACATTTTACATTATTTTAAAGCAGTAGTATACTAATGGAAAGACACAGATCATTAAATGGAGATCTGGTATAATTTGTTTTCAATAGTAATAATATAGTTTGTTTGATATGCCTTTACATAAAGAAAATATAAATTTTATAACACTGATGATTCATCATAAGCAATATAAATTGGAAAACATAAAAAGCTAAAATTGTTAAGTGTATTAAAAAAGAAAATAGCACACCTGACAGCAAACCAGGAAAATAAAAAGTGTTATTGCTGTCCACAGTACTTTTTCACGAAACTGTATCTGTAAGAATATATTTTCAAAAGTCAAAACTAAATTTGATATTATGTACTCAGATGGTTGTAGAGATAAAGACAAAGACAACGTTTCAGAAACACAATTCATCATTATATAATGTACGTGAGTGAGTCAAACATACCCTTCTTTCAGGTTTCGCTACTTCAGGAAGAACAGAGATAAAAGGTCGAAGAACCTCTAAAAATTTCACTTAAAATGGAAAAGAACATAAAAATCAAGGCCGATACAATGTGAGTTTTATGAAATTGAACACAAATCTCAAAATAACGGTTAGTATTCAATCTTACATCCCATTTTTAGAGTTTATTAGGTGACAAATTAAGGTATAAGAAATAAAAATATGTTTCAGTTGATCTCCACAAAATCACAAAGTGTCTTCTGTTTATCGCTGGGAATTTTGCATGTGAACAACTGCTACGTCAGCGTAACAAGCCTCGTTTTCACGCAAAGGTGTGTGTTTCCACCTCACTATGCTCTGAATTCTATTTTCCATAAAATTCAACAAGACGATCAAGGCTGGCTCAAGTGGTTCAAGGGTGCTGCTAAACAATTCTCACGTTGGGTCAACACAAAATACCGAAAAATTTGCCCACAACAAAAACTTTTAAGTTTCCACATTTCTCAATCTCCCTAAACGATCAATAGCAAAGGGAACGAAAACACAAAACTTCTGGGTGGTTTAGTTTCCACGTGGTAGAGAAATCAAGAAGCACACCCTTTGACGTCAGCGGTGGTAAATGTGCTAGAGATTCTAACCTAAAAACAGGCGAATAAGAAACTTTAACTCCTGTGATATCTTTTAAAAATTATCAAAATACACAAGAATAGTTCAGAACTGCTCATTTCTAGAAGGGGTAGTCCATGTAGTTGTTTCCAATACCCTAAGAGAACGTACATCGCAAATAAATAAATGCACACACAACGTATTTATTTAACCTTTTTGGTATTTAACTCTAAAGGAATTTTTAAATTATTTTATATAATCTGTATAACGTCATATTTACGTTCTTTTACAATAGTATTATCATCAATATAATATTTTTAGACAAAGATCTTCCCTTGCACCTGACTGTGCGTATTTTGAGCATGTTATGTAAAATGTTTCCAAGGCGCCAATACGCTTTAATTTAGTAGATTCCTGACTTCTTTATGCATAACACAAAGGAAATCAACATAACTCTGGCAACTTGCTGATAGACCTTTGTCTTCGACCAAATAGTGCTTGAACCATGGTTCCATTTTGTCTCGTTGGCGAACAATTGAAATCTAGTAGTAAATAAAAGTAAACATAAATAAGTAAATAAGAAGATATCTGAAAGTAAACAAGTAAATAAGAAGATATCTGAAAGTAAACAAGTAAATAAGAAGATATCTGAAAGTAAACAAGTAAATAAGAAGACATCTGAAAGTAAACAAGTAAATAAAAAGATATTAAATACTACAATACAGCGCGGTTATTTTTTATGCAACAAAAAGGCAAAAACCGATCGTCTCGGTTTTAAGTTTCTGTTTAACTTATAGTTCAACTGTTGCAAAACGCTCTCCTCATTGCAGGGGGAAATTTTTCAAAATTCTTTACCATCAAAACCGCACGAAAAGAGTCTCATTTAGAAATATTCAAAGAAAGATGACAAGAAACGAGTTTACAGTAAACAGACAGAGCCAGTGCAGTGCATTAGCTACATGGTAATATATCGCACACATAAAACAAGTAAACGTTGGCTTGCAGTGAATTGTGCAAGTTTATAACCGTCATATTCATAATTAAGTTGGTAAATTCATGCTGTTTTCCTTTTTGAAAAAAAGGGCCGAAACTTCACCTTCATGTATCTGTTCCTTTCGTTATGGATTTCTGCAACAATTCCGCGTAAACGCCTAGACATTGGAGTGTCTACATCTGGCAAACTTGTCTAAAAATAAATGTTTAAATTTGTCAATAAAAAAGATAACCATTAATATTCGTAGGAATAATTGTAGAATTAATAAAAAACTTACCATTTCAATGTCGACATGGCCAATAGTTCCTACAGCAAAGACTTGTTGAAGCCATTCTGGACTGACATGTAGACCAATCCACAAGAACAAAATAATACCGTTCTCTACGTAGATGAAAAAAACGGATTACAATCAATACCAGAGATGGATTTAAGGGAGGGCTGCGGGAGGGGTTGAGCACCCCCTTAGCCTTGGCTAGAAAGGGTGAAGGGAGGTGCAATTTTCCCAACAAAATATTAATACACCAACCAATTAAGCTAAAGCAACTATCAAACCACACATTTCCCAGAGTCTCAAGTCAAACACACAAAAAATCTGACATGTGAATGAATTGCCACACCCTCAAAGGAACCACCAAAATCTAATCCAAACAAGACTAACAGCACGGCATCTTTTAAAAACTAGAGCACTCCCCCTCCTTAGACTAACAGCACGACATCTTTTAAAAACTAGAGCACTCCCCCTTCCTAGACTAACAGCACGAGATCTTTTAAAAACTAGAGCAGTCCCCTCCCTAGACTAACAGCACGACATCTTTTAAAAACTAGAGCACTCCCCTCCTTAGACTAACAGCACGACATCTTTTAGAAACTAGAGCAGTCCCCCTCCCTAGACTAACAGCACGACATCTATTAAAAACTAGAGCAGTCCCCTCCTTAGACTAACAGCACGACATCTTTTAAAAACTAGAGCAGTCCCCCTCCCTACAAAATCATCCTGGATTCATCTCTGGTTTTGACACATTATCAACAGAACGAAATGAACACCACAGTTTAGCATACACTATAATAATACGATAGTGGGATATAAAATACAATTACTCTCAATCTTCTAAAATAGCATTAGTATAACGCACACCACATTGAAATTAACTACATGCACGCTGCCTACACTCACCTAGCAAATATACGCCATTTTCCTTCATCCTTTCCTCGGAGCAACGAATTTGTGGAGGAATGTTTGTGTCATTCACATTTACATCATGCTAGAAACAAAAACAAAGTCTTTAAAACATGACTTAAGATCATCTTTAATATAATACATTAGGCCATCTTTAATACAAGGTCTGAGCTCTAAACATATTTTTAAAGAACTTCATTACCAAAACATGAACTGAGTAGGTACGTAGGTAAAAAAAACATACCACAGGAATAAGACGAGGGTAGAAATACGCGACAGTGGATGAAATGTCCATTCCAAGAACTGTCTGCATCAACCAACTACGATCATCTGAACTCATTTCAGACCCTATATGAAGAAAAAGCACATATCGTATATTTACGAAAATGCAAATGATATAATGGTAAAAACATCCTTTCAAATTCAAAGGAATACATATACGTATGTTATTTATATGTATTACGTAAGGAAAATATTTTCACGTGGTCTCAAAAGTGGCCCGAGGCCGAAGGAGGCTTTTGAGACCGAGTGAAAATATTTTTTAAGTAAGGTAAATAAAATATTTATTTTTTATTTTTATTATGAAGTAATTCGCGTTGTAAAATGGCCGATGGCCCGATGCAACCTAATGTTGAGCCTAAAATTGGATTGTTCTCTTCAAACTTTGCTTTGTCTGGATTGTAAAATTCACTCCTGCTAAGATAACTTTCATGTGAATACTCTTTGCCTACTCGTTCACCAATTTAAATCACTTTTAAATCAATTCTAAAAATTCACATTTACCTTCGTAAACAAATACATTGCGAAAAAAATATCGCTTGTGCCCACGGGCAGATATCGTAAAAAGCTGCCCGCTCAAGCAGCAAATCAAATTGCTGGAAATCAAAAAAATATCACTTTGGACCGCTAAATAAAGAATAAATTATGTTATTACCTCCAATCAAAGCATCGCTCTTCAGGATAGAGTTGGTATACAGTGGAAGTAATTTCATGCACTCCGGTAAGATCAACTATGTAAAAAAATTTGATAACATTTAGTGAAATAGAAATTGTAAAAAATCAGAATTCGAAAACAGCAATTATCAATCAAGAGAGAAAACATACATATCTTTAAAGCACTTATTTCGTTCATTTTTTTGAAGTGAATGAACACGAAAATACGTATGTAAGCCCATGGATGGATTCAGGATGACCTGGGTGGGGTGGTGGCGCCAGTCAGTCGGTCTAGTTTGGATTTGATTTCAGTGGCTTGTTTAAGGGTGTTTTTATGTGATTCTAGCCATGGCTAGGGAGGCACGTCCCCTCACCCACACTCCTCATATAATCCATCCCTATTCAAGCTAAATTAAAAATTTGGGCTAGCTTCGCCACCTCTTCAAAGCATTATATGTACCCACTTTATATGCTTTTCATGAACTGATATTTACGGTGAGCGTTAAACTGATTTATATAATTACAGAAGAGCCCAGAGTTATACATCCGACTGGGTGAATGTCTTTTTATTTGCTCGTTATTCTCTTGAGCAATAAATGAAAACCATTTTTCTTCATTTGTGGATATTTATACATACTTGTCCAGCAGATGAGGGTGCTGCACAATTCTGTCGGTAACAAGCAAGTACAGACGCAGCTTGATTAACAATATTCTCGCGTATCGTTTTAGGAACTGATGTTGTCACCTCTTTTATGGCTACAAAAAAACAAGTAGAATATATTTTGAGAAAAGACATGGTACTAAAACTGAAATAACGAATGGTTTATACATTGGTGGCTTTCTTACCACGTTTTGCAACGTAATTAGCAAACGTGTCCATTTCACAACATCGAAAGAGATCTGTGAGTTGCGAGCAAGTTGAGAGGGCAAGATTATGAATCCGCAGACGTCGTTGACCACCAACACTTGTATACAAAAGAGCACACTACAAGATAAAAATCTCATGAGAAGTGGAAATATATAAGTATACAAAATGTTTTATCAAACAAACACTTCAGACTTTTCAGTAGATTCAAGTATTTTAAACAATTTTTAAATGCAAGGAATGATTGATATTCAAGTTACTTTTTCACGACGACAAAACATTTAAACCAATACGTTGATTTTGTCGTGTAAATTACTTCGGTAAAATTTTCTCGCTACCTTTTAAAAGCAAGTAATCGCATTACAGATTACTTCAGTGTATAACTTAACCTTTAATTACACAATAAGTAACACGTTTATGCAATAACGAGTATTTACATCACTGCATTACATCATATTGACAACGCAGAATTTGATTTCACGGCATATCAGAGTAATCCCACGTGATAGTATAGTGATCTTACGGTATATCACAGTAATCCCACGTGATAGTATAGTGATCTTACGGTATATCACAGTAATCCTACGTGATAGTATAGTGATCTTACGATATATCACAGTCATCCCACGTGATAATATAATGATGACTCCGTACGGTATATCACAAAGTAACATCCTAAAATTATAGTGATAGTGATACTTACGGTATCATCACAGTAATCGATGATACAGTAACGTGATAATATAGTGATTCTACGGTATATCAAAGCGATTCCGTGATATATCGTAGTGAGTTCACGGTTACTATATCGCACCAATTCACGGTATATCACAGTGATCCCAGGTGTTATTATAGTGACTCCACGGTATATCATAGTGATTCCATGGTATATCAAATGGAGTCCGCGGTATATTACAGTGACTCAAGAGTAAATCATAGTGATCCTACGATATTGCATAGTAACCCTATGATATACCTTACAGGGCATTGTTTGAGTCATCATTATTTCCTCCAGATAGTAAGTAACATCAACCAAAACTATTCCAACAACTCATAATTAAAAAGAAACAGTTTACCTGCAAGTAGGCGACACTGTCTTCTGCAAGTTTATCATCGTGTTTGATTTCAATTATAATTGACTATGTACAAAAAAATACCACATATGTTCAACATACAAAGCTCTGAATTTCTGCTTTTAGCAACATTCAACGTTATATTAACATCAATAAATGAAGGACTCGTTAACTTACCGTACGAGAATTGACCAACGCAAGCTCCACATCAGTTGTATTGTTCATGTTGAAATTACCATAAAATTCACAAGGCCGAAGACCTGAAGATAAACCAAAAAGGTAAAGGATTGTTATGTTTCATGTCAACTACATCAACTACCAGACATTGGGAGACGAACATTAATTTTTCGGAATACTTTAAATAACATGCGGCTAAATCGCGTACGAAAAATTTAGTTAGAAAAAAAATGTTTTTCAATCTAAAATAAAAACCTTTTTTAAAATCGTCACACATACACATTTTTATTTGCACCGGTCTTACAAAGTTAAACGTATCAATTTATGTATCAATTGATACATAAATTCATCTTACCCGCGCTAGTTCTTAATCTCATGATGGTGTCAAGTCCGACATTCCGTTCGATATTTTCAATCAAATCTTGCAGAAACTGTTCCCCATGCGTACTTTCCTAAAAGTTAATGACATCTGTCAAAAGTACATGTATACATCCACATTTCTATCTGCGCTTGATACAAAAACGGTAATAATTTACCTTAAAATAGCTGTATCTGTACAATTGTCCACCAGTAATTGAAGTCAAAGCACCAATGGTAGCGACATCGATATATGAATTGGGAAAAAGAAAGAGATCGATTGCAACTCCAGATTCCACACAACTCTTTGCTAGTTTCTCATAGAAGTTAGTTTGGGGACACAAAATTGTCTGAACAAAAATAAGCACAACATTAGCAGCAGAATGCAACTATAATACCAGGTGTACAACTAAATTGCTTGTGCTCCAAATCGATTCATCGCCCTTGTGTGAATAAGTTATAATTGATGCGTACGTACTTTTTCCTTGTCTGATGACAGTAATTTCCTGTCTTCTCTATTTTTCAATTTGCCAGGAGCTTCAGATACAGGTAACGTAGTATGAAATACTAGTAGCTTGCCAGAAATACCTGCAGACTTTAAGAAAAGACTTTGGTTTACTGAGGAAATATCATTGGGCAAAGTGCCCAAAGTGCAAAGTTCCACGATAGAGACATTCACAAATCTGTGGCGATTATGGTCAATGTGTTAAACTCCATGAAAAAGGCATTCACAAAACTGTGGCGATTATGGTCAATGTGTTAAACTCCATGAAAAAGACATTCACAAATCTGTGGCGATTATGGTCAGTGTTAAAATCCATGTTCACAAATCTGTGGCGATTATGGTCAATGTGTTAAACTCCATGAAAAGACATTCACAAATTATGGTCAATGTGTTAAACTCCATGAAAAGACATTCACAAATCTGATTATGGTCAATGTGTTAAACTCCATGAAAAAGACATTCACAAAACTGTGGCGATTATGGTCAATGTGTTAAACTCCATGAAAAAGACATTCACAAAACTGTGGCGATTATGGTCAATGTGTTAAACTCCATGAAAAAGACATTCACAAAACTGTGGCGATTATGGTCAATGTGTTACACTCGATAATGAAGACATTCATATAACTGTAGTAACTATGGTCAATGAGGTATACAACATGATATGTAAATCTACATTCACAAAACAAGAGGATTATGCATCGAGCTAAATGTCATATTTTATCAAATAGTATGCAAGTATTCCATTTACCTGTAATGCATCAAGTCCAGCTTGTACAACTGGAGCTAAAACAATTTCGGTTTCTCTTGTTTCGGCAAACATTATTGATATTTGTTCCATCAAACTAAACAAAACATGCGCATTATGGTCAGTCGAAAAATAAAATTACCACAACTCGAGTGTAAAGATGCGGAGTGTTAAAATATCTCAACAAACAAATGTTTAATCCGAAGTCTGTACCTCTACTTTCTATACGTTCCAGGTTTGTGAATATTGATTATAAATATTGCTAAAATCTCTTCTCGTACCTTTCAATAACCGTTTTGGAATCCTTTGCGTCAACCAAAAATCCATCAAGTAGAGGCACAAACACGTCATTAACATCTGATACAATCATCATTTGAGGCTGCGCAAGATTTGACTATGAAAACGAAACAACAATGTTGTCAAAAGTATTTATGAGACACACATAAGTTTTGCACAAATTGTTAATCGATGCCAGTTCGAATAGACATAACACTTTAAAAATCCATAACTCGATAACATAGTCTATAACCTGGTCTGAGTCAACCAATTACAGCATGTATACATCATATGTCTCACCTTGACATTGTAGAAATGTAACGTAGAGTTGTAGGTCACGAAGCCAACTTTGATGGAAGATGACGTTTGTCCGGGTTCTCTGTAATGAAGTTCAAACCACGTAGTACATACAATGATGACAATTTCCGGGTGTAACAACTTTTTATTTATTTGGAAATACAAGGGAATGTTTGCTGGAAATCTTAATAGCGATATCTCCTGACTGTTTAAAACATATTTAAAGTTGCCTTCATTGAACGAAAATGAAACTTCGGTATTTCTAAATTAAGTCTTCCTTTACTTGATTATAAAGATCGAAGCGTAAAATCGAAGCTTGATCGTTTATAATAAATTTTCAAAGGACTTTGTACAACCGACCTTGTGAGATAAAAAATGTAGTTTAAACATCTTACTTTGGCAATCTTTCCAACAAAGCAGGAATTTCTCGAACTAATATACGTAACATTCCTGATTGGATACTCTGATATGACGCCTCGATCATGAATATATAAGCTGGTGGTTGCGTCGGTTTTTGATTCTAACATATAAAAAAATAAAAAATGCGTGAAACTATTGCTGCTATCTTATTTTAATTTGGGAATTTTCACATAGTCGCAAAAAGAGTTAAACTTTTGCAAGGTCAAAGGCGCACACCAGGGGAATGTACGGGGGAGGGGGTGCAGTCCAAGCTTATGTGAAATATATATTAAAAGTCAGTCTAGAAACTGGCAGAGGACGAAATTACTCAGTCTGACTAAAATTGTGGGGTTTTTTATAAAATAAAGACAGTAGAAAAGTCGGGCCCGCAGCGTGAAACCCAGTATTATTCTTTAGATGCGCGCCCCTGCTCCAGAGGAAGGATTTCATGTTATGAAAAACAGTAGAATGATGTCACGTCACTCCCAGCTACACGAATCATGTTGCCCGAATTTACATTAGTTTCCAAGTGCCAATCAGCATCATGTAATCTTGTCATTTGATACAAACATGTGATAAATTCAAGTGTTCAACTTTGAAACTTCCTCACAAAACCTCTTTTAAGGGAGCCTTATTCACGGGTGGTACCCGTGTAACTGAAGCTTTTTTGTAACTCTGTATTTTAAGCGGTAGCTAAAAATTGCTCACCTTACAGTAGTCTGTTGTTGCAAGAAATTCGTACGAGCCTAAACATAACTCTGGACGCTGATACATGTCCACCCTCAATCCTTGATGGTCCAAATGGGAAAAATATTCCTGTGGAACTGAAAGAACGACAAAAATCTCAAACAATATACCTGACAGTGAAAATATCCATCATTTATAAGACCGCGCGTCTAAGAGATGGAGAAATGTTTCAAAACTCAAACATTTTGCAATCACAAAATATTAAAATGTTTAAGTGGTGCTGAGTCGATAAGTGAATGAAAAATCATCGAAAATTGCTTCTAAAGAGAAATTGAAACGTAAAGAAAATCTTACCTTTTCACTTGTTTAAAAATAATTTTTCAGATACAGTGTAAACATCCTACACGGACAGATGCTATGCATACCTTCTGAAGAATAATTGCAAATGTTACAGACAAATCTTCTTCCACCATCGATAAACTGCATAAAAGGATTCATATATGCTTTACAGCGATTACACCTAACCGGACCGTTGACGCCATGATTAACCAACTGAAGAGGATTCTATGAAAAGAAAACATATTTCTGGTCAAAATATGATATTACGGTATTTCCAAATGAAGTCTAGAAAATTGATCAATTGTCTGGTTTAGGGGCGCAGATATGGTATGCTAAATTTACACAAAAATAAGATCTTGTATATTGTAGGTGCTTTTTCGAAGTATTTCACACACTTTGCACAAGTAGAGGGGTAGAAATTTTCCAATTGCCAAAACTTCAATGCTTGATTATGTTGCGCCCATAGGTGCATTATTGTGCAGAATTTTAGTGTTGGAATTTATTTCAACAGTTAAATAACTTAAATTTCAAGAATCTTGAAAGCTGACATCTTTGCTTAGCATTATGACAGGCACTGGGTTAATTTCTAGTTTACCTAACATCAGGTTAATTTAAAAGCTATCACGTGGAAATCATACCGTATCTATAGAAACCTAACTATCACGTGGACATCGCACGGCATCAATAGAAACAGTACTATCACGTTGACAACGTAACTGCCATATCTATGGCCCCATTTAAACTATACCGGATTGCTATCGTAGCAGGTTGAATATTCTTTATATTAAAAGACAGTGAAATTGTTCAACGTCAGAAACACATCAAATAGACTAAATCTATCAGCTTAGTAAGGTTTACTCCGAACAGTTAACCCTTTAAAGCAAATGAAGATTCGTGATGAGCAAATCCGGTATAGTGTAAACGCAGCCTATATATAGCTTCTTCCTACCTCGTCTTGTAATGATTCGGCGAATGGCGAAAGAGATACAGCAAAAGGAACGCCCGATGCCTTCAAAACATCTTGATTGTTGGGTACATTGTACAGAGTAGATCGAATGTATTGAGGACTGCAATTTCCTAAAGGATAAGTCTCAAGTTATTGTCTCAATTATAAATGGACGATAAAATACTTAATACTTTAATAGCAACGAACTCCTCGTAAGCAAAATTCACGAATCAGTAGCAAAAAACATGCGAGGAAATATTTAGACAGCCTAAGAGGTTATCCTTAATTTTTTTGAAAATTGATAAAAACACAGTCATATAAAGTACATATAAAGTCCAAAAAATCTTCATTATGGTTCTTAAAACAGTAAATTTTAAAGTTTTAAAGTTAACACCATCCCCTACCCAATCAACGTAAAAACAAGAACAGAATAATCTAGAATACGGAAAAGGAAAAGCTATGAAACAATTACCCGTTGGGGGTTACGCTTTGGCAGCCGAAATTTCGTGAAAAAATCATTAAAATAAAATATAAAAGCAGAGAAAGTTCATTCTATCACTTACCATCATCACGAATAACGCATTTTGTAGTAACGAGTGGTGGTACTCTGCCACGTATACTTGTGTTAAATGCTGCGTCATTGAAATTATTTTGATCATCTTTCATTACTTGAATCTACCCATTAAAGCAATATACAGCGTATCTTAACATGAAAATGTAACCATCGGAAATTTTACAAATTTTTAATGTTTAACAACGAAAGAGAAAATTTAAAACTCTCTTAGACAGTAAAATTTCATCTTTGAAACACTCTCAGACAGTAAAATTTCATCTTTGAAACATTCTTAGACAGTAAAATTTCATCTTTGAAACATTCTTAGACAGTAAAATTTCATCTTTGAAACATTCTTAGACAGTAAAATTTCATCTTTGAAACATTCTTAGACAGTAAAATTTCATCTTTGAAACATTCTTAGACAGTAAAATCTTTGAAACATTCTTAGACAGTCATCTTTGAAACATTCTTAGACAGTAAAATTTCATCTTTGAAACATTCTTAGACAGTAAAATTTCATCTTTGAAACATTCTTAGACAGTAAAATTTCATCTTTGAAACATTCTTAGACAGTAAAATTTCATCTTTGAAACATTCTTAGACAGTAAAATTTCATCTTTGAAACATTCTTAGACAGTAAAATTTCATCTTTGAAACATTCTTAGACAGTAAAATTTCATCTTTGAAACATTCCTAGACAGTAAAATTTCATCTTTGAAACATTCTTAGACAGTAAAATTTCATCTTTGAAACATTCTTAGACAGTAAAATTTCATCTTTGAAACATTCTTAGACAGTAAACTTTCATCTTTGAAACACATGAAATTAGGAATTTCATGGAAAAGAAATCTGATTTCATCATTTTATGATGATTATTCATAATGATATACATACAGGACTGGGTATTTGATCCGGATCAATTCTTCTTGATGAATTCATTCCCATTCCTCCAGAGGGCATAGGTCGAGTATGTCCAGGTCCTGGACCATAACCTGGCATATTATGGTTGGGCTGCTTTACAAAATGGAAAATTCAAATTTTACTGTTTTGATGATAACAAGGCAAACTACTTACTTGTACATAGTTGAATGTAGTTTGATTCAAAATAGTCCTCATTACATGCAGGATTATTATAGGTACACACGTACATGCCTGTATTTACTCGGGAATAGTGAGTTGGTCAGTATTGCATTGGAATCTGGACTATTATTTAGTGTGGACAATGTGGCATAATCAATGTTATACATTTTTAAAAATTTTACTCTAAAAGAACACAAAATAACAGTGAGAAGCACTTGGAAACATCATTCTAACACTAAAACTAAATTTACAGTTTCTGAGCACAAACAAAAACCATTATAATAGCATTATCAGGGTCATAATGTGGTGGTAGGCATCTATTTGAGACAGGGTACACACTTAATGGGGAAGAGAATCATCTAACACAAACTCATGTTGCAACAAGGGGAGGGGTAATTATTAAAAAGTGGAGTTTATATTATATATAAACACCAAGTTGCAGCATTTACAACAGATAATTGATGCATGACACTCGACCTAAATCTGATGTAATTTAATATTACCTGACTATTTGCACCTGCCATTGGTGGCATAGGTCCTGATAAATTCATTGCAGGTTGAGCAGTTGGAGATGGATAAGTAGGAAGACCTGGACTGCTTGGCATTGTTGTCATGCCAGGATTGGTCATTGGGGGACGTTGAAAAGTCTGTGTGGGAGGAATTTGTGAGTGTGGACGTATACCTCTGGGCTGACCTGGGGCATGACCAGGCATCCGGGATCCGGAAGATCCAATGGAACTCATATTTGGTTGTGGTGAACCTAGGATAAAAATGTATTTCAGTCGCGCATATATCACTCAAAGAAAAACTTTTTAAAACCACCAGTCCTTTTTGCAGTGATGGTTTCATTTGTAGGGTACAGGGGTTTGCACCCCATGTGCAACTTTTGGAATGGACCCCGTCCATGCTTTTTCACCAGGGAATTTTGTTTTGTCCTGCAGCAATAGCCGAGGCAATATATTATTCAAAGCGGTATCTAAGCTTCTGACCACACTCCTGTCTTTGATTTACAATTATTCAATTATTCAATTATTTATAATATCTACCTTGCATGGAGTTAACCATACCAGGAAATTGTTGAGGAACTGAAGAGGCAGTACCAGGAATACCACCATGAAAAACAGGACCGGGAGGTCTTATTGAAGGTTGATAAACACTAGTAGACATTCTTGGTGCTGGCTGATGTAGTGGCATTTGCTGTTCACTCCTGTAGTTTCCTGACATTCCAACACGAGGCAATGGTGAATTAGATTGTTGAGGATGCATGCCTGGTACACCTGGACGGCTTCCTTGTGGCAAATTATGTTGACCACTATTGATCTGTAGATTTCCCATTGATTTTTCAAGAATCTATATAAAATAAAAAAAATTCAAAAATTGAAATTGTATAAGACGCATCAAAAAAATCAGCCAATTTCTAAATGCTCAGAAAGCTCCCGTTTTGTTGAAAATTCTCAAAATGTACTCATATATAAATATTTAAGCATTATCTGTTTCATGTAACATTAAAATTTATCTTAAAAAGTGAGAGAGTGGTTTGTTATAGCCTCAATTTTACTCGCTTGTGCATTGTATTGAAATTTTAGAAAATTTGGTAAACATGAAGTGCAACTTGAGTGATTTTTTCAACAACACTCACTTTATTGTAAATTTTATGAGTTTTGTGTATGAAATATCAATTTTAAATTGACTAATGAAAGAAAACATAATTATTCAAAAATAAGAAACCTGAGATGGAATTCCAGTTGACTGATGTTGAGTGAAATTAGGCCCTAAAGATGGCCTTTGAATCATTGATGGGTGCATTTGTGTGTGTGGCTGCATTTGTGAGGGTGTCTGTTGTTGAATCATTGGTCGTTGAATTCCATGAACATCCTATTTAAGTAAATAGTTTATATTCATTAATGCCTTTAGAGACGTGAATATACATGGAACAATAAATGCATCTCACATCTCAAACTATTACATTTATTCTTGCTAAAAACATCTCACAGTACGAACTAGTTCACTGTTTTGTGTTATAATTGTCCAGCACTTTGATACATTGCATAATATGAAATAGAATTAAATCTCTTGAGTGGTAAACAGAAATACTAATGTGCTACATTTTCAATGAAGTTGTTAGCAGAACTGTGTAGTAGCAAATTTTAACACAGTGAAAAAACTAATATTTTGTATCTGAAACAAAACTTCATATCTTATTCACATATCAGAGAAAGAACAACATTAAAACACATCCTGATAATACTTCTACATCTATACACGAATACCTTCATCTGAGGTATCTGAGGTTGCTGTTGAAAATTGCCTAAATGGCCTCTTGCTTGATTTTGATGACCATAACCTGGGAACATGTGCGAATCACTACCATTCACCATACCAGAAGACTGCGGTTGAAAGTATGGACGTTGATTTCTTGGCGACGCACTAATAAACGAGAAACTCGTTTCAAATTTTTGTACATTTTAACATGATATTCAAGAAACATAACAACGTTTCATAAATCACCTGAACGCCATCTTTAAATCTTTGGTACTGAATTATCAGTGAGTCAGACCAGTGAAGAATCAATATTTAAAGATACTTTAACACTTTCCAAAAACGTAGATAATCCGAAAGAACTTGTTAACAATATAACAAAGTTACGCGCTTTTTGAAGCACGTGAAAACTATCTAATTATTTTTCAGGAAAAGTAGTGAAAAAACAGAAAACAGTGACAATGCCACGTAGTTGTACAGGCCATTGTTACCAAGCTCCCGGATGATTCTTCTTTCGTTTGTGTTTTTGTCATTATAAATTATTTTTGTTGAGAAACCGATTACAAATAGTATTGCGGGCCCATGTGGCGATTCTGGCGAATGACGTCGTTGCCATTGTGATGTGTCGCCCCCCTTGGTGTCGACAATGTCGCCAGGGTATGTTGCTCTATCGATGGCTGAAATTTTCACATATGTAAACATGGAATTTGTGAAATATGGCTAGGTGTCGTAAAATAGCCTTTAATTCGAATTTATATTTTGGTTTTCTTTTAACATTTTGTTTGGTCAACTACAAAGTACAAATGACCCAACGATCCTTATTGCTGCGGAGCGATTGAGTTACTAAACGAAGCAGCAGTCTAATTTGTGCACACTTTTTCTCTAAATCCACGCCCGTAAAAGTTTTGCTTGCAAATTTTACTTTAAATATGAATTGTCGAATCAAGAAAAGAGCTGCAAATAACTTTAACATCAATGTCAATGTCAAACCAGTAGAAAATAGCATAATAAACTATGGTTGTAGATTTATTTTTATGATTGATAGCAGCACAATGATCTCTGAAGACATATATGCAAACAAAAAGGTAAAAAGATAATTTTGGTTCTTTGGCCTATAAAATTTTCCCCCTTTCAATTTTTCTATGGTCAAATTTGCATTGCTCATGTTGTTGGCAATCTAGTTTACTACAAATTTTCATAACGAGCGTTGATTGGTCAGGAGTTTCCGCGCACTTTTGATTGCTTTCTTTGGAAATTATTGAGAAATAATACAAACACGACATTCACCTTGGGAAGCATTAATCGTCGTTTTCAATTGTCGGCTGTCTCTCTATTTTGAACAATTTCAATTTCTATCGCCACTTTTAGTTTACTGTTTTTTATTTACATTCAGATGGCTGCGGAAATGACAAGCAAGATGTTCGTCGTCAAGCGAGGTTTGGAGTTTTATACTTTCTAATAATATAGATAGAAGGATATTTCTGTGCATACCACTTCTGGAGTGAAGAAATTAAATGAATCATCATCACATTTAATTGCTCATTTGTAGATGGACGCAGGGAGAAGGTTATGTTTGATAAAATTACATCTAGGATTAGCAAACTCTGCTATGGGCTAAACGAAGAGTACGTTGACCCGGTAAGATGAAAATGTTTTATGGCGCCAAATCGATGTCCGATAAGACACGCAGAATACCCATATCTGAATTTCAACAAATTTTTTTCGATAAAATTTACTCAATTTCATCAGGATTGTGTTTCATCGATCATAAAGAAGGGGAAAATAGAATTTCTTTCGCCTGAAATTTGAGATGTAAAGAGCTTTTACTTCCCGCCAAATATAAGAAACATGTGAAAATATATTTTTACTTATGTTGATATTACTTTCCTGACAACTGCTTTCCAAATAATTTTCAACGTACCTGTTCAAATTCGTCGGCAAAGGAACTAGATGGGCAATCATTTCTAACTAGTAATGAAATACTTGTGAAACATCTTATGTAATCCATAATTATTTTCTGTTGCACCATTACCTCGGATAACATTACTTAGCGTCTTATTGTGGTTGCTCAAGATGTCAATATATGCTGCGTATGAAACTGTTGTAAATTATTATAAAATATTATAAAATATTATAAATTCAGGTTGATATTACCATGAAAGTTGTATCTGGTGTGTATTCGGGAGTGACCACAGCTGAATTGGATACATTAGCAGCTGAAACTGCAGCAGCAATGACAACTAAGCATCCTGATTATGGAACGTTAGCAGCAAGGATTGCTGTCTCAAATCTCCACAAGGACACCACCAAGACATTCAGTGGTAGTGATATGAAAGCCATGTTGCACATAAGAACATTATATGGAGGGTGTTTATTTATGTATTCAGTTGTGTCCAAGTGATTTTTTTTGAATATAAATTGTTTAGTTCCTTTTATGAATTGTTTTCAAAATAAATAACTTAGCCACAACTGAACATATGAATAAAACCAGGGGCAGTTTATCCAGTAGGCTGAGTAGGCTTAAGCCTACAGGCCCTGGTTTTTGAAAGGCCTGTTGTATCTGGACGCAATTGGGATTTGAATGTTTTTGCTTTCCGGGCTAGCTAAATGTGCTTAACTTAGATAATTTTGCTGTTGAATCTTTAGGAGCAATTAATTGCAAAGGAAAAATGGCTTTTGTACTATCTACTTTTCAAATGTTAAATGCTCAGAACTCATGAAGTATTAACTTTTCTTATTTCCATGACCATGTCAATGATTTTTGAAATTTCATTTTAACTTTAAAATGAACTTTTCTCATTTTTTACCCTATGGGGTTACTAACACGATGTGCAAAGCAAAGGAAAACTGTATTTAGTGAGAGGAATAGGTATCGCTTAAAGGCCTTTAACTTTGTCTTAGCCTACAGGCCCTGTAATTAGTAATCCACCACTGAATAAAACACACACACCCCTCATAATTAATGTTCTCAGCATGACCCTGATGACATGCAACATCATCAAATGCTTTTTATGTTTAGATCAACTAAATTTCCTTTGTTGTTCAGTTTTAACTTTTAAATTTAATATTCTTTTGCAGTTGTGATGGGAAAATTGTATAAACATGTGAACCCGAGGAATAAAAAACCATCTCCTTTAATATCCAAGCAAATCTATGACATCATTATGAAACATGAAGATGTAAGTTTGTAGTTCTTAGTCACTTTTAAACCAAGTGAAAAAAGCACTTTCTAAGCTCATGAATTATGTTTTGATGTGATATTCCATGAAGTATTTTCTGCTTGATATAATTCCCAACAGGCCCTGAATTCTGCCATTATCTATGATCGAGATTTCAACTACACCTACTTCGGATTCAAGGTGAATAAAAACAAAATGAGTTTTAAATGTAGCAAGAAAAATTAGTTTCCCATGAACTGAAGATATGCAATTATCTTTTAGACCTTAGAGCTCATATCTGCTGAAATTAAATGGGAAAATTGCAGAGAGACCTCAGCATATGTTGATGAGGGTATCTGTGGGTATACATGGTGATAACATAGAACATGTCCTTCAAACCTACAACATGATGTCAAAAAGACTATTTACTCATGCATCACCTACCTTGTTCAACTCTGGAACAAACAGACCTCAATTATCCAGCTGTTTTTTGGTGGCCATGAAAGATGATAGCATTGAAGGGATTTTTGAGACTCTAACGCAATGTGCGCTGATTTCTAAATGTGCTGGTGGAATTGGTATTCATGTTAGTAACATTAGAGCAACTGGAAGTTATATTGCGGGGTAAGTGATAGCCATGCTTCAATGATATAAAATTTAGTTGTGCAATGTTTTTATGCCTCAAAATTATTTCCGTTTACGTTAATATTCCTTTGCTGTAATGTTATATGTCTCTACAATCAACTCTGCATGAGAAATATCTGTTTTTAGACAAACGGTGTGTCCAATGGTCTCATTCCAATGTTGCGTGTATTCAATGCTACGGCAAGATACGTTGATCAAGGGGGAAACAAGCGTCCCGGTGCGTTTGCCATCTACCTCGAACCCTGGCACGATGATATTTTTGAATTTCTTGACCTCAAGAAAAACACAGGAAAGGAAGAACAGGTAATATTTTGTAAAATTATTGTGAAATAAACTTGTATGTGGATGGATTTTGGATCATCTCTAAAATCAATCATGTCTTCTTTTCAAGCGTGCGCGAGATTTGTTTTATGCCATGTGGATTCCTGATCTCTTCATGGTTCGAGTTGAAAGAGATGAAGATTGGAGTCTAATGTGCCCGGATGAATGTCCTGGTTTGCAAGACGTTTATGGCGAGGAATTCGTAAAATTGTACACGACGTAAGATTTGATTTTGTCAAATGTACATGAGATGAATACATGAGGAAATGACGCTTTATTTTGGTTACATTCAAACTTTGATTATCACATTCATTTCAACACTTTCACTATCTATTTCCTAATTAAAATTTTTATGACAAACTTGGAAAAGCAAGGCAAGAGTTAATCTTCGTAATCTCTTCACTATTTCCTACAAACATGTTGTCACTGTATGAAAAATGTATTTACAGGTACGAAGCCGAGGGCCGTTATAGGAGAAAGGTGAAAGCACAAAAACTTTGGTTTGCCATGCTTGACGCTCAAATTGAAACTGGAACTCCGTATATGCTCTACAAGGATGCTTGCAATATAAAAAGCAATCAAAAGGTGAATTGCATTGTCTTATGATATAACGGGAGCAGGTTAACTAACCATGCATTTTTTAGAACCTTGGTACAATCAAATGCAGTAACTTGTGCACAGAGATTGTAGAATATACAAGTCCCGATGAGGTACGAGAGAATATTGAACATGCTTTATTATGGATGTCTTCAATAATGGCAGATGTAATAAGTGTTGTTTGTTTTTTTTTACATACTGTTCCGTTCAGGTGGCAGTATGCAACTTGGCTTCAATTTCACTTAAAGAGTTCGTAAAAACCGAGAAAAACCCTCCGCAATATGACTTTCAAAAACTCTTTGAAGTTACGAAGGTACAAGGGAAATGGGTATAAAACTGGAAATTTTTATTTTTCCACCACGATCAACACGGGATTGCGCATGTTTTATGTAGGTTGTAACCAGAAATTTGAATAAAATAATTGATATCAATTATTATCCAGTTCTTGAGGTACGTATATCTTATCAAACAAGATAAATTTATTCTACTAAACCTAATTTATACCCTACTATATCCATATATATCCATACTTTTTGTTCTAAAGGCGCGTAATTCAAACACGAGACACAGACCTATTGGTATCGGAGCACAGGTAATATGAATCAAAGTTGCTGCAATTTTTTCTCCAAAGATCGCTCTCGTTTGCGATGAATACGATTTGGTGAATATCCCATATTTATATCGACTATAGGGATTAGCAGACGCCTTTATTTTCATGAGATATCCATTTGAAAGCGAAGAAGCCCGTCAACTCAACATTGAAATCTTCGAAACCATGTATTTCGCTGCTTTATCGGTAAGTAATCTTATATTCGACATTGGCGACTTCTATTAACACAGTAAATATTAAATAAGAAAACCTGTTACACATATATCACTTTTAGAACGAGATTTTTTTCCTTAAGTGGGCTGGTACTGCGATTTTAATATTTATAGTGAATCTCGAACTTAGCAAATCATCAACAGTCTCGTGTTCTTTACACATAGTAACCTAAGCAGGAAAGGTTTTGAAATGCGTATCTAATGTTTTGTTGTGTGGCAGGCGTCATGCGAGTTAGCAGAGGAAGAAGGACCTTACTCAACGTACGAAGGCTCGCCTGTTAGTCAAGGGGTGAGTTGAGATTTTGGCTGTCTCTTATCCAATTTAGACGATTACAATCTTATTTATATCAATGCTTAGATTTTGCAATTTGACTTGTGGAATGCAACACCTACGAATAGATGGAACTGGACGGACTTGAAGAAAAAGATTGCCAAGTGAGTTCTACCATTTAGATAATGAAAGAAGAATGTTGAATGTGTATTTAAATGAATATATTTTTTTTCTTGAAAGACATGGTGTGCGAAACAGTCTTCTGCTCGCTCCAATGCCGACCGCTTCAACTGCGCAAATTCTGGGAAATAACGAGTCTTTTGAGCCGTACACAAGCAACATTTACACCAGACGAGTCTTATCAGGAGAATTTCAGGTAAGAATCCAAAGAAATTATTTCCAACACAATAATGAAGACGTAACTGTTTCAAAAATACTTCTTTTTAAATTGTATCATGATGAACATTTTTGCTCTTTCGCGATCCTGAACGACTACATGCGTTGAAAAACAGACATTGAAGTTTTTGAAATTTTTAGGTTGTTAATAATCATTTATTAAAAGATCTTGTCGAGGCTGGCTTGTGGAATGAAAAAATTAAGAACCAACTCATTGCAAATGGTGGGTCCATTCAGGTACGTGTAATGGTTGAAATATTGTACCTCGTCATGTTCCATCGATAACTCTAATGTCTTTCGACCATAGAACATCAAAGGAATACCAGACGACCTTAAACAGCTATATAAAACTGTCTGGGAAATTTCACAGAAAAGACTGATAGACATGGCTGCTGACAGAGGAGCGTACATTGATCAAAGTCAATCATTCAATGTTCACATGACCGACATCAACTACGGGAAATTAACGAGCATGCATTTCTATGGATGGAAGAAGGTATTGGTACTTCACAATGAAACTTATATATATATGTCCAAACATGTCAATGAAAGATTTTTTTACACAGGGTCTGAAAACGGGAATGTATTATCTCCGATCAAAACCAGCTGCACAAGCTATCCAGTTCACAGTCGATCAAGAGGCTTTACAAAAAACATCCGAAGAGAAAGCGAAACTGAACGAAGAAGCGTTGGCGTGTTCATTAGAAAACAAAGACGCATGTGTTATGTGCAGTGGATGAATGAAAATGTTACTGAACACACATTGCAAATCGAATGTGGTAGTCAAACTTACAATTTTTTGTCAAGACATGACATTACTGCTAGGTATAAAATATCTTTAACACGCACTTGTAACGCTGTGTTTTGCATGTTTATACATGTATTGATTAGGCTTTTTTATTTAATTTTCAGACAATTATTAGTCTGTACATACAATTTACATTCGGATTTTTTTATAATGTAATTAAAAATCATTTTACGAATGAGTTTTGTTTCTGCTTACAGTAAGCGTATATGATTGGATTAGAACGTGTTCCTATCACTTTTAATATCGGTAGCATACATAATGGACTTTCTGACACACTATAATATCACGCATTTTCGTAGCATTTTGTAACAAAAATTTTCACGTTTTAATTGTCATGCAACATTCACCTATTTCTAACCTTTCTCATCAGGTCTCTTCTTGAGTATAAGTACTTAATGAGAAACCTATAACGCATCTCTTCGATTTTCATTTCACAGACATGTCTAAAGTTTTTCAACCAATAAACATTTTAGAAATGTCAATATTCAATAACAATACACGGTTAGGGGCCAAATTCGACAAAATATACTTCGTTCAACAATCGCGGACATGTACCACAATGGTTTAAAATAGGCGGGAAATAGCTACATACCCGAGTAACAGTGTATGTATTTATAACACTCATAAACTCATGTCAGATTTCGTCCTAATTTCGTTTTCATTACACACTGAATGACGGCCTCCTTCCCCACCGCGATTGACGTACGAGATCTATTTGTCACCTGCTCTCACACACGACAAATTCAAAAGCAACGATGCTCTTTATAAATCATCATATTGTCACGACGAACTCAGTTTTTTCGCTGACTTCAACATTGCCACAAGTGTCAAAATCCATAGTCTCGCATACAACAACCTGAGAATTTTCAACATCTTGGTGGCCATCGCCTTTCATTTCGTCACTACTTTCGCACTCCTCTATCGTGGAATGTTCTTTTTCATGTTCGTCAAACAAATGACAATTATATTCACGCGCAGTTAAAAAAGCTTTATCACATGTTTCACACCCGTAAGGCAAATCAGTATGAGTCTTTAAGTGTGCGGTCAACTTGGACTTCTTAGAAAAACGTTCCCCACATTCATAGCAGTGAAATGGCTTCTCTCGTGAGTGTGTCTTCACGTGTCTATTTAAGTCACCAGTTTTTGTGAATCCACGTCCACAAATCGGACAACGATAAGGTCTCTCTCCACTATGCAACCTTTGATGTATTACCAAACTAGATTTCTGAGTAAACTGTTTCCGGCAAATATCGCAAACGAATGGCCTAGACCCTTCATGGCTTCTTAAGTGACGATCGAGATTACTTGATTCGGAAAACCTTTTCTCACATTTGCAGCATTTGTACGGCTTAACACCACTGTGCGTGCGCATGTGCACAGCAAGATTAGAACTAAAGCGGAACGTTTTGTGACATTGTGTGCATGAGAATGGTCGTATCCCTGTATGTGTTCTACTATGTGCAGTAAGATGAGCCTTCTCTCGAAACGTTTTACCACATTCTTCACAAGTAAATGGCTTATCTTTACTATGAACCCGTAGATGTCGCTCAAGGTAGGTGTATTTCACAAATGATTTGTCACAACTCAAACATTTATAAGGCCGTTCAAAGTCATGCTGCTTCATATGAACAGTCAAGCTTCCTTTGTATTTCATCTTAACACCACATATGCCACAAGTGTAAGGTCTAGAGCCATTATGCCACATTAAATGAACTCTAAGTTGATCATGTTGTTGAAATGATTTTGCACACTTAGGGCATTGCAAGTTATCTGAACTTTGATTGGTCAACATTGCTTTTCTCAATATTCAAAATTATGATCCAAAACTTACGATTCTTGATGAATGTGACACAAAAAGTAGTTCTACAATCTCCCGTACTTCCCACATTGAAGGATTTTTTCTTTAGAAACAGCTACCCTAAACTAAATAGTCAGATCATCAGCAAAAAATGTTGATAAAAATTGCTGATTACTTGCACAGATATTTTCAAGTAAATACAAAATATGGGCTAATGGGTATGATAAAATTGTGACACAATGAAAACCTGAACGTAATAATATTACAAACTTGTGATAAGTGACATGAAAGTGTGCAAGATTTGACTTTTATAATAAGTTCTCACTATTTTGGACATATGTATGTTCATTGTTTTTAAAAAACGTTTTTCGTAATATTTGGTAATTTGTGCACGTGGTATTCGCATGTAATTTTAAGAATTACAAGGCCATCACTTCACTATCTTAACGATAAAGTTGTAGCTATTGCATTGCGATGAAATCAACATATGCTATCACTTCACTATCTTAATGATAAAGTTGTAGCAATTGCATTGCAACAAAATCAAAACACAAAATTTTCAATTATTTTTGGCCATCAGACTCTTCCAACTTCAACATCAAAATTATTGATTTATCACATTGAACAATACCACCAACATCTTAATCTTAGCATTCACACCAATTAGTTTTTCTTCCACTTTTTCATCACTTTACAACGTGAAAGAATCTGTTAATTACTTTCATCAAACTATTTGAAACATCCTTGATTGTACTCCAAAATAGCAGGGGTACAAATAAATTTTTATGTTCCATGCAACTCGAAAATTTGTAACCAGGTTTAGAGTTAAGAAGAAATTTTAAAGAAGCTTTATACAATAAACGCTTAATGTACCAGTAAATAACCGAACATAGAATTAATATGTAACCTGAGTAATCAGCTGCTGTCTAAATTTCCACCATTATGAAAAAATTCAAATTTTAAAACTCAAATTTAAGCACGTGGTATTCGCATGTAATTTTAAGAATTACAAGGCCACCACTTCACTATCTTAACGATAGAGTTTTCGTATAAATTTATTACAATTCAATATAGTTAAAAAATGGATTTTGCATGCTTGTACCTCTGAAGTTAAAACTGCGAACATTTTAGTTCAATGAGAACTTTAAAACACTCTACCTTCTATCTTTGGCAGAGAGTATATTCTGTTGAGTATAGGTCGGTGGAGTCCTCAAAAGCATTATGTTTTTCGAACAAAGTGCAGTGACTGAGCGAACTAGTTTCATATTGCTGAACCATGTCCATGAACAACTGATGAGCTCTGAAGTCTTAGGTTTAACATGAAGTAAAACAAAATACAAAAATAAAACTGCTGGCGATAACAACGTGTGCTCTACTACGTCATCACTAACATCCTCCCGGATAAAAGAACATATGATTTATCGAACGGAAAATTGTTTCTTGTTTTGTGATATTTCGTTTCAATTGTTGGTAAAGGTGAATCATTTGGTGAATCTTTCTCATCCATATTTTGAAATATTTGGTATACTTTGAAGATTTTTTAAAGATTCTCGTCATAATGACTACAAACTTTGGTTTCAGTGATTCTGATGTTTCGACACCGGAATCGGACACTTGGGATGACACATTTTCTAAACTTATAAGTACTAGTTTGGATATTTTAGCCGAGCAGTCGAATCATTCTAATGAAAGTAGCGTGACCTGTTATCTCTGTAAAATGGATTTTTCAAACCGAGATGAACTCAGCGTTCATATACGATCTTTCCACGGACAATCGTCAAGCTCCAGCGAATTATACTTCAAGTGTGACGTTTGTATGAAAATTTTTGCGAATTCGTCTGATTTGGAAATTCATGTTCAAATTCATTCCAGTAGTTGCACTTACCATTGCACTGTTTGTCTAGAGACGTTTCAATCTCAAGAGGCTTTTAACTCGCATGTGGTAAGCCAGCCAAATAAGTATAAATGTGAAGTGTGCGCAATTGCATATTCAAACGAATGTGATTTAAAAGTACATTTGAAAACAGGGCATGAAAACTGGGAAAACCATAAATGCGAAACTTGCAGTAAGGTATTTCCATCCTTGAGTACTCTTAACTCTCACAAGAGAGTTCACATTCGACCATACACATGTGATGTATGTCAAAAATCATTTTCTCGATTAAGAGCACTGAATTTGCATAAAAATACTCATACTAAGAAGAAAATCAAGTGTAATGGCTGTGATGAAAAATTTGCTACAAGAGAGTTGGCTCAATTCCATTATGATAGCAATCCCCTATGTAAGGACAAGACTTTGAAATGCGGAGTTTGTGAATTGGTCCTTGCAACCTGTGATGAATATGATGGTCATATGAAGGCGCATGTCACCAACGGTGAAAGGTGCTACAAGTGTGACGAATGCGGAAAACTCTTTCATAAGATGAGTCATCTTCTTTCACATAAAAAAACACATTTAGGAGTCCGGCCTTATAAATGTTCAGTCTGTAATAAGGGTTTCTCACGAACCAATGATTTGATGTATCATTTGAGAACTCATACAGGAGAGAAACCATTTAAATGTGAAGAGGATGACTGCGATGCTTCCTTTAATAGGGCGAGTGATCTAAAATATCACAAAAACATGCATTCTGAAAACAATCCAAACACTTGTGAGATTTGTCAAAAAGCCTTTCCTCGTTCTCAGGACTTGCTTGTCCATATGCGAAAGCACACAGGGGAGAAACCTTTTAAATGTGACATTTGTAATGCAGGATTTGGGCGTAGTAGTGACAGAAGATATCACAAGCTTACCCAACATCCAGATCCCAATCAAGAACAGCCTTACAAGTGTAATAGTTGTGATCTAGCATTTGCTACACCAAAATTGCTTTCAGTTCACAATCGAATTCATCGGGACAAAATCTATAACTGTGATGAATGTGACAAATCCTTCTTCATTCCCAGCCGTCTTGCTTCACACAAACGAACTCATAGTGGAGAAAAAAATCATGTTTGTGATGTATGTCAGAAGGCATTTACAAGAGGCCATGATTTAGTGATACACAAGCGTATGCACACTGGTGAGCGACCCTATAAATGTGACATGTGCGATAAAGCTTTCACTAAAACGACCCAGTTGAAATATCATAAGCGTTTACACACTGGTGAGAATTTATTTGATTGTGATCAATGCGATAAGAAGTTCAATCAGCCTCGATTGTTGCGGGCTCATAAATTTGTTCACAGCGGTGAAAAACCTCACAAGTGCGATACGTGTGATAGAGCATTTTCGAGAGCCCATGATCTTCTTCATCATAAGAGACTTCATACCGGTGAACGACCCTATCAGTGCGATATATGTGGCAAATCGTTTATAAAATCCACGATGCTTATGTACCACAAGCGAACCCACACGGGAGAAAATCCACACAAATGCGATGAATGTGATAAAGAATTCATGATTCCTTCGCAGCTAGCAGCGCATAAGCGAGTACATAGTGGAAAAGAATTTGAATGCGATGTTTGTAAGAAAACATTCTCTACAAAATGGGATTTGAAGTATCATAAGCCGATACATTTGGACGTTAGACCATTTCCATGTGATATCTGTGACAAATCGTTTTCAAAGGCAAGTCAGTTAACTTACCACAAACGTAAGCATAACGGAGATAAACCCTACAAATGCGACTCTTGCGATAAGGCTTTCGTAAAACCTTCGCAACTTTCCGTGCATAAGCGAGTGCATACCGGAGAGAAACCTTACAAATGTAGCGTATGTGAAAAAGGATTTTCCAGATCGAATGATTTGAGGTATCATGAAAGTACTCATTCGTCTGACAAGCCGTTCGTTTGTGAAGCGTGCAAAAAAGGTTTTCGAGATAAAAAGTCTTTATTGCGACACCAGAAAAGAATGCATAAAAACCAGAGTGAAGAAGAGCACGTATGTGTCACGTGTAAAGAAGTGTTTTCATCCCCTGGTGAACTTCGCCGTCACATTCTAGTTCATAAAAAAGAAAAGCGTTTCAAGTGTGATAAATGTGACAAGTCTTTTGCCAGAAATCATGACTTAAAATTACATAAACGTACACATGAAGATAAACCATTCAAATGTGGTTTATGTGGTTTAGATTATGTATTAGCAAATGATCTTATTAAGCACGTAGAAACACATCATACTGCCGAAAAATTTCACTGCAAATCTTGCAACGAAGATTTCGGTTCTTCAGAGCTTCTTGAAAAACATACTTGTAAAAGTGGCGAGGATGACGGAGCATGTGCTGCTGATACAGCAGAAATTCAATTTGTTTGTTCCCTATGTGGCACTAGTTTTGACTCGGAGAAGAAACTAGACCAACATATAAAGCAGTCACATCCGTAAATTTTATAATGTTATGTATATAGTTGAAACTGTTATTTTTGTTTTCAGTGTGACCTTGGTAATTATATAATGTAGGTTCTTTGCATGATATTTTAATCATATGTTACTCTACCCACTTTCCTGATTATCTTGTAGAACCGTGCAAGTGTGTGATCATTGTTGTACATGAACGCGTAATCCTCAAAAAATAGATCACCAAAAAAATTGTCGTTCAATAATCTCATAATACTTGACGCCTTCGGATCTCAGTCAATTATCATATGACAATTCTCTGAAATTCAGACGAAATGAGCATCATACTAAATTTGCCTTTTTGAATTGATGAATTTCGAAATGATTCACCACTTGCATGTGTTTGTAAAAAGAAAACGTCAATAGTAAACACATAAAGTGGTGTGGAATTGGTGTATAAAGTGTAATAATTTAATTTGCTTTTGGTACATTTGGTGTTGCGTGATTTCTTAATTCATTTTGTTATAATTAGATTACCTGACACGTGCGTTAGACTGCAGACTAGTTTTAATGGTATTAAATAATGCAAAAACACGATAATTGAATATATTTAATCTCAGAAATCTTTGTGTCGTTACAACAATGTAATAAATGTTTATGAAACAATATGACTATGCTTTGAGTTGACAAAGGAAATTGTACTGAATCCTATTTTGAGTATGTTTTTTTGTTGCGTACCTTACCTAACATATTATAGTCGTTGTTCGAATTAACTTAGGTAATTAAGTAATTCCTTAAGTAATTCCTTGTTAAATAAATCAACCAGCTAAATTTTTAACAGTCCCTTGTATAAAATTTTTCAAAAATCATTCGTTTGCGCGTCTTGATATCAAACGGAAACGCGTTATCCTATAAAACACGATGGTAGACGAATATCTAAATGGACTTTACTACCCTTGTGCTAAGAGAATAAATGTTTGACCACACACGCGAGTGGAAACAATAATACAATTAGCCACTTTTTTTCCGTCCGTCGTAAAAAAAAACTGCAAACACTGCACATCTAGTACTGAATTGCAATGCACATACCTTAGGGTAGCTTACAGCTAGAATATACGTTTGAAATCTTTGTTTATTTTATTCCAATGTTCCTGTCACGGAAACTTGGCTCAGGCTCCTTGGCTGATACTATGTGTCGTTCAAATTAACTGAAATGAAGGCATTTTAAATTTGGTGTGTATCAACCAGCTCATTCTTTTAGCTGTTTAAATGAAATCATTTTAGCTCTTGTACCAAAGCAAGTTTTGTCTTATGAGTAATGACTTGCAAAATAATCACTTATAACTGCAAAAGAAATATTTGAAAACTTACAGCAAACATAAAAACTAAAATGTCGATGAGGAGAGAAAACCTTTTCCGAGTTGCTGTAAATTTTTTAAATTATTCGTCCACTGTTGTAGTCCTCAACAATTGTGTCTGGGCAACACATGTTTCTTGTAACAGTCAAAGACTCCCAGCACACCTTTTTCTAATGAAAAAGTTGTTGTGTTTTTTTCTTTTGCACACACTTTTTCGTCGTTTTATCTTATTTTAAAGTTTAAAACAACGTTGGTCAATGGCTTTTTCCAACTCAAGGCAAAAGAGGCAATAAGGTTTAAGCTGAATTAAGATCAACATAATTTTGGAATGCACCACTTGAAAAAAAAGATGAGAAATTGTTTGTGTGGCAATGTGTGCTGTAAATGTCTGAAAATAATACTGTACAAATCATATCTTTTCTTCAGTTCTGCATACAGACACATGAAAACAAGCTTTACACACTGCGCTGTTAACCTGCACCGACAGTAATCAATTGAGCTACACACATATGACAACTATAAGAAAGGAAACCATCATACAAAAACATTCTATAAATTTCATCTGATAAATTATTATCTGACGAAAAATTCTGAAAAAAACACACTCCAGCTACAAGGAAGCCGCTTCTTAGGCGAAACAAGATAGAATTATAGAAATTGAGGAAATTCAATCAACGTGTCTCAAAGTGAATTCTCACACAAATGGCTATATGCACGCAAATTGCAAACGACTCGCATAAGGTAATGTCTTTTTATATGTGATCTTGACCAATCTAAAAGTTTTTGCAATGATTTGAGTGAGTATTTCTTTACGGACACAATCCAAAACCTAAAATATTTTAAAATTGATAATCACTTGATTTTCCTTATGACGTGACAAAATTCATACATTTGATAAAAAAAACGCTCCATCGAAGCCATTTATCTATATTCTCTAAAAACTGTGAAATCAATGCAAGCCCTGGCATATTATAGAGCCATACGTCAACAATGGTAAGCAAAACTTGTAAATCATCCAATCATGTCTCTGAACTGAGAAAAAATAATATAATTGTAAGTATAATTAGTAAGTAACTACCACAATCAACAACCACTTATTATAAACTCTGTTTTCTAAATGGTTAATCATGCATTGCCAATTATGTTTAGAACGTTTTAGACTTGAAACGAGAATTTTAAATTCCTGATACATCATACGCTGTCATAGCTATGTGATTTTTGTTACATCTGTTGAGCGCAAGAGAAAGTTTTCCAAACATGTGAAACTTCTCAGTCCAGTTTGTTTGTCATGTTTTTTTGTTCTATTCCATTTACGAAACCACTTGATCATCAAAAAATCAGTTAGTTAACCTTTTTTTAACTCAGTTGTTAACGCCGAACAATTTAAGATAAAAAAAGTTGTTTTCGTAAGGATGGTTTACCAACCGACCACACGTAAGAGCTGTCAGCCGAGTCTTTGACTCTTTTCTCAATATGATTTTCTGCTTAATGGAACACGTACAACTGACATTGTATCTTTTTACAGACAGTTCGTAGCAGTTTATCCATAGCTGTGAAGGCGGACATTCGTTAGCTAAAATTATCCTTCAGCATTAACTATAATGAGCTTACTAAACCATCACAGGCTTCCTTACTACGACCGCAAAACCGGTAGTGCTCCATTTAATTCACTTATGTGACAAAGTCAACTGTAGGTGTCGGCTTACCTCCCGTGATCAAAGAAATTCCAAGCAAATCATGTGATTTTATCACTCATTTACTGAAAAAGTACTAGCTCACCCTACAAATAAAGCGTTTTGTTGATTATTTCCAAAAATTTTCTATAGAGCTCGTCAATCTTAGAGTATTTGGAAATTGCTTTTTCAAAGTTATCGCAATGCTCAATCATGTTTTCTATTATTTTCCATTAGTTTCATCATATCAGGAAAGATCAACTTTCTTGGTGGCCATAAAACAAAACGTTTATGACAAAAGGAAACTAGAAAAGTTTCAAAAGGATATAATGGAGACATCATGCTCAAAAATTAAATATTTTTTGACAACTTCCTCGCCGAAGTGGTATGTATACTTTTGTTATTAGGATTAAAGTTTTCGGATTCTCAAAGTTTATATTCGGAATATGGCACTTGTAAGTGGCCTAGGGATAAATATGAAATGATTTAAAACGTCAGCTCTCATCAGTCATTTCGTAAAAGTATAGCGCTCTCAAAACCCCTCATACATGCAAGAAGTGGGCAGAGATACTAAGGTAAGCTTTAGTTTTTAATAATTTCTATCAGCTCAATCATACATCTATAGTGTATGCAAAATTTCATTTAAAATTTAACCAAAATAATATAAGGTCTTAGCTTTAAAGACCATTTAACCTGCTCCTGGCAATAAAAATATAGGTTGTAAAGAATGAAATGAGAAATCCTTACATTAAATGACCGATACATCATTATTTAAGATAGCCGCTAGATATAACACATTGCTGAATTGAAATGTAGAAGTAACTAAGACTTTTCTATTACTGCATGGCGCAAGACAAAAAACTGTTTCAATGATTGTTTATAGTTATAGAGTAATTGATTAATAAAACCAGTTGACCTAAGGCATAGTTCACACAAGATGTGCAACAGTTTTCACGTTTTTATGAATGGTTTGCATTGACTCTTTTTGTAGTTTTTGTTCTGAATATAAAATGTTTGTAGCAATATTACTTTAAACAAAATAATGATGTAACACATCGCACTAAGACATGCTTCTGTATAAAATATTCCACAATGCTCATAAAAAAGTTTATTGACCAGCTGATATGGACCTAACATATGATAAATATTTTGATAAAGTAAGTACTCCAATTGTGCAATCCGATTTTTTCATGTTAGATTGCTAATTGCTCATGTTTGAGTTTTGACAGCTCCATCAGAACATGCAGAGGCTTTATCTTTTAGCCTTGCTTTAACTTCAGTCTAGCTTTTTCCAAACTCGGTACAATATTCGCTGTTCACTGAGATTTGATCAATCAAAGAACTTGACGTAACTAGGTAACAGTTGCAAAAAGTGACTGCGGAATACGCTTTTTATATCTACTTGTTTATACGAAAAGTATTATTCCGTAAAACAAACAATTTTATTGACATTTTGAGGTAGGAACTCCGACATACAAGATATGTCAACATGCCTCACACGATGCTGTGAGGTCAAAAAAATTTTTCATTCAGTTTGTTTTTCTATAATTGGATATATTTTCATTACAGGTGCGTCAAAACTGCTAAATAAAATTAGCTTGTTAAGCATCAACCGAATTGAAACACAACTACTTCAAGTGTTATAGTTTCTATTGTACGGAATTTGATTGGAAAGTAGTTCAGGCAATATAGCTATAAAAAAATAAAAATTTTTAATGCAAATAAGATTGAAAGAATTTATTACCATGCAGGCGGTTAACATTTTGAATTTATTGAAAAGAAAAATGTATCATCTGATCAGGACACTACCTCTTTTCAGAAAAACAAGCTAAACTTTAGCTACTTGTTATTACAAATATTTAAATGAATACTTTTTGATAAAAAAAACTGCAGAATGACGAACAAGTTGTTGAAATTCATCATGGTACTTTTGGTTGCATCTACGGCCATATTTAACGTTTCTACACTACCAACTCGAAATTTAGAAGAAAATAAAGACAAGGTAAGCATAAAAATGAATATCTGCAAGAAAAGAAACAAATGTTTACCTAGGTTTAGCTGCCTGCCTTGAAATATAAGCTTATAGGCTTCAGTATTTTTGTCCTATGAATTAGGTTGAAGGTGTATTCATTGCATGACTGACTGTCTACTGAATAAATGTGATGTCAAAGAATCGTCAGTGCCATAGGTTATGTAAGCCTTCGAGTTATATGATAAAATATTTTCGACAGATGGTGGCAACGTAACAGAATGTTTAAAAATATCAAGTAAACATTGATTTTCTCTCGTAAATTTATAGAGATACAAACGTTCGTGTATGAGATATATGCCATGTAGAAGTGACGCTAACTGCGCATGTCGTTATGTTCGACTTCGTTGTTTCAGCGGGATATGTTTTGAAGATACTAACATCGATCCAATAAAACGTTGGAAAGGCGATAAAAGAGGATAAACAGATCCGCTTTAAAGTCTTGAAAATTATCGATAACTGGAAGTCTGGAACAGAACATTAATGAATCAAGAATGCAATCATAAGCGAAAAATACTACACCACAACTGACAAACCGTACACAACGAACGAGAGAGCATGCTGTACATTGGGTTCCACTTTCGAATGGAACATTTAATTTTTAACTATTCTCATCAAATTTGACGCGAACATCAATTACAATCTACGAATGATTCACAATATCAACGAACCATTTACTACAATGTATTTAAAGTGTACCAACTATCATATTCAATGTACGAAGTTGATATTTTAAGCAAGAGAGTATATTTATATGCACAAATATATTTACAAGAATTATACTGATTGTTTGTACAAGAATTATATTGAGAGCAAATTATCTAACATAAGATCGTTGAGATGTATGAGCGTTTCCATACATCATTTAAACGTTTAATAAAACTTCGGAATCCGATCGTTTATTTTGTCGTTTTTGATAACTTTACAAATGATGGAATGATGGAATATCAAATGATTTGAATAGGAATTTTTATTTAATCCAGTCACTGAAGTTATGCCGAGCATTCACGTAAACCATGAAGACGATAGATGAATAAATATTACAAAAAAAAAACAAAGTAGACGACAAAATACATAGCCAGCAATAATAAATACGTGCTACGAAAAATGAAGTATTAAACATTGACAATCAAAAAGTGTCTTCTGTTTTAATTTTGGATCAGCCAACATTTGCCTTGAATAAAGGGGAGATTCGCATTTCATTATTCATTTTAAGAGCTACTTCACTTTTTCAACTTATTATTCAAACGTTAATAAAACAAAGTCTTTGACATACATGTAACTAAATTACTAGAACAACCATATGTACGTATAGTGAGAGGAAATAAAATTTTTTTCATGACATATTTATCAACATTTTTGATAGGCAGATAACAACAAACTGAGAGAAGTTTCGACGCATTGTTATACAGAGAAATCATCATACTATATACTTTTACATAAGTGTTTTTTTCCAAAATATTAATTGTCTCAATAACAAAAAGGAAAATTTCAAGTATATTCAAGCATTTTGTGCCGGCGACCACATAATTGAGCACAAAAATGACGAATAAATGTAACGTAGAGTACACCTATGTTTTGATGGTAAAAACTCACCGCACAATTTGAACATGAATTTAAGGTGTAGTTGGGTTTGTTCGACAATAATCTCTTAGACGTTTTTTAGCCCTGCTCTTCACGTATATGATGTTGACCTTATGGTATTTTACTTATATAAAGCAAAGATAAGTTGTCTGAGAAGTTTTTTAGCACTGCTCTTCACGTATATGATGGTGACCTTATGGTATTTTACTTATATAAAGCAAAGATAAGTTGTCTGAGAAGTTTTTTAGCACTGCTCTTCACGTATATGATGGTGACCTTATGGTATTTTACTTATATCAAGCAAAGATAAGTTGTCTGAGAAGTTTTTTAGCACTGCTCTTCACGTATATGATGTTGACCATATGGTATTTTACTTATATAAAGCAAAGATAAGTTGTCTGAGAAGTTTTTTAGCACTGCTCTTCACGTATATGATGTTGACCTTATGGTATTTTACTTATATAAAGCAAAGATAAGTTGTCTGAGAAGTTTTTTAGCACTGCTCTTCACGTATATGATGTTGACCTTATGGTATTTTACTTATATCAAGCAAAGATAAGTTGTCTGAGAAGTTTTTTAGCACTGCTCTTCACGTATATGATGTTGACCTTATGGTATTTTACTTATATCAAGCAAAGATAAGTTGTTCTTATTTTCAGTAAAATACCATCACATCTCGATTCACCTCGCTTTCACGACAACAGTGTAAAACAAACGCATAAATCCGGTGTTCTTGGAATGCTTAACACGAGATACGAAACAGCAACAGACACTGATAACGTTCTTTAACCCCACGTTATGAATTGAGTATTTCTTCCATTTCAAGTAAAAGATTATTATCATATTCATCATCTACGTCATCCACAACTGCGTCATCAGGAGGCAGTTCGGCCAAAACTTCTTCGAGATAATTCTCTCCTTCATCTTCGATATCATCACTACAGACAAGGAAAGAAAATGATTATACAGACCATTGTGAAAGTTAAACTTAACGAAACTCGGTAACACTTACAAGTCCAAGAAATCGCCATCAGAGTTATTTTGTGGCTTTGAATTTCTGGTTTCTGTAATAATGTCATAGTTTAACATTCAGAATTAAATTACTTATAAAAACTGAACATAACATTTTCATTTGAAATATGCTTATACCCTGTCTTTTCCAGAGTATTTCTGGTATCGATGGAACTCGAGAATTGGATTCCTAAACAAACAATTTGAAGCGCATAGCACATCTTAGAATTTCACATTCCTTTACGATACACAAATAAAATCAGCTGTTACCTTATCCTCTAAAGCATTGCACGAGACCGTCGATAAAACAGTATCGTTCATATCAATTCTTCGTTCATTCACATCTCCAACTTTTTTCTCTAGTTCCCAGCCCACATCATACGCTTTAGCACACAATGACTTCGAGGTATCAAATTCAACAGATGATTTATTGCCCTGTTTAAGTTCATGTTTACTATCCTTTGACGTAACACATCCAATAAAATTTTTTGCCTTGGACGTATTGCCAGTTTCATCTTTCACAACTTCGTTTGCATTGATAGTATGATTTTGCGCTTCCAAGATCTCCACGCGCTTTACGTTTACTGCAAAGGATAATCGCCGCTGTTTGTGATAATTTACAGAGAAAGAAGACATATTGTAATGGGGTATTATCTAATTGAAATTTACAACTTCAAGGATGAGTTGCATCTTGAAAAAAACTGTCTCACTTATTAGCAGTGGCTAAGTGGACAAAGATGGGCATATCTGGTGAGGCAGATCCGTATGGACCGACTGACTGGAGTGTTGGCTGCTAGCGTAAAAGCCCTTTGATTCTTATTTTGTATATACTTGCAATTTTCAATATATGTAATATGGGCCAGTTGACAGTGGTCAATGAAGTTCCACTACAAAACATCCTTTTTGTACTAACCCGACCTGGCGTAAGCTTTACCACTGTTTTTGAAACCAACATGAAACTGGTTTAAAGATCGCAAATAGTATGAAGAGTAAAGTTTTACATTGTTCTTTCTACCTTTCCACCCACTACTAACCTTTCTCTGATTGCTTTTTTATTTTGATAACTTTTATCGCTCGACCACTTGCGTTCAATGAAGTATATGACTTTCCTAAATAAAGACGATAGTTATCTAAAACAACATGAAGGACAACTCTTCATCTCTAAAGACATAAAAAACACTATATGATTACCCTTCTCGTGTTCTTTTAGTGGTCCGCGGTTCAACTTTATCATTCGTTTAGGCTCATTCTTTGCAATTTTTGGCTCTACGTTGTGTACAACCATTTTTGCTCGTTCTTCGGTTTGACATGTTGATTTTAACTTATCGTCTTCCATAACATGTTTTCCTAACGCTTTTGTACCGGTTGTCGATTGAAACAATGAAACCTGACCATTTTCTTGATCATTCAAAATACTGTCGTCAATGTCAGACTTTTGCTTATCCTTCTCCAAAGGAATAATTGTTTCATTGTTATCTTGTCCTAACTTCATTGGTATTGTACCAAACGGTTTAACTATTGACACATCCGGTTTCTTTATGACACGATTCCTACCTTGAATGTCGTTCATTTGTGCATCAGTCATGCTTTTTAGCAAACTTCTACGTTCAGAGTGACTTTTGTCATCGCTATCATAAATATCTTTGCATAAACTGAATGGATCGTTCTTTGATAAGGAAATACTATCATCTCTTTCTGTGTATACTCCAGTTGTTAACATATCCATAGCGTCTTTTGTTCTAGGATTTAAAACCACCACTTTTCGTGACCGTTTCTTAGCCAACAGTGGTAACGTCATTTCTTTGTTTAAACTTCTGAATTCATTGCTTGTTGAATTAGTAGAAGATATATCAACTTCATTAAGATTAAATTTCTCAGGAGATTGGTCAATGTCGTCATTTAAAACTATCTTATCGATTTTTTGAGTTTTCATAATAGGAACAATTTCAACATCGTCCGCACGTGATTCCAAACTTCTTTTCATAGCCATGTCACGTGAATTAACATCTTTAGAAACTTTCGAAAGCCTTCGTAAAGGCGGTAACGGTCGAACGTTTAAGTTCTCGCTTCCACTAACTAACATTGCGTCAGGTGTTTGCTCATTATTTTGAGAGCTCTTTCCAACAATTATTTTACGAGTGACAAGAGGTTTAAGAGGTGGAAAATGGCTAATCCGCGAATCCGACGACTGCGTTTTCAATATATTTACCGGCTTCACACCACTGTCAAGATCATTGTTCCTCTCGAAAGTGACATTTTCATTAAGGTTATTGGAAATTTCCACACAAGATTTCTTTGTGTCCTCCGAGTTTGGATCCTCTTTCTGCGCGCAGGTCGTTGATATATTTGAACGCTCTTCATTATTTCCTGCATCAGAATTATTTTTTTGGTGTTCGCGTAGTTTTTTCAACGCTTTCTCGCGTAAAATTTCCTCCAACGACTTCACTTTAAATGCAAGATTTACTTCAACAAAACTGTCATCAATACTATCGCTATTTTGATTGATTTCCTCTCCAGATTTTTCATTTTCCCATTTAATATTAACCGAATCTTGGTAAAAATAATGTAAAATACAAATAAGTTCGATAATAGAGGTATCTCGCAAATTAATAGGTGAAAAAAAAACACCTGGAATACAATGCATAAAACACCACCACTTATTTTCTTCGAAACATGGGTCAAAATACAGAGTAAAAATGAACGTCACATAAAAATTGAACACAGATGTCGAGTGAAGTTACCAAAAATAAATGGTCAGCATTTATGCATTTACGTTTATGTAGTCATGCACGAAAGTACTTTATGTAATATTTTACTCACCTTGATGCGATTTCGATAAGCCTTCGTGTTTTTCTTCATGTTTTTGATTTGAATACCCTATATATGATAATTGACAAACATAATTTTTGACCGTGACAGAGGATATGAAACTGTAAAGGCAAAAGAAAGCATGTAATGATTGACAAAATACTGCAGTCTTGCTGGCGACTTTGTCATTAAAGCAGGCCAAATTTTTGTAAAGTAAGTTATCACACGAACGTTTCAAAAACTCCACGCACGAAATATCAACATGCAAGAGATCAAAGATTTTCATAACACAACATAAGGAAGAATCTTGTAGCAAGAGATCAAAGATTTTCATAACACAACATAAGGAAGAATCTTGTAGCAAGAGATCAAAGATTTTCATAACACAACATAAGGAAGAATCTTGTAGCAAGAGATCAAAGATTTTCATAACACAACATAAGGAAGAATCTTGTAGCAAGAGATCAAAGATTTTCATAACACAACATAAGGAAGAATCTTGTAGCAAGAGATCAAAGATTTTCATAACACAACATAAGGAAGAATCTTGTAGCAAGAGATCAAAGATTTTCATAACACAACATAAGGAAGAATCTTGTAGCAAGAGATCAAAGATTTTCATAACACAACATAAGGAAGAATCTTGTAGCAAGAGATCAAAGATTTTCATAACACAACATAAGGAAGAATCTTGTAGCAAGAGATCAAAGATTTTCATAACACAACATAAGGAAGAATCTTGTAGCAAGAGATCAAAGATTTTCATAACACAACATAAGGAAGAATCTTGTAAAAAAGAAAAGTTATTAATAGGACTCAATTTGTAAAACCTGCACAGACAATGAAATGGCAATATTTACATAAAATGTAAATACCTTTCTCATTTTTACTTTTTTTCCCTTTCCTTCTCTTTTTAACGTTTGAATCTTTAAAGGAAATCGATACTTAGATCACTTATGATAAAATGAAAATATAATAAATTTTTAGGTCTGCTCATGACAAGAATAGAAATAATTTACTTTTTAAATGATACCTTCATGTGAAGATTGCTTCCTTATCTCACGGCGTTTTGAATGTCTGTTATATTTTATATTTCTTATCCCTTCATACTTTTTCACAGTACGTTTATAAGAATTCTTTGCTACAAAACAAAATCGTGTTCTCAAGATATGTATTATCAGCAAACACATTTAAAGGATGAAAGTGCCGCATTAACACACAAATGTACTACCAGCAAAGACTTACAAATAAGACGAAAGTTCCCTGTAAGTACCCGAATGTACTACCAGCAAAAACATACAAATATGACGCAAGTTCCCTGTAAATACCCGAATGTACTACCAGCAAAGACATACAAATAAGAAGCAAGTTCCCTGTAAATACCCGAATGTACTACCAGCAAAGACATACAAATATGACGCAAGTTCCCCGTAAATACCCAAATTTACTACCAGCAAAGACTAGCTACAAATGACGCAAGTTCCCCATCAACACCCAATTGTACTACCACCAAAGAAACAGCTACAAATGACGCAAGTTCCCCATTAACACCCAATTGTACTACCACCAAAGAAATAGCTACAAATGACGCAAGTTCCCCATTAACACCCATTTGTACTACCACCAAAGAAACAGCTACAAATGACGCAAGTTCCCCATTAACACCCAATTGTACTACCACCAAAGAAACAGCTACAAATGACGCAAGTTCCCCATTAACACCCATTTGTACTACCACCAAAGAAACAGATACAAATGACGCAAGTTCCCATTAACACCCAATTGTACTACCACCAAAGAAATAGCTACAAATGACGCAAGTTCCCCACTAACACCAAATTGTACTACCACCTAAGAAATAGTTACAAATGACGCAAGTTCCCCATTAACACCCAATTGTACTACCACCAAAGAAACAGCTACAAATGACACAAGTTCCCATTAACACCCATTGTACTACTAGCATAAACTTTCAAGTGATGCAAATTCCTACAACACTTAAGCAACGAAAGTTCTGATTCCATGCCCACCCAGATATGAAAACAACTAAAACGTCGAAATTCATGCATCTAGATTGGAATATGTTTGATCAAATTCACAAAACGGAAAAAGGAAAGGAATCGACTAAACTTCTAATCGTCAAATATCACGTAAAAAACGCAAATAAATGTAGTTTCACCTGACACACGTAACATTTTCTTTTTTAACGCCTGATCACGGGAATTAGAATCTATCTTTAATGGAGGCAGTCCAGCTACACAAATAAAAAAACGGCTCAATCTTACATTTCAAAAATTACAAAGGAACCATACGAAGATGAAGATTTTGATTAAGTTAAACACGTGTAAAAGTAAAATGATCTTACGCAAAGGTAATGGATATAAAGGTGCAGGAAGCAAACCTAGAAAGATTAAAAGATCAAATAATTACAAAATCATCTCAATACACTGACAATTACAAAAAAGATAGACAATTTACCATCCCCTAAGTTTAATCTTTCAGCATTATCTGCATTCATTTCAGTCTTTCCTGCCTCATTTTGCACCTACAATTAAACAAATGATCTTGTAATAACCGTCAAGGTGGTTAGTATTCTTAGGACAGTTTCACAGTAGTGAAAATTGTGGTGAACCGCAAGATGATATACAACAGATCGTCACCTAAACAGTTTATATATGGCTATTAACGATGAAGACCACCTTTCTTACTTTGTAAAAATTGTGTTGGGAAAGAGAAAAGTTGCTTTGCGTAGCAGGATCCATATTGTCGGGACGAAATTGATTTGATTGAAGTATATGAAAGGATGAATTAGTCATCTGTCCCGATCGTAGATCAACTTGACCAGGAAATCGATTGTACCGAGGATTTTGTAATCGAGGGAGTCCAGCTCTAGGATTATTACCCAAGTTATTTCTAAACGAAACAAAAAGACAGCTGACACTTCTGCGACAACTGTAATTAGTATACATTTTCACAACAAAGTCAGAAGTTAGACTTGTATAATTACCCGAATAAATTATGAATTACAGGAATTCTTGGTTGAAATATCTGAGGTATGCCCGGGGGATTGGTAAGCAACGGCCGTGGTTTGGTATGAACGAAAGGACAACTGATGTTCAAGCATCCGGTCGGTTGGTTCTCGTAAAAACATTGAGATATCTTTGGCAACACCAGAAATGAATAATGTAAACGTTAATTGAGCTAACGTGATTCACGACTTTTATGGACAAATTTTCTTAAATAAATGAATGCTAAAGCAATGTCCTGGACTAAATTAATTTTGAATGAGATTTCTCACCATATATCACACTAATAAGACAGCAAATATCACCCATACATATCGCTCAGAGTTAACAAATCATGGTGTCGGATTACGGATTAAATTGGATCACAAATTTACGATACATTTCTCAAAGTCTGGGGTTTGGCAACAATTTCAAAAATAAACTTAAACCGAGAAATTTATAAATTAAATATACTCCGATATACGAATGGCGGAAACGACAACGTCTTAGACCAAAAACCATGACCAGCCGACAATTTAAAGAAGTATAATATAAAACAAATTCCGAAGAAACAAGACATCTTGAGATTGCAAAATATGAATCATTCGAAAATTTACAGTTTACTTCTCGTCTTGTTTTGATTCATATTTTGCAATCTCAAGATGTCTTGTTTCTTCGGAATTTGTTTTATATTATACGACAACGTCTTGTTGTGCAAGACTCAAATTTCCACACATCAGAAATGGGATTTCCAACGGCCAAAGATTCATGACGATAAGGGCCATCAGTCTGTTTATTAGGAGACAAGGTTTCATCACCCCATGCATATGACACATAAATGCATGTAATTATCGACAATTGTGGGATTTTCTATCCGAGTTAGGTAGTAACAAACAAAGTCATTCGTTAAACAGACAGACAACACGAGACAAAAAGAAGTACAAACGTTTTTGCTAAACAACGACATTCTCATCATGAAAACTCTTCATTTGGAAAAATTGGAGAATTTTGGGTATTCGACAAAAAACTTGTCCAAAACTTTTTCGTTCGATCGAGTCATTCAGACTGAGATGTAACACAAAGAGATTAATGAATAAAATATGATACAAATAACATAATACGAGCACTTACTTTAGTGCATGACGCGTTGTAGTAAAACCAGCCGTCATTCTTTGACGTCATCATGAATCCTTCTTGACGGGATAAGATAAAGAAACAGCACACAATGTGTTAGAGAAGTGAGAACAAACATCCATTGGTTTATCACACTGAGAAGATAATGAAATACAGTCAAAAAAAGTTTGGATGTGTTGCAAAAAAGTAAAAAATGTTTATTTTAAGGTTACATAAACGATGGTGGGTTCAAGACCTTGACAAAAAGTACTCACAATTAAAAAAAAACTTTGAAATTAGCTGGTTAGAAAGAAATAATCATTAAAAGGTGATTCTATACCTTGCAATTCTGTCAAAACCTCAAATCTGTCAACAAATTCACAGATTAAGCAATACAGCATAACAATTTTTCCTTCTCTAGGAACAGCTTTGTCAAATGAACGTCAATGTCAATAAGCAAGCAACAGACTAATCGTTCCACAAAGAACAAATGTTGGTTGTAAATGACAGGATCTCACTTGAACCATACGTCCAAATAACTCATTCAGTCCAGTTAACTCAATACAGTTAACATAATTAAATGTTCCAGTTCAGTTGAAACGAACTGTTAAATTGTTCTTCAACATAAATGATTTCTTCATTGATGCTTGCTTTAAACAATAACTAATTCCTAGTTTGAGGATTCTTGAAGTATTAATTTATGCCAAGCCAAATTTGCTGAATTTTATGAAGCCAAGAAGGCCATTAACACAATCATGCTCTAAAATAACCACTACAATAATATACAATATAAAAATAAAATACATTTAACTTAAAGCAAATGTCCTCTAATTACGTATGACATTACTTTCTCTTTTGGGCAATTCTCTTAAAATAAAGCCTGTGTGATGAAAGTTCAAAACTACTTGTATAACATGTCGTTATATGTTAATATGTCTATCTCAGTATAAATTAGGATTAGTGGGTGTAGAGTTTCATGTATGTTTCATTTTACTATGTTATCTTAAAGCTTTTTGTATTTCTGTGATGGAATGTGAATGACTATAACAGATGTTTTTCATAATGTTAACTGACAAGCAAATAAAATATCCAGTACTTCATGAAATGAAAACTATTGCCTCCTATGTTGAAAGCAAGTAATAAGAAAAAAATTACAGTGTTAATGTTGGTAACAACTGTAACGAGAGGATTGCCCTTAAAAATAAAGTATTCTGACATGGTAATAGACCACACATGTACAGCATTGTAGAGCATTGTCTTATGTTGTCACATAAAACAAGTTACTTTCACACAAAATCAGTCAAAAAAAGGTTTAATAAGTCTGACAATGGCTATACTTATAATATTTTATTCATCCAGAAGAAGCATTGAGGATTGTATAAACTTATGGATACTGGTAGCTATAAATGAACAGATTTTTGAAAAAAATTTGTTGCAAAATATTACTTGATGCTTTGCTTTTAACCACGGGCAGCTTTATGATGATTTAAAAAACAAAGAATGCAAAGCAGAAAGGAGATTTTTAAAATACAGCCAGCAGGTGAAATGCTTCTTATGGTGAATAATTCTTTAAATATAGTATAAGAAGGCAAAACAAAAAAAGCTATCTATGTGTTATGCAAAGCACAATTATGTTAAACTAACACATTATCATCAGCTCAAAAATATTTGCATATAATCTTTATATTAAACAAAACAGTGGTAAAAACTAGAAAAAGTGTAATAATAATAATAAAAACAACAAATATGGAAATATTGAGAAATCTAAAACAAATCTAAGTGTGAAATTTTAAAGGAGCCTACATTTAGGTGTGAACTGACACTCATCTAAGATATTGGACCATGATGCATAAAAATTAAATTGAACTTTGCTGTAAATGATAAAAATCTTTGCAGATACAAAACACTGTAGCAAACCAAACATTGAAAAAGATCATTAACTTATATCAAACTATGCTGGCGATAGAAACTTCAACAAAGATGATAAAGGAGCACTATCTTATAGAAACTATAAAACCTGGATATTAAGAGCGTAATACAGCTGAAACGATGTATTATTGACAAAGAATTAGAAGAAAAATGTTCAATAGTAAAAAATGGTACTATGGAAGAACCATCACAAACCTACAAAGACAACGAGCACTTGATATTTGATACACGAGGAAGTGAAGAAGAAACTGATTCGACAACTCTTCAGCTTTCACCAGAAGTCTTTATATGCTCGTTAAGATTCCTCCCTAGTTTAACGTATAAATACCAAAAGTACTCTTTCAGCTATGGACGATCATTTCTTCTTTCGCAAAAAAACTTCAGAAGAACTTGCACGAGAACGGAGAAATCTCACAATTAAAACCAAACGAACATCGTTGAAGCTCAAACTATTTCTAACTGCGCATGAGCAGTTGAGTACACACCACTGACAGCACGACTGACATCACCAATGACGACACCAATATTCAATGTTATCATATATGATATAAGGGATGGAGAGGCACAATACACCTCAGAACTAAGAAAATATTTGTAAGAAATATGCTGTGGTGTTGGAAATTATGAAAGGAAAGAAAGCATGGCCTTTTTTATACATTCAACGTTAATGTTTAACGACTCTCTCTACTGTAACTTTGATAAGAGCTATCAGTTTGGGGGGGGGGGCGTCAGTAAATATTTTCCCTGCCTCACAACCAAATACCAGACTTCCTTCAAATAACACGTCATAATTTCTTGCTCCTGTATTTTTCGTACAAACAAAATTTTCCAAACTTTTGATTTTATTCTTTAAAGTGTGTCGAGGGAGGCAGAGATAGTGTTTCTGCTTCATGTTTTCTGTTACAACACGTAAGAACACAACGGTTTGGAATTTTTCATTTTTGCAGGCTTTTTGCGGGATGTTTGCTTTGATAAAGTAGCTCACACAATAGAATTGACTTACATAAAAGTAGGACGAGTTTCTATTGTGACGTCAATTTTATAATTCGCACCAGTCTCACTTGCGCGGTTTTCTGATTTTTTATTTCACAGAAATCAATGTTTAGACGATTACAGCGCAAAAACTATAACTACAATTTAAATTTTGTTTTACAACTTAATAATTTATTTTAACCATAGATTCCAAAAATGTAAATTCCTATTTTCTGACATTGGCACTTCAAGGAATAAAGGTTCTCTTGTTTGTATGTTTTATGTCACCTCATCTCACCTCAGTGATCTCAATTCATTTCAAAATTTCTTCTCTTCGAATGACTCAAGTGTTCTTGGTCAAAGTCCATGATATTGTCGTTTTCTATACGTCTACCTTTTACAGTTTACTGTGCAAAATATTGTGTTTCATCCTTTTAACTTGATATCAGAAGATGATGGAAATTCACAGTTTTATCTTGTGTTTTTTCTTTGAGATATTCGAAAAGAAGTATTTCGAACTTTGGTTGACTAGCCAGAGTTCCTCAAACGCGCCAACGAAAAAAATATGAAAAATGAGCTCACTTTTTTACGTAAGTTTAGTGCAGATAAACACCTGAACTAAGAATGTTAACATATTGATAAAATATCCTCAGGGAAAACAATCAGATCAACCAAAAATCTGTAATTTAGTGACCAACTGTTAAAGTATTCGCTCTCTCTCGCGTGTGGCTCTACTGTAAAAATATTCACGTTTTTTTTCAAAATCAAACATTTGGTGTGAAAACAAGATGACAAGGTGTATCTTGTGTGTCAATATCGTTCTTAAGAATAACAACAGACGTTCGAAGTTACGTTTGGAATGTTTTCGTTCTTCTGTTGATTGTTCTAATTGTCAGTTCGAATAATTTACAAAATGCGAAATAAGTTCGCTTGACGACGTACGACATTGACATCTGTCCTTTTTTTTTGCTAAATTGTACAAAAAGCGTTGCTCAATCAATGCATTAGTGTTTGATTAGCTGCGCAACAGTGTAACAAGAAACAGTAATGGACCTTTTGAGTTGCGCTTGTCGGATGTTTCAATTTTATGTTAATTTCTCGCACATATTGCCTCATAAGGAAAACAGATTAAATTCGTAGTTAATTATACAAGAAGGTAAAATGAATCGCGTGTATACATGCTGATAAGCCTTCCACAACAAACGATAGCTTCTATTACTACTTTGCGGGTTTTACTGTGCGATTTGCCGTCTCGACCACGTATGTCTCATAACCTTGTTGAAACTGGAATGGTCAGTTTTCAACCATGACCAAAAATTTCATGCCTACCTGGTTGGACTGACGTAACCATGTAAGAATTGAAGATATATTATCCACAATTTAATGTTCCTGTACTCTATCTTAAGGTAAAACTATTCCCAGCACATTTTTTCTGTTTTCTCCACAAGCATCAATTACCATAAACAATTTATGTCCACTCATCACAACGACGAACGTTCATCACAAGATTCACATTAAACTCGAATGAGCATTTCACTCATTTTGAATATTCTCCGTAATCTTTTATATTACCCATTCCGTGCACGTTATTGCGATCATTACACACTTAAAAAAAGTGATGCACTTCAGATTGAAGATTACGATCCAATTAGAACGTATAGAAACATACGATGCACGTGTATGTCCGTATATTTTCTTTATTGAATAGATTTAACATCAAAAATGCGCACAGTCTTAGTAATAGAAAGGTGCTAATTCAGCCGGGAATTCGGTCATCATTTGAAAGTGATCTATGAGTCAATGTTCGAAATTTCAAAAATGCTTTTACCAAATGCACAGGTTGGCTAACCTAATGTGGAAATGTGAGAAATTCCGCATTCAAACTTTGATGGCATGAGCGCAACATTTTCATTAGGGCATGCTTGCTTAATCATCAAGATGATAAGTGTTCAAATTGTGCGCGTTTTGTTCGCAAGTTTGAGAATGTGGCATCGATTATTGGTATAAAATATGTTCTGATACTCAAAAGCGCACGTTGTAATTTTCTCCATACATAGCTGTACTCGAATGATCCTTTCAAATTCAGTAGTAAACATATGCAAGCCAGCCTAAAGAGTACTAAGCCGATTAACGCTATCTTTGCTTGTAGACGGCTCAAATAACTTCGACTTACGGTCAATGTACATGTGAAGCAATTTGTTGACACTATTCATCAAGTTGATTAATTACGTAGTTGGTGACGAATACCATTCTGGCGCATAATACATCTGTTTGTAGAAAAAACATTTCCAAATCGATTTCAGAAAAAAGTTAAACGAAATTTAGGGATCAACGAGGTTTGAAAAAGCTGCATTGACTGCAGAACATGATTAAATCATTGTTTCGGCGGGAAATCGAGCTGGGTGTCTGGTTATTGATATGTTTTATTTACCAGAGCATATGATAAAATAGCTTCATCCTTGTACGAGATTTTCATGTTTGAATTCTTCTGACATCAAGTTTGTGAAATCAGTATCTTGTTTTCGTCGGATTTGCTATCTTGTTTTGATAAACGAAGTAATCAAATATTTGTCTGCGCAAGGGAAAACGCAAATTGAACACGTGACTTTGCCATTTCATGTGTCATGGAGTCCGTCACAAACGAATGTATATAAAGTCCGTTTTCTACCAATGCATTCAAACTTTGAGAATTTGAGGTAAGTGTGCAACTCATCAGCACGAACTTTACTTGCTTTTATGGCTCTATGTCATTAGTTGTGACGACGTACGTTTTTACATTTGATAAATGTCGACCAAACAATTCATAAGCGATTGTGATTATTCGAAAAGCGCGAAGATATTACTGTTTAGAACATAATCATGTGTTAAACAGAATAAAACGCAATTAATTTTTTCGTTTAAGTTGAGAACGATTTGTGTTTTGCAACATGTGCGTCACAGTGTGCATAATAACATAACATAATGTGAAGCCAGCTGTGTGAGCGAATGGTTGACACAGCTGGGAAGAAACATTTTTGAAATCCAATAGAGATTTGATACATACACCATAGCTTAATTAATCGCTAGATTGGGAATCATATTCAAACGTAAGCTTGCCTCATGCTAGGTCATTCTTTTAAGCAACCCGGTTATTTTGGCGCATGTATCAAGTAAATTGCCTGTAAAAGGTTTGTATGTATAATTAGATTATACCATCATATTGTGATGCGTATGTTCTCAAGATGCGCTGTTGATGAAAATATTTAAAATATCTACGGATAAGTTACATAAAAATGGCAGCGTATAAAAAATACACGAAGATGGCCGTTTTTTGGCGTCATTGCATGAGCAGGCGTGGAAATTGTTTGGCTTATTTAGACCACACGAGTGATTTGAAAATACCAAAGCCAATGTGTCATTTCCACATTTAGTTTTGTTCTTTTGTGAAAAATTTATGAGGATTATTTCTTAGTCGTGAGAAAATCAACTGACTTTACTGCCATTCCATTGAGGTCTCTTTATTCCGAGCATTGAATGATGAAACTCATAATTCATCTTCATAAACAGGTGCACGATGACCAATTTGAATCGTCGAGGAAGTTTATCTGAAACAAGTATTGAAAGAAGTTGTATAGACAGCGTCTTTGTCGAAGAGGTAACTCACAACAACAGGAAAAGAGCAAGCTTTGAATTCAGTTTTTTGTTTGACTATGTATACTTCACTAGGCTTGTGTTGTATAAGATCGTTTACATAAGTGTATAAAAATCCCCATTTTAAATTGTGTGAATACTCTACTTCTTGTGTGAGTATTGCTGTGGCTCTTTGTAGAGCACCGTTTGAAACTCCTAACTTACGTAATTATAGGAAGAAACACTCGGTTATATCGCACGTGATGACGGTTTGGTTAATGGCCTCATACCTCGCATTTCAATATCTCTTACATCACAGCCAGCCCCTAAAACTTGGGAGAAAAGAGATCTTACAAGAAGTAGATCATTACCAGATAAAAATGAGGTATTTTTGTTATTTAATGGTATGCTCATTCCTTCACTATACTATGATATGTATGTAATTACACAAAACTTCTCCACACCCAAAATTTCGAGTACAATTTTCGTACTCTGCATTTCTGATGACTGTAATCCGGGTTTCGGATCATACAATTTGGATTTAATTATACTTACGAACCGATAATATTTACTTCAATCTTCGTCACAGTTATGAAACTGAAGAATTCAATTTAGGTGTGATGTATTGGTAAGATTTGGCAGATTTTTCGGCTTCAAATCGTATTTTACAAATTTCACAAATTAAAACACTATTAATTTTATTCATCTCACGGGGGATAATCACAGCAATTTTTACGCCAACAACACCATTAATCTCAAAATTATCATCAAACGCATTTTAACTCTTGCAGATTGCGTCTTCCAAAAGTAATCGCCATGAGCTGCCAGGTATGTTAAATAACATATGTAGTTTGCAACAGTCTTATACGCCTAACTACAGAGCCTAGATTTGGAATTCAAGCTGACTAAAACCGAGACTTTCAGTCAAACTGTTATTAGCGCAAACTTCAAAACTGTGAAGGGGGAGTTTCTATGTTTTAGGAATGACTTTTGTAGCGTTTTTGCTTTATAAAAAAGCCGACAATTTTGCCTGACCTTTTTTGTTCATATCAATTTTTAAATCGACTTTTCCATCATATTAAGATCGCGAAGAACTTAAAATCTTAAGAATTAAAATTTCAAAATTTTGACCTTTAATTAAGCTAATAATTTTTGTCCATGTATTCCAATGACATTTTGATTCAGTAACTTTACGAGATTTGCTAGCAGAAATGTATTGAATTGGGCTCATGAAGGAAGGGTTCAGCGCCCTTGTAACCAATGGTAATACATATCATAGAGCCTTCCTTGTTCAAATTTTTGCAATTGAGTGTTGCTTGTTACTCCTGTTAAAAGCCTGAAAACTTTAAAAAGACAGTGCTTGCAGAAAAGCAGGCCTGGTTATCAAATCGTGAAACGTCATTTTAGACTCTTATTTGGTAACAGTTTTCATGTTAATTTTAAAAAGTAACTACAAGGTGATACCAACGGATGCAACAATACCATTAATGAGTTTGTTACATGGCATTAAAAATATTTAAACTTTTGCTGTTTGCAAATTTGAAAAATCTTTTCGAAAAGGTTCGTTGTTTCTTACTCATTCAAAGCAAAGTATTCCACCATAAGTAATATTTATGCAGGCTAAAACTAGTTCATATTTAACTTTGAAAATTACAACCGTACATAAGGATGGTAATTTCATCATGCATGTACATATCACAGCACACAAGACGTTATAAAGAGGAAAAAATTATGCTGCAAAAAATAAAAATCAATTTTGCACATGTCTGGTGATTATAATGGCCGCTAGTATGCATGGTAATCAATAATTAAGCCTTGATATAAATTAATTTATGGTTTCAGTTCTGATAATGTTAACAGTCTCTCTAGAAATTATGTGACGCACTGGCTTTGACCTCCTGCTCTCCCCGTATTTTTTGTGCCTGGTTCCACAAATCAATAAAAAACAACAACACACTCGTGTAAAAAAGCAGTTACATCACTAAAAAAATGCAAATTTTGTGCTTTGCTTTAAAAGCTTCTTAAAGATCTTGTAGAAGTAAAATATCACGTGTTTACTCGAGTTTAGTTTGTTTTTCGTTTTAGTTTTACTTTTTCACAACAATTTTGACGTACTATTAAAAAATCATTTCAAGCTACTGATGTAATATGTTCGTGAAAAATTCATTGTAGACTTAGGACAGCGCTAAGAAAGGAGTCAAAATCAACTAAAAATAATTCAAAAATCATACTTCTCTGGAAAAAACATTTTTATACCTCAACTGTCAAGATATATTTTAACATTTATACTTGAAGAGAGGCAATTTGGCCTCCCAAACCTTTCCGTTGACCTTGCAATGAAAAAAATTGCCCCCTCCTTATTGTTTTTTTTTGTTATTAGCATTTTAAGTATTTTATTGCAAATAATATATTTACATGTTTGTAGATGTAGATTGTCCAGCTTAGTATAGTCCTGAGAACGACTGTTGGTATTGATGTAGACTGACGTTTCGACAAACTTAGCGGTAGTCATCTTCCCAGTCAAAATGATTTGACTCTGAAGATGACTACCACTAAGGTTGTCGAAACGTCAGTCAACAACAACAAAAACAGTCCTTCTCAGGACTATACTAACCTGGACGATCTACATCTACAAACATGTAACGATACTCCCGGGTCCAAACCATTTACTTTAATAACATATTTCTCGCATAAAGTAAGAACGTGCTTATTTAATAAGTATTTTTACATTTCTGCTACGCTGTTGTTAAATTACTCTGCAAATGACACTTATAACTGTTGCAATTTTTCAAATTTCACTGGGAAGGGTATTTCCGCACCCTTAGTCACATGGCTAACCCACCACAGGCCCTTTTGAGGTTGATGGCCTCCCAGTGTATATTCTCTATAGCCACATAAATTTTACCTGGAAGTATCTGGGAAATCAAAAACTCGGCGAGTGAAGCAATGAGATGCACTGTTTGTCGTTTTATCAACTTGTCACCTGAAAATAAATATATACGTGATACTTTTGAGTATAATGCGTATTGCTGAAACTATTTCACGATATTCCTTTAAATCATAGTTTTTTAACGAAGTTTTTTAAACTGTATCGCTTTTTGTGGCATGAACGTGACGCAGGATACGTTGTAGTTTTATGCGTTATAGCTCACGAAACTTGATATTTCCGAGACATTTTTAAGTGAAAGATTAGCAGTGTAATTTAAACATAAAAATTTCATCAAACACCCTTATTAATATTTGGAATGGTTATTAATGATAAATATATTGACGGATTTTCTTTTCTCACAAGAGTAGCGCATTATTTGTAAACGTTTGTCAATTGTAATATCATTTTAAATGAATATCGATTTGTGCATTAGTTTCGATTTTTCTTTGTTACTTACTGATTGACATGGCACTTTTACTATTTTTTCAACCATTCTAAGATTTTTCCATTTTGTTTCATCCCCCAAACTGACTCTGTAGACAAGCTTTCATAAATTTGACTAACAATAACTCATAGTCATTGCATAAGTGGGTGGCATAAGTAGCCAATTTCACTTTCTTATGGCAGTCTAAGATAAAACAGACGTTTGTATAACAATATGGCAATGCTTTGGTACGACATTATCAGCTGTAGGAATCAGGATGGATTGGTCAACCAAGGTTATTTTTGATGATATTTGATGATATTTGATGATATAAATGATTTTCGCCACTAGATCGCAATTATCCTGCATGATATGAAATGAAAAGTAGTTTAGCATGCTGAAAAAAAGCCTTGGAAAATTTCTAGCATCACGACAAATCTTAGTGGTAATTTTTGGACGTAGAAATGACGTAACTAGATGGAATGCGAGGAAGTCGATTTGATCATGTGATCAATACTTCAAAATAGAGTAATTTGCATGAGTAAAATTTCTGAAATAAAAAGTGTCCTTCAGGAAATTTGTGCGAGATTGATACCTTGGTTTGAATCACAAATCATAATTTTCTTCATAACTTAATGAGTGCAGTGACGACAGACAATAGTTGAATACACTATGATGTAGTATGCACAGCCAGGTACGTTTTGACGAACACATATTTCAATTTTAGCTTTGGCATTCATAAATATTCTAATGGTGTTCGTTTATAGAGTATTGCATCGCAGAGTATTCAAAAAGAGAAAAATATCATATTATATTTAATTGTATACAATGCCAATCATATGTAGCAATAGATTCAATTAAACGCACGTTTCTATGAAAGTCTTTAATTCATACTTATCTTTAGTTATTAAGTCGATGAAAGATGGCAATAAGAATTTACATATTTTGTTCACGTGATAAGTCTGCATAACGTAAAAAATAATTATGAAAAAGTAAGAGATCAATTAATGCTTTAAAATATATATTTCGGAATAAATAGATACCTCGTAAATTATATATTATTTACGAATAGTTACAATTTAAATATAGTACAAATAATATATACAATAACACTGCACGACGACATGTGTGACTGTCATTTCACCCAATATTCTGGTTGTGCGTTAATACTGAATGGAAAAAGCTCAAAGGAAACAGCTTCTTAATAGGTCTGTGATCATTAATGCAACAGTAGATCAATATATAAGTGTTTCATATCTTTGACATAATTGAAAGTAAGGCACCACACGATTTGATCATGCACGACAATGCGAAAAATTTTGTAAAATAATACAGCTGAAATTTCTTATTTGTGGTTGTACGTGTGGCCATTTCAACTGTGCCAAGTTATTTTTTACATAATGAAGCCATTGGAATTGGTTTTCTTATAGATCATGACTTGATCTGCTACATAAGGTCATGGTGTGGAAATATGACATAGTTGTACTCTTTCGTGACTTCTTCACAAAAGTCTGGCACGTTTTATGATAGAATGTAATCGAATCTGCATTTCATGTGAATATATTTTAACTCTAAAATTATGATGTGTTTGTCAATCAACATCACAAGTATAAATTGTCTGACTTAATATATATGTACGTCACAATCAACAAGGTAACGTCATTATCTATCTACTCAATTGAATTCGTGAGTTTGATGAGCATTCCGCAACTTTACATTACATAATTTAAAATATTTGTGATATAGAAGGTCAGCAAAATCATTTAATCATAAGCTTCTTATGTTATAGGGTTTCCTATCCTTTTTCATTTCCAACCATTTCCCAGAATCATTTGCTTCGAGTAAAATAAATATATTCGCATACTTCACGCCGGACTAAACTGAATTCCATATACACATTTACTTGTATGATTTCATAATAAGGCTACAAATATTTTCAAAATGTGTAAAATTGTAGCGATTTATGTCAAATGATCGACGTTATCTGTATTTTCCATATTTTCCTCCAAGATAATGACGTCAGAACATAATGCAAATTGACATTTGCATTATGTCATATTGTCAATAATTATCTGGAAATACCGGATAGTATGAAAATGTAAAAAGAGGATCAGCTGTAGCATAAGCAAATAATAAAATAGAAACTAGACGAGAACATAAAGTACAAGCAAATCATGTAAGCATGCTTTTCACTTAACACTTATGTGTTTGTAGCAAAAGACGTATCTTGGCTCAGGAACATTTCAATCACTTCCTCATTTGCAATCTCTCGGAGGAAGATTTTCTCTATAGTTTTAAATAGTAAACATTCTCTTATTGGACACACAAAATTCGTGGACATCTTTGTTTCATAATACTCTTATATTTTGATGAAGTGTCAAAAATGTGTAAGACGCGCAATAAATAGCTTGCATTGTGTGAGGTTTATTTTTTTAAAAGTGAGACAACCTTTGTTTCTTTCACGCAATATTGATC